CATGTGAGATTCTGTACATCATGCCGTCGCGCACTCGACCTCCTGCCGACGCGGATGAGGACACTGGGCTTCGCGGCCTGTCCTTTAACCAACCGTTGTCGTGGCGCGTGGGGCGCTCTGCCATCCCCATTGCCGATCTACTCGAACGCCTCCAAACCCTCGCCCAGGAATTGCGCAAGCTCGAACAAGAAGAAATTGACAAGGAGTCTCTGCGCAAGGTCTCTCAGGAACTAGCCAGCGCGCATTTGCTTGCCCACAAGGATAAGGGTGTGCGGGCATGGGCCACTTGCTGTATCGTTGATGTCTTGCGACTCTGCGCGCCGGACGCGCCTTTTACTCGGAACCAGCTCAAGGTGCGCATTGACAGATGGGGAGCTGGGATCAGAAATTCCCGCTTTTGGGGGATACGCGCTGACCACGGACTTGATAACAGGATATCTTCACATGTATTATCACTTCGATTATCCCCGCACTAGCCGATCCGTCCAATGCCTACAATGGCCAGCATATCTATGTCTTGGGCTCTCTCGCCGAAGTCAAGAGTGTGGTTCTCATGACAGACCTCGATCACCCCGACTCGCTCATCGTTCCCCTCTTCACCAACTGCTTTGACATCGTCTCGGGTTCCTCCAAAGCCTCTACCGGCGAGGAAGTCGCAAAGGGCGTCGAATTTGATATGACCCGCCTTTTGGTCACCGTTATTGACGAAACACCCGTACTGGCTCCGGAGGTAGTGGATACCATTGTGGCCCAGTTCTTGCGCGTCGACCCTCGGGTAGTGGACAATCCCAAGAAAGGCAAGGGTGCGGACGCCCCAATTGATGCTAAACAGGATACCCTGTTGCTGAAGGACTACCCGCCTGCCTACAATATGGCCAAGGCCATTTGCCAGGCCTGCCCGGAACGGATGACCAGCCATATCAGCCAGTACTTCAACAATGTGATTATCGATGCCTCGGCCCAGTCCGGTCAGGCAAATGGCAAGCACGGCGCCCGGAAGTCAGGCCTGGACGATTCTGATGAGGAGGGGGAAGATATCAAGGAATTGAGCAAGGCGCATCGTCTTATACGAGAACTTTGGCGCGCCTGTCCCGAAGTCCTGCAGAATGTCATTCCTCAAATTGAAGCTGAATTGTCTGCAGAGTCCGTGGCACTGCGCTTACTCGCTACTCAAACCATTGGTGATCTTGCTGCAGGTATCGGTGTCGCCGGGCCCCCTCCCGCACCTCCCATGGACCCAGTGGTATACCCGCCAGTGACCCTCGAAGAATACCCGCAGACCATTCCTCAACCTAATGTTCTTCTCACACCCTTATCCCCTAAGCCCTTCTCTCAAGTTCACGTTTCAGCCTATGATGCATTCTTGAGTCGCCGTCTGGACAAGACCCCTTCGGTACGTGCTGCGTGGGTCACAGTCGTGGGAAGGATCCTCCTGACTTCTGCTGGAGGCTCTGGCCTGAGTGAGACCGAGGAGCAGGGTCTTGTTCAAAGTCTCGCAACTATGCTCCAAGATGCCGACGACAAAGTTCGTGTTGCTGCAGTGGATGCTGTTGGACAGTTTGGCTATTCCCACATTGTTAACAAGGTGGGCGTGAATGGCGGCTGCTCATCATCCGGCTCAGTGCTTGCAGCGCTCTCGGAGCGACCGAAGGATCGCAGGCAACAAGTACGCGAACATTCGACTAAAGTCCTAGCTCGCATCTGGGCGGTGGCGGCTGGTGATATCGAGCAGAACACTGAACCCGTTGCTTCTTTACTGAACGACATACCATCAAAGATCTTCGATGCTTTCTATACTAACGACCAGGAGATTCATCTCCTCATCGATCGGGTGATCCATGAGACGCTTCTCCCACTCAATTACCCTCCCATCAAGTCAAAGCTGTCTCGTGGTGCCTCGAATCAATCTCAAAAGCAGAAAGATAGCCAACCTTCTGACGAAGAAACTGATGTGGACAAAATTCGTGTGCGTCGCATTCTCACGTTGCTCCGAGGCTTGGACGAAAAGGCCCGGAAAGTATTTTTTGTCATGCTGGCTCGTCAGTTGCAACTGAGATCGGCGGTGACAATGTACTTGGATGCCTGTGAAAAATACAATGTAAGCATCTCGAGCTTCTCGCGGGAATTCTAGCGGTATACTAACGTTCTCATAGGGTGGCGTGATTGATAAGGACGAAGCTAATATTAAGCAACAACTATCGGTCATCATTGACTCGTTGTCCAAGCTTTTTCCCGACCCCTCACGATCATCTGCCGACCTCTGGAAGTTCGCCAAGGTCCATGACCGTCGCAGTTATCAACTGACCCGCTTCGCCATGGCCGCTGCCAGCGATTATCGTACAGTGGTCAAGGCTATTAGAGAGCTCCAGCGACGTGCACAGAGTGCCAACAATGCCCCTCTGCTTGAAACTTTGACGCCTTTGCTCTACCGATCAGGGTCAATCATTTACAACCGGAGTCATATTCCTGCTATCATGAATCTCTCGCGAACCGATGAGAATGGCTTGGCTAATGCCGCCCAAGAGATGCTGAAGGAGATCTCTAATCAGAATCCCGAAGTTCTTGAGGCTCAGGTGCAAGAAATGTGCAAAGATCTCGAGGCGCAGGCTCCCAAGGCAAAGTCTACTGGCGACGACAGCAATGAAGACATTCTCAAAGCTTGTGCTGGCTTCGCTAAGAAGCTTCCAGAAAAGCTTCCCAAGGAACGGAAGTTCTTCCAAGCGCTTACAGACTATGCTCTTTACAGCAATTCTCCGCGATCTGCGAAGCATGCCGTCTCGATTCTTATGGCCACAGCTGACAAAAAAGAGATGTACGCGAAGGACTTGGTCCAGAAATGTGTCAAGAAATGGACGTACGGCTCCGACCACTTCCTTACTCGTCTTGCCGCGTTGTCGCAACTGAACCTGCTCGCCCCGAGGGAAGCCGACGAAGAGAGCGATGCTATCATTTCCATTGCTATCAACAATATTCTTCTTACCAACCGTTCTCCTGAGACTGATTCAGGCTATCTTTGGTCTGACACAACTGACGAGGAAACACAAGCTAAGGAGTGGGCCCTCAAGATCATTGTCAACCGTCTCCGAGCAAAGGACGGAGCCGATGATGAGGATGACTTCCGTGCGCATGCTAAGCCTGTCTATGATACCCTGAACAAGCTTGTGGTTGGCGAGGGCGAATTGTCTAAGAAGAAAGATACCCCGGCGACCCAGAAATCCCGGCTGCGGCTTCTTGCTGCCAAGTCTCTCGTCAAGCTATGTGCTTCCAGCATTCTCTGTGACTCACTGTTGACCCCAGCGGACTTTAATTCGGTTGCCCTGGTCGCTCAAGACCCTCTTCTGGAAGTGCGCGGCGGGTTTGTCAACCATCTCAAGAAGAAATTGGTTCAAAAGTCACACCTCGGCTATCGCTGGTACGTTGTTCCTTGCCTGCTAGGTTTCGAGCCGAGCAGAGGCTTCAAGGAGAGCACACTCACCTGGTTGCGATCCCGTGCCGCGTATTTCTCTCAAAGGGCCAAGGAAAGTGGGAAGCGCACAGAACAGAATATGGTGATGGAGATGATCTTCTCCCGTCTTTTGTCTCTGCTGGCTTACCACCCTGACTATCCCTCTGATGACCTGGATGAGTCGACCAAACTCGGGGATCTCAGCGACTTCTCACAGTATATTCTCTTCTACCTCTCCGCCGTGGCGAACGAACACAATATGTCCTTGATCTTCCACATTGCCCAGCGTGTCAAACAATTCCGCGATGGCATTACCAAATCCGATGAAATTTCTACCCGTCTCCATACCCTTTCCGATCTGGCCCAGGCGGTCATCCGTCGATTTGCCGACATCTACTCCCAACAGCACAAGTTTGGCGGCGCCGCCGGCGGAACCAACATTTTGCAGACCTACCCTGGAAAGATGGGTGTTCCCAGCACCCTGTTCGCCAGCATGCCTAGCCACCGCGAGGCCCAAAATGTTGCCGATAAGAACTTCCTCCCTGACGAGATGGACGATTTGTTGGATCGTGTTGTGCGTGCTTCAATGAAATCAAAGGGCTCCTCTGGCGGGAACACTTCTGCCAAGAAGCGCAAGCAAGAATCCCTGGGTACCAACGGCCTCTCGGCACCCACCAAAAAGGCACGGAAAGAAAAACCTACCCGTCCGGCCCGCAAGTCCACTTCATCAGTGGGTGTCTCGAGCAAGGCTTCGAGACGCAAACGGAAGGATGGAGATGACTGGTCATCCGACGGTGGTGCTGGTGATGATATTCCTGCATCTGCTCGCCGACGCAGCAGCCGAGGTACTGTTAAGCACGATGTCAGCTACGCAGACAAGGACAGCGACGAAGAAGATGAAGAAATGCAGAAGTGGGAAGAAGCCAAGGCTGAAGATGCCGATGGCGCCGAAATGGAAGACGAGGATGAAGAAATGGAAGACGAAGATCTGGCCGAGCAACAAGAAGATAACACCGAAGCCAACGAGACCAGCGAGAAAGAAAACTCACCCCCACCTCCACTACCCAAGCGAGGCGGCAAAGCCTCCAAGGCAAAGGAAACGGCCAAGAAACCGGCGACAACCACATTGCCCACGCGTCGGTCATCTCGGCGAGGCTAATTGCCAAGTCGTATGAATGGGAACTCCCCTCCCCGCTTTCGCATGTTTTTGTTCTATGATCTCATTTTTAAGTATCGTCGTGTGAAGCCGCACATTCTTTTTCATACCTATTACGCGTGTTACCTGCAGTTGATAACGTCTGAGATGTATACCCACTCTGCTTTGATGTTTTCAGCCTGTTTAGTTGTATTGATTGTTTCTTTCATGATTGCGTCTGTCAGTCAAATGTTATCATCATATGCACGTATACCATCATTCCACAGCCGTAGTGTCATAACAGGATAAAGGCCTTCGAGCTTAAAGGTACTGGTGCAACCCATAAATTCGTGTTCCCATCTGAAAGAAAATCTAACTAGCAAGCGCCTTGTTTGATTATCCAGCTGAGTAACGTGTAGCCTAATCTTTCCCTTCCGAGTTGATAACCACCCTTTGTGCTTCGAGGCTGCTACTATCTGACTGTCCCTGCACCTCGTGCGTCTCAGATTCATTCCAATGGCCGAAAACCGCGAGAATGGTGAATGGGATTGTAAACCCCCACAGTGCGAAGCCCAATATCATCTGGTTCAAGTTAGGCCAGTGAGTTGCGCCCACGGCATATGCGATGGTGCTACCAATGGACTCCCACGATCTCAGAATGCCAGTCGTTCTCGCGATATCACCGTCTCCCTGTGCTCCTCTTATTTCAGCCATTAACCAATAGACATAAGTTTGCAACACCTCATAGAAGAACTTGAAGAAAATATAGACAGTGAAAGCCGAGTTGAAGAAGGGTCCATCTCCGAGGTCGAAGGCGGGTGTTTCAGCCATGCGGGAAAGTTTCACCTGTGTGACGGCATTCCAGATCCAGGCTGCGGTGACGAAAACGAGGACAAAAACGTATACAGCCTTTGATCTAGCTTCTCTAGACACATATTTCAGATCTAGAATTATGCCCGTTGATATATTGGCTGTGGCGCCCACCACAGCTGTCAGGAAAGATGCAAGCGCTCTAGAGCGGACGGTGAAATACGCTAATTTGTCTGTCAGTGATACCGCCGCCTTTAAAGAAGGAAATGAAACGTCATACATGTCAAATAGTTTCCTTGGTAAGTGACACCAAATTGCCCAGCAAGAAAGACCGGGATGAGTAATAGCATGTACTTATTCCGGAGTTGCCTCCAAATACCGCGAAACTCGATACCAAGCGTCGTGTTCTTCATGTAAGGAATCTTGGTGCCATTACTTCTGATAACATCCTGTGGTTGTGACAACAGCAATGCAAATGGAGCTCCAAGGCATGAGATAGCAACAAGCCCTAGGTATGTTGTATAGGTGACCTTGCCGACATGTGCAGTATTGATATTGAGAGCGAGGGATATGGAACCGCCAACTAACGGTCCCAACTGCCGGATACCCATCCAGATTCCAACGTATCTACCATAATGGTCAGTTGAATTATTTGAGGAGTGCTAGATGATTTCCACTTACCGTCCTCTTTTCTCCTCCTCCGGATATCCAACCGCAATGGCAGCCTCACTGGCCCATAGCAGAGATGCCCCGACTCCACAGAGACCAGCCGCGAGCAAAAGAAACCACTCGTTGCCAAAACGGTTGTTACAGTATAGACCGGCCGCATAGGGAGTGTAAAACGCAGCTCCGACGAACAAGGTCCATTTCGCAGTGATTTTGTTGGTGACCCCGCCGGCTAGAAAACAGCCCACTGACATCAGTCCATACGTCAGTGCATTCGCGGCATTGTTCAGGAAAGGCTACAAGACGTGTTAGCGATCACTTGTGTAGAGAATAAACACTCGGAAGTGACTTGCGCTAGCATTGCCTCCCGCTCCTAGATTATTAAGAGCAGTCCAGATGCCGGGTTCGCAGAAGGCGACCAGTCCCACTATAATGATCTGCAGCAGACATGATCGGTAAGCTTTTTTCACACGATCAAAAACCATAGTGGAAGTAGGAGATTCCTGCCGAAATTATAGGATCAGGGAGAGGCCTTACTAGTGCTGCGTGAAAATGAGTCTCAGGGTCGTCGCCTTATATTCTCGAAATAGAGAATGAGATAGCACGCCAGGGCCCATAATAGTCGCGATATTTGAATTATGCCCCGATGTGTTCCAAGCTTGTCTTCGGACCCCCACATGGGCTTGGTGCATACAAAAGATTCAACTAGATAATATCTACCCGAAAACAGCATGTAAACACAAGATGAGCCAGCTCGGTGTGAGCTATCTCCCACGATAAACACCCTGTCTATCACTTACTGTAAGCGTGGGGGCTTGTCCTATGAAAATTCGACTTTAAAATCACATAATGCTCCACAAATATGGTGAATCGCTCAAAGAACCTTGGCATGTACGTGCGGCCAACATGTGTACTCGATGACGGGTCTCTGGTCTCTGAGCTTCACGCTAACGAGAGCCACTTTTCCCGATATGTTTAAATCTACGAGCACATAATGTTTCCCAAATATGGCAAATTCCCAACTTCAAATTGGCTTTTGTATTTGGCCTCCTTCGGCCAGAACACCGATTTATAAATAAAGAAAGAAAATAAATTTGATGCCTGTTATAGCTCGAAATTGTAGGAAATCAAGTTTCATTCAATAAAACAATTAAAGCAGAAAGTAAGCTAAGAGTGTGCTCGCATATTGCCCTTAAACGAACGCAGTAAGAGAGAGGGAACTAATCAAGAACAGACAACATTAGGTCTTTTTCCACTGCTGAACATAATTTAGTTTATGTTCTTAAAAAATTGATCTTCAATATAGACAATCCTAGAAACACGCTAGTGTCCTTCTAATTGCATTCCTTGTCACAGATAAATCGAGGTTGTTTCGGTTTTACACATGAGCCTGGGTTGCGAGTTCCCCGACACCTGTATTCCAGCCTGAGACGATGGCTCGTTGATTGATTTAGGTTTGTTCATTTTACTGTGCTATTTCACAATCCCCATCCACGTGTATACCACCCATTTGTCTCTTCTCTCGGCATTGCTGGGGGCTGGTTTTTTAAGTCTGACAAATAGGCTTGGCAGTGACATTCCAGTATCATTGCCCAATCAGTGGCAAGTATGAACCGCCGTCCCCACATCAATGCCGTTACAGACATGACTCTGCAAGTAGGCTTCCGTTAACACAAGCGGTATATATATATAGACTTGAACTCTCTAGATTGTAATTCTGAAAAAAACTACTTTGTGCAGTTTACTTGGCCAACATACCAGCTGACTTCTCCTCTTCCGCTGTGCTGATACAGAATTCCCAACGAAATGAATTCGGGAGATACTTATCGTTCTGTGCAAGGCCGCTACGCAGAAGTTGCGAGTTACACCAACGACGCTCGGAAACACGGAGGCTATGAACGCAAAGTCGCAAGCGCGTTCGGGTATGATGTAGAAGATTTGTGTTCTATTCCAGAAAACGCGAATTTAGGTGTCAGCTGCGGGAATCCATTAGCAACAGCAAACATAGGAGTGGTTGGTACTTTCACCCGTCGTTCCTTAGTGACGACTTTTAACCTTCATCTATAGGGCGAGGTTGTGATAGATTTGGGCAGTGGCGGAGGTATCGACGTTTTGCTAGCGGCAAAGAAGGTTGGGGTGGAAGGGAAGGCCATTGGTATTGATATGACCAAGGTATGCCGATCACTCTCTGCCAACTTTACTTGAATTCTTGCTAAATTTTAGTGGGACATGTTGGAATTAGCACGTCGGAACGCAAGGGATGCCGGTGTCCCCAATGCATCGTTTATCGAAGCGTTCATTACTTCTATACCGTTACCATCGTCCACGGCTGATTGCATTATCAGTAACTGTGTGATAAATCTAGTGCCGGAAGTCGAGAAGCCTCGTGTCTTCCAGGAAATTTTCCGTCTACTGAAGCCGGGGGGTAGGGTTGCAATCAGCGACATCCTAGCAAAACAAGAGCTTCCGATGGAGATCAAGAAGGACCTCTCCTTATATGTCGGCTGTATAGCTGGTGCTAGCCAGGTTAGCGATTATGAAAGATATCTGCAAGAGGCAGGGTTCCAAGGTATTGATACTTTATCTCCTTGTGGCTTCCTAATTTAATACTAACATCTAGCTTATAGATGCAACAATTCTGGACACTCATGCCGATCTCAACCTTTACAAGGAAATATGGACGAGGAAAGAAGCCAATGAGCCGGGCCCAACCGGCTCATGCTGTGATTCGATGAACAACACTACAAGTGGTGAGATAAACCAATTACCGGACGTGGACTTTAACTTCTGGACTGGTACGTTCATCTACAAAGACATCTAGTATCGAAGCACAGCTAATCAAACCCTGCATTGGTTTCTTCTTCAAGGTTCTTTCAAAATCTTTGCCGTTAAGCCCGACAATCATCATTGAAAATACCGTGAATTGATTCCAGAGCGCAAAAGTCTTCTGGTTTGACGAGGACAGAAATATATTCTATGTAGCTGGTGCAGCGTCGGCTATTAGGTAGCTTTGGGTTGAGCGAAAATGAGAGTAGTCTTTGTGCTTTACGGGTTAGTTATCTCTTTGTCTTGCCTCGAATACAATCTGAACTTTGCTTGTGCTATCATCGCGGACGAGAGAGAATGGTACGGCCTTACTACTTAAGCCAATCATGTTATGAGGAATTGGTAAAACTTCCATTTGTTTAATGTGATACACTAAAATGGTTCCTGGTCTCAAATTACGTGCATCAAGATGATATCTGGGCAAGAACAGCAAACAGAACCCCAATATCAACCCTACAGCCTTCTGACGGTGTACGGCCAAGTCTGAATCCGCAACGAAGCTTCATGTCGATCTCCAAGTCATCATATTGCCTCTTGTTGAATTGCAGGATCAGTCTGTAAGCTACAGAACACAGCATGGATCTATCTTCTCTTGCCGTTTCATCTTTCAATATAGGCCAGAGTGCCAAAGAAGATGTTGTTATAGAAGTAGGGTAGATCATTGTCTCGAACCCTTCAGTATCTAGAGGTGCGTAAAGCGGGGACACGGTCGAAAAATAAGTTGGCGCGTTGACTGTCGCGTCGTGGATGGGTGCAGTAGAGCCAACAATGACTTGGCCACGTGCAATGCCTTGGTTCACCTCAGTACCGGTTGTCTGGCCAAGCAGAGAATGATCGGCAGAATTGGGGAACGGGTGTGGTGCTTCACTGCCAACAGACTACAGGCAAGCTCAGTATTATATTTAGGCGAAGAGTTTAGACATAGAGCGGGGGCCCGATTCGAAATATCTGCTTACCTCCCCTTGAAAATTTCCAGACTCAACATTGATGAGCCAAGGATCTTGCATTCGGGCCAGAACAACTTCCCAATTTGCATAAGGACGTGTCAACCTGTCTGTGCGACTTTTGTCTCGCCAATTGTCGCTAATTTTTGATGATTCAGGTAATCTTTTTGGCACTTCGTTCTCGTGTATAAGCCCTTGTGCTTTATTTTGGAACCCTGTGCTGCTTTGGGCCCTCTCTTTTTCGTATTTTTCCACTTTCTGCTCGAGTTCTGCAATGTACTCTCTCCTACGCTCTCGGCAATTTCGTTGGTTATTGCGGATACGAGCCAGGTCTTCGGTCTATAGAAGATAATTCCGGTGAGATAAACAAGATGTGGAAGATAGCACTGGCAACGACGGACCTTTGTCTTCTTAGATCGAGTCATCGGGGCCTGCTTCCCTGGCGGAATTTATCAAGCTAATAGCTAATATCGTCAGAGTCACAGCTTTTTTCATCCCATTGCACTCACAAGCGTTGCGAGTAAATGTAAGATCTTTGAGTGGCCAAAAGATACGTGATATTCAGGGGCTAGACTAACGAGCGGAAAGAGGAAGCGATATATGTATGAGGCATGAGGGGTAACGGCGCAGAGAAGCAAACTAAGTCAGGGTCACCTGACGTCAATTCTGGAGGTTCTCTTCTATGGTTTCCCAGTGGCAACTGAAAACACCACTGGCTGGCCTTGTGATGGGGTAGAACTTGTTGGTTGTCTTGGGGATTCTAAAATTCCAGCGATTGATGTTTCGGACATGATGGAGTATCAGCAGGGACGGGGATGAATCATTCTTTCTAGAAACTTTTCTTCCTTTTTTGTAGCCTCTTAAATCGCCTCTACGCTAGAATTTTCGAGTAAGTCTAATTTTTGATCGAGGTACTTAACGTAGTCTAAAGGGGGAAGCCGAAGCGCAGGTTAAATGGACTAAACCTTCGGAATTCAGCGTCAATATTAGTTAGTCAACTTTATTATTAATCAAAGAGCTTAAGTAACTAACGTAACTAACAATATATTCCGGGGATAAATGTACAGTCGGATCATAGAGGTAAATCCGAGCCGACTTATTCTCTACCTTAACCTGACGGCTTATGGTATGTTAAATTTCTCTTTGATCCTATACCGCCTTTTCTAGCATCACATGATGTTATAAAAGGTAAGCGATGATAGGAACGGGGTGGCGAAGTGGATCTTAGATTACCTCTTTGGTCCGGTTGTATAGCGTCAAATCTTTTTCCGGGCCTTCGGAAGACCCACTTGCCCAGTCGCTATATCCTGCCCAATCATGACGGGTTGGTGACATACACCGAGGTTCGTCCATGCACGCTATCGGTATTAAGAAATAGTTTTCTTTCCTGGATTCTGATTTGTTCTTGTTTACTATTTCTATCGAACACTCTATGCTTTATCATTCCCTACAAAGATTGCCTTCGACATTTAGGTCGGTAATCTCTTGGGGACCCTTTCTGTCACGGCCCATCTATTCAAAAAGGATGTGCTCCTCTGTCCCTCAGCAAGTGATTGCAGATATCCGTGGAAAAGATGCCTTTCATCGATCTTTGGCGTTGTCTCTCAATGAAGATGACTCCGATATCCGCCAAACATACCGACCGTTCATTCTTAGCGACAATGCTGCTGAGGATTGGGTCAACAACCTAGAGCTCACCACGGCTCTAGACATGGCTGAGCATAACTTGCGGGATACAAATGAGAGGCTGAAAGTTCTGGTACTTTATGGCAGCCTTCGGAGAAGGTCATATTCGCGGCTTGTGGCACTTGAAGCCTCCCGCATTCTGTTCCGACTCGGCTGTGACGTACGCGTCTTTAACCCTGAAGGTCTTCCTGTCAAGAACGACAACGATACAGACCATCCGAAAGTACGGGAACTCCGAGAGCTTAGCTGTTGGAGTGATGGTCATATTTGGGTCTCGCCTGAACAACACGGCAATCTGGTGAGTTGCCGGTCTATCACAATAGATTTTTACACTTCGCGTAATAGCTAATCACTCGGCCTTCCGCAATCTTAGACTGCTGTTTTCAAAAACCAGATTGACTGGATTCCTTTGACTACAGGAAGTGTTCGTCCCACTCAAGGCCGAACGCTAGCCATTGCCCAGGTTTGCGGTGGATCTCAATCTTTCAATGCCGTAAACTCTCTGCGCATCCTTGGGCGATGGATGCGCATGTTCACTATCCCGAATCAATCCTCGATTCCCAGAGCATATACACAATTCCCGGATGAAGGTCAACCAGAAGACCAACGCCTTATGCCTAGTGGCAACCGAGACCGCCTGGTGGATTGCATGGAGGAATTTGTCAAATATACAATTCTGATGCGGCCTCATATCGGGCTTTTTGGTGATCGCTATAGCGAACGGGAAGATCAGAGGTCAAAAGAGGCCAAGATGAAGACCTCTACATGAAGCCAGATATATATACGCACATTGTTTCGTAAAACGGCGAGTGGGTAAAACGGCGAGTGGGTAAAACGGCGAGTGAGGAATAATACTGTCTACATAAAGGTTTCCTATCCTTCGGGAGTCGACTGATTACAGTAGATAGTATAAGCTTCCGGACGAATGGAAAGAGTAGAGTACAGGCTAGTAATGGTCGGAGAATCGAAAATGAAGCACGTATTTGTCCGTGGAGGCTGACAGCTGTTGAAGGGTCGTTTTGGCCTTCTGTCAGAAGCATCCCGGCTAGGCATCCTATTCGAGCACTAGTGACAAATTGGATATCTAACGAAACCTCAAGAGAATCATCCTTGTCAGATCCAGTGCTGATTGATACAATCTGTTTTACATCTTCAAAAAACATGGGGGAAAGAATGAATAATTATGTACCAAGAAAACTATTGTGCATCGAAGGTAAATTGTAGTCTCCGAAAGAAGTAAAAAAGAAAAATGTACAACGAAAGAATCTCAATAGAATACATGCAACATCTGCAACGCATAAACGATAGTTACAAGAATTCCGCCAGCGGTCTTTGGGTATAAAACCATCAATCCACCGCCAACCATAGTCTAGAGGTAAAACTCCTAACCAGAAAACAAAACAAGAAATGAAACATACACAGATTACGCATCGACCATCAGCTGCTCACCTTCATCCAGTAGTGTGGTAACGCGCGATAGATCGGAGATCATCTTGCGGCCATGACCAACCAGAAGCAACTTCTCTGCATTGGCTGGAAGACCCAGATAAGTAGGGGGTTCACGCTCAGGCAGGTTGTTGACCCAGTTGACAAAGTCACGAATATTGGTTGTGCTAGGCAGGGTGAGGAGATCGTCCTTCTCAACGCCAGATACGAGCTTGTATTCGTCCTCAAATGCTGCGGGCGTGAGGAATTGACTAACAAGGTTCTCGAGTTGCTTGAAATCGCCGGCGTCATCGATCTTGCCGCCGTACATCTCTGTGACCAGCGTGCGGATCATCTCCCAAGGAAGCTTCTGAGGAGCAACGTTGGAGCGGCCTTGAGCAACGGTGTCGACCCAGAAGTCGATGATGAAGGCAGAGCACTCATAGTCGCTGTCATTGAATTCCCAGAAACTCTTCCAACCAAGGCTGGGCGCGTAACGGAGTCGTTCCTGGACCACGGCGTGAAGGAAGCAAAGAAGGAGATAAACACGGGCCTTTTCGACAGGGGCCTTGCTGGCGCGGGTGTTCAATGAAGATAGGGAGTCCTTCATGTTGGCGCGAACACCGGCAGGTTGCTCGAACATCAGAACGCGAGATGCTCGGATCAGGTTGACTGGAATCTTGGGGCTGGACTCCATAGAGAGGAAGAGGCGGAATTCCCTATGAGGCTTGAGTGAATCCAATCTCTTTTCCAGACTCTGAAGCCACGAAGGCGCCAGATGAACGTTCTTGACCAGCACCCAATTACCAGCGGCGGCAGCGTTGCTGATAGCCTTGTCGGCACTCTCGAGACCTTCGTTCGAACCCATGGCAATGTTGGCACAGGTTGCGTGAGTACGTTCAACCAGCGCGTCAACCTTATAACTGGCATCGAAGCCTGGGCTGGAGCTGAGGGCAATCGGGGTGGTTGCAGTGACCTGTTCAACGACATCCTTAAGATCACTGCTGCCATCAAAGAGCTCACGTCCGAACACAGCCTCGATAAAGCGCTCGGCGACAGGGACAAATCGGTCCATGCGGCAGAGCTTGACAAGGAGCAAGGAGCGGAGCAATTGGTCGAGGTGAGTGGTGCTTTCGCCCCAGACGACTGGAACGACATTCTCTGCAAGTTCCTCGTCGAAGAATCGATCCCATTGATCCTGGGGAATGCCGGGGACGTAATCTTTGAAAAGTGACATGTTGAGCAACTTGTTCATCACTTGATCACGAGAATCAGTAGTCGTGGAAAGATCACTGTCCTGGACAGACTCGTCCAGAATGCGGTCCAGGATAGCTCTGTCCATAGGGAACGGAGTGGCCTGAGCAAGAAGAATAGCGAGAGTAACGCGATCCTTCTGAACAAGACCCAGCGAGGTCCGTTGGAAAGTGGTAATGAACAGGTCTCGAATAATGATCTGCACGCGCGCAGAGTGATCCTTTTCCTGAGCAAGGCGCTTGTTCTGGTACAAGACTGAGTTGAAAATGTCAACAAAGTACTGCAGCGAGAACTGGTAGAAGTGGTTGATGTGGTGAAGTTGCTCCAGAACAGCAAATACAGCACTGCAGGCACGGGCGATAGTGCTGTACTGGTGAGTGATATTCTCCACCTCAGTCATGACACCCTCAGTCTCCGACATCTTCTTGGAGATCTCGGCAGCCTCCTTCTTGAGAGTCTCCAGTGTTTCGATGACATTATCATCGTCGAGAATGTTACCACGAGACTCGTTAAGAGCCTGCAGCAAACGCTTCTCCAATTGTCGAAGGTGGACTTTGAACTCTCCTTGCATCTTGACGAGGTTGTTTCGGCGTTCGTCAACATCGGGTCGTTCGAACTTCAGCACATCGTTTAGCGACTGCGTCTGCAAACTGCTCTGAGTGACTGTAAAGTTGACAAAAGTGGTCCGACTGCACACGTCCGGTGGGAAGGAAGCAGAAGGGTCTCTAGTAGACAGGAATAGCTTGAAGGATGGTGAGAAATCGATCTCTTGCTTGCCAAGTTGAATCAAAACACGGCCACCGGTCTTCTGGTATTCCTTGTTGAGAACATGGTTGAGAATTGGGTCCAAGTGTTCGGCATCTTGGATAAGGATGGGGTTTCCGAAACGCAAGGCACTCTCAAGCTGCTTGACAAAGGAATCGTCCAGGAAGCTGGTGACGGTAAGCTTACGGTCCTTGCTTTCCTTTTGCAAGAACTCAGTGACACGGCCAGATGGGTCAACGATTAGAGGGTATCTGTTGAAACGCTTCAGGATAATGGCGTTCTCCGTGCAAAGATCGTCGACAGGCAGAGAGTGTTCTTGCCAGGTGAGACGCTCGTCGGCATTAGAGAGGTACTCCGTGATTGGGTTGTGGGGCTTGAAGTTGATCCCGGACTGAGCCAGCTGGTGAACCCAATCCTCGATCATGGCCTTACGGAATTGCTGATCGTAGAGACCAGCATAAGCAAGGAAAGCAGCGGCGATAATCACGTCACCAACAAGAGTGCTGATCTGTGTCTCGAACGACTTGCTGCCATCCTCCCAACGTTCACGCTCGGATGCCAGACTGTCGAGCAAACGTACACTGCGGTCGACCTTGAACTGGACACGGGACATTTCTGTCTTAATGGCTTGTGTTTCACTGATAAGAGCAGCATATTCAGCCTTGTAGGTAGCAATACTGCTCTCCAAGCCATGGATGGTATTCTCAATAGCCTGTGCCTCGGCCTTGGTTTGTAGAGCCTGTTCTTCGAGCTGGTCAACCTCCTCGCGCAGGGGTCCAACACGATCCAGGATCGCGGAATAGTTCACTTGGGCCTCAACCCATTGAACCAAGGGACCACATGCTTTACTGGCACGGCTCACCCGCTCGTAGGTAAAGTCTTCCTTGGACAAGAACTCGTTCTGCATCTTGGTTCGATGGTTGCGAGTCATCTGACGCTCGTTGTCGTAGTTCACAATGCTAGCAATGAAGTCATCGCGGCGAACAAGACCTTGAATGGTCTTCCAGCTATCGACCTTGTGGCCGAGAAGAGTGCAGACGGCTTCCAGGGCAAGCCGGACACTAGCCGGCGGGTTACCCATGGATCGGACCTCCGTAAGATGCTGACGCTTGATGTTGCTGACACTCTTCTGTGCCTCAGCAACAGCGGGCTCGGCCCTTGCCAAGTCATTCAAGACAACCTCCCTCCGCTCTGCCACCACCTTTTCTTGCTTCTCCAAAGCAGCCTGCACCTCTAACGAAACCTGCTTCCTCTGCTCTGCCTCCTGCTGATCAGCAACCATGCGCTGCAATTTCTCGTTGGCCTCAGTATCCTTCTTCTCTAGCTGGGTCTTCTTTTGGGCGAGACTGCCACGCAGATCGCTGACTTTCTCGACAGTGTCGCGAAGCTTCTCGAGACCAACGTTCAAATGACGCTGTTGCTCCTCAAGATCCTCACGCTTCTCGTTGAACAGCTTCACATACTGAGCAACAAAGTCGAGATAATGGCGAGGCGTGAGGAAAGTGCTCCGGCCCTGCTGTTTCTGCAGACGCTGGTTGAAACGGTGCAGCGAGTGGTGGATGTAAACCATCGAATTGACGACAGTGTCTCTGTGAGAAGCAGGAAGTGACAATTCGCGGTAAGCCACCGGAAGGCTATCAGGAGAAACAAAGTTGGGCTTGTCGAGATCGACCGACTGAGTGAGCTCAGAGCCGACCTGGAACAGGGCTTGGTCAGACCAATCTCCCATCCAGTTAAGCACACAACGGTTGAACAAGGCGGGACTAGTCGCAGCCTTGGAAGACAGTCCATCCTCGGGCGGATTCATGGTAAATACAACGTGCAGGTTCTTGACAATTTGCTGCGTGAACCACTTGTAGAGTTCCTCTTGGGAGTCAAGAAGGAGACCCTGGCGCTGAGCGCCCTCCTTACAAGCAGTCATCAATGAGGAGAACTCATCACCTTCAAAGAGACCGGGGACCTCAGCGTTGGCGAGAAGAGTGTTCATGCGCTCCAAGAAACCAGAGTCGAGGACGTTAGCCTCATCCATGATGAAACAAATCTTCTCGCCCTTGCAGCCTGCGCGACGGAGAACACTTCGAAGATCATCATCGAAATCCTCCGACGAGTACTTGCCGTGGACCTTGATTTGGAAGACCTTCAAACCGTTCATCCAAGCAACGAAGCGAGAAAGAGTAGTCTTTCCACTGCCGCTGACACCGATAAGGATAAGGTGACCCTGAGGCTGGCGGAAGACTCGATCAATGCGCAGAGCATGCTCCAGAACATCATTGAACAAGACCAGAGGCACATCAACTTCTTCCTCACAAAATGTTCTAAGACGCGCCTTGACAAAGTCACGAAGCCGTTCTTGCTCCACGGGCACGTAGTTCTTGGACAGCCAGTTTGAGAACAGAATGGGACCCTTCAATGCCTCTTGATCATCGATCGTCGGGAAATGCTCCAGAGCAATACGGCGAACAGCATCAGCTGTCCAGGCGCGCTCGTCTTCATCAACCAATCTGTCCTGGAAAAGGCGGAGAGCCTCGTGGGCCCAGACTCGTACAAGGCCATCGATTGACAAGCTTTCAAGTGGCTTGATGGCCTCATAGACACCGCGAACCCAGCGAGTAAGCTCACGAGGAGAGTACACATAGTGAGGCTGGATCTGCGGTGTGAATCTGGTCTGAGATTCGAGATAGAATTGGACCATGGCCTTGGTAAGAGCCTCAGAATATCCGCGTAGCAAGGGCAAGATCTTGAGGACAGCAGAATTGAATGTACCGTAGATCTGGTTGAGGGAGATTTCACCGGGGTAGTCAACCATGATGAGAGGAGCGTGACGCAGGAAACGCTCTCCCATGGGGGTACGGCCAGCGTCTGTGGGCGGATTACAAGCACCAACGAACTGGATACGATCAAGGCTGACCCATGTCTTGTCAGATGTGCGCCAGAATCCATTCTGCTCCACAAGTTGACGCAGGAAGGAGATGGCACGCTGGGTTCCATAACGATCAGGGGCGGGCAAGTTGATTTCGTCGCAGAATATGACGAGCCAGCGACCAATTTGGTTGGGAGACATCACCACACCGTTGAGAGTCTTCTTGTACTCACAGTACTGCTCGAAGGTCTTGATCAAGAGATCAGGGGTAGTTGCGCTGGAGAAGTTGAGGCCGACAACCTCCATGTTCGGCAACTTTCTCAGAGCGGCAAACAAGGTCATGGTCTTACCCGAACCAGGGGGTCCGCAAAGCAGCAAAGGCTTGTGCTCGGCGAGCCATGAGTACAAGACATCTTCGTGACGGATAGTATCCACAGTCGGGATAATGACATCTGTTTGGGTGATCGAGTGGGTGTTGATGTCGATCGACGGCACCTGTGACTGCCAGCTAGTCCACTCAGACTTAGGAAGAGTCACGTCAAAGTCGATGAGAGACGAATCACCATCCGGTGGCAGGTCCATGGTGGACATTCCGGAGACGTACTGCCCGAAGGCCTTACGGTCCGAAAGAGGACAATCACCAGTGAAGGACCAGACCATCGTAAGTAAGAGCTTCTTGGAGATGTACGACTCCATTTGCTCGGGGTCAAGAGGGAAGTCGACATGCTGGATGTTGTACTCCAGGACATTGCGGCAGGCTTTGTTCAACAAACTAAACATGGTATTGAGGGCGCGAATGTTGGTGAATTCCATGATGTGGTTGTACTTCTTGGCTTCGTCGAGAGCTTTAAGAACCAGATCATCACTTTCCAAGTGCTGCTTGAGAATGGTGGAGAGCTGGTCCTGTGCAATTTGGGTTTTGACCGCAGCGGATCCGGCGGGAGCGCTATCATCATCCAAGTCCTCGAATGTCTTAGTTTTGAGGCTTTCAACGTAGTTGTTGATCATCATGGTGGGGGTAACAGTATCGGCATTGAACCACACCATGCCACAGCGAGAGACGGTGGCGAGGGTCGCGTACTTTAAGGTCTCGACTTCAAACATGATGCGGACATTTGAGGGCAAGTTAAGACGTTCACCGTTAGGCAGAGTAAGAAGCTTGTTGTCATCGAGAACGCTGTTCAAGTTCTCAACCCACTCGGGATCAACATCACCGTCGAATACAATCCAGTGACGCTTGCTATCTTCTCCACGAAGGTTGTCGACGATTTTTCTCAGGATACCAGTGAAGAGACCGTCGGTCCACTCACGAGTAGTGCTGTCCAGATTACCATAGAGGGCTTCCTTAGACATGACCTTAGAGTCGATGATGTGGGAGACGCCCTCAACACCCTCGATCCGTTGCATGGCCTGCAGAAGAATCTTCCAAGCAGCTGACTTACCGGCTCCAGATTTTCCAACCATCATGACACCGTGGTGAATACTCTGGATCTGGTAGAGCTGGAGAGCCTTAGAAATCCACATGTCGCTGTCCACCAAGTGTTGTTCCTTGGCAATATCCCGAATGGCCTGGGTGAGCTTCTCGTAGTTGGCAGGCACGTAGTCGACGCCGGGGAAGTCTTCCACTTGAATGTGCAGCATCCGCTCAACATCTTCTCGCACAAGCTTGGGTGCAATGGTCTCTCGCAAACTCTGAACAATGATCTGAGGTTCCACCACTTCATCAGGGCCAATCTCGCCGTCGGCATTGGCAATTCGAGCACGCTTGAGACCTCCGGAGCTGACAAGGACACTCTTCAAGGCACGAAGACCAAAGTCGTAGTGGGCTTGCTTAGACAATTGAGAGGCGCAGTGGTCGAAGAATGGCACGGTTTGCTTGGACAAAGACTTGGCTTGCTTGAAACCCTGGGAAAACAGCATGACTTCCGCAATAAGTTCCTTGTCAGGCTTGGACATGGCAACGCTGCGGAACAGCTTCTTCAAGTTGTCGGGCAAATTTGAACGACCCGCATATCCAGGATTCATGGTGATGAAGATACCAGTGTTGACGTTGACAGTCAGTTTGCGGCCAACTAACTCGATTTGAGTCTTGTCATCCTCTTCACCCTTGCGCAGACCAATTTGAATATTCTGAATCTGCTGAGAAACGGCAGACAGGATTCTCTCCTCCAGGCGGTTAAACTCGTCGAAGCAACCCCAAGCGCCGACTTGGCAGATACCAAGGAAAATACGGCCCATGGCCTGGAAATCGAATGTGTCGTCACAACAGAAGACAAGAGTAAATCGACCAAGCTGAAGACCCAGAGCTTTGACGGACTCAGTTTTACCTGTACCAGCAGGACCGTAGGGGGAACCACCAAGCCTCTGGCACAGAGCCTGAGTAAGGGTAAGGAAACAACGGTCTGTAAGAGGAGTGCGGACTAGACGTTCGGGAACACCGAGGTACTCGAATCCATAGTTGAGCCTGGCGTTTGCCATGTGAACATACAGACGCTGGAGGAAGTCACCCTCCGGCTGGTAGACGTAGCGCATCTGAAGCAACCACAGATGGTGTGTGGGGGTAGTCGCGTTGGACTGAATAAGCTTGGAAATGGTGTCACGCTGGTGAACGAATTCTGTAATCATTTGCTCACACTTCTTACGTGTGATGGCATCAAGTTCTCCAAGCACAGTGGCAGCGAGCAGCTCCAGGATTCTGACCTCTGCGTCGTACAAAGCCTGGAGGTTTGCGCCGCCGTCTTCCAGGGACTTCTGTACAGCGTTGGTCCAAACGACCTGGCTGGCAAGGACAACGATCTGGGCAGGGTAGTTGGCAAGGAAGTCGTTGAAAGCAGTACGATCGACGTCAGGGCCGCTGTACAAAGTGTCGAACTGCTCGACAGCCTCCCCGAGAAGCTCAGCCAAAGTCAGCTTCATGTTGGTCTCCAACGCAGTGAGCCAGTCATTGATGCGAGGAGTCTTAAGAAGGTTGACTTCCTTCTTCAGGCGGACTTCTTCGCCCTCCTTGGAGGTCAATCCGACAATATTATTTTCGTCGTCCATCAGGAGGCCATTCAGACCAGCGAACATCTTCTTAAAATGCTTGGCAACACGGAAAATGTCATTGCTGTTACCAATGATCTCGAGCAGATCCTCATCTCCAACAAAGTAGAAGCGAGGGAACGACACACGCTCACGCTCAAGGTATTCACCAAGCGCCTTCTGGATCTTGTTGAGCAGCTCGGCCAAACGCTCCAGAGACTTCTGGACACCGTTGATGGCAAGGATATCGAGAACGAAGGGAGACTTGTATACCTTCTTCATAACAGCAAAGAACTCCGAGTTGATATTTTGGAATCGGCTCGACTCCAGCGGAAGCAGATGCTTGATGTCAGCGTTGCCAGTGAAGACCCCCTCCAAGTAGACCCATTGTCTCTGGACATCAATCCAGACATCGAAGAGAACATGGACGCGGTTCAACTTGTCTTCCCACGAGGTAGCCTCCTCCTCGAATTCCTTGTAGTAAGGCGAGTGTCTCATAGCCTGAAGTGAGTTCAGGTTCTCGCTACATTTCGCAAACAGGTCGTCGAAGCCACGAATAAGACGGCACTTGTTCTGGTAGTTCACCAGGTCCAGGGAGTAGTTCTGCCAAGTCTCACGAACAGACTTCAGGAACTCCTCTAGGGCCATTTCACCTTGGGCCTGTGCGATAATGTCACGGATAACGGTCTCGCTGGTTGCCAGCTGCAGATCCCAAACATCACCCAGAGTCAGCGACACAAGTGAGAACCGCTTTCCGGGCTTCAGAGACTTGTAGATCTTCTGCCAGTGGCGTTCCTTCACAGCCTCGGACTTCATATCCGACAGGAGAATATTTACCTTAAGCAGTTGGCGAAGAACATTCTGGATATGCTCGAACGCAGCGTACTGCCTCATTCGGCTGGGCATTTCCTTGGTCATCTTGATCAGACCATCAAGAGCCTGGCGCAGCTTGCGGGGTTGGACGCTAGTCCATAAGCCGTCGCGTAGATCGTTCAAACTCTTCCAAATAGTAGACAGAGCAGCCCAGACCGACATGAAGTCTTGAACCTCCTCAAGAATGGCCGGAAGAGATGACTCAGAGCTGGCAGGGAGGTCAAGCGCTTCCTTGGCCTTGGAGACCATCTCAAACTCAGACTGAAGGGACTCAAGGCGCGACTGGAAGGAACTCAAGGTGCGAGAAGCCTCGTCGGGGGGAATAGTGCCAGAAACTGGCTTCTCGTCGTTCCATTGAGCAATTACCTCGGCAATCTTGTCATTGATGACACGGTCTTCGGCGCTGATCTTTGCGCGGAGACCCTCGGTCTGATCCTGAACGATCTTGCTCTTTCGGGTAAGCAGCTCGTTCAAAGCGGCCCATTCTCCATCAACGTTTTCAACATGAAGCCAGTCACTAGGGAATTGGTAGCGCTGACGGGCGAGAGTAGTCTGACCTTGGCGGAAAAGGTCGACCTCTGGCTCCCAAACACGAGTTTTGCGCTTGCACTGCTGGACGATGGTGATGAAGGACACAGCATGTGCGGTAGAGGAAGCCTCCAAGGTCTGACCTTCCAAATCACGACGAGCAGAGGCAATCTCGGAGTGGACCTCTCTCATACGGCCACCAAGCTTGGCGCCGAACTTCTGGAGAATTTCGTGCTGCCACTGGTCGTACTTGGCGTTGACCTTCGTTTGGACTTGCTCGTAGTCAATCCGAATGTTACCGAAAGATCGGCCGACTTCCGAGGTGTCGAAGGTGGCACGGCTCTTCCGAATCTCCTGGAGAAGCTGGAGCCACTGGGAAAGATCGTCTCCCAGGATATCATAGACCTGCTCAGATTGCAAATCCCAGAGCGACTGGAATTGAAGCCATTTGTTGACGTATTCAGAAACATCACCCAGTCTGGACTCGATCACACCGTAGACTTGATTGAGCTCATCGGTGCAGCCTTGCGGAAGCTCTGAGAAACAGACTTCAGATTGACGGACAGTCTGCACGTTAATAGAGATTTGATAACGAGAGGCCTTGATCTTTTCGAGGTTGCAGATGACCCCCAACCAGGTGTCGAAGTGCGAGAACCAACTAGCTCGAGCGAACTGCAGCGGCGGGTCAAGGTGGAGGACCTGGTTCTTCATGGAGATTTCATGGAAGAGTTCAGGGAACGAGATGTTGTAGGCCGGGGTCTCGACTTCCCCGGTGCTAGTTTGAGCGTGGAAAGACGTTGTTTGCTCATTGCGAGATTCTTGGAAGGTGCCGATCCACTCACGAACCGCGCGATGAAGGCGCTCCCGAAGGATTGCCTCAATCTTTCCATTAAGCTCCGAAACCCAATGTTCCAAGTTGACGTAGTTCTCAAGGTTAAGCTTATCGACAGAAGACTGAATGGTGTCTAAGCGCTGCTTGAATGCAGCGGAGTCGTATGCGCAGGTCTTGAGCTCATGGGTGGATTTTTGGATGCTCTCGTTGATAGTGGACAGTGTGGTGGTCTTGTCCTGAAGAACCGATGCCGATCCCGCGAATTCGCGAACAAATTGGACATGTTTGCTCTCGGTACGGTTAGGCATAGCACTATCAATGGCACCATTCGGGAGTGACTGTTTGACATGCAGCTCATAGGAATGAACGAATGATTCCCAGCGTAAGGGAATACCCTTGCCTACCATGGCTTGCGAATCGTTGATATAGCCATTGAGAAGAATAGCGACGTCAGACATAGAGGCAATTATACGGACGGTCTGTAGCAGGGTCCGCACGCTCTCCATCAAGCTGATGGCGTAGGGGTAAACACGCTTCGCCTCCTTGGAGATGTTGCTGACAGCATGGGGAACCTGGAAGTTCAGCCAAATAAGGTTGCGAACCTCTTTGAACAGAGCAATGATTTGGGCATCAAAGTTGACAGTAAGCTCCAGGGTGTTTCCAGCAGCGCGGTTACGCACAATATTGAAGAGACGTCCGGAAATGGTGATGTGTCTTCTTTGGACATCATAGAGCCACGACTCGAAGACAGGCCGCGTGTCGAGCTTCTTGCGGAACATGTTGCTTTCAGATTGGAGCTTCTGGCCTTCAGTATGAAGGTGCCAATCCTCTCCCAAAACATTTTCCACCTTGCGCATGTAGCTATCAAGTTGGCGCTCGATTTGACGAGCCCAAATAATAGCACCGGAGACGGGTGGGAGATCACGAAGCTGCGCCATCGCATGAGCCTCAGAGTGACCATACTGCTGCTTGAAGCGCTCGTGTAGACCAGAGATATCGCGCTTTACATTGTCGATGAGCTGAGTCTGGTACTCTCCAATAGCACCACGGATCTTAGGTCGGACCAGAAGAGCATTGAACTTGGAGAAAACACGGAACATCTCATTGGCGTTCTTCGCAGTCGCAAGGCGATCACGGAGACGAGCAATGATGGAATTCTCGACGCGAGATGTACGCTCACTGTAGCCGATCTCGGCTTGTTCCCAGGTACGGGATCCTTCGGGGGAAACGTCCAAGACGTCCACATTCTTCAGGGCAGCGTAGGCGTGAGTCACTTCCTCGACAGCATCAACATCACCAATCTCCTCAACAATAACAGTCTCGCCAGAGTCGACGCCAGCGCCGATCTCTGCGGAAGACTTGCTAGGTCCGAGGACATTGATGATGGTCCTCTGAAGCTGCTCGTGATTGACACGGAAGGTGTCGATGTACTTAAGACGTTCACGGGTCAATTCATGTCTTCCATTAATTTTGATTGGGATGAATTTCTCATTACGACGTCTAGTCGAGTCACGAGCAACATTGGTGAATTCCTTCAGGTTCTCATCCCACGCACGCCAGATGGCCTGGGTGGTTTTCATCAAAGACCGGAATTCACGGTAATCGAGGTGCAGGATGTCACGACCGGGAATAAGATCGTGAATTTTACGGTCGAGGTCACCTGAAATGGCCTCGACGAGCGAAAGAGCACGCTTGATGGGGTAAGGGCAGATTTTCAGCTTCTTATTCAGATGGCTGAAGATCAATCCAAGCGACTCTTGCACCTTGCTCAGAGAGGTGGCAGAAAGAAGCTCATCCAGTGGGAAGTCACGCATCAGTTGGTTGTACTTCTGCACCAGCTCGGAGGCATCTCTCAGTCCAGTGTCAGCCTGGAAACTGAGGGTCGGTTGGTAACGCTTCGCATGACGGAGAATATCCATAGTCAACTTGACACCATCGCTTGCCAGCTGAGCCTCGATGCTCTCCAAAACAGACTCCATAGACAGCCAGAAATTAATCTCTGGAGATGCTGACTCGCTGTCCGGATCCCTAGACATCTTGGTGATCGTCTGAATCGACCGAATCCAACCATTTACGGTATTCTGAATGCTGTTCGTGAACGCACTGTTGTCCAGAATTGTCGCAGGAATCAGTTCGACCGATGGTTTGACACCCTTGGCTTCAGCCTCCTTCAACGCGCCTTGGACCACATCGTGCATTGGAAGGTTCAACGCCGGAATTTCCACATTTTGCTGCAAGTGCATAAGACCCAGCTCCAACTCGGCAAATTTCTTTTTCGTTCCGGGAATACCAGTCTTTGTCTCGGTATCCGCTCTAGGCTTCGCGCCAGCAATCGTTTCCTGGTTGCGGGCGTAGGCTTCGAAATAGGGACTTAGACCGTGGTGAAGCAGCAGATGTAAAACTTGGTAAGGCGACATAGTAGTTCCTTGCTGGGACTGAGCATTGTTGAGAGAGGCGACACCGGGTAGGTTCATGACCTGGATCTGCGAGGCGATCGGAAGAGCCGGGTCGATAGGAGCAGGACGTTTGATGAAAGCCACCGACGAGACGGTGGTTGAAGACGACGAAATCTCCGAGGAGATGGTATAGACATATTGCACCGAGTCTTTTCTTTGCGTCAATATATGTGCCCGCGGCATTCAAGGCTGGGATCAACTTACCTTGACCCTCGGTTCCGCCATTTGTCTCTGCAGCGTCCGCGATATCTTTCTGTACATAGATCGCGACCTGCGGCTCAGAAGCGAATCGCGTACATCTCTGCAAGGTTTCACTGTACCTGGCCTCCGAGAGCAAGCTCCCGGCGGTCTCCAACTCGGATTTGAGAGCGCCCAGTGTCACCTGGAGCACCTCCGTCAGGTACTGAACCACAGCGCCGGAATCCACCAAAGCTGCCGTATCTGGCGTCGACACGCCATTTGGCACCCCTGTGGAGGCAACCTCCATTCTTGTTTTCGATTTAAAGCGACAAAAACGGGTAGATCATGGAGATGGGAGAAAGTTGAGGCGCGATCGGAGCGGGCGAGATAAATGTTGACACGGTTCGCGTCGTGCGGTACGCAGGGTACGAGGACGGAGGAGGGTGATTGACCGCGTCCTTGGGGAAGTTAAATGAGGACAAAGAAATCTAGATTAAACAATAGAGAAGAAAAGTCGACAAGAGCAGGGGTCGATAACCACTACGCGGTGTTTGTTGGAACAGCTCACTTTACTTCAGGGGATGCGCCTTTCCCAATTGGGTTAAGGGCCGTCGCCCAACCATGTGACAAACGCGGGTTCCTGATTCAGTGCCATCCATTGCCATCCATTGCCATTCCTTGCCTTTCATTGCTTTTCATTGCTTTTCATTGCTCTTCTGTCGCCCCTGCTATGCTAGATCACACCGCAGTCCCAATCTCCATCTCCTCCAGATCCTTCATATCCACTGGCCCGCAGTCGCAATTATACTTGAGCCGGAAATCGGACCTAAGCATTCCTTGAACTGCTACCAATGCCCGCTCGCTCGCCCTAACCTTCGCATACCGACCAGACGTCCCTACCGCATTGCCGATAGAGTGGCCATGCACCATTACTGCAGCCAGAATTTTCGACTTGTCGCCATCTATCTCGGGGATCTCGCCACTCTTGAGACAGTAGTTGGTGCACCCGTAGACATTCGTCAATTGACTGTGTAGGTGGGTCTATAGCTGGCTGTCAGTATATATATATATATCCCAAATCATGGGGAACGGGCCAGGATCACTTACCACCGGGTGATTGTTGGCAAACGTGTCATACAGAGACATGTCCTCGAAAAAGGGCCTCACATGAGCCGTGAAAAAGGCCTCAACCACGATGAAATCGAACTCTGAGTCCACGAAAATGGCGCCGACATATGCTTCGACCATATCTGAGAGACACTATATCACGACTCAATCATCTTTGTGAACTTTAATGTAATACTCTCACTAATACTCGCCTTTGGAGAGTCTTTGGTACCAAGCCAATAGTCCATCGCCCCGTCCCCTTCAGCCTCCGCAATCTGGACATCTTCTGCGTAGTGGGTGATTAGCCCTTGCAGGGGACCACCAAAGTATTGAAGATGCCGATGCAGGCCTAGTTTCACTGCCAAAGCTCCGAGGAACTTATTAGACACCATAGCCATCTGTGATTATATTAGCGATCATGGCTTGGGCACGCATGCAAATATGCATCTACTTACTTTGTGCTCAGTGAGCCACTGCGGATCCTTGTCGGGATATCGATGGTACAGAAACTCAATGCACACCATATCGAGAAGCGCGTCGCCCAAGAATTCGAGTCGTTGGTAACAGGGCACTTTGGCGTAAGCCAACGGATAAGAAGGATGTGTGAAAGCAGACCGCAACAGGCGAGGAAACTTGAAGCTATATCCAAGCTTCTCAAAGACCTTTTTCGCAAGATCTCGCTCAGCTGCATCGGATGCTTGTACCTGGTATACTGGTTTCGTGTAGAACGCAAGGTAATCTGCCCAGCAAGTTGCAATGTGGTTTTCACTGTCAACAAAAAGAGTAACTGCTTGAACAGCCAAGTCAAATCGATGGTCTTTACCTCCGGTGAGCAAGGATGCCGCAATCAATGCCTCGCACACATCGGCAATTGTCTTTTCGCCGAGGTTGTGAGAGCTCTCCGATTTAATGTGCTGAACGTACTCTCGCCCATGCAAGAGTGTAAGACCTGGCGGATACCACGTATTCAGAGAAAACCCACGACTGCGGATGTACTCATGGATGCGAAGCTTGATAGCGGTGTTGAACAAGTTCTTGTTGCAGATGAGACACATTCGATGGACGTGATAATCGTACTCGTCATCGTCTGGCTTTTGGATGAAGAGCGAAATTGTCGTTCCTAGCTTAAGGAAACAATCACCCAGAAACTCAAGACGCTCGTAATTCTTTCCCATGCCTCGCTGTACATGTATCTGTGTAATTTGATGATCTCCGGAGTTGCCGGGGTCCTTTGTGAACGATTCCAAGGCAAGGTCAGTCTTGAGATCCAGCCTAAGGAGTTTGCAGCCCTCCAATACAATCATGTAGGACTCTAGCCGGCTAATGATAGCAGGGAATGCAAGGCATGAAGTCACTGTCGTCAACGGGATCTAGTTGAGTGTCAGTACAATAATCCCAACCCAAAACATGTCGCAGACAAACTTACTGATGATATTACCAGTGGTTGCGGGCAAGCAACGCATTTTGTAGCCTCCAATTTCTCTGCATCGGCCGCTTTATCGAAGAAATTTCTTCGGAGCCCGAGGCATTCTACCTGTAGCACGGGCTGGCTCCAGTCAAAACGCTCGAAAAACATGGGACGCGAATTTTTCGAAAGACTCAGCGAATAGTTGGCAATGTTTTCCATCCACCGTCGACGTGGTGTCCAGTCTGGTGGGGGGGGTCTGATGGATGTAGGTCAGACTCAACGGCGATTGGAAAGTATCGTTTCCTTCCATCCCATGGGTCATAGATGAAACGTCCCAGGAGAAAGTTGACGTCCATATCTGGAGACCACTTCCAGTCCAAGTGGTTATGCACGAAAGCTACCGTATCCCAATCTATCACGCTCTGAGAAGCGGTGTCTGGAGTAAGGTCGCCGGCGCCTGCTAGGACTGGGGCAAGCCAGTAGGGAAATTTCTCGGTCATTGGATCGAAGCTCTTGTGGAACAAATCCTGGAAGACTGCCAGTGTGAAACTGCAAAGGTTTATAAGTCCTTGAGAGGTTACCACAAATTTGCCGATGCTCCTTGTATGAATCATAGTGTTAATATCATTCTCCAAAAACACTTGGAAAGAAGGAAACAAAGGGAGTCGTTTCCGAGACAACAGCAACAGGCTTTGGTGCTCTCTTTTCAGAGGCTTCGTTGGCATGAACTTGATGAGCAAGCCATAGAGCATGTCTGGAATAATATCTTCATGGTTCCAGATCGAAGGCTTGCAAATCATGATGTACTCATTTGTCTTATTCGTGACCGCGAGCTTTGCATTGCGCATCGCCGGCAACCGCCTGTGATACTTGGACCTGAAGTTGTCATCAAGCAATCCATTTTTGCGGAGCAGGATACAGGTATCAAACGCAGCTGATTGTTTAGCCAGGCCTTTTTTGGATTCTCGACCTCCAATCAGCCCTCTAATGGGTGACTTCTCTGGTAGAATGATCTCGCAGATGAATGAGTGGCCCTGTGAGAGCAAGACGTAGCTGACCGAAGCTGAAAGGTCATTTTCATATTGCAAGGAGGTGGCATAACGTCCCAGAACATTAATAGCATGTCCATAAGTCAGCTTTGCGCCGCTTGAGGGAACAGTGTAGATTCTCTTCTTCTCTTCCTTCTTCAAAGCATCGTCCAGGTCGTGATCATTTCCATTGAGGATTCGATCTGCGGGCAGAGATCTGCAGAAGACTTGCATGAGGCGCTCAGCTTCTTGAACGTCCCGAATTCTTTCTTTGTGCTCTTCATTGCCCATCTCGATCATGGTTGCATAGGTTGAGTTGGTATGTCTTGCACGGCCACGACTTTGGACATACTGAATCACTGTGCTGTAAAGATCGAATCTCACGACAAGATTACAGTCCGGGATGTCGAGGCCATCTTCTGCAACTGACGTCGTAAAGAGGCAATTGATCTTACTCTGTCGGAACTTCGCCAAGGTGAGAAATTGCTGACGAAATGTTGTTGATCCAGTGGGATCGTGGTTAATTCCAAGCAGCACTCCGGGGCGAATATTGGGAATTTCCAGTTTCTCACAAAGCCGAAGCAAGGTCTTCGCCGTGTTTCGGCGCTGAGTGAAGACAATTCATTTCCGCTCCTTAGAGATTGCAAAAAATTCACTCAATCGTTGGATGAATAGCTCGACTTTTCGGCTAAGCTGATCTCGCTCTGATGGGTGTTTGAATCGGTGATATCGGACAACTCGACAAGCTTCTTCCACCTGGATGATGTCCTTTTGAGTTTCCTCTGGGTTCTGTTTTGAAGAGCTCGAAGTAAAGTCTGGGCCTGGGTCTTTTGAAATAATGCACTTGAGCTTTGCAAGCACTTCGTCTGCCAAGGCAAACTCCCAAACCTGGTCCGCGCACCATCTTCCTAGCTCTGAGGTGGCATTCAATGCAAATCGCAGGATTGGTTTGAGGGCTTTGACATTTCCGAATCTCCTTTCCATCTGCCCGTAGAGTTCTGTGGGAAACGGTAAATCAAGCTTGTTGTATGTCCATGTTTCCTCTTTGGGACTTCCCACGACTTGTCGTAACAGGGTCAAGTGAGATGTCGTTGCATTTTCGCTATCCAGGAGTTTTTCAAGCTGCCTAATTATCCTCAGCAAAGAACAATGTACTACTAGAACAGGACTAACATGGCTGCATCTGCGATATTGACTTTGGCATCGATTGGGGAGGCAGTCATCCCAAAGATCCTCGGACGCTTCCAATTTTCTGTTGGGAGGTATGATTCTCGGATGATACTAGCACACAGTTAGCCAAACATCAATAAAGTTCAAGATGTGCGATTATCCCGACCGGGCATAGACATGGTCCTTTTTCGTGTGGTGAGCTTCGTCAAAGATCAATAAGTTGATGTTGCCCATCTTCACGAGTCCGTTGAGCAGAGCCTGGTTGAGAATATCGGCTGTACACACAATCACCATGTGTCTTGCCAAATGGTCTTTCCAGACTTCAGAGTCCCATAAGTCTGGACCCATGGCACCGAAGATATGTGCCACGCTCTGATCAAGATTGTTTCGGAGAACCGCTGACTGCTGGAAGACAAGGGCCACAGTGTCGACCTGCTATTCATGAGCGATGTTTTTCTCAGTCTCCGTATATTCCGTACCAAGAAGAATGCCACTCGAGATGACTTCCCATTATCTCGGTCGATAAGTGCTTGGTTGAGGATATGTTTGAGCAGAAGTACTGCGATCAGTGTCTTTCCAGAGCCTAGGTAAATGTGTGAGAATGGCTCTTCCATCAACGCATAAGCAGTGTTTCCTTACCTGCGTCGAGTACGGCAATGATTTTCTTCTTCTTCTTTGCGCGCTCAAACAGCTCAATCTGGTATTCACGGGGATCTAAGTTTCCTCCGCTGTGGTCTCGTTTCGCAAGTAGAAGGGCAATAGGAAGCTCGTCGTCAGGCTTTTTTGAGTGATCGTCCTGAATAACATGCTTTGAGAGTCTATGCTCTCCTTAGTACAGTATTATGTATCGGGTGTTTGCTCACCTCTCAACTCACAAGGCTTGAAACTGGGCATTCTGGAAGCTTCGTCGGGTGGCAGCTTCTGGCTCGGCCGTGCTTTGGTCTTCCTCACTCTCAGAATTTTGTAGGGAGCCGTTCGTATCTTCGGTCAGCAGTTTGTCCCATCCGCTCTGTGAGCAGTTCTCGAAAGGTTCTTTGGTGAAGCATGTTCCCACTTTGGTGGATACTAGGGTTTCAAATTAACTCGGAAGCGTGGTGGCGCTCTCTATATGTTCAAGTACGGGAGGCATGATGTTCGAATGTTATTTGAAGGAAAGAGAGAAGTGAGATGACGAATGTATTAGGATGCGAATACAAGGGTCTCTTGACAGATATATATGCGAAGGTGAATATTGAAACGATCACTGACTTGAGGAACTAGCACTTATGGGGGTTGAGAAATGCGAAGCCTGTCAGGTAATGGAAATGAGAAAAAGAAGTTGATTCATGAACGATTCAAATGTAACGACATTGATTTAATCACCTTTGGAATTCACTTCGCACGAGGACCTACACGCGATAAGATGGAGCTCCTTATCTATTATCAGCTTATCGGCTCGCCAAAACTCAGGCTACTGCGGGGACCTGTATCATCGTTCACCTTGCCGCACCGAAACCGAAATAATGGAGGAGTCTCAGAGTCTCAGATCGCTCTTTCAATCCGCTCGTGATGACAAGACTGCGTTGGAAACAAGAGGGGATACCAACACTGAATCCTACCGAGACGCCGTGAATGCGACAATCGCGAAATTCCACGAATGTCAGCGCCAGATCAGCATCTTGTCACTTTTCAGCTCGAATGAATCGCTAGATGATGTCTCAACGGGAGATCTTCCGTACGTTTAGCAATCCCCGATTGACGCTATGGTTGGGCTGACACTCGACTCTAGGTATATGACCCTGGAATATCACCTTGCCGAGCTGGTCCAGCGAGGCCCCACCTCCGATCGTGAAGCTGTTCTCCGTCGAGCCCTGGAACAATATGAGACTTTCATTACGCGTCTAGATGAATACGAGTTGCTATCCGGGGAAGACAAGAAGCTTCTGGAGCAATACATGGCGAATCCATCTACATTCACCCTGGCCCCGATGAATGATGCCGCCGCTCGTCGGGATGTCAAGGTGAAACGCTTCAGAGAGGAGAAGGAACTGAAACAGAAACTGGAGGTAGGTCTTTCTAAGGTTTTACATCTTTTATGTGCCTGCTAACTTTCTATGAAGTATCTCGCACGGAACGAGGCCCGTCTCCAAAGCGACGACGATGACACGCGACGATTATATCTAGCAGAACTTCAGCTCTACACTCACCAAACCTTCCAATCCCTAGACCTTCTGATGCAGGAGCTGTCAATGCTCGCTCTCATGAAAAATTCGCCCCCGCCTCCTCAACCGCAGCCGGAAGATCTCAGACAACGAGTGGGTGGCCTGGGAGGAGCCAATTATTCAGACCGCTTGGACCCATCGATATCACAGTTACTCGGTAGTGGACGAGGCGGTCCCATCTTGAATAGCAAAGGCAAGCCAATGCAGCCTTTCACTCTTCTCGACCGCCGTACACAGCTCCAGCAAGGAGTGTTCCGCTCAGGTCACAACCTGCCGACAATGACGATTGACGAATACCTTGAAGAAGAGCACCGAAGAGGAAATGTGCTGCAAGGAGGAGAGCAATCTGGAATTATACCGCAAGTTGACGAGGATGATTTTGACAAGGCGGATGAGGAAACGATGAAAGCTCGCGCCTGGGATGAATACACCGAAGCAAATCCTAAGGGGTCTGGCAACACCCTTAACCGTGGCTGAAAATTATCTAGTGTTGATACAAGTCTTCGTCAAAAGCGATAGATGGCGGTTCAAGGTTCTTGGTTCAGTTTAAATATCCAATGCATGATTACAAGGTCCTCGAGTCCAGGATTCAAATTAAATTCGTTGATGTTGGTCATTTCACAGGGTATCTGCGTAGTATATGCGAATGGTCTATCAGACAGTTACTTTTGTTCAAGAAGAAACACTCTCCTTGGCCACCTTGTTACGCTGGATCTCCTCAAGAATTTCGCCAGCGCCATCGGCCACCAGAGCCTTGGCCACGGTGATACCGAAAGCCTCGGCGGTCTCAACGGAGTCGACATCACCAACGACCTCCGCCTCGGCGCACTTTTGGCCGTCGACACTTACGACAACAGATCGCATGCGCAGCTTCTTGCCCTCGGCACCCTTAACCCACTCAGTCTCAACACCCAGAGGGGCACTACAGCCGCCCTCCAGAGTGCGGAGCAGACTCCGCTCGGCCAGAACGGCATAAGTTGTGTTCCAGTCGCCAATCTTATCCAACATCTCGTGCAGAAGAGTGTCATCCTTACGGATCTCAATTCCTAAAGCACCCTGCCCAACTGCGTAGAGCATTCCACTGTTCTTCGAGTCGAGGTACTGTGTGATGCGATCCGCCAGATCCAGACGCAGCAAACCAGCAGCAGCGAGAATAGCGCAAGTGTACGGGCTATCTTCGGCATCCAGCTTCGACAGACGGGTTCCGATATTGCCACGGATATCCTGCACCTTGAGGTGAGGGTATTTACGAGCCAATTGAGCGGTGCGGCGAATGGAGGAAGTTCCGACCACGGAGCCTGCGGGGAGCTCCGCCAGGCTCTGGTACGTCAGCCCTTGCTTCACCACGAGAACATCCCGGCTGTCTTCGCGGGGCATTGTCGGGCCCAAGGTACATGTCGAAGGGAGGAGGGTTGGTACATCTACAACCTCGACATATTAGCGAACTGTGTTTTTTTTTTTTTGGACGAGGGGCAAGGCCAACGCGGGGCAGACCAACCTTTGAGGGAATGAACGATGAGATCGACTTGGCCCCCAATCATGTGTTCCTCCAATTCTTCGGTCCAGAGGTTCTTGCTGGTGAAATCCTTCAAAGCAATAGTGGTGTTGAGATCGCCGGCGGTCTCCTTGGAGAAGACCTTGAATTCATATTGAGGGTGTGATTTCTTGAGGGCGGCCTGCACCAAGTCGGTCTGAAGTAAGGCGAGCTTGGATGCACGGGTACCGATAGTAATAGTCGTTCTGGGGGCGGGGGTAGCCATAATTGTCTGCGGCAATGCCAGTCACAAGATCGAAGCCGAAGGAAAAGAGGCGAGAGGCGATTGCGTGGGGAGCCGATCACGGGACGCGGAACCAACAGAATCGTGAACAAGACAAAAGGGCAACGCAGAAATGATTCAAGGATTAGATATGATCATGATCAGGTACTATTAGATATGATCCGATCCGATCAATAATCCTAATCATCAATGCTAGATACGCATCTGTATCAAATAGAGTAACAAAAGAGAAGCCCTGATCTGCAAGCCTGACGTAGACCTCGGCTTCGGGACGTGGAGATTACAAGACATGCGACAACACCCTTATCGCCTTTCCCCCGGACTTGCCTCCCCAGTTATTTACGCGGAGGGTTCTGGAACTTCTCCTCTCTCCGCCTGTGACACACTATTCACACTATTACCCTTTTATCCTCTCTTCTCCATTCTCTCCTCTCCATTTCCCCTCCTTTCTCCTCTTTGACCGGTTCTTTCGCTGTTTCCCCTCCCCCGGATATTCTCACCCTCACTTTCGCCCCAAGATGGGTTCCAACAGCGGTAGAGTCACCAAGCTCCCTCTCGTTCCCCTGGCCAAGGGCTCTGTCCTGTTACCAGGCGTGACCCTGCGCATTCCCGTCTCCAACCGTCCTGACCTAACAAACCTACTGTCCTCCCTGGTCGACCGGCCCAAGCGCGATGGCAACTCGATCACCTTCGGATGTATTCCCCTCGGCTCCCCGTTTCTGAGCCGCGACGGTCAACAAATCCTCGAAGGCGAAGACTCCGATGACGAGAGGAAGGAGGATTACGATTCAATCGATGCGGGCCAGGCGCGCAAGGATGACTTGTTCCGCCACGGCACCGTGGGCAAGGTGATCGGCGTTCAACGCCGCGCCTATGCTGAACCGTTCCTCTTGGTTCAAGGCTCCCAACGCTTTACTGTTAAGAAGGTCCTGAAGGACCGACCGTATTTTGAGGCGGAGGTCTTCGTTCATGAGGAGAACAGTAGGTGCAACCAACGCGAATCTCGGAGAACGATCTTGTGACTAACCACTTCTCCGCTAGACTCATCCATGCAGAGTGATTCGGAGGCTGCTGATCTCTTCCAACAACTGAGACAGTTGTCCCGTGAGCTCCTGACTCTATTGCGCCTGTCGTCGCTGTTGTCGGCGGCCTCAACTCGTCTGTCGCCACTAGTGGCAAGGAAGTTCGAACTCTACATATCAAAGACAGACTTGGCCCAAGCTGGAAAGCTTGCCGATTTCATGGCCGATGTCTCCGATGCAAGCTTCGAAGAGAAATTGCGGATTCTGGCCTCTTTCGATGTTAAGGAGCGACTGGAGCGTGTCGTGGAAATCCTTTCTCGCCAAGCCCAGCACATTAAGAGCAGTGTGAAGGTGACATCTATTTCCACAACATCATTCCCACCCAACTCGAATATGGATATCAGCAACATTGACCCACGAGAGCGTGAGCTGCTTGCCAGACGTGCGATGCAAAGTCTGTCGGGTCTGTCGCCCCCTGGGCCCGGCGGACGTGGCGGCGATGAAGAAAAGGAGCCGAACGAGGTCGATGAGCTACAGCAAAAGCTCAAGGATGCAGAACTGAGTCCTGAGGCTCAAAAGGTCGCTGATAAGGAAATGAAGCGTCTGCGCAAGATGAATCCTGCAAATGCCGAATACGGCGTTTGCCGCACTTATTTGGAGAACCTCGCAGAGATCCCGTGGTCCAAGGTTACCGCTGATCAACTTGGGCCTGAGACCTTGAAGCGAGCCCGGCAGCAGCTGGACGAGGACCACTATGGTCTGGAGCGTATCAAGAAGAGGTTGTTGGAGTACCTGGCCGTCTTGCGCCTGAAGCAGTCTACTAACAATGATGTCCAACGCCAAATTACCGGCCTCTCTCAAGAATTGGACGCTTCAACTGCCGGAGATCTTGAGAAGGACGTTCCTCTGCTCTCCGAAACCGATCGAGTTGCCCTGGAGACCCGACTCGAGATTTTGAAGTCCAAGCGCATGACTGACAAGTCCCCGATTCTGCTCCTGGTTGGCCCACCCGGTACTGGAAAGACCAGTTTGGCGCGATCAGTGGCTGTCTCTCTCGGACGTAAGTTCCACCGCATCTCTCTGGGTGGCGTCCGTGACGAGGCCGAGATCCGCGGCCACCGCCGCACCTACGTTGCCGCCATGCCCGGGTTGGTCGTCAACGGGCTGAAGAAGGTTGGTGTTGCGAACCCGGTCTTCTTGCTTGACGAGATCGACAAGGTCGGTGGCTCCAACTTCCAAGGAGATCCTTCCGCGGCCATGTTGGAAGTGTTAGACCCCGAGCAGAACAATTCTTTCACCGATCACTACATTAACATCCCGATTGACTTGAGCAAGGTTCTCTTTATTGCCACTGCCAACTCTCTCGATACCATCCCGCCACCCCTCCTTGACCGCATGGAGACCATTCAGCTGTCCGGTTACACCACCGTTGAGAAGAGACACATTGCCAAGCGCCACCTAATCCCCAAGCAGATTCGTTCCAACGGATTAAGCGAGGGACAAGTCAACATGTCTGATGAAGTTATTGACAAGACCATCACTTCTTACACTCGCGAATCTGGTGTCCGTAATCTGGAGCGTGAGATTGGCTCGATCTGCCGTCACAAGGCTGTCCAGTTCGCCGATGCCGGCGACGCTGATCGGCTGGATGAGTACAGCCCTGTCGTTACTGTGGAAGACCTGGAAGACATTCTGGGTATCGAGCGTTTCGAGGAAGAAATTGCCGAGAAGCACGGCCGACCTGGCGTGGTTACGGGTCTCGTTGCTTATTCTTCTGGTGGCCAGGGAAGCATTCTGTTCATCGAGGTGGCCGACATGCCTGGCAACGGACGTGTTCAGCTCACCGGCAAGCTCGGTGACGTTCTGAAGGAGTCTGTTGAGGTGGCCCTCACCTGGGTCAAGGCCCACTCTTTCGAGTTGGGACTTACTCACGACCCCAATGAGGATGTCATGAAGAGCCGCAGCCTGCACGTCCACTGCCCATCTGGCGCCATTCCTAAGGACGGCCCGTCCGCCGGTCTAGCCCACACGGTTGCGCTCATTTCCCTGTTCTCTAACAAGCCCGTTCCCCCTCAGATCGCCATGACCGGTGAGGTTTCCCTCCGCGGTCGCGTGATGCCCGTTGGCGGAATCAAGGAGAAGCTTATCGGTGCCCTGCGCGCCGGTGTCAAAACCGTCCTTCTGCCTTACCCCAACCGCAAGGATGTCAAAGATGTCCCTCAAGAGGTTCACGATGGTCTGGAGATTATCTACGTGCAGTAAGTCATACCCGAAGCCTTTCAACCCTTTCATATATTAACATCCACAGGCACATCTGGGAAGCACTCGGCAAGATCTGGCCTGATGCTCACTGGCCCGGCCAGCACCATATGAACTTCGTCGAGAGCCGTCTGTAGATATCCTCGGCTTTTGCCACCTGCTGTTCCCCTTGCGTCCTTCAAGCCCTCTCGACTCCAATCGTTTTGCATAGCGTCATATCATCCTACAACCGTTGATTCTAATTAACCTGTCTTTTGATGCAGTCATGCGAGTAAGATTTTCCTTGTCTATATTTCACAATATAGCTCTCGGTACCTACTTTACCAAGTCCTCCAGCTACAAGCACATACAACAATAGAACCCAAATCTCAAAACAAGGCCCAAAGGCAAAGATCTATAAATCCGACCTGAAACTATAATACAAACGGCCCAATCACAAAATTCGAATCTCAAATGGGGGGAAGAAAATACATATATAACACCGATTTTTGCCAGGACATCCAGCACAGAAAGATGCAAAGAAAGGCCAGCCCTTACGGCTTCTGCTGCCACTTAGGAGGACGAACACTCTTCCCCATATTAGCCATCTCCTTATGCGCAAAATCCAAACCAAGCACCTTCCAAGTCGGCCGCCAGGTCTCCTTATTCTTCTTCAATTCCTCAGCCTGCTTCTTGAATGCCTTACGCAGCTTCTCATCCGGCTTCTCGGCAGCATTGGGCTTCTGAACGTTTTCGCGGCGCTGCTCGGTTTGCACTCTTTCTTGGGAGTTCCAGGATTCTTTTTCCCATCTGTGATAGCGTTAGTACCGTGGTTCTTAAGGGCCGGAAAATTGGGTGGTGGAACGGACTTGCTGAGATCAGTAGGCTCCTCGGGCCAAACGAACGGGTCCCTCAACTCGACCGTCATGCGCTTCTCGGACTTCGGTCGTCGCCACGCACCCAGTTGCCTTCCATCCTTGGTAATACGGGTAATAGGCTGTAGCTGGACGTAGCTGCGGACGCTAACGACGCCGACGCCATACGCACGCTCGAGATAGTCGCGCATGTCGAGTTTGTTGAAGTTGAGGGGGACGCGGAACTGGGCATAGCGGTTTGAGAGGTTGGGGGGTTCGGACGAGGGAGATGACGAATTCGGGGCTGGAGAATGGAATATGTTAGCGGTTTGCGAGGGAATTGCTTCTGGCGCTGTGGTCGGAAGACTTCGACGGGGTCGAAGGTTCGGGGTGAAATTTGGGAGATCACAGGACGGAAGGAGTGACGGACAGGTAGACTTGTTTGCGCTCTGATAGGGGGGCGAAGGATCCCAACCCCTTCGTGGGGAGGCCAATTGCTTTGCGAACCATTGTGGTGTGTGGTGGTTGATGGTCGGAGTGTTCGGCGTTCAATGTTGGTGATCTTTTGCGGGTGGAAGTTGCGCGGATGGCCGCGTCGCCCGCCGTACTCATTTCGATTACCCTTGGCTTGTACTCACATGGCCAAATCGTCAATATCAGTAGTCTTTTTTTTTTTTTTTTTTTTGGGATGAAGTGTGCAGTTCTGGAGACAATAATATGAATCCCTCAAGGCTAATTTCAGCCTGAAAGCTTCCTGGTTTGTATTGTGCAGCGCCACTAACATCTAGGCTTCGTTCTCATACCAAACTCGGTGTCATTCTTCATCATTATCATTGTTACAATTAGGACATTATCATTGACCAGTCACCCCCCACGGAAGATCATCCAGATCACTCAGATTGTACCATCCACAAAGATCCTCAATCGAGCCCAGTGAAGGCAACATATCAGTACCATTACTCGAATCCCCCTCCGAGCCAAGACCTCTCTGCTCTTGACCACCAAAAAGAGGTGGCACTTCACTTGAGCTAGGAGTATCGCTCGGACCCGCAATCTTCGACCTAATTCCCAGCACATGATGGGCAATAGTCTGGATCTCACGAACATTTCTCGCTGTCCGCGGCCAGATCTCACCCAATGCCTTAAGACACCCGATAGTCATGCGGATCTGGTCTCTTGCTGTTGCTAGATCCTTTCCTTTGAACAGGTAGTTGCAGGCTGATAGGAGTGCCAGTGTGCCTTCGCTGACCATGCAGGTTGTGAATGGTGTGTGGTGAAATTTCCGGACTGGGAGTGCTAGGAGGCGGATTTGGGCTTCGACAGAGCGGAGGACTCGCACTGTGTGTACGTTGACGAGGTCTGGCCTAGGTGTGTCGAGAGGTGGTTCTCGTGCGCAGCTTGATACATCTTCCACGGCGTTGAACTTGAGGTCTGAGAATGGTCGATGTAACCCGATGGTGGCTCTATGAGGTTGAATTAGCTTCCATTCTCTCTTGCGTCCCATCGGTGACATACACATGGACAAGCAGGTGCGCTTGGAACATTAATTCATCAATCTCTCCTGTCTTGGTCATGACTTGCTTGCGATTCTCCGGTAGCAGAAGCCTCCAACCATCAAGGCCGGAGTCTGCGGCCTGGATTATTTGTAATGAGTCTTCTTTACTCGCAATCTTCGGCGCAGACGCTATTGCCGACGCTGCACAGCGAACTGCGCCAATGAGGTAGGCAAATGACGAGAATGTGGTTTCGGGAGTGAATTCGCGACAGTCAAATTCTTCAAGACTTTTAGGCGTGGGAATGTTCTGTTCATAAGTTAGCTATGCAGAATCAACAGTCAATAGACAGCAATCACCCCGGACTCGAACTCCGACTCTTCACAGGGCAGTTCCACGGTAGAGTCAATGTCCACGACTTCTAAGTTCATAGTTCCGAGAGTCCCAGCATAATATGCGTCGACGAGGTAGAGCATCCACCACGTGCGCCTCCAACTTTCCGTCAACACAGGGTCATCGCCACCGTGTTTCGTCGCGAAGCCATGAAGACACATCTGTAGATCAACAGCAAGGCGAATTGCTTTGTCCATCTCGATCTTGGCCTCAGCCTTATAGTCGTACCAGAACAACACCATCGAATATAAGAGTCGACATTGGACCATAATTGGATCTGTCGGTGATGTCTGTGAAAAGCATGTCTCGGCATAGTCCTTGAGTGATGTTGGCCATTCTCGCGAGTGGACAATATGTCCAACCAAGCGCATGATAGCAACAAGTGGTGAGAAGTTAAGCCGTCTGCTCGGATCTTGGCAAAGTCTGTAGAAGTGCCTTTGTGGCGGGAGGAATGGATGCAACTTGTGAAAGTCCTTATAATATGCATCGATCAAGACATCTTTCTCGATATTGCCGATAAACAATTGGGTTGCTGCTGGCGATGCCATTCCAGCGATATCATCACCAACGCCGATCCCATTGAGTAGATCGTAGCTACTCGGGAGGTCTATTTCAAGAAATGGAGGTGTACATTCCGGGCCCTGTTGAACCACCGTGTGTCTTTGCGGGCTCAGTTCATCAGATACCGTAGGCTCTTCGGTCACAGCGTGTCTCTTGCGCCGCTCAGCCAGGGCCGCCCGGTCGAGTCCGCCTCTGCGCGATTGAGCATAGTTGCACTGTTTGCCAAACTCCGCGCAGCGGGTACAGCACGGTCGCTTGCCGTCGCATTTTAGGTGACGTGAGCGACAGGGCAAACAGGCGAGAGATGAGCGTGTAGCTCGGCCATTCTGTGAAGTAGAATTCATTGAATCATTCAACGAATCATTGAAAACAGTATAGAATAGAGTCGAGGTTGAAGAAGTGCGGATACTCGGGTATTCGGGGACCCACTCTACTCCCGATGCGGGAATCCGTTTCAAACGACGCCGAGATCCCGCGACGGCGAACACTTTGGTTTCCCGCTTAGAGAGATATTAAAATCTACGAAGTATTTCAGGTAGATGGAAGGTTCTTCAATAATTCGAACTAGCAGATCATATTTTCATATTATCTTCGCCTCATCGCGTCACCACCTCAATTTACTTGCAGATCTACTCAGATCTATAGAGCCTCAACAATGTCCAGTAAAATTGTGATCATTGGCACTGGATTTGCAGGTGTCTGGAGCGCTCTCTCAGCCAAGCGTCTTATCAATCTGACCAGCAAAGATGCCGACATTGAGGTTCTTGTCATCTCTCCTGAGCCGTCCTTGGTCATTCGTCCTCGACTCTACGAAGCCAACGCTTCGACGATGGTCCATTCTCTCGCGCCATTGTTCGAAAATACAGGGATCAAGTTCATTCAAGGCGCTGTGAATACCATCACTGCCGAGACACGTACTGTCACCGTCCAATCAGCCTCTGGTCTCGAATCAAGCATTAGCTACGACCGCCTCATCCTAGCAGCAGGCAGCTCTGTCGTACGACCTCGGAGCATAATTGGAATCGAGCAGCACGCCTTCGATATCGATTCTCTGCAGTCAGCCACCAAGCTTGAAGATCATTTACAGAACCTTATTTCACTTCCAGCAACACCTGCACGCGATACTGTCGTCGTGTGCGGCGCCGGATTCACGGGCATTGAGCTCGCAACCGAGCTGCCCAAGCGTCTTGCCCGAATCCCTGATTACCGGGTTGTACTGGTTGAGAATGCCGAGCAGGTCGGTCCTGAGCTTGGGCCTGGACCTCGCCCTGTCATCACGCAAGCCTTGAAGGATCTCGGGATTGAAATCAAGCTCGGATCTGCTGTTGCGGCGGTTGATGCTGACGGTGTAACTCTCGCGTCGGGTGAGCAAATTGATAGCAAGACTGCAATATGGACTGCTGGTGTGAGGGCCACGCCTCTCACACAACAGATCGACGGGCCGAGGGATGGTCTCTGCCGCTTGAAGGTGGATCAGCATCTTCGCGTTCCTTCGGCTGGGGAGGTATTTGCCACTGGTGATGCTGCCGCTGCTCTAGCCGATACCAAGGGTCACTATGCACTGATGTCCTGTCAGCACGCTCTTCAGCTTGGACGCGTCTCGGGTCATAACGCCGCAGCAGACCTTCTCGGTGAGCCGTTGATAGAGTATGCCCAAGCCGCATACAACTGCTGCTTGGATCTCGGGTCGTATGGCGCCGTGATCTCTGGAGGTTGGGAGAGAAATATCAAGCTGACAGGGGATTCGGCAAAGCGCGTCAAATGCTTTATCAACCAGAAGTTGATTTATCCTCCTGGTGATACCCAGGAGGCACTGGCGGCGGCCAACCCGATTGGGCCAGACTCGGATCAACTGTTCGAGCAGATGCTGCAGGTGGTAGGATAGGCTCAAGGTTAGAGAACTAGGACTGTAGTTAACAGAGAAATGACTTCACAAAATCAACAAAAATCAACATAAATTCAGGTCCATTGACTGAACCCGTGAGCAAAAAAGCAAAAATGAAAGGAGCTTCCGCAGTCTGTCCTAGAAGGAATGGGATCAGCTGCAGGCAGACTTGTTGCCAGCGTTCGTCTACTAGATCATCTGTGACACCATTACCAGGATTGGTTCTTATTCGATATCATATGCTTCGTTTTACTTGCTTTTTGGTTTTAGGGTCCTGATATTACCACTCTTCCAGTCTCCCAGTCTCTCTTTCCCTTCTCTACTGGTCCAACCCACAGTCAAGAGCACCTTTGAAATTTAGGACAATATTGCTTCCCTTTCTGTCAGTCCTAGAAGGAGTCGTACAACCTATGAGCTGCAGAAGGGATAAAGCAGATGGAAGATGTTGATTTTGTTTGTTATGTTTACTGACAAGACTTTGAAATTTCCCAAGCTACTAGATGTCATGCTGTCTAGGCTTCAACTGAACAAGGAAAGATTGAAATTTATAGTGACTAAGATCGCTGCATGATGACCCAAGATCATGAAGATGATCGGCAAAGCAATGAATGTAGTTGGGGAAGATGAGCAAACCCCGGACATGGCAAATACTCAGCTATTTGTGGCTACTCTGTGAGTTTTCTGCTTCAGCAAATTTAATTACCACCTTCCCGTTGCGACTCCTTTGTCGGGCAAACGCCCAAGCCTCTTCTGCCTTATGGAAGGGGAATGTTTCAACTGCCAGAACTTTGACAGTGCCAGCATCTATCATGTCAGATGCCTGTTGCATTCTCTCGGCGTTGGGAGTAAGGATAAAATGCATATGTCTGACTTTGGGGTGGTCGATAGACTCAACAGCCCTGCCTCGTCCAAATGCCCACGATGGGGCCGGGTCTCCAACAGTAACGATGGCACCATCATCTTTGACTGTTTCCCAGGACTTGATCAAGACATCGCCACCAACTGTATCAAAGACCAAATCCACGTCCGTAACCTGACTCTTCCAACTCGACGCATTGTAATCCAGGACCTCATGTGCACCGAGTTGTCTCAGGAGCTCATGGTTCTTAGATGAAGCCAGGGCAATAACATGAGCACCGGCCAACTGAGTCGCAAACTGCACAGCAAATGTCCCAACTGCACCAGAAGCCCCAGTGACAAGAACTCGCATGCCGGCTTTGAGTGCACCGTGATCTATGAGGCCCTCCCAGGCAGTGAGGATGGGGATCGGCAACGCCGCCGCTTCCTCGTGAGAGATCGAAGTTGGCTTGGGCGTGACTTCGTCCGCCAGACAGATGACATAGTCAGCTTGACCCTCGCCTCGGTCCGCTGCAATCATAGCGTAAACTTCCTGTCCGTGCTTCAAAGGACCGCTATAGTCGGGGCCGAAGGCGGAGATGACGCCGGAGATGTCGTGTCCTGGGATGCGAGATGGAGCTGCGTAGGGTTCTGGCCACAGGATCTCATCGCCGGTCACACCAGCCGCATGGACTCGAACGAGGACTTCAGAGTTCCGGGGAGTGGGCTCGGGCATGGAATAATTGGTGTTGACTTTGGGGGATGAAATGTCCCCTAGGATCTGGATGGCCTTCATGGCGTGGAAATGATTGCTTTCGTGAATTCTCGCGAACAGCCGGAAAAATATGTTATAGTGTGACTCTTTGCAATACTGTGTATTTGGATGTTATTATACTGATGCCCGTTGTCATCGTTTCTCATGGAGGCAACTCGGGATTCCATGATGGTGGATACCCGAGTACCCGCGAATAGGATATTCGCACTCTCGACGATGGTGCAATCCTATGCCCTTTTAGTCGCCTTAGATTTACCAAGTGGAAAATATATGGACACAAAACTCTACGGAGATTATGATCAGGCCGTGGTGATTAAAAAAGGCTGGTCGGCAGCCCGAACATGAGGGCCCATGTGGCAATAGGGTATCCGCGGGCGACTTCCAACAGAATGTACACCACAGCATCTTAAGAACCTTTCAAAGACTACTTCTGATCATTGATTTTCTCTAACTGGCTTCAGACAAAGTTTAGTTGAGTCAAAATCTTTTACTACAGGAGTTTTCGAAATCAGTTATTCCTCCACAATCTTACGACTTGATTCCTGGACGACAATAGAAATACGCTAGGCCTGATATGGTAAGTTTACTTTTACTCCACTTCACAGACCTCTTCCTAGAACAGTTCCTGTATTTTACATTACAGTAGAAACCTCTACGCAAGCTACCCCCGTGCCCTCCTTTCTTTTACGCAACAGCCACTTGCCCGCTCGTCATTTGCGCTATACAGTGAGAGTCGAAAACAGATTTCCCCATGGACACGCATGCATTGTTTCTCGGCTTGTGTCCGAAACCACCCCTAGTGTACACTTGGATGTGTCTTGAACAACCCTTTTCCAAGGATAAATATCTTTTCACCAACAATTGTGACGAGGAGAACCGTAGAGTACGTAAATTTCTCATACATCTTTCACCTATACAGTCCGCCCGTCGGGTATTGCGCTCGGGCCGTCCGCCGCAAACTCGACGTCTTATGTGCGGCTCGTTCACCTACTCGGCCGCCTTTGTAAAACCACCTGGCTTATAAGTTCAGCCACTTGGACCTGTCCGTGAAAAGACATCTTCAAGATTGGCCGCAAAGCAAAATGGAACCATCAATTACACTCAATCTTAGTGAACCAAAATCCATTGAGTAGGACACCTCATCTAGGCACCCCCTGGCTTGCTGACTCCTGACATATCTCTAGCTCTGAGAAAGAAGCGGACATCAACAAATCATTCCAGATAGTCCCCTTCACCCAGTTCGCAACGACTTCATCCTGGCTTTCCTCGTGGAACACCTCCTTAGCCTTCCGAGTGCAAACCCGAAACCCTCTTGGTACCCGACCTATCCCGATTTTTAATATCTGGCGTCCAAGCTTTTTCGGTATCTCACTACCGCGCAAGGGCTTCCCGGCAGCGAATCTCAGTCGACATGACCTTCTCGTCAGCAAAGATAAGGGTGACCCTAACGAGTTAATCCACTTCAACATAGAGGATGTAATTGGCGGCATCGATATTGACCAGCCACCGTTCTATGCATGTAAGCACTGCTTGCGCTATCGGGGCGGGGTGTATCTTGCGGATGGGACGTACCTTAGATTTGATGATATAAATGAAGGAGAGCTATATCAGTTTCCAGCAGATCCAGGAGTGGATGTGGGCAGTCTTAGGTGGAAGCCGGATGAAAGTTCTCATTTACCAAGTTCAGGGGAGGGCAATACAGAAAGGATTGTTTGTCGAACTATGGCAGATGAGCGGAAAGACGATATTGGCCCAGTTCTCGCGGTTTTGACTCGAGAGGGTATCGAACTTCTGCAGGACGTAATAAACAAGGAGAAAGCTGCTGGCAGGAGAGTGGCTGGCGATCAGATCCTAGTGACTGGCATTGCAATTGCGTTTTATTGTGGCTGGCTGGCTTGAAGATTCTTTTCCGTTTGCCTCTTAAAGTAGTTCTTTTTTCTGTTTTGTTCAAGGCACTTTTCTCAAGATAGGGTTTGAATCGCTAGTTGTGAAGCCATCAAGGTTAATTCTACAGCAGCATCACGGCCTTTGTCATGTACAAGATAGACGCGGACGCACATTATGAGAAAAAGGAATCGAGACAAGGGAGGCCGGTCGGTCTGTAAACGGCCAGACCGCCAAATTTCCGCCACCTTTCTGGTGACCCCGCCAAGAGCGATCGTTCTCTGGAGATATACAGTATTTTACAATGACTAGTTCGACGTTGAAACCTATCGCACCCGAGCGATGCAGTATAAAATGGTACTAGAACAAGTCAATGAGGCCATCGCAACGGTACTTGAGATGTTTTATCGATATAAATCTGAAAGCAAGATATAGGGCTTTCCCATGTGCTAATTCAGCGGTTGATGCCTTGGGAAACAGGGAACAGTGGGTATTGAATGCAGATGGAAGGTGGCAACGAGTGCTGTCCCTACAAAATAAGCAGTCCGCATGGCTCGAGGAAGGACACGTCTTTTCGCGACCGATTTAGACCATCTCGATCCGCTCCGAAATTTCGGATCTGTTAGGCGCCGCGCTTCCTTGATTTCTAGCCATGCACCGCGACGGATGCCACCGTAGGAAGCAAGCCGCCACTTACTCAACAGCGATACTGTGGTCTTTGTGGCGTTTGTGGCTTTTGAAACCAGTGAACGATCTGAAACTATTCTAGACTCTTCTCGCTGATCGTTCTTCATCGGAGCCGGGCGTGGCTGGTCCGTGCGGCAACAAGCCACTGACGACGATTGGGACATCCCGAGGTCCCAACTGGACTTCCCCCGTGGCGATCAACAGGGGGTTCAGAGGGCTAGCACCGGCATATACTACAACGAATATCACTATGTGTATATTCTCCAGAAGGGTGTGTATCAACGAAGGGGCAAGAAAAGTACGACTATGCACTTCAGCCTCAGGAGCATATTCTAGACTGGGGTTCATAAGACCCCGGATTAAAGAAACTTGGCCCCGCGGATAAGATCTTCAGGCCCCGAAGTACGGCGATGGGCCTGGAAGACGATGACGTAGTATATGACCAAAAGCCAAGGAACCTTCCCAACATCGTGATCACCCTATAGCTCGAATCGAGGATAAATAGTCCGCGATTTCCCTCCTCTAGTTACTTTTTTATCATCACATTCACACTCTCAATCATCTCTCCCAAAGAAACCAATTTACCAACCCTACCTTCACAATGGAGACCGTCAAGGTTCGTGGCTATCTTCAATATACCCCGCACCAACACCCATACTAACAACCCCCCAGCAAGCCGCCAACTACGTCGCTGAGACCGTTCAGGGTGCCGGTGCCACCGCTTCCAAGGAGGCCAACAAGGAGGTTGCCAAGGACTCCGATGCCAAGTGGAGCACCCGCGCCAGCGCCGCCGCCGATGCCGTCGGTGACAAGAAGGACGAGCAGGTCCACAACACCAAGGCTGACGTCCACAAGGGTAAGCTAAGCACCGAGCCTAATTATCGAGAGCAATTCTAATGCAACTTTTAGAGGCTGCCAAGCACTAAGTGCTGAGCGCTAGTGACCTGCTTTGGATTCGCGGCTATTAACCCGTTCGATCTACACTGCAGCCCCGCATGCATCACCTCGCTTCCTCCGGATGTTTGATGATACCATGGTTTATAATTTAGCATATGTCTCCATAATAAATATACATTTCTGATTAAACCTCCTTTTTTACATAGTTGAGTTCTGCGGTACCGCTGCCTGAGGCAAGAGGCACTGGGCGGCTTTGGCCAATCAGAGCTCGTCGTAACGCATTAATCTTACTCACATCTCGACACGCTAATTGATAGTTGAAATTGTCCAGATATTATAGAAAAAATGATCCTACTGACAAGGTTTTTAGCCTAGAAGTATACATGCTTGGCCAAAATCCAAGCCCGCTTATCATATATCATATCTGCCAGAGATCCAGGCCCCCACCCTAGCCTTGCCCTCCTGCTCTGCTCAGCCACTCGCTCTAACACGCAAGCAGCATGGATGCCTAAGCCTTGGCAGTCACTTCCTGTCTCTCCCTTTTCTCGTCAAACATTCACTGATATTGAAAAGTCCCTCACTCATGTCAGATCCTCCCAAGAGAGTCAAATATTCCAAGGGCTCTGACAAAACCTGTCAGAATTGCGCCAAGGCCAAGATTCGGTGCATCCGACCAGGGACGACCGGAAAATGCGACAGGTGAGCCATACCCACCATGTGCGCCTAGCATGCTTATACCAAGTATAGATGCGACCGCTTGGAGAAAGATTGTCTGTATCGAGGTGATGGAAGCCCACATTCTGAGGGAGGGCGCAGGGACGGTAAAAACAGGTAGGTAGTCAGGTAGCCGGTGTGTATGCTCATACTGACCATGGGTTTGCCAAAGAAGGATAGAGGCACTAGAAGCCAAAGTTGATCAGCTGCTGGCTAGGTCAGAGACTGAAAGTTTGGTACGAAATCGGTCACAGTGATATCCTCAGTGAGCACAGACTAACATGACAGAAGAGATGTGGTAGTGAGACCGAAGGAAGTCTTGTGAATGCTGCGAGTGCCTCTGCGCCTCGCAAAGATATAATCGATCAAGGACTACTCACGATTGATGCGGCCAATGCCCTGCTGAGTGAATACCGAAGTACGCTTGCGTCCTATTGCCCTTTTGTAATCATTGCACCACAGGTTACGGCTGGGCAGCTGCGTCGAGAAAAGCCATTTCTTTTACTTGCGATCATCACGGCCGCTTTATATGACAATATGCCTTTGCAGCGCAAGCTAGAGAGGGAAGTGAAGAATGCTATTTCTGAAAGCATGATCTGGGGTGGTCCAGTTACATTTGAGATTTTACAGGGCATTTTGGTTCATATTGCATGGTAGGACTCAGATATCTTTTTTTTTGTTATCTTTTTTGACAAGATCCCAGGTGCCACTATCACTCCAGGCCACGTCGGTATTCTCAGTATCTACATCTTGCGATTAGTATTATCACTGATCTGCAATTGGATCGTTCCCCTAAACATCGATTTTGGACAACTCGAGTCAGCTTCGACGGTGATGACGACGACAAACAATCAGTCTCCTGGGGACGAGAAGAAACAAGAGCTGTTATTGGATGTTTTTATTTTTCCTCCGCGTCAGTTTATAGGCCTACATCCTATAATTACAAAATTGTTCTTCGACGACTGACTTATCACAGAATCTCCCAGGTTTTACAAAAGCGGTTGTACTTCCCATATCTCCCGTATTTCGAAAGCCTAGGCATCGACTTGGCAACAAACCCGGAATATGCGTCTGATAAATACCTCCTTCATCTTGTTCGGCTTCAACGGATTTCGGAGAAAGTCACGCTTTGCTCGATCCCTAATGACCCCACGCCTCGTGAGACTAATTCAACTATCGAGCATTATTATGGCGAGTTGAATGCAGAGCTCGCTTCATACCAGGCTAATCTACCATTTCCGTTGATTGAAAACCGTCAGTTGTTTGAAGTGAACCGCGTCTACGATTATGCTGCTAATTCCCAAACGCAGATATACTTTTCACACAATTTCATGCCGTCAAGCTATATCTATGTCAGATCACTCTTTTTGACCCCAAGGAATACACACATAACCCACATCACGATTCAGCCTGTCAGATTGATGCACTGCAAATGGGACTTGCTGAATCTAAGACTTTGCTCGACTTCTTTATCAATCTCCCCTTACGCCACGATGTCGCATTCAATAATGCAATTTGGGTCCAGCTTGGCTTCGCAGTTACTCTTGCTAGCAAGCTATCAGTTGCAGCAAAGGACCCTTTCGTCCAACCTCACGCGGTGGACTTGTGTCAAGCGCTCGATATCCGCAACGTGCTAGGCCAGTGTATTCTTCGCATCCAGGCACTAATCACGTCAGATATGGATGCGTCTGGCGATAGAAATGTTTTCTACCACTTTGAGAAGCGCTTGAAGCGTGCTCAATGGTGGGTTGAAAGTAGGGCACTATCAGGTCTCAATAATGATCCTCTACAGTACGGCTCCCGGCTAGCGGAGGCTGCGGATTCGTCTACCGTAACTGCGAGTCGGCATATTGACTCTTCACAGCCATCAGCGGACGGGTCTGACCCGTATTTACAGTGGTCCGGGCTTTTTCCAGACGCCTCAATTGATGATATTTTCGTTGATTGGGTAGGTCAGACGATGTTTTCTTTTAATCAGCGCTTGGGATAAAATAGGTACCAGCCACAGAAACTCCTCTCAGAGCTCTCCGTAAGGATTTTCTCTTTGACATATACAGTCCTAAGATGAGTTCCTAGAATGACATATAATCTTTTCTCGCCAACTGCCGTATTACTTTGGTAGTTTTACTAAACAATGAGACTAGTGGATGTTTGATCACGGATACTCTTGGACCTCATACTGACTCCAAAAATCACCGTAGACATCACACCAAGCGCTAAAGCCGCACCACCCCACCCGATCGGATTTTCAAGCACAAACTGGAAGATGGAGAACTCGTCCCCAGGCGGTATCTGAGGCTCATGACTCATGAAAAAGGCACCCTTCTCACCAACGAAAATTTCAAGTGGCAAAATAGTAATATCCGGGCTCTCCCTCATGGCGCGAAACCACCTTGCAAGGACTCGGCTGATGATAATTGGCCCTGTACTGAACATGGCTGTAGCGTGTTTTGGCCAGGAATGCCCATGGTCGGTAATATCGAGAGCGACTTTAATGACGAAGGGATGATTCGCCCTGCTGGCAATCATCCTTTGACTGACTCCATATGGCCAGTTCTGAGGCAAAAGTGCTGTCACGTCATGCAGAAGCGGCTCTATAGACAGTTGACACCCAATCTCTGGGTCCAAATAAATGCCTCCAAAATGCCAGAGTAGAAAATATCTCAACGCATCGACTCGCTGGGGAGGCAGTAGATATGTCGTATATGTCGGAAGAAACCATGTGAAGTGAGCTTCTATGAACTGATGTGCCGTCTCATCGTTCCAAACGTATTGCTCGTAGAAGGGGTTTTTCTCGTGACAGGATTCTCGGGCGATAATCCACTCGTCTGGTGGATTGGAGGCCAAATTTCTCCACATCCGGTGAATCACCCTTTGGCTTTTTGCTGGACTCATATCCTGAGAAAAAGCGTCTCGATTGAGTAAGTTGGCCTGCAGGGTTGATGCAAATTGTATCCACGAACAAATTAAAGAAGCGCATATAAAGAAGGTATAGAAAGCCAAACAAGAGACATAGAGTTTTCTCGAAGTGATCTGATAAATTCTGGGCGACAATAAGATTGTAAATGGGATGGAAGCCTTCCACGTGGCGGTCCCATTCTTCAGAGTATAGAAAATGATATTTTTCATCAGGGCACTGGGCATCTTATTGATAGGAGAATCAACCACACCTGAAAGAAAGGAAAAGTGTACCCGTCAGCACTCGCATAGTGATTGAGTATTTATCTTTCAGGCTATCTTGCTCTTTGACGAGTTCTTGCCAACAAAAGTAATTACTCAACAGATAGTGAAGGCGCACGGGATACCCTGGTAAGACATTAGCGGCTGCGCCACGGTTAAAAATGAAGCACGGGTCAAGCAGGTATGCTGGGGCTTCCCTTGTGGATTTCCGAGTCCGTAGTTGTTCCCCGTAGGTTCGTGTCCGTGTCCGTGTCCGTGTCCGTAGGGAAAGTCCGTGTCTATGTCCGATCCACGCGTCCGATCTCTTGGCAGCGGGCCAGTATCGCGCGAAAGCGGACCAATCTTTGGGGCGGAGAGTCAAGAACAGCACTAAATGGAGGTTCTGGCACCGCTGTATGATTTTACATTAGGCGCTAGATGATTACGGTCCACGTAGATCTCGACGCCTAGAGCATGGCTGAGTCTCTAAAAGGCCTAATGGGGCATGACGAGGGCTATTGATCGCCAATTGCAACAAAGAGCTCGGTCTGCCTTGAGACAAACATAGGCTACCATAGTTTCCGGTCATTAATAAATAACCAGCACCTGTATCTGAATATCAAATCTGCGCACATTTAGGCCCAACGGATCGAATCAAACAAACAATACGCATCATCATGGCCAACTCAACAGACTCCGATTCTTGCACGATAAATACTTGTCCCATCACCGAGGCATACGTCTACTATGTTCCATCACTGGCCGGAAATGCCTTCTACTTGGCCTTCTTTGCAGTTCTCTTGATAATCCAATTGGGGCTGGGTATCCGATACAAGACCTGGGGCTTTTTGGTCGGTTTGTTCGGGGGTCTGGTTCTCGAAATCATTGGATATGCGGGAAGGGTACAGATGCACTACAATCCATTCCTTTTCAACCCATACCTAGAGTGAGTCAATCATCTCTTGATTCTCTCGAAATCAATTTCAGACATTTGATATTGACGCAAAATATCTAGATATCTGATCTGCCTCACCATTGGGCCGGCCTTTTTCAGCGCTTCGATCTATATTTGCCTGGGACGAATCGTGATAGTCTATGGCGAGAAGATATCACTCCTCCGTCCACGAACTTATACCGTAATTTTCGTTCTTTGCGACTTGATTTCACTGATCCTTCAAGCCGCAGGCGGTGCCATCACCTCCATCGCCGACTCTGATCAGCAAGATCTAGCGCAAACTGGCGTCAACATCATGGTAGCTGGCCTAGCAAGCCAAGTGGCTTCGCTCGCTCTGTTCATGGCCATGTGTCTCCAATACGCATGGACAGTATGCAAAAATCCGAACGCTCTCAATAAGGCAGTACACGCGTGTGAACTTCGAAATAGCATCAGGTGGAAAGCCTTCCTTGCTGGTAAGGTTGGCTCCCTTCCTTTCAGTGACCAAGCATTGACTATGAGTACAGGCCTCGCGCTAGCGACCATTGCCATTTTTGTTCGCTCCGTATTCCGCGTCGCAGAGCTGAATGGTGGATTTCACAGTGCATTGGCAAACAACCAGGTTCTTTTCATGGTCCTGGAAGGAACCATGATCGTGATCGCCATTATGTGTCTGACGTTTTTGCATCCGGGCGTCTGCTTTGATGGCCAATGGAACCAGACTCTGTGGACGCGGGCCCAGTCGATTGATGCTGAGGTGGATCAAATTTCTATCAATATGGAATTAGGAGGAGTCTCGAAGACTCGATTCTAGTTTGTCATGAAGAATTAGCAGTCCAATGGGTCAAGACAGAGGGTTTCCACTACCCATTCACCCTGGCGAGAACCGAAAGACAAGTCTATATTGAACGGAGTACGGAGACCACAGCTCGTTGGCGAAAAGGTTTATGCGGGGCCCGATTTGCTGCGTTTTGAACTGAAGGATCAGATATTTCTAGCCCGCTTCTTCCGACTACACAGTTCAAGAAGTTGAGGTGAGCACTGAATGGTGTTCTGAGATGTCACGGATACTCAAGATCTGTTTGAGCTTTCAACCCGATAGAACTAATGATCAGGCTGGTTGAGATGTTGATACAAGCCGTTGCTACTTCTTCCACCAGTAGGCATGCTGCACGAGCGGCACAATATCCAAACGGTTCCCTTCTGTTGCGTTCTTTTTTGCATTAGCCACGGTAGGCTCTGCTGAACCAGATTTTTCAGCATGAATTACACCACTCCCCTGTAACCGCAGTTTGCTGTCTCGAACATTTGTGCCCGTAAAGGGAACGGTTTGGCAGAAGGAAGAGTCGTCTGCATGTTTGGGGGAGGTTGTTGATAGCGTACTCATCATCGAGAAGATGGGAGATTAAGACAATAAGCTCCTTCGGCAGGTTCAATAGTTGCATGATGTTCGCATGATGTTTAAAAGGGAATGAAAGTGTGTGGCGGCCGTTTACAGTCTAGATTCATCACTCGTGGTCATTAGAGTACATTCATGCGTGTTGCATGGTTATGAGGTATCCCAAATCATCTACTTTTCGGATGATCCCGAGATCTCCAGTGCTTCTAATCGCTGGGCACTCTCGTCCGCCGCACTAGACTGCTCTGGTTCATCTTCATTGACCTCCTCCTCCTCCTCGGAATCCTCTTCCTCGGAGTCATCCTCATTTTCTTCGTCTCCTTCACCCTCCCCAGTATTGGCACCAACTTCATCCATATACTTCTCAAGCTCACGCGCCATCTTTCTTGAGAACCCGGAGGCCTCGACCTCAACATCAAGTCGCTTACCAGGGTTTTTCATGAAATTCTTCCTCGCATCCTTGAAGGACGGACCAGGCGCATCACTAACAAAGTGATACTTCCGCTGGAAGAACCGCTTGATACAGTTCACATCACGATCAAAGTACATCTCCGCATTCGCATGATCAATAGAGACCATCTGCGGGAAATCAATGACAATCGGAGTCAACTTGATCTGATCATCATGCGCATCCTCAATGTCCGCAACATTGCCATCCGCATCTGGAATGACTTCTTCCTTGATAAGCAAGTTAAACTCGTTATAGTCACCGTGGATCAGACCAAATCGCGCCAACTCCAAAACCATATCCATCAACTCAGAGTATAGCTTAGCGGGCTTGGCAACTTTTGCGATCTGACGCAGCGGGAAAGCATCAATCAAACTCATGACGATGGTGTGACGGTTCTGTGCAATGGGTTCGGGGACAGGGAATCCGTTCTCGTGGAGGGCCTTCATGAACGCGAATTCTTTCATCGCGGCCAGGCGCGACATGTACATCCAAGATCCGGTGTGGCGATGTCGGAGGTAGTCGCGGTTTGTCTTGACGGTCCGGAAGGAGATACGACCGAGACGGTGGATTTTAAGGATGCGTTGCGCTCCACTGCTGTGCGCGACCACGATAATATCTGATTCTTTGCCGACGCCGATCTGGTTGCCAACGGAGTAAACGACTTTTTGCTTCTGGTGTCCGTTGAGAGCGAGGTAGTCGAGACCACCATAGGTGAGGCGGTATCCATCATCTATAGTGCGAGAGATATGAGCTGGTGGTTTAATGAGGAGACACGAGGAGGAAAGGCGTACACTTTGCGTTCTTCACCTTTGCGATCAGATTAATCTTGGCCAAATTCGAGATGGCGCGATGCACGCCGCTGCCGCCTCGGAGGCCCGAAAGCTGCACGATCAGTGGGGTCGGGACGACTTCATGGTTCCGGCTTCCGGTTTCAACCTAGAAAAGAAGACATTGTTAGTTATCTGAGTATGATCGCGAAAGACCGCTCTAAACACGGCGGGGTGGAGGGGTCGATAAGTACCCCCGCAAGAACTTTGAAATCCTCACTTGTGAGGTAGCGAATTGCCTTGGCGTCGAGCTTCATCTTTGCAAGGTCTCAGGGTTCTTGATCTGAGAAAAGGGCAGATCTCTGGCTTAAAAAGGGTAGGGCTGCTGCTGGGAAGAGTAACGCGGAGAGAAAAAAGTGATAAGCTCATAGCCCTAAGCCCTATTTCCTATTTGGGCGAGTACCTTGTGAACGTCGCCATTTATCTACGAGACGACGCTAACAGTAGGCCGAGAATTGCCTTGGTTTTGTTGGAGGAAGCAAGTAAGAATTAACAAAATCACCATTTCATACATCTAATAGAGCACAGAACTCAAGCCCCCGTGATCGAGATGTAGTCTACACAACATTCGCAGTCGACGCAGCCTTGGCCGTCCGATGTACCAAATGCAGAAGATAAAAAAAAAGTTCATGCTATTCCTCGGTCGTTCTGAATACATTAGATCCGACAATAACCCGACCGCTATGTGAGGCCCGTCGTAAGGATAGATTGGATACTTTCTCATTTGCTTATTCGGGGCTTTCCCAGTCAGGGTTCTAGATGGTTCGTTAGCAAGCATGTTTTGAGTCAAGTGTTGGATCGAGATAGCTCACCTTGCGCAGAATGACCAAGCCCTCGAGTATGCTGCTGAGAGGAATATACTGCTCATCTTCCAACTCAGCCCTCTCACCATATGACAGAAGCACCGGCGTGCTCTGGGTCTGCCATCCGGTGATGGTCTTTGGCCGACCAGCCTGGCCGACAACGTCCACGGCCTGACCCACGCGCACGTTGACGGTGAGTGGGTTCAGGTCCTCATCGAGAGTCACGAGGAAGCGGGGGAACATGGCGGTAATGAGGAAGTAAAGCAGGTAGTGGCTATCGGCCAAGATGAAGTCCTTGGCGTCAATCAAAGACACAAGAACTGTGAGAAGACCAGCCGCTGAGACTCGAGAAAGGACCTGGCGGTCGGTGTGGAAGGGGTTGAGCGTCATTGTGCCCTTGCCCATGTGAAGGAGACCCTGGGCGATGCGCACCATGAACAGGGAGTTCTGGTCACGGTGGTAGTAGCTAGCCAGTTGGCGCAGAAGCTGTGCCAGACGGGCGTTGTTAGTACCCGCACCGCAGAGACCCATGGCAAAGATGGCGTTAATGGCAACATCGTTGTCATTATCGTGACTGTATCGAGACAGGGTGTCGTAAACCTTCATCTGAGGGTTGCTGGGGCTGATCAAGCCCATAGCAAGGGGCACAGCCCGGCGAATGTTGGGAGAGCCGTAGTGCATGAGATGGCCGAACTGACGGAGAATCATGTCCTGGCCAACATCCTCGCCCATGGCAATGAGGGACAGACCCAGGACAGCGTAAGACTGGACAAGCTCATCACCCTTGTTCTCCTCCTTCTCCTCAATAATATCATTGCAGATGTGAAGGAGCTCTTGCAACTTAAGCACAGTTCCAGTACCAGCCCAGGCACAGACGGAGGCAAGGACGGAGGTGGGCTTGGCCATGGGGTGATCAACAGCCTTCAGAATATCGAGGATAACATCAACCTCCTCCTGTCGACCGAAGTAAAGCAGTGCAAGACCAAGAGCCATGAATCGTGTCCACTTGTCCTTGAGCTGCTTCTGACGCTCCTCGTCCATCAAAGTTGTGGCAATGGCCTCACTAACCTGGTGGTTCGATGAGCCAACAAAGATGAGACCCAGTGAGACCGCTGCCATGGCAGAGAGCTGCATATCCAAAGAAGAATCCTCCACAATAGGGAGAAGGATCTCGAGGAGGTCCTCCTTATTAGAACCAGCATACGCCAGACCGAGACCCATGATAGAGGCAACTCGCATGGGCACGTTCTTGGCCTCTAGGTTGTCAGGATCACTCAAGAGCGCAAGAGCGGGGTCCGAGTCGAGACGGACACCGGAGTTCAGGATACCGATTGCAAGCAAAGCACCAGCTTTTACCTGGTCCTCTGATGCGTAGGTGAACTTGTCGATCTTATCCAAGCCATCCTCAACATCCCGGTGAAGAAGCATACCCAGCGACGCTGTCGTGGAGAGCATGCCGTCGTCCTTGGTCTTCCACACCCACGGGCCCTTCTCACCCTCAACCAGCATCATTTTGTCGTTACCAAAGCCGGCGTTAGCAAAGGAGTTGACAAAGGCGCTCGCCAAGTTGTGTCGTGCCGAATCAAGGTTGGTGAGACCGGCTCCGCGGCTACTCTCCAGGTGTGTTTTATAGATATCCTCGGGCATCTTGGGGTCCAGAATGTTGAGCTCCTTTCCAAGGGACTTGAAGTGCTTGGGAATGGAGGTGTTGTTGAGGCAGTCGTTCAACGCCTCACCTTCCTCGTCCTCAGCCGGCAAGTCGAGCCAAATCTGCTGTCGAGCGACGAGGAAAGCCATCTGTTTCTTGAGGGACTTGTCGTCGGTGGCGTCGATATCACTCTTAATGAGATCAATGTCATTCAATCGGATGGCGAGCACGATGGCCTGGGACAACTTGTTGTAGCGGACGTAGATCTCGTGGGCGGCGCGGAGGAACTGCTGGTCTTCGGGGTAGGTGAGCAAGTTGACCATGCTGACCATGTACAAGCAAACTCGGGAGTATGTGTTCTCATCCACAAAGCGCGGGATCTCCTCGATAATCTCCATCTCACTGAGAAGATCGACTGCATCGGCGTCAGCATTGTGGCTGAGGAAATGAGGCACCAGCGACAAAGCGAGATCCACCAGGTCCTTGGTCTCGTTCTCAGCATTCAACCGGTTTTGATATTCTTGTCCAATCTCAAGCGCCAGGTGTCTAATGTATTCGTGGCCCCAGGAGGCAAGATCCTCCGACTTGGCCAACAGGCGGTATTTCAGAGTCTCCAGCTTCGCCTCGTCTCCGTAGGTCATACCGAGCACTGACAGCGTATCGGCCAGCGAGTCCTAATTAAATGTATGATCAGAATTTGCTAATCGGAATGGCCTGATATCACACCAACCTTGACAGGGCCGGCTGTCCACTTCTCGTAAAGTGCTGCCAGATCATCGTAATGCGGTCGGAGGAATTTCAACGGCTTAGGAACAGCCGTCATGGAAGATGTGGAAGTCTTGATGAAGTTCTTGATTGCGTCCAGGGCAGGTCCGTAGAGAGAGGTGTCGGGCTCCTACGAGCAGATATTAGCATCAACGTCATCGTCTGCTTGAGATGAATTCGGGGGTCATCGTACCTTTAACCGCTCCACGAGCATCTCGAGCTCATCTTTCAATTGCTGGTCCTCTTCACTGAGCTCATCTGAAGAATGTCAGCACTTTGAGTCCAAGCAGTGAAGCATGCCGCGGATGCTACACGCTCTGCTCCGAGAACGTTGCAAGGTGTTGTCGCGACTTACCGTCCTGGGGCTCCTCATCCTTTTTCTTGCCATCCTCGATGGTCTTCTCATCATTTTGGGGCTTCTTGCCGTTCAACTCGCGAACGTCTTCAACCTTGCCCTTGCCCTTGTCGGCGGCGGTTGACCGTTCGCCCTCGTTCGCCATTTCTGACGGGTATCCGGCGACCGGTTCGGTGTGGAATCAAGGATGCGTAACGGGGAACTCAAGATTCGGGAGATGAAGTAAGCAAAGTCACAAAGGAAAGAGAGATAGAGACCTGCAAACGACGGGTGATGCAGTTGATTGTAAGCTGGTGATGGAAGCGCAGAGAGCTCGGGCTGGTGCAGCTCCCGGATTATGTCAGCGCCAAGCCTTCGTCATTGTTTTGCCTCGACACCTTGAGAAACATGAACATCTTCTACCTAGATACATTATAGTTCTAGTGATGTTATTCACTGAGTTACTGCTGAATAGATATATGATTTACTTAAAAGTCTCTCTACACCAAATCACGGCCAATACCGCCATATGTGCAAGGTTGAAACCCGTCGCAGACCATGCTAGGAACCAACTGAGCCAGAAATCAACCAAGACAGAATAGATCTAAACCAGGACCCTCGGTTACTATGCTGTCATCAGTACAGTGCCCATATCGTAGACGGAACTTGTCGGCATATTCCCTGGTTTGCCTCAGATACGTCTCCGGTGTCAATGTCTCTCCATCATAAGACATCAAGGACAACTCTTCAATGTCTGGAAGACCCGATTCGAAGAGATCGACGAGAGGCATGATAGTGGATGCTCCAGTGAGCGGCTTCTCCGGAGATACATAATCCACCAGTGGCTCAAGGGGCTCATCGGGATTATGGATTTCAGGAATTGGTCTCTTGTCAGTATTGAGGCTAACTTCATGGGCAAATTCTTCCGGAGGGTGGTACAGATCGTGATGAACTGTGACGAATGATGCTGCCGTATGGCCTGGGAATGATGGGTACAACATATAGTATCCCTTGGCCCGCATCAATTCCACCAGATAGTCCATAAAGGCTGGGTATCTTCTAGACATGATCTTGTCTTGTGAAGCAATATTGATTTTCGTCTCTGAAACACCCAGACGACTGGATAAGAAAGAGTGAAATTCAGTCCACTTGTCGCCGAAAAACAATGCTGCGTTACTGTTTGGCGCTTGCCACAAGAAAGATGGGATAGAGTTCAATGCATGATTCTTAGTATCATCCACCGATAGCATCGAAGGCGGATTGAACGGTCCTCCACCAGTCGTAGGTTTTGTAGAGGGTAGTTCCAAAGAGATTCCCATGAGATCCACCGAGGCGTGCTTAGCCCGTGCCGACTGTTTGTAATGCAGAATGTTGTACTTGAGATAGTGATAGAACGAAGGAGCTACTTCCGTCTGAGGAGATAGCATGAGCAAGTGGCACAGGCGGGGATTCACTGGGTAGAACCCTTCCACCGTGCGAATAGACGATTCTGCTGGGTCCATGTAGCGTGGGTCAATACGTCGCCGGAGAGTGATGCGTCCCGCAAGCTGGGACAATCCCTCCAAATTCTGTAAAACTCCTCGCAAATTAGGGTCTAGCGATGGTGGAAGCTCAATAGTCAAGCTAGGTGTTGATCCCAGATAATCTGCAGCATCCAAAGACCTGATGAGTCTAATCAAAGATCCTGACGATTTGGAAGCGTGAACCACCATATCAACGCGAATGTCATTCCAGACTGGTGTCAAATAAATGTATCAGTAAAGCCATTTTGAATAAGTTGTTGTTGTGAGGAGAATCACCTTTCAAAGCTGTGCTATCGATGAAAGACATCCACATGATGTCTCTAGAAGCCGAGGGGAGCGCGATATGGGTAATAGCAGCTTTCTGCTTATGGGCGTTCACTCCGTTCCAGAAGAATGAGTCTTCCCAGCTTTTGCTCTGCGTTATAATAACTTCTGGAGCCACATATGCCTGGATCAACCCCAGACCTCCAGGCACAGCCCGTTCCATGCGAGCATCAGAAGACTCTGCCAGATGATCCGGTCGACTGTCTGTGAAACAAAGTCAGCACTGTCATAAATTGCAAGACGAAAGGCTTATAAACGAACCATGCCATGTCATTGGGCACTCGGAATCTGAAATTCCGTTCACGATTTTAAATCCATCAATGGAAACTTCATCCTTCCCAAAGAGAACAAAATGTACATGATTCAAGTTCTTTCGTGCCATTTGGCAAGCCAATGGTAGCATGTCCGAGACACTATGAAGGCTTGATGCTGCAAAAAGCACAGCATGGCTAGCCTTGTGCTCCGACTGCTTGCTGCGGGGAAGAGACCGAGCCAGCTCGTAGAACTTGATTGCCCCATCAAAAGACTCTTCCTTGTCGTTTATTTGCGGCACTCGGTGTGGTGAAATATCTGTCTTAGACACGACTGGTGACTGAACCGGAGGGGGTGGTGGGGGAGGAGGAGGGTGTCTCAGTCTTGCAATTGTCGGGTTGTATCGTTCGGCGGCCGGGGCGATGTCTGTGGGCATGTGCTTGAAGAATTGATAAAGGGCCACCAAAGCGATCACAGCTATCAGAATGCGCCGAGGTCGAGGGTACACGCGACTTTGTGCAGGACGAAAGCGGACTTGGTTGGAGTGGAGATCGTCGTCCTTCTTGCCCAGCTCCTCATCGGCGCGTAAGGGCATCTTTGCGGGCGCCATACTATAACGCGGGCGGCTTTGAAGCCAGAGGATCTGCGAAGATCATTGAGCCCAGTCAAAATCCTTGTCACGTTTGTCAGAGCTCAGCGAGGGCTAGGGCGAAAGAGGTGTGAAGGGGTCGAGATGTTGTTAGACTGTTCTTCATTTAACTGTGAGATCGACGGCTTATCGTCTTATCGCCAACTTGAACTCCGCGTTTCTTCTCCACTTCACGCCGCGCGCACGCGACGCAGAACCCTGAGCATCATGGCTGACAACATGGATCTGGATCTTCCTGATGAGCGTGGAACTAAGCGCGCCGCGGAGGAGACAGAGGCCGCTGGGCCGTCCAAGCCCAAGAGAATTAAGGTACGGGCAGCTCTGGACATTCAGTGGCACACTATGCAACAAAACATGCTAACGAGCCTCCGCAGGCCCTTGATCCCGATGTCGTCAACAAAATTGCCGCTGGAGAGATCATTGTTGCTCCAATGCACGCGCTGAAGGAACTGATTGAAAATGCTGTCGATGCAGGTTCTACCTCGATCGAGGTTCTGATCAAAGATGGAGGATTGAAGCTGCTACAAATTACGGATAATGGGCATGGAATTGATGTGAGTCGACATCTCATTCTAACAGATATGGAAGATCCGACTGACTTTCTCAAGCGCGATGACCTTCCTATCCTCTGCGAACGATTCACCACGTCTAAACTTAAGGAGTTCGAGGATCTCTCTTCCATTGGCACATATGGATTTCGTGGCGAGGCCTTGGCCAGTATCAGTCATATCGCTCATTTGACGGTGACAACGAAGACGGCTGGGTCTAGCTGCGCCTGGCGGGCACATTACGGTGATGGGAAATTGGTTCCAGCAAAGCCAGGACAGAATGCTGCACCCAAGGCGACTGCTGGTCGCGGAGGAACACAGATCACGGTAAATAGCACCGCTTTGTCGTCAAATCCCAAGTTTCTAATAGAAGCAATAGGTCGAAGATTTGTTCTACAATATTCCTACTCGCCGCCGGGCGTTTCGCTCTGCAAGCGAAGAGTACGCCAAGATCCTCGACGTGGTTGGTCGATATGCAGTACACTGTTCAGGCGTCGCCTTCTCGTGTCGCAAGCATGGTGACTCGGGAGTAAGCATCTCAACTCCTTCTGCTGCTAGCATCGTCGACCGAATCCGCCAAATCCACGGTAGTGCCGTGGCAAACGAAGTGGTCGAATTTGAGACTTCAGACAGCAAGCTTGGCTTCCGTGCCTCGGGCTTAGCTACCAATGCGAACTACCATGTCAAAAAGACGGTTATCCTCCTCTTCATCAACCACCGTGCCGTGGAGTCCACTGCCATCAAACGCGCCGTGGAACAGACATACTCCGCGTTCTTGCCAAAAGGTGGACATCCTTTCGCGTATATTGATTTGGAAATCGAGCCTCATCGCGTGGATGTTAATGTGCACCCAACTAAACGCGAAGTAAACTTCTTGAATGAGGATGAGATCATCGAGATGGTCTGCAATGAAATAAGATCCAAACTTGCCCAGGTGGACTCCAGCCGAACATTCCTCACGCAGACTCTCTTGCCTGGTGTTCAGACCATTGATACCATCCAACTCGACCAGGGTTCTTCCAATGAAGGTGTAACAGATGGAAAGACAGCAGGCACACCGAAAACACCCGCCACCTCCAAAAGACCATACGAAAACAACCTCGTTCGGACGGACTCTAAAGTCCGCAAAATCACCTCTATGCTTGCCCCGTCTCCTGCACAACCTGACACACCTACCGCCCCCGGCAACAAGCCATCACCTATACTGGATGACAGTCTCCAATACGAAACCACAGACCGTCAACCCCTCCGCATCGCCCTCACATCCGTCAAGAGCCTCCGCAGTGCAGTACGCGCCACCATGCACAACACATTAACGGAGATGTTCGCATCACACACCTATGTCGGCCTTGTGGATGAACGACGACGCTTAGCCGCCATCCAATCCGGAGTCAAACTCTACCTAGTAGATTACGGTCTCGCTTGCAACGAGTTCTTCTACCAAGTCGGACTAACAGACTTTGGAAACTTCGGTGTCATCCGGCTGGACCCCCCACCAAAGCTAGTGGACATACTCAAGATTGCCACCGAGGCAGAACAGCAGGAACGCCCCAGCAATGACGCAGATGCAGAAACCATCTTCGCCAATGCCGCAGAGATGATAACTCGGACGCTAATTGAGCGGCGTGAAATGCTAGACGAATACTTTTCATTAAAAGTCAGTCCGGAAGGCGAACTACTTACAATCCCACTCCTGTTAAAGGGGTACGTGCCCTCATTGGCAAAACTCCCACGCTTCCTACTCAGACTCGGTCCCTATGTGGACTGGTCCGGTGAAGAAGAATGCTTCCGCAGCTTCCTCCGTGAACTAGCCACCTTTTACACTCCAGAACAACTCCCAGTCTCTCCATCCAAGGAACCCTCCAACCCCGAAGAAGCAAATATTCACGAAGACCCAATGATCACAACCCGCCGCGCGCAAATGATCCGAATGCTAGAATACGCTATATTCCCCGCCCTCCGCGGGCGGCTAGTGGCTACATCGCGAATGCTCAAGGGCGTGGTGGAAGTCGCCGACCTTAAAGGTCTCTACAGGGTCTTTGAGCGATGTTAAGACTTGATGATAGCAATTGAAAAAAACCCAATGTTATCGATATATCAATATGGAGTATGAATCAAAGCAACCATACATGTTTGGAGGTTGCATAAGACCCAACAGTGTTCGGATTTTAAGACCACGCCTCGTTTGTCGCGAGTAACTCAAACCCGTCATCCAATACAGAAGAAGGTAAGTAGAAAATAAACGAAAAGGCCGGACTGTGTATATTCCGAGTCAAGACGGAAGGTAAAGGAAGGCACAGAAGTATCGCCGCTCATATGAAGACCCCATATTCTTAATTCAACCGAAGGGAAGAAATGGTAACCAAAGGTGAAGAAAGTTAGAATGAATATGAGAATAAGAATGATGATGAAATAATGTTGTAAGAGTCTCCGAAAGGATAATGTCCAAGAGTGAAAAGGGTGAGGCTAAAAGTAATAAAAAAACACGACATGGTGAGGATGGTGAAAGCATTGCGACTTTGGTGATATTCCCATATCAAATCCAGCAACGCCAAGCGCCATAATCCAGCGAAAAGTCATCCCTCGTAGCAGTCGTGTGTCAAATCGTTCAACGTAAATGCATGTTCCGACATGGGTGTGTGGATGCGGCAACATGAGAAAAATAATTAAGAATATGTGATGTGGTCGGGCATATGGTGGCAATTAAAGGTTGTCACAAGTTAAGCTTGGTTACTGTCCTAGGATCGGGAGTAGGGTTTGTTGAGGAGGGCGATCTCGCGGGCGACGGTTGGCCATTCAAGTTCGCGTTTTAGGGGGCCTCGTTTCTTCATTTGATTTTCTTCCCATTGGAGGAGTTCATAGCTAAAGAGTGTAAGTGACTAGAAGGTTTGAGGGGGGGGCGGAGGTCTTCACATAAAGCGGAGATGGGGTTGGATAATCACGTTGAGACGTCTAGCTCGGACAAAGCAACTGGGCGGAGGTTAGTTTAGGACTTGGATTTAGTTTTGTAGACAGGTGGACATACTATGCGTGAGGGAAGGAAAGACGCTTGGTTTTCATCACCTCGGCAATGCAGATGCTGGCGGATCGGGAAACTCCAACGCGGCAGTGAACGAGGGTCGCCTTGCCTTCTTTTTTATCATGTTCTGAAAATTCATCAGTGACACGTTCAACGCAACACATGGACACGAGTCCGATGCATTTCACTCACCGAGGAATTCCAGACACTTGTCGATTTCCTGCCAGAGCGGATCGATACCGTTATCTTGGACGTTGTCAATGTACATGAGGTTCTCTTTACCCCATTTGTCACGAGTTTCCTCGGTCCACGAAACAGGTTCTCCGATGCTCAAAACGCGTCGGATCCCAAGTTCCCGCAACAAATCCGGGTTGTTGGCATGGTTAAGGTTACCCAGGTAAAGGTAGGGCAGAATGCGACTGGGCAAAGATCCATCCATCTTCAAAAACCAGTTTGGATCCCATATCTCTGAGGTGTCAATGTTATGATTTGTCGGACTTTCTTGCAAAAGACGTGACTGAACGTGGCTTAGGAACGCAACGTCCGTTGGATACGCGAAGAAGTTCCGGCCTTTCTGGCAATGCAGACGAAGCCAAGCTTCGTGCGCGGGAACTCCTTCGGCGAACATGAAATATGCAACTGCCAGCAGCGAGCTCTCGGTGTAGCCGTCTGCGCAGTGGATAAAGATTCGACGAGGCTTCTTGCCGGGGTGGGTCATGGCGATGTCGCCATCACGGTCAGCCACTTCGTGGGGCTCGGGATGAGCGAGGTAGTAGATCCATCGGATGGTAGCGACCAAGTCTTCGACTTCGCGCGTATTGCCTGATGGGAGAACAATAGATCCCGACGAGGGGAAATCAATTCGCTGGGGTCCTTTTTCAAGCTTCGCGTCGACCGTGGCCAAGAAACGAGGACCTGGGATACTTGCGAGATCACTTGCCTCGATCATCAGATCGTAGGGATCTATTTCAGGCTTTTCACAATCTCCAGGTCGCAGCATATAATCGGGAGTCGGTCCAAGCCAAACATTTTTTGAGATTTCCGAAGCACGAGACATGCTGCACATCTCCAGACGCTCCCATTGAGAAAAGTCCATGACCCGACCAGTGAGCTGGCCATCTGCAGTGATAGCGACCAGTTGCGGGCGCTTCTTCTCAATATGGTGGAAGGAGCTCGTGACGACAAAGGTGTTGTAAGGCGGACGTTCTTGCATGGGATCATTCTTCATGCGCCAGGCCTGCTGGGCCATCGCGAAGTCCTCTGCTAGGGCAAGGAGCTCCGACTTGCTGGCTTGGTCTTCAGCATAGACCACGATATCCGACATTGCCGCAAGTTTGGCAGTCTGGATTTGGAAGTTTCGAACGGAGAAACCGTCGGGGGGATCGGCCATCAAGAAACGCGATGTGGGTGAAATGACTTCGTTGGGAGCGACGGCACCCTTGATGCGCGCCTTACTCAGATCTCCACCCATCTTGACCACTGTGATACCGCGCCAGCATTTCGGTGCCCGGCGCAGTGATTTCCTGCGGCTTGAGAAAAAGCCCAACTGCAAATGGTTATCCGGGTGGAGACCATGCAGCCAGGGGAACATTTGCGATGGATCGGGCAATGGCTGCGCTGCCATGTGATCGAGCGCTGAGGAGAGGGTTTCGGCATCGATGGCATAAATATTGGGTGCCGGCGGGGACGAAATGCGCACGAAGCCATCTGCCGGGTAGAGGAGAGAAGACGTCTGATCATTGGTGGTGCATCGTGCAGGCGTCTCCTGTGCATCGGAAGGCGGCGGGCCTGTTGGGCACACAGGGAGATGCCTGGTCGGAATCGGGCTCGGTCGTCTGTTGACGGAGATGGCGGATGGGATGGGAGAAGGAGGAGGGGTTGAATGGCGCAGCGGCTGCTGAACAACAACGGTCGCCATGATGGAGAGGCGACGATCGCAAGTGTTGGTAAGTGAGGGGGTTCAATATCACACTATTCGGCAGCGGCGCAACCGGATTACATCCTTTTCGGCAGCGAGAAGAGAGACAGGAAGATGAATGACTACTCAAATATAGAGACAGGAGAAAGAATGTCAAGGGGAGAGGGAGGGGGCAGTGAGAGGTACAAGTACGGGCACGATCATACGACGGAGACCAGGCCAGTAAGGGGCCAGGAATGAATCGGACGTGAATAACAGAGCAGTCTACTTTCTTTCATTTATCTCATCATCGTCATTCCCGGCTTCAGCGACTCCACCGCTCCACTTGGTTATCACGATTAGAACTTGAACCGGCTTTGTACCCTAGTTACTGAAGTGAAAAGGCGTACCCCGCCTGGGACACGCTACTTCATCCACGGGCCACTCTTGGGCGGCGCCTGCAATCTAAGCTCGGGCCCAATCACGGCCCCGGGGAGGCTTCCGATGACGCTGAGATTCCTAGGTCGGTACATGTTATCTTCCCCACCTCGCTAACTCGGTCTGGATTCCTGTCCAACGGGCATCGTCTGTGTGGCCCCATCCACCACCAACAGTCTCTCCCCGCACACTCGATACCCACTCGGAGATGTTTACCCTACAGTGGCAATGTATCCTAGGCCCGACCGTCCATGGAATGTGAGGGTCATCAAACTCAATTTGCTTCGGGCTAAACATTGATTTGGGAAAAGTGGATGCATTGTCTCGAGTGTATAGAAGGCCAGAGTCGTACGTTTGTCGCTGGGTGATGGGCGACCCCGGATCGTCCGTCTGATCCACCTGCAAGTGGGGGATGCAGGAGACCCAACTGTTCGAGACTTTATTTACATCCAAAAACCGGATGAACACGGCCAAAATTAAAAAAAAATCAGTGTCCCCAAACCTAGCACAGATGCAAATGCAAATGCAAATGCAAATGCCTAGGAGACGGGTATCTTGCCAACGACCAAAGAGCCGGTGCCCGAATGAACCCATGCGGGCGTCCAATGTAGCACAAGGAGGGGGGGGGGGGGGAGGGGGCGCGTATCCCCCTCGCGTAATGCTGGTCATTTCACCCACACAACTCTCATCGACGGACTAGCCATTGGTCGGCTAATTCACTCCTAGGCTACTGTAGTAAATGCGGGATGCGGGACATGTCAGGCAAGACTGCGTCGAACCATCGGGCTACGTTCTGTTGATCTTATGTCGATTGTCAGCCGTGTTGATTGGGCTAGCCTTGCGAAGGTTTGGGGGAAGTATCACGGTGGGGATGCTGACAACATCGACCTCTAGTTGCGAGGTTGCCAAGAACTTGGCCCGGTCGTGGGATCGCCTGGTAATTATGTATTATGAACCTGGCTTGAAGGTGAACTATGTTGAGAATGGAACTTGATACACCCGGTTATGATATGCACTGCGCAGCCTCGGGCAGGAACAGAAGCCGTGCGCCGACCGGACCAGCACATTGGCTAAATGTCCTATCCCATGATGAGAATTGTGTTCTCCTTGCCTTGATATATTCAGTTCGGCTAGTATTAGGTTGGGCATTATATTCAAACCCAGATCGCCACCAGTCCCGAGATCCTGGGTTGACTACTATGCTAGTTCCCATAAGAAGATAGGCCAACAAGAAACCCGAAGCTCTCCCAAAAGGCAGCAATGATCGTCGGAAATACTAGCGGCTGCCGACATAAACCTCATGCCCCGGAGAACTTTGTCGATAAAATCCATCAAACCCGACTAGTAAGATAACCTATTAAGGCCTTCTGGCCGGCCGGACCCGCGGGCTACTCGCGTCATGCGGGTAGCTGCTGTATCTTACGATCTTTGCCGACGGTCCTTGCGAGGTACTCCTATTCGGAATTGGGTGTAGAATCTGATACCTTAGCTTTCCACGAACCGGTTTATTGCCAACTCCTCACTGGAGTATTATGGCTTGTGCAGGGCGACGTGGCCGGTAAACAGTGGCCGAGAGGAGAATGCATTATCTATTTTGATGGCAAACATGATAGAAATGCTGCACGGGTTGTCAGCTGCGTCCACATACTTCAACAACGATATCGAAACCAGCAGGATTTCTTTTTTGGTTGGCACCAGTCGGCGCGGTATCATTTCTCTGGTGACTACCAATACATCCGTTGTTGAGCTGGTGCTAGAATCTACCCAACCTTTAAATAAAGCTACGGTGATGCATTTCATTAGTTGGGTTGGGTCTGTCATCTTCCACTTGAATAGGTTTGCCAGTGAGATAGTGAGATGGAGGCTTCAAGGCTAAACATCCTCGAGAACGGTTTCATTGCTGTCAATACCTGTTGGTTTTCCATGCATTTGTCTCAAATATCTACCGTTATTGTTTGATTTTCTTATCAAGAAACAAACGGCCCAGAACTACGCTGCCTTTGATTTTGCCTCTGCATGCAAAAACCACTTCTGAGTCACCGCCGAGTGATATAACGTTGACGCCAGGCCTGAAGTACGGACTCGGATATAGCATCACACTTGTGACACGGGTAGAAGTGATCGAGAGCAGGACATGTTCTCTCTTCGACTAGGAGATCGTCATCGGTATCTCCCAGTGACATGCCGATGTGACGCGCACGCAAAACTATGAAGCGGAATAGGCCCTCGTCGCAGGGCAGAATGGACATGACTCCTTACTCGCAGCCTCGATTCAACGAATTTGTTTTTCTGAACTATGGTAAACTCTGCGCCATAAAATGTACTCTTGGAGGCATTATCCGCGATTGATAATCGGCGATCGGCGCTGGGGCTTCGAGTCAAATGAACCGCGGCTCGGGGTAGATCATCTGGAGGATTCGCTCGGGCTGGAGCCAATACGGTCATTTGTCAGCGATACTGTAAGCCAGAGGCTGTAAGTCACAAGCTCAGATCACCACATCCGCAAGGCCTGCAAGATCAGGCCATGCCTAAACGCGGGAGCTATGAGGGGGCAGGCGTTCGTGGAAGAGAGGTGTTATCGATAAGAGAATTGGTAGGCGGTGGGTTATCAAGGTGTGGCCCAAGCGCGGCGACTCTCGCTTGCGAACGACCAAGTTCTCTCCAGGGATCTCCGGATATCGTATCTTCACTTCTCCACCTCCGTCGCCTTCGCAGAACCAACCTACAACCCGCGAGAGATGATACGCGCTGACCGGTGACGGGCGAATACTCCCCTCCGCTCCCATCCAGTTCCCTCAAGCGGGGTCACCATCCGCCGCGCTTGTATCCACCTTTTGGCAACCCGACCACCTGCGCTTAAAGTCTACCGGCAAGATGGCGATGAATTTCGTGACCTTCAACCAGGACTACAGCTACCTGGCGGTTGGTGAGCTTCCCTCCTGCGCAATGTAGCCTCTATTTCGGTGTTTAACTGACGTCAACCAGCCACCTCCAAGGGATTTCGCATATTCACCACCGAGCCTTTCGCTAAGAGCTATGAGACTAAGGAAGGGAATATCGCGGTGATTGAGATGCTGTTCTCCACATCGTTGGTTGCACTCATCTTATCGCCCCGCCGGCTGCAAATCACAAACACCAAGGTTCGTCGGAGTCTATCAAGGCGCCCGCTATATCAAAATTATTCGGAACTGATCTGATGGCTTTTTTTTTCTCAGCGCCAATGCACGATATGTGAATTGACATTTCCGACGACGGTCTTGGCTGTCAAACTGAATCGCAAACGTCTCGTCATCGTCTTGGAAGATCAGATCTACCTCTATGACATCCAAACGATGAAGCTCTTGTCCACGATCGATACGTCACCGAATCCACACGGTATGCCGCGACGCTAGATCTGATTTTTGCCATAGTCACTGACATAGAACCAGCTATTTGTACCCTAGCACCATCGTCAGACAACTGCTACATAGCATATCCTTTACCCCAGAAAGCCCCGGCATCAATAAAACCTCCAGCACATGCGCCACCAGGAACAACGCATGTCTCGCCAACCACCGGAGACGTTCTAATATTTGATGCGCAGAAACTCGAAGCGATCAATGTTATCGAGGCTCACCGTTCTCCGTTGGCCTGCATTTCTTTGAACAGCGAAGGGACACTGCTGGCAACGGCCTCGGACAAAGGCACGATCATCCGCGTTTTCTCAGTTCCCGATGGTCACAAGCTCTACCAGTTCCGACGTGGGTCCATGCCTTCGCGCATCTTTAGCATGTCCTTCAACACCACATCAACCCTTCTTTGCGTCTCCTCTTCCACCGAAACCATTCATCTCTTCAAACTGAGCCAGCAAGGTCCACCCTCCGAAGGCTCTCCTCCATCGCATTCCTCCATCGGCCGCGAGTCATCTCTCGGAGCCAGCCAATTTGGAAGCTCGCATGAGTCCGATGAAGGAGGCGGCGAGACAAGCGCGGACTTGGCGGCCCGAAAGCACAATGGTACATTGATAGGGATGCTTCGCCGAACATCTCAAAATGTCGGTGGGGCCGTGGCTTCAAGAATGGGCGGATACCTGCCCAAGGGCGTGAGTGAGATGTGGGAACCAGCGCGAGACTTTGCCTGGATCAAGATTCCACGATCCAGCCAAGCGCAAGGTGGGAATGGGGGTCCCGGTCCTCTTCGGAGTGTTGTTGCTATGAGCAATAGCTCTCCGCAAGTAATGGTTGTGACCAGCGATGGGAACTTTTACGTTTTCAACATCGACCTGTCCAAGGGTGGGGAAGGAACCCTCACGAAGCAATATTCGTAAGTTTCGACGCACGCCTCTATTTGATAGGGCTTCACTAATCGATACTTAGGGTGGTAGATTCGAATGACCGGCTAGGAAATCCACAGATGGATTTCTGAGGGCAAGGTTTCCCTTGACTCCATGATGACAATGTCTCTTTGCCTAGTCGAATCACGACTTCGTAAATCACTTGTTGGCCACCTCTCCATACACAACCTCACAGACAAGAGACTACTCGCGTTCCCTTTTCCACTTCCCTCTTGGAAAAAGACACAAGAGCCTTGCTCCCCAGGTGTTTCTTTCCTTCATGACTTTTGCTCTGCACATTGCTCTCGGCCTCTTTCGGCCCCATTCCCCTCGTTCTGAGCATTAGCGATTCGATTCTCCGTTTGGCGTTAGCATCCATGCTTTGTGTTCGTTATGTTTCATTCCTGGTAGATTCCTTTTTTTTTTGTACATGTGGCGAGTGATTGACAGCCTCAATATCCCGTTGATAGTTATTCATTACTTGAATGCAGTTCATTGATATGACCAATTCACTATTCTGATTTCCTCCAAGCGATATCGGTATCTTGCTCATGATAGGCATGAGTAATTCCTCTGTTTAATGGGCAACACATGCACTGTGCGAAGTACACGGGCCCAATACCGGTGTTGTCGCCTTTTCTTAGTCAGGTCATTGGATTTGAGAATGGAGATGGCCAATGAAGCTCAGCGGATCGTACCAACTAGTATCTATCTCTATCTCTAATCTATGTACGTATATCTGTATGTCTATGTCTATGTCCATGGTGTTATTAACATTTACTCGAGGCTTATGCATGCACGGCGGCAAGCGGCGGCTTTCTCGGTGGCCACCTCCGGGCCTAGCTTGCCCATCACGGCAGGCTCCGCGTCCCCTCGGCCCAAAGTGGGTCAACAAAGTACACCAAACCGTGCCCGATAGCAGCGGCGAGTGGTCCAACCTACGTAAGGTTAAACAAGCTCTTTATAACAAAAACCAATGGATGTAGGTGGAAGGCAGACTTACCCAGTGGATCCAGTGATAGGAAGGGAATTCCGACGCCACATAAGCACCGAAACATCTAGCTGGGTTAAGACCTGCATGAACCGGGTTACTTAAACGCGCCCCCCCCCCACGAATCCACTTCTTTCTAGAACTTACTCGCTCCAATATACCCTTCACGGGTGAAGGCTGTGCCCCAGCTGACGATTCCCAGAACGATCCCCACAAACCACGGAGCCGTGGCGTGGCCAAAGACATTAGCCTGTCGTGGATCTAGAGCAACGCCAAAGGCCAGGAAAATAAGAACTAGGCACGCGATAAATTCAATCACGAGGCCGTCTTTGGGCTCTACCATTGATGTATCGATGTGGCATCCTCCTATGGTAATTTCTCGACTCCCATACGCACTGTGTAGCATGAAACCAGCTAAGGCTCCGCCGAAAGTCTGCCCAATCAAGTACAAGACCATGCGCGGGAAGGAGATGATGCGCGCAAAGAATATGGCTAGTGTAATGGTCGGGCTAATATGGCCTCCACTCGATGGAGAAAAGGTATAGATCAGGAGCGGAGTCAAGAGGAGATTGGTGATGCCTCCGAAGAGTGGAGAGAAGAAGGTGACAGTAGCGTAAACACCGGCCTGGGTCTTCGGGGAAGTCGTCGCAGTAAGTGGATGCGTCGTGACCCAGCACGAGATAAACACGTTCATCATACTAGCTAAACACAGCCATTAAGATTAGCCTCAAACGTCCTGCAATTAGAGGTAGAGTAAGTAGCAGAATTTTCTGCCCTTGGACAACTCCAGAAAAAATGAACTCACCAACACATTCCAGCATCGCAAACTTGTATAGATCGGGACTTAGAAACCCGCGCAAATCAAAAACCTCGGCCAACGTCATACACGGTGCAGCGTCGGGCACCTTTTCCAGAACTTCCACATTCCGGGGATCATTGCGATCGACAATAAAGTCCTGATTACCGCCGAGCCGCCCAGCGAAGGGAGCTATGGCCGGCTCCAGATACGGGTGATCGTCCTTGGTATCGAGTTCATGCTGGGGAAGATAAGCCACCATATTGAGTTTCAGGGCGCGATTAGGCAATCGACGTGAGGCGATCCTTGGCTCTGCAGTTCACCGAGTCAACGTAACGGAATGAAGCGCCACATTGGGATTATTGTGGGTCCGGCTACAGGGACGTTGTTTTTAGACCGCCTTTCATATTAGGTCTGGAGCTCGACCGGGAATATACATAATATAGAAGGATTACTAGTCTTCTTCATCTTTGTCCGCAAGAGGTTGTCTGATAGTGCTTTAGTCTATATAGATCTTCAGATTTAGTCTGATTAGCCAAATATGTCATTAAGTTAGATCGCTGTGACGGCAGTATAACCTTTGAAGGGGAAGGCGGTACAAGAATAGCGTGTGTCTCGAACATGTCCCGTTTCTTGTGGATGAGTCAGCGCATAGACTTTCTCCATCCGGTCAGTTTTCCCTTTTCGGGATCAATGTTGGCCGAATTGGCCGGCCGGCGAACTTGATTAATTGGATTTTTTTTTTCGTAGCTTATTTCGATTAACATATCGTAGGGGATTTTCCTTAGATTATAGAATTACTCTCTTACCACCCCGGATTATCGATATTTAGTGTACTGCATTTGTAACGAGAACGAAAATCATCAATAGCCCCTCGAGCCCCTATTGAGATATCACAGATAAGCCCCTATCTGGAGTAATCGACGATGCTAATTCTCAAGTGTGCACGGTCAAGATCATGACTGCCACACTTCGATAGAGATGATCCGACTGTTTCCATGATTAATATGAATCACATCGGCTCCATCTATCATTGATTTCCTTACGTACAAAATATAGAGTTGGAGATCTCCACGGGATATTAGTCAAGGAAATGGCTCGGCACCTGTAGGACCTCTCCGAGCGTGGCATTTCTTCTCGGATAGTCCCACGGTCTGATACATGCTCAATCAGTTGCTCATTTCCATGACATTTGGCTATTGGTAAATGGGGTTGAACGCTGAAGATTGCCAAATTTGATGCTCCGTCTTTGTAAACCGTATCAACCACGCCATCTACCACGTGCCCGAATATGTTTTTGCCACCATTTGGAGTGTTGACAGAATACCAAATCTCCATTATTTGAATCTTATCATGTACATGCCCAGGCACTTGGTATACATCATCTTCTAATATCTCACGTTCTCAAACAACATCTGGAGCATTTATTGTCGGAAAGATGAAATGCAGTGCCTCCAAGATATGCATGGGCAAGTGTGCATGTAATGACAAGTATGAACTCGGGGACACTCAAATGTGAATGTTATGTAGAGCCGGACGAAGAATATCATACAAGTTATTCTAAATAAGCGGCCATGACTTGTCTGATTCCCTAAGAAGTATATGAGGTAATCTTCAAGACACCTTGGAAAAGCAATCTTAGAACAACAGAGGTCCTAAAAAGAGCCTTGGAGAGATGCCCCAAAACATAACGAGGAAGAACTAAAGAATCAATGTGTAGGCCTCCCTTTGGAATACCTAGGTATCTTCTTGGCGGGCTGTATGGGCATTGGCCAAATAAACCTGATCGACACCAAGCAGGCACCTGGAAAGCCCGAACATTAGATCATGAAAGGCACGAGATTCTAGACCCAGTCCGCAGCAATTACCATGTGGGGCAAGCCAAAGCATACATTCCGGTGGCTTATAATACCATTGAGACAGTCAGCTGTCTCGTCTGGAGAACACAGGTAGTGATCTAGTATGCGGAGAATCACTCAAGGTGCATACAGTAGGGGGATGTCTCCTTTTGCATTGAGACCAACTGAGATATTTCTCGCTGGCGTCGTGTCTACAAGTTCTAATGATTGATGAATTAAGATGCGGGAACCCGGGCACAATATTCGACGTCAAACATCCAGTCATTGCCCCAACTAGGCTCACGATGGTTCGTATCATTAGGTAGGTGGAAGGCAAGACATGCAGCCAAGTGCCACAAGTCCTCTCCAAAGGCCAATATGTCAGTACTTATATACATCAAAAAAGACATTATCCCACAGAAGCTCTAGAAATTGCGGCGAAATTTTTGAGGAATGTTGACTTCCACGATTTGCATCGTCTCGAGTTTCTCGAGCCTCATCTCAGCCGCTTCCATCTCGTCATGCCTCCTGAAGTGCTCAATATCCTGGGGGTGGGTCAAGTCCTCCTCCTTTGCGTCGTCTCCGTGGAATTTCTCGAAGTGGTGAATCTCGTATTCATACTCCATATCGCCATGGTGTCCGGGTCCATATCCGAGGTCGGGCAGGCGCACGCCGTCGGCGATTGCCTTCATCCAGGCTTCACGGGTAATGAAGCCGGTGTGAGAAGCGTCAAAGAGATCAAAAACAGTGCGGACAGCGGCCTGTTTGCTGGATTCGCTTACGCCGTTGTTGGATTCATCGTCGAGACCGTACGTCTTACGGACTTCGTCGACAGACCATGACCCGGAGGAATCGTAATCGTGAAGCAAGAAGAATGAGCCTGCATCGAAGGATTCGATATGATGTTCCTCTAAAACCATTTTTAGCAACCTTTCGCGTGCTTTGATCTTAAAATCGTACCCATCATGTGTCTCGTGGCCCAATCGTCGGACGGCGGTTGGTCGCTCGAATGAGAGCCATGGGCATTTGCGAGGCCGCTACCGATAGCGAGCACCCCGGCGACAAAGCAGATTAAGCGACCGGCCATTGTAGAAGGTAGTTGACGGGGAACTGGGGACATGTATCCTTGACCCCGGAACAGGAGATGCAAGCGGGCAAGCTTGTTTGCAGTGTTTGCACCGGCATTTTACGTTGCCGGAATTTCTCGCATTGCACCATTGATTGTTTCCTCAACTCCATTGCAGCATCGGACTCTGCAGGGGGTCTAATTGACCCTTTTCCTTACTCTTGTACTACATGTGCTTACCAGATATGATCCGATAATGCAGAACTTGTGGTCCCGCGCTGCACGGTCGCAGTCGTCCTGCCGCTGTGTTTCGTGTTTGAGTACGACTGCCAGCGGAGTCACTTCGCGGTCGGCAGGCGCTGCCAGCAAGAAGAAACTTCGAATTGGAAACTCGGTGACCGCGCTATACACGAGCATCTTCGCCGCCGCCGCCCTTGCCGATGCCAGAGCAAAGAGTCAACGTCGACATGACTGGGAGGAAAAGATCGCGGCTGTTAAGGCCGAGGTGAATGAGTTGGTGGATGAGGAACAGCGACTTTTGGAATCATTGGAGACACGGAGGAGAACTACCCGGGGGATCAACCGATTGCTACAGTTCAAAGGGCTCGGAGCCGTTACGAACCTTTCTCCCGTGCCCCGACGAGTCACGCCGAACCAGCCAACAAGGTCCTTCCATACGGAGCGCAGTTTACTCAGCGCTGCCAACGCACAATTACTCGAGTCTGCGCTAGCAGAGGAAGCCAGCAGTTTCAAAAATGCCGCCGAAGCTGAAACTGATGACAATGGCATGGAGGATGAAGCGTTACCGAGCTGGGCCCATGACGAACCCTTGCGCGTGAAAGCTATTCAGAAGCTTGCAGTGAGACAATTCGCCATCCGTCTTCTTCTGCGGCCGATTATCGCCCATCGTTATTCCGGGGTATCGATGAATTACGCTGCCGATTTTGACCTGCCTCAAATTAACACCCCAAAGCTTTTGGAGGAACTCAACACCGTCCGACATCGAATCAGGGCCCTGAAGACTAATAGATATGCGCATTATGACGATGTGATTGGTGATTATGCTTCAATACAGCATGAAGATTGTCGGAAAGACACCGAGCGACTTGATGCAGAGCTGAATCGGGACATCGAGCTATATACGAAAGAGCAGATGTCTCTGCAAGAACTCCTCATGCGGGTATCCAGCAATCTACTCGCTTCGGCCGAGCCGGACCGGACCGCTGCTTTCCGATACATTCTCATTGCTTTCTCGCAAGCCAAGCAGAACGACGTGAATGACCTTCTCCTCCGCGCCCTTCTTCCAAACGGGTTCAATATGAGCACGTCGCTCATCATCACAATTATTTCGTTCTTCCGCAAGTCCAAAAACCTCAAGGACTTTGATCTTTTCCTTCGGATGCTCAGTGGCAACGGCGTCTACTCTTTGAACCTAGGGTCTCTTGGTCGGTACCGAGCTCGGAAGGTGAATGGCTTAGAAATTGTCGTCCCACCGCTTGACAGCAACAACCCCGTCATCTATTGCGAGCTAATCGCCGCTGCATTGCGTTTCGACCAACCGGACCGAGCTGACGCCTGGCTTCAAGCAGCGCGGAGGGTCGGCTTCTTTGATAACTTCACAACACTGTTCTACTACATCCGATTTTACAGCATCAGACAAGATTGGGAGAAAGGTATTAACGCATTAAGGAGAGCCAGCACCTTTTTGGTCTCCTCAACCGACCACCAGAGCCACATGGTTGAACGTCTGCTCATGCTGATGGTCCACCTCTGTGACTCCTGCGGCAAAAAGGAGGTTTCAGAAGTCTTAATCACAGCTGCTATGCGCAGTGGATTTGACCCGGCTATTCCGTCTTTGCAAAGTGATGTTCTGCCTATTGTGGATCGCGATTTCGCAAGGTGGACCGAGGCCGCTAAATTATCACCCAGAGAGAACGCTGGTCGACCCCTGTGGAAGAAGTGCTTTGACTTTGTCAACGACTTCGGCGAAGAATTAAACGAATTCGAAGCAGAGAACCACGCATTAGCGTTAGATCGCGCCAGCTGGCTTGCTCTTCATGGACAGGATGCATTTTCCACTACTCTTGCCGGCAATACATTACACGACAATATCGGAAAAGAAGCGAAGCCAACTGTGATATCCTCGTCAGCCACGTTGCGGTCCATGAACAGTCCGCGAAAGGCACAAACTGACGAGATGGCCAGCCTGAGGAACGAAGTCGACCAGCTTCGCGGCCTAGTCTTTGAACTCCGCAGACATCACATCGAATCTTCAATCAAAGAAGAAATCCACGAAGTCGAGCAAGAAGCCCCCTTTTCACAACCCGCCACTTCATCCCACCCCGCCCTTGAAACCTCCAACACTCCTAAGAATGTCGAGTTCGAACGGATATCCGAAATGATCGACAGTGGCCGCACGCTGCCTCCATCGGAAGTCAATTCTCGGCCATTCACACGGCGATTCCCCAAGAAGGACACGCCGACTTCCGATACCCTAGCGCAAGCGGATCGACCCAAGGGATTTCGCACTATTGCCAGTGCCATGGCCAAGAAAACCGCTCGACAGAAATGAGCAGAGTGCTAGCGCGGGAGATCCAATGTTTATTTATTCTTGTACATTACAATATACCTACACTCTCATTGAGAGGTTCAATGCCAATAGACGAGATGTATTTATCACCGGGAGAATTTTCAACTTGAAACACATTTCTATTGTAATTTGTAAAGCTCTAGCAAGCTCAGAGGGAATCTAACGCGTTGTTCCATGAAAGCAAATCTAGTGGCGCTTCTCGGCGCGCATCTTCTCCTTGCGAGCAAGTCGTTCTGAGGCGCGCATGAGGGCCGAGCGGATATCTCCCTTGGGGAATGTCTCGATATCGTAGTATGTGGGAGCAATGTCCTGCTCGTAGTTAGCGGGTGTATACTTGAAATGGGAAGACAGAGGAAACATACCAAGAGCCATTCGGGCTTGACTGCTGTCACGGTACGGATGTAGTTCTTCGTGGTAAGGACAAATTCGTTATAAAGGACCCATTCCGCGTCGTGAGCCAGCACAGTGGACGGGTGCAGGAGAACACTTTGGTTGTCCTTGATGGTAGTGTAGACGCTCTTGCCCTGGGCGTCCTTCTTGGCGATTTGCATGAAGAAGCCGGCGCAGAGAGCGCGGCGAATGTTCTCGTAGTACTTCTTGTCGTCAAAGGGAGTGGAGATCATCTCGATTTCCTCGCGCTCCATGATGCGGAGGAGTTGCTTGCGGACGTTATCGGCTGACTGGAGCGACCGCAGGTTGAGGAAGTGATCGTGACACCACTGCTTCAGGTTGGCCTGCGCCTCGGGGCTCTTAAAGGCGTGGTAGACGTTCAGCAGAGTCAACTGATCACCATCCTGGTGAGAGAAGAGAGCCTTCATCTCGTCGGCGCGCTTACGCTGAGAGGCCGGGCGGACAAACAGTTGCGGTACGGAAAGCAAGGCTGTGATGGACAGAATCTCGTTGGAGCAGTAAAATTCCGGTGAGCTGATAAGCATGACGGCAAGAGCTGGGTCGAGAGGGAAGTCAGAAGCCATACGGCCGAGCTGAGTGAGATTTCCATCGTCATCCAGACAGGCCAGATAGTTCAGCTCCTCGAGGGCTCGCATCAGAGTCTCCGGCGCCGGAGGGTCCATCAGATCGAAGTGAACAAGATCGTCAATGCCAAGCTTCTTCAACTCAAGCACAGTAGAAGACAAGTTGGAACGGAGAATTTCGGGGTAGGTTGACTCAATCAACTCCTTCTTGAAGGCATCCTCGGTATAAAGACGGAAGCATTTTCCAGGGCGAGTACGACCGGCACGACCAGCTCTCTGTTGGGCAGAGGCCTTGGAGATAGGCGAGACCAGAAGAGACTCGACACGAATGCGGGGATTGTAGATCTTTTGCTTGGAGAATCCGGGGTCCACGACGTACACGATACCATCGATGGTAAGAGAGGTTTCGGCGATGTTGGTGGAGATGATGACCTTGCGTCCGGGGCGACCGCCGAGGCGGCGAGGAGGCGGCGCAGGCTCGAAGATGCGCTGTTGCATGTGGGGAGGAAGAGAGCCGTACAGCGGGTAAACCTTGAGAGGACCTGCATCGGCCTCTCGTACCATCTCCTCTGCCTCCATGTATATTTTGCGCGAAGCATCTTCAATCTCTTCTTCACCAGTCAAGAACACCAAGATATCTCCTTCATCTTCAGTAGCGTGAATCTGGAGGACAGTCCGAATAGCAGCCTCGACGTAGTCCTGCTCGGGCTCGGGAGTATAGAAGACTTCGACAGGGTGCGTACGGCCGGGAACAGCGAGGAGCGGCGCATCCATGAAGTAACGCTGGAATTTTTGGGCGTCCAGAGTAGCGGACATGATAATGATCTTCAGATCCGGGCGACGTACGACAACCTCCTTCAGGAGACCCATCAGAACATCAGTAGCCATAGTTCTCTCGTGAGCCTCGTCGAGAATGATGGTGCTGTAGCGCGTGAGGTTGTGGTCGTTCATGGCCTCGCGCAAGAGCATACCATCAGTCATGTACTTCAGGATGGTCTTGGGGCTGGTCATATCCTCGAAACGAATGCTGTAACCCACTTCCTCTCCGAGCTTGACGTCCATTTCCTCTGCGACACGCTGAGCGACGGACATGGCAGCCACACGACGAGGCTGGGTACAAGCGATCATCTTGCGCTGAGTCTGGGGGAGGTCATCGAACAGGACGAATTGGGGAATCTGAGTAGTCTTTCCGGAACCGGTCTCACCGACGAAGACCAGAATCTGAGACTGTTGGTAGAGTTGCAGGAACTCATCACTGCGCAAAACAGCATCGTTAGTCTAAAGCGCGCTAGGAACTACCTGGGACAGGCTTACCGCTGCTGATGCACGGGGAGATCTCGACGGCCGTGCAGGATGGATACATATTTGCTGGAGAAGGGCCGGCCGCTGAATGGGTTGATCTCGCCATCTTCAGCCTTCTTGGCCATCGCCGCCGTTGTCTGGTGGCGCTTGAACTTCGCCAGGGACGAGTGGTTCACGTTGCCATTGCTGTCCTCGTACATGTGGGCGAGGTAGGGATTGTCTTTGGGGTCGCCGGCGTCCATCTTTTGGCGTTTAGCTCGCGTACCGTCTGTTGGGTCTCTTCGGTCAGCCATAGTGATGTATGAAAGTTGAGGGTTGCAAAGAGCAAAAACTCGGGCGGCCGATAAAAAAACTCAGATAGGAAAGTCAACCGCCGATCGCCCATCTGCCTATCGGGGACTCACCGCCTGATGTATTCTGCCGCACCCCACAAAGGGATCGAGGGACGCGATTGATTCACGCAGGGGTTGACACTTGGGCCTTTCTATTGTCTTCCGAGGGTTAATTCGCAGTATCTGCACCCTTGCCTTGAGCTCCTTCTGTGGTGCGGTTGACCGACCTTAACCTGGCCCTCTTCGGACTCTCTTCCCCCCACCAACATCCCACGAGGCCAGTGTCAATATGGACAGCTACAGTGCTTCTGAAGATCCGGGACCGACCTTCTGCATCGGTCATCATGAGGCCAATCGTTCTGTGACGGTCACCCCTCAGATGATCCGTAGGGTTCATGAAAGCAACGTGAGCTCTCATCCTCTTAGTTTGCGGTTTATTTTTTCTCTTTAAGCTAACCAAGAAGGTCTAGTATGATATGTTGACAGTCTCAATCACGACGCCGCATTTTCATTCGCGGGTCTTGGGATTGCTGTCTTCGTATTTGTCCAATTTGCAGCCGCCCAGGTATGACCCTATTGGAACTATGGGAACGTCGCAGAATACGCGACCGTTGGTAGTGCCGCCGCTGTCAAAGCTAGACTCTACTCTCACCCCAAATGATGCGACCAGCCAGATTGTCGGTGTGATCAGCAGCTGGATTGATATGTGCTCACCTGACCCACTGATTGCGGACCTGTCCCGTCAGGTTTTTATGCTGGAGGTGGCCTACGCTGCTTTTTGTGGCATTGGATATCTTCTGGTACCCAGCCCTAAGCTGCATCACGGCGGCATACACTCAGAAGGTGTGGTGTACTACGCACGAGCCATTCAAGATGCATTGAGTCTGGGCCCGTATATCCAATTCCACACCTGGTTCCGCATGGTCGACACCCCCGAGCTCGAGCTTGATACCATGGGTGATCTGGCTCCACATGCTCGAGAGGAGTATCTTGTACCGGATGACGGTGTATCACCAAAAGTGGATTTGTTCGGAACATGGGATGCATGGGATCTGATTCGGAAGACTTGCAAATACCACTCCAGACTGTTCGTTGGTAAGTACCGACCACTTCGTACTCAAAAAACCAGTCGCTAAACTTGACTACAGCTCTTGCCATGCCCAAGCAATTGCCGCCTCTGCCTGTGCAGTCCCGCTGGCATTCCGAGCCGGTTCACCTACTTTCGATTGACGGTTCTACTTTCTTGAAGAATCAAAAAGGGTACCCTGTTCTGTCCAAGAGCCACCAGGCTTTGATCGCAAAGCTGATGCGCCTTCGAGCCCCTCCATGGATACTTCTGTGTGACGTTGATTCAATCCCAGGACTTGGAAATGCGGACGAGGATACCACTGCTAGCTCAGACTACCCAAGTCTGGGCGCGGGTGCCAAGAAACACCACGATCCGACTCCTCATCTTTCCTATATCAGGAATCTGCAGCAGCGACAACCCGTACGAACTCCGATTGAACGATTTGGAACAGGCTATCAGGACTATCTGCAGGCCCCCTTGCAACCACTGACCGTCAATCTGGAAAGCATTACATACGAGGTCTTTGAAAAAGACCCAATCAAGTATGAGTGGTATGAGCGTGCGATCGAGAAGGCCCTGAGGGATTGGGCGGAACAGAAGAAACCTACCTCGCACCCGGACGGGAAGGTGATCCTTGCAGTTGTGGGTGCTGGCCGAGGCCCGTTGGTCACTCGAGCAATTAAGGCCAGTATCCAAGCAGGCGTGGAAATAGATCTGTGGGCCGTTGAGAAGAACCAAAACGCGTTTGTTTTGTTACAGCGTCACAACGAAAACATTTGGGACAACAAGGTTACGCTGGTCCAGTCAGACATGCGCAGCTGGAAAGGACCCCGCGTGCGCCGACAGGCAGCCCAGGGAAGTCAGGAACGCGTCGGCGAATCCCTAGGTATCGAAGACACCCTGATTTACACACCGAAGAAGGGTGAGAATGATCCAGGCCCGGCCTCCGACTTCATCAACCCCCAAGCTTCTGTTTTCACGCACACCTACGTGGATATCGTTGTTTCCGAGTTGCTTGGCTCATTTGCCGACAACGAACTCTCCCCAGAGTGCTTGGATGGAGTCAACGATCTCATCAATCCAGTTCACGGTATCTCAATTCCGGCCTCATACACAGCCCATTTCACCCCAGTTTCTGCACCTAAGCTGCACGCCGATGTCATGAACCAGACTATTTCAAACCCAGCGGCTCCGGAAACACCATACGTCGTCATGCTACATGCAATCGACTTCCTCTCCACCTCCGATTCGCCCGCTTCCGCTGAGGCCGGAAACCAAAATACGACAAACCGGGCCTCAGGCTCTGCAGCGCCCATTGCCGCCACTGAATTCCCGAGCCCCTTCGTGCAAACTGCGTGGTCTTTCTCTCACCCGAACAAAAACATTCCCACCCAGTCCATGTCACAATCCACCATCTCCAATTCGCATAACGTGCGTCAGACTCGCTTGTCCTTCCCCGCTCAGAACCGTGGTGTCTGCCACGGGTTGGCTGGGTACTTTGAGACCGTTCTATATGGCAATGTCGAGCTTTCGACCAACCCAGTGACTATGGACGCGAAGAGTGCTAGCATGATCAGCTGGTTCCCTATTTACTTCCCTCTGAAGGTGAGTTCTTCTCTTATCCAACTGGCTGCTCGCTACTATTCTCTTACAAATATTAACTTTCTATAACAGACACCTCTTAACGTCCCTGACAACGGCGAGATTGTGGTTACCATGTACCGCCAGACTGACGATCGCAAGGTTTGGTACGAGTGGATGGTGGAGGTCTTTGCTTTGGAACGCACTTCGCTTGCACCTAGCCTCACAACCCCGGCTATGAGTGGTGCACGCTCAGTCTCTCCCAGTGTCGCAAGTCTAAAGGGCAAGGACAATATCCAGCGTGGAAGTCCTCGTTCGGGCTACCGCCGCGTGCGGGTGGGCTTGAGTGACTTGCATTCGAGTATCAAGGAGGGATGCCTAATGTAGTTTGCTTCAGATCTATGAATTTCAAAATATTGGGTTCATGCCCAAGTGATGACCATAATAAAGTGCGAGCATAATCACTGTCTAGGTGTGTACAAGTTTCACAGTCTTCACTTCTTGACTACCCAAGACCTATGGCATGAATAAAAGTCGACGATGATGATATAGATAATACGGATGAAAGGCATTGTTTGTCTTCAAAATCGGGATGCTTCTTGTTTCTGAGGAAAAGAGACTGGCCTACTCCAACCCGTTTCCCCAACCGCTGTCGAATAATTTGCCTAGAAGAATCAGTCTCCACGATGTCTCTGTCCTAAAATTTAGCCATGCAGGTACCCTGGTACATCTATTTGCACGTGCTTGGCTCGGTATACCGTCAAGCGAAGAAGCCGAGATTTTGAGTTTAGCTAAAGCGGGAAACATACCTTGAATGATACTTTAACGCAGCATCATTTCCGAAGAGGGAACATGATCCACCACTCGGCGAACGTTTTACGCCTTACCTGCCATTTGAACCGTCAACCGCGTGTAAAGTTTATCTGATGAGCTCGGAGTGACCGCGACACAAGGATCCCGGATTCCGAAAGTGGGTCAATCATCAAGACCTGGAGACGTCAGCGACCTGATCGGCGGAAAGGCATAGTAACTTTGCAAGGATTGTATTAATCCTTATGCCGTCTCATGTCACCTAGATTCCGTGTCTAGGTAACGAACTGGTTCGTAAAGCCTGAGCTTATTGAGCTGAGTGGTTCATGCACGGGAGCGGGTGGCGTTGGAATGCCACGCTTTGATTGCACGCGACATCTTCCACTTGTCACTTGCAACTAACGCTCCAGCTGGGTGTTAACCCTGGGCCCTCCGATTCACCCACATGATCAGTGATTGATCGGCGGTGTCTTGCATTCCTCGGGCCGAATCCCCGAATAGTCGAATGCCCGTGGAGCCCCATCGTCATCCACCGGTTCGCCAATGCCAAGCTCAGCCATCGGGCCCCGATGGGTCGAAATCGGCGCATAGTGGGAACGGCACATGGGATTTGCAAAGCCGCCTAGATACCGAGGATTTTGTCCCTGGATTTTGCGGAGTGGTCACGCTGGTGCCATTGGATTCATGCTACAGCTATCCAGCATTGCTAAAGCCGGTGTTGGGTAATTGTGGACTCGGCATGCGGAATTTGATCTAATCTGCATGGATCTGGTGCTAAATGGAAAGGCCACTGATGCGCCGAGGTTCTCCTCTCTATTAGTTATTTGGCTTGTCGATCATCTCAGTCTTGGTCAAATCACACCTGGATTTGATGATCCACTGCCTGATGAGTATCCGTTTTCGGTATATCATGTGCAGGAACTTGAGAATTTCTTTTCCTCGCACGCCCGGGAGATATAAAGAGTTCCGCGGGCCTCGAATTGGACATTGCACACCAAGTCCTCTTAGACAGCCACTATGCGTTTCTCTATCTTGGCTACCTTGTTTGCAGCTATTGCGCCGGGTCTTGCAGTCCCGAGCCCGCTGAAGGCTAGAGGTATGGTCTTTTCCCATACAATGCCATTTATTTGCTCATTCTCTCTCAGACGTCCCGTCCGATGAGTTGTCTCAGTTTAAGTTCTGGGTCCAGTATGCTGCTGCCTCTTACTGTGAAGCCAACTATGCTGGTCAGGTTGGTACCAAACTGGCCTGCTCGGCTGGTAACTGCCCTCAGGTCGAGGCAGCTGACACCAAGATTGCCTTTGATTTCTCCAAGTAGGCTATTCAATCCATCAAGAAAAAGGAAAGACTCTAACAACTACAGCACCACCGCTACCGATACTGCGGGCTATATCGCGGTAGACAGCACCAACAAGGCTGTCATCCTAGCTTTCCGCGGCTCCTACTCTGTCCGCAATTGGATCGCTGATGTCGAGTTCCCCTACACCGACCCCGGTCTCTGCGATAGCTGCGAGGCCGAATTCGGCTTTTGGAACTCCTGGGCTGTGGTCCGCGACGACGTCTTGAAGAATCTCAACGAAGTCGTAACTGCGAACTCCGACTACGAGCTTGTTGTTGTGGGTCACAGCCTTGGCGCTGGCATTGCGACTCTCGCTGCCGCCGATATCCGAGGCCGTGGTCACCCCTCGGCAAAGTTATACGCCTATGCCTCGCCTCGCGTGGCTAATTTGGCACTGGCTAAGTTCATCACTGACCAGGGTAATAATTACCGATTTACGCACACCAATGACCCTGTCCCTAAGCTGCCTCTTATCGCTATGGGTTACGTCCACGTCAGCCCAGAGTACTACATTACCTCCGGCAACAACGTTACTGTTACCACTGGCGATATTGAGGTTCTCGACGGTGATATCAACTGGCAGGGTAACACAGGAACCGGTGTTCCTACCATTGAAGCTTTCTCCGCTCATCACTGGTACTTTGAGCGTGCTGATGGATGCATTGGAGCTGGTACTCCCTGGAAGAGATCCTACTAAAGATCCCTGAGCGCGTCATAGTTAAGAGAGAGTTTAATTTATATATAATCCTGGATATAGATATAGAGCCACAATGAGATTATAAAGTAGCCAGGGAAAAATTACTATGACAAATGTGTGCATGATTATATATATGTGTGTATGAGTGTGGTACATACTTAACGACCAACAAAACACAAGTTCAGCTTATGTCCTTGAAACCCTCTCATGAAGTATGGGACATGCGAAGCCATGGAGTTTCAATGTACAATTCGTGCAGATCTTAGAAAGCAGTTCTACCTGGAGCCTTGAGAAGTAGTGGCGATAGCCAGTTCGCTGAGGGCGTCCCCGACGTGTGGGACAGCCGCAGGGGTTGTAAGACAGGTGTGACTTAAGGTGCCACACCAAAATGGCAGAACGAATCATGATTGAAGCGTATACTCCTCATGAAAGGGACGACACGAATTTTCTCGGGGGTTAACATCAATGCCGGCAAGGAAAGACCACTAGACACACATGTTCGGGATCGACGGTATTGATCAAATCGTGGGCTATGAACGTCTCTTTGCTTTCTTGCTCGGTAAATATTGGGCATGGCCGAACGGACAGCAACTCAAGAAAGCTTTTCGAGTCCAGTTCAACCCACTTCGGACGGGTACTTCAAAGAGGTATTGATCCACAAAGTTGCCACGCAGCATCCGAATATAATCACCCCCGCGCTTTAGGTCTGTGGACTTTTCATCAAGTTGCGGATTCCATCTCCTCCATCCACCCTCATTGGGAATCTTCCAGCGCATTACTATAGGCAGTGCAAGCAGTGCCGGAATTTTGTCATCAATCGGTTTTGCCTGAAATATTGGCCTCCAACTATGCGCCATCGTTGACTGAAGCGCCCTAGTTCTGCAATTTGCGTAGGAGGCACAAGCTGTATGCTATGACAGGCCACTACTTGGCCAGTCAATGTAGCCGGGTTGATTGTGTCACGTTGTTCAAAATGGGGCTGAGCTGGCGTTATCCCTGTGCTGTCCCTGTGTTGTCCCTGTGCTGTCTGTGTCGCCTCGTGAGCCTCAGGTCAACCAAGGATCAGCTCGCGTAGCGCGCGTCTTTTTTTATTATTGCCATGTATCGTACCGAAGCGGACAGCAAGCGGATAAAAGGGCACAAATAGCCCCCAGCACCTCTTTCCGAAAATCAAAACTTCAATTAAGCAAGATGGACACCACAAAGAGCCTGACCGGAGAAAAATGCGAGTTCAAAGCATACCGTCACAGCAAAACGAAGAATGGAGACGTCTCTATTACCCCCATTTCAAACCCATTCGGCCAGGCTGAGTTGAGCGATAAAGATAGCTCTTATGCTTTGATTGTCAATCGTTTCTTGGGAGAGAAAAACCAACTTGAGAAGACAACTCTGCAAGTCAATTCTACCAGACTTCTTCAAGTCTTTCAAAATTTGATCGGTTCCTACCCAACTATTCCAGCCGACTTTACACAGCCTTTTGAGCTTGAAAGCCCGTTCCAAATCTTGCTTCACTATTGGAAGGAATTGGACCAACTTCGAAAGTCAACGAAAGATGCAGATGAGCGTATGCACCTGAACTTATTGGTCGACTTCATGAATAACGAAATTGGTCCCGAACGTGATCGACTCCTGAGTATGCTGCGGAAAAACCAAATCACATTCTATGATGCATGGTGCATCTTCCGTCCCGGAGACTTGGTATACACAGAGTTCATGGGCCATCCCTGGCTTCTGAAATGTAAGAAAACCGCCTACGAAGAAACCCTCGAGAGCGGTCCTTATATGGAGGTCCACTGCACTTACACCAGTCATGATGGCACCCTGGAAGGTGAAGCTTCGCGTACTTTCCTTATCTACCAAAAAAGTGACTTCGCTGCCGAAAACCCGGCTATTATCACTGACCTTCCGTGCTATCCACGTATCTTTGTCAAAGAACAGGAAGATCTCGAAGAGCGAATGACTGCCCGAGGTCAAAGTTTCCTCGCATTGAAAGGTGTAAAAGTCATGTCTTATGATGGTCAAGCATAATATCTTAAAGAGCCTCCGTATGGCTGGTACAATCCGCACGAAGCGGATTTCGATGCAGTCTGTCTCCCTTATACAGATTTAGGAAGAGTCATGTTGGACCGCAAGACTTCCATGAGAACCAATATTCAAACGCAGTCCGTGTTCAAGTCAAGACACCCGACCCGCTGCTCTGCCCTCCATATGAAGTTGGATTTTCTCTTCCTCGCAAGGAATGGTGCCGATTTTTTATCAAAGAAATACGTGAGGTTCAATGGAAAGAAAATGCTTGGGATTCATTGATCATTGGCGATCACGAAAAGCTCGTTCTTCAGTCTCTGGTGACATCCCACTCGTACCCCGATGACTCGCGAGACCAAATTTTGCAAAAAGGCAAGGGCCTGGTGATTCTTCTACATGGTTCTCCCGGTTCTGGAAAGACACTGAAAGCAGAGACTGCGGCCGAAGGCACAAGAAGGGCTCTCATGATGGCGTCTCTAGGAGAGTTGAATAAGTCGGACAAGTACGTATAGAGGACTTCAGCAATAGATTGAAATATGAACTAATATAAGCAGTCCGTGGGCTTTTGAGCGCAGTCTCAAGCTGCTTCTGCAGTATGCGACCGTATGGAAAACAGTCGTCTTGATGGACGAGGTGGATGTTTTCCTGGAGGCTCGAGAGGATCATGGAGCCAGCGCACACCGAAACGCTCTTGTTGCCGGTAAGAAAGCAGACCGAAGTCTTAAAGCGACGTTATTAAAAATTAAATCCTGGTTGTCTAGTTTTTCTGAAAGAGTTAGAATACTTCAGCGGCATCGTTTTCCTCACCACTAATCGGATCAAGTCCTTTGACAAAGCCATGAAATCTCGCATTCATCTCGCTCTGAAATATACTCCGCCCGGTCTTGAGACAAGATATAAACTCTGGATGTAAATCTTGAAAGTAATTCTAAGTAATGAGTCTTGTGTGGATCTAGACGATGCTATCGACTCATTTGTGTCGGTTAAGATGAACGGCAGAGAGATCACCAACACTGTGCATACTGCACGAACAATCTCACGTTTCCAGAACAAATCTCTTGATATTGAACATATAGAAACGGTGCTTGGCATTTGGAAGAGTTTTGACAAGAGTCTTGAAGAAATCAAAAGAATGAACACTCAAGTTACGGAAATGAGTACTGGTGTTGTGGTTGGACGGACAAACTCCATTCTCGAGGATGATGAACCTGGGTTTCGGTCATGAGATCTTCGTCCAGACACTATCAATTCTGTTTTCTGGACCAGCAAGTTTCTTATGCTCCCCAGATACCTCAATGACAATATTTTTTGTCGAAACTCCTTTGCGGAGCAGATCAATTTCATGCTGGACCTTTCCTAGACCACCAGTAATCACGAAAGGATCATGCTTGCTTGGTATTTTCCAGCAGACAAGGCCTTGGGGACGTAATTTCGCCCAACAGGATCTCCAATTTTAACAGCCGCGAGTCCCGGACCCAATAATTTCACTATGAAATGGAAAACATATATATATGAGCTGCTGAGTGGAACGACTTATCAAAAACAGCCTTCACGTTGTCGGGAAATGTCACATCGGGAGACATAAGCAATCTGTTGACGTCGTTCTTGTGATGTCTGCGCGTGTTATAAGCAAGCTGCTGAAATAATTTGATCAATTTCATTTTCAAGCTGAAGCAAATGATGTCTGAGGTGACTTGCACATCATTGAAGACCTATGACTCCAGAAACGCCCCGAACTGGGCCCCAGGAATTGCTTGACCATCACGGGTGAATGTTTGTTGCTCTTCGGGGGCTGAAACCCTCAGATATGTAGCGTACTCTGAGAGTTTTGGGGGATTTACTTTCCCATGAGTGTGCACCTCTTTTTTTATCGTCTTTAACTGTCCTCAAGCAAACCCTCCTGGCAAACTCGGCGGGCTTTGCCCGGGGTTTGCCTCATTACGCAAGGTCTGCCAAGAAAGACTTCGGTGACCAACGCTCTCTGATCTTCAAAATCGGTCCCACAGTGGCATGTCATTAATTAAAATAGATCCCGAACCGAGATACTTCACATCTCTGATCTTAGGTCTCGCTGGCATCTACAAACCCCGCTCCACGTCGGGATCTGGGCAACCGCCCGGAACAATTCAGGTCGGCCACGGCGACAAAGCATATGGTCAGTGCAGATATTGCCATCTCTCCAATGGCACGATTCCTAACAATCAGTTGCTGGGTTCGGGATATGGGCACTTCCCTAAGCATAGCCCGCCAGTGAGATGTTCATCGCGAGTGACATCAAGTCCAATATCCCATGGCGTGATGTACACCAAACCCCGAAGATACAGTGAAACATCTCTGCTCACATCTTGATTCAATCAACAATTGGGGCTTCTGCTCACTGTGGGCCGGTCAACCTGAGAGGCATCCACCGATTCCAACAGCCGACTCGGGTGTAGCGGATGCTCTACGCTCGCACGGATGATGGTCGGGTCATATCTTCAGGACAAACACTATAAAAGGGGCCTGTGTATCTATCCGAAGAACTTATTATTCAAATCATCTTTCACACCACATCAATTTCACGTTGAATAAAAGACCCTGGATATCTTCAACATGGCACCTGTTCTTAAGAAGTACAAGGCTGCAGCTGTTAATGCTGAACCCGGCTGGTTTGATCTAGAGGAATCGACTCGAAGAACCATCCACTGGATTGACGAAGCTGGCAAGGCCGGATGCAAGTTCATTGCTTTCCCGGAGCTGTGTTAGTCTACCAAATGAGTATCATCTCTTCTAGCTAATGCGTTTTAGGGATCCCCGGCTACCCTTACTGGGCTTGGAAGACGAACTACCAGGAAAGCCTGCCGCTTCTCAAAAAATACCGCGAGAACAGTCTTCCTTCAGGCTCTGAGGAGATGCGCCGTATTCGCGAAGCTGCCCGTACCAACAAGATCTTCGTCTCTCTCGGTTACTCCGAGGTTGATCTAGCCAGTCTCTACACCACTCAGGTCATGATCAACCCTGCTGGAGAGATCATCAACCACCGTCGCAAGATCCGCGCCACTCATGTCGAGCGCCTTGTCTTTGGTGATGGCACCGGTGACACCACCGAATCGGTCATGGACACCGAAATCGGTCGCATCGGTCACTTGAATTGTTGGGAGAACATGAACCCGTTTATGAAAGCTTACGCCGCATCTCTGGGTGAGCAGGTCCACGTTGCTGCTTGGCCATTGTACCCTGGAAAGGAGACGTTGAAATACCCCGATCCTTACACCAACATCGCGGAGGCGAATGCGGACGTGAGTTTTTATCTTTGTCATTTATAATGCGGATCTTTGACCTGATGACTGACAAGACGGCTCAGCTTGTTACACCTGCCTATGCCATTGAGACAGGATCTTTCACTCTTGCTCCCTGGCAAACTATCACTGCCGAGGGTATCAAGCTGAACACTCCCCCCGGAAAGGAGTTAGAGGATCCTAACATCTACAACGGTAACGGACGTATCTTTGGACCAGATGGACAGAACCTTGTTCCCCATCCAGCTAAGGACTTCCAGGGTCTTCTCTTTGTGGATGTAAGTTGTTCAAACCTGGAAATAACTAGAGGATGTGCATTTACTAACTATGGCAGATCGACCTTGATGAGATTCACCTAACCAAGTCTCTGGCTGACTTTGTAAGTCAATTGCTAATTCCCAATATGTTCAATAAGCTCTGGTACTGATACTTTAAAACAGGGTGGCCACTACATGCGCCCGGATCTCATCCGTCTTCTTGTCGACACCAACCGCAAGGACTTGGTTGTTCATGAGGACCGAATCAATGGCGGTGTCGCTTACACTCGCACCGCTGATCGCGTCGGCCTTTCCACCCCGCTGGAGCCTGCTACTGCCGATTCCAATGAGAGCTAAAGCGGAGAAAAATATTCGGACAACAAAAGCTCAAGATATCTGCGACTTCTAGTGAGAGATTGGTCACAAGTTTTGCTTTTCATCTCTCCGAGGAGCTCTGACATTGTGTTCTGATCTAGAATATCGTCGCAGTACCTTGCGCCCGAATAAATGCAAGCTTAGCCGGTGTAGCATTCATTTTATATTTTGCACAATTGAAATTCCACTCTCTATCTGCAATTTTGGGACAGGCCTATCTGGGTCTTTAGTACTCTACCAGTCAATGACCCTCAGAATTGTAACTGATAAATTAACACCCTATAGTACCTTTTCCAATAATTCGTCGAGCTCTTGCGCCACAAACGAGGGGCTATCTCTCTGTACAAAATGACTCCCATTAGGTGCCAAGATCGGGCCCTTCCTGTATTCTGCCTCTGTAATGTTCACCAATGCTTCATTATATCGATGCCAGAAGGGATTGACAAAAGTATTTGTCACCGGCTTAGGGACCCCCAGTTGGGTCGACTCCTCGGCAAATGTGTCGAAGTCGTGGCCAACAACAGTAACGAAAGGGCCGTGACCCGCAGGACCCTTAAGCAGAGGTCCATCACTTTCCGGCAGCAATTTAGCCAAGTTCCGCCGACTGAGACCCTCTTTGTTCCCAACGTCCGGGTGGAACACGCGACGGACGCCAGCTCGGACTGCGCGGATCATTTCGGCTGGAAGACCTTGCAGTTGAGCGGGATCAAAGTCGGGTGCATCTGGGTCGGGGAAAATCGAGACGAAGTCTGAGTTTGCAAGCACGCTATCAAGGAGGAGTAGGGCGGCAACGGTGTTAGGGTATTCCTGGCTATACAAACGAGCCAAAGCACAGCCGACAGAGTTGGCAACTAGGATAAGGTTGACTGAGTTCACGTCGGAAACGCCCATATTCTCTTGTATAATCCAAACCAGCAGTTGACGGAGATCCTCAACTGCAGCTAGACAGTCGTGACCGTGAGATGGATCATCCGCGCCTGCGTCATCGGGATCACGGTCTGTGGTTTGCCCTTGACCGAAGCGATCATAGGTCAAAAAGGCTGGGAGGCTGCGACCTTGGTCATTGCGGAGATCTTTCAACTGGGAAATGACAGAGTGCCAGGGGTCCTGCGGCAGGCCGATACCATTTAGAAAGACGACGAGCGCGGGATTTGAGGTGGCCCCGGGCGCTTCAAATGTGTAGCTCAGCTTCGCCGAGGGCTTGGTTGGGAGGGCAACAAATTTCACTTCCGCCATTTTGATTTGGACTCATAGTATGATTCAAAGAAAACAGAGAATGGTAAGATGGGAAAAATCTTTTCGATCTTTATAATCATTAGCTCATTTTGCAAGGCTGAAGCGGCTGGGATTAGTGCGGGGAGGATGGTCAGGGAGCACACCGAGTGTCTGGCTTCGGCTCACTCATTGGTGGTACTTGTGGTTTTGATTGGCTCGCATACATTTCCTATCCTCACTAGCTCCGCAGGGATTGCATCAAGATATGTAGCTACAGGATTAGATGGATATCTCGCCTGATAAATTAATTTCCAAGGATTCGTACACTCCTTTCATTGCACGAGTTAAATTTTACATGATAGATTAAATGATGATTTGAAGCTAGTTGAAACAATTTGTAGTGCGGTGACAAAAGAGCGGAAGCAAAGCAGCGGAGCAATATGATATTATGTTGAAGTAATCTAAAGCCGAATCTATCTCCGCCCATCGTAAAACCTTTACTAGAAAAGCCCCTGGTTTGGATGAGTCACCTCAAGCCAAATGCAACGCATATACAAGGGGAATATAGAGGTTAGTCAGGTCGGAATCGGTACAGGTGTGGATGGGATAGGGCAAGACAGACCTTGGCCCAGGAAGAAAGAAGATCATTGTGAGTGTTTTGTTGCTTCGTCAATCAGAGATGGGTTGAGTACGAATGGAGACAATGAGAGGAATTTGATCCTTCATGAAATCTAGTTCGCTTATATCAATTGGTGCTAATGGCCAGAGGATGCACACGTTAGCAAGTCGAGGTAAATAAACTCAATCTCCAAAATCACGTTCTTTTCGTACGTCGAAATACTTGCACTAAGAAAATTGAAAAGAAACTGTCGCTGATATAACTAGTCAAACTGCGCTTATTAGTATTACTGCAGAATTTGATCAGCTTTGAGTACTAAACAATTAAACGGAAACTCAGAAGAACGCCAAAATAGAAAACTCGAAACCCATTATAGCACGGCATCAAACAAAGCTTTAACTGCAAGATTAGAGCTGCTATAGTACACTTTATCGCATTACCGCAATGGAACCTCTAGCATTATTGCTGACGTGAGCTTTATGACTGTAAATTTATACGCCTCCTTGCAAGAAAGAGGACCTCTGAATAATGTAGCCTGCGATGGAGGTATTTTCTTCCGGCAGTAATGAAGGTGTGGCTATTCTATGCAGAAACCCACGTTGTGGGTGGCTCAGATGCCACTTAGAGATGCCCGTGGGGCTTGGGACTTACGTTGGACCAAGATACGGCATCAAGTGACGCCTCCCTCATAAGGTTGGAGCTATCCAAAATCTCGTACTTCCATTGTGCCAACTAAGACAATAGCAGGCCATGATCCTCTTCTCTCGTCTTCCTTGGCTAAGAAAATTGATTCGTCTCCATTTGGTGCGTTCGTCAGGGCGTCGTGGCAAGTGGGTCTCAGTGAAGATTGAATCAGTTAGCGCCGACACATCGCGTTCATGGACATCAATTTTATTAAATGAGTTATCACCTCGGAAACGCCGGTAGATCCTCGTTTTTTTCTATTAATGTCTTAATGCACAAAGTCACACTTCGGTGTTTGGGGCTCAGCGAAAAGTACCGCAACGGGGAAAAAGATATAGGCGAATTGCGTGGCTCACGGCTCGATCCGTCATAGTGAGAACCAACCACGTAAGATGCTGCCGTCATCGACCAACCCAAGCTTTTTCAGTGGAGCCAGTATTTATCAGTTTTAACTACATCGACCATCGGATTGTCTTTTGTTTCCTGGCTAACATCCACTCTGATATCGGTGTAGCCCAATTACTAGCCCTTATTGACCAAGGCACCTGAGTTATGGCCGCTGGGTGGAGGTGATTTCCAAGATCGGAGCGCACTGGTCAATTGGGTTCGCCCTTGCTGGGTCGGTTAATTAAAAATAGATGAAGTTGTCAGGATAATGGTCTATTTCCCCAGTTCCTATAATATCGAAGCCCGCCCTTCTGTTTTATTGCTCGTTCCATTTTTCCTTCCACTCATTAGTTGTCGGATTACACTCGTTCAATATCAAAATGGTTGCTTCATACATGAAGTGGGCTGCCATGCTCCTGGCAACTGCCCAGCTTGGTGCTGCCCAGACCTATACCGACTGCGACCCGCTCAACAGTAAGCACTATCTTCGAATCCGGTGTCCAAGTAAAGTACTAACAGATCACCTATCTAGAGACTTGCCCTGCCAACACTGGTCTGGCGAAGTGGTCGTACAACGTCGACTTCACCAGCGGTTCATCTGCCTTTGACAGGTGGACTACAACTGCCGGTACCGTCAACAGCACCGACCTTGGGGCACTTTTCCAAATTGCCGCTGAGGGAGATGCTCCAACCATCGAGAGTGATTTCTATATTTTCTTCGGCCACGTCGACGTTAAGCTCCGTGCTGCCAACGGCACGGGTATCATCTCTACCTGGATCATGGAGTCTGATGACCTTGATGAGATCGACTGGGTAAGACGAGCAACTTGTCTAAAAAACTAAAATAGCTAACAATGCTACAGGAGCAAGTTAGCACCTACACTGGCGAGATCCAGACCGACTACTTCGGCAAAGACAACACTACCGGCTGGGACCGTGCCACCACCGTGAACGTCACTGACCCCGAGACCACTTTCCACACTTATTCCATCGACTGGACCGAGGAGCGCATTAACTGGCTCCTTGATGGTACCGTCGTGCGCACCCTGGAGTATGCTGATGCTCTCAACGGCAAGAACTACCCTCAGACTCCCATGCGTATCCGAATCGGTATCTGGGCCGGCGGTGACCCCGACAACAGTGAAGGTACCATCGAATGGGCTGGTGGTGAGACCGACTACGATGCCGCTCCCTTCAACATGTACGTTGAGTCCGTGAAGGTCATCAACTACAACCCTGCCAAGCACTACAAGTACACCGATAAGACCGGCGACTACACCAGCATCAAGGCCTACAACGGAACCAGCTCAAACTCCACCTCTAGCAAGTCATCCAGCTCATCCTCGAGCTCGTCTTCCTCCAGTAGCTCTTCCAGCTCTTCCGGCTCTGCCTCTTCTGCTGCCTCTGCTTCAGCTTCAGCTTACGCCTATTCCGGCGCCTCGGCCTCTATGGTCTCCTCCATGTTTGCGGCTTCCATCGTCGCTATTATCGCCGGTGTCTTCCAGCTGTAATAGGTTCTATCTTGATCGATAACAAATCATGTATATTCTAGCAGAGAGGTCTACCTATGTATAGATGTATCAACCACTGTGCGTTCCTTTTGCATCAGCGTTGTCCACTTTGAATGGATATTAGATGGAGTCGTCAAGAAATGGCAGGCCAATGACTGAACCTTTGGACAATTGATAGTGGATATGACCGTATGAATCCAAACAAGGGCATTGTTTATCCCCATGACTCGGCCAATATCTAGTCTCGCATAAGTTTGCGCATGGTCTGAGCCATTGAATATCCAAATTGGAGATTATATCTGCGCGCCCCAGCGAGCTCTGGAATGGGTCTTAGAACCAAATAGAAATGGTCGGCGAACAAACCCTGCATCGGGTAAGTAGCCGACGTCGCGCATAAACGGGTCGCTCAGTTGCCCGAACCGGCAAAGTGTATGTCCCGGCCCAGGCCAAAATCTTGGGATTGTATTGAACCACCACACCCGACAGGACTTTTGCGGGGAAGTACACTGGAAGTGGGGTTGTTTAAATAAACCTCACTTCCACAATGAAGCTCTCTTTCCAGAGAACATCGACAGAATTTCGCTCAGTACAGGAATCTGGTATCCGCTCGAAAGTATTTCATAGTATTTAGCTGCGTGCCGCAGACGGAATGAGCGCAGACGATCAATTCGGTGATGCAAAGGCAGACCACCATGGTGAAACCGAAGAAGATGAGACTTTTACCAAGTTCGGAAAGGACATCTCTGAGGTAGAAGTGGCAACACTCATGCTGGAGAATCGCAAGGAATTGGAGAAGAAGTTCTTGCGAAAGCTTGACATGAGATTGCTGCCCTTGATGATGTTGATCTGTACGCGGCTTATGTTTTTACGAAAAGACACCCTTGGCACAGAGTTCTAACTTATGGAACAGATGTTTTAAACTACCTCGATCGCAACAACATCGCTACCGCGCGACTGGGAACCCTGGAGGAAGATCTCGGTCTTGTCGGCGATCAGTATAACACTATCATCAGTGGGGATTCCTCCTTTTGAGGTCCAATTCAAAAGCCCCTGTACTTACATATACTAGGCTTATTCTTCATTGGATACGTGCTCACCCAGGTGCCGACCAACATGATTCTCAATAAGATGAGACCATCAATCTTTCTGGTGTGTGATCACTGCATTCACATGGAATTGATGACCTATTAACACTCCAGTAGCCTGGCGTCATGTGCTGCTGGGCTATTGTGAGCACATGTACGGGAGCAGTCCAAGGTTATCAAGGACTTCTTGCACTGCGATTTGTTTTGGGCTTTGTGGAAGCGCCTTTTTTCCGTGAGTTGGTTGAATCTTCTCAATGAAAATCATCAGGAAACATCAATTAACTTGTCTGAAGCTGGTGCTCTGTTCCTTTTTTCATCCTGGTACACAAAGAAAGAACTCGCCGCTCGGATTTCGATCCTTTACGTCGCTGCTCAGATATCGGGAGCTTTTGGTGGCCTTCTTGGTAGTGCTATTATGTCCGGCATGAATGGAAAGGGGGCCTCCCGGCCTGGAGATGGTTATGTATGCAACAACAATCCCTGAAAGCTGCCTGCTGAGATTAGAACTAACACATTAATTCACTAGTCATCATCGAGGGCGCAGCTACAATTCCAATTGCCCTATTTGCGATGTTCGTTCTACCAGACTACCCAGCAACCACGAAATGGCTCACCGACGAAGAGCGAATTCTAGCTATCGCCCGCCTTGCGGAGGACGCGAATGAGACGGACCATGATGAGACTCATAGTAAATGGGAAGGTCTCAGACTCGCCTTCACTGACCCAGTACTTTATATCATCTGGCTGATGCAGCTGGGACTCAACACATCAGCCGCATTCACTAATTTCTTCCCGACTATCGTTGAAACACTCGGCTACAGCACAACCATCACACTGCTCTTGTCTGCGCCGCCGTATATCTTCGCTGCTATTCTTAGTGTCACCAACTCATTTCATAGTGACCGTGTAAGTGAGCGTTGGCTCCACGTGGTCTGGCCGCAAGTTTTCAGCAGTATTGGGTTCATCATCAGTGCTGTTACCCTGAATACCGCGGCTCGGTATATTTCCACGTTCATGATGATGTCTATCTACGGATCGTTTGGCTGTATTCTTTCTTGGGTTTCGACTTCACTCCCACGACCGAGATCTAAGCGTGCAGTGGCCTACGCCGTTGTGAATGCCGGGTCCAACTTCGCATCAATTTACGCGAGTTATTTCTATCCATCTAGTCAGGGTCCTCAGTACTGGCAGGCGAATGTTGCTAACGTTGCTTTCTGCGGAATGTGTATTTTCATGGCGACATTATTGCACTTTACGCTGCAACGGAGGAACCGGAAGCTAGAGCAGGCTACGGTGGCGGATATTGGCGCTGAGCGGGATCCTTCTCTTGAAGGCTCGGAATGTTACCAGTTGGCTATGGATTGGAATTGTCATCCTACCTATCGGTACACGATTTGAAGAAGCCAGCATTCGAGAAACGGCGAGGAAATCTTCTGACTCTTAGTTACGTTACAGGAAGCTCCAAATTCTGATCTTAAGAAGTTACATGATTCTTTTGCGAAATCCAGCCAATTGGACCTGCGTTAGCTCAAGCCTCGAGGCCTTCGCAGCTCAGAATAGCATCGAACTTTAAATCCCACCCCAAAGAAACAATTCAACTCGTGAGCGCAAGGTACCTTGAATTCATCAATAGATCACTTGGTAAAAGCTTGAAACCTGTTGACGATGAAACGAATAAGTCGAGCCGCCAGTTCAAGGACTAGGCGCGACTCCCTCGGAGTCTAGAGGGCTTGGCAACCAAATTTTCTATCAAATCTATTGAGGGCCAAGCATGGCATGCTTTTGTGTAACACGTAACATCAAACCGCGCTAGTGGGAACTTGTGCACCCCCTGTGTAACCTTGAGCATTTTGTCGAGAAAGGTGTCTCTGGTCATTGTATGATTGGCTTGGTGATAAAGTCTAATTCATCTTAAGACACCGCGTGCTGGTAGTACAGATGAGACGTAGTAATCGTTTGTAATTTGAGTTTTCAGATACCATTGCGGGCCATTTGGAATGAATTCGGTTATGCCGAGGTCGAAGGAAACTGAAGGGGCATCAAAATAACCATGTTCACGTGGGATAACATCCATTTTGTCAATTTTCCTCGTCTCTTTTTTTTTTTTTCTTTTTATGTCTTCTGAGGACCTCCCGTCACAGTGTTCTTTGACCTAGCTAGCTGCGTTAAATGACTCTCAAAAGTTAACTTGATTGAATCGCGGCAGGGAGATTTGTTGGAGCCCCTAAAAAAAAAAAGTCTCAGGTGGCTAGTGCGCGAACGATGAACAGGGATCATCCGGCCCGGTCGACGCCGACCGCGAGATCGTGAGTTATGATAGGAACTGGCTTCGGCCCCCACCGCTACCTCTGTTGGCTTTTCGCCATTATTGGTGGAGTAATATTTTTGGCCCACGATTGATCCAGGTCACTGAAATTGGCAAATCATTGGATGAGCCTGGATCAAACGCAGTCAAATCACAGTGGAGTCAACCGATCAACCGACGATGGTCGTATTGTAAGACTCTGGTAACGGTCTTTTAAAATGTATGCTTGTTTGAAGCCATGACTATTGGGAGCTCTGCATGAGGCTTGCCGGGTTCTAGATTGTTTCTAGCAACTTCGGCTCCTTGTGATTCTTGTGATTCTATCAATGCGTGCACGATGAAGCCAGAATTGAAGGCTACATGGACCCCTGCCATCAATGTGCTGACCTTCTTCATGCTGGTCACTAGCATATTGAGTGTCCTCACACGGCTGGGCACAAAATACTTCATGGTGAGAAAATGGGGTCTTGATGACTTTATGAGTATCGGTGCAATGGTCACCTGTCTTGGACAGTCTATTGCTGTGTCGATGGCGACAAAGTCAGGTCTTGGACAGCATCTCATTTCGTTGTCGGATGGGGAGCGAGTGAGTATGATGAAGGTGAGTATTTCTCCAGCATCCGACGGGCGATTTCATGGCTTTCCACGATGCTAATGATATCTTAAATAGGCCCAATACGCCGCAAACATTCTTTTCGTCACCAGCATGGCCTGCTCTAAACTTGCCCTCGTGATGTTCATTCGCAGCTTGACACCAGCCTCGTTGGACCGACGCTTTGCACTCGGATTGGGAGTGTTCATTTTACTATGGACGATTGCGGGGGGTTTTCACAGCGGCATTCCAATGCTCTGTACCAGATACTTGGGATTATCTGCATGGGAAATGCTTCCACTTGGTGTGTGCCACTTTGACTATACCGCGTTCGAATAATACTCACAGGTATTAGGTTGCCTGGTGGAATTATCTTGGAATCACCAATATCCTGTCAGAGATTGGCATAGTCGCACAAGCTCTGTTGGTCATCTTGCGCATCCAAGCAGACTTCCACAAAAAGGCCGTTTTGGCCAGTGTGTTTCTTCTGCGAGTCGCGTAAGCTTTTGTCAATGGTTGTAAAAATTGGAATCATCCAGCTAATTGACTCTAGCGTCGTGATCGCAATCATATGTCAATTGGCTTACGCTCACGAGAACGAAAGCACCACTGATCCGTCCTGGGATACGTGGACCGTCGCCATCTCCACCCAGATGGTCCAGAGCCTGAGCATTGTCACTGCCTGTTCGCCCCAATTCAAGCCTTTCCTCGATAGCCTCCGATCATCCGGGATGAGCCTCGGAGACTCCAGCTATGAGAGCAAGCAACGAACATACGGAGCAACCTCTTACTACAAGTCATCTCGCGTTGGACGTGCCGGCGACATGCGAAGCGACACCCACGAATTGGTTCCAATCCATGGCGACGGCCTTAACCACACCACTGTAACGTCCACGGCAGACTGCGACACGGAGAGCCAATCGAGTCAGGCACAGATTATTCGCGAGGTTCGGACATGGACTGTAACAGCGCAACGGGAATAGATGTGGGGTTGTTTCATATAAAAATTAGACTATTGAAGTTAATGTATGGGTGGGCTAAACGATGAGAAAAAGTGAAACTAGTCACTGAATGAATCATGTACAATGGCTTGTGCAGGTGCAACACCAAAATCCAAGAAAATCGAATTTATGAAACCGCCTTGGCGTTATAAATCGAAAGCGTAACATACAAGGCTAGGAGTATTAACGTGGCGCTATGTAACATAACAGGGATATGATAGTCTAGTGGCGGGGACGAGTGGGCCGCTAACCAGAAGTAGGAGGTAAACAGTGAGGTTGCTAAGGTTGTTCCAGATCGCGCATCGAATAACGCAGGGATAGCCAATGACCGTTGTATTCTAACGTCGCTGCATCGCGAGACCACCGGGATTCCGAGCCACCGACATTGAAAACCAAGGAGCTAGTCGAATCCACTAGTTGTATTCCCTACATAATTCGTTGACGGGAATGCCGCGGCAAAAACAGAAATTCACCCTAGAATGATTAGCGTGTGTGGATAAACGATACCAAGCGCACCAGCCATGCCTGGTGCCGTTGTTCCAGAGCAGACTCTGTATTAGTCTCTGCTATAACCTGAAACTCCTCTTCCTCCGTCAACCAAAACTCCAATTCTTTGCTGTCTTGAGCTGGACACATTCTTGTCTTTCGCTCATCCCCTGCTCACCATGCCTTCTCGTCAGGTGAAGCAAATAAGTACAGCCGGCATGCGGGAGATCGACAGCCCCACGAATGAGGAGCTCGACGATGCCAACCTGGCGCGCATGGGAAAGCGTCCGGTGTTGAAGGTGAAAATCTCCACGATTCCAAATATAATTGGCGTCAACTGCTAACTATAGCCAGCGAAACTTTGGATTGATGTCCATGCTTGGCTTCAGTTGTACTATTCTTATTACTTGGGAAGGAATTGTCGTGTCAGTTTGAACTCATCACAATTTAATTGCTTTTTTGTGGCTTGCATTTGCTGACTCGAGCTTCCTCAATAGGCTTTTCCTGCAGGCATACCAAAAGTAAGCTCCACTATACATTTCCTCCAGCGTTCGAGATGTCTGACAAGGTTTGTGCAGTGGTGGTCCTGCTGGTGCTGTGTATGGGTATCTTTTTGTCTGGGCCGGTGTCGCATGCACCTTTGTTGTGCTTTCAGAACTGGCATCAATGTATGTGCTCGAAGCGTAATAAGCTGATTCATACTAAAATCGTACCAGGGCACCAACGTCGGGTGGACAGTACCACTGGTGCTCGATGCTTGCACCACACTCCGTGATGAAGCTATTGAGCTATATTACAGGCGCGTTGCATTTTGAAACTGCATATATTTTCATACTGACATCAGTCCAGGCTGGCTCACAGTAATCGGATGGCAAGCCACATACGCCACATCATGCTATCTATGCGGAACCCTCATCCAGGGCCTAATCGTCTTGACAAACAGCTCCTATCAACCAAAGAACTGGCATGGAACTCTGTTGTTCTGGGCCGTAGCGATTTTCTCGGTTTCAATCAACTCCATCGGAGGAAGAGTGCTACCTCGCTTCGAAGGCTTCATCCTCATCCTTCACATCCTCGGGTTTTTCGCCATTCTTATCCCGCTCACTTACATGGGCGATCACGGAACAGCAAGGGAGGTTTTCACCGATTTTAAAAACCTAGGCGGATTCCCTTCGCAGGGTCTCTCGTTCTTCGTCGGTATGGTCGGGTGTATCTTCGCTTTTGCCGGTGGTGATGCGGCAGTTCACGTAAGAGTAAACATCTTCGACCAAACACGACAAATCACTGACGATATTGAATAGATGTCCGAAGAGATCGTGAACGCCTCAACAGCAGTGCCAACCTCCATCATGCTCTCCGTCCTAATCAACGGTTCCTTGGGTTTCGGAATGCTACTCGCCATGCTATTTTGCTTAGGTGACATCGACAAGGCCCTTGGCTCAGCCACGGGCTATCCATTCATGGACATTTTCCTACAAGCTACAGACTCCGTGGCCGGAACTGCTGTAATGGCTTCCATCATTACGACCATGGGTATCACTACCTCGGTCGGTATGCTCGCGTCTACGTCTCGCCAATTTTGGTCATTTGCACGAGACCGTGGAATCCCGGGCTGGCGTCTTTGGAGTCAGGTACGTAGTATCTTTTGTATTATCCCTTGTGGTCGCTGGAGCATGCTCATGTATTGGCCTTTTAGGTGCACGGCACGACCGCTGTTCCGATCTACTCCGTCCTATTGACAACTTGCGTTGTCTGCCTACTTGCACTCATCAACATTGGATCATCCGTTGCTTTCAACGACTTAGTCGCTATGTCTATTTCCGGCCTTTACCTATCATATATGGTCGTGGCCGGTCTCCTGCTCTACCGCCGCTGCACAGGTGGCATCAGTAACGCCCGAAGCAGCGATCACGGACTCGTCAATGTCCCAGGATCGGTATGTGCCTGGGGTCCATTCCACCTCCCAGGTATCGCGGGTATTGCTGTCAATACCTTCGCATTGATTTATATGACCATTGCCGTGTTCTTCAGTTTCTGGCCTCCGTCATGGGCTGTCACCGTGCAGTCTATGAACTTCAGTGTGGTTGGTACTTTTGGTGTGATTTTTCTCAGTTTGATCTATTATGCCGTGCGAGCTCGTCATGTCTATGATGGCCCGATCGTGGAGATTGATTGATTGGGGCTTGTCAATTGTTAGCTGGAGGCGGCACGGGATAAAAAGCCCAAGAATGATGTCGGCTGGGCTCCGAATTCTGTATATCCAAAATCGACTACTATATTTAGAGAAATAATTGTTATTAATTGTGTTTTCAGCCCATGACTCATTGCTTTGCGCGATAAAAGATGGCCTTGTTCTGAGCACAGGCGAGAGGCGGCACTGTTACCGGTCAATGTCCAATACTTGGAGATTTGGGTCAATTGTACCGCAAAGTAAAAAGAACTCTGCTTGCAAGGATAGCCTAGGCTTCACAGCTGTTAGCTCCATGGAGCTACCGGTTTTACCTTCTAATCGATTCGGTAATGGGCGCGAACCCCGTGGGGCTGGCAGCTGCCGATCTGTATCACGCCGGCGGCTCATATTATCAAGGTTGAACTTCAGAATATTTTAGTAGTTACTGTAGATTAGACCATACATACGTATGAATCAACGCGGCAATTGGAATCAAATGCTGAGGCCGCAAGCTTGAACTCGTAAAAGGTCTAAATCGAGACCCGGTGGCAAACCATGAAACGACCGATAAGCCGCTAGTTCGAATTAATCTGGACAAAAGTATACAAATCTGGTATATGAAGAAGGTCGATTACCATTGGAAGATATCATTTTCAAACACTTCAGGTATTAAGCCAGCATGCTAGGTGGTATATGACTAGAATATCAAGTGACGTGATTTCAGTAATTCGTGTAGTTATGTAAGAAGGGGGAAAGCATATTTCGAATGCATAATGCGCCGGAGAGATGAGATTCATGGAATATGTCAAGTTGGAAGCACAAATCATTGGGGCTGGGATGGGGACGTGCAAGACAGCCCATGTGCAGTGACAGTTGTCGACAGTGAATCTGGCGCAGAGGTCCATGAAGAGTTTATTGTTGAATTTTGGAAAGTCGAAGAATTGACCAATGGCAAATTCGGATCAAGGTTGGCCCAAAAGGAAGAGTCCATTTGCGCCTGAGGTTGGGGCGGGACCAAGAATGCTTCAGGCCGAAGGACGCTTCGGAGATACTGATCTAGAGTTGTGTCCGGGCCGATTCCAAATCCAATTTGCGAGATAGGAGTTTGGCCCATGTCCAGTGGGTAGTTGTACACCGAATTACAGGTCACATCATTCTGTGCGTGATTTTGGCAATCATAGCAAGGGGGAGAGGTGCAAGTCATAGATTGTGCAGGGCTAGATGATGTTGCTGTGCTGATCGATGGTGGAGGAGACTGGAATCCGGGTAACATTGGAGACTTATGAAAGGGCTCTTCCTGCTGCGTGGGGGGAACTGGAGACGAAGCTGGGTTGGTTCTTCTTAATGAAGGCGATCGTTTCGATAGATATTCGGTGTCACTATTTATATCATTAGCTTGACATTTGGATTGTGCAGCTTTGCTGAGTACTTACTGTTGGGCCATGTGCTGAGATAGGTAATCGGAACGGTGGAAGCCTTTTGTACAGCCTTCATAGGAGCACGTATAGAGCTTCATAGGCTTGTGACTCAACTCATGCCTCCTTCGGTGTTCAGCCCTTGTAAAAACTTTTGCGCAACCGGGAAACTCGCATGCATGTACACGCTTTCCCTTCCTAGCTTTGCTCACGCGATGTTTCATCTGAGAAGGTGCCGGCGAGGGAGGAAGAGACTGGGGACTGGGGCTGGCAAACTCTCGAAACAGGTCACTCATAGTAGGTGGTGATACTGAAGCAATGTACTGGAGGTTTTTTGAAGGTGGAATTGAAACAACGGAAGGAAATGGGGTCCGGGACACGGTGCAGGCTGTTGACATCGGTTAATCGTCAGAGTGCAGTTCTGTCATTCGAGGACGAGGGTCATGTAAAGTACAGATAAAATATTCCTTTGTTGTTCAGCAATAGCTATGGGCCAGATGACGGAGTCGTGAGCCTGAAAAAGTGCACGGATGCAAGACGTTGGTGGGCAAGGCTGAAGAGAAAAGAGGTGGGTTGATGTCAGTGGGGGATTCCAGTCTCTATAAATCCCCCGGGAATCACGCATTTTAATAAGATCGGCTGAGTAAAGCAATCTTGGCCGGAAATGTAGATTTCAAAATAAAATGAAATAAAACAAAAAGTTGAAACGAGGAAAAATAGCGATCGGCCGGGGATCGTTTAGTGATCGCCCCCATTGGATCCATTCTGGATTTGTCTATTACATAGGCATTCGTTTATCTTCCGCTAGATAGGTGAGACAGCCCGCACAAATTGCCTTGTACATTGTCATGCATCCCGCATCACGGGTCTTTTCCAAGACTTGCTGAGTCTACACCCAAATTGGCGGAAGAGGACAGGCTAGTATTCCCAAATAGCCTTTGCGGCGAACGCCGGAGGCCCAATCTTCGACCGTTATTGAACCTGATTAAAATTAATAAGGGAAGAAAACTCAGGGAGGAACAGACAGCACGAAGATAGGGCGCTGAATGGGGCTCAGTGGACCGGGCATCCGGCATCCGTGGGATCTACCGGGAACCCAGGCTCCAGGCTGTCGTTGTTGGCCTCCATGATCTGCGGCTCGATTTTATTGCACAGGCCATTGACCCGCGCGGTTCATGATCACTGGCTCCAGGGTGGCCCGGGCTTAGGCTTAGCGTGACACCAGCATAACCGAGTAAAATAGGGCGTTCGCACCCATTCCCTAATTCGACCTAAACTCAGGATCCCTGCCGAGCCTCAGAATCTGCTTGGGCTTCCCCCTTTTCTGGCCCCCACGGTACAACTGGTTTCCCTGACAAGGACTAGCACGTAATTTGCCAAATGTAACACTTCCATGCCTGCTGATCTTCTCTTCTTTTGTTCATCTAGCCACTCTCCTGCTTCGAGATCATTGGGGATGTCGTTTAGGAGTGGATGCAGCTACCGATTGCCAACACAGATGCGGAGAATATTGCGATCACACCTGATTGGGTCCCTCGCACACTCATGCCCGACAATATCAGCACGGACCAGAATTAGAACCGATCCATAGCCTCCGTACTTATGTATGTTTGCTTCCGATTTGAGCCCCTTTTCACGGTTCAAGTAACGGGTAGCATCATGTCATCTTCTGGGGCTCTTCCATAGTAATACGCGTCCTTGGCAACTTTCAATCTAGCAAAGACTCAATCACTATGATAACGCGGGATGCATGGCAACCATCCTCCCCGGTGATCTAGTCCAAGATTACCTACGCAGACGTCTAGAGTGCTAGCTCAACTGTTGCATAAAAAGATCAATCGGCCGATTTCGCTGTCAGCGAAATAGCCATTGACGCTTCATCATTAGCTCACCAAATCGTTGGAAGCCAGGGGCGCCTCGTCCCCGTGCGTTTCCATTAACTTTACCATCTGGGGACTTCTTCCAGTAGAATAAAAATAATTTTCTTACCCGTACGATCGGGCCGGCCGTGTTCAAGATTGCAATGACTCGGGTAGCCGGGCGGCATTGTCACCTAGGCACTGGCTTAAACTTCATCGAATATCAAAAGCGGCAATAGAAGTCGCGTGATATGTTCAGAAGCTCTGTACGTATTTGCTACCGCCTATTCAGTTTCTGACATACAATATGGAAGAGAAAGATCGATCACGAAAAAGCCCGGACCGCTCTGACATATGCATTAGGCTTTGAGGGTTCCGCGTGCCTAAACTATCTACCAAAGCATCTTCCCGGTCGATCTCCCACCGTGCATGAGTGCTGATGGCTCTTGCTCGGGACCCACACCTGTATTGCTGAATAAAACCTTGTATCTGCGGGGCTCTGGTCAATTGATAACCCATCGGAGAGTTATCCGTATGGATTGGGTTTGTTTATTTTCATTTGTAAAGCCGCACTAATTTGTCCATTCGATAATTACCGTGAGCTGACGGGCTTTTGGATTAACGCGGGCATTATGTCTGGTTACATAGGACCTTGCATGTGCAATTTCGCTACTTTTGAGCTCCAGCTTCCTGTACATGTAGCCTTTCACGGAGATAGTATTTTAACGGATGTTGCCCTTGACTTAACCGATTGCCGTCGAACAATTATGTTTCAAGGAGAAGATTTGATGTTGAGCTAGTACCATGACACAAAAATATGCTCCATTGAAGCTCGGCCATAGGTACACATGAGGATAAACCTCCCATTTTGCAAAGAAGCAAATAATTTATCCAGTATCATCCCAGACCATGAACAAGGAAATCCCGAATATGTTCAAAGTCCTTCTTAGTCAGCGTATCCCATGGATTTTTCCGCGTTCCGATATCCTTCAAGACCATAGTAGTGCGGCTAGGCATATCCTCTTGGACCTCCTTCAACAGAATTGTAATGAAAATGTATGCAGGGACAGTCACCCACAGACTTCTGTACATCATATCAAGCGAATCGATGAACATTTTCGTATCAAGGCAATCGGAGCGTTTGAATCGGAGCACTTCCATAAGTGCTTCATTATCCCATTTGATTCCGAAGTCAATAACTGCCTTTTGTAGATCCTCCATGAACTCATCAGCGAACTCCATACGGGGGTTGCATTTCAGGATGTGTTTCAGCATGTAAGGCACTATGTTGTCATGCAGCCAGTCTCGGACTAGACGGGACTGTGTCTGCCACCTCAGAGAGGTTACGTCGTTCCATTTGGGGCGTGGGATTTTCCAGTCCATCAGAGTCTGGAGTGAGTATCGAACAAGGAGCTCTCGCACTGCTATGTTCCAGTCTTCGAGGTCAGAAGGTCCGCGGAGGGGTATCACCATCTTGGGGAGTTTGAAGGTGCCAATGTCTGGGAGATCGACTCCTTGGTGGGGGATAACTTTTTTTGAGTCGGCATCTTTCTCTGGAGCTGGATGGAGGCGAAGTGCGTGGGGGCAGAGGGAGGGGTCGGACAATATCCAGAAGTCGCGTGTTTCGTCGAGTGCGTCTTCTGCTCCTTCCTTGTCGCTGGACGATTGGGAATGTGTCTGGTCGGACATCTTGATGAACCAAATACAGGTCCAGATTGACGAGGTTGTTTGTCTGTCGCATTTGGCTGGGGTATTGACGGTGAGATGTTTCGCATGAGGAGTGTAGACCATCTAGTCGCGTAGGACTGGAGGTCAGGCCTGGGAGATCAAGTGAGTGGTAGACACATGATTATCTCTTTGTTTGTAACGCTACTTGAAGTGAATTAGGTGAAGACGCTGCTGGCGTCGAGACATCGTTTGTAAACAATGTCAACGAAATAGTTAATAGCCATCATAGTGCAAATATTGCATACACATAGTCACGTCAATTGAGAAAATACTTTCAATCTATCATTGAGGTGGTAAAGAAATAAATTTATCGGGCACCCCAATGTGATCAGCCGAACGTTCGTAATGAGGTGATTAGCCCCCATCAAGATGTCATCCTCACTAGCAGTAATATAGCTCTTCCAGGAGCTCTTACCTGCTATCTACCCCTCGCTAGATTGTCATTTTATGACCTTGAGCACATGTCATGTCATCCTTGGCCAGATGATGCAAGTGCCAAGCACCATGTCAGGGATGTGTCGTGATGCAATATGCAGGTAGGAAAATGAACAGGTATAGCCGAGTCCAGCGTGTATAAAGAGTGAGTTGTAGTCCATGAAAACTCCCTTAAGAGGCTATTAAGAAAAGGAATCAACGCTGGCCAATATGAGCACTATATTTTCCGAGTCGCTTTCCAAGAAAGCCGCCCATGAATCGGTGTCCTCTATCAACGCTTCAGACTCCTCGGACCACATCGCACCTTTGGGAGAGCCAGGTGAAGAGCGTCGCTTTTGGTTCCAGCGAGCGAAAAGCTATGATCCTCATGCAATCGCCACTCAGCCATCAGTCTACGACAATCCAGATACCGCCAAGGAGTACCAGCCTGAAGCTGAATGGGAAAACCTTCACCGATTTGATCCCTCTGCAAGATGGACATGGGCTGAAGAATACAGTCTTGTGCGAAAAATTGATATGCGCATCATGATTTTTGCTTGCGTCATGTTCATGGCTCTCGAGTTGGATCGTAGTAATCTTCAACAGGCTCTGACGGATAATTTCTTGGTGGACTTGGGCATGAACACAAACGGTAATCAGCTCTCTATTCTCGGTTGATTCTTGTTCATTGATAATGGAACTACAGACTATAACCTTGGAAACACCGTGTTCCGACTGTCGTTCCTTTGCGCCGAGCTGCCTTCTCAACTTGTCAGTAAGTGGGCCGGCCCAGACCGATGGATCCCGACGCAGATGGTGTTATGGTCAGCGGTAGCCATGGGACAGTACGGACTCAAGGGCAAGACCTCTTTCTTAGTGTGCCGAGCTCTGCTTGGGATCTTGCAGGGCGGATTCATTCCAGATGTAAGTCTTCCGCCTGGCCAGCATTGAATCTCCAACTCACAAATTTGGCTAGGTGATCCTCTATCTGTCTTATTTCTACAAAGCTCACGAACTATCTATCCGTCTGGGCTTCTTTTGGACAGCTATGAATGTTGCCGATATCATTGCCAGTTTCCTGGCTTTTGGCTTATTACATCTCCGCGGGGTTGAAGGCCAGGCGGGTTGGCGTTGGCTCTTCCTTATCGAGGTAATCGCACTTTGCGCACCAGAATGGGGCTTTAAGTGACTGACAAACAATTCAGGGTATTATCACTCTTATCTTTGGTCTTGCTGCATATGTTTTGATGCCCCCAGGGCCCTGTCAAACGGCCAATTGGTCTCGCGGCAAGTCAGGCTGGTTCACTCCAGGCGAAGAAACGATCCTCGTAAACCGAGTCATTCGAGACGATCCCAGCAAAGGAACCATGCACAATCGGGAACCCATTACACCAAAACTGCTCTGGAAGAGTCTTTGTGATTTCGACCTTTGGCCTCTTTATATTATTGGTCTTACTTTCGAGACGCCCATGACAACACCAAAGCAATATCTAACACTGACCCTGAAAAGCATGGGATTCGGCACATTTGTTACCAATCTTTTGACGATCCCAAGCACGGTAATTTCATGTATCACGATGCTCAGCCTCACCTACATTTCCGAGGTTGTTGGTGAATTGAGTCTAGTAGCAATCTTCGGACAGATCTGGGTACTTCCTTTCGTGATATACCTGTACATTGTGGATGTCAACACCGCAAACAGATGGTCCGTCTGGGCTGTTATGACACTGCTTCTCGGTTTCCCAAACGGTAAGTGTTTGCTGCCGACTTTGATTTTAAGGACCCATGCTGACAAAGTTTGAAGCACATGCAATGCAAGTCGGCTGGAACTCTCGCAACTCGAACACTGTCCGATCCCGAACAGTCTCGGCTGCCATGTATAACATGTCTGTGCAGGCTTCGTCTATTATTGCCTCAAATATCTACCGAGCTGGTTCGTATTTGGATTGACTTCATGCCTTTTGCCTTTTTCTAACTACTTTTAGACGATGCCCCCCTCTATAAACGAGGAAATCGCGTGCTCGTTGGCTTGGTGGTTTCTAATATATTCATCTACCTCGGCGCCAAGGCTTATTATGTATGGCGCAACTCAAGTCGCGATAAGAAGTGGAATGCCATGACCGATGAGCAAAAGGCCCACTACTTGGCGAACACTAAGGATGAAGGCAGTGGACGCTTAGATTTCCGCTTTGCGCATTAGATAAGAGGAAGTCTGGCACAATCGGTGCCGGATGGGAGCTCGCGTACCCTTTCTTCTGGTATTCATGCTTGATCTTGGCGTGGATGCACTTGAATATAGTTTCGATGTCTAAATTGAGCTGAATTTAAATGGCGTGCTTCAACGACATTCAATACTGGTCTTGACCTACCGATAAATAATAATCATGGAATTAGACGCGCTCGACAATGCAGACGCTGTGGACCACTGAAAGCGGCTTCGTTCGTAATCATAGCACAATGTTGCGCAACTTCCCACTCGGATTGCCCCATAACCCCGCAAGTGTCACAGATCTAGACAAATCCTGAATGATGGAATCTGACATGATTCATGAACGAAATTGCGAATGCGGACTTTGTATTATTTCCGACTGGATATTCGTGATTTGTTGACAGGCGTGCGACATGCGCGTATACTTCGTGGCGCGGGGTTGCGAAGGCATATTTGGTGTCGCAATCGGGTAACCGGCAACTCATTGATAGGAAACTAGTATATAAACTGAGATGGTATGAAGTAAGAGTTTTAAATACAGATCTTGATCGAATAGTCACCTAATATTGTTTCTTATTTATTTCAGATCTATCCAAAAAATGGCTCCTTCTTTGACCGAAACAACCCCGGTGGTTCCCATCGTGGAAGACAAGATTTCACTGAAAGGCTCTGAGCGAACTCCTCTTAAATCTACCGGTGTATTGGATGCATTCGAGTCTTTTGATGTTACTCCGGTAATTGGACGCGAGTTTCCTAACGCCAGCCTGAAGGATTTCCTGCGTGCTCCAAACTCGGATGATTTGCTTCGCGAACTCTCTCTGACTAGTGAGTATACTGCTTGAGCTACTCCTCTCTAGGATGTATATTTGCTAACATCTGAGTGAAGTTTCGCAACGTGGCGTGGTATTCTTCCGCAAGCAGGACGGCCTTGACGACAACTTGCAGAAAGAACTCGTCCAGCGTCTGGGTGAGCTTTCAGGCAAGCCAAAGACTTCTGGACTGCATATTCACCCTATTGTCAACTCCGGTCGCGAACACAGCGTAACAGATGACGAGATCAGTGTTATCAGCTCCCAGCAACGGCAAAAGCTGTACACCGACCGAAATGGCCGGAGACAAACCTCTCGTACCGAATGGCACAGCGACATCACCTTCGAGCCCATTCCCAGCGACTACACTCTCCTTCGCTTGACTGAACTTCCCAAGACTGGAGGTGGTGAGTGATCAGCGCCCCATTCAAAGCTCGGTGTTCATGACTTACGAATTGGCTAGATACGCTGTGGGCTTCCGGATACGAGGTCTACGACCGCCTCTCTGAACCATATCAGAAGTTCCTCGAGGGCTTGACTGCCACCTATGCTCAGCCACGCTTCAATGATATTGCCAAGAAGAATGGCTTCGAGGTTCACCCTGGTCCTCGCGGAGCTCCCGAGAATGTTGGCGAGGAGCTGCGCGCAGAGCATCCTGTGATCCGTACCAACCCAGTCACTGGATGGAAGAGTGTTTTCGCTGTTGGCACTCATGTTCAAAAGGTCAATGGTGTTACCGATGAGGAGAGTGCTCATCTTCTCAGATGGTTCGTGGATCTCATCGTCGAGAATCATGATTTACAAGTGCGCCTCCGTTGGCAGAACCCGAATGACCTCGGTAAGTTCTCATAATCTTCTCGATACATGTAAATGTTTCTCTAATACCTTTTTAGCTATCTGGGATAACCGATCAGTCTATCACGCTGCTACTTGGGACTACGAGGAGATTGGCCCGCGAACAGGACATCGCGCTGTTGGGCTTGGAGAGAGACCATATCTGGACCCGAACAGCACTAGCCGTCGCGAAGCATTGGCCAAGGATCAATAGAAACCTAGATATCTTCTCTTATATAGCTATTTAATTATCTCCGATGGTTCGCTACAATGGACAGAATACCAGTTATTTGGAGTAAACTCCGATTTATCCATGGAAGCTATATATCCAGTCAGGCTTCCCGGTGCCTCTTTCTGTGCATCTCCACACTCACCCATCCCAGCCTCTAAACCAAGTCACTACCATCATCAACCTTCGGCGGAGAGTCTTTGAGTGGTATAAAATATCTACATGTTAGATTTCCGCTACAAAGTCGAGATCTGTGGTATTGATGAGATTCGGTGTGCTGCCGATAGCTGCTATAAGGTCGAGATCTGTGGTACGGTCGAAAGTACCTGTATGCTCGAGAGTTGGTGTGTCGCTAAGGATTTCATACCGCTGAGAGCTGCTTGTGGTGGAGACTTTTGTTCCAGTCGAGGATCCCCATGTGAGTGAAAGTTGCCGTACGGCCCCGGGCTCCTGTGTGGTCGAGAGCCAACGATCTGCCGAGGGTTAGCGGAATGCTGTTATTTCCCGCACCCTCGAGAGTCAGTCTGGCGCGCCGACCGGACGAGCCGTCAATGTCCGTGGGCTGTATATACTTAGATGGAGTAGATTAATTTGTCGAGCATATATAAATATTTTTATAAAATTTAAGTTTATAAAAGGTTAAATCAAATAGATTAAAGCAGCCTTCATATGCCAATATATAGTATCATACGAGGCTGTTTTGACCCCCCCTTCAGACCACGTCCGTCACTGTGGGCCTATCGTGGCTTTTTGATATAATCCTCTGGAGTAAGATTGACACCCTCAATCTTGAAGCTTTACTTTGCATAGCAATGCTTTACGAGCCTACGTATTTTTTGAAGCCAGAATGAGAAAGAGCATGATAAGTTGCGCTAAAATATGAAGGAATCTGGACAGAGCAGTATTTGACAGAGGGCATCATTCCAATAGCCACTATAGCAGAAGGGATCCGGCATTGGTACTAACACAACTACCGGTAGCATTCGTGTCTTTCATCAGATAAAGATAGGCCTCCGAAACTTCCTCAATTGTGCCGGCTTTGCGCAAAGCGGTAGAATTCTTCATTTCATCGGACACTCCTGCGGGTCCCCAGAGAGGGGTAGCAACCACGCCAGGGCTAACTAGGTTCACCCGTGTTGGTTTCAGGTCTAGTGCGAGGTTACGCACCATTCCATGTAAGCCTGTCAGATACCCAGTGATCAATGACCAGTTCGGGTATGGCTTTTGAGAGCCGGACCCAGTGGTCAGTGTGATCGATGATCCATAGCCCGGTTTGAGGAAACGAGGAGCTAGTTTGGCAAGCAGAAGAGGAACGGCAAAACGAATGTGGCCTGCTCGGTGAATCGCCTCAAGGTCGATGCTATCCAGAGGTTGAATAGAGAGCCTATCGCCGGCAGTAAATACGATGTGGTCAAGCGGTCCAATAGTGGTAAGGAGAAGCTCGAGGTTTCTTTCAACGCCCGAATCGGCAAGGTCGCAGAGATGTCCAGAAATATGCTCTTCGGGGAACTTTTCTTGCAAGGTTTCGGTACTTTCCCGGACTCGGGAAGCATTCGAAGATGCTATATGCACCTTTGCATGCTCGGCGAGGGCTTTTTCCGCAACTCCATAGCCGATTCCGGAAGAGCCGCCAATGACAAGAACAGTGGAATTTTTGATAGAGGGCATGATAAAAATATTCGTTAGAGCGGACCAGAGACGAGAGATTTCTTTTTCTTACGGTTCAGGGCGTCGGAGAGAGTGAGTAAGTGGGAAAAACCAATGGATATCCTTCCGGATTAACTATCCAATAAATCTGATTCGAAACTGATCGGAGTGTCGGACTTAAGAGAGATGGAAGCTATCTTAAGCACATATCTTGTTCTTGGTATTGGTGGGGCTCCAGATCCACTCAGCGACCGGCATTACGAGTGTAAAGTCCGAGGATGTCAATTAATAATGACATCAAGTATTTTGGGCAACAGTTCCCGCTGGGCTTGGCAAAGAAAAAAAGAATTACCGCCAATACCGGTATGTGTGTACTCCACCCATGCATCAATTGGAAAGAGGCGGGGGCGAGGAGTATGTGTCATCGACATTTCATATGTATCGAGGCAGGAAATATAAAGAAGAAAAATATCCTACCCTCTCTTCACCGGAAATTACCCAAACACCATATGCTTTTTCACCTTAGGCTTTGATTGATTCCATCATCACTGGCAACTGAGACATCGCAAATATGGGAGAAAATGAGGCAGCCTGGATCACTGCACCTGCAGCATATCCTTTCACGGTCAACAGTGCGCCAAAGCCTAAGCCAGGCGCCGGCGAGGTTGTGATTAAGAATGCTGCCGTTGCCATTGTGAGTTATATCTGCTACCGTCCGTGCACTTGTTACTCGACAATTTCATTAACGAATTTATCAGAACCCTGTTGACTGGAAGATTCAGTAATATAACCCTGGTCTCCCCTCAAAGAGGCGTCTCGTTTTAACTATTACATAGGAGCCTAGGTGGCTACATAAACAAATATCCCTTCATTTTAGGCGAGGATGCTGCTGGAATCGTCGAAGATGTCGGCCCCGGTGTCTCACGGTTCAAGAAGGGGCATCGAGTAATTGCGTAGGTTCCCATTGCCACAATCTGTTTTGCTTTTACAAGCCAATTGCTGATCTAAGGCGCTCACTACAGTCACTGTAATGGCCTCATGACGCAAGACCCTGCCAATTCAAGTTTTCAACTATACCCCGTTGTCACCGAGGCTCTTGTGGCTGAATTGCCCGATTCGTTGACTTTTGAAGAGGGCTCTGTACTGCCGTTGGCGATCTCAACAGCCTGCGCTGGCCTGTACCAAAAAGACCGTCTGGGTTTACCCTTGCCTGTGGTTGATGGTGCTGAACCGACAGGTCAGACGATCGTGGTATGGGGCGGTGCATCATCGGTCGGCGCAACAGTAATTCAGCTTGCAGTGGCCTCGGGTGTCACTGTCCTGACTACTGCATCCCCGGCAAACCACGATTTCGTCAAGTCCCTGGGTGCACAGATCGTGTTTGACTATAGGTCATCTGATGTTGTGCAAGACACGGTTAAGGCACTTGCGAGCACCAATTTTGCTGGGGTCTATGATGCAATCTCGGAGGATACCAGCTTCAAAGCTATCTCGGCGATTCTGGATGGGTTGAACATGACGGTGAATGTGGCCAGTGTCTTGCCGTATGACAAGCCAACTGAACGATTTGCTCCAAAGTATGGTAAGTGTCATGGTGAATCCCGTTTGAATTTACATTTTCAAGTTAACGAAGCCATTTCTGCCACAGTGCTTGCCTACTCTATTATTCAAGAACCTCACAGCGCTATTGGTGAGTGGATTTGGGGCAAATACGTCCCACTGGCTTTGGCAAATGGAAGTTTCAAGGCCAAGCCGGAGCCTTTAGTTGTCGGCAATGGACTTAAAGATATTCAGAAGGGTCTAGATGTACAAAAGAAGGGTGTGTCTGCTAAAAAGGTGGTCATCGCATTTTGAACTCGAAACGTGGATTGAAGAGTCTAGAATAGCTTAGGGAATTGGAGTTTGATATCCAATTTGAATAATTGTAAACTGCGCGGATTTGGTATCTTTTGCCTTATTCTCTGATCCCTTTTATGCCTTCTTCTTCGATTTGGTGGAGAAGAAAGAATCTGACTTCGTGATGACGGTAAGGTAGCCTCATAGGCAATTATAGCACCACTGGCCACGGTGCACCCGATACTCCAAGCGGGTAGAATTAGGCGTTGAATCGATTATTATCCAAAACATACGCAATAGAGTCTCTAGTATCAGTTATTTCAAGCTAAGAAAGCCGGCCTTTGGAAGAACATCCTGAATCAGGCTAATAAAAGCATATATTTAATGTCTAAGATTAACAATGAGCGCTCTTTGCGCAATCTAAATGTTCTGTTCATCATCTGCTACACATGTGAAGAAGGAAGGAGTAAAAAAGAGAGATGTAGATTCTGGAGATGGAAGCTATGGATCTAGATCCATCATGGAGGCTGAGACAAGGCATGCGGCAAAGAGGGGCAGAATCCCTCATTCACTGCGCACATTTAAAGAGCGTCCCCCTGTCAGGCAAAGCCACTTAGCGAAAAGTGAAGGATTCTGATGACTTAATGTGGTGTTACCAATATCTTCTCTATTCTGTTTCAAAAAAATGAAATGAGAATTCGTTCTACCATCTTCTATCACAGAATGTGGAGTGGATTTGGTCTTCACTTAGAAAACCCCTCAAGCGGCTTTATGTTACATCCGCGCACTTCGGCCGACACAATGACGTACCGTAGTGTGAATGACTCCAAACCTCGTGTTTGGAGGGCTGTATTGGATTAACAATATTTTATCTGTCGTAAATTTGAAAGGCAAGGAATTGTGAGTCTCGTGGTTCTGCTAATTGATTGGTCAATCAATTTAAGCTCAGTGGAGCCTGTCAGTCAGTTTCATTAGCGTGCCATGATTATCCCCTCGAGTTGGCCCGCGTAATTTTCAAACCCATCCCGTACCTAATAGAAACACTGTCTTTGCTCGTTACATCAAATAGTTTCTTTCTGCTTACAATTATAAATCCAATCCCAGAAAATGTTGATGGAATAATCAAGGTGCAAAATTCTGGACTAGTACCAGGCGTGAGTCTCTGCAATAATGTAGCCAGGCTGTGCATAGAGAACCCCCTCAAATATGTACTTGGCCATGTCCTGTCCATAGGTATGTGCTCAAATATTTTATGTTACAAAAAATTAAAGACCAATAGAAAAACTTGTGACATTTGCTGTTGAAGCAGGCAACAAGCCATAATACGCAACTATGAACTTGCAATGCATGTATTTATGTTAACCGGAGAATAATGACTTTCAAACTGTCGTTCAAAGAATAGTCGTGGGATCCACGTCAAGGTTAGCCGCATTCCGCTGCGCCTGATCCAAGATCGGGATGCGAATAGCGCCCTTGTCGTCCACAGGGACCGGGTTGGGTGAAGGACCGGGTGTGCGCTCGCTCTTATTTTGGCGCTGAATAAGGCCATTCGTGATTCCAAGGACGGAGTCAACGATGACAGCGTCGATGCCTTCGGCGACTTGGTACTGTTTGTTTCTGTGGTAAGCTTACGTATCAGGGTTGGGAAGAGTAGGTAGACTTACATCAACGTTGACACCGTCGTTGTTGAGGGAACCGTAGGATACGCAGACAAGACCGGATTCCTTGACGATGCGCACGAGACGCGGGCACAAGACTAGGGGCTCGGCTTGCGTCACAATACCAAGGAGGTTCCAGCGGGAAGCGAATCGAATAGCTTCCTGCAGACTGCTAGCGCGAATATCGCCGACTGGGGAAGCGCCCGAGTCGGAAAGGAAAAGGACCGGGATGGACGGCTGCTTGAAGGACAACAGAAGACAGACGTCAGGGTTGAAGCTGGAGAAAAGCATGTCACGACCGGCGCCCATATCATAGACCTTGGTGAGGATGGTGTCGACGAAGGAGTTCAGCTCGACGGCGTAGGTGTCCATCTCTTCCTCCTCACTCTCATGGAGCATGGGATATTCTGGCGATCTTGGTTAGATCGTCGAAAGGTAGCTGTTCTTTACAAAGCGGTGGTAACTCACTCAGTTCTATGTTGAAGCCGACTGGCTGGGGGACCTTTTTAAACAATTCCTCTAGTGTGGCGAAAGGGGCTTGGATGTGTTCGCCGCGGGTGTTGCCCTTGAATCCCTTTTTCTTGAAATCGCGCGTGTGCTTGATCTTCTCGGTCAGCTCAGCTGGGTCATACTCAGAGCCACCGACAGACATCGAGCGTTGTCGGATACCCAGGCTTGTGTCACGGTTAAGATGGCCAATGTCAGGCAAGACGTTACGATGCCGACTCTTGCCGAGTTCCAAAAATTGGTCAAGCGTCAAGGTGTGCACCGGGGCGTCGATGCCAGTCTCACTGACCAAGAAGTCGTGGTAGATGACAGGGACATGATCCTTGGTAAGCTGTACATCAAACTCGACGTAGGAAGCGCCCAGATTCGCAGCTGCGATAAATGACTGAATGGTGTTTTCACCCAGTTGGAGGGAGTTACGACTGGCCATGTTCTTTCCCAAACCACGGTGTCCGATAACCATTGTCGAGCTCATTGACCGCCAGTAAGTCTGGTTTCCGGTGATCGACATCTTTGGGTGCTTGAAAGGGGTGATGACCAAAAAGTTGAAAGTCACAGACCCAATCACATCCAAAGTGTTGGCAGCGACGATAGGAACGGTAGAGTCGCCCTTGAGGTTGATCCGCTGAGCGCCGATTGTAGGCTTAATGCTGGAAAGAAGCGCAACGCCACGGCCAACAATCTTCTCCTTCGATCCGGCGTAGGTGGGCACAAGATCGAAAAGAAGACGGACCTTGCTGGCATCAGTTGTGTGAAAGACGATTGGCTCGGTCGAGATGTTATCCTGAACGGGCAGATCGATCACCTCGGGCTCTCCGTGAGCGCCACTAGCGGTGACTACCAGAGACAGAGCTGTATCCAGCTGTGTCGCATGTGCGTTTTCCATGGGGATGCGGTCAAGATTGACCGTTTCTAAAGGCTTGCGCATATCCATTGTTCCCAAGCTGACCAGAATCATGGTCTCGTCGGTGAGATACCGGTGTCCAAAAGTCTTGATAGGTTCAGTATTGCGTAAACCAGAATTCCCAGCGGAGGTAGGACCAGGCGCATTCGACCGACGGTCAGTCAAAGAAGACTGGGAAGGGGGCGAAGATGATGCGGATGAGGTGTTGGTAGTAACTGAGAAAGGCTCAGGCTCGGTGGCCGGAATTGCAGGGCTCACTTCAGCAAGACACCGCGCGATATCTAGGTGACCTCGAAGCGATGCATGTTCCTTGGCCGTCCAGCCAGACGAGTCAAAGCGTTCCACATCTGCACCAGCGGCAATCAGCTGTTGGGCCACGTTCAGGTGACCATCAACACATGCAATGAACAGAGGTGTCCACGAATAGGTGTTCTCTGGAAGATCGGTATTCGCCTTTTGGGCATCGGAGCCCTCGAGAAGAATCCCGGCACACTCATCATGACCAAAGCGGGCGGCAACATGGAGCGCAGTTTCGCCCTGTTCATCCTGGTAGTTGATATCAACACCAGCATCTACCAAAAGCTGGACAATGTCCACAAAGTTGGCCTTTGTTGCTAGGGCAAGGACTGCGCTAGATTTAGGAGCCTGCTTGCGGACCTGGTCCTCTTGTCCGTGAGATTCTTTCCAGTTCTCGGCGTCGAGCAAAAACCGGGTAGTTTTCGGGTGGCCACCAACCACACTCAGGTGAAGGGGCGCCCAGCCATCCTCATCTTGCCAAATAGGTCCGTCGATTCCCTCGCTGACATCGAACATTTCCCATTCTCGGAGGTGTTCGATGATTACTTCACACACCACCTTGAAGCCATACTGAGCTGCATAGTGAAGCGGAGTACGTCCAGAGATATCCTTCGCCATCAGGGCTTCGCGCTGGTTTGGTCGCAGGGTACCGAGCAAATGCTTCAAAAGAGCAACAGCCGGGTCCTCACGGCCCATCTGCTGGGGCATGTGCGCCTCCTTGATGACAGAGCGCGGCGGCTGCAGCGTAGGTGGGGCTGCGGGAGTGATGTAACGGGAGGTCTCCAAAGGGAAGTCCAGCACCAACGATGCCGTAGGCTCGGAATCACTAGTAGATTGCTCACGGCCAATTGAGATGACCAGACGGTGGAGACAGTTGCGACGATTGATATCATCGTCTTCCTCCAGAGTATCAACACGAGGAAGGAGAGCTGACAAGCATGCTTGAGCTCTGTGCAGAATGGCTCGCTGGATGAGGGTCTTGAGAACTTTGATGAAGACACCTTCGCCAGCCTCATCTGCAGCGGTCTTCAAAGTCTCGAGTAGTTCGAGCAAGACGTGGACGTCATCCTTTTTCAAAGCATCGTCCACCGCCGTGACAACGTCGGTGGGCAGATTCAAATAAGGACGGGCTGCGCCTCGCTTCAATGACAGAGATGAATGGGTCGAGCTAGCATCATCGAATTTCTCTTGCTCCTTAGACTGATCGGTGATAACGGCCATCCAGGTATTGATACGCTCCTGGGCCTTGAAAACGCGAGCATTGGACGCAAAAGGAGCGGGATCGACCTTGGTCTCCAGATAACGCTTTTGAGCCTGGGCCCCAACTTTCTTGTCAAGTTTCTTCGTAATCTTGACAAACCCACGGCGGTTGACCTCGCCATACCATTGTAAGCGGCGCAGGTGGTAGCGCAGATCGAGGAGTGCTTCGCGGAGATCATGTCTATCCTCGGGCTCCAATGGATGGTGACCTTCCATGGAATATCCATAGCGCTCTTCCAGCAGCTTCAAACGGCGGGCATATTCGGCATATTTCTTGTTGTAGAAGTAATCGACATCCTCGACATTTCGGTCGAGTGAGTAGAAGAAACCTAAACGCACCCAGCGAGCATCCTAGTTAAAAGGGTACTCGGAGAGATGCAGGAAAGCTCAAGGCGATAAAGAACCAGACTTACCGGCCAGATCCGGTTCTTGACCATCCTTGACTTGCACAGTAGCGGACTTGATGAGCTTCTTCAAAGCCTTGTACTTGATGTACGAAGCGCTCCACTCCGGCACGGTGAACTGGGGCAAATTGCGACCAAACTTCATCTTGAGAAGGTGAGGCAGAGCGTTCTTTCACCACTTGCGCTGTTCTCTTTTATTCCACCACGTTGCAACGCTTATCCAAAATCCTCCACTCTGTACACGGGGTCGAAGGCGGGTCGATTCGGCAACCTGAGGGTCACGGGAAGTGATCAGGTGAGCGGCCGTACGCAAGGTAGGAGAGTGTTCACAGGCGCCATGAGGGAGGGGGAAGGGTGTAGCTTCAAAGACCGACTGTACCTGGTGGCTTAAGTGGAGGCCAAGCGGTGAGGAAAGAAAAACTCTGTTCAGAGGTGGAGCATGAAAGGAGAGATAAAGCGGTACGATGTAGAAAAGGAGAGAAGAAAGGAGCTGGGTGGTGAGCAACTGATGAGGGCAGGTGAAGTTCGTGCCCGCGGTGGAAACGGTGATTTGTCGATCCCCGTAGGTCCCCCGCGCGGTACAGCAAAATGCCCGCAGCCAATGAGAACATCAAATCCGGGCTGCAATCGCCCTGATTCGAATATCATGTGACGATCTGTGCATGCACATGTTAATTCCTTGTTCCTAGGGCTAGCTATCCTCTAGTGGACACTATTGAGCCCCGTGACCGTTCGCCAAGCGCGTGTACCCCCCTGGCGTGTCAACAGTTACGTTACTTTGGCATAAGCTAGAAACCTTCGTGAGACCGGGGGATATGCAAGCACCCTAAAAAGCTGGAGGACTAGTCTTGTGACCATGCTTGGTCGCTATTCCCAGTTCCACCCTTCTCAGCTGGTACTAGGGCTTCTAAAGCTGCCTAGATAGGATGTAGCCCGATCTAGGAACCATCACCATTACGTTTGGAGAGTTGTGAGAAATTGGTTCATATTCTATAGCTATTGCAAAACCCTAATGCTGAGCAAAAATTAAGTGCGCCGTCCCAGAGGGACATTAAAAACTCCCCATTCCGTATCCCTAAAAGCAAGAAAAGAACGCTAAAATGATGTGCTCATAATCATGAGGGGCCAGAAACCCATAAGATAAACTCCAGCGAGGTATACATGCGAGGTGGTCTCCAGAGAGCCATCGTAGGAACATGCCAAGATCGATTACTGGACTAGAGGCTTCAACGCCTCCACGCCCGCCTGCAAAATCGCCTGGTTCGAAGTCTTCTTGATGCAAGCAGTCAGAATGTCAATTCCCCCGGCAGCGCGAACCGCGTCCTTTGCTCGAGCTGCAATATCACCTGATGCCGCGCAGGTCAGGTTACGCACACACACCGCGCCTCGGTGGACTAGAGCGTCGTCGTCTTCTTGGCATAGGCCTAGCAGGAGATCCACCCCGCGTGGGCGTTCCAAGACGGCGGCAATTGCCGCATCGTACTCGGTCAACATGGCGATGGCGCCGCCAGCGGCTCGTCGGGTAGGGAAATCGTCGGCATCGGTAAGGGCCAAAATAATGTGGAGGCGTTGAGACGCGCGCTTAGAGCCGTCGGCAAATTTGACAATGCCAGACTCGCAGGTCATCAGATTGCAGACCAGTTCGCACGCAGCCCGCTGCACACGAGGGTTACTGGACAAAAGAAGATCTTCCACCGCGGGCCAGCCTTCCCGGACCATCAGTTCGGCGGGTGTATCATCGTGTGGGTAAGAGGCAAGGTTCGTCAGAGCCAGCAGACTTTCGAACACGGGAAGAAGGTCACGAGGCTGGTCTACCGACATAGCTGCTGACTCGGGTGTAGACAGAAGGGAAAGCAACGGCCGCACAGCAGACGTGACCTGAGGGAAGCCGGAGGATGGGAACACATGCGCAGGGTCGACAGAGATGAGGATTCGAGCCAATGCGTGGGACGCGTTCTGTGTTGTCTCTGTGGCAAGGCTAGGATTACCCTGTTTAGGGATGGCCAGGCCGAGCAACAGCTTGACTGCACCCTGTTGGGCCAAAGCGCCCCGTGACTTTGTTCGCCGTGCCAGAGCCAAGAGGATTTTGGCTGCAAGATCGTGGATGGAAGGCATAGCAACTCGGCCACATTCCACCAGTAGTTCCATGGCGCCTGCGTTAATGACGACCCCGCAGCGGTCAAGCACCACCTCATCCTCTTCCAACGGGTCCGGAGCGGCAGCAACCTTGGCCTTGCCAGCCGATGCATCCGCGTAGTCCTTTAGCTGAGACATCTTCTTCTGCTCCTCCGAGAGGTTGGGAAGGAATTTGGTGAGGTTCAAAATGACCATCAGGCCACCATAAAGCACGGAGGAGTCGGTGATGTTCTTCTTCAGCACTGTGATCAATTCGCGGAGGAAGGAAGAGTCCTTGGCCAGCTCGTCCTTGACAACGGGCTTGACCGACGAATAGGCCAGTCCCTCGATGGCGTGGGAGATATTTTCAGCCTTGGATTCAGACATCAGTCCCTTGAAACGTTGCACCAGCTCAGAGACACCGGTGTCTGCATCCTCGACCTTACCGTTCTCGACCGTGTTAGGCTCAGAAGCTCGAATCTTCGCCAATACCACCGCTGCCAATTCGGAACCCTCGTCACTACCGTTCGTCAAGGTGTGCGATAGCCACTCGGAAAAGTCTTTGGTGACTACTTCACGGCAGGGACGATTGATGCAGGCTGCATTGAGCAGCTCCGCAATCGTAACCTCCACACGCTTGCGCTTCGCATCCCGCGAGGCTAGAGGAGTCAATGCCTTCATGAACTCATCTGAAAGGAATACACTGGCGGCAGCTGCGGGTGCCACAGGGAAGACAGCCGCTACAGCGGAAAAAGCAAGGATGAGATCGTCCAGGCGAGACTTGGCGACCTTAGCGGCAATCAAGGCAGAGAATTGCTTTGCACCATTCTCCTTGGCTACCTCCAGGTATTTAGCGGTTGCCAATGTGGCTTGACTCCGCACCTCTAATGGCAGTCGGTTGTCCAAGGACGACAGAATCACTTCGAATTCCTCGTGGTCGATCAAATGTTGCAGGCTATCGGCATCAACTGCCAGGAGTCTTGTGATTCCCTTCAGAGAGCGGCCGTCTAGGTCATGGCCCGACTCCATCAACTTCGCCAAGAACAGCTGAAACAGTTCACTTTCGCAGTGAGACCGTGTGTCCTCCGATGGCCAGAGACTAGGATCCAAGACCACGGTGTCCAGACAAACTGCGGCTCCATCGCCACGGTCGTAGATTTCATCAAAGAAAGCGGTCACGGAAACCTGAAGCTGGTTCGAAAAATATTGTCGGACACTGGTACTCTGTCGAACCAATCCTGAGATAATGTCGTCCTGTAGCTCAGACAGAGCGAGGGCGTTTTCACCCAGCAACAGCTTCAGCGATTCCAGAGCCACATTCTCTGGCGGCTTCAGACCATCTGTGCGGAGATAAACCGCGGCGCCCTTCCCGGCGGTCTCATCCTTGCGGCTCGCGTAGCGTCGGCAAAGATCTAGTAGCTGGTGGCCGTCATTTTCTTCTTGTTGGATTTTGAGAAAGGCGGCCTTCACGTCGATGTTATCGGGCGCAATAGAAAGAGCTTCTCGGAGATTACGTGATGCGGCCTATAGAGATCAATGTCAGTCAGTCAGTCTCCCGGAAATCCCTCCGGATCGCGTTCCAAGGGGAAACTATCGCGTATTACCCACCTCGCGATGACCGGCGTCGACCAACTCGACAGCCTCGCGGGCCAGTTGAACAGCGCGCTCTTCGCCTGTTGCTTGGACCATTGCAGTGATGCTGAGAGTCAGCACCAACGACCAAAAACAGTCCGTTTATCGAGTGAGTGGGGTGGTGGTGAGAAAAAAGTTACGACTCGCGCGGAAGGCGGGACTTTTTTTCTGAGGGGGGGGTAAGGCGGAGAGGCGGAGGTGCGGAGCGGGTGAGAACGAGGGAGAGATAAGTGGGCGACACTGATTTTATCAGATCGAAGTGAGCCACGTATGAGAGAAAAAGCAATGGAGTTGTCAGTCTCCGAGTTATGTTTAGAAAGTCTCCATACGGTATTACAAATATTAGCCCCTTGACTCTTTGGGTAAAGGTCAAAGTAACTAATGTGAATGAGACAAATTATCCTTCAGTCAACAGCATTATCAATCCCGCTGATAAGGCCAACCACAGCCACCCAGTTGGCCACGCCGTCGCATTGCTCGAACCTACTCGTTATATATACGTGGTATGTACTTCGGAATAAGCTGACCTTGTTTTTACCGTTAGATAGCGGTATCCGTCAGTCCCAACAGGATGAGCGGAACGCGGTAGATGCGAAGGCCGAGCATGTGGGACAGTTCTGTCCCCGCCTCTTATTCGAGGAAACCGCCGCGTAGCGCCATCCTTAAATCCATTCTCTCGCATACAGAGTACGGGTTATCCTAGCTACCGGCTTACATTCTCTTCCGGTGCTTCCCAGAGGCTCGAGAGGCTCGAGAGAGGTCAGACGAGTCATTCTAGGGGGGTTCATGGTGGATTCGCAGAATCCGCCAAGCTGATCATCCCAGTGTAGATCAGTCAAATATATCTTGGCCGCAACACCAGTCTTACCAGCCCAATCCAATTATTTAATTTGCCAGGAATAAGAAACCCGCCCATCCGATCAATAGGAGGTTCGCAGCTCAAATTGCTATTTCCAAGGTTAGATAGTTGAGTATCCGGGTTTCTAATTCCATATATCGCAAGAACCATAGGATAGCGCCATGGCGAAAAGGGCGACATAGATTCAAGGCACCGTTATCGTCCCGTGACTGGCCTTATCGCGGAGCTCCTTCTTTGAATCTCCGCCTTGCACCGCGCTTTTCTTGCCATCTCCGTTCAGGACACTCCCAGGCATCAATCAGACGATCTTGCCGTTGCGGCGCAGCGTGGATTCTTACCGAATCACCTTCGGCCCGGCCCACTTCGCCATGAGCTTCCGTCCTTGACAAGTCCCGGCATCATGAATTCCGTCGATGCTTCCGAGCACTACGAGCTCGGCGCCATCGGTTTGTCACTTCCCTCGCTGCAAACAAGCCCCGCAAGAGGTTTGCTAACAATCCCATCCCACAGATCTCGCCCCCTCTCTCCTTACGGTCGTCATTGACACAAACCCACACGCCTGGGCAGCTTTAGAAGATTCCCTCCCATTATCCAAAGCGGTCGCAAACATTCTCGTCTTCATCAACGCCCACCTTGCCTGCAACTACGCAAACGAAGTCGCCGTCGTCGCATCCCACAGCCAAAAAGCAGCATGGCTATACCCAGTCCCAAACTCAACCTCAGACCGTGAGGGAGACATCACAATGAACGCCAACGGCGCCCCCGCACAAATGAACAAATACCGCCCGTTCCGCGTGGTCGAAGAACAAGTAACCCGACGCTTAAAGGACCTAATGGACTCAACGAGTAGCGATGATCTCAAGGGGAATACATCCACCATGCTAGCTGGCGCATTGACACTCGTACTCAGCCACATCAACAGGCGCACGATAGCCTGGGCGGAAGAGCACGGCGGCGCAAGTCTAGAAGATGCAGCTGATTCAGGCGCGGGAAGCGGTGCGAATCGATACTCTGCGTCGAATGACGACGAGCGACTCCAGAGCCGTATTCTGATCGTCTCCGTTAGCGGGTCCAGTGACTCTGCACACCAGTACATCCCTGTCATGAACAGTATCTTCGCCTGCCAGCGCCTGCAAATCCCCATCGACGTGTGTAAACTCAGTGGTGATGCGGTCTTTTTACAACAGGCCTGCGACGCCACGAAAGGCATATACATGGCTCTTTCCGAACCGCGCGGGCTACTACAGTATTTGATGATGGCATTCCTGCCAGACCAGCGCTCCCGTCGACATCTTGTTCTCCCGACGAGGGAGGATGTGGATTTCCGAGCGGCTTGTTTCTGTCATCGGAGAGTGGTTAATATTGGCTTTGTCTGCTCTATCTGCTTGAGCATCTTCTGTGAAGCTCCTCCTGGTGGTGCGTGTCTCACTTGTGGGACAGAGCTGGACATAGGCGAGTATGATGTTAAGCCTGCTCTCATGAAAAGGAAGAAGAAAAAGAAGAAGCCGGCTAATGGGACCTCGGCGGCGGGGACGCCTGTGTCGACACCGACGCCGGGACCATGATTATTTCGGAATGATGGATCTAGAAATAAGATGGATACTAAGGAAACCTAGAGCTTATTTATTCTCGCTGGATTCGAGAGAGCTATTATGAAGAAATCTATCAAATCAAAATTTGCGATTCTTGCTAGAATTTTTGGGACTCCTAGGGACCTAGGAAGCATTTCTGACCACTGGCATGCCTGTAGCTGACAGAAGCAGACTAGAAAGGCCAGAAGAGAAGGATCGATCTGGATCGGAAGAAAAAAGCAATGCTCGTTATGCCGAAAGAGAACACCGAGGAAGGTTCCTCTGGGGCTCAACGCAAGTGGAAATCTCAACGTGGTTAGCCCGCATGCACCGTAGAGGTGATGACAAACGTTGTCAAGCGAATGGGAATATCAGAAGGTGTCGGTAGGATGTAGAGAGGGTCTTGAAACGGGGTTTCACGGCAGCAGACTTTTCTTAGTTCTGGACTTTCTGGTGACGGGACCTAGTCCTTGTAAACAGTTAGTAACTACCCTATTCCAACTAAATGGCTCATCTGTACGCACTTTCTAGGACGAATCATTAGCCCGCCCTGAGCGATAGATCCGTTCTTTCTGCCCCGGGACATCACAGTTTGGGGTTCGAGATCTCCAGCAGCCATCGACGCAACAGCCTGGATAAGATTAGTAATTAGTCTCAATGGCAATTGGCAACCGACTTACAAACGACTCCGTATTGTGGGCGAAGAAGAGACCGATACCTTCGTTCGTCTTTTTCACAGCTAGGATTCCGATGGAGCCACCGACCTCGCTGTTCTGGACCGCAGGGTGATCTGGTGATAGTCAGATTGGATAAAGTCAAATATCAGACGAAGGCGCACTTACCTGTGAACTCATTTGAAATCATGGAGTGAAGTGCCTCTTCTTCACTGACTGGCTCGAATACACCATTTGGGCCCATCTTCTGGCCGTAGTAAATTCGAGTGGCACAGGTACTGGCTGCAAGAGTTGATGCGATGTGTTCGCCAGTTCCAGACGTCACAACAGCCGTGGTGGTATGTTCTGGGTCAGCAGGGTCGGCGGGGATGACATGTGTTCCGATGCCAATCAATGCTGCAGGTCCTACTCGACCTCGATGCTTCATCCCAATGCCGCCAGATGAGGACCCGGCAGCGATATTGCCCCATCGATCAATCGCAATCGCCCCAACGGTATCTGTGATACGATCCTCGCCATTCTCGTCGTCGGTGGGATTGTTTGGGTATTTCTCCCAACCAGACTTAGAGTAACTGGGAATTTCATCGGTTGACTGTGACTTGACTCGGGGAAGCACACCGTCCATTGTTGACCCGCTTACTAGTAAGTCGATATCATTGTCTGGATTGAGCTGACTGGTGGAAGCCGTTCTGGCATCCGATCTACCAAGAACAGGAGGAGTGCCATGGGCAACACCAGCCGGCGCGGGAGAACCATGGCCAGTGGGAGAACGCACCCACGTAGGCACAGGTTCTTTTTGCCAACGTGCACGATCTGCCTCAAACTCTTCAATCTCGCGAGTCCAGATGGTCCAGCGTTCTCTGGCAGCGTCCGTGATCAAAGCATGAGGCGGAATGGTGGGAATATTATGGTCCCAAGCGAATTCAGTAGCACCCTCGCCCACGATGAAGTTGGGCGGAACACGCGACATGCCAGGGGATCTGTACGCCTCGTCGTAGATCTTGCGAGCCAGCATGATCGGGTTTTTGACGTCTGTTTCGCAATAAGAAACTAATCGAGGGCATTCAGCAAACGCGATGTACTTACTGGGAACAGCTCCAGCGGCACCGCTGCGACCAAGATGGTCCATGATGGACGCATCACATTCAACAACACCCTTCGCAGTCAGGTTGCTGCCATACCCGGCATTGGTGATGGGATTGTCTTCGAGCATTGAGAGAGCCATCTCCACAGCCTCGACGGCAGTCGCCCCAGTCTGCAGGACAATCATCCCAGCCCTGGTCGATCTATATCAAGTCGTTAGATGTAACCAGTCAAGTATAAAGGAGAGTTACATACTCCGAGCAGGCCTTAAGGTGCTTCGCTTCATTCTCTCGGCTGTGATATCCAGCACCGGCGTGGACAAACACAGCACATGGAACTTTCGACCGTTTGCTTCGTTCCATGTTGATAGGTTGCTCAGCATCTGGACTGGGGGGACGTGTAAAATCAGTGTGTGGCGCCATGAACTGCTTTCAAGTGAAGACGACGAGCAAAGGTTGGAAGAGCCAAAGCGAATTCTTCAAGAGAGCACAAGAGCGCGCAAAAACTTCTAGAAAACGGGAACAGAGTACTTCTGCGTGTTATTTTGCGCAGCCACAACGATGCGATATTGGTGACCGCAGCAGTTCTGACACCGTGTCAAGTGAATGCAAAGGACCAATGATCAAACTTATTCAAGGACAGGAATATGAATAGAAAGAAAGAATAAAGCCAGTTACCACCGAGGGTACTGTCCACGAGTGCGTCAAGGTCAAGAAGAATAGGATAGAATGGTAAGAGATATTTAGGGCTGAGAGCCAACAAGTATCAATTTGCGCGCGTGTGGTTTTCCCGACCACCATAGATGAATGCTCCTTCCATTTTGTATTAACGTTGTTGCCTTTCCATCTGAATTGTTAAGTGAATGTGAATGTGAATGTGAATGTGAATGGACTGTTCTTTCCTTATATTTTAGTTTGATAAAAACCGACCATGGGAAGGCACATGATGTTGACGTGACCCCCTCTTAGGTAAGCACGCTCCCCGCCTTGACTGCCTGAGCTCCGCCACGACTTCATCACCCCCCTTCGAAGGCGGACCTCATATACCTTTCTGTGTTCGCATTGGTCTGATATTCTCTGCCCACCATGGCGTCCCAAACACCAGCCGTTGTCATGGACAAGTAAGTCTCGCAGGTCCTCTGGAATTGGCTCATTACTGACCCGTCTCTCACAGCGGTACTGGTTACTCCAAGCTTGGTAGGTGACGCATGCTAGGCAATCAGATTTGATTGCTGTGATCGATTCGTACCTGGAAACTAACGAGATAATTTTGCCGACTGCAGGATTTGCCGGTAACGATTCGCCCTCTTTCGTTTTCCCTACCGCAATTGCAACCAAGGCCGGCGCCGGGAGCGCTGGAAGCTCCACGGGTTCTCGGCCTGCTGTCTCCAATAAACCCTCGTTCCTCTCTGGTAATGCTGGCGCCAGCTCACACCTGTCTGGAAAGCGTGGTACCGAGGACCTGGACTTCTTCATCGGTGATGAGGCTTTGGCCGCGGGCAATGGCCCCGGTTACGGTGTGAACTACCCCATTCGACACGGTCAGATCGAGAACTGGGATTACATGGAGCGCTTCTGGTCGAACTCAATTTTCAAGTACCTCCGCGTCGAGCCCGAAGACCACTACTTCCTCCTCACCGAACCTGTAAGCTTACCCCCAATATGCACCTCCCCCGCAGGCGATCAGAGTGGCCAAGAATGCTAACTCAGGCATCACTATAGCCGCTTAACCCGCCTGAGAATCGCGAAAACACCGCAGAAATTATGTTTGAGTCTTTCAACTGCGCTGGTCTCTACATTGCCGTTCAAGCCGTGCTTGCCCTTGCCGCCTCCTGGACCTCCTCCAAGGTCACCGATCGCTCACTGACCGGAACTGTTATTGATTCTGGTGACGGTGTTACGCACGTTATCCCCGTGGCCGAGGGCTACGTAATTGGTTCCTCTATTAAGAGCATTCCTATTGCTGGTCGTGACATCACATACTTCGTGCAGAGCTTGCTCCGTGACCGCGGTGAGCCCGATAGCAGCTTGAAGACCGCCGAGAAGGTGAAGGAGGAGTACTGCTACGTCAGCCCGGATATCGTCAAGGAATTTGCCCGCTATGACCGCGAACCCGATCGCCTCTTGAAGCACACTGTGACCTCCCCGAACGGCCGCAGCATTCAGATCGACGTCGGCTACGAGCGCTTCCTCGCCCCGGAGATCTTCTTCAACCCCGAAATCTATTCCTCCGACTTCCTGACCCCGCTCCCCAACGTTGTTGACGGTGTGATCCAGTCTTCGCCCATTGACGTCCGAAGGGGTCTGTACAAGAACATTGTCCTGTCCGGTGGTTCCACCCTGTACAAGGACTTCGGCCGCCGTCTACAGCGTGACATTCGCCACCTCGTGGATGCCCGCATTCGCGCATCCGAGGCTCGCAGCGGTGGTGCTCGCAGTGGCGGTCTGGATGTCGCGGTTGTTACACACAAGCGTCAGCGACACGGACCCTGGTTCGGAGGCAGCCTGCTGGGTCAGACGCCCGAGTTCCGAAGCTACTGCCACACCAAGGCCGAGTACGATGAGATCGGTCCCAGTATTGTGCGGAGATTCGCACTGCTCGGTGGTCCTGGAAGCTCGTAAAGTGGGTTGTCATTTATCTTTATTATCTCATATCCTTTTGTCAGCCGGTGTAGCTGGACCTTTGTTCATAGTCCGTAGCTTTTCCTCATGTCTTTCTGCCCTCTCTTCGTGACACTTTCCTCCTTTTGCTCTCTAAAGCGGGCGGCATGGCGCTGGGTTCTAGGATGCTACAGCTGGTTCCGGATGTCTCGAGTAGATAGAGGGAGGTTGGTTGAGACTCTTTGTTTTGTTTCAGAAGCGTATGAAAATGCAAAAATTATCTTTCTCTTCGCGCTTTTTAGTCTCCCTCCCAAACCCAACGCCGCAAACAAGATGCAGGTATCAGACGTGTCATGTATCCAGCCCTAAGTACTATAAACAAACATTACCACCCCGATAAATATATTCAAGCAGAGCCCTCCTTGGGAGGGAACTCGGCACGGTTAAGGATAGCAACACCCTCGACATGTCCAGTCTGGGGGAAGAAGTCGAATCCACGAATGCTCTCGATCTCGTAGCGGACATTCTTCGTCTCGTCACCCTGGACCATCAGCGCCACATCACGGGCCTGGGTGTGCACATTGCAGCTGACGTAGACCACGCGACGAGGCTTGTAGTCAAGCATCTGCTTGATGAAGTCCTCAGAACATCCCTTGCGCGGCGGGTCAATGACGAGCAGGGTCTGGTCAGGCGGATAAGGAACGTCCTTGAACAGGACGGCGGCATCAGCAGCAGCGAAGCCGGTGTTAGGCAATTCGTTTGCCTTGGCGTTCTCGCGCCCACAGATGATAGAGTCACCGGCGATATCGACACCGAGACTGGATTTGAAGAGCGGGGACAGAGTAATGGTGAAAAGTCCGGAGCCGGAGTAGGCATCAAGAAGATACTTGATTGGCTTGGAGTCTTGATCGTTGCCAGGAGGCATGGCCTGTGAGCGAATGAATTCGGTAAAGCCAGAGAGAATCGAGTTGTTGTTCTGGAAGAAGCCACCGGCTTTGTTGCTGAAGACATAGTCGTCAATAAACTCGACGGATGTAGCGTTGTTGTCGGTAATACAGCGTTTCTCTTCGATGTAGTTTTCGCGCTCAACGCGGATTACATCGCCGGTGTCCGCGCCAGGAGTTGGTACTAAGCCGTTGTTGATCTTGGTATTGGAATCTTCTGGGGCTGTCTTGGAGATACGGCTGGTTGACTCCCGCATCAAAAGAGTAGCGCCCTTCTTATAGGAACGGATGTTTGCAGCAACACGCTTTCTCTCACTCTTGAGACCAAGACGCACGACTTCCGTTCCAAGAGGGCAGTCCTCAATATCAAGATCTGTTCTCCTGTTCTTGTATGTGAATCCAATGGGAGGAACTTCAATCTCAACCTCGCCGGACTCTTCTTGAGCTTCTTGCTTCTTCCTGCGACCAGCGCCATTCGCAAAGTGAGGTGTGAGTTTTGTGCGGTATCCGTATTGCATGGGAGAGGGGAATGTTTCTCCAATGGTGGGAACCAATTCGGGAATCAGTCCAGAGAAGTTGGCATAAGCCTTCTCGACGATGCGCCGCTTATGCGCCAGCTGGTCCTCGTACGACATCATTTGCAATTGACACCCAGAGCACTTGCTAAAGTATCCGCATCCAATCAACGAATCGTTTCTCTGAGGACCCGGCTCAATCACACTCAGGAAATCAGTGACACTGTATGACAGCGCGGGGTGGTGGCGGATGACCTTCACCCGGACTTTGTCTCCAGGAACTGTGAACGGCACCACAAACACATGGTCCGCCTTCTCCGAGAGCGCAAGTCCATCACCAGTTGAGGAAAGCTCAGATACGGCGACATCGATCTCAGTGAAGGTCGCTGGGAGAATGGGCTTCGTGGGGTTCTGGTCGCCATTCTGGTCTTCTTCGGGGCGATTGCGTTTAAGGAGCTGATCAATGTCGGCCTGGAGAACTTCATCAGATCCACTAGCCTTGTCCTTGCGCTCGACCTTGGCCTTCTTGAACTTCTTGCCGCCAAAGTGCTTCTTTGGAGTGTTCTGCATTATTGCGACGGGGACTGGCGCATTGGCTGTGGGCGAGGTGGAAAGGTTAAGGAACTGTCGTCTAACAAACGGACGAGGCAGAACCGAATAAGCAAAAGATGACCGTCGAACAGACGAGCGCAGGGCCAACATGAACGAGGATCCAGAAAGTCGAAATTCTGGAAATTTATTAGAAAGGCAATCTGCGGCACCATTGATTGGCCAGGGACTCACCGCCCGCGAGCAAGAAATTCCTCCCGAGTTCAACATCGCCGAACCTCGTTGTTGTCCGCGTCGAGGCTCCGCTGCGTTTCCATTCTTTTCTTGTTTTAAAGCTCGTGGCTAGCGAATTGCTGGCTGTTGAGTATTATCACCTTTCATCATGAGTCTTGCCCGGCCGGCAAGATGTCTGTTCTGCAGCTTCTCCCGTGCTGCCACTCCGATCACGCGAATTCCCCGTCGCCAATTCCACCCGACACCGGCATCATTGTCGAAGCGGACACCGAAGTTCCGTAATATCAAGGCCGCCTCGTACACCGAGGAAGAACAGGCCAAGTTGGCCAAGGTGTACTCACCCGAGCAATTGGAGGCCATCAAGGCCGGCGAGGCCGCCATCGACCCGGAAGACTTCGCCGAGCAGTTCCATGAACGTACCGACCCGCTGGCATTCAAGTACCTAGACGACTTCTCCGTGATCGAGCCAAGCGTCGACCGCAATGTTCGCGCCCCCCAGTCGAACTCGGACTACAACATGAAACTCAAGAGCGAGAGCGAGTTTATGGAGGAATTTGGCCGTTTCTTCGCTGAGGGTCCAGAAGACCCGACAGGTGCTGACTTTGTCCGGTTCGCAGAATCACTTCGCGTCACCAATGGAAAGGAAGCCGCCGAGCTGGATCCTCACAGCGCTTTGGTTCCCGACCTTTTCGGCCCCAATGAAACTATCGACGAGCCCCGTGTGGAGGAGCGCAAGACTGCCGAGGAGCGTGGTGAGAAGGAGCGCTCGCTGGCGGCTGAGGAGATGACTGATGCTCTGAAGAGCCTTCTCCTCGCTACGGGCTACACGGAGCGCCAGGTTAGGGATCTCCGCACCAAGACCCTGGTGTCCCACAGCGTCGTGAACCAGACCCGTCTGGGTAAGGTCCGCCGTGCTTACCGTCTCTCCATCGCTGGCAATGGCAACGGTCTGTTGGGTATCGGTGAGGGCAAGTCCGACGAAGCTTCCGATGCGAAGATCCAGTCGCAGTACCGTGCTATCCGCAACATGCAGCCCATCCCGCGCTACGAGAACCGCACTATCTTCGGTGACGTTGAGGGCAAGGTCGGAGCCGTAGAGTTGCAATTGATGCACCGTCCCCCAGGTATGCTATACTACTCTGCAGTCGCACGACCCCCACTAATTTCCTCTAGGCTTCGGTCTCCGTGTCCAGTATCTTATCTACGAAATGTGCCGTGCCGCCGGTATCCACGATCTCGCTGGGCGGGTTGGTCGCTCCCGAAACAAGATGAACACCGTGAAGGCCGCTTACGAGGCGCTCATGAGCCAGAAGGACCCCGAGGAAGTTGCTCGGGCTCGCGGCAGGAAGATGGTCGACGTGCGCAATGTGTACTATGCGGGCAAGGCCTAAGCTCACTTGAGTTGTCGAGTCGTGCATATTCCCTCGGCGTGTATATAATGTCTCTTTCCCCTTCTCCTTTCTTTTGCATGTACTTGTATTTGTACCTGTTCATCATATGTTTTAAAAGGATCAATCATCAATGGCATTGTCTTCAAGATTTTGAATAAGTGCAAACCTCTAGGGCTGGGCATATAGCCAGAACAAGGAAGTTTGTAAATGTGCCAGACATCTTTATTCTCTGAACTCTTCTAAGCCTCCTATGCTGTTTCTTAATAATCGCAAGCTCTTTTTGGACATGTGTATTTTGATGAATTCCTCTTTCGGGGTACTATGAACTTCGAGTATGCCCAGACCGATAGTGTCATACCTAGATACACAATATCTCCTAGGTTCAGCTGTACGTGGAGATAAGTCCTTTCTATTATCCCTGAAGAACTCCTTATTTCCAATGCCACGCCAATCAAAAAGAAACCCCCAGGGTATACGCAGATAAACAACACACCCAGTATTAAGAAAAAGAGATCACTGGAATGTCAAATCCCGATCCGCCTCATATCCCCCACCATGCTGAAACCCCGTATCCTGAAACTGATCATGCTCAGTCTGCTGCTGCTGTTCCTGATCTTCATTCCAGATCTGTTGCTGCAAAACAATACTGTAAACACTGGCCTTGAGCAGCGTGCACACAGTCGCAGTCTTGCGCTCTAGGAGCCTCATTCCATCGAGAGTCATGGAAGCCGGCGAGCCGGCAAGATCAGCGACTTTTTCAGAGAGCTAAGTGGAACTGAGGATTAGCTGAGAGCTCGTGTGAATTGGTTGCGGGGAAACGCGGGTTGGGGAAACAAACCTGGTTCACGTTCCGGAGGAGTCGTGAATATTCGTCTAGGACTTCTTGTTCGAGTTCAGAAACGAGAGGATTGTCGTTTCCTAGGAGGGGGTTGTTGGAGCGGCTGTGGGATCGGGGGTTTTCCGCGTCGGACATGTTTTGTTCTTGCGGGATGGGAGGGGTTGTGCTTGCGGGGTCGTCTTCGGCGAAAGAGTAGTCCTGGGCCTCTGGGTCTTCGGAGGCTGCGAAGGCGGACATGGTGGATGGTTGAGGTGTCGTTGTTCGTTTGAAGAGGGAGAGCGTGAAGTGGAAGGTGTTATTGGTTGTTGGCCCGATTTTCAAGGTTGGGTTGGGCGGAGCTGTTCCACTCCACCGCTTCGAAGTATACAGTTCAGTTCACCTCAGCACTATTTGATATACGATCTGATGTCACAAGGTCGGGGAGTTTTGCAAAATAATTATTTTCTCGGAATTTTGAATCGCTGCAGAGAACACAATAAGCCCAGCAGACGACAGGCCACTTTCGCATCAGATACAAATCACATCGAAAGGCCAAGATAGGACCGAGGTTCGTTAAGAGATAGAGCCACGCCATGAGATTTGAAAATACGAAAGCAAAAACAAGAAAGCCAACACGGATTCGAAAGTATCACAAGTATTCAGAAACAGATATCCCTAACGCCGCCCGCTGCATACTAGAAAAAGTGAACCGATGTATAACGCAGCTTTCAGCAAAAAGAATAGACCCACGCAGGGAAAACAAGAAGCACATGGAATCGTGAGAGTGAGTGGTAAGAAAATGGAGAGAAAACGCAAGTTCGAGGCCTTCGGCGATCATGGGAATGCAAAATGCAAAGTGTGAGATGGCCAGACAAACAAGGCTCCGTAGAGCAGAAAGCATACGTGTATCAACGCAGAAGGCCTTGAGGCACTCCTTACAACCGGGTAGATTGTAGGGGATTGCAAGAAAAAAATTGAATGCAGTCGTCAATGCATCATGGTCGTTAACGAGCCGATGCCCAGGCGGCTGTCCCCCATGTGGCAGGAGAGAATGAAGGAAAACAAAATACAATATGGGCTATGCTCGCCAGCACCATCAGTGGTCTCCCTCGTGGTGGAGAGTGACGCTGTTGAATTCCTCGAAAGGATCGTTCAGCTCGGCGTTGGGCGTTGCCAGGCCAGAATCCATGGGGACTCCCTTCAGCTTGGCGGGGTTGGTACCACCGATATCCACACTGCCACTTTCCTTGACATTGCGGAAATTCACTGTGTCTGTACCAGCACGACCCTGAGTTGGGATCATGGGTGGCTTCATATGGCGGATGAGTGCCCATTGCGTCGTCCGGAAGAAGGGGTGGGTTTTGACATCCGATGCACCGGCACGGGCACCGAGACGCTTGGTCTCGTCCTTGATCAAGAGCTTGCGAATCAAAGACTTGCACAAGTTAGATGTCGGTTGCGCACCCGAGTGCTCGGGGAACTGCGCATCATCACGCAGGATACTGGCAAATGTTGCGTTACGGTTCTTGCCCTTGAATGGAGTGGTTCCGTACAACATCTCATAGATCAAGATACCCAAAGTCCACCAGTCGACTGCACTAGTGTGTCCGCAGCCTTTGATGACCTCAGGGGCGATATACTCTTCAGTTCCAACGAAAGAATTTGTGCGGAAATCCGCAATGCAGGATTTGGTGTCAATGGTGGGAAGAGCAGCACTGGCGTTTCCGCCAACTCGGCCAGGAATCATAGTAGGAGCACCGCCGGGTCCGGACTGCTTTGACAAGTCGAAGTCCGAAAGCATGATATGACCAGATTGATGTAGGAGAATATCTTGTGAAATGTTAGTCAATGTTCGGGCCAATCTTCAAGAATCAGGATTGACAGGACACACATACTCTCAGGCTTAAGATCACGGTAGATGAAACCCATCAGATGGAGGTACTCGAGGGCAGCAGTCACCTCAGCAGCATAGAATCTGGCAGCATCCTCCGAAATGCATTTGCCAGGCCGAGTTTGAAGAGTTCGGAAGAACTCTCCTCCGCTGCAGTACTCCATGCAGAGGTACAAATAATCCTCGGACTGGAACGAGTGGTACAGGGTGACAATGAACGGATGGTTCGATGTTGCCAGAATTTCCTGCTCAGCTAGAGCACGCTTAATCTTGTTTCGCTTAATCATTTCCTTCTTGCTCAGGACTAGACAAAGGTTAGCATTGATAATTTGCGCGCGACTTTCAAAATGTAACGTACCTTTCATGGCATAGAGACGGCTCGACTTCTTCTCGCGGACCAAGTATACCTTTCCGACATCACCCTTGCCAATCAACTTAATCTTATCGAAACTAGCAGGTCCCACCTCCACATTACGAATCTTGATCGAATTCGAGCTGTATGTGCGGCGGAAACTGCCCTCCTCGTTGGCTAGCTTATGGGCCAGACCGATAGAGGGCACAGAAAGGGAAAGCTCTTTTTCGTTGGCTGAATCCGAACCTGGAAACTCAGCAAGAGCCTCTTTGCTGATCTCAGCAGCCTGAGGACGATCTTCTCCGCTTGCAAAGAGACCCTGGGCATTGGGAGCAGACGCCACACGACGCAGCTTGCGAGCTAGCTCTTCTTTGTTAGCGGTAGTAGCCTGCTCCGCAGCCGAAACCCCAGTGACCTGTAGCTCAGGCGTATCAGGCGGGGATGAGGGCACAGACCCATCGTTCCGATGTCGCAATGCAGGTTGACCCTGGTGGGCAAAGTATGGATTGGCAGTCGCCGTAGGCGAGACTCCGTCGTCAAGGGGATTGCCTTCGCTGGCAACTGTTGTTGAGCGGTTGCGGCCGATGGTAGGCAGGAATCGAGACTGGCGGAATGTCTTTTCGCTCTTGGCAGGAGAAGCGTTTTCCCGCTCGCGCTCATTGCTGGACGGGCTGCCGCTCTGCACTGATGAATGGCTGCTGGAACTATTGATCCGGAAAAAGTTTTTAATCTTTGTAGGAAGGTGACCCGACTCGTTGGAGTGTTTGCGAGAGGGCAGCGTAAGGCCGGGGAAATTCCCGCGTTTTTCGTTAGACATGGCCGATGGACTAGACGCGAAAAGCTGCGTCATGACGGACAAGTTGCGAAGGCTGAAATTGACTTCCTCCTGGGGCGGTGGAGATCAGTCTCACAGGGCAAGGTACACGAAGTAAAGGAACGGGCGGTGGGGGAGGGGGGATGTTCAGAGCCGGGCAAGATGGGGATATGCCGGGGGCGATCTGGCCAAGTATAGTTGAAACGAGGGCTATCCACCCAAATGAACGGAGAGTCAGTATCGCGCAACGAGACTCATGAATGCCGCATCTTAAAGCTGATCAGAAAAGAATGGGCAAGGACAGATTGGAGGGAGGCGAAGAGAAGGAGTCGAAAGTGGAGACGAACGCGGCCCCGGGGAGACCTGACTAATTCATCGCATTCCCGCCGGCCTTGGCTCCTTACTACGCCCTTTTCAACCTTTTCTATCCTTGTGTATCCTTGTGTATCCTTCTTGGTCATCTCTTCTGACGATAAAGTGACGGCGAATTGGCTTCGTTTTGTTTTCAAACTCATCATACAAGTAATAGTTATCTATGTTTATTATGACCGGAAAACAGAACTCTACGAAGCTTTTGAGTGGCGACAACCGCAATTTGCTACACGTGATTTGAATGGCGTCCCGGAAATTCGGACTTCATTTATCCGTCTATTTACATAGTCCGAGATAAGATAAGACCTGCTTCTCTTGGGTCTTCTGCCTCTAATTCCCTTTCTAGATGATTTAATGATTTGATCAAGGTCTTTCGAGTCCTCTTTTTGCTCCTCGCCAACATACTCTTCAGAGTGATAATACAAGGGCCACCGCCCTTGCAGCACTAACACTTCGAACACCACTTGCTATAATAGGTGAAGGTGACCTATCCCGTTTTTGGTGGTCATATTGTCTAAAACCATAAAGTCAGGCTAATGGTCTGGAACATGTGCATCCGGGGTAAGGTCTTCGGATGAAATAGTGATCTGTGATAGAAGAGAAGGGTCTTCTTCACTGACCTCACTTCGTAATCACTTTCTGTTTGCTGTAGGGAAGGTGGTTGATCACCTAGAGTCTGGTCTTGGTTTTCGGTATCGATATCGGAGATATATCTGTATCGTCCGATAGAGGTCGGTTTGGTATCAAAAATGGGTCTTCTTCAATGCATTCGTCAATACTAGCCTCGGTAATGGCTAGATAAGATTCTGATGCTATTAGGGGCTTGATGGTTACCCCTGGTTGATCATCTATCAGGTCATATGACGTATTTGGTTGATAGAAGCTTGTTTCGTCAAAAATGCAGTCTCTTGCACTTATGATTTTCCGAGCCCTAGGTACCCAAATCCACGATATACTGGATGCTTTAAAGCCGACGAGGTAGCCAATCATTGCCCTAGGCTTCATCTTAGCTAGGCGTGAAATATTGGTGATTCGGACAAAGGCTTTGCACCTATAGACACGTAGATTGGATAAATCAGGCTTTTGCTTCATATAGCCTGGTTTTTGGTCGAGGCTATCATATAGTGCTTGATAAGGCGTTTTCCAGTCTAGTTGCTTATTTGGTGTCCGATTAATCAAATAAATCGCGGGTTGGACTGGGAGTAAGTGACCATCCTGGAGATACGTCAATCGTTCTTCATAAAGATGGAAGTCTCGATGGTTGCAATCCGGGACGCATATAACAGTGGCAATTGAAGCCTAGATCAAGACATCAATCTTTTTGAAAGAGGTTCGGGGGTGAAGGCGATTGTCTCGGCTGACTGCAGGTTATGTCCAGTTGAGCGAGTGCAAAGTCCAGGAGGAAGAAGAGGCATACCAGCCTTGGAGTGAGTAGAGCCAGATGATCTCAATGATACTTCTGAAGTTGAGCCTGAAGAAGTTTTCAAAAACGATCTTAAAGATGGCTTTCATGAGATATCTCTAAATCTGAACAAAGCATGTGAAGTTGACCCGGGAAAAGGAGAACAGGGGAAGAAGAATGATATCATGAAGTCTATCGACGCTTTTTTTTTTTTGGCCGGGCAAAAAGTCCCCGCACTCGCCCGTATGTCAACGAATTAAGATATGGAAAACACTGGAAGACCCCGGGTCTTTCTTAATGCCTCTCCATCAAACGCTCTCCCTGACCTTGACAGGCTGAAGTCCGCTATGAATCCTCCACTCTTCTTCTATTTCATTCCATGCAACCGACATAGGAACGCGATTGCTCTTCATATTGGCGGAATCAGCCTGACCAAGTTCCTTCTTTTGCTGTCCCATCTCCCAACTACCCAAACGCTCATGTCCGGGGCCAACAACGGCACCTGCTATACCGTCAGACTCCTCACCACCCGCAGCCTTGGAGCCACTCCAGATAGGGTTACGGAATGTGACGTCCGTATCACTAGCGAGTTTTCCATTGCCTTTGAAGCCACCAATACTAGTCTTGTGAGTTATCTTGCGTTTACGACAACCGCAGATCAAGAACCCAAGTGAGGTCAGCAGACCAATGATGGCCAGCATAATCACGGCACCAATAACACCAGCCACAGCAGGCTTCATCTGCTTCTTTGGGGCGGGCTTATCGTTATTGAGAACACCATTGCAGAAGATCGATTGTGCATCGCACCTTGTGCACCACTCCTGTGTCGAAGATACTGCAAAGGTCTCCAGCTCTGACTTGAACTCGGTCCATGGGACGTACTCGATGCTCGGTCCGTAGCCGAAGAACGAGAATGATTCGAACTCCGTGGAGGAATCTGTTCCATTGTGCAGGTAGAAACGCACGTATAGGTTGTCGGCTCCCGGCCATGACGGGTAGACCTCATCAGACTCGAAGCTGTAGAGCTCGAAAATCAGAGAAGCACCTTGGGCCGGGCGTGAATAGAAGTTGGACTGCTGCTGGGACGCCATGCCCATCAAAGAAGCCAGGGCAACAGCAGGTGCATCATTCCCAAAGAGCAGCGTCAGCTGCTGATGGGTACCGAAGTGCTCAATATTCGTACCGAACGCGTTCAACAAACTGGATGCTAATGTTTGACCAGCGATGGGGTTTACCGGGCCAATCGTGGAAAGGCTGCTGGTGACGGAAGAGTCCTGGCCATTCGTTGCATATGTATACTGATCTGCCAGCCACCGAGCTCGGCGCAGATCGCTATCACTGACGGTTTCCATGAACGAGCTGTTGTGGACAGCTTCGTAGTCCATGTACTCAGAGACCTCGGGGGCATTTCGGTATGTAGCAGTGGTTGCGTCAAATGCCTGGCTAAGAGCATCATCAAGAATACCAATATAGAAATCCACCGACTCCATTGTGATTCTCATAGCATCGCTGCTGGCGTTATACTCAGCTTCGACCGTCTGATGCATATCGCACTTAGCAGATCCGTCCACCATGACAGAGCTAGGATCTGACTCGCCCAGTGTGACGATATGAGCATATTGATATCCATCCAATGGAGCCATATCAATTGTTGCATTACCAGTCGAATCTGAGCTGCTAATATTCGAATCGCCGAGGGGAGGATACAGACCCTGCATGAAAGCCTGAGCAGAAGCAGAAACGTATTGGTCGGCCATTGAGAATACATTCACGTCTTTCGCATTCAGGAAGCCCGGCGTCAAGTACATGATTGCAGTTTCGCTGCTGTTCCCATCGAAATTCGGGACATAACGATCCCGGAATGATGATCCGGCAGCTTGGAGCTGATTGGCACCAAAGTCCGTCAAAACTTTGGACCCAGGAGAGACTGTTAAGACAGTGGGAGTGCTTTCGCCGTGTATGGTATATGCGAAGACTCCCCATACCTTTCCGCCATAGTCTTGCGCTGTAACCAGCATGGACGCCTGAAGGCATAGAGCAAAGGCGAGGAATTGTCTATTGGCAAACATGATGGCGATAAGGCTCGCTGTCAATATATCAAACGCGAATGAAGGGTGTAGTTTCACTTCAGCGGCCAATAGTAGAAGCAAGAAAGCACACTTTTGAGGTGGTTCGCTCGCGGAGTCTGGGAAAGCCGCGGATAATAAAGCTAGCAAACTGTAGTCCACCTTAATCTCAGGGTAGGATGCATGGGCCAGACCCCTGGAGTATAGTCTATGGATTCAGGGAAATCAGGGAACGAGCCAAGGGACCTATCTGCATTCGGAAAGTAGTGTTACCAGTAGATAGCTTTCGACGGGTGAACCTTAGGTGCGTTAGGGTTTCGGAATCCCCGGCACCTGAGCGGCTTGCATCTTGAGAACCCATGGGCCCGAAGAGCGAGAGCATACGTACCCAGTCAAGTCATCCCGATTATATGGAGAGTTTAGCGCGAAATACAGGTTGCGTCGGAAAAACGGTCATTCTATCCAGCAAAGAGCTGTATGTCTGCGAGGAATTTTAATGTATCTTCAGTCTGGTATTCTCACAAAAAACGTAATGAATCATGTTCTAATGCTTTGGTATCGCTATGATGTGTGGTTGGAGGGTTACACGCAAAGAGACAAGAGGGGCCAGGGAAGCCTCGGGTCGATGACGCGCACAAATAACACAACAGCTTTGGAGCTTGATCGTCACGAGCGGGACTAAGTGGATATGCCGGAATTCCCTATCAAGAAAGCCTCCAGAGGCTAGCTTTTTTCAGTGGCCAGAGCTTGTTCCTGTGATCGAAAATTCATAGTGGGGAGCCAGGGCTAAGCTTGTAGATCCGGGGTGATGTTCATGTTCATGTCTGCCTCAGGTGTCAACATCAGGGTCAGGGTCAGGGTCTGCATCACAGCCAGATAGCCGCTCAACGGCCTTGGAAATGATAGGCATAAGTATGACAATCTGGACTGAGGTGATAACTGAGCAGAATCATTGACTGATCCGTGGAATGTTGCTATTTCGCGTCTCTGCCTAAACAGTTCCCTCTTGGGCGGTGAGAATTCCTCCACCCACTCACCAATCATAAGGGGCCAATGGCAGAAAATTCCTGCACCGCCCGAGCGGCAAATCTCAACCCTCGTCGAAGCCCTACAAACGCGCCCTACCCCTAAGCCCTCATTTCTGCTCTTGGAAGTTGACTGCCCAACCCTACCTTTTGTTGCGCCCTGATGGTCGAAACACGAGGCAATCGTCCGTCTTTTGACGGTTCGAATGAGCTTCCTTCATTCGACACTGTTGATGACTTTGGTAAGTTCCAATGTCCCTCGGTCCATGCCGTCGCAAGCTACGACCATCCGCAATCGTCGTGAACCTTATCTTGAACATCGCAGCTCGGAATTCTTGTGACTAACACATTACTTTGATCGACTAATAGACCAGAAGCCCTCTCATCCTCTTGATGAGGCGGAACACGGATCGCCGCCCGCGGCGAAAAAGCGCCGCACGGATTCTGGGCCAGATGAAGACCTGTCGATTCAGCATTTCATGTCGGAGGAGCATGGCGCAGGTCATAAGATTGAGCAAGAATTAGCCAATGCTCTTGGCGAGAGTGTCGTCGACACTGTCGAGCCGAACGATCATCCTCGAGGTAGTCATAATCAGCCCGAGACATCACCGCATGATGGAGGCTCCAACGTTAACGCCGATGTCACTTCCATCATCTCCGAGATCATGGACCACACCGATCGCCAGGAAAATACCGTATTGATGGGCCCACAAGAGATTCCTGCCACCAATGAATTCCCTGGGGCACGAGGCTATGCATTCCTCAAAGCCAACTCTCATTTGAAGATCCAGAGTCTGCCCATTCTGGATAATTTGGTAAGTACCAGTCACCCAATGCGAAGGGGCGAGTTCTAAATGTTATCAGTCTACTCAAATTCTGTCATTCCTGTCCAAGAACAGCTACCAAGATCTCACTGCCATGGTGTCCGAGCCGGACTCCGAGAACGGTCAGGCCTATGCAACCATGCGATCTTTGTTCGACCACACCAAGCGTGTTTACACTGTGAAACACTCTTTTCTTCAACCCACCGATATCGAGATCACGGAGAGCTCCCAGCTTGATGTCATTCGCAAGGCCAACTTGGCTTCGTTTGTGTCGAGCATCTTTGGCTCACAAGAGATTGGTTTCGCGGAGCTCAACGACCAATTCCTGGATGTTTTTGTTCCCGAAGGCAATCGCTTGCTCAAAGCGCAAAGTGGTCTGTATTTGGATCTCAAGACACAAGCTTTCATTGCGGCGATGAACAACAAGTCCCGCACCCGGACACAGCTCCTGTATGAGCTATTCCCCGAAGATATGGAGCAGCGATTGTTGGCAAGACGCCCGGGTTCCCGACAGCTAGCTCCCAGTGAGACCGACTTTGTCAGCCGACTCAACTCGCGCCGTGACATTTTGTTGCGCAAGATCAATGATGAGGAGGCATTGAAGGCATTGCCTGACAACTACCACTGGGAAGACTTCCTCCGCGAGCTCAGCTCTTACATCTCGAAGAACTTCGATGCTATCAACACCCAACAGGTTTGTTTCAATTATACTATTTCGTCTGGGTGGTTACTAATGAGCACTAGGGGAAGAAGCCGGTCAAAGGAAGACAGCCTTCAAGCTCCAACGGTGATGTTCAGGAGTCCCCCACTACAACCCACCAGGGCCAGTTCGCGGTCACTCAACCGGTGGAGGTTCCTGTTGATCGCAACATGCACGGCGACCTCGTGGCCCGCGCTGCTCGTGCTGCACAGATTGCCCTTCAGGGGCATGGTCTGCGCCGTTCTCAGCAGCAATCCCAACAGCAACACCAGCATCAGCAGCAACCGCCGTCTCAGGCGAGTCAGTCCCCTTCTCAGCCTCCACCTCCGCAGCCCCAGCAACCGCAGCAGCCACAGCATCAACACCAGCAACCCCAACCCCAACACCAGCACACCCCTCAGCCCGAGAACCAATATCTTCAGGGCTATACCCCTGCTCAACAACCGGAACAGCAGGCTCCCCAACAATACCACCACAGCCCCACGCCGCCTGGTGGATACCAACAGCAACACGGGTTGACTTTCCAGCAGAGCCCACTGCAGGTTAACTTCCAGCAGTTCCAGCCCAATGCTGCTCAGGCTATGCAGGCCCGAGCCAATGGCATGTCCGCTAGTCACGTCTACATGCCAGGCATTCCCCACTACTCTCAGTCGCAACCTACCCAGGTTCTCTATGAGCGAGCTCGCCAGGCCGCCTCGGCAAAATCTTCCCCGACGAGCCGCAAGTCTGGCCTACCTAGTCAGCGCCGCCCTTGGACAACCGAAGAAGAGAACGCGCTGATGGCTGGTCTGGACCGTGTCAAGGGTCCTCATTGGAGTCAGATTCTAGCCATGTTTGGGCCCGGCGGTACCATCAGTGAAGCCTTGAAGGACCGCAACCAGGTTCAGCTCAAGGACAAGGCGCGAAACTTGAAGCTCTTCTTCCTGAAGAGCGGAATTGAGGTTCCCTATTACCTCAAATTCGTTACGGGAGAGCTGAAGACCCGTGCACCCGCCCAGGCTGCGAAGCGCGAGGCCCGGGAGCGTCAGAAGAAGCAAGGCGAAGAAGACAAAGCTCATGTGGAAGGTATCAAGGGCATGATGGCACTGGCAGGGGCTCATCAGTCACCCGTCGGAGGCCATGAGATGTCGGCCTCACCAAGCCACAGCCTGCCCCCGGATGCTAATAGCCAGGCCGTCTTCGACCAGACTGCCGAGCAGAACCTGATGCAAACCCTCAGCCAAGAAGTCCACGGCAGCCAGTACAACCCCCAGCAGCATGCTTCGCAGACACCGGATCACCACATCGATCCGCACATGCAGCTGGGACAGTAAACAAGAGATGATTTTTGTCTAGCATTTATTTCTTCGGAGTCAAGGGAGGAATGTACATTGAGATCTCCATCGGAGGTTTGCTTTACGATACTCAGGGACTTTCCCTTTTACTGTACGAGTACATAGCGATAGCGCATGTGAATTACGAAACGATTTGTCAAATAATAAGGATACTCGTATATCTCAATAGGTCGATAGGTCGATTGTTCGATTGTTCGATAGTATAGCAGTGTAAATCACTAGATGTAGATGTAGTTCAACTCCACCGCAAAAGTGGGCCGTGCGCGGCTTCTCCGCCCGCGTGTGACTGGCGCGACAAAGTAGAACTTCCAACTACTTCAACTGCATTGATTGGACCCTTCATCCCCGGTCCCTGCAGCCCTGTTCTAAAGCGTGTACGAAGTAACGAGGGCTTAAAGGATGGCCGACCCTTCCCAACCCAACGGGTCAGAGCAGCCCTCCACACCAGCTGAGACTGCCGACTCTGCTATCAAACCCGAACCTGATCTCGACCCTTCCATCGAGCAGGATATCGACATGAACGCCGACGGAACAGCGCAGAGCGCCAATGCCGACGAGGCCGTCGATCCCATCGCCCCCGCGCCGACGCCCTCAAAGAAGGAAACCAGTCTCCGCGAGTTCTTGAGCAAGATGGATGATTATGCGCCGATCGTACGTCCTTCACTCTCCTCTCTCTTTCGATTCTCATCTTATCATCTCGTTCTTTCAAATCCATCCGAACTTCACATGAACCTGGAGCGAGATGACTGATGAATCAAACGGGAGCCCACCTCGAGAAGCACAAGCTGACATTCCTCCCAGATCCCCGACGCAGTCACAGCTCACTACCTCACCCTCGCGGGTCTGCCACCACCAGGAACAGGCCCCAACCAAACCCCACCCCACCTCGCCCGCCTTCTCGCGCTCGCAACGCAAAAGTTCGTCTCCGACATCGCCGCAGACTCCTACCAGTTCGCCCGCATCCGTGCCTCCAACAGCTCCTCCGCCAACAACCCGATGGGCAGCTTAACAGTCGCCTCTGGCCTCGGCGGACCAGGAGGCCCTGCGGCCCCAGTAGCCGGCGACGGAGGAAAAGGCAACAAAGCCAACACGCACCTCGGGATCCAGCGCGCCGGATTCGGCGGTGGTGGTTCAGGCGGTACAGGCCAAGGTCGAACCGTATTGACGATGGAGGATCTGGGCATGGCTGTCTCGGAGTACGGCGTGACTGTCAAGCGGGGCGAGTTCTACCGGTAATTTGCACATGCGGTCTTTGGAGGTGAGGTGATTGATAGACTCGGTCGCGCGCGTGTTTTATCTTCTATCTTTTTATGTTTCGTGGCTACGATGGGTTTCGGCGCTGGGCGTACACAAGATTTGAGAAGGGGGCCGTGGATGAAATATCCTGCTCATGGCCCTGAGCATTTTGGTTGGGAATCCAAGGATCTTGAAAATGGAGTTTTTGTCCCTTTCTACAGTATACTACTATCTGGTAGATGGTAGAGACTGGGATGTTTATTTGAATGAGCTGTAAAAGCAGTCATGAATGATATTGAATAATTCCCATGCTAAACTCCATCCCACTAGTAATGTCACAAGGGAAGTGTTGGATATATCTGTACACGGCCAAGGGCCAAAATGATTGCTTCGTAAAGCGAGGGGTTGAAGGCGAGAGAACAAGGCGAGTCTAATGGAGGACCACGGATCCGAAAGTCAGGCAAGTCTTTTATTTATTCTTAGACTGCTTGTATGTGAAGCGCTTGCGGGTTCTGAAGCAGTGGGTTAGCATCTTGTTTGAGCAAGATCACCGTTATATCCGGAGGTTTTGCGGAGACATACGCAACGTATTCGCCAAGTTTGCGGCCGACCATCTCCTCGGTGATCTGGACCTCCACATAGGTCTTGCCGTTGTGGATAGCGAAGCGCAGGCCGACGAAGTTGGGCAGGATGGTAGCGGCGCGCTTCTGCGTGCGGATCGGGGGAGTGTTTGGCGGCGGGGGAAGGGTACGCGGGAGAGGAAGACTGTTCGGCGAAAATCATTAGCATCTTATTTCAGAGTCTGGCTCTGCTGTCGACTCGAAGTGGCGAGGACAAGCGGGCATATGGAATTGCGCATGGCGGGTTTTCACGTACGGGACGATGTTCGGGCCTGGATGAGCGTGTTAGCAGCGGATTCTTTCTCAATTGATGACATGTGGACTTGGAGGAGGGCTGCCGGATCTTACCTTTCCAGACCGATCGGCCCAGCAGGGCTCGTGTGGGAAACATTGTGACGGGCAATCGCTCAAGCCTTGAATTCGGAGAAGTTGAAAAGACGGCCTCCGGCTTGATTCTTAGTCATCAAATGTACTTCCCAATTGGGAAGGCGATGCTAGATCGGATCGGGTTTCTTTCTACTTGTCTGGGATACTCTACGGGGTTTAAAGCATCTAGAGGAGTACAGGAGCTCCTTATTCCTCTCGTGATCTTAGTTTCCTCTTCTGTGTACATGCCGAGTCGTGGAAGCCGCTTGTTTCTAACAGGTGTGGTTCCACAACAAAAGGCTGACTATACCACGGCTAGAAACTGGACACTTATTCAGAGTAGACAGATTTTGGGAATAGATAGTTCCCTACAAGTTCCCGTGCTGGGAATTGCGAGTGTGGGATGAACCCTCGGTCCCCCGCACACTCATGCCACTGAAGAACGTCGTCACACCGTTTGAGGGGCTGCACCTATCCATGGATCAAGTGGCCAACTGATCAGCATACCTAATTACTAGCACATTATCTCAATTCCAATCTAACTTCTTCAACCTTCGAATGCGAGGACATTCCCTCGTCTTCAGGTGATATCTTGCTCACCAACAGACAGAATGCGCGACCAGGCGATATCCCCTCCATCGCAGCCGCATCTACAGATTTTCAACCTCCTCCAAGCACCTACTCAGAAGTCAAACTTCACGCTATTCCCATTCCTCCCAAGCGAGATACGTCTACTGATATGGCAACACTCCTTACAATCCCAACGCATTGTCAACGTATCTCTAGATACGACCAAACAAGTAGATCCCCGCCACGAGTACCCTGATACCGGATTCATCGACTACGACCGGTGGCATCGAGCAATATTCCCTGCCCACCAAGCTCTCAGCCAGTTACTACGTGTGAACAGCGAAGCCAGACAGGCAGCTCTGTCATTCTACTGAGTCCAGATTCCATGTCAATTCTTCAAAGCCAACGAAGAAGTCAATTCAATACCCATGGCATTTTATTTCAATCCGGAATACGATGTTCTGAAATTTAGCCTCCGGAATGCGTCAACTGATGCTGGCATTCACCTTCTATATGACCTGAAATACACCTATGATCCACATCGCGTCGGCGTCCTCAATCTGGCGGTGGACATCGACAGTCTAACTGTCCCGAGCGGGAGAGCGCGTGAGCCCACATGGGTGAAGTTTCAAAATGAAGGGCGAGAGCATATCAAGGAAATTCTGAATAATTTACAAGAAGTCTTCTTTGTTCAATCTGTATCTGTCGGACGTCAGATGTTAGGCTACATGAGCGAGAACAACACCGACATCCTTTTAAACCGCTCGTTCCCTATCATGCCCACAACATCGGCCTTTGACCGTCTTCCCCAAGACCCACGTCACATCGCCGAGGATCTACGTCAAGTTCATCTGGGCGTTGACCCGCGGCCAATGATTCTCAATTGGTACGATATACTGAATGAATGGGGTGCCACGCCATCGAAAATATATTATAAAGTGCTCTTGACCTTTTCGCCGCCTGGGCAGAACTTCGTTTCTGATCACAAGAGCGCAGAGGCTTGGCTGCAGATTGACTGGAGCAGTGTTAATGGCTAATGCATTATGAATTGTTATAAATAATAAAGACAATCGCCTATGTTGGGCCCCGTTGCCGGCAACGGAGTCATGGTATAAAAGATGCTGCTCACTCGGCCAGCTCGTTGAATATTTTGACCAGGCTGCGAACTCCCATTAGAACGTTCTCATCTGGTCCTTCCCCTGGAGTCCATGTCGCATGGGCGAAGTCGATGATGCGGAGGTCGTGTACTTTTGGTGTTTCGTCTTCATCTTCGTCATCATCCAGCTCTAATGGAACCTGCACCGTTTGGGGGTCAAAGCTGATGTTGATGGCTTTCTTGGGTATGCCGTCGGGAAGTCGTACATCGACTAGCTCGAGGGGCTCTTCCGTGAATTCAAAATTCACTTCTTCATCACTATCCTCATCTTCTGGGTCCCTTTGCTCGGGGATCTTCTTTTCCTCTTCCAAGGCAACTGCCATTGCCTCTGGGTCGCCCTCGTAAATCACCAAGACACTAGAAGAGTACATGCGACTCTCCTCAGATTCAAGTACTCGTTGTACGTTTTGTAGCTCTTCTGTGATTCGGCGTGCGACCATCTTCGAGCGATCCACAGAGCCCGCTTTGGCTCCAGCTAGGAATGTCTCGAATCCTTCTTTCACGGTATCGGCACTGAATGATCGGCCGTACCACTTGTCGTAGCGTCGATACCCATCCTTCTCGATGACTTCTCCTCTGGCACCCTCTGCTCCTTCGTACTTGGTCGCGTACGGATTCGTCCTGGAGCCCTCGTCGATCTCGCCGTCTGTACCAGACCACACTTTCATCCCAGCTATCCGGTATCCCAGGCTCCCGCTGGTTGTTTCTTTGGACACGGCATCCAACTTGTGGCGCTTGGCAGGAGGCGCATCATCGGCCCAGAGCCGCGCTCCGAGCTTTACGTCCAGCACATTTGGACGATGAAACCCCGCGGCAATATTCTCCAACACGATAGAAAGACCTGTCTCTAGCTTCTTACCTCCGGATGGCACCCATGGCTGATCTGTTCCTGAAGATGTCACTGTGCTCGGTTCGACAGGTGTTTGTTGTGACGAAACGGCGGTTGTGTTCGGAGTAGTCAGGGCATCGCCAGCGGGAGGTAGAAAGACAGCGCCAGACCCTTGCGTAGCAGAAATCGCCAGCGGTTGTTGCTGATCGGCAGACGAGAGCGAGCCGATGAAAAGAGGCATAAATTCCTGAAACCCAGGATGGAGAGCACTAGCTTCGTAGAAATCGACCTCCTGCTGGACGCAAGGTTTGGCGATTAGGGCCCCGGAGAGAGTGCAGCGGACACCATCGCTGTAACGAGACACACTGTTAGCTTGATGCGAAGAACATGCAAAGTTGCGCTTGAGGCTCTCAATTCGCCCCACGCAGGGCACCGTCGGTCTCGGCTGCGCAGGTGACCGGAGTGGGGAGCTGGAGCTAGTGAGGAGAGGACTTACTGGCCTGCGGCGACGTGGTCAAATGGGACCAAGTCATCGCTGCCCAGTTGCGGCGTTTTTAAACTCTCTGATCTGGAGGGCGGCATGTTGATTGGGGAGTCTCGTGCGACGGGGAACGTTCACAGCATGCCGGATGACTCAACAAGCGAGCGCTGAGTACTGGAATAATCGGGGTAGCTCTTTGTCGCGTAAAGTAAATCCAGATTGGAAAAAGAATAGAAAATGAAGGGGAAAGGAGAGAGCTGTCAGGGAAGGGACGTCATGATCGGCGTGCGGGACTTGAAAACGCAGAGGCCCAGTCAGCTTTATCCGCGACTGTATAACTGCGCGGAGGTTTGGTAGCCATGATTACCAACCGTGTCCAAATTCTACCAGCGAGGGCCAGTGCTGCCATTGCCTCCCTTGATATTCAAGACTATAATATTCACTAGGCGGACTCCGCCATCCAGGGATCTGGTGCGATCTACATCAAGACCAAGAAAATATTCTAAATACGCTTAATGGGCGGCCATATCATCTTATTCCGCACATGTTGAAGCGGTGCTTAAAAGGTACAATAAAAAAGGAGCCCAGAAATGACTCGAAAGACCTTTAAGGAAATAATTAGAAAGACGTTTATAGCTATTGCAACGGAATGATTACCATAGGGTCCAATATGGTGCCCTTGCGTCCTAGTTCAGTAATCGTGGGTTTTGTACCGAAGCTTTTCCTGGACAAAACTAACCTCAATGGTCACGATAAAAGTAGACATTGGAGAATTGGAGAGATGTAGACAATTACCACTTTGATGATAGAGTGAGTGTTGGTCAAAGAGGTGTAACAAAAGCGTTTCGTTGTCAAAGGGAAGAAGATTGCTCTGAATTCGCCATATATTGAATGCCAGAAGCTAAAGCGATCTAACGCCAATCTTCACTAATTGTATCGATATTACATTTGCACTCACACTTCTGCTTTGCCGTTTACCAGCTCTGGCATCAAGCCTTCGTCGTTTGTGCCTTTCCCTTTCGTCACTCTTCCACGCTTCATCTTTCCCCATTAAGCTTCATCTCTCCTCACTACCATCGCCCCGGATTGAAGCCTGCAACTTCAACGAACGCCACAATCTCAGGTGACCTTCTCATATCTTCCGTCAATTGCATATCTGCCGCCACAGAGATGGCTCGACCCCCGCTGGTGGAAGTACAAGATGCAACCAATGAGCAGATCCGAGATGCCATGGACCTGGCCAGAATGAACCCCAACTTGAGTTTCTCCGACGCCCTGGCTTCCACCGTGGGCAAGAAGAGAGCCAGAAGACGGCCGAAGAGCAAGCGGGGAAATGTGATTATCACCTTCAAATATCAACTCCCGAAGCTCACATGTGTTTCTGTTACAGGGCAAGCCTACCGGCTTTGAAGAATACTTTGCCGATGGCCCTCTCACGCCAAATGAACACGCCGAGATGCTTGAGATCTTCAACCCGTACGTGAAGCAGAGCACCAACGATATATGATACAAGCTAACAGCCTGTTCAGTGACCTGCCATTTGCCAAGTAAGAACCCTGTCGATTAGTAGAGTCCGTCATTCTAACATACGTGTAGCCGGATCGAAGAGGCCCTAAGACGTTTCCAATTCAGACGTCGTATTGAGCCAGCCAGACTGAACATGTTCTCGAAATACCTGAAGTATGGCGGCGTCGAGATCGGAGCCAATATCACAAGTGGGGCAAATAACCAGGATCTGAAGAACATGACCAAGGACCAACTCATGCAGGCTCGTGCTATGGCTAAAATTCAGAAAGAGCGCGCGACGCTGGATGTGGATTTTGATGTAGTTCTTCGGGGCTTCATGTGGGCGAAACCGTTTCTCAACACGCGACTCAACTAACCCAGCATAGGAGCTCATACTTCATCAGGTGCTTCAAGCCGGAGACTGAAGAGGTGATCAAGATGGCAACTGAGACGATCAAAAACTTCTACACTTACCTGCTACAGCGCGATGTATGCCCTGAATACACCGACAATATGCTTCAAGCTCGCAAGACCTGCGATCTGGCAGCTAAGGAGCTATGGCTGAACGTTCAGCTGATGCGTGAAGGACCTGGACCATTTAACGAGAGCTGCTCAATGCTGTTCGGTGGAGCTTTCTTCCAATCGAAGGCTCCTTTCCCGGGAAGTGAGCTAGAAAAAAGTCGCAAGGAAAAGATGGAACATGCCCGAGATGTTGTCAGATCCGCAATTGCAGGTGCTGGTAGCTTTGAACAAGCAAGCAGATTCCAGAAACTGGTCAACCAGAAGAGAATCTCGGCCAAGAAAGTCCTCGACATTGATGGCTTTGATATATTGTCGGTCATCCAACCGGAAGCTGGAGTTCTTGAATTCTATGAGAAATTTGCACCTATGTACGATGCTGTGGGCCGAGTCAAAGCAGTTTCCTTCCGTGACCCAGCCAAGCCTGATCCAGATATGAGCCCTGAAGAGCGTCGGGAGTGGAACCATGGCAAGGCTCCGAAGTACAAGTTCGAGTTTCTCGTTGACAAGGCTCTGCTTCCACTGATGTACCCGGGGTTGAAAGTGATCTCGGGGGTTTGGGAGCTCAATTGCGGAGTCTATTACTTGGACGAGATTCTGTCGATCTATCCCACTTTCTACACGGTCATCGCCAATGGTATGATGATGAAGTGGAAGTGGCCAAGGGATTTGACTTTTGAAGACGAGAAGAAGGCAAATGGGGAGTCTAAGAATGCAGTGTACTGGACTACCGATGTTGACGCTCCCAAGCAGACTGCTCGGAAGGGAAGCCCGAGTGAAGGTGATGGTTAAAAGACTACTTTTCTTTTCCGACTCGCACTTGATCCACGCTGCTGCCAAGAAGAGCGATCGAGAGGGGGATGAACCTGGGGAAGAGAATGGGATCTACATTATAACGTTTCCTTTCCCATATTTCAAACCGTCTGCATCGATTTTGCGTTTGCTTTGCCAGAGATGGATACTAACATTCATAAATGATATGGTGATTCTTAAGTTACAGTCATAGCATTCAACTAATGCGTCGTAAAATCCAATGTATATACTTATTCGACACTTGAGATATTCCAATCAAGGCTTCAGGAGGGGCTTCCCGGTAGTCTTACGGCCCTCAAGGTCCTATTGACTGCGTGAGCAATAATCCGAGCAGGGGGTTCGATTCCACTTACGTTGTGAACCTGAGCAATATCCTCAAGCGGGTAGACCTTGTGAATCTTAACCTTGAGCGCACCAGACTGGAGCATGCTGAAAAGCTTGTTGGTGTAGAACTCGAACTCCTCGCGGGTCTCGATGTAGCCGAAGAGGGTAGGGCGAGCAATCTTAACACACTTGGGCGAGAGTTTACTATTTGACACGAGTCAGCTTCATCATAAGACTGCAGGGAAACATTCGATACATACGGGAGAGCAATGGGAGGCACCGGACCACTGGCATTACCGAACCAGATAATAGTACCCTTGCGCTTAACAGCCTCCAAGCTGCCTTCCCAAGTATCCTTGCCAACAGAGTCGTAGACAACATCGACACCACGGCCGCCAGTAGCCTCCTTCACCAACTTGACCCAGCCCTTGCCCTCTTCGCTGCGGTAATCAATGACCACATCAGCGCCGAGGCTCTTAACAAGTGCACACTTTTCTGGACCACCGGCAGTACCAATGACCTTTGCGCCGATGTTTTTCAGGATCTGAGTCAAGAGGAATCCGGCACCGCCGGCAGCAGCATGCACAAGCACCCAATCGCCCTTCTGCACAGCATAAGTCTCCGTCGCAAAGGCGAGAGTAGTCAATCCGCTCAGGAACGAAGCCATGATGTCCTCATCGCTCACACCCTCGGGAATCTTGACAGTCTTCTCAGCCGGCGCAGCAGTGTACTCCGCATATCCACCGGTAGCCAGCCAAGCAACACGGTCACCGATCTCGAAGCCCGAGGTATTGGGGCCCAGCGCGACGACTGTACCGGCGCCCTCACGACCCAAGATCTCAGGCTTAGGCGAAGCGTATAGTCCAGTGCGGAAGTATGTGTCGATGTAGTTCACACCAGAGATATTGTTGCGAATGAGCAGCTGGCCTTCCTTGGGCGTTGGCACGGGGTAGGAGGTCTTGTATTGCAGAACCTCGGGCCCACCGGTCTGCTCGACCACGACGGCCTTCATGGTGGTGGGGACGGACATGTTGCGGATTGGTGAGAATGATACAGGGCGGGCGATAGAGATAGTAGAAGGACGAAATTGGCTACGCAGAGCTGCTAGACGGAGACTGCTGCGAAGTGCCAAAGACATTGTAGAAATAGTGGGGGAAGCTCCGGGGAGTTAGGTACACAGCATCAACAGCTTCAATTTGTCATCGCCATCCCCGCATCCTCCGAGCGCGGAATTCCGTCGCTTCTTTTACTTTGCTGCTTATAGGGACCGATGGATTTCCAATTGCTTTCGATCGATGTGATTCGATATCCTACCATTCAGACCTCAATTGCCTCCACCTTGCTGCACGGATGCTAAGCCGAATGTACTCGGATGCTCCGAGTGGAGTTGAACTGACGCAATTCCGACGGCTCAGACCCATCGGATGATCTCCGATGCGTTGTACTTCCGAGTCGCCGAGTCCCAGTTTATACTTCACGACATACTCAAACGGCGCTACCCCTTACAAAACTGCTTCTACTATGACTGAGACTCATGGATGCCATAAAAGTTGGCATCCTCCAGCCACTTCAGCCGCTCAGCGCATTCCCAAACAGGAGACTTGGGCCACAATGGCTTGTACCCCATAAATGTCTCGACTGACGCCCCTCCGTGCGTCTCAACAAGTCACGTCAAAGAATGGCAGCCACAAGAGGGGCGGAGCCGCTCTCCCGTTGAACCCCGGTCGATTTCTGGGTATCATGTACCATGCAACGTATTCTCTGTTGGTCATGCGAGGCAGCCGGGGGTTGCTTGAGATCATGTTGGACCCCTTGGGCGACACGCCCATTGAACCTGAGGGGTTCTACTCGAATCCTGATCATTCAGCCTATTTTTCCCTTACACCTCGAGCAGGCAGCATCGTTTGAACGTTCTTTTTATAAAATAACAATCTAGAGACGATCAGGTTGGGCGATTGCAAAGCCAACCAGCGAGACACCACAAAGCATCATGCACCAGTCTTTGTGCCCAATAACAAAGATGGCTACGCCCGGATTGGCGTGGCGTGGTTGTCGACTGGTGCCCTTGAAGTATTCCCCCTGTTTCAATGACGACCCGGATGCTCTTCAGCCTGATACTATTCTTATTGATAGGTCGGTTTTGGCCCAATGGCCATAGCGGCCCTATCAGGGACGGGATGGTGCCCGATGTCATTGACCATATAATACCCCCGACCCGGGTAACGCGCACACACCACCCACCCATCTGTGTTGACACTGAAAATTTTTCTATTGTTTTTATTTTGGTCGCCGCGCGATCCTCTCAACTACACTACTACTTTTTACTATGAGCCAATCTGCCCGCAAAGCTTCTCATCGAGCCTTCATTGCAGCCGGATAGCTCTTCGACTCACTACCTACTCAACCCGTGCATGATCAGATCTGAAACAATGCCGTCTTCTCGGAGCAGCCGTCCTCGAAGCAGCGTGCTGGTGGCGTACCCTCCACCACCTTGCGTGGAGGAAGAACCCACCTCGCTTGCTCGAGAACTACACGGCCTCACCAAGCTTGGTGAAAAGCCTGGCTTCGAGGGAACTCGCGTGAGAGGTGCTGTTAACCAGTACCCGATCATCTTGAACACGAATTTCCCTGGTTCTTCTTCTTCTTCTTCTTTTTATTCTCCTCCACCCGATGCCTCCAGTGTGCCCGGGCTGGGGAACGTTTCTTCGGACGACAGCAGCGGACCGGTGACACCACCTCCCATGGCCCAGGAACCCACGATCCGCACAAGCTCCAGACCACAGTCGCGTGAACGCTCTCGAACTATGTCATCCTCTGCTTCTTCTGCCTCAAGCCGGTCTCAGGGCCAACCATCTCATATGCATTATCTTTCTAGCCGCGACGCGATTCCTCAACGCCACAGCCGTCCACCACCGAAGTCGCGGGATAGCATTTGCAAGAGTGAGGTGCCGGCACCATTGGCTTCGTCTAGCTCCAGCAACTCTCGAGGTCGACCATTGCCTGCACTTCCACGGCACTCTGATCCTGAGGTGAATGTCTCTCGCCAACCTCAGCCTCCGCCATATTCGCGAGACAGTCGTGCCATCAAGCATGAGGTTCCTGTCCATACCATCCCTTACGGATCACGAGGAGTGCGTCCTGAACGACCTCGTTCTCGGTCTCGTGGACCGGTTAACGAACGGGCCCATCCAAGCCAGTCCGCACCACCTATCAGCCAGTCCGCACCACCTATCAGCCAGTCCAACACTATACGATCTGGAAGCACTGGAGACCAAAGATCCTTGGTGCACGAGCACTCACGGCGTGAGTCGCCGCCGGGATATATGTCAGATTCAAATGCGGCACGCAACAGAGCATACTTTCACCACCCTCCGCCTGCGCCACCTGTGCCGGAGAAGATACCCATTGAGAAGCCTACTAGCCCGACGCTCGCCGAGCGAATCGAGGAAAAGCTTCGAAAACGTCAAAAGCGACGTGACTCAGGAGTTTCATCAGATACAGAGACTCGCTCGAGAGCTGCGACTGTAACAATCAAGCCTGGCGAATCAATCTTGAAGGCCTCGATGCCCGCTTCGACGCCCGTTCCGCCTTCTCGTGATCCTCAAGCCTCGGGCCGTCCTATGGCTGAGCGGGCTCCAGCTTCACGGCCCAGAGCCGCGACTGTGAGCTCGGCTCCGCTGCCTACCCTGTCTCGCTCGATGTCCAAGGCTGGCGAACGCCCAAAGTCTATTCTGGTGAACGGAACTCAATCTGGATCGAGCCAACTCCCGCGCACTCCAGGATCTGTCAAGTTTCAAGATCAACCAAAAGAGAAGCCGATAACCTCCCAAGTTCAAGTCCAAGTCCAAGCTCCAAGCCGACAAACTAGTCCACCACAGCGTCCTCCAAACCCTACGGGTCTATGCATCACCCCGTGCCCCCGTTCAGTTCCCACAGCAGGCCAAACAGGTTGGTACACCCTCAAGGGTCTCACCCACCTAGACATCTGCCCATCCTGCATGGGCCAAATCGCCCATTCTCGCTTCCGCGATTTCTTCATCCCAAGCCTCGCCAAACCCCCAACCCAGAAAACCCACTGCGCCTTCGCCAATCCATGGACCCGCCTTTCCTGGACTCAGATGATCAAAAAGAAACACGACAGCCTCGAAATGCTCTACCAAATGACGCGCCCTCCTCCGGGAACCCGCGCCTGTCCAGGCCGAGTCATCACCGACCAAACCTGGTACCGCATCGTCGACCCAGAAACCAACATCTACCTACCCCGGTTCCACGTCTGCGGCACCTGTGCCCGCAATGTTCGTGTCCTGATGCCTGCCCTTCGTGATACTTTCGAACATTGTCCAGAACCCCAAGAACGGGCCTGCGACTTCGTCACTACGAGCCCGCGTTTCGTGCAGTTCATCGATCTCCTCGATGATGCCTCTTCGCGCGCAGAAGCAGATCCATCGCGCCGACCCGATGTCCGCGATTTCTTAAACTATGCTCGCAGGAAGATTGTTCTCCGCGACTGTCGTCGCGATAGACCAACACTCGGCACTTGGCACTATATCCCGTCTCTACCGGAGCTGAGCGTCTGCGAAGACTGCTACGATGAGGTTGTCTGGCCACTTGCCAAGACTCACCGCCCTATCGCACGGATGTTTTGTACTTCTATGAGACTGTTACCGGGTGATGGACCCCGGAGCTGTCGTGAAGCGAGCTGCCAGCTGTATTCCGGGAGGATGAGGGCACGCTTCAGGGATGCGGTTGCAAAGGATGATTTCGCCGGGTTGCAGTCTGTTTCCTTGAGACGGTATGAGGCGGAGAGGAGATTTAAGGATCGGAGAGAGGAGTTGCTTGTTGCGGAGGGGAAGGGGTACGATTGTGATGAGGAGATGAGGAAGGCTGTGGAGGAGTGGAGGAGGTGGGAGTGATCGAAGCAAGTTCGTTTGAAAGATTTAAAGTGTATGGATATTTGGTGGTTGTATCTTTTTTGGGTTTATGTATACTTCGAAAAGAATTGGGCATTGAATTGGCGCGCATGGATGACATTGGCATTAGCATTAGTATAGCATTAGCATTCACTATGTACGATCTTAGCTTGGCCTTTTTTTCCTTCTCTTCTTCTCTGTAATCTTTTTAGCTGTACTTTCTAGTGTCTTGTGAAAAACGTTTCCAGGGTTGTAAGCAGTAGAAACTAGTCTACAATAGCTACAAACAATCCTATTACTTGTAACAGTCTCCCAAGTTCAGGGTAACAGCCTCCTGAACTTGGGAGACTGAAAGATCGATCGCCCCTACAGACGTCATTACTAGATTGGCCACATCTAGTACGGAACATACACCCATCCGCAAAGCTTGGTTGATTTAGGGCTAGAAGCTAAATTAAGACGAACGGTAGTTCACGATAAGATGAGGTCCGAATGAGGTCTCCCTATCCATGTTGTCTCGCCGTGACTTATGTCACCTATTACTGGCTAGGTTCTTTCTTAGATAAATTGGCTCTGATGTGAAAAGTTCTCCGAGCTGTAGACCTGCCCAGATGCCCTAATAGCGCTATGTTGAGTCTGGTGCCTAACCTCCATTACAATGACACTTGACTACCATTACAATGGATAGGTCGAGACTGTGATGACATCTTTCGCTAGTCCGCCACATGAACATCAAGATTACAACCAAACCAAGGGAAAATTGACAGTAAATCGAAATAAGAAGTCCTGATTATCAGTCCAGGTAACTCTAGTCAGCGAAGTTCTCCAAGACCAGAAAAAGGCCCGAGCAAGTCTACCTAAGTCTTTCAGGTTGAGGAGGGCTACGAGGATGTGAGGTTCAGGCCACTTGTTTGGATGATTCTATGTCCAGATGTTCTTCCAAGACACTCTGGCTGTAGTGCTCGTAACGAAGCAGTTGCAGAGGAAGTCCACTACCCATTACATACTTGATTTCTGAGGAACAAAATTGAAAGAAATATAATTTTATGCTCTAAGTCAGCTGCATATATACGCCATGAGCATGCAGCCCCTGAAACCAAACCATCGAATTCCAAACGCCATCGCAAACCCAAAGGCATGAACAATGCATATGTGAAACCGAAAATAGAACGACCTATCCAACAAGTCCGACAACTTCACCAGGCAAGCGCTTAGACCAGATGATCGCGCGTGGCGGGACGCGTCCACCAACTGGTGCGAGCACACGGATCTTGCCCTTGTCAGCGTCGACGTCGGCAACGTAAAGGAAGCCCATGATGCTAGCGTCGCGGACTTCGGAGGGGGATGCTGTTGTGGGAGCATTGGTAATTGCGAGAAGGGTATTGGCGAGGGTTGACGGGGCGGGCGGGAGAATTTTCTTCAAGGGGACGTTGCTCTGTGGTGTTTGGTTTGTGTCGCCCATGCTGGGGAGATATGTGCCGTTGTCTGGTTCGTGGGGCGTGTAGTCTTCTGAGCCACCGCCTGGGAGGAAAGAGTCGAGTTGAGATGGGTCGTACTCGTCTTCATCTTCGTCGTCTGCCGATACTACGGTATAACTGTAGATCGGGAGAGCGGCGAAATCGAGTTGCTGGGCATGAGGGGAGAGAGTAACGGCGGAAGATGAGGAGAGGGAAAGCGCTGATGTGCCGGTAGTCGCAATTGGGTTGCCGAAGAAGTAAGACCGGATTTGCGACTCTCGCGTTGCTTTGTGGAAAGCGACATCGCGATCAACACAGCCGCCTGACTTGGACAGCTTCACGACGGAAATGCGCTCGTCGAAGACGGCTGCCGTGGCGCTAGAGCTAGGCTGGTCATCATACTGCTTGACCATGGCGCTGTAGAGTCGCTCAGATCCAATGACCAGAATCGTAGTGATCGCAAACTCAGTCACGATGTGGTTGATCAGCTCAAGACTGCCTGGTTTGCCGCTACTCAGGATTCCCGGGGTATCGACGATGATTCCTGCCTCTCGTGCGTCTTCATCTTCAGCCATGCGGCCTGTTACTGAAAGTGCCAGTCGAGACACAATAGGCCTGTAAATTGCGCCTTCAGCGTCGAGCGGATTAGGCATTGGGTAGCTATAAACCAGCGGGAGTTTCACTGGCACAGGGCTGGGCCCGGACATAGGACTGCTGCCCCAACCTTCCTCAATGTCCAGCATAGTCCGGAAGGCAGCTGCAGTCAAGGTTCCGGGGACACTCAGCATACCCTCAGTCGGGTCTAGGTTGACCACCAGCGGTTGGCGGCCGACCTTTGTAGCATAGGCAGTCAAGATCTTGGCCAGGCTGGTTTTGCCGGCGTTCTCAGGGCCCAGCAACAAAACTCGGGGCCCATCCTTACCCACTGACTGGGCTTCTTCTCGCATAGTCTCCAGCGCAAAGTGAACGTTGGAATATTCCACCATGGGAGTCTCTTCGGCGGTGTATTCACTCTGGCAGCCGCCAGCTCCGTGTCCGGCCGTCGGGGTGACACCATCAGTCGTCGTCGCAACCGTCTCTCCGGCGCTGACTTCCAGCTCACAGCCGTGCCATGTGTAGATTGCGCCTTTCGTCCCGTGGAAGGTGTAAGTCTGCAACTGTGCGAGCTCCGTTCCGAAGAGCTCTGCTGTGCCGCTGAGAAGCTGCAAGTTCGCGTCAGTGCTGTCATTTAGAATATATCTGGAGTTTCTAAAAGCAAGTTCTGCCCTGAAGCACTACGCGATATGGCATACCTTCACTTTAACAAGATGCCCAAATGCGACTTCGAATCTCCACTCCGAGCCCGGGTTCAGGGCAATTTGCGACGGCGGCGCTACGGCGAGTTGCCTCTCCTCCGAGGGCTGTGTCAACTCTAACCCTGGGAGCGACATTGCATCACTCTTTTCAAAAATCCAGAGAAGAGCAGAGAGAGGAGGTGGGAGGAAATAGGTCAAAGATGGATAATGCGCCGAGATGGATAGCTCCGGGCTGTTTTACATGTTTGCACTCCCGCCCGCAGTTGCAATCAACAGCCGTCAATTGAAGGATGCGTACGCGTTGAATGCGTGCACAAGCTTGATTATAAATTTGTTATGCATAGTATTAGATCAATGATTCTGGATATATCTACAGTTGAAAAGTATGGTCTTTGAAATGTTTAGTCATCGCTAGGCTAAAGCGTTCTTCACTACAGCGCAGGGCAGTCAGAAGACAAAACAGCGAGACAAAACAGCGAAATCGAGTGTTTGGTATCCAGGAGAGGGGGAATAAATCAATGGAAGGATGGATTTGGAGCGTGTCTCTTTTGTCATTCGGGGATTAGAGCGGACATGAAAATGTCTTTCTCGGTGGAAGGGAAGATATTAAAGGAAATGGTGTCAAAAGGAAGTACAGTGCACACTCGAGGAGGGCCGGGAAGAATATATTTATCATCAAGACAACGGAGACGGAAAATCGGGGATAAAGGGTATTGGGATTGCTCTGTCTGTGGCAGACAAGTGCAAATGAATGGAAGACTGTCGGAGTCAGACAGTCGTCCAGCAAGTCCAATGACGAGGCGGTGTTAGGGGATTTGAGACGGGATGAGAGCGGCCTGAATAATGATCATCCAGGCTAGGCTGAAGCTTGGTCTAGAAGAAGTAGGGGATGGAGGCACTAGGCCGGGTTAGCAAGCAAGAAACCAAATATGGACAAAAACCACTTACGCAAGAGCAAAGGCAGCGGAAACACCGAAAAGAGCGCGGTTGCGGACACGCTCACGCTTGAGCTTGTCCTCCAAAACCTTGGCCTTCTTCACCCGCTGGGCAGACTCGGCCGCAGTCTCCTCATCATCCTCCTCGGGCTTGCGCTTCTTCGTCATCTTGGCAGATGATGACCCCTCAGACTGGCCCTTGGTGGCGGATGCCACCATTTCCTTGGCCTCAGCGAGCATATCCTTGACGGAGGGCGAGGGTATGTCCGCTAGGCTAACGGGCATATCGTCCGAAATGGTCGTCAGGGAAGTCTTGCCCTTTGGTGTGGCCTCGGTGGTCTCGTTAACCTCGACCTCGGTTTCCTTCTCCTTCGCAGCAGCCTTCTTCTTCTTCTCGGCCTTCTTCTCTTCCTTCTTAGCCTCCTTTTCTTCCTTCTTGGCCTCCGTCTCCTTCTCTTCTTCTTCCTTCTCCTCCTCGGCCTCGGCAGCCCTCTTGGATTTGCGACCCTTCTTCTTCGGTGACTCGGTGGTCTTCACTTCGATTTCCTCCATTTCGAATACAGGCAGCTCATCTGACTCCATGGTGGCTGTCATTGACAACGCCTCCTGGAGACTGTTGTTGGCAGCTGCTGTTGAAGGAGTGCTAGGAGCATCCTTCGCAGAACCGGCCTTGCGGGACTTCCGAGGTGAGGTAGTCTTTTTGCTAGGCGACACGGAGCGGCGGCTTCGGCGCTGGGCTAGGGCTCGATCATCCTCGGGCAGGTCGAACCTGGGCGGCGGGGTGATCTGCTTCTTCGAGGTCGACGGACTCTGCACAATTTCCGTGGGGTCCAACAACGCGCGCACCCAGTCGTACATCTTGTATTCTTCGGCAAGTTCGAGAGCTGGTGATAATTGTTAATAATTTTATACAAAACAGCGAGGCTGATAGACGTACCGAAAGGCGGGGAAATCCAGACGTTGCCAGCGACTTCCTCCTGGCTCGTGTACTCTCGGGACTTCAGATACTCTCTCTCAATCTTCTCCTCGTCGGTCTTGGCCCAGGGAAACGCGATCTTGAACATGCCAGTTGCGCTGACGAAGCCGTCTTTGCTCCTCCGCTGTTTCGCAAATTAATGGCTGTTTATCACATATTATTTCTTCCAATAGAATCGCTTACCATCAAGAAATAGGTCTCTGGGTGCTGGGCGGGAGAGTGCGAGGGGAAGATCTCGGAGCCCTTCAAGTCCTTGGGCAGAGGAGCACGGAGGTGGGCATACTCAAAGACACCCAGGTTCTCGGGCTTGGTAGCGTTCGATGAGCCGATCAAGCCGGGCTTCACAGAAAGGTTGGTTTTACCAAGACGGCGGCGCGAAAGAAGCTCCTCATCTATGATGGTGGAAGGCGATGAGTTAGCGAGGGGCGCGGATAAAATGCCAGTTGATAAGTACGATAGGCCGGTCGGCCGGTCGCATGCGCGGTCGCGCGACCACGCGATTCGAGGTGAGACTTACAGGCCGGAGAGGCGTCGCTGAGGATCAGCGGGTTGGTCTTCTTGGGGAGAGTTCGCGACATGGCGGGCGAGTTGCGAGGCGACAAGGTGAGCACGGTCAGATGTGAAGAGAAAGTTGCGCCAACGGCAGCCACGTAGCAGGCGCGTCGCAGATAGACGATCGACGATCGAAACCGGTTATCAGCACCGAATTTGAATACAGACGCGGGGAGGGGCGAAAGAACGCGCCAAAAATTCGACAATCAGAACAATGAAGTAGTTCACCTAAAAGACGATAAAAAGAGAAGATAATCAGGGGAGACGCCCGTCGCGACGGAATGGGGATTCGCTCTATACGGGCCTTGCCTCTTTCCGGAATGGTCCGGTTTGGGTCCCGTACGAGACTCGAAATTACTGGTTTTCATTCGACAATGTCAAAATTACCATGTTACATGGATACACTCCGTTGGGGCGTTGGCCCCGTGACATGTGCATTCCTGAGGCATTCAAAATCTGTTTACTTCCAAAAACTTGAGTTTACTTGAGGTACTAGTTACTCTAGTTACTCGGGTATTCATTTCTTGCTGCGGCGAGCACTCTTTTACAGCTACGATCCCCTCTCTGGTGGAGACATGTCTTATGCACTCCAATGACAAGCCTCATGGGCTCCCACAACCAGGCTGCCTCGGGGCCTAGATCATCCCTGCTACGTGTACTGGGTACCGCCACGAGCACCATCCCGGGTCAACATATGTAGATGGCCTTCACTACCTTCCCATCGCCAATCATCGTAGCAGGTACTGGCAGTGTAAAGATAAGCTCACCTAATCCCGAAATAGATATGCACCGGGTCTGTATGCGTCAACGGCTATTTACCTTTCCAAGATCCGAATAGCCTCGCCCCTCTTCCTCCACCGCCTTTCTGTAACCCCACCACGACTCAGGAGACAAGTGATATCTTTCTCTCTTTCCCTCCTGTCTCCCCTCTTTCACTTGTGTTCATTTAGGAATTACCCCTTTTCCCCCAATTGACAATTTCCCTTCTTACCCAGACTCACTACCCCACCACGTCAACAATCAACAATGGCTGATCACGACGACGATCTCGCCGTCTCCAAGACCGAGGGCTTCAAGGTCGGAGAGAAGAAGACTCTCCAGGAGTACCAGGAACTCGGTAATTTTCCTCCCCATACGTGCTCAATTACAATACCCCGACCCCTTATACTAACCCTGCCCCTCCCCCGCAGACAAGGACGATGAGGCCATGATCCGCTGGAAGGCTTCGCTGGGTCTCAACCCTGGCAATCCCATTGGCAAGGCCGGTGACCCCAACTGTGTCATCAAGTCCCTCGCCTTGGTCACTCCTGGCCGTGAGAACGTCGTGATCGACCTCTCCAACCCTGAGTCTCTCGCGACTCTGAAGGATAAGCCCTTCACCATCAAGGAGGGTGCCAAGTTCCACATTAAGGCCGTCTTCCAGGTCAACAACGAGGTCCTGAGCGGTCTCAAGTACGTCCAAGTCGTCAAGCGCAGGGGTATTCGTGTGAGCAAGGACCAGGAGATGCTGGGCAGTTTCGCCCCCAGCACGACCGACAAGCCCACGTATGAGAAGGACTGTAAGTAACCGGCAATCTCTACACAAATCGACCGCATTGACTAATTCTTTCGCTCCAGTCGCCGAAGAGGAGGCTCCTTCCGGCATGATCGCCCGTGGTCACTACAACGCCGTGTCCGTCTTCGTCGATGACGATAACCACACTCATCTCCAGTTCGACTGGTCCTTCGACATCGCCAAGGACTGGTAATCGGTTCGAAGCTCTTGGACTGATACTGCGTTGAATTCTTGAGCGGCTCCATTGTTTCCAAGCGTGACGAATTTCCTTTGACTCCAAAAGCCTGGTAGAGATGGACCCGGCTCGGGCCCGTTTACTTTGCATGGATTGAAGCCCCCAATTCTTGGGCATTGTTTTTGTCTTTTCCTTCTCCCCCTCTCCTCCGTGCAGATGTTTCATATTTCATTTCAAATGCAAAGTAGTCAGCCTTGCGAGATTAAATCTGTCAATGTGCAGTCATATTTTCTTTCTCCCTTCCCGAACTCCTATCCTGTACGGTGTATGGCATAAAAAACAAGCTAAAAACAAGTAAAAATCCCGGGGTATCACAAGAAATAGTCAATCACTGGCTGCGAGTCCCGACTTTGCTGTGCCTGCTGCTCATTGCGGTGCACATCATTTTCAGGGGCCGCGTCAAAGATGTTGAAGAAGCGCTCCATTTTATCGCCCACCTCCAGCACACTGGCGAGGTTCCCACAGCGGTAACAATAGTTGGGCGCACTCCAAACCGTGCTCAGCCGGTCATCGAAAAGAACCTGATAACCTTCATTGCAGAGCTGGTGGGCCCGTAGAATGTGGGACATATTGTTCACCTCAAGGAACTTCCGAACCACCTGTGCACCAAAGGTATATCCAGCACCCCGAGGAGAGAGAGAGAATTCGTCTCGATCTGGGTCCGGATCAGACCAAACCAAATCGGCCATTGGTCCTTCATGTGGAATTTCGCGGAAGCGGTCAATGATCTTGATCTGATCGATAGAGTGGATAGAGGGAGAAAGACCTCCATGCACACAGAAGATCTCATCATTAATGACAACACTTAGCGTCAAGTAATCGAACATATCTGTGAAGTAATGCCACACATTGGCATTTCCATATTTGCGCGCACACTCGGTATAGAATCCGTAGGATTGGGTAACACCGCGGGACTCATGGTTGCCACGAATAAGGTGCACTCGGTGTGGGTAGCGCAATTTGAGACAAACGAGCAGTGAAATCGTTTCAACACTGAATAGTCCACGGTCGACATAATCACCTATACCCCCGGGGTTAGCAACGCCTCGCACACAAGCAGGGAAATAACCCCAACCTGCCCCTCACGGACAAGCAGAGGGCACTAACCGAGGAAAAGATAGTTGGTATTGGGACAAAAGCCACCAATGCGGAAAATCTCCAGTAAATCGAAGAACTGGCCATGAATATCCCCAACCACGGTTACTGGCGCCTTGATATGAACGACATTGCTCTCTTTCATGAGCAGCTCCTTAGTCTTAGCACAGATAGCCTCAATCACTGGCTCGGCGAGGAGCTCCTTGCGATAGAGTCTCTCGATGCACTCATCCAGGTCGATACTGGCTGTTGCGACGTCAGCATTGCTTACCGAAGCTCGGAGGGGCCGGGGCTGGAGTAACGGCTGGCAGCGCACAACATACTGGGAAGGCCAGGCATGGCGACGAAATGTGGTAGAACTCGCCCAATAAATGCAATGACCTCCTGGTGAGATATCCGAGGGTATAGGCGAAGGATGGTGACCGGGGAATAGTAGCAGATGCGAGATGGAGGCCGACGGTGCTCTGCGAGGCTAGAGAGGGAGGCCAGGTAGAGATGACGGGGACGATAGTGATCAACGAGAGATGAGAGTAGAGGCTTGGTGCACAGTGGGCATCATGATCACGAAGACATTTACCACTCCGATAAATTTTATGTATCGTCTCAAGCAGAGAGATCCAAAGCCTGCCAGGAACCTCCCCGAGCTGGACTCCCTCCGGGTAAGTTCTGCATGTTTACACCGTATTACACACGTGATTTGATTCCTGATCGGGAAGTATAGACTGCACGAGTTTAGTCGATGTATGGAAATTTAGTCTGTAGGTCTAGGAATTGATGAAGACCCATTAGTCTTGGGAATTTTGATCTAATTTCTACACTTCTTAAGTCTTGCATAAACTTGGAATGCCCAAGAAGATCAATATTTGATTTCAAGCTAATCAGAGATATATTTTCATGATTCAGCTGAGTCTAGCCCACGATTGACATGAGAAACATGTCATTACATCGGCCACGAGATATTATTATTGCTACTTCATTGTCGCGCTGGATCTAGGCGGCCCATACTTGAACTAAGAACAATGTGTTAAGACAATACGCTATCAATTTGGCCAGCCTGCATAGGTGTAGTAAGGTATTCTGTTCAGCCACACGATTAAGATAAAACTATTCCAAACCAAGAGGTGTTATTCCAAATCTCTAGTTGATATAGAATCAAGTCTATGAATCCTCCCAAGCTATCCGCTATACAAGTTTCAAGGCTTCGGAAGAGCCTAGCCAAGCAACTGCTGAGCCTCCTTGGGTCCAACATCGCTCTCAGAATCAGTCCCAGCTTCCTCGTCGTCATCCTCATCCTCATCCTCGTCGTCCTCCTCACCAGACTCTTCCTCTTCAGAGTCAGTCTCATACTCGTCGGAATCAGTCTCACCCTCCGACTCCGTTTCAGACTCCGTCTCCTCTTCCTCATCAAGCCACTGATTAAGGGATTTCTTATTAGCTGGCCCTGCATCCGGTGCACCGTTATGCCGACGCGGTGGGGCGGTAGTCTGGTGCTCGCGAAGCGCTCGGTCTAAGCGCTCGCCGGCAGTCATTGAAGTCTGGAGGGAAGTCGATTCAGGCTTGACGTCTTCAGTGCGCAGACTTGGGCTGGGCTCGTGGCCCAGCTCGACCCAGTCAGGTATATTGACATAGCCGCGGAGGCCGTGGTAGCCGGCTTCGGGGCCAATGACGAGGGTTGATGTTCCGATGAGAAGATCTTTGCGTGTTTCAGAGGGACTCGGGGCGTGAGGGACTGGTTTGGGTGCTAGGAGTAGCAAGTTGGCGAGTTGAGTGGATGCGGGACTAGCAAGTAGGGCTTTGTAGAGCCGGGCGCGATCGCGGAGATCGTATGAGCTATCATAACGTGCGAGAAGAAGTATGTAACGCCAAAGGAGGGTGATTCGATCTTCATCTTCCTCTTCTTTTGCCTGGAATTCCCCGTTGTCGTTGTTTTCGTCTTCTGGAGCTTGGCTGGCTTCTTTTTGCTCGTCGGCCCGGTCTTCGGTCCATTCGTTGCGGATTTCCTGTGCAAGGGCGGCCGCACGTCCGGGTGATGTTGAAGCTTCTTCCTTCGACTGTTCCGGTGACTTTTGTAGTAGATGATGAAGGTAGACCTTAGCACCAAGTAGGACAACTTGTTGCTTAACAACCTCAGTTTCATCGGCAAAGCTCTGGATGAGTATGCGGAGCACATCAGGTGCAATATTATTTCCTGGGTCCACGCCCGCAAATTCCCCCACTAACCAGATGATGGTAGCTCTTGCGTCGGGATTCGTTGTCGTGCCAAGGTGTGTAACGAGTTGAATCACAGTTTGCTTATGCGAAGACGGATCCTGCTGGATTAAATGGCGGATAACGGTCAAGGATTCAGATACAAGATTGCCGTCCAGACTGGAAATTTGATCAAGCAGAATCCGCAAGCACATATCGGCAGTACTGCTGTCTCCCTGTGCGCAGCGCCCAATGGCCCGCACACTCTCTCGGACCTGTTCAGGATCGGCGCCCTTGGAAAAATGCTCCAGCTCGCTAATGATCACACCCTTCCAATGTTTTCCACAATGGGGGAAGACAATCGTCAATACCTCCAGCTTCAAACGCCAGATATGCGATGGGTCGTTGGCGTGAATCAGGAAGCGAGCAACATATTTCGTGAATGGTTTTGGGTCTCTCAAGGCTACCACAACAATATTGTAGAGAGCGATGAGCTGCATATCTTGAGGGCTTCGGAGCAAAGCCACTAGAGGGCCTACAGCAGAAGCGAGGTACTCTGAGGGTGCCAAATAAAGGAAACAGCGAACAACGCTGACAATGACGGCCGAATTGCGGTTCTGCAATAACAATTTACATGCTCGGAGCAAGAGTTCAAGATCTGGATCCAGCACGGAAACTTCGTGTTCTTCACCATCATCCTGAGAATCCTGTTCCTGCTTCTCATCATCGTAGAATGGCTTTGACACCGCCTGCTTGACCTTTTGGGTCCGGCGAGGGAAGCATCGGCGAGCATAGAACGTGAGAAGTCGTAATGTCGAAAGCTGACTCCATTCATCCATATCCACTAGCTTCTTGACCAAGCTGCGGTAGTGCTTGTGAACAAGGTCAATCTCCTCAGGGCAAACTTCCAAGAAAGCAGCAACAGCCGGACCAACAACGAAGTATTGCGAGTCACCGAGAAGGGTTGAGATATACCCGGTCAACTGCGGCAAAGTGTTCGGGTCTAGACGATAGCACTTAGGAATAGCCAAAGCCGCGGCTTTCCGCACATGAGGGCTCATATCACCGCATCCACGCTTAATGGCTAGTGACACGATTTGGCTGATAACCGGCACGCGAATACCAGACATGGTCCGCAACGCCATTGTCCGAACTTGAGGGTTCGAATCCGTGAGAGACTTTTGGATCGCATTGATAGATAGCAAGGCCAGATCTGGTTCGGCCTCGGCATGGTGAACTAGGTAGATGTAGACCAGTTTCTTGACTTCGAGGTTGGCGCTGGCCGCGTTCTTGACGACGGCCGAGAAGAAGGTCATGGAGGGCTCAGAGCGGTACATCAACTGTGATAATCGTGGAAAGAGTCGTGTTAGCCATTGTGTACCTTCTCGTTGTCTTGTATTAGGGTATCATCCTACCGAGATGACCCGCCGCATTCCATCCAGAACCTCCCGTTCATGACGACTGTCCAGCAGCTTCTTGATGCTAGCGACACTGTAAGACTGCGAAGAATAGTCGGTATTGGAGCTTCGGGTGCTCGCAGCGGACTGGGCGGCCTCCAGGGTGAGCTCTCGAGCTATGCGCACAGTGACCACCGATCAGCTCCAAGTCTCCGAGGGGCGCGTGTGCGCGACGCAAATTGACATACCTGTTTCCAGCATAGAGGATATCCGAGATATTGTCTCCATTGTGATTCCAGCCTCCGCGGGGCCCAGTCCAGATAGCGTGAGAATTGACTGGGAGTGATGAAGATAGGTGGGGGAGGCAAGGCGGAGGAGCATGATCTCCGCGGCGTTAAAGGGACTTCGCTGATCTCTACCACAACCACTCTCCAAGTCTAAGGTGACAACTCAACGCCATGGGTTTAAGCCAAACACAGATGTTCATGGAAAAATGACTCATCGTGGATCGAATACTCTACAGCTCCAAAACAGCAGAAACGTCACATCATGGGCCAAACGCGAACCGTCGCTTCCTACAGTCTAGTAACGGATCTTTTGCAACAATTGCTTGATATCGGTGCAGACTCCCAACTCATCATCTGTTGCACCAGAACAGAATTTCTGGTGCAACTAGCAGCAGCCATTCGCTCACAACGCGCCGATCCGAGTACTACGTCTCGCCATGACCTGCTCATCCCAACTATTGGGTTGCTTGCCAACTCAAGCCGGATTCAACTGACCTTCTGCTCAACTCTGGAGAGTCTCCGAGCCTACCTTGCAGCTCTCGGAGCGAATGTGAAAGAACAGCCAGAGAGACAGACTCGACTGGTCATCCTAGACACGGTGGCTCTACATAGGCCTACTACGGAGTTCTCGGCGCAGGGACTGTCGAGAACTTTTGCAGCAGCAGTAGAAACAAGTTTCCGCGCAGGGATGGACCTGATGCTCTGCGAAGTTACCAACTCCGTAACCCCCTCGAGTGACGACTGGGGCGACAGACTATGGGATGCACGAGTTCCCTTACTAAACGGCTCTGTCCGAATACGCGGCGAAGACGGCAATTGGGGCGGACGAGGCGTGTCCGTCAAACAAATCGCCCAGCGCTGGTTCGACTTTGATGAAGGGATGCCTTCGTGAAAGGATATAATGTGAATTGAAAATGGGAGAAAAGCAGCCAAATACTTGCAACATGAGAAAACTCCTTGAAATGAATCTGTACCCGGGTATCCTTGACTTGACCTCTGAACTCCTAATCCGTAAAGCCACAAGACCGACTTCTCACAGGGACTTGTCCACCTCCGTGATGTATAGTTTGATGTGGGCTTCCAGCTTGAGATACTGGTCATGTGCTGATTGAATCTCACTCTCAATGTTTTCTTTGAGATCAACCATCTATGCGTAAGTTAGCAGAACGATCTTGTAGCTGTGATTGGAAGAACGTACCTTTTTCTCCGTCTGCTCAATGCGGATCCGCCGGCGCTCCATGTCGCGCTGTTTCTCCGCTCGTTCCTCGCGAAGCTGCTTCTGGACATTACGGAGCTCTTCCATTCGGGCTTGAGCAACCTCGGCTTTCTCCTGCGCGCCTTTGCGAAGACCCTCGATTCTCTCATTCCAACGGGCAAGTTGCCGCTGCAAGAGCTTCTCAGTCTGTTCCACTTCCCGGACGCTGTTGCCTCTATCCGAAATAGCCTCCTTGTTACGAGCTGCACGAGATTCCTCCTCCTCTTCTTTTTGGAGTTCGGATGAAATGTCATCAAGTAGCTTCACGCAAGCTTGCACATCGTTGGAAACAACGGTGAACGTGTCTGAGGATGTCTGCAGCGCTCGTGCGCGCTTCTCCATAGCATCAATTTGAGCTTTTTCGCGCATTAGGTTCTCCGCTAACTCCGTCAAGGACGACTGCAGTGTGGCGGGGGATTCGAGAACGTAGGGCCGCAGCTTCTCCGCCTCTTGCCGGCTGCGAACTGTCCTCTCCATCTTCTCCTCTAGTTGCTGCTGTCGCCGTTGCCTGTCGCTCTTTACCCGATCAAGTGTCTCTGCCACCCGGGACTGCTCTCGGCCCAGCTCAATCAGGCGTGCCTTAAGCTCGTCGTTCCTCGCGACCTTCTCACGCACTTGGACTTCATTGGTTTGTTGGTTCTGTCGCATCTCCGCTAGGCGTTGTTCCATCTCTTGGTTCTCGGCAAATAGTTCATCAATGCGCGATTTCGTCTTTTCTGTCTTGTTGAAGTGTTCGTCGATGATTGGGGTTTGCGACTCTCGGAAGCGCACGAAGTTGATGAGGTAGGAGAAGATCTTAACTAGTCGGTCGTGGGTCGGTTTCGTCAGGTCTGTGAAGGTAAAGTCATTCACGCCGCACTGTATTCCAGACATAGAAGATCAGTCTCGATGTTTTCATTTCAGTCTGTTATTATGGTGGCAGTGTACCTCCGTCAATAATCTCCGCAGGCTTATGAAAAAACCCATGAGGTTCCGTGTGTCATTGGGGACGATGTCGGGGTAGTCGCCACAGGCATCTTCAGCAGCTGCATGCATAGCTGGCTCGACAGTCTCCCGCGTAGTGTTCATGAGAAGCTCAGCAAACCATTCAAAGACCATTTGGATCTGCTGGGCATTCGGTTTCGCCAGGTCGGCCGCGGTGAACGGGATACCGATGTCGTTGATACATCCTGCAATTTCTCTATCGGGCTGTGGCAATGTAAGCAGTTGTCTCCACGGTATAAAGACTGAGCTCGTCTGCATCGCCGAGGGCAGGACTGACCAGGCGCATCAATGCGTCATTATCGTCTTCCTTCTTGCGACCTCGATTGTGTTGCTGCTGGGAGCCAGCCATACTCATGCGATGGTTATACGCCATCGCGTCGCGCAGGCAGAATGGTCGCAATCAGATTTGGGACCAGTAGATCGAGCAGTCGGCAGCGTGGGGAGTCGAAGAGGCGAGTGGTGTTGTGGTTTGCGACGATTGTTTACTTTGGAGAGGAGCCCGCACGACACCCGCATCGGGTTAGCGCAACGCTGGAGGGGCAGAATGCAAACACGGCAAACGCCATCAAAGAAATCGTGACTCTTTCAGTTCCTCGAACTCGTCGACCAGAGCTCTTGACCAGGTAATCATGGCTACAGAGACGAGAAGCTCGGCTGCGGCCGGCGCGAAGCCTTTTGAGTAAGTATTATGCCCATAGTATCCCCCGAGTGCCATGCTCATCCTCTCCGCAGCATCGTCGCATCATACAATGAGCTCCTGCGCTCCGATCCCGATCTCACAATGCCCATCGCGGCCATTGAAGCCCTCGTACTGCTTCTTACGAAGGAGCCTTCCTCAACTATCTCAGAAACCCTTGACCTCCTCGAAAAGTCTACTACAATCTTGAAAAAAGCCAACCCCAACCCCATTGGTCTCTCCGCCGGAACCGATCTCTTTCAACGATATTTGATCACCACATTACAACGACCTGGTCAACTAGGCCCCGCTGGTGACTTCAAGGCTATTCGAACACATCTTTTGACAAACGGCCGACTATTCATCCGTCGCGCAAAGGAGAGCCGAGAGAAGATTGCGGCTTTTGGCCGAGGGTTCATCCGCGACGGCTGCACGGTGCTTACCAATGGTGGATCCAGAGCTGTCGCGTCTCTGTTGCAGAAGGCTACAGCCGATGAGGGTCTCCCGTCCGCGGTGCGCTTCCGGGTGATCTACGTCTTGTCTTCATTCAAGAATGCCGACGATCCTTCTGGGGAGCCGGAGGGTATGGAGACGGTGCGGGCCTTGAGAGCCAAGGGTGTCCCCGTTTCAACGATTCCGGAGTCAGCAGTCGCGTATGCTCTTGGAAAAACAGATATGGTTATTGTCGGGGCTGAAGGCGTCGTTGAGAACGGTGGTATCGTGTCCCGCATGGGTACTTACCAGATTGGCCTTCTGGCCAAGGCCATTGGGAAACCCTTCTACGTGGTGGCGGAGAGTCACAAGTTCGTTCGATTGTATCCTTTGGGCCAGTACGATCTGCCAATCAACCAGCACGTTATCGACTTCAAATACGATGATGATATTACCGAGCAGAAAGAGGAGCCGACCACACCCACGAATGGAGACCGACAAATCGAGTTGCCGCTGTGCGACTCGGTGGACTTCACACCGCCGCACCTTATCTCAGCACTCATTACAGATAGTGGTGTCTTGACACCCAGTGCTGTCAGCGAGGAGTTGATCAAGATCTGGTTCTAAAGAGCCTCTACCAAGCTTATGCGCTCGAAATCTGGCCGAAGGCTTTTACGAGTTGATGACATGATGGGGAACGACCTTTTTGGAACTCGTTCCTCGCTTCATAGCCTTGTTTTCACGGGAATGGCCTAGGGCTAATCCAGGCGAACTCCTCGAGATATCTGCCCTGGGCAAAGAAAACCATAGGACGTACTGAGAACATGTGCTCAAACGCCTGTGGAAATCCATAACTTTACTTTCCACCATGATATTGTCAAGCGGTGATGATACGGTCCATTTTTGATACATCACAGTATTACAGTAAAAAAACATAAAGTTTGACCAATTTGCTCTAAAATAGAACAAGATCCTTTAAACGGGGTAACGCCTTTGTCGAATCATAAAGTTCGTCATAGTCATCATTCATCATTCATCAAACAAATCCGCTATCCTAGGATTGATAGTTTGTAGATATCTTTTAATATGGCGAATCAGGTTGTCGGAGACAGTGGTGCCGGGTTAGAAGTTCTCGAGTCATAATTCGTAGTCAAGGATTGTGGACAGCCCCACAAACTGTTCGATTCCGCAGAGTTTTCAAACCCATGAAGCATCGTGCAAAAGGTGAATGGCGGTCAATGGGTTTGTGGAGAACAATATTGTCACTATAGCTGCCGGTCTCGCATTTGATCCGAGACACGGCGTCGCAACAGTCTCAGTCCTTTAACCGATTCGAAATGAGATCGAGCCACTGCGTCTGCATCGAGGCAAAGGCATACAGCAGTAAATATCCGAGAGCCACAAATATCCATAGCGGAGCCATGTTGACACTCGCGAGACGTGGAAAAGTCGGTGAGAATGGAAAATGGCGATTGGGCAGACCACGAGAGGATAAAAAAAAAAACCAGAGGAAATCCTAGATCTCCTTGCCAGGAGTTGCTGATCTTCGATAATTATAAGGTCTGCGTAGAAACGTTGTGGGAAGAAGGAAGAGAACGTTATCTTGGGCTAGGAACCTGCATTCGGGGATTTTGAACCCAACCAGACTGATGATTCAGGACACAACCCTATCATCTCCGAGATATTCTATCCAATACGAGTTGATCGTGTTTCAGGCTTCCGGCCATTGAGAGGCCATTCCGAGCAATGTGACGGCAATGATGCGGGGTTCTGGAAGAGCGGTTTTTCGATTTGTAGTGATCGTCACCGGACGGGAAAAATATTCTAGGCCGTTCTTTGGATGGAATTCGTGATTCGCCTTTCCTTGCGGGCTGATATCAGGTGGTGTTGATCACTTGTCTTTTGTCCTTTGCCGCTGCCAATTGACCGAATGAAGGGCAGAAGTAAGCCTTCGGCGATCAGGCTCTGGACTGTCAGTTGTGTCAGACAAGGATACCCGATGTGGGGGAATAAAGGGTCTTACGCCTAGCGCTTATCTTCGGTCGTGTCTGAAAGGCTTAATTGTGAGCTTGGTTGAATTCTGGATGCATAGCGACGGGTTCCTATGCAACACTGAACCAGGACTAGATCAGATCAACGATAGCTGAGCACTTTAGAGATGACCTTGGACAAGAAAACGTCCGGGTAAATATCACAAGACATGAGACTGTCTTCCACGTGAGGTCTTTCCTAACTAGACTGTAGCCCCTCTTATGAGGGCGCTCAAACCAGGCTCATTCCAAGATTGAGCAGATCACGAGTCCAGGCTACTCAGTCAATTCATTAGAGCAGCATCCCAATCTGGAAAATTTCAAGTCTAAGGAGGCACGGACCGACAGAGAATATGGTGTCTATGCTGACTGGATTCACATAGGAGAAAATGGCAATTTGCTGGTCCTTGAACTCCCACCTAGATTCATAAAGGAAAAGGAAAGAATCGTCTGTTAAAATACCTAGATGGAAATACTCGCTCGTATGGGAAAGCTAACAGCCCGGACCATGCCTTCTAGTCTGAACGTTTGAGTACCGGAAGCTTGACAACAAGAATGAAGCAGCACCTTCCGAACCTCCGTGGGAGACTCGTGGTTATTCAGCGGCTCACAGTATCTGGCCAGCCTTTGAAGCTTGTTTACATGGTCATAAGTATCAGGTTGACTCATACGCTTGCACGTTACATCCGCAATTCTTTTTCTCGAGACCAGTGTTCCGAATGCTAATGTTATGATCCAAAACAGAAAACTTTGCAATTTAGGATTACCATCGATGTAGTATGTATATATCCTATCACTAGCCTGTTCCACTTCTATACCATGAACCGGTCGAAGCGACGAAGCAATATCCATAGTACCCACCAACGGCCCGGCTAGTTTCAGGCTTTGGGACTTGAGCCTGTGATGAAAACATCTGAAAGTGAATTTTTTGTGGCTTGATTCATACCTCTGAATGTTCTCCATCGGTAGGTGGATATCCAGCGCTCGAAGGTTCGGAAGTTAAACCCAAGGTTTCGGCCATGTTATATACCACTTGGACTGTCCCATGGTTCCGCACCGAGAAGCTTGAGCGCCCAAAGCGCGTTCATCATGTCGCGTGATTACTCGGAGGCGACACTAACGAACGCCGCACTCCACGATCGAGCAAGCTAAGGAATCAAAGCAAGGAAGGACAAAAACTAGCACTTTCCCCATCCTTGGCTTAGTTCTAGTCTCTCACAGCAACTGTGTAACCACCACTGAGACAAGTGCTAGGGTATCTATCTGCCCAGAAAGATGATCACGGTTAAAGTAACTCATGGACTGGAAAGCCTGGAAAGAGTCTCAACAACCCAGAGCCTAGCACCTTGTAAAAGTGCCAGACAAAACCAGGATCATACCCCTACGCAAAGTATACATAGAAAACTCCCATCAGATAAACAGTAGACCCGAGGATGTCAAACGCCCCACCAGCTCAACCCCGCTCCCCGGTTCCTGATCCAACATTCCACCATCCACCCTCATTATACCTTTCAATATACCGTGTCAAAAGTCAACACTATTTTCTGACAGTCTTTAAACCTTGAGCCCAAACCCCACCTATAATCCATCCACCCGAAACCGACTACCTAGCGCAGCCCAGCGCAGCCCAGCGCAGCCTCCTGACAAACACAACACAACCCACACCGACTCGTGATGGATGCCCAACAATTAAGATCTCAATCCCACCTGCCTTCCGAGTCCCACAATCTCCACCCAAACGAAGAACCCAGTCCCGAGGTCCAAGTCTGCAGATCGTGGTCACTGAAAAGACTCCTCGGACGCGGAAAGCGGCGGTATTCTGTCTTGGAGCGAGAACCGAATCGGCTGCGGAAACGTGTCAGTGCTTGATATTACGTGAATTACTGGCCAAGAAAGTGGCGGACGACGTGTGCGAGCGTGGGCGGATCTACACCGTATCTCTTTGGCCTAGAGTAATTTGGTACCTAGGGTCTTGAGCTGGTGGGGTAGGTTGTTGAGGTGGTCTATTGGTCTTGCATGGAGGGCATAATCATCAGGGATTAAGGACTTGGGTTATGGGGATATGGGTTTGATTTGCATTGAGTTTGGCGTTTACATTAACACTAGAAGGTAGAGGATTGGGGGATATACGAGGGACTGGGGCGGGATTTGGATTTGGATTTGGATTTGGATGTGTTCTTTCGATTCGATCTTTGCTTGGAAAATACAGGAATGAAGTAAATGTTCGGTTGCTTATTGCCGAGTCCGGTTTCGACCGTCTGCATGGGAAATCCCTCCCTAGCCTTAGCCCAATAGCCCAACCAGAGCGCCACGATCGCGGTCCCATTTAGAATTACTAAACGCGATAAGCAAAAGGCATGCATCGGAGGCTCAATCAGAAGCTGCGGCGTGTTTGCTTTCTAGATTAAGGCGGGCTAAGCGTGGATTGTGGTCTCAGGGAAGGGTTATTGGGTATGAGGTCGGCCCCGCCTCCGCGCTATTGACACCAAAAGGGTCATGTCAAGACTTGGCCGGGTAAATTGGTTGGAAGAGCGCTGCATGTCCTGATGCCCAATATTGTCTCTCATAGACTCGAAAACTGGCTTCTACGTCCGGGTGGTTTTGGCGAGTTCGATCGATACCTGAATACCGGGTTGCCAATTGTCTCAGTTGGAAGCGGGGGACTCGGCTAGACTGACAAGGACTGAGATAAACTGAAACCGTCTAGGTCTTCTACGTCTCTGGCGCCGGGGTTCTAGAGTCCGACTGTACCGAGTGCAGGGCTAAGACAGTGGGCAAGTGTCCAATGTCCAATGTCTAGTCTCCGCTGACATCGGAAAGGACTTCCGGAGTGATGAATGGCCTGCTGATGCTGACATGTCATATTGGTGTTCTTTGGGGGACTTGGACTGGACCTGGCACTGGCAACTGGCAACTGGCAGTTGGAGATGGGATGTATCAAACGGAAAGCAAGACAGCAGCTGAACTGAGCCGATTTAACGTGATTTCGTGTTACCCTAAGACATTAGACAGGCAGATTGAGGACCATAATTAGCGTTGAATTGAGACCCCTGCGATGACCGAGCACGGTCCAATCCGGAGAGATGAGTGCGGCAGGGAATCTTTCTCGAAGAGAGCCACGCAATTTCCCCGGGACCACTAACACCAGATGGGTGCCGGACTTCCTGTCGCTGGGAATTAATCTGATTGACTGGAGTTTCTCAGTACCCGTATCCAGTAGCCAGCCAGTTCCCCTCCTAAAGCACCAACCCCCAGACCCAAAAACAAAGCTCCTCGCTGGAACGACCGTAGTTCCGACCGAATCAGCGAAAATATGGACGATCCCCCATCGTAAGTAGCCAAGTCCCTGCAGGATGCCAGTGTGCAGAACTGCAGAGATGGGTCAAATTAAGGAGGCGTGTTGTGACGGGCAAGCCCACGGTACAGGAGCGTGGGCCCAACCACGAGTTGCGTAAGATCGACTCCATTCCCGCGTGTCAACCCAGTGGTCAAAGGCATTTATTTTCTCAATGAGCCCGCTTCGGGTCCCACCGGGCGCCCAACGGCGGCCTTGGCTCGGGGGAGTGAAGGCACGCGCGCTGTCCACGAGATCGAATTTCCCGTGATATCCGAGGAGAGGGAGGATTTCGATAGGGCAATCCGGGGAAGATGGAAACGCATCAAATACTGTACATAGACTCGTGATGGTCACTAGTGCTTGGGTCGCGGGTTTGGCACAGATCGCTTGCACAGTGACGGTGTAGAAGTGGATGTAATGCACCCCCCACAATCCCAATGACGAAATGGGATTCGCCGATCCCCTGTGGATGTACTGTAGGACGTACTACGTGGGAGGTGGGATCGTATCTTCTACCCGTGGCCTGAGTGTCATGCATAGGGGCAGCAGGTACCAGGTACAGTGTTACCTGGGACCCGGTAGACTCTGAAAGGATGTTCAAGCATCTCAAGAATGTCGGGGGTTAGATTGACGGAAAAAGGAAAAACAAAATATTGTGCCTGGTCGTGATGGGGTCGGTGTTCTGGGCCCTTTTTGGGGCCCTTTTGGGGCTTTTCTGGCCTTGGGTCGATTTTCCGCTCCTTTCATTTGCATTGTTTTTTCTTTCGCTTTTTCGATTTTTCGATTTTGTTTTTCCCATTATTGATTTCCCATCTTCTAAACCTGCCACCCTCCATCTTCATGGGCTTTCCCTCTTTCCCTGGTCTTTGGGCTCTGCCACTTTGATCCACGTTCGCTGTTTATTTACCCCCCAAAACCTAAAAAAGACTTAACCCACATATGACGCCGGTGGCCAACCTCGTTGCCCGACCCGCCTCACTTCACTCCATGAGTTTCACCTTCTCTGACTGAATCCGCCCCGGTGCCCTCTTGCCGTTATGGCGCTGTGGCCTTTTGGCCGAAAGAGTAAGCGGCATACCATCCAAGTCAGTCCCGACGAGGCCGCCGCCCTCCAAACCTCCCTTGAGCAGGCCACCCCCGAGACCTTGGGCCGCAAGCTTTCTCGCCGTGCTTCCAAACGACAAAATACGCGGACGCGTACCGGTGATGGCTCGGATAGTCTAAACGACTCGGCGCGCACTCGACCCATCTCGCTTCACCACCGAATGTCAGAACAACACGACCGCCCCAGCCCAGACCTCGTCCCACAGCGACGCCTGTCCTACACCGGATCCATGCTAAAGAAACAACCTCCCAATGGGCCTAAAAAGCTCCAAAAAAGCAAACGCCGCACGGACGAGATCCTGCGCGAGCGACATATTCGCATGCTATCATCGACTCCAATCGATATCCCGCGCCGAACCCTCGCACCCGACGGCGACTATGTGCTAGAACATCGCAAGAGAAAGGCAAACGGTCGCCGCGCAGACCGCTATATGTCGGACATCAGTCTCTCGATTCGTGATTCTGCTGCCTCCTCCATATCCGACATCTCCGACCCCTTCACTTATAAGGTCAACGCCTTCGCCGCACTTACTCCCCGCCCCGTTGTTCGCTATGTCGAGGCGCCTCGACTCGCGACGGCCAGAAGCCAGGAACCTGCCAACAAAGAATCCGTTCGACGTGACAAGGATAGATTGCAGGCTTTGACAATGTCCGAAGAGAACCTTTACTATTCAAGACGTCGCGTGAACGAACTCGCCGATTCATTAGATGCCGGAGGCCTCCGCGAATTATTAGACCGAGATCGTCGACGACGAGAAAAGCAACAAATCGACGAGCAAGAGAAGCTGAGGCGCAAGTTGCAGGAACGAGCCGATGAACAAGCGGCGGAAGAGAGGCGACAGGCGATCGAAGCAACCACACCCGAAGCCATAGAACCGCAGGCCGAGCCCGAAGTCAAGAATCCGGTTGCTGTGCAGGATGATACGGAGCAGAGGGAGGAGCAAATTCAGATCAAAATCAATGAGCCCACTCCGCTATCTGCAGAGGAACCCGAGACCTGGCTACGAGAAGAGTCGAAGGGTAGTGATGCTGCCAGGCGCGAGTCTTTGGATAGCGCCAACGTCGTCGCAAATATCGACAACACCTCTGTCCGCGAGATACCCAAGCTTTCCACACGCCCCAGCTTTGCGCCTTCGCATGAGATGGGCATGTCACGAACCACCCTCTCCCCGTCCCATTCGTCTATCCGCCAAGGAATCAGCAGCCCCAGTCAATCCCAAACCTTTGGCATCGGCTCGGCTTCTGATCTCTCTGAACGTCGGTCATCAGATACTAGTGGCCGCCGCGGGAACACGATCACTTCGTTATTCCGACGCGGTTCCTCTCGCCTCAAGCGACGCTATCGCGAGCGGTTCCAGGAATCTGCTCCCGAAATCGCGCACTCTTTGCAGCCTTCAAACGAGTCCTTCTACAAAGTTCACACTCAATCATCACCTCCCGCCCCCTCAGCCTTCCCGCCGAGAACTTTCATGTCTCCCGGAACTGTAATGCGTTCACAGTCCAAATTCACAGAGCACTTTGACTTTGGCGACGAGCCTCTGTCACCACCGGACTCACGGCTGCAGTCTCCCGATATTCCCGAACAGGTCCCCGAATCCTCGCTAGAGAACGAGGAGAGCACCTTTCTTCATGGAACCACGCCCACTGCTGGTGTGGATATTATCAACCCACGTCGACGCCGCCACCAGTCTTGGAACGACAGTATTGACGCTGAGTCTGACAATGTGCCCCTCTCCCAGTCTCTGGCTTCGATTGACTCTGAGGGATCTTGGATGTCTGGTAGCTTCTTCCGTCGGATGTCTCAAAAGCCCGGCAGCCCCGGCAGCCCTGTTCGGGCGAACATGACTTCATTTGAAGCCGCCATGGACGGCACCGCCGATACACATGACGATTCGCGGGACTCTGTTGACTCCCGTAGAACGAGTAGCCATGTGATGGGCGAACCGGAGCTGGATGACGAACTTGGTGCTACCGAGGCAGGCAAGCCTTCCGAGATGTGGCACCGCAGTGAATTCGGTCGACGTCCCATGATCGTCAACCCAACTGTCCGTCCCAAGTCCACCCAAGGCATGCTGAAGAGCATCCCTTCCCTCTCTCCAATCTCGGCGGAGGAGGATTACATTTCTGACGAAGAGACCAATCTTCCTCCCGCTCCTCAGCGAGTGGCCAGTCAACACGGTATAATTAGCCATGTTGAGCTGGAGCAGGATTAAACCCCAAAGACCAACCTCGGGCCATTGGCCTGTCTGGTCTCGTCCATAATCTGTCACTCTTTTAGACGTTTCTTTTGTTCTTTCCTTTGTTCGCGCCAGCCCTGGGGGCCTAGACGCTGCTATCTACACTGTACGATGTGATGTCAGGCCCATCAGCCCCATGGTGCTCCATGTCCCTTCCCCCAAAGAACCCTTGTTTCCCATATCCCTTCATCCCAGTTGACCTGCCGAGCTTGCATTTTTAAGCTGTTTCCCATTCGATTTGTTGATACCCCCCAACTCGCCCCATTTTCAACTTTCCCAAGCATCAATTCCAGCCTCTTGTTTCAATAGCCGGGCTTATTGGCCCTTTCCCATATCTGTTTATTTCGATGCACATAGCCCAGTGGATTTTTCCGCTGGCTATCTTCATTTCTGTACCGTCCCCTGATGGGTTGTTGGTTTGTTTTTAATATACACTTTTCTTTGTGATTGCTGGACGATCCTACGTCTGTACTTCTCTAGTTCTTCAGGTGATTTCTTATATGCACCATGTCAGATATTACTCCATAGACTTTTCTTCCATGTTCTATATCTTTTATCAAGACCATGTCAGATGCGTTCGGATGTTAGTGCCTAACCCGATCACCGGTGTTTGTTCTGACCAAACACCTTGAGGCAGTGAGTCGGCCTTTGAAATCTATTAGAAAATCCCGAAATATACTTTGAAATCAGGACAATTGCATCATATGTGACTCTAACCTGCATATAACCATTTGACTCAACACCTTCAAACATTCCATTTCAGAACCATATCTTTATAGTCCAGAAGCGTCCAATTCGTAAGCAGCCGAGCACGTCATCTCCACCCATTAATACTGCCATTGCCCACCGCCCCATCTCCTTTTCCCTCGGGACGTCAAACCACGCGCAATTGGATAATTCGCGCCTAGCAAAGACCATTCTCTCCGTGACAAATCTTACCATGCAAGCTGTAAGTCGCCCCATTCCATAACAACACCTAATCCCTCAGGCCGAAGGCGTGGAAAGGGGACCAGCCCATTATTCAGCGGCCCTTACCTAAGCCCCCGGTGGCCGGAACGTCATCGCCCTATAAAAAACCACCCGCCCCTCAGTGCCTGCCCCTCCTTCAAAACTAAAAAGCTCCCAGTTCAAATCTCCCGCTTTCCGTCTCGCACGCAACTCCTTGACAAGAGCTACTCCACTTCTCGTTCGCACTCCTCTCTCTTCGCGGATTCCGTTCATCGCTCCTCGCGCTTTCTCATCTACTCCCCTCTCAAGCTTTTCAAGCTCGACTTTCAAAATGGCTGGTGGCAACGTTATCGAGATCACTTCGTACGCTTCCCCCGCCCCCAATTCTTCAACGCCGGTCACACATGCTAACATAATTACTCTTGCAGCAAGGAGGAGTGGGAAGCCAAGGTTATCAACTCCAGCGAGCCCGTTCTCGTCGACTTTTTCGCCGAGTGGTGCGGTCCTTGCAAGGCCATCTCCCCGAAAATCGAGAGTCTCTCAGAGGAGCACACCGGCATCAAGTTCTTCAAGGTTGACGTTGACAAGCTCGGCTCTGTCGCTGCCGACAACGGCATCTCCGCCATGCCCACCTTCCTCTTCTTCAAGGACGGCAAGCAGGTCGAGATGGTCCGTGGCGCTAACCCTCCCGCTATCATGGCTGGTGTCCAGAAGCTACTTCAATGAGCATTCAGCGGTTTTGTGAATTAGTCTCTCTGTTTTTTTTTGAGATCAGACCCATAATATGATCCTGGGCAATGGCCCTGTCTTTGACTTCAAATTTGCACTCTTCAATTGGAATCCGTTTCTGGTAGTACTTGCGGAGGGATGTAGTGAAATGGTCGTGATTACATAGTGCTCTTGCATATACATGGTAAGCTACCTAGACATTGATCATGTGCATCGATGGGTCCTCCTGCAGCTTTATGCACATCATCTCGCAGCTTCGGAGGGTAGTTCTTCTCATCAGGGCTCGTCAGAGCGAGCACAGGCTGTGCATTGTGAGAGGAATCGTTCAACTCCGAATCACCTTCCGTGCGATTTCAAATCCTTGATCGACGAACCATCTGGTCATACGACTCGGACCATTCGGTTCAATACATAAGCTCAATACGTAAGCTCTACATATCTCTTTTACTTCTATACCCACGCATGGAAATGAACGCCAGGATATATTTTCAGTCTCGGCATGCCGAAAATGAAGTTTAAACTTAACTTAGATTAGTTGGGATGGAGATTGTTCCGTCCCAATCGGCAGAGTCCTCACCTTCATATCTGAGACAGCCATCGCAGTTTAGCCTCGTCTTATCTTTGCACATGATCCAGGGTAGTTGTAATGGCAGAGCGTGTATAGCTATAAGGATGATGAAGAGAAATGTGATATAATATACGTTCTAATTGCTTGAGCTGCATAATATCGATTCTTTTTATTGATGAATTGACTGACTATTGGATATCAAAATTAGTATGGCCTCTCTAAGCTATCAAAGCTAGATTTCCTAATAGATAGGTAGGCTCACGACTGATCTTTGAATGTGAATTTCTTACATATACCGCTGTTGAATGCCATGTCTCCGAGATCTCTAATGGCTCGGGGAGATAGCTATGCATCATTTGCTAGGCCTATCAATATCCTCGCGAACCCCCACACTATGCCTTGCATACTTTCAGCGGAAATTTAATTCATGGAATAATATGGAGGAAGATAAGGTTTGATCCTGGGGCTAGACTGAAGATAAGAACCAGCTATCAAAAATTCAATATCAACAAACACCATCTCTTGGCTTAGAAACCGATGCCTCTAGATAAGGAGATGGATGAAGGAACACAACGATTGTAACTCATCTTTTCGATTCAAATTTACTTTTCAAATAGAGCATTTTATATAAATGCTATTACCCGACCGATCATGAAGCTGATGGGTCCACAGTTCTAATACAAAATATGCATAATGACACTGTAAATGACGGTACGAACAAGCCAAGCTACGGCGGTGCCGAATTCCGTAACGCCACTCGGCTCCTCAAATGCGTTAGGATAAACGCAATTCCGCGGAACAACTATTACTAGGCGTAACACATTCCGAGCCTTGCAGAGAATTCATAACATAAATTGCATTCGATCATCATGGTAGTCTTGTAGTCAACCACCCCTAATCACTCTCCGTGAGCGAAATGCTAGGAGGAATTGGCGACGGTCTTCAAACTCACTCTGTCAAGATTCCGTCTTGGCGCATTCTAGTTGATCATGGCGCCATTACTCAAGAAGTCCTCGACCACGTGTATCCAGGATCGGGAACCGAAGAAGACCCGTTTGCTGTGACTTGGATTCCCAACGACTGCCGCGATCCGCAGTTATTCAGCTTTCCCAGGAAATTATGTATCACACTTGTTGCCGCATCCTCCACTCTGATCGTCTCCCTGGGATCCTCTGCGTACAGCGGAACTGTCGATGAAATTATTACCGAGTTCAACGTCTCCATTCAGGTCGCAACACTCGGTTTATCGCTGTATGTTCTGGGCTTTGCGATCGGTCCGTTATTTTGGGCTCCTATGAGCGAAGTATGCGGTCGCCAGATTTCGTTCCTGATCAGCTTAAGTGGCATGGCCGTGTTTCTGGCTGGCTGTGCTGCCGCTCCAAACATCTGGTCGCTATGTATCCTTCGTTTCTTTGCTGGCGCTTTCGGCTCAGCACCATTCAGTAATGCTGGCGGGACCATTTCAGACATGTTTTCAGCCAGGCAGCGAGGTCTTGCTCTAAGCTTGTATGCCGCCGCCCCATTCCTTGGTCCATCCATAGGTCCTATCATTGGTGGCTTTCTTGGCATGAAGGCAGGTTGGAGATGGGTAGAGGGCTTCCTTGCTGCTACTTCGGGGTTTGTTTGGGTCTTGACGACACTTTTGATCCCGGAAACTTACGCGCCTGTTCTTCTGATTCGACGCGCGGAACGTCTCTCGGAGATAACGGGCAAAGTGTATCGAAGCAAAATCGCTTTACAGAAAGAACGACTCTCTCTTGGTGGACTGCTCAGAAGATCTCTATCCAGGCCACTAGTGTTGTTATTCAAGGAGCCTATTGTTATGCTCTCTGCGGTGTATGTCGCCATCGTCTACGGGACTCTATATATGCTCTTTGCTGCATTCCCTATTGTGTTTGAGGATATCCGCGGATGGAACCCTGGTGTGGGAGGCTTAGCATTCCTTGGGGTGATGGTTGGCATGATTATTGGTATTATTTGCACTATTCCTGCCAACTTCCACTATATAAAAATCCAGGACCTCCATGAAGGATATGCGCCTTCAGAGACTCGACTCATCCAGTGCATGCCTGGCGCATTGGCAATTCCAATTAGCCAATTCTGGTTCGCATGGACGAATTATCCTTCTATCCATTGGTCAGTCTGCATAATTGGCACAGCTCCGTTCGGATTTGGTGTGATTTTGATCTACCTAGGGATCATGAACTATCTCATCGACTCCTACACCATCTATGCCGCGTCTGTGCTGGCGGCTAATACCGTTTTACGGTCGATATTTGGTGCCATATTTCCTATCATTGCTACATGGATGTATGACGGAATCGGTATTCATTGGGCTCCGTCGATTCCAGCCTTTTTGTCGGTGCTCTGCATGCCATTCCCATTTCTCTTCTACAAATATGGAGCTTCTATCCGCCAGCGGTGCAAATATGCTGCCGAGTCGGATCAATATATGCAGAATTTGAGGGAGCATACAATTCAGGAAAGAAAAGGGCTACCCAGTGGCCAGCTGTCCAATACCGTTGCAGAGGAGGGGGCTGAGATTAACAGAATAGCTACAATGTAGCGAACCGGGCTGGCACCGCTTTTATCACTACAGCGTCTATTTTCAGGCCCCCTTTTTAGGGATTTGGATGGGGAGCCTGCCTGAATAGAAAGATAGAGACAAATAGACATCGTATAGGAATCTAAAAACATAAAGACAAACCGCCCACACTTCCAAGGCTACCTCAGCCATTTGTAGGTAAGAATAAATCCATATTGCCGAAGAACCAGCGACGCTCTAGATTGTTCAAGAGCTCAAGGTTTATGTGCATTCTATACATATGTTTGTATTCATGACATCATACCGCAAAGCGATGGAATGTTCCGCATTGCCAAACAGTAGCCTCAGGCTCGGCTGATCGAAATATCAAGCTCTGGGATGCGAGGAGAAAAGGACTGCAAATGCTCGAGGGCTACACGGACGCAGTCACATCTATAGCCTTTTCTCCCGATGGCCAAACAGTAGCTTAAGTTTCTACAACACATGAGTGGATCGCACTTGAGAACGAAAACCCAGTATGGCTCCCCTCTTGAATATCGTGAGTACTGTTGCTCAACTTTGAATGATGGGAGAGCTTTCTTTATTGGTTTCCGCGCAGAATAGATCTTCGTTGGGTCACTGCGAGAGTCCCAAGATGGTAAGATGCGCGACTTTGATGCTATTATCGCTGCAACAGGCTTCGGCATGTCCTTCATTTCTCAAGTAAAGAAAACCCAGGGCCTGCGAGTGCCAGATGTTATCATGGCTGGACAGGACAATTTGAAAAGATTCTTGCCAGAGCTCGTTCGAAAATGGCGAGGCGAATTATTCACTGCATTCTTCCCATTTTGGCTCTCGGCTGCACTGCTCTGTTCTGCTCCGTCGGCATTTCTATGAGGAAATTGAGTGGCAGGGTCAATACCCTGAACCTAAAGTGAACTCTGCGTGGCTCAGCAATGGGTTCCTGTCGCATGAGTTGTCTCCGGATGAAGAAGCTGATCCTGCGTATGTTGCCTCACTCTTTCTGTGTTATAACCAAGCCAATGAGATGAACACAGATGGTACCTCGGCCAAGATCCTGCTACTCTTCATAAAATTTGTCAATGAAAATTAGATTTGAGTTGTACTTTGCTAATAGTAGAGGTAGGATATTTGTATGCGCCATAGTGAGAAATCGGGCAAAGCAGAAACATTGATAGATCAAAATAAAATTACTGCAAAAGGGCCCACTATTTCAAGTAGAATCTATGCGTGATAAAAGGCACACCAACCCTATAAGGACGAGCTGACACGGCATAAGCACAGCATATAAGCACACTGTAAGAAGCGGAGCTAAGCTAAGCTACAGGGTTGAGAGGCCTGCTAGGGGGGTTTTTTTTTATCTTCCCGCTAAATCTGACAAGATTCGTACCCACTTAGGTCACGCATGATCGATGCAAAGAAAATTGGGCTAATTTCGACAGAAGGATGAGGCGGCTTGGTTAGTTGTGTGGGGCCGTGTCTACTCAACTATGTCAGCTACGCTGGAGCACGCTGCGCTAAGTCCTGGAAGGGTCGTTGTATTTTCCTTGCCGCCTTTGTAACATAAGGCATCTGAGCAAGCCAAAACTGCACATTTTGTTATTACCGAAAAGGAGCATGGTCGTCCTCTGGCTCGCAACGGGGATGTACGAATCGGATTATTTGGAAAATGGTTTGTTATGGGGCGAAATCAAGAGTAGTCAGGGCGGTGCACTATAGCGGATCATCCAATGGGTCCGACATCCGGCATCTGGCACCCAAGGACCTGGTGAAACATGCCGTGCTAAGCGATGTGCCGGGAGAAGAGCGAAGAGTTCTTCCCGTGTGCTCAATTGAAATTGAAACTGAAAATTAATGTTGAGGTCAATGAGAGAATAGGGGTTTCCTATTGTCACCTTGGGGTTAGCAAGGGTAAACCAATCGATAAGCCGTGGACCTGGAATACAGGGAACGAGCTTAGTCCCGAGTTTGTAAGTGTGCAACATGCAAGTAATTGCTTCGACTCACGGTGACCAGTCAGCTGTGGCGGCTCCTGTACCAAGCCATAAGATTACCTGGGACCGATCGATTTTTCAAAAGGTAATTCTAGGCACCCTGGAACTCGAATACGAAGGCACGGATAAGCGTGAATCGTCTGAATCAGATTCTAAGTAGCAATTTTGATGTTCTGAGAACAATAATGCAGGCAAATTTATGGTAGTCCTAGAGGTGAAACGACGGCACAGAGTTCCCAGGCGTCGGGCGCATGACTTGTACCCTGGTAAGCTACGCCATACTTCGCGGACCACTTGCCTCGAGCAGTATTTCACTTGCAGGGGTTGCAGACTATCCAGATAGTACCTGGCGATCGATTCGCCCGATTCAGACATGGCCCTGTCCTCGATAACCGAAGGCCTGTTGGCCGCGTGATAAGCTGTTAATTTATCGTCGGCGACAGTCTAGATCCTTTGGGATGGTCCGGATCGTTCCAAGGTTTGCTTGACAGCCACGGGATGGAGAAGCCGGAGAATTCTACCATTGACCGTGGACCCAACCCACATGCAGGAGTCACTGCCATGCGATTCCTTCGGGGGTTCTGGATGCCTTCCAGGGTTGGACTCGTCACTCCCCCATGTTCACATGTCTTATGTATCAAGCTTGGCGACAAGAAAACCTTCAGGCAGGTGACTGCATCCTCGATGGGGTCATTTTAAACGGCGGCAAACATCGTCCGGACAGCCGATGGCGACTCGCGAGTGGATCTGGCAGGTGCCAGACTCACCAAAGTGAATCGGATCAGATTGACTGTCCCGGTGAGATGGATCAGATTTAGTCCCTCATTCTTCTTCAGAGACGAACACTCGAGCTATCAGTCGCCTCAGCCATGGACGAGCCAAAACACGCCCACTGTGAACCATTGCGCAGGGTGGCGCTAGCGCGATAGATCGGGACCACCGAACTGTGCCCCTCCAAGCCTCAGGTACCGAATCACACCCTATGAGCTCGTTACGGGATAGTGCAATCAACTTCATATATTGCCTATTGTCCGGACCAGAACCGAGGCTCGCGTGCGGCTCTAGGAGTCTCGGGGAATTCATTTCGAATTCAGCTCTAGCGAATCTCCGCCACGTCCCCATCTCCCATGTCTCTTATGTCTCTCATGCAATGATGGACGCCCACCAACGCTAAGAGAGCTTATCGGCATTGTGACTGATCGTCCAGGACAGTGTGCAGATCCGGATGCGAACTCTTTTGATTGCCTTCAGGCAAGCAGGCGAGAGCTCCAATTTCTCGCAGTCGCGTGGGGCTTTTAATCTATCAGACTTCATCGGTAAGTGACGCAAAGGCGCAGCTGAAGCCCGAATTGGCGGTGCAGGGCCCCAATCAACGCCTCGGAGGGGCCGAACGCACTGTCCGCCACACACTTAGACTCCTGCAAACCTGCACACCGAGGTCACCCCTCGTATACCATATGCCTTTTCAAACTTCAGAAGTTACCGAAAACCTATCGCATTGCATGAGCACCCCGTGGCGAGAATCTACACCCGCCTGCGTCTCCATTTGAATCACTTTTCATTCTCAGCTCTTAGAGGCTAAGCCAGAACATGGCGACAGTTCCGAGGGGCCAACGCTAGGCCGCTTGTGATACGCTCCGATCGAGAGCCGGGCCCCATCGTTCTTTACCTACTTGCGATCCGATCTAGATCTAGCCTGGCCTATTACCTGCTTGATGCGCGGGAAAAAAAACCATCTCGCTTCAAAAGTTCCGTCTGACAGGGATTCGCCCAGGGACCCATGCCCGTTTTTTCGATAGTCCACATTTGATTAATCCGAAACTGGTTTCTTTTATCCTGTGCTTTCAGTGCGGAAGCATTAGCCCGAATCCACTTTTCCAGTTGTAATGTAATGCCACGCGATGGGACAGTCCAGAGAACGGACCAAGCGCGCCTGAGAGTGGGCCTCCTCTTTTTTAGGAGCACATCTGGATCTCTATCGCTAGCATACCGGACGTGTGATTCGTCCGACGCCATGCATGCCTTAGTTAACTGTGCTGGTCGGGAATATGCGAGTTCGGACTGTGCGCGCTGATCTGGGGTTATAAGATATCACTGCCGTCGCTCCGAGAGATGATCTTTCCCTGATCGACACCCTCTTTCTAGTCGCTCGACCATAACTGGGATTATTCTCACTACATTCATGCTGATCTGATCATATCTACTGCAGTCGATCTTTCGGCTTCATCAGCCCTACCCAACATTTACGTCGTTAGCCGATGCGAGGATCGCTGTGCGTCACCATATGGCATCCAGCAACATGACGAGTGCAGGCACTCAGGATGAGAATCCCGTCCATGTCTCATACCTGGCCGGGTACATCTTCCTCTCATATGTGATCAGCTCTATGGGATGCGCAACTACTCTCGAGCTTCTGCATCGCAGAACATCCAGATCCGGATTCTACAATTGGTACACTTCCCCGTCTTTCCCTCGCCGAGTAGCTACTAACATGAACTAATCAAAAGGTATCTACTCCTCACCTCCTCCATCACCATGGGCGGCATCGGAATTTGGTGCATGCATTTCATCGGCAACCGTGCGATCGTTCTCGCCGACGGAGCACCGGACATGCAGATTTTCTATAATGTTGCTTTCACCGGAACCTCATTTGTACTCCCCGTCGTCGTCCTTCTTGCCGCCTTTTACTCCGTCGGTGTCGAAGAGAAAGCGAGTTATATTCGTATCCTGCTCGGAGGTTTCCTCACGGGAAGCTCGGTATGCGGTATGCACTATGTTGGCCAACTCGGCATTTCAAACTATAGATGCGCCTACCATGTCGCCAACGTTGTCGGATCCGCAGCTATCGCTATTTTCTCGAGTATCGCAGCGTTGGGAATCTTCTTCCGTTGGAGAGCATCGTGGACTGATAGTTGGTGGAGACGTAGTATCTGTGCCTGTTTGCTTGCTGCGGCCGTCTCGGGCATGCACTGGACTGCGGCGGTTGGCACGATCTACAGAGAACGCGACGAGTCCGCCAAGCATGGATCGCAGTTGTCGCGAAGCCAGACTGTCATTGTTTGCGCTGTGCTGGTGAGTTGACCTGTGTTTCATTGGGATGTCTTGTTAGCTAACCACATTTCAAGGCTTGTGTCTCGTGTGTAATTCTATCCGCTTGCGCCATCGTGGCCGGTGGAAACCGACGACGATCCACTACTCGCGCGCACCAGCTTGTGCTCGCTTGTGCCTACTTTGATCCTGCTGGTCGGGTGATGGTCACCCCGCAGGCGCTTCTGCCACTTCGGAAGGTCGTCGATCACTACATTGGACGAGTGCGTTATTCCAAATATGCTCCTTGATGTATCAAGCTAACTATCAATACAGACCTTTAAAGATGACGATCTGACCCGCACTCACCCAACCTTCCTCTGGGCCTTCAGAGCAAGCCGAAATTGGCCCGTTGTGAAAGATCTAATTCCTTTCATGCGAAACCGTCTGGAATCCGAACAGCGCGCCATTCGAAAGCACGTCGTTACTCGCGGTGTGGTCATGGACAAGGATACCGAGTTGCAGACCGATTTCGATACACTGTTCAAGCAGCTCTTCTGTGTAACAGCTCAAGAAATTTCTGATGAACTTCGCCAGCCCCTGCAAGATCTGGGAACCTTATACGACGATGTTCTCTCAACCGCCATTCCGGTCTCACGACTATCTCGAGCTATGGGCCGTTCATCGCTGCGTACAGGCAAGGGCCAGCTTATGTTTAGTGTTAAACAACTTCACAAGCATGAAGCAACTCGCTTTGCCTCGATGGGATTCCGTTTTGCGACTATCGAGCATATCACCTCGACCCTCTCCCGCCGTATTCATGTCCCCGAATCGACTCTCATCGAGCGCCTGCGGGATATGCGCGACTATGCATCCTCCAACCGTACCTTTGGAGAGGGTGTCCATCTTATCACTTTCGTCATGCGTCCCACCGTCGCCGACCACTTTGAGATTCTCACTACCAAGGGCACCGGTAACCCGTTGCCATCTGCCACTTTGCCCTTGAAACGGCTGCAGGTGCAACATCTTGATCTCATTTCTCACATGGAGGGCTGGTCAATGAACTTCTGCCTGAAGTATCTTGCATCCCCAGCTGCCAAACAATCCGATTCCGCAACTGATGAGTTCCGCCGACACCTCATGGAAGGAATCGCCTCTCTCTCCAAAACACTCCCTGAAGATATGCGTGCAGCCGCGCGCTTTTCTGCCCGACCTCTTGTAACGCCCTGCCGCACCGCCGGTCAATTCTCAGAAGAAGATTTAAAACCGCAACAATGCACCCTCCTCACATTCTGTGTCGTCGGCACTCTCGACACGCAGGTCCCCAACCCCGACTTCACATTCACTCCCTTCCGTCTCTTCCGCGTTCAACAGCAAGTAAACGACAGTGTTGCCGACCGAGATGGATTCACCCGCGAGTTGAGCGAGGAACTCTTCATCACCGACGTTCGCTCTGGCTCAACAGCTTCAGAAGCAGATCTTCTCGCTACGACGAAGAACGCATTCCTTCGCATATGGCCTTCTAGGAAGCCATCAAATTCTGGAACAATGAACTCCCAAGAGTCGCTATTTGACACCCCAACTGCCCTTGGCGATATCACAGTGCAGAAGGAGGTTCGTGTTGACGTGAGCCGACTCAATGAGAACGTGGCTCACAATCCCGTTGGCACGCACGATGCTATCATCGCGGCGGGTGACGCTGTCACCACACCAACTACATACGTTGATGAACTATACAGCCTATGCTATGAGCCAGGCATCCGTCTCCGTCCGGACTCGACATTGCAACACATGCAGCGCAAATCTGAATTATGATCTTTATATACGCACGACTGGGAGGATATCTGGACTGGAGTTTCATTGGAGAAGAAAATACCTGGACTTATGATCGATTGCAAACACGTCAATCTTGTATATGACAAACATTCCTATAAATGACGAATGGTATAAATGACGAATGGAAATAAAAAATTTAATCTTCAATTAATTCATACACTCCCCTTTTGACTAGAAGGTCCTTGACCAGGGACATTACACAACCAGAATATCGTGACACATATCAAGACAATAGAAAAATCGCTCACTCCTAATGCATAGCATACTCCAGAAACCACATGCAAGGAATTCCCTCACAGAGAACAGACAGAAAAGAGCTCACGCCGCATTAGGATCTTGCCGTTCCAAAAACGAAGGATCCATCTCAATGCGCCTCTCAAATTTCGTCCACCAGTCTCGGAAGCTCTTAAGTGGCACCACGTCATGGCCCTTCTTCGCAGGATCCGACTCAGCAAAACTAGCCAGGAAATTGAATGCGCTGCCGATAATGCGCTGCGCAAGGACTTTCGTCGACAACTGCTTCTGCTGCGCCTGTTCTGGAGACAACCTTACCATGGCGGTGGACTGAGACTCGGATCGAGATTCGCGCGGAGCCTCAGCTTCCAGCGCGGACAGCTGCGGAGCAATATTCTCAACCGCCTCGATTGAAATACCCAATGTTACGACGCCGTTGGGTGGGCCTGCTGGGCCGGTTGCGCCCTCATCAAGCATCTCGTCCTCTTCTTCGGCTTCTGAGCGGCGCGTGCCATTGGTGGAGGGGGCCTTGATGGTGAAGATGCCAGAGGGCTTTTCGTTGGCTAGCGCGCCGATGAAGCGGAAGTCTGTTGGGTTTCCGGTGTTTGGGTCCGGGGTCTGGACGTAGATGGCGGCGCCTGTGCCCGGGGGTAGGACTGTTCCGGGGAGGAAGAAGACTACTAGTTCGCTGAAGGGTGGGTTGAGCGGGATGTTGAATGCGAACTTGGTAGCTTGGCCGTTTGGTTGGCTGTCGACTGGGATGATATCCGTGAGGCACGGACGGCCTGGGATGACGACGGAGAACATGGTTGACACCTGAGGTGCGTATAGTAGAGGAGGCAATTGAGGTAGGAACTTTCTTTATTCGAGCTTCTAAGAGATTCCAGGACTCGGTGACATAAGAGGGGGAGCTGCCCTTATCGGGTCGATAAGGGCTTGGCATTGATCTTGAGTTGACTGCGCCGCGAACTTTGACTTATACAGATCTTAAAGGGCTCTTCACAATGGGTAAATCCAATCTGGAGCTCGTCATCGAATGCGATAAGTACTGAAGTTCCTGTATAATCTTGCAATTCATGGTCTGACGGCCGCAGCTTCCCTTACTACGAGGACAATCGCGCTGCCTACACAGAGAACCTCAACAATTACCACGCCTTTCGAGTATCTGGCTGCGATGCGACGCTAGGATATGTCCTGAACTCAGTTATCGAGAAGTTTCCATGGACCGAATACTGGGCCATTGACTCCGCCGCAAAGACATTGACCCTAGTGGCACCCGCAGATGCAGACCCCGCTCTCCGCAGCAAATTGATTGCAGAGAGCATCGCAGAGGCCGTCAAGCAGGGCACCTTCGAAGTTCTGAAAGGATGGCGTAATGAGAACTACCCCGTCTTTGGACCGGGTGGCGAATACCTCCTCGAGATGGAGCGCTGCGCATCATGTCTCTTTGGCGTCGTCACCTACGGCGCCCATATGACTGCCTACGTTGAGGACGAAACAGGACTGAAATTATGGATCCCCCGCCGTGCAAAGAACAAGCAAACATATCCCAGCATGCTAGACAATACCGTGGCCGGGGGCATGTGCACCGGCGAGAAACCATTCGAATGCATCGTCCGTGAAGCAATGGAAGAAGCCTCTCTCCCCGAAGCCGAAGTCCGCCATTTGATCCGTGCCAGAGGCTGCGTGACATACCACCACGTCCGTGATGTGCGCGCTGGCGGTGAAACTGGTCTCCTGCAGCCGGAGGTCGAGTACGTCTATGACTTGAAGCTTGATGCGTCGGTGATTCCCACGCCATGCGACAATGAGGTCGAAGAGTTCAAGCTGTTGTCTGTTGCTGAAGTCAAGGAGGCGCTTGCGAAGGGTGAGTTCAAGCCTAATTGTGCAGTCGTTATCATTGACTTCTTTATTCGGCATGGTCTTCTCATGGCGGAGACTGAGCCGGATTTCCTGGATATTCAGGCGCGTCTGCATCGTCGTTTGGAATTCCCGACTGCATCGCACGCCTAGAGGTAGATAATTGATTTCTGTACATACGACATGAGGTATAGGAGGTTAAACAATATGCATTAAGCTCCATTCATCCCATTACCAGTTCCATCTCGTGTCTCTACTTGTAGACGTAGGGTATATGCAGACTTTGCTGAACGACCGACACGGTCGGCATCAGGTGATTTTGGAACAAAGGCTTTTTATGTTCGGGACTTTTTACTGGGACTGTTCTTCAGTTGAATGAAGATCGATTTTTGATAGACGATCATCTATTGGTATTCCCAAATCAGAATGCAAAAAAACGCCAGCGCTGCACAACCCGACAAAGAAGATATGAACATCTGCCCAGATCAAGTACACCCCATAACTTTTTGCCCTTATGTAGTATATTTCGAGACAAATTCTGACCATTACCGGTCCAAGCCAGACACCAATTCAACGAAATGGATCTATTTCTTCAGAAGCAAGTAGACGTGGTCGATCCGCAGAGGAGCAAGCTTCTTGTAGGGACCCTCAAGGTAGAGAAGCAGACCTCCGAAAGAAACGAAGACGGCCCTGCAAGAACCATACATGTCAGTTAAAGGTTCACGAACGAGAATCTGCCCGAACAAAGGCTTTGCAAAAACTCACATAGTATCCTTAGTAGCACCCTCCTCGAATCGGTAAACCTTGCCATGGCAAACATAGTCGTAGTCATTCGCAAGAGTCTGATCGCCATTGGCGACCTCTCTCCAGCTGTTCCGGGTATCCTCCTTGCCGTCAAGAGACAGGGTCGAGGCCAAAGCCAAAGAAAGCGACTCGCCCACCGCGCACGGGTAGAGCTCCGAGTTCACATCGAGGGTGAATGTGACGGAGGCATCATTGGAGGTGCAGGTCAAGCGCGACACACGGTCGTACTTCTGGGCGTTGATCGTGGTGATCGTAAAAGTGTCTTCGAACAGGAGCGGGTCCGACATTATGAAATTGTGACTTGTGGTAATGCGGTTTATGAGTGGTCAAAGAGGTCGGGATCTTTGCGCTACAGAGTCTGCTGCTAAATTCCTGCGGGCCGAGGCGTGGAGGTGGTCGGCGGGCGAAAAAGTTGAGGAAGGTAGGATCTGAAGGTGGAGAGTCGGAGTTCTGAAGCTTTTCTTTTTTTCTGCCGGTTTTGGTTCCCCGCCGATAACGATTTGCACTCGACTGCGGCGCATCGACTCTAACACCTCTCCGTTTTTGATTTTATTTGGTTCATTGCATAGAATGTCTTTTCGCAAGCGAAACATCGGCTTGTCAGCAGGTGTCGACCGCACTGCTATTCCCAATGCCCCCGCACAGCCAGCTCCAGAGTCCATCCCAGGAATTCGCCCCTCCCCCGACGACGGACGCCCAACTACTTCTACGGGAACGCCTTCGCTAGATAATCTACTGGCGGGTCATGCAGGCCTGCCCATGGGCAAGTCTTTGTTGATTGAGGAGAATGGGACGACCGATTTTGCAGGTGCATTGCTGCGGTACTATGCGGCTGAGGGAGTCGTCCAGGAACAAAAAGTTCATGTTGTTGGAGTGCCCGAGCAATGGGGTCGCAGTCTTCCTGGATTGATCGGTACAGCCGAATCCCTGAACGACAAGAGATCAGACAAGCGTAAGGACGAGAAGATGAAGATTGCATGGCGATACGAGCGATTAGGCGAGTTCGGCGCGGGCATTGCAGGATCACGAGATGGTGAGCTTCTCGTAAATACATTTTGGATTATCAGAGCTAACAAACCAAAGCTCCTGCTCCTGCATCGACTGGAGAACAAGATGGGAAGCCTCAAGCCGCCTTCTGTCACGCCTTCGATCTCACTAAACGTCTCGCCCATCCGTCTATCACTAACATGACGTTCACTCCGGTGGTGCCTTCGAGGGAATCGCCATTTACTGCCATCTTGAAAAGACTTCAAACCGCAATCGCCTCGGACAGTCCGAATACTATTCACCGAATCGTGATTCCTTCGCTGCTCAATCCCACCACATATCCACCAAATGCCTGCATGCCCGAATATGTGCTACAATTCCTTCACGGGTTGAAAGCTTTGATGAGCGCATACGCAACCCGAGTTACCGCGATGATAACCCTTCCGTTATCGCTATTCCCTCGTTCATCCGGACTAGTCCGCTGGGTGGAGCTACTCAGCGACGGTGTCATTGAACTTTGTCCTTTCCCTCACTCCTCCGATGCCCTGGCAGCTTCTGGAGGTGCGACATCATCCGAAGAGCCGCCGCAGGGCATGCTCAAAACTCATCGTCTTCCAGTACTGCACGAACGTGGTGGTGGCAGTGATCAGAACGTGGGATTGGACTGGGCATTTATCTTGAGTCGTCGGCGATTCGAGATCAAGCCTTTCAGCTTGCCACCGGATGAGGGCGACAAGGAGGCACAGGAGGCACCCGCATCTGGAGGTATGCCAAAGAAATCTGATCTGGAGTTCTGAGGAATGCGCGACAGCTTGGAAACTCAATACTCTTCTTCTTCGTCAAAGTGACGGTGAGTTCCTGGCTCAGCTAGCATGTCGTCCATTTCAATCTGCTCCGACAATGCGGGACCAGAGTTTGCCATAGTCCGGAGGTAGCTCTGGCCATATGCCATGCCCGGTCGCGCCGAAAAGCCTCTTAGGCGGAAGCCATTCCCCAGACAGGATGAAGCCGCGAGCCATGCTGTTTGTGTCAGAACATATGGTGTTCTCAGGAGGGGTATAGTATATAGAATCTCACCTGTGAACAGCAGCAGGGGGGCGAAGAAGACCAGAAATAGCAAGAGAAGGAAGTTCATAACGAAATATGCGATCTTATGATGAAGCTGAAGCTAAATGGCAGAAGCAAAGCCGCGGGGAGCCAAGACCGCCTCCCAAACGGGACAAGCGCGGGCGGAGCTTTACAAAACTCGGGTTTTCGCTTTTTTCCTTCTTCCACTTCATCGAGTCTCTGGCTTTGCTGGTCAAATCCCAGACTCGTCTCGTTAATGGTAAGTTCTTGCAACTTTTTAATTCATCTTCCCCTCCTTGCATGATTATCCATCTACAAATCTGTCAATCCCCTGAAAGCTTAGTTATAAAACTGAGCACCGGTGAATGAGAAACGTATTAAAAATGATATGCCTCGAAACCTTCATTTCTTCAACCTGCAACTACTGTTGATGAGCAACTGCTAACATCGCATTTGTTTCAGAATCTATGAAAAGGCCCTAAACATGGACTCTCAACCTACCCTTCCCGTTCCGATCTCATACATATCTGGTAGATACCTGCTGTTTTCAATCGATGCCGTGACCTACCTGCGACGCGAGCACAACATCTGCGGCGTGTTGATCGGGACCCTTCCTCAAATCCCGCAGCAGAATGTGTTCCTGGGTCTGCCGCTCGAGCTGATGCCAGAGGAGGCGCGGGTGTTGGTAGACAGGGATGTAGCTTGCATTGTAGACGAAGCCAAGGCCCACGATGGCATGAAGTCGCTCTTAGAAGAGGACCGCCGACAGTATCTACGCGAACTAGAATCCCAGGGTCTCCACGCCTCGCGCATCCTCTCGGACCGCAAGGACCAGCAACGGGAGCAAGCGCTGAAGAAGCTAGGCGAGAAGGTCAAGGCCAAGGCTGCGAAGGCCGCAGATAACGCCTCTGCTTCCTCCGCGCAGAAGGATGAGTCGTCGTCTGTGGTGGATATTTTCGATGATGGCAGCAACTCGGCCTCTCGCTCTGCGAACATGACACCTGAATCCAAACTGGCGATGGCCATCACACCTGCAACATCCTACCCCCCTCTTCCTCAGCCCACTTCGTCGAGCCGAATACTCTCAAAGCCCGAAGTGCCCTTGTCGTACCCACTCTTTGCTCACCTCCACTCGCAAGGCTACTTCCTCTCGCCTGGCCTGCGCTTCGGATGCCAGTACGTGGCTTACCCTGGCGATCCTCTTCGCTTCCATTCGCACTTCCTCGTCGTGTCGGCGGAATGGGACCAGAACATCGATCTGATGGACATTATCAACGGTGGCCGTCTCGGCACTGGTGTGAAGAAGGGCTTTCTTCTCGGTGGGCCAGAGAAGACCCGCGAAGATGTCGACTCCGAGGCTGAGCGCGTCGAAAGCGTTCGCGCCTTCAGCATTGAGTGGGCCGGCATGTGATTTATCATCGTCATCGTGCTTTGGATCACATCGACTATACCGCTTGACGGCTTCGTTGCTTATGCAGTATCGACTGGACGTGTTCATTGAATTGGACACCAGCGATTACCACGACTCATAAGAATATGCGACAATGATCGTGATATTCGATCACTCAAGGCCAGTATCTACCCATTACGACCAAATTCTCGGTTCAAACAATGGACGGATCCACGGCCTGACACTCGGGCCTTGGGCCTCGAGGAGTTTCTCGAAACATGAGGCATCTACCGACTCGGATCTATGCTCCTCTTCGATGAATTTTACGGGGTTATGTCGCGTAACATATTGGCCATCAAGCTATTGCTCAAATGTATGGCTCTGGCTACGTCCCCACGCTTGTGGTTGTAGCTCGGCCATGATCAGATACCCTACATAACAGAATGAAACAACTTTCAACGAACACCTTGACCCACTGGGGTTCTTACCAGCTGTAATCATCCGTAGCCTTATTTTGTTCAAGTTGAACTAGGCAGTCTACTGTTTGTATGGAACGGTCACCCAAAGGACATGTTGACAGGGTATCATATTTGGAGCATAAAAATCCCGAGGCATTGGCCAGTAAAAATTCCTTTGCAAATCCAGCATTCACAGATAATCGACATTCCTCCACTTGAACTTCTTGTTCGCCCGATCAACAGGCCGATTCTCAAACTGGCTCCCATGCAACTCAAACTCCAGTGGTTTCGGGTCTTCAGTTTTGCCTTGCTGCTCTCCATCCGTCAATTTCGCAGACTTCGGAAACGGCACCGTAAATCGGAAGATACTATGCTCTTTCGGTATCGCTATCAAATCATCAGCATCCAAACCAATTATCCTCTCGCAACGAATAGACTCACTCTTGACCTGATCCTTTTCCGTAACAATAACAAACGTAAACTTCGTATCCCTTACAACGAATCCCTTAAGCCCAACCCTACCCGCAGACCGACTTCTCACAACCTCGACCTCCGCACCATGGTAATCCGCACTGACAAGCTTAGCACCATGCGATGCCGGTGTCACGAGTCCGCTTCTTCCATCAGTTTTCAGATCAAGGATTTCCTGCATATATGTCGTCCACAGATCATGTAGACCCCTGAATATGGCGTATTTACATTCTTCTTTAGGGAGATCGTAGAGGCCTGTCGTGCGCTTCTCGCGCGCGGATAGAGGGCGCGGCCGTTGGTGTCGGAGGAAATATTCTTTTTGCGGAGGCGGTGGAGACGTCGCCTTGAGCGGTTGTCGGAGGCGGAGGGAGATGTTGGGCGCAGGAAGAGGGGTTTTTGTTTGATGCGCTCGGTGAACTGCTGGGATGCTGTGTCGGGGGAATGGGCGCGCGCGAGGAGGGATTGGGCAATGTGAATGGTTGGCGCGGGAGAAGATGTCATTTTGTAGGTGATTGACCTTTGGGCCAGGATGTGAGCGGGGTTGTTTATTTGAGAGCTCTCGAGGTACGAGTGTCGGAGTTGGAGTTGGAGTTGGAGTTGGAGTTGGAGTTGGAAAAATTGTTTGATGTCACCCGCCGATAAGAGATATCACTGCGGGACAGGAACCTTGGGATGGTTCCAATGTTGATCTTTACTCACCCAATCTTCGAAGTGCAATTCTATGTCTCATTTCTATTTCTCTAATCTAAAGTCTTGCCAAAGGACCATCGGATCGAACAATTCCTAAGCTTGAAGGACTGATCTCAGATATCGACTTACAGCCCGTCAGCTGCATACACCTTTGGAACTCCCGGTAAAGGATATCGAGCATTAGCTCGACTCCTTCTTGGCCATTATACTAATGAATCAAGTCAGTCAATTTCTGGCCTTTTGGTAGGGCTATTTTGAAGGTATGAAACTCACTGCTAGTCCCCAAAGCATAGGGCGACCAACCCAGCAACACTCCGCTCCCAAAGCCAAGGCCTTGAAGATGTCACTGCCGGATCTAATACCTCCGTCAATATGAATACTGATCCTTCCACGTGCGGCCTTTGCACAAGCAGGAAGAGCATCAATAGTCGCTGGTGTTTCATCCAACTGCCGCCCGCCATGGTTACTGATAACCACCCCGTCGCAACCATATTCAATTGCCGTTTCAACATCTTCAGGTGTCAAGACGCCCTTGATCCAGATCTGCATATTAGTGATACTGCGCAACCAAGGAATCTCCTTTTCCCAGGAATGAGAATCCGAATTGAACGATGAAAACCCATCATCATGAGATTGCGACTGGATCTGCTCGGACGTCTTTTCGATCATCGGATACGCTAGACCCGCTGGTGGTTTGAAGCCTTCATTGCGCCATTCATTGTATCGAACGCCCATGACAGGGCTATCTGCAGTGAGGAATATGGCTTTGCATCCTGAAGCTTCTGCACGACAAACGATACGAGCTTCTTTCTCTCGATCTGTCATGGAATATAGTTGCATGACATGGTAAATTGGTCCGATCTCCTTGCCTGTAGTGGTAATCTGCTCAACTGAATGATTGGCATATGATGAGACACCCATATTTACACCAGCCTTGGCACATGCTTTGCTCGTCGCCAGCTCTGCATCTGGATGGGCCATGCCCTGTAGCCCTGCTGGAGATACGCAAAGTGGGAATGCGATCTCTCGGCCGAAAACGCTAATCTTTGTGCTGACTTGAGACACATCTTTCAGGACCCGAGGTAAGAGGCGATACTTCTGATACGCTGATGAGTTTTCGCGCACAGTCACTTGGTTCGTTGCGCCGGAGTTGAAGAATTCTGGTTATCAGTACCCCTCTTTAGTTGGGGAACAGAATGTCTAAACTGGAATGGTGAAATACCTCGAGTCGCACCCGGTAGCTTCTTGGAAGCAGCAGCTTCAAGGTCTGAAATAGATAAGATTCTCTCTGCCGTCATGTTGAGGTAGTTTCCAGGTCATAGATTCATAGATTGTCGAGTCAGAGGAGTTGTGGGATGGACGCAACTTGGAGTGGGCCGGCTAAGTATCCAGCGGGGTTGCACTCCACATCGGGGTCAGACTTGGAGTCCAGATATACGCAGTCACAGAAGATGATGATTTTGACCTGATCCGTTAATACTGTTGTTGAAGGTTATTTGACTCAGGTTTTTCGGTAAAGTTCGCCTTGCTTGGATAGTAGATCCAAGTCGAAACCTAGCGCCCTCGGCCAAAATAAACCCAATAGCAACGAACCCGGATCTCCTGGACACTTAGTACATACTATGTTAAAAGTTTCACAACGAAGACAATGCAATACGCGATGTTACATCTTCAAGCTTGACTACTGCATAGTTGAATATCATCCGATTACAAAAGTTAAACTCGGATTCGGCGGGACCCTCGGCATGTACTATTTCCCCGCATGGCCAAACGTCACAGGCCCATTAATATACAAGTAGCTGCACCTAAGTGCTTCCGCTAGAAAATCATCAAATTCTTGAAGACTCTCCTCATAGAAGACTTTTATCTTAGTACTACTTCAGCCAAATTTCAACTATGCAATCCGACGCAAGTTACACGGAAATCCAAAACAATTTCCCTGGACTCCCACCTTTCCCAGATGATGTTCCCACCGCACCCCTGCTCCGGCTATCGCTAAAAAGGCTATTAGCGGGAGATTCGACGGAGTGTGAGCGACTTTTCGAAGCTTGTGTTGAAATCGGATTCTTCTATCTCGATCTTCAAGATTCAGATCATGGGGTCTCTCTGCTGAATGATGCTGACAAGCTATTTACCGTTGGGGAGAACCTATTCGATCTCAGCCTTGAAGAAAAGAAACGCTATGATTTCAGTACTCAGAACTCATACTTTGGATACAAAGGGAGGGGGGCTGCCACTGTCGATAAGGACGGCAACCTGGATCGAAACGAGTTTTACAATGTAAGTGCATTTGGTTTGCTTGGTCGTTGGAAGCATTATACTAAAGAATTATGCCAAGACCTCCAAGGACGACATTATGGGAGTTAGCGATCCTCTACCGGCTCCCGAGCTCCTGAGTCAAAGCCGAGGACAGCAGGAATCGTTCATGCGGGGCTCTCATGGCATCGTGTCGCTTGTTCTGAACATCCTCAATGACAAACTCGCCTTGCCAGAGAACACACTTTCCAGCATTCATCGGTTGCAAGCCATTGGTGGCGACCAAATACGGTTTATCAAAGCGCCACCTCAGCCTATCGACGACCGTCGCACAGCTTTAGGACAACATACCGACTTCGGAAGTGTCACTGTGCTCTTCAACAGACTTGGCGGCCTTCAGGTTCTTCCTCCAGGCGCTGATGCGGAATGGGTCTATGTGCGGCCACTACCAGGACACGCGATTATCAATTTGGGGGATGCCATGGTGAAGTTCACAAACGGTCTGCTGCGTTCCAACATTCACCGTGTTGCTGCACCGCCAGGAATTCAAGGCGACTCAACGCGTTACAGTCTAGTGTACTTCGCTCGACCGGAGGATAGTGTCATGCTACGACGACTAGATGGATCGGATCTCATTCCTCCCATCACACAGGGCCAGGTTGAAGAGGAGATTAATAGCAAGGATTGGATTATTCGTCGGGCTCTCGGTCGTCGGGTGGATCTTCACAAGGATATTGACTATGAAAAGTCTGCCGGCACAGAGCAGATGAGTCGACGAATTATGGTCTAGTTATCGGGAAACAATAGTTCGCGTGACTAGCTATGTGTATATTCGTGCAATCGGATAATGCATGCCCCAATCTAGATATCGTGATATTGGCTTCAACCAAGATCGCTACTTAGGATCAATTGACTCCAATTTTTCCAGGCCTGGCATTAAAATTTTACTGGACTGTCCTGCTGCCCACGCCTTTTTAAACCCCTCAACTCCCTCCCCATTGCCATCAGGTCCGAATTGGCATCCATACTCTCCCACAAAGTTATCGTAGGTTGTCTCGGGCTTTGTGCGGCACAACCAGCACATTATATCCTTAAATCCCTCTGAGTTAAAGCCAGCACGAGGGAAGACTTTCATGACCGCACAATACTCCCCGTATGTGATAAGCGGTTTCCCATCTGGCCCAGGAAGCCCTGGGCCTGCAAAATCAGCCGTGATGCCCAAGTTAGTGAGAGCAACATCGGGCGCCGCATGTCTAGCGATAGAGGGTGTTGTGTGTAGAGCAATTGAATCCCAGACACGCTGGATAGTGTCATAACTCCATGGCTCGGTGCTTAGATGAATTTGCTCATCATAGATAAAGTCCCGTGCGATATTGGCGCTATCAACCTCGAAACGCTTGTCGGATGATAACAGTTCTGGTGTATTTGCCCATCCCATGTCGTGAAGAATACAGCTAACGAAGACCGCCTCTAGGTTCAGTCTCGGGTTGTTGTGGAATTCTGGAAGCTTTTTGGCGATTATCATTGCCCAGTATGCGGAGCGCATCGCATGGTTGTAGACTGCTTCGGTGCAATGATGTTTTGCGTATGCGAAGGCCTTTGATGCAAGAATAGACGGAGGGGGGTGAATACCAATATCTGATAGAGTAGGGAGGTCTGCGACAGGGGAAACCATAATGAAGGATGGTAAAAGCTCGGTTTGGATTAATCGAGGCTTACGATGTGCGGGGTGAGGATGGGAGTTAGCAGACACACCAAAGGCGAGTACGGTGAAAAAGTTCTCAAATAAGCGAATAGAATTCGGAAACGCTTAGTACGATGACTTAGCATCTGCGGGGACAAGCAATATCTGGAATATGTCGTTACGCCCAACGGGATGACTATGCAGGCTAGTGCTGAGGGGCTGATGTATCACGGATGAGAGTCGTTTTCCCGGTCCGCATGTTTCACTGTTTCACGCTTGGCAGCTTCACGCAAATATCTCAGCCCGCTTTCACCATCCCCTTTACTATAGAATCACACCTCCGCTCTAACTAAAAATATAGTTTCACCCTTGTCAACCCGGTTGAAAACCTTACACCCCAACGCTAAGTGACGGTAAATTGGGCGCCGAAAAAGGCAAGTTTTGACGCCGTTTTAAGCGTCCTATTCGCAAAACAACCTACGCTTTTCCTGATTTTCTCGTCCCTGTCCTTCTATTCAATTGTTTCAGGGCCACAGCGTGCACAGCGCACGTCACCAGTCCTGCATATCGTTCGCGAAGTTATATCCCAGGTCACGTGATATATATAGATCTGTGGGAGTGGTTGCCTGTTGGGCATCCTCGGCAGGGACTCCGCTAGGCAGCAGGGAGATGAGCTGCTGCAACTATAAATAGCTGGATCTCTTCATATAGGTCAATTATCACACTTGTACCTCAATCCAGGGCTCAATTCGCGAGGGGACACACACACACACACACACACACTTCTGTATAAAAAGAAAATTGAAGTATTTTTGTCTTTGATCAATAATCGTAGTCGTTGTCCTTCTTTCTCATACCACCCAGCATATAACCTACAGCCACAGCCCTTAGAGACTTGCAAAATCGTTCTACTTTTCCAAGGGCGAGAAACCTCTTCGCCCTTCTAATATTAAAAATGCTCGGATCAACGCCATATTCAGAAAGTAGTTTCGCTATTGCCGGCGTCGTTTCCTCACGGCATTTCAACAGAGCTAAAAACATAGCCCCACCAGAACAGCCAAGCTTTGTTCTTCCAGAGTCAAGCTTATGGCAATTAAATATATTGTTAACAAAATAAATTGAGCCAAAGAAGATAAATTTGATAAAAAACCCAAGATAAAGCTTAGGCCCCACAGCTCTACGATCCTCACACGGCCAGTAGAAACCCAGCACGTAGTTTCTTCTTCAGTTTTGTATGCTCGTTGAATACTAAATAAATCTTTCATTCCAGCTGTGACATGGGATAGGGTGCTCTCATCATGTTCACGGGGCTTGCGGGCTTTCCGGTCTCTAGGTACGATTCTAGATTGTCCCAGGTCTGTCTTTCAAAATTGGCCCAACTGGTTCTGGAACAAACTCCGATATGAGGCAGTAAAGTCACCATCCAGTTTTTTCTCAGTTTCTCGTGCACTTCTGGTTCATTTTCGTGCACATCAAGTCCTACACCAACCACTTTGCCTGTCTCGAGAGCCAATACCAAGGCCTCTTCATCGATCATTTTGCCACGAGCAATATTTACCACTCGGAGGCCAATGCTTTTGGTCACTTGGAAGTGTTTGTAGGACAGGAGATGATGCGTACTCTGGGTGTAAGGTGCAGCAATAACAATGCAATCAACAGCTGAAACCATGTCTGTCAGATCAGCATAGTACCGCGCACCACCCAGTCTCGCTTCTGCTTCCTCTTTCCTTTTCGGGCCGTGATATGCAATTTTCATCCCTAGTGCACTCTGGCACTTTTCGGCAATCGCAAGCCCAATGCTACCCAGACCGACCACACCCAACACCATCCCGGTCGGATCTACTGCCTTCAAGCCCAGCTCTCGACTTTTCTGCCAATTGTATCTGGCACACCACTGTGCGAAGCTCAGATAGCGGAATGTCTCCAGCACTAACACAAGTCCAGTGTTCGCGACGGCCTCAGTGCATGCGTTGGGCGTGTTACAGAACCAGATTCCCCGGTTTGTTAACGCGCCAATATCCGCTGCATCATATCCGTGTCCGCTACAGCAGATAAGTTTTAGGCTAGAAGGAAAGTGTGGGATGAGTTCGCTAGTGAACAGGCGATGAGATGCGTATGGCCCTGCTTTCAACCAACCTGTGCGGACAATGGCGCGGATATTGCTATACAGACCGCCAGGTTGAAGACGAGCGACAAATTCGTCGACGGAAGCACAGTCATATTTTAAAATTGTCACTTTTTCGAAGAGGGTCTGGCGTCGGACATGGTCGATTTGCTGGACGCTAGATTCAACCAGCAGGACAGTCGGGATTTCTGTCATAATTCCTGTTCGAGTCCGGCAAGAAAGGTGCAATTTTTATTTTGCATACACGAACGGATAAGCTACAGCGTTTTTATCTCTGCTGATATGCCTGCATAGCATTTTATCGGCGCTATCATAAATATTGCGCGGGGTCGGCTTCATGTTGGACTTGCCGATCGGGAATCCTGGCTGTCCCGGCCCTCAACTCCGCCAGCCGAGTGGATCTACGATTGCACAGTGCATTTGATGGGCTTTTGTAGTGCAAGCCACTGGCTCGCGGCTTTTATTCCGAGATTCGAAATGCGGAGTAGTCGCAATCTTTGGGTCTTTTGGTCGGTACCCGGCCATTATAAGCAGCGGTCGTTCATCACATAACTGCTGTTGGAACTATTAAGTTTTACATCCTGATAACACAACCACAAGATGACACAAGCTGGGATCCGGATCGCTATCGATCGAGGAGGCACGTTTACCGACGCCTGGGCTCAAATCCCAGGACATGCCTCCGATGTCATTTTCAAAATCCTATCCGAATCTCCCGGGGAATACGATGATGCACCCACAGAATGTATTCGACAGATTCTAGAAACTGCAAATGGTTCTCCAATTCCCCGAGGGACCCTTCTAGATCTGAATCCCGTTGAGTCCATTCGGATGGGCACCACGGTTGCTACAAACGCCCTGCTTGAGCGAAAAGGCGAACAAGTCGCTCTGTTGATTACGAAGGGCTTCCGCGACCTACTTAAAATCGGCAACCAGGCTCGCCCCAACATTTTCGACCTATCAGTTCAACGTCTTGCCCAGCTCTACGAGACGGTTGTGGAAGTCGATGAGCGAGTCACCATCGAAGGGTTTTCAGAAGACCCAGATCCTAAGCCCGTTGAAGTCGATTCTGATTCAGATTTGCACATGGGCTTAACAGGAGAAGCGGTGCGGATATTAAAGACGCCAGATCTGGAGGCCGTTCGGAATGACCTCTACGTTCTTTGGAGCCAGGGTTATCGTTCTGTAGCTGTGGCCCTGATGCACTCGTATACCTTCCAAAAACACGAGCTTGCTGTAGCTGCCGTAGCTCGGGAGATTGGATTCAAAGTGGCCGTTTCTTCGGAACTACAAACAATGGCAAAGTTGGTACCACGCAGTCAATCGGCTGTTGCGGATGCCTATCTTTCTCCTGTGACTCAAAAGTACTTGGAGGGATTCCGAAAGGGGTTCCAGGGTGAACTCAGAGACGAACATGCCAAGAAGGTGTTTGTCAACCAGTCTGATGGTGGACTTACATCTATCGCAAATTTTTCGGGTTTACGCGGAGTGCTCAGTGGACCAGCTGGTGGTGTAGTTGGTATGTCCAGGACGTGCTATGATGTCGAAGACAGGACACCGATATTGGCGTTCGACAGTAAGTTCAGAGTTTTACATACCAGGATATCCAAGCATCCTACATTTGAACCTCTACTGACACTACGCAGTGGGTGGTACGAGTACCGATGTCGCTCGGTATGCTGGGGCGCTGGAGCATATATTCGAAAGTACAATTGCACAAGTCACCATCCAGACACCACAGCTGGATATCAACACCGTGGCTGCAGGGGGTGGATCGATGCTCTTTTGGGAGAATGGCCTGTTCAAAGTCGGCCCTCATAGCGCGGGCGCTCACCCTGGCCCGGCATGCTACGGGCGAGGGGGTCCTCTAACCGTGACCGATGCTAATCTCTTCCTTGGACGAATCATCCCCGACTACTTCCCACGACCCCTAGATAATGCTATCGTGAAGGATAAATTTGCTTCCTTGACGGCTACCATCAACGCAGAGAAAGACGGTCTGTCTCAACTGACTGCAGAAGAGGTTGCAGTGGGTTTCCTCTCAATCGCAAATGCAACTATGACTCGCCCCATTCGAACATTAAGTGAAGGCCGAGGGTTTGAGACCGCTGCACACAATCTATGCTGCTTTGGTGGAGCCGGTGGCCAGCATGCGGTTGCGATTGCACGAGACCTCGGTATCCGAAGAGCCTTGATCCCAAGAAACTCGAGTGTTCTTTCTGCATACGGAATGGCTCTTGCGGATGTGGTGGTTGAGAACCAAGAGCCCGAAGCTGCTGCCTTCACTGTTGATAATATCCCCAGATTTCAAGAAAGGTTTAAGAGATTGAAAAATGAGGGTGTTGCAGGACTTGTTTCCCAAGGATTTTCAAAGTCGCAAATTTGTCACGAGTTATTCCTCAATATGCGGTACCAGGGCAGTGACACAGCTTTAATGATACCCCGACCAGTCAAATTTGAAGAGTTCGGTAACGCTTTCGCCGCTCACCACGAACAAGAATTCGGATTCATCCAGCCTCGGGAGATCTTGGTTGATGATGTTCGCGTGCGGAGTATTGGAAAGGGTATGGATGTCGCCCTTTCTAGCGCTTGCGCGGAAATGAAGAAACTGGCAGACTCGCCCCCTGCCACCCCGGTCGCCCCCGAGAGGAATACCAAGGTATACTTCGAGCAGACCGGCTGGATTGATATTGGGCTTTATTCGCTCAGGGGTTTATCCGTTGGTACGTGTATTAGCGGACCGGCTATGGTCATCGACAAAACCCAAACCATCGTTGTGGACCCTGCAAGTGAAGCTGTCATCTTGCCTGAACATGTGGTGATTGAGATCTCTGGAATAGAGAAGGCGGATATCAGCATCGATGCGCTGGATCCTGTCCAGCTCAGCGTGTTCGGACATCGATTCATGAGCGTTGCCGAGCAAATGGGCCAGACCATGCAAAAAACCTCAATTTCGGTGAACATCAAGGAGCGATTGGACTATTCATGTGCCCTCTTTTCTGGTGATGGCAGTCTTGTTGCAAACGCACCCCACATTCCTGGGCACCTGGGATCCATGAGTTATGCCATCGCATACCAAGCGCGCCGATACGGACCTGGAGAATTGAAACCCGGCGACGTTATTCTCAGCAACCACCCTAGTGCTGGTGGTACACATCTGCCAGACCTGACAGTTACTACACCCGTCTTTGATGATGACAAAAACCCGACAAAAATTCTATTTTTCGTCGCCAACAGGGGACACCATGCAGATATTGGCGGCATTCAGCCGGGGTCCATGCCCCCCAATTCAACAGAGCTTTGGCAGGAGGGCGCGGCAGTGGAGAGTTTCAAGATTATGAAAGAGGGAGTCTTTGATGAGCCGGGCCTTCTTGAAATTCTAGTTGATATCCCAGCTTCATATCCTGGTTCGAGTGGCACTCGCACACTCCGCGACAATATTGCCGACCTGCAAGCTGCGATCGCATCGAACAACAAGGGAATTCATTTGATTCGGTCCTTGATCAAGGAATATACTTGGCCGGTAGTTGAGTTCTACATGAAAGCAATCCAGGACAATGCCAGTCAGTCTACGCGTGGTTTGCTCAAGATCATCGCGCAGCGTTTTGCAGGACAACCCCTGGAAGCTGTCGACTACATTGATGATGGGACGCCTCTTGCATTGAAGATCACGATCGACCAAGAGATGGGTGATGCAGTATTCGATTTCACAGGTACTGGGCCTGAGCATTTCGGAAATCTGAACTGTCCACCTGCAATCATGTACTCTGGGATCATGGTAAGTACAGACTAGTGTCCGGGACACTAAAGCTTTGAAATCGAGCAGGTCGTTCTAACCAACCGGTATATAGTACTGTCTTCGATCAATGATATCATCAGATATCCCTCTCAACCAAGGCTGTTTGAAGCCTATCAAGCTCATATGCCCACACAACACACTCCTATCGCCTTCGCTGAAGGCAGCGACCGTGGGATCAAATGTGGAAACATCACAACGCATTGTCGATTTAATCTTCAAAGCCTTCCGTGCAGCTGCCGCGTCGCAAGGAACATGCAACAATCTCACGTTTGGCTATGGTGGCACAAACCCAGCCACGGGCGAAGTTGTCAAAGGTTTCGGATACTATGAGACTATCGCCGGTGGATCCGGTGCTGGTGCGGACTGGGATGGTGAAAGTGGCGTGCATACACATATAACCAATACCCGCATTTCTGATCCTGAAATATTTGAACGGCGCTACCCGGTGATTCTCCACGAGTTTTCTATCCGCGAAGGAAGTGGTGGTGGTGGTCGGCACCGCGGTGGCGATGGGTGTATCCGCGACATCGAGTTTCGATTACCTATGCAGGTCTCCATTCTATCTGAGAGACGTGTTATCCCTCCATATGGCATGGCAGGGGGTGAAGAAGGCCAGCGTGGAGTGAACCTATGGCTGAGAAAGTATCCCGATGGAACGAGCAGAATAATCAGCTTGGGTGGTAAGGCAACGACCCACATGAATGCTGGCGATCATATCATCGTCCAAACACCTGGAGGTGGTGGCTATGGAAGATGTCCACACAAAAAGGATGAGGTATTCATGGATATTTTCAGAATTCATGAAAAGTTTGCAGCTGGATCGTCATTGCTCCGGACGCAGGGTAGTTTGGCTGAGAGGAATGCGACGGCCGTGGGCAATTGAGGGCCATTGAGGCAAATGACTAGACCCCAGCACTTGCAGGAGTATTGATATTATGTATATGAGATCGCTTTTGGATAGAATTAATAGTTTTCGCAATCAAAATTGACTGTTACTCTCAAATTATGATACTTCTGTTTCCAATAATGGACTCCAAGTTGACCGTGTGGTAGGTAAGATTCCTGACTAGCCAAATGAGTACACTGGCACTATGAATCGCCCTTGAATCATTTACGGTGGCCCATACTATGGTCAGAGTGTAATTTAATCAATGTTTGAATGTGTAAATTTATTGACCACACTTGGCCCAACCGCGTAGCTTTAAGTAGAACCTATGGATAGTCATGCGCCTGTATCCGATCCGGGTTCCCTGGGATCATATCCGGCAAAGGATTATTCCATCTCAACCAACTACGGCCTTCCCAGACATCTTCTATTGGCTTCTCACTCCCAAATATCTTTGCATTTTGCTCGTTCTGACTCCAGACTCTGGTTAAACCCTACTGTCAGCGCTTTGTTTGTACATTTGTCCGACCCTTGAAATCAGTCGGTTCTTGCGACTTATTGAAAACTCACCTCAGGATATTTTTGCCAATCAATTTCCTGATTTGCCTGTCTGTGGCTCCTCTTCGCATCACAGCCTCTATTAATCTAGGGTAATCCGCGACTGAGCTAATACCATTCGCTAAAGTGACTGTCCCATCAAAATCACCTCCAATCCCGACATGATCCCAACCTGCTAGCTCGACGATATGCATGATATGATCGACCACGGTCTCGACATCAGCACTTTCTGGGTGAGTTGCGTTCAAGAACCTTTTCACAAACATCACCATCAAAACCCCACCGTTTGTCTTTAACCGCTTGATGACATCGTCAGGGGCGTTTCGAAAATTTTTAGCTAAGGCATAGCATGTACTATGACTGAACATAACCGGCGATCGAGTGATATCCAATACTTGCCTCATGGTTTGATGTGACGTATGGGATAAGTCTACCATCAGACCAAGCCGGTTCATCTCATGGATAGCCAACGCCCCGAATGACGACAATCCCGCATCGAAGTCGGTTCCCAGAGCGGTCACCGTAGCAGCTGCAGTCGCGTAGGCATTGTCGCTGTTATGAGTGATAGTGATATAACGCACTCCTAGATCCCACAATTGGCGAATAACTGCGATGGAGGAGCCGGTTTGGTGTAACCCTTCTGCACCCAGCATGGATGCTATTTTGCCCGCTTTAAAAGTTCCCAAGGCAGAAGCAGCAGTTAGACAAAACTTCAGCTCGGGAGTTGCTTCTATAAAGCGCCGAACGACATCTATTTGCTCAAGCGTGTCTCGTACGATGTGACTCGGATCATCTATATTCTTCGTGTCGGGGCATTCCATGAACACAGACCAGAACTGCCCTCCGACCCGGCCTTGTCGCAGGCGTTTGAGATCAGTATGACTGGCGAGACCTAAGTAGAGAATGTATCTGTCAGTAAATTACTAGTCTGTGATGTTGCCAAAGTTCTTTTGAGTTTGTACCTTGCCGGAATGTGAAGCGGCCGCCATTGATCTTATTCTGAAGTTCGATCCGAAGGAGGTAAGGTAAATCATTATGGCCATCAATTAATGGCGTATCTTTCAAAATTCTGTCAATACGTGTTGAAATGTCTGGTAGTAGCTCCGACTCGGCTTGAATGCGATGAAAGGCCCATAGCGAGGCAGCCAACAAAATAATGGCGGACAGTCCGACGACTGCGAGGTATTGTTCAAGACAGTTCATTCAAGCGTTTTCCCCCTAATCTCTCTCTGTCTCACAAGAACACAAGAATGGGAAATGCGAAGCTTCTTTCAGTCAATCTGGCGATTTCTATTTTGCGTGGGTTTAGAGCAGCAAAAGGTCGGCGTCGATTTGTTACGGGATCCGTCGACCTCGAAGCTGCAAGCCGATTGGCCCGGCAACTTTGCGATATAACCGACCGTAGCAAGATAAGCACGAACGAGATGTACCTTTGTTATCAGTTGTATGAAAGCTGTCATATGGTCTCGATAAGAACGATCTCGGCCTCCTTGGGCCTTTGGTCAAGGAACCCTGCAATCCAGTGGCCTCCTTCCAGGGCTGGTTATCATACAACTTGCGTTATATATCAAAGCATGATCTGTTGGGACTCGAAACTTCATTGTTACCTCCAGGGCTATCACTAGACCCTCCTTTGGACCTTGACCAAACATTGTAATCCTCCAATGGATACGAAATCAATCAAGGAGGCCCACACGGCCAACATTTACGAGCCCGGCATGGGTGTCGGCTCAGCCGAGAACTATATTGACCCAGTCAAAGAAAGAAGGATGATGAGGAAATTTGACGTGAGATGGCATCACATGCACATATGTGCATCAAGGCTCAAGCGATTGCATTGCTAATGCAAGTATAGTTTCTTGCCATTGGATTGATGGGCCTGTTTTACATGATGGCCAATTTGGACCGGAGCAATATCGGTAACGCGAATACAGCTGGGTTGCCAGAGGATTTGGGCCTAGTGGGGAATCAATTTGGAACCGCTACAACTTTACTGTACGATCCTTTGGCCCTTCGATCCCGCTTTTTTGAACCATGCCTGATTATCTCCTTTACCAACAGGTACGCAACTTATGTCCCCTTTGAGGGACCGATCGCGGTGCTTCTGAAGATCATCGGGCCTAAGCCATTGTTATCGACATGCGCCTTCTGCTGGGGAGTTACAACTCTTGGAATGGGTATGTAGATGGCTTTCAAAGCTCCATGTTCAGGTGTTAACCCTCTCAGCCTTCATTCAGAACTGGCAAGGGCTTTATGCCTGTCGGCTACTGACCGGCTTTTTCGAAGCTGGATTAATTCCCTGCATCAACGTATACATTGCGCTAGTATACAAGAAGAGTGAACGAGGAAAACGCTCTGCTGTAATCTTTGCATTTAGTGCCTTTTCGAGTGCTTTTGGTGGACTTCTCGCTTACGGGCTCACTCAGGTCCACGGACCTAACGGATGGGAAGGCTGGCGCTGGCTATTTGCCGTTGAAGGTGCCATGACCTTGATTCTTGTGCCACTTTTCTTTTTCGTGTTCCCCAAACATCCCACAACAGCCTGGTTTCTCAGTGCTGAAGAAAAGAGCATGATGCAAGCCCGATACGACAATGATCCCCATTGGGGACAGGATGAAGAATTCAGTTGGGCCGAGTCTCTAAGTGCTCTCACTGATCCTAAATGGTTTGCATTTTGGATCTATCAGTTCAGCGTGGACATCTCTCTCTACGGGTTCACGACCTTCTTGCCCAAAATTATCTCTGGGTTGGGATACTCCGGCGTACAAGCAAACCTGATGACAGTCCCAATATATATGGTCGGCCTGGTGTGGTTTCTCATCATTGCATATTTTTCGGACAGGACCAGTGTCAGAGGTCCGTTCCTCGCCGGGCCCCTGCTATGTCTGATCATCGGTTACTCGATTCTCATTTCGGTGGAGCACCTGAAGGTCCGATTCTTCGCGTGTTTTGGTAAGTTTAAAATCCCCTTGACTCCATTTGCCATTCTTGGACTCACTCTTCTAGTTGTCGCTCTCGGCATTTATCCCACAACCGGTTTGTCCCTCATGTGGCTTCAAGATAACACGGCTCGCCACTTCAAACGGGCTACGATGGTCGGCATGACACTCTGCTTCGGAAACACTGCGGGTGTGGCCGTAGGGCAGATATTCACCACGGAGTCAGCCCCCCGGTATATAAAAGGGCTATCAATCAGCCTGGGGCTTGCGGTGGTGGCCTTGGTGATGGTTGCTTCGTTGATGACTGGGATGACAGTAGTGAACAGAAGGAGAGCAGAGAAAATCCGTCGGGCTGAAGAAGCCGGTGAGGTACTGGAACGAAGACCGGAGAAAGGCGACTATGATGTGTTTTTCCGATACTCTCTGTAGTTAGTTCGATACTCTCTGTAACTAGTTGGTCGTTTTAATGGATTCGGGTACCCCAAGGTAGAAAGTTGTCTTTGGTGTCAACAACGAAACGGGTAATGCGTGGGTCGTTAGTCCGCACTCTTATCTCGTTCTCCGCAGATAACACATCGTTTCTGCTTTGAACAGCCTTCGCCTTCTTGATTTCGTCACCACGTTATCCACTCTCATGGCATCCAGACATAGTCCCTCAGTCAAGCGACAAAGGCGCATCTATGTAGCGTGAGATGCCCTGACCCAACCTCTTCTTAGACTGACAGTTTATGGTTATGGTGTAGTTGCCGACGGTGTCACTCACAGAAGATCAAATGCTCGGGGACTCGCCCCTGTCAAGCATGCTGCGCCTCGCAAAATCGCGATCAGTGCGATTTTCCTACACGAGATCGGAAGATATCGGTGTCCGAGACGTACGCTACCAGATTCAAGCTCTTCCAACTACACCCGGAAGCTAATGAAATCGAGATCCTAGATATATTAAAAGGCTAGAGGGAGAAGTCAAAGCTTTGAGAGCCCGAAAGCAGCGATCAAGAGCTTCATCTGAGCTAGAAGAGACAAGCTGCCCTGCTCAAGATCCAGTTCAGCCCTCGACTCAATTCCCAGATATTGATGTTTCTAATCCTCTTCTTGAATCACCCACTGGGTTCGTTGCCGCTAGATCATCCTCACAACCAACCTTTATTGGTGAGGCTTCCTGTGTTGCCTTTGGGGACACCTTGCTCCAATGTGTCGACAAAGATGCCGATCTCTCATCGTGGGTATCTCCGACATATTTCCAACACGATATTTTTCATCGCCTCATGCGTCCAGAGGTGGTGTTGCCTGACCGAATACAAGCCCGCTTATTAGTGGAGGTTGCCATTCGATTCATAGGTACCGACTACCATTTAATTTTGAAGAAAACCCTTTTTTACACACTGGATCGAACGTGTGCTGGAGAAACCCCCAGAAATCCTGCATGGATGTGCAAATTTTTTGTACTGCTAGCGCTGGGTGAAATGTACTCGAACCGAAAACGAAGGGTGGCAGATCAACACGTACCGGGAACAGACTACTTTCTGCGTGCAGTTGGTCTATTGCAAGATCTGTATGAAACCCCTTCGGTGGAACAGGTAGAAATCATGGTTCTTTTTGTATGTCGATGCATTCCAAGATTCTTCGCACTCTAAAAAAGATTGGTGACTTTGCTGACGGCAATTCTAAAGTGCTTCTATTCAAACGCTCTAGGGCGCGTCAAAACAGCATACACCTATAGTGGAATTGCCCTGAGAATGGCCCTTGGATTGGGCCTTCATCGGAGTCTGCCAACAGATACCAAGCTATGCCCGGTGGATCGTGAGCACCGAAAGCGCGTCTGGTGGACATTATACACGCTCGACCGACTATGCAGCTCCAACCTCGGATATCCTTTGCTTATAAGCGATGACGTGATTGATGTTGAGCTTCCAACAAATGAAGGCCTTATTGAAGGCGACTTGGAGGAATTCACCGATCCCAACCACTTAATCGCCAATGTTAAGCTGGCGAAAATTACAGGAGAAATCCGTGAGGGTGCATATTCACTTCAGGCTGTCGCCCAGATCACTAATGAGCTTCATCCTAGTCAATGACATATATTGCCTCCCACAAAGAACTACAGAGACCTTTGTACAAAGGGTGCATCGAATTCTTCTGAGTCTGCGAAAATGGGACGATGAGCTCCCACCAATGCTACATCTACGCCAAGAACATTTGCCTCGAAACATTTCCAGTCTTCATCTTCATTATAATCAATGTGTTATTTCGACAACCCGTCCGATTCTGTTATATCTTTTCAAGAATCGCTTCTCACTAAGTGCTACATCTGCCGAGCTCCCGCCTCGGGTCTTTTCCCCTACTACCCTCGCTCTGGCGGAAAGCTGTGTGCAGGCCGCACGGGCATCGAATTCCATCCTATCAAAACTATTTGTTGAAGGATCTCTAGCGTCATTTGGGTACTTTGATGCGCACTACCTCTTCTCCTCCACTCTCATCTTGGTCATGTCTGCAGTCATGGACCCAAACGTGGGCATGTCAGATGCGGTCTCATATGCTTTCACTATACTCCGAGCTATGAAGGAAGACGGCAATCTTCCTAGCTTTGACTACTATGAGAGACTACAACGTACCCGGGCAAGTGTTGGAAAGATGAGAGAAGCCAGCGAAGCAAGCTCCCGTGTATCCGCGGTTCCTAATGGAAGCACAACGCCGGAGGAACAACTGTTTCACGACACCGATGGATCGGCCCTAGTATTTGTGGACGGAGTTCCCCTAGATCATCCTCTTATAGATAGTTTCCTGGCAGATGAAGCCCTCGTATGGCCTGACGGAATAGTCCCCCAGGATGACTCTTTAAGAGAGCTAGCGTGCGAGCTAGGAGATGAGTTTTTGTTTGGTCCGGCCTAATTTTCTTGATTTCAAGAATGATATTATTTTTGATCTTTCTTCCACCTGTGCAGTTGACGAATCTTCGTTACTCATGAATATCCGCGCTTGATAAACCTATCTCAAAACATCGGGTGGCCCATCCGAAGGTAATCTCGATCTCTCGGTGAGAGCGCCGAAATTGGGCAATGTACCCGAGCTGATCTATCTCGGGCGTAGGCCCGGCACATTTCCGGTTATGTTTGTTTGACCCGATGGACGACCGAGTCTGCCGGGATTACTGGGTCGCCGGCTTAACTTGATCAGCCCGATTAATCGAAACACTCAAGTGCTCAACAATCTACTTTAGTTGTCCAATCTATGCCTACGTAGTATTCGCCTTGGCTGATATCACATTCTACGTGTGAATTATAATGGATTCTATGATGGCTTCCGCGGTTGTCACTCTGCTTCGGCAACTCATGCAAATCCCATCTATCAGCAACGATGAACACGACATCGGTTTGTTCCTTGAAAAACATCTCCAAAGTTTAGGCTATACTGTTGAACGTATTCTAATCAGTCCGGATAGTTGCCGTTGCAATGTCTACGCCTACCTAGGCTCATCGCGCAAAACAAGAATTTGTCTCACATCTCACATGGACACCGTTCCTCCGCAAATCCCTATGAGACTAACGCCAGATACAATTTACGGACGTGGCTCATGCGATGACAAGGACCCATTGGCAGCTTAAATTATTGCACTGGAAGAGCTACGTGCTGAAGGCCGTGTCCTGCCTAGTGATGTATCGTTTCTTCTTGTCGTGGGAGAGGAAAAGGGTGGACCGGGAATGACCGCGGTCAACCCAATGAACCTGTCATGGGAAACTGTCATATCTGGCGAGCCGACCGAAGGAAAGCTCGCAGTTGGACATAAAGGTCATTTTGTTTTTGAGCTCATAAGTGAGGGAGCTCCAGCGCACTCCGGCTATCCGCAGCGAGGGCGGAGCGCAGTTTCCGCGATGACCGCTGTCGTGGCAGCGCTTGAGCGAACGACGTACCCATCATCGGATATATTTGGACCGTCCACCTTTCACTGTGGTCAAAATAGAGGGGCTTCGGATACAATATCCTTGCAGCGGAATGCACGGCACTATGTGCGGTTCGCGTTGCAAGCGACTTGCCCGGAATTGAGCGATTAGTGGAAGCTATCGTTTCAGAGCATGAATATGTCCGCCTGAATAAGAAATATTTTACCCATAGCTGTACTTAGATCATGATGTACCGGGTATGGGCACGATGCCTGTCGCATTTGGGACTGATGTATCGCGATTGAAGGGAGAACATAAGAAGTATCTATATGGACCGGGTTCTATCTTGGTTGCTCACGGAGACTTAGTTTCTATTTTCTTATCTATAGAATTACAAAGTTATGGTTTATATTTATTATGTACTAACGAAAGTATCAACATTGAGAAGCTTATTGAGAGCATTCAGGTGTACAAACGAATTGTGGAGCAATGTCTTCACGGATGAGTAAAGGCGTATGCCGAATGTTGCCGATCTACGAAGCCGGCAACAGGAGCATCTTGCCGAGGTGAGATAACATTCAACTCCTTCAAAAACACGTAGTTCAATTAAGATAAATTATTCATTTATGTCACTTTTTCCGTCCTGAGATATTCAAAATCACAATAAGGTTGACTTTTTTTATCAAAATGACATATCCATCAATTCTCAGCGACCTACCCGAGCTTCCGTTGGCCGAGTCATTTGCCTTGACGGAGGCCTACAATCTCGATACATTCCCAGAAAAGGTTAATCTCGGCCAAGGTGTCTACCGCGATGAAGAATGCCAGTCTTGGGTTTTGCCCAGTGTTCGAAGCGTAAGTATAGACAACAAGTCTTTCTGGGCGCCATCTGATAGTAGTACAGGCAGAGGAGTTCCTACACCAGCAACATCTCAACCACGAATATCTTCCAATACCAGGAGCCGCTCCATTCATCAAAGAGGCTCAGAACTTGGTTTTCGGTCCTCAATTGGCCCAGAAAGAGAATATAAGGAGCGTACAAACTGTCGCTGGAACGGGCGCGAACCACCTTGCTGCGCTATTCTGTGCTCGCTATCTGCGCCCCAAGAATGTATTCATTTCCGATCCCACTTGGGATAATCATCAACTTATCTGGGAGACTGCCGGCCCGGGAATCGAACGCAAGCTTTACCCCTATTATGACCCCTCAACGCGGTCACTCCACTTCGACGGTATGACTGCTGAGCTCGAAAACTCAGCGGAAGAAAACGACGTTGTCATCTTACACGCTTGTGCCCATAACCCGACAGGCATTGATCCGACACAGACACAATGGAAGAAAATTGCGGAGATTGTTGCAAAAAAGCGTCTCTTTGTGGTTTTTGATAGTGCCTATCAAGGGTTTGCGTCAGGCGATCCGGATGCTGACGCCTGGGCTATTCGATACTTCTACTCGACTTTTTTCGGTGATGCCTCCTTATCAACATCGGCTATTCCGGCAGGCATGATTGTCTGCCAGTCTTTTTCGAAGAACTTTGGCTTGTACGGTGAGCGAATCGGAGCATTGCATCTTATCACTCCGCCTTCCGTTTCACCTTGGGGTGCATATACACATCTAGTCCGGTTGATTCGATCGGAGATCTCCTGTCCTTCTCTTTTTGGCGCGCGTTGTGTGCACACTATCTTGACAGACCTGGATCTTCGCTCGAAGTGGATAGAAGATGTGAAAACCATGGCTTCGCGAATCCAGTCGGTAAGGACGTCATTAAAGTCAGAGCTGGAAAATATTGGCGCGCAAGGTGACTGGGATTATATCGAGCGCCAGATTGGAATGTTCAGTTATACCGGTTTGTCGAAGATCCAGGTCCATCGACTGAAACAGGTGCATCACATCTACATGTTGGAGAATGGGCGAATGAGCTTGAGCGGTTTGAATGGAAACAATGTGGCATATGTAGCCCGCGCAATCAAAGATGTGGTGGATCGGCATTAGTGTATGGCCTTTTGTTAGATCCCCTGTACTGATGGTATTGTCCTGTCACGCTGATACGCATTACAGTATATATGATCTTGTGTTATAAATATTGTATTCTACACTCTTAATGGATGCAGTTTATCTAAACAAGTCTTCGTCCCTCAGCCAGCTTTTGTTCCACCCATCTACCGTGGTTGGTAAATGGGGTTCCCGTGCAGTATACTTTAAGTTCTTTGGGATAACTAACTATTTGCAGGATACCTCCAGGTTAGCGAAGGCCGCGAATCTGTCCGCCATACTCCTAATATTTAGCTTCTCGGTTCGATCGGTCTCATCGGCTGTTCCTCCGAAATTATAGCGAACGTAGTACTAGCACCGCTCTCTAGCCGATAGTTATTCTCTGGCTAGGTATAGCACGGCCCGAGATCAAGAGTGACTAATTAAAGGTGGTAGCCGGCGTAAGGCCGAATGACCTAGTGAATAGTATTATAGGTCCGATGTTACGGTATACTCTACACATGAAGCTATCCAACATCCATATCGGGACCCGATAAGGAACCCCCGTACTCCGCCCGAAAATCCCCAGATACCTTGCATGGAAGCGAGCGCCACGTGATCCCACAAGCATACAAAAGAAGACTTACAGTACCGAGGCTGCAATTTTACTGTCACCATTATTACAAGTAGATGAATTACAACCCGATCCTTAAACAAGGCTTATTTGTAGAGTTCAATTATTCTAAGTCTACTTTTCAGCACTTATTGAAGATTAAGTGGTGAGTCTCCGGATTAGTGCCGCCCAGAAATCCAATAGCCGCAAAGTCATCTTGTAGGACTCGTTCTAAAATCCTGGAGTGCCTTGATTTGGCTTCCATCCTCGCGGAAATTTCTCTCGTCCAGCCACATCTTCATTGCCCCCGCTATACTCCCCTGCCACTCCTCTTTCAAAATCGAAAACCAAGCTGTATCTCGGCTCCGTCCTTTCACGATCATATGTTGTCTGAATATTCCCTCAAACGTATGGCCCAATCGTAGAGCCGATCGCCGTGAGGGTGCGTTAAGTGAGTCGCACTTCCACTCCAGCCGGCGGTATCCCAGATCATCAAAGGCATGTCGCGCCAGAAGATAAAACGCCTCCGTTGCTCCAACGGTGCGTTGAAGAGCAGATGAGAACATCACATTGCCGATTTCAATGCACAATTGCTCCGGGATAATTCGCATAAGGGACATGTATCCAATTGCTTTCTCGAACGTGGGCATAGTGCTGCGCTTGTCGATGATCGCAAAGAAGAACGGATCCAGGGAAGCCGACTTAGAAGCGACGGCTTTTTCGAATGCATCTAGCTGAGGGTATGGTCCATCGCCCATGTAATCCCACAGAGACGTGCGGGCAGGATTATCACCGCCAACAAGATTGAAGAGGTCTTTAACGTGTTTTGATTCAAGCTTCTCTAGGAGTATGGTTCGGCCATGGAGACTGGTCTGACCCGATGGCAGAGATGCCTTTGTCAATGAAACGACAGGACCGCGCGGTCGTGCCACTGCCATTCTGTACAGAATTAACTCAACACTGAGTTCAAGAAGTGAGAGAGGGTAAACAAGTCATCTTTTAAACCTAGATTCCGTTCTAGCTGGGCATGACTCTTATCAAAACACTCAGATCGTGTCAGCGTGATTGGGTGGTCGCTCCGTTTCACGGTCCGGTTCACTTACGATAGGTTGCTTCTCCGAAAGGATCTGCCCCGCCATTTCTAGCTCTCTTTCCAGCTCTATCATTGATCAAACATCTGCACTATGTGCATTTGACTTATGAGGATCCGTATAGAAAAGCCCCAGCGTAAACTAAAATGAACTAAAACTACGAATGTATGTTTCTCCAGGGCTAGAACGCGGGAGCAACTGTACATACAATTCTGCTTTTCACTGCTAGTGTTGCATTAGAGAACTGTCCCCTATGTTATCCAATGGATGCCAAATTTGGTGTATCATGGTCAAAGTTGCCAAGGGATGTGATTACTGTGATTTACGCCCACTTATTGTAGGCTTCTGGGCTGGCGTGTTTTGCCTTAATACGGATTAGTGCGCCTCAGGTGAAGCTAGGGAATTTTGGAGGTAAAGCTGATTTGAATATTACTGTACCCTCCTCCGGCATTGTTGCCGCTCAAAGCGGGGTATTCGGTTGCTAAACTATGCCAACCGAGGTTTTGCGGTGTGGCTCTCTATCCTTAGCCTCAATGATCTGGATTACTAATTAGGATGGTACCATTTACGGCTAGTTCAGGTGATGTTACGTTGCTCGTCGACTCCAATCCTCTAGGTAATTGCTATGTGATAGGGAGTTGTCTCGGAAATAAGTTGCCAGCAGCTTGTTATATCCTTCGACTTGACTCACTTTGGCTATGGAGAATTGAACTCGATTACCAACCAAGCTGACTTCCGCGGTGGGTTTCAGCAACGCTGGAGGAGACATCATCAAAGTGAAAATGGAAACAGACTCGACTGCTGCGAAGCTACCTGCAAAACGTGCAGAGTTGAATGTAGAAAACGAAGAGGCTTCTACACCATCCTCTCCATTAGATGCTGGAGAAAACGTCCGCGGGTTCTTGCAAGTACTGGGAGTATTCTTGATTATCTTCAATGTTTGGTAATCTCTCTCATAAGCAATCAGTACTCCTGAACATCACTAACACTTTAGTAGGGGTCTCACTTTCGCGTACGGATCCTTTGAGAGCTTCTATGCTCTAACATACATCCCTACTTTCTCAGCATCTGCAATAGCATGGATTGGCACAATACAGAGTTGGCTACTCATTGTCTCTGGTCTCATCTCGGGTCCTCTCTTTGACCGTGGCTATTTCTCGATCATGATTGGCGCTGGTGCCTTTCTGGCCGTGTTCGGCTTCATGATGCTGAGTCTCTCGCATGACTACTATGCAATATTTCTTAGCCAAGGTGTATGCATGGGGTTGGGCTTTGGTTTATTATATATACCCAGCATCGCGCTTATTAGTCGATCATTTGTTCGCAAGCGAGCCGTGGCTTTGGGCTTTGCGACAAGTGGGGCCCCTGCAGGAGGTATCATCTATACAGTCATGTTCGATCAGCTCATTTCGAAATTGAGTTTTGCCTGGACTGTCCGCATTATGGCATTTTTGATGTTGTCTCTTTTCCTTGTTGCTGCCTTCTTGTTGGTAACCCAAGGAAGGGGGGCAATAACGACCACAAATGGCCAACGAAAGAAACTGATTGATATCCGGGCCCTGAAAGATCTTCCTTTCTGGAGTTTTACTGCGGCCAATTTTCTCCTCTATCTCGGTTACATAACACCTTTCTATTATATTCCAACTTATGCACAAACTAAGCTTGGAACTTCGCGGAGCATGGCCTCTTACGTGCTCATAATCTCACAAGCGTGTTCAATTGTCGGTCGTGTTGGCACCACCATCTGTGCCCACTACTTTGGGTCGATGGTGTCTTGGATATGCTGTGGCATACTCTCCGGAATTTTATGCTTTGCCTGGATCAGTGCAGATACTCTGGTTCGATTTATTCTTTTTGCGGCCTTTTATGGTAAGTCCGAGCTGATGCCTTGTGTACTATCAAAACTTAACACTTTATTTTTCGAGCAGGGGGTATCTCTGGTGCCCTGATTCCACTCCCACCAAGTGTATTCTTTCACGTCTGTCCCGACGCACAGATTCTTGGCACCTGGCTTGGAATGGCTCAAAGTATCAGCAGCTTCGCATCACTCTTGGGGCCACCGATTGCAGGTGCGCTCGCTTCGGTTGGCTCTCATAGTAGTACCGACCTCAATTTCCTTAACATCCAGTTGTTCGGAGGAATCACAATGAGCATCGGTGCCTTTGAGTTGTTGCTCTTGTGGTACTTGCTCTGGAAAATCAGGGATAAAAAAGGCTTTTTTTGAAGCTTATACAGAACGAGGATGCCGTATTAGTTGATTTACTTCATCAAAATTGTGTCATAAAAGCAATTCATGTCATGGTAAAGCTAACATACATTATTTATCCTATGGCATATGACTTTAGTAATGCAGCGGTGATCTGTATTCTTTGACCTTGATGACTAGCGAAGAAACGAGATGTTTTCCATGGCCATCATATGCTTTAGCCACCACATGAGCTGGGCTCTTTCCAGTTTGGAATTTCGTTTCGAACCCGTTCTTGCTTGTCCCGCCAAGTAAAACCTCCTTGCCGTTCTTCTGCTCATAAAATTTCCAGATTGTGGTCTCTGTATCTCCATTCCAACTGATATAAAGAGAGGTCCCATTCGATTCTTTGAAGGCAACAAATGCCGGCTCCTCGTGGGGAACGGCATGCCAGTTGAACTTGAATGCTCGGTAGTTTTCGGATCCAGGACCAAACCTTCCCGAATCCAGTTTTGTGAAGAATATAGTTGTTCCATCAGGCTTATGCTCGGACATGGCGCCGTCGTACCCCCAGTTGATGAAGGCATTACCGTTCGGCAACAGTTGACAATTTCCCTGAGATCTGACTGACAGATCTCCAGGTGCCCGAAACATGGCAATTAATTTGGCCGTTCGCTTCTTTGTGTCAAGCTCGACGACCTTCCCAGCGCTATAATCACGCGTTTGCAGAATTGGGCCTCCGGCAAGATTCTCGTGTGCGGAGTTATCAAAGAATGAAATAATTTCCTTGGAGCCCTTTGTTTCATGGTGCAGGTATTTCTGGTGCATTCTAGTATCGTGCTGGTAGCAGAAGTCGACGCCTTCGCCAAGCGAGAAATCGGAGTTCTTCCCTCCCAGTTGCCAAATTATGTCGCCAGTGTTGCCATCCATTTTGAAGATTGTGCACATGCTCCGGGCAGATAGCAGATAAGTGTTACTTTTCGGGTCGACATCGAACGCATTCATGTAAAAGTAGTGCCAGACTTGACTTGAATTCACTCCCAGTCCAGCGTTCCCACTCTGCAAGGTCAAGTTGGTTCCAGCAGGGTTAACATGGTCAAGTGAGCTCCATTCCCACAAGACCTGATTTGTATCAGTATTCACTTTTTGAATCTTGTTATCTAAAATCCACTGTTGGTTCTCCGAAGTGGCCCCATAATCAGTCAGATCGTGGATCTCGGGGTCGTAGACAGTGAATAGTGCGGAATCATCATCGAAGAACAGAAATTCGTGCTGGTCGGCCAATTTGTGCCCTCCGCCTTTGATCTGTTTGAGCAATCGATATTTGTTGTCGAGGATGGTAGTGTGGCCGTGGCCATGACCCATTGGTGAGTTGTGCGAGCCTTCGAAAATGCTCAAGACTTGCTCTCCTCTGTAGGTATGCACCTGAAAATTCTCACTCCTGGGACCGATGTATCCAAAACCTGACCACACTAGCTCGCCTTTATCGGTATAGATGTAGGGACCGCTTTGAGCAGGGCCGTGGCCGGTGTTATCTGCAAAGGTGCTTTCGGGAGTATAGAAGATAAGACCATCAGCAGTTTCGTTTGTTGCTGGAATTGTGATGTTCAAGACTGGGACAGCGAGGTCGGGTCTGGACTTGTAGGCCAAGTTCGCGCCCACGTAGGCCGTGAAATAAAGTAAAACTAAATTAGAAAGACGAGCCATTGTAAATAACCGCTTGAGGGTATTCAATTTAGCTCTCGTGGGTAAGTTGGCTGTGTCAATGAACACAAGCTGTTCATTTCGTTCGATATTTGAATATTGAGCATCGTCACTGGAGATCGCCGAGATCCGTGAAGCCAAAATTTTAAAAATCAGAGGAATACTTTGGATGGGAGATCTTCCCTTTGTTTGTTAGTCGCAGCCGAGATAACCTCCGCTTTACCCCGCGGTACAGGCTGGTAGCTTAAGAAGAGGGTCTAGGGAGTGGTCTTTACGGAAAACGTGCTTCAAACAGAAAACGAAGGTGCAGGCGTGTGAACCGTACTATGGGTCCAGTCTTCTAGCTCAGGAGATTTTCTTTCAATTCCGTTTCGGTTAGCAATCGGCAATCGGCGACGATGATATCACCGCCGTGCCGATCATTTGGGGGCTCAAAGCGAAAGGAAAGTGAAATCGTCATGAGATAAGTGGACAAATACCGAGATAACAAAAGCTCTCAATCTCCTGTGTGATGTTTTGAGCAAATGTTAACTCACACCTCAATTACGCCACGAACTCGAATATTCCGAAAGTAAACCATAACACCGCGAATAAAAGGTAGGCCCTACATGGCCACCTATCCGAAAAGCCTCTTCTCTATCTCGATAAATGGATTTCTTCCTCTGTTATGTGTTCTTATGAGGAAACACTCCGAGTTGCCCCTGTCAGTTGGACTCTTTTACTGGGAGAAGGAGCACTGGAGGTGAGGAAGACATTTTCTGTGAATTGTACGGTCTTCGAAGAACTCGTTGTAAAATATTGAGGCGTACCTGCAGTCTGCATAGTGAATCTCTCGTCAAGAATAGGCTCTGTGGGTGATGAAATTATAACTGACTTTATTGACAAGAACTGCGACAGTCATGGGCCAAGCCATGATCTATTGCGACAGAGTCATCGAATCATGGAAGAAAGAGGATTGATTGTCTAGTCCTCAAGGGAAATATGACATAAACCCTACTTACGATACCTTTTCAATGCTAAGTTATTTTAGAAATTAGATTGATTTCTAAAATCACGGAATTCACAGAATTCTCAAGCACCAGGCAGCGATCGGTCTGCCACAGTAATATGAGTCTCTTTGACAGGGATCAGCAGAGATGGGGATGTTTCATTGGTTTGCGGGGCTGACGTGGCGTGGCTGTGACTCCAGGGGCAGATCACCATGCAAATGGGGCGTCACATACGGGGCGAAGCAACATAGTCTCTCCTAAAATCCCGTTAATTTCATCCTCCCTACAACACCAGTTCACAAAGCCAGGATTAAGACAGGACTGATGGTTTGAGTGCTCGTTTCATGCGATTCAGCTATTTTTCCACTACCTAGACCGATGAACTGGCAGCGCTATCTTCGTCGAGCTCCATCCGCGGTTGAACTCGACGACCAGATAGATCCGGTTTATGATGAAATTTCAACTTCAACCAGGCATGCACTGCAATAGGGCGCCTTTCTCAAGCAAAAACTGACAGGAAACACAGGGCGTTTGATAGGGGTTCTTATCGGGGCCCAGAGTTAGACAAGAACCAGATTATTCTCGACGCCGATGAGTTCGTGACTAAGTATGATTTGGATGATATCAGAGACTTAGTGCGGAAGGGTGCCTTACTTTTCCACGATCCCGAAGATCTGGCGCGAATTGAAGACTTGACCCGGGAGGAGCTCGTGGTACTGTATGGCCAGACAGCGGATACAACAGTGCTTAAAAAATCATCGTTGGAATGCTACATGTGCTTCCTGGCAGCAGTCCTCTGGTACGCTGCTTGTGCTCTGTTTTTTGAAAATATTTACCTGGCTTACTTGACTGGATAGTGCATGTCTCCAGCACGTTTATTTCAACCTTTCCCCAGACTATCCAATCGCTAGGGTATCGATATGGCCGAAATGGTAAATAAAGCCCCGTTAATTGAAGCCTCGCCAAATCCATCGCGTGTTCTGACACCTCACATAGTGCTCCCTGGTTCGGGGCGCTCCTTGGGTGCATATTCACCGTGCCTTTGAATCGGCTTTTGGGTAGACGCAAAGCGATATGCGTTGCAGCTGCCTTGGCCCTTGGTGTTGCGTTGGGAAAAGCCCTTTTACCACATTGGAACTCCGTGAAGGCGATGATTGCAGTTTACTGGATAGCTGGCACTGCAACAGGTATTTTGACATGTACTGTCCCGCTCTACCTCGCCGAAACAAGCGTCGCCTCCTTACGCGGCGCGAGGGTAGCATTCTGGCCGATGTAAGTCCTGTGCTCAGTCTTTCCCACCAGCCCTCACCGAAGAGACCACTTACATTGTCCCCAGCGCAATCATTTTGACCAATGCAACGATTTCCACCTATGGAATGATCTACCCAGCTTTTAGTCTGGATTTGGCGTTTTACATGACCTTGTTCGCAGCCCTCTTAATCATGAGTCTGATAATCGCCAACATAACACCGGAGTCGCCTTACTGGTGTGTATCAAATAAGAAGATGCAACAAGCCTTTGACGCCTTGTACCATTTTCGAAAAGCAAGAATCACAGCTGCCTGTGATCTCTACCGAATGTATTACGCTGGTGTGCATTCCGCACAGGGAGGTGAAGGTAGCTCTCGCCACCCCCAACTCACCACTCCCGGAATCACTATGCTGGTGACCAATCCTCAACTGAGAAGGATGATCGTGGCATCTTGCGCGATAATACTCACGCGAAATCTATCTGCTATTGAATTTCTGCGGATTTCCTGTTACCCCCGAACGGCTCCTGAATTGGCTCCACTTATTATTGAGGCTGTTTTGTCATTAGCCACTTTAATACCCATGATCCTCTGCGCTACGTGGGCTGATAAATTTGGCCGCCGCCCATTGTTGATGGTATTAACTTTGCTCATGTTTACTACACGTGAGATTACTACACGTGAGAATTCGGCAGTATATTCATGCGGAGCTCAGGTGCTTTGCCTCATCTTTTATAGAACCACCGAGGCCATTTACACTATCTTCGTGGCGGAAGGGTTTTTAATACAATACAATGGTGTGGCGTTCGCCTGCTCGTGAAAGGAGATCAATACTGATATCAATTGCATAGATATTGGCATGGCAATCGCCATGGCGGTCAATTATGGAAGCCTTATCATGGTGTCATTTGGCCTGACCTCACTCAGCCGAGCCCGGCGTTGGCCTACTGGACATGAGCTTTCGTTAGTGTTCCCCGTTCGGCTTGAAACGTGCTATATCCCTTGACAGACCTATACTTACATTTATATGCTTAACCTCAGAGCTCCTCTATTTGTGTCTTTGCTGCTAGTCTGGCTCATTATGAGAGAGACCAAGAAAGTTCCACTGGAAGACGTTGATAGCGTGTTCCGTGTCCCCACGAGGAACCTCGTTCTATATCGAGTCAGGGTACATTTACCATACCTCTTCAAGCGCTATGTCCTGTGGAGGGACGTGCATTTCGAGTCTTTGGAGGACTCTCGGTATAGTTTTGCCGCAATTACTCTTGATGATGCAGAAGCCCTGTCTGTCTCTCATGAGGACTAGTCTGACTGAAACGGTGGGAAAGCTGTCATGGGGATGAGTGGATGAACATTCCCATTTTAATGAGAGAAGAGAGTGAGACATGACAAATAAAGCAACACCAAACCAGCAAGCATGTATTGAATCTCAGCGAGAATCCTCACATAGAAAGACAGTTCAACCAAATATTGAACGCACTTGTTGACTCAAACGCCGCCACATTTGCATCTGTGTCAGGCTTCTCTGAAGTCTCGAGTCCCCAAGCTCGCACGTAGCATCATGATCAAGAAGGAGGTAGACAATATCGCGTTTCTTGAGTTGGACTGCATGATATAAAGGCATGTGCCCATCCTCGTCTGCTTTGTTTATATCAGCTCCAGCGCTGATAATTTGTCGGATCAATCCAATGCCGATCCTATCGGAAGCAATCGCGAGTTGCAGCGGCGTGCGGCCATTCTCGTCTTCACAGTTCACGTTGGCACCTCCCTTTAATAAGGCAAGAGCCTTTTCTTCTCGGTCCAGGTAAATCGCGTACATGAGAGGCGTATGTCCTCTCCTTCCCTTCTTCTCCGTGGATGCACCTGCAGCGAGCAGTGCCTCAATCGGCTTTATTGACCCAAATCTTGCAATTACCAAATGAAGTGCAGTATCCCCATCATTATTTTGAGCATCCAACTCTACTCCGTGGCTCTGAAGCAACACAAACTTCTCCAAGTACGTTTCAAGGTCACGTTGGCATGTCGCCAAATGTAGTGCAGTTTCGCGACGTGGCCTTGTGCACTTCTTCACATCAGCGGCGTATGTAAGTAGTAGCTCGACCCACTCAGCACTTGCATATTCTGCAGAGAGATGGAGAGCATTATATCCTTCATGTAGTATACTCGGATTAGCACCCTGGTCGAGAATGGGCAACAATCGATTTGCGCCGGCTGTCTTGCTCTTTGTCGACTTGATCACATGCCATAGCTCATAAGAATAGAAGTTCTGGATGGAATAGTATCAGCATAGGTGTCATCAAAAGACCATTTTGGAGCTTCAGTCATACCATTTCCTCCTCTACATCAGGATCACGTATGACGGCAAGGTCTCCCGGCGGTTGTACAGCGACGGGAGGGACGGGAGGGTCGGAGACAAATGATGCTTGATCATCCACGATGGTATTTTGCGCCTCATAATGGTGAGTCTCCATGTCTTTTGGGGCCTCCATCGTAGAAGTTAACTTGGGTAAGCTGATACCATCTTGCTCAATGACCCAGTCGACCACTAGATCAACCGAGGCTTCCGGACGATCTTCAGGAGAAGGTGCTAACAAACGATTAATGAAATTCTGGACTGAAGGGCTGGTACTATTTTCAATCAAATGAGTATCCGGGAAGGTGGTATATCCCTTGACATAATCTCGGAGAGACTCATACTCGGAGAACGGCGTCTGCTTGGTGAGGAGGTAAAATAGCAGACAGCCGAGGGACCAGATATCCACAGCACAGGTATAAGTTGAATCTTCTTTCGCTTCATCAACAAGTCCCAATATCTCTGGGGCCATGTAGCCTTGCGTTCCAATTTGTGTTCGCAGTTCGGTTTGACCCTCTAGTGCCCGCTTGCTTATTCCAAAATCTGCGATTTTAACCCGGATCGGATCCCTTTGAACGACGAGAACATTCTAATATTACCAATCAGCACCCGAAGTCGCCAAGGTAGAGGAAGAGATCTACCTGCGGTTTGATATCTCGATGAGTGATGCCCAATCCATGTAACACAGCCAAGCTCTCAAGCAGCTGTTCGCATATACACCGAGTTTCGACTTCTGGAAGCGGACTGGGAAAGCACTCGGAGATATCTCCAAAAGTACAATATTCCATCATGAGGCATATATAATCCGTTGATGGGAACCATCCATGGAAATGAACAAAGAGCTGTTTGTCTTGGAGCCTGAGGCAGCATTTAGTAAGCTTACATTGTAACAAGTCAGCTGTGAGCGAAAACATACTCCATTGAACTTGAGACTTGTCCCAGAACATCCAACTCCGAGGCGGACTTCGCAAGCCTGCTGTCTTTCTTGGAGACCTGCTTCACAACTCGCAACTCTCCCACCGGCGACTCATACACGTGAACGTTGTCAGCCAGCTTAAGCGTTCGATGCCACATAATGACCTCTCTTGACTGCTTCCCGGGCTGATGTGGATCAGGTCGAAAATGGACCTCACGGCTGCGGTCTTCAGAAAGGACTGTCACGTTGAGCTTGAATCGCTCCGCAGACTCTTGGTCCCTCATAGCTGCGTAATGATTCACCAGTCTGCCTTTCGGAGAATCCAGCCACAGAAGTGTAAAATTGTTTCTTTTGTGATGGAGCGAGCGTTTATCTGCGTTAAACTGGCATCAAATGCCCTGAGTCCGCCCGATGAGAGTGGGGGCCAAGTTTGGGGCTGAGGCTTTGTACCTGTCTCAGGATTATAGTTGATCCTTTGGCGCCTAAATGTATATATACCCCCGCTCACACCCTCGCAGCTCCTGGATTTACCTTCTGCCAGTCACCGTGAGGATAGGCTCGTGCTAAATTGGCACGATGGAGCCAGCATCAATGGCACTGGCGGTGGTTGGGACTTTGGATCTTTGCATCAGGTTGGAATTCTCTTCTCTTTAGCTTTGAATAGAATGTTTGCTAACTTCACTTTTCATTTCTTCCAGCTACGGCAATAAACTTGTGAAATTTTGTCACGAGCAGCGCAGCCTAGAGTATGACATTGGGGAGATCGCATTAAACATAGAAGGAGTTTGGCTCAAGACGAAAGTTCAACTCACCTCACTGGAACGCTTGTGGGGCTCTCTAGCCCCCGCTCTACAGATTCACTATGCCGATGCTGTCCAGCGACTTCATATCAAAATTTCAGGGGCTGTCGATGGTTTCGCAAGTGTTTACCTCCGCAACAAATTCGCGAAATCGGTTCCGCAGAAAGCGAAGATCGTGTACTTGAAAAGGCACCTGCAGCAGGTGGTGAAAGACCTTGAAGACTGGCAACAGCGCTTTGATCCCTCCTGGTATCTCATCACTCGCCTCGCTGAGCCTAAAGTGGACCGAGAATTAGAGAACCCAGCAGCGCGGCAAAATCCCTCCGCAACGAGACTCTTTGAAATGAGAGGTGCCATACAGCAGTCTTTATCAAAACGAAATGAATGCTCAGGCTCCGTTTTCGTCAGTCTGGGTATGATTGAGACAAATCCCGAGAGAATTCCTGGAACAAACGATTATCTATCGCGGTACTCCACTGGCGCTCGGCGGGTTCTCTTAAGTAGCACAACTTTTGCGGGAACTGCAATAGCGGCAAGAAAATCCAATGTCCGAGATCTGGCGCGACTCCTGCGTCATGTCGATTCGATGTCATTTGGTCTTCTGAGATGCGAGGGTGTCTTAGAAAGACACACCGACCTGGATACCCAGTTCCAGTTTATTTTTGAAATACCTGAAGGTCTAGATTCACCAAAGACCATACGGACCCTTCTTACAGAGAAGCCGGAATGCTCATTGAGCAAGCGTGTCCAACTTGCGAAGCAACTTACTCGATCAGTCATGTTCGTCCATACAACCGGATTCGTTCATAAAGGCATTCGACCCGAGACTATTGTTGTCTTTTCTCAAAATGGCCAGGACATGGGGCCATCATTTTTGATCGGATTCGAGCAAGTTCGACGCGCGGAGGCTCAAACAAGTTTCTTGGGTGACTTGCAATGGGAACGAAATCTCTATCGCCATCCCGTCCGCCAAGGACTATGGTCTGAAGAAGCGTTTACGATGCAGCATGACATATACAGCCTTGGTGTGTGTTTGCTTGAAATTGCACTCTGGCGCTCTTTTGTGGAGCTGGAGGGCGACGCCGCCACTCCTTGGTCGGATCTAAGAATAGGAACCGCTATCTGTGAGAAAGATGCTCGTCGAGGAGGATTCGCAATCAAGAAGCAGCTTACTATGCTAGCAAAAGCTCGACTACCTGCCTTGGTAGGAGACCGGTACACCGATATAGTTCTTGCTTGTTTGGGCTGTCTTGATAAGAATGAAGATAATGTGTTTGACATGCAAGGCATCGATACCAGAGACGAAGATGGCATCATAATAGGGGTTCGCTATATTGAGAATGTAAGATCTAATAATGAGAGGTATTGACAAGAGCTTTGCTGATTTTAATAGGTACTTTTGAAGATCGAAGAGTTGCTCGTGTAAAACGCGCCATTAGAATCATTTATGAACGTTGAAGTATAGGAGAAAAGACGATGTAGATGACCAAAAGAAATGTTGTACAATAGATGCTAATAGCACAGGCTATGATTTACATGGGCTCATGGGTAGAAGAAAATCGAACACTTGACATTAATGTCGATGACTAGTCGTATGAGGCTGTCACCTAGCTGAAGGAGACTGGGTTGCACTCAAGCAAATTTCGTGCAGATATTGGCTACATGTCGTGTAAAATTGTGATTGAGTGATTTTTTTGAGATTTATGGGGAGCTTTTCTTCAAGACAGAGCCTCGAATTCTTCGTTTTTGCTTATTTGGTATGTTTGACCCTCCATGGAATGTAAAGCGGTACCAGGACGCCTTATTTGACGACAAGCTGCCACAGCCTCAACACATCAAATTACTCCCCAATGTTCCCCGTACTCGAGACCTTGTTTCATATTTGTATCATGACACAAAATAGCTCAAATTACCAGAGATTGACCAATTGATGTCATAAAGAGCTTCCATTGGAAATCTTGCTCCACTTGGCATTTAAACACGAAGATTAGCGCCACTGGGATGGTTGGTAGGGATGTCTATCCGAAGAGAAGGAGGCAATGAAAAAGATAGGCCCTCAGCAAAGAGCAGATGCCTCTACCTGCCCAGTGAGTGCTAGCCAGCGATGGCTAGTCAGCCTGAGGACAAATGGTCCCACAAGGCCAGCTGATCGGTTCTTCACCATCCGGTAGGACTCCCAGGGGTCCTGGCATCCACCTTCGAAACGCACAAATCCTCCCTCTGAATTTCTTCTTCGCTGGAAACGCCTACGGCAGTGCCAGCACCTGAAAAATGCGCTATTTAACTCAAGCATTACGCTAAATCCTGAGTCATTCCCTACTACGTACTCCGTACTTTCGACATATCTTCAGGACCAACGCCAGAGCCACAAAGATCAACAGATCTCCAGCACCACTATACCTCTTACGGCAGAGGGGTATCAACATCTTCAGCCCCTGGCCTGTCAAACCTTAACGGAATGAAGGCGGCCATCTCCTGCGAACCAGCAGTTGCAGCTCACCTCGACGATTCCCAAACCCGACAGTCTGGTCATGATAGGCCGTGGCTGTGGAGCAAAATAAAACTAGTCTCTAGCCCTGACGCCTGCGGCATCTGAAATATTGAAAGGAAATCGACATACCGCAATGGTATTGATCCGTTGGGAGTCCGGATGATATCCTAGTGGATACCGAGATCGTGGATTGACGTGCCAAGAGCCGAGAGTGGTAGGAGACATGTCAGGGGTGTGAATCCTTGTTCAAAGCCGGTTTGGGATCATAATCAAATCGATGTAGAAGTACACTATCCTTGTTGGTCAACTCGAATCGGTTTTCATACATAGAAATCGAGATGCATGGTAGACCTCGCAAGAGCGATATTCACAACGGTAGTCCAACGAAATTATTAACCCGATTACTCGGCCATAAGAAGCAGATGATGTACAGCAAGCACATGCTACCCCGATTCGGCCATGGCATAACGGAATCTAGTGAGCTTCCATCTTGTCTAAACCAACACAGTGGAGAATCCCGAACAGACCCAATCCCTATCTCGATCAGGCTAGTCGACCGTTACGACCCATCAAGTATCCCCTCCCACGTCCCAGACAGTATTTCCAACCGGGCCAACCGGATGAAACCATAATTCCAGCAGTCCGGATCCATCATCACCCCCTTACTTGAGATGTGGCCCCTGTCCGACAGCATATTTCTTTGTCCCCGGTAAGGTAGAATGGAGTCCGATCCATCGAACACATGACCAATTAGAGGCCTAAGAAATAGGAAATAATAGACTTAATCAAAAATAGGCATCTGATCCAGCTTTCAAGCGACCTGTCTTTTTGGGTTCTTTCTTCTGTAGGGGTTTTGACAGCGGGACTACCCTTGCTTCGGGCCCGGGTGATTTTGTTCTCATTCCAAGGTTTTCCAGCGAAACTACAAGTCAACCAATATATAGAATGCAGTAGGGTAGTAACGGTAGGAATCTAGTGCGGAAAAAAAAAAAAAGAAAAGAAAAGGTATTTATGTTCGAGGGGAAATGTGGCCTAGGTGCAACACATGCCAACCCATTCAGTGCGAAAGGATGACAAACACTAGAGTCCATACCTATGGAAAGCACAAACTATAACTAATCTTAGGGAAGTCAAAAGTATGTAAAACATAATAGAAAAATGAAAAAATTACATAGCTCGGCCCGCAGGAAAGAGCCAAAACCCAAAACCCCAAGCCCCGAACCGAGCCCCACGCAAAGTTCAGCCCGCCCCCACATCTAATCCCAAGAAGGAAGTAGTCTCGACAAGGCCAAAGCGGGTATGGCGTGTTTCTGGGTTTTCGTTCCGGCCTATCATGGCCACAACATTACCCCACTACGTATGGAATGCGAGATGGAAAGGTGGCAGATACTTGAGTATTGTAAGTGTCAATGAATCCAATCCACATTGAAACGGCTCGGTCCGTCCGCAGCCTGGGAAGCGGTACCAGAACCAGAACCAGAACCAGAACCAGAACCAGAACCAGAACCAGAAACTGGAAACTGGAAACTGGAAACCGGAAATTAGAAACTAGAAATTAGGAACTGATGACTGGAAAGTAGAATGCAAAGGTCCACGTACGACATTAGGGATAGGGATGGGGATGGATGTGGCATGATTCTTGGGTTGAGTCGTTGGTTGTACTACTTTTCGTGTACCTACCATTTAGTGGTACAAGATGCACGATGCTTCAGGATGCCTCCTCCGTCCTCGGTCCTCCTCACGGGAAAGGACAGAAGTCTGCGACAACACACCGGCCCACAGTGATGTGGTGGGTTGGACGACCTTTAGGAAATAAATTAAGTAGGCGTTCATGGCCGTCCCGATATGGGAATCGCCGTTGCGAGTGGGGAGAATGTCTGCCCCGCTGTCGGCCGTCATAGATTGGTTTCGGGTTCAGTCACTGAAGCGCAATTGAAGAGTTTAGAAAGGGGCAATCTAGAATAGACTACGGAGCAGTGGACTTGTGATCTCGGCCGTGGGAAACTATTGGAGATTAACACTGCACTGTTGCCTTGTTGGGATACGCGCCGTGCGGGAATTGGGAATGGTCTTGGCCTTAGAGTTTATACACGGGATTGATAATGATTACAATCGGGAGTTGAGGGGTTGGTCTTCCCGTGTGACTTTAGACTGTGTAACTTTACGAGTAAGAATCGGAAAGTTGGGGTTGAGATGTGGGTGACCATTGCTGGTCACAATACGATTTCCATTCTTCGCGGCGATCAATGCATGCTATGTCTGTCTGATATGCGAGATAAAATAACCGGATAGCAGATCTGCGGACCGCGGAAACAACACTCAGATTCATGTGAAAAGTGGTTGCGAGGCTGTGTTCGGGTTTGCTGGCACACGACGCATCGCTCACGCCTGGATATTCAAGGCTGCGATTTTGTCCTCGACGCGCCGTAGGACTTCGGGGTCCGGTTCTCGTTTGACTTTCTTTGGCCTGTAGATATTGTGAGCGCTTGATAGTAGAATACGGGTTGGGGTGTACCTACGGAATTCGTCTAGTTTCCGCACACTTCGCCTGGCCACACTTCCCACAAGTCTTCGCTCCCTCATTATATCCCGTATCGCAGACATGGCATATGTAATGGACTCGATGACGAGGTTTTCTGTAGGTCCGATCGGCCTTCAGCTTCAGCGGCTCTGGCGGCGGGTCGACATCGCCAGGATAGCCATCGGGGTGTTTGTCCAGCCTGGCTGGGTCGCGGGGACACTTTTTGCAGCGGACATGCTTGCAATTCTCGCATTCCTTGGACCCGCCGCCAAAGGTCGTCCCACAAGAATGGCAGTGTCTTCGCACACGCTGCCTCACAGTCTTGCGGATCAGATCCTGACCACCGGAGCGGGACTGCACCTTCAGCGGCGCACTAGGATCGCCAGTCAACTTGAAGTGCTGGGTGAGCGATGGACCACGCTGGAGGGCGCGGATCTCGGCGATCTTAGGCGGCTTGGGGGTACGCGGCTGCTCTGCATCCTTGCCTTGCTCGTGCGGTGGGAATCTCGGGCACTTCTTGCAGCGTGGGTGTTGGCAATTGATACAGACTTTGTCCGGGCCAAATGTGGTGTCGCAGCGGTGACAAGTGCGGCGTACGCGCATGCGAATCGGCTTGGTGACTCGGGCGAGTTGCAGATCGGAAGGAGACTTCCACTCGCCAGGCTCGAGGGTGAGGCCGTACTTAGAGAAGAGAGAGCGGGCCTTTTCCTGCTGCGTAACGCTATAGTCGGCCAGCATAGCGGGTTGTTCGACCACTGGCTTTGGGGTCGGGTCTATGGCTGGGGTTCTAAAGTATTGAGCATGTTAGCGACGCGCCGATTATCATTTGATAGTGTGTTTAAGTTGTAAAGCGTACGCTGCAGTGCTGGATTGGCCGACATCGAGGACGGTAGTCATTGATTGACGCTTAGAGCCGGAGCGTGGGCGCAGTACGGTCTTCATGCGCTTCAGATACTTGGACAAGCCTTCAGGCTTGTCGTTGGCCGGGCGGCCCGGGTTGTCTTGCGGAGACATGTCGAAGATCGGTGGGTTTCAGACAAGTTTAAAGTGGCGCAAAAATGTAATGGCGAATGCGCGGTCGCAGATCGAAACTGGAAGGTGCACAATCACTTCATTCCCTATACAACGAAGTCGACAGTCGAAGGACCTAAGGGTGTTTGTCCCAGTACCAAACCAGTGGAATGGAAGACCCGGTGGAGAGGGTCTTATTAACAGGGAACACCCGGGTGGGTGTGATGTGTCGAAGTGGGCGAAGTGGACAAAATCGTCGACGGTCGATCTAGTTCGGAAATCAAAGTCCAAGTCAAGGTCGAAGTTGGGTGATGGCCCGGTACTTGAATGGATGAGATCCTAATAATAAACATAATAAACGGGAGGGGGAAACAATACGGTAAAAGGCAAGTCAAGAGAGAGAGAAAGTAACCCAAGCCCGGGCACATGGGGGAAATCCCGACAGTCTGGGTTGGTATGGTAAGGTGCAGGTACTGCATGACTGTACTGCCACTGAATTCCTCTGTCCCGGTAGGCACACTGAGTCCGGTATCTAGGTACGGATACGTCAATACATCAGAGACCCTCCTCATGGTAGCTATCAGGTACTAGCTAGAAATATCTCTGGTATTCTCATGTACGACTCGCAGTGGGTCGCAAAGGCCCCGAGAGCGGGAAGCTGCTTGGACCATCCTGGATACTTGTAGGCTGTGGGCTCCGAGTTCTGGGCCATGCCTCCCCCGGACCTCGCCCGGCTCCCGGGGCTATGGACAGATTCGCGCCATTGCATCACACCTGGCCCAATCCCATCTCTACTTGGCGCCTGCACTTGGTTTTGTCCAGATCGTCTGATGGGGTGGCGGAGTGGGCCATCTGCTGAACCAAGCACTCAAACGGAAGTACCCGCCCTCTGTTCGGATGCGGTTCCAGAACCAGTTAACCCACGGATCAGGGCAGTCAGGAGATTGCCGTGATTTCGGGTGCTCCGTCGGCCGATCCTTTGGGTGATTATGATTCATGACTCGTGTGCAGGAGTGAAGATCAATCGCGTTTGATAAGGGGCACTACTCCGCTCTGACCTTAACACCAAGGTTTGGCCGAGCTGATCTTGTCCATGTTTACTTATCCTCGATTCTTCACACTGACATGGTCATAGCCATGGTCATGACCTCAAAACGCGAGAGAGAAGATGCAACGCCCCGATCTCGTAGATGAGAACCAGAGTGTCGGGATTCGAGATGCATGCAACCTCCTGAGAGTTTGTGGTTAGACTTTGGCACAACTCCGAGTATTTGTCAGTTGCCTTCTCCCCGTCCAATTACTGGGAATGCACTCCGTACTTTCCCCTCGTCACCATCGACTGGCCCGACGATTAGCACCCGAAGAGCGCTAGAGCCTACCCCCTGCAACGATTCTGCACACTGCCCGGGAGCGCGAGGACAGTGCGGAGCCTACGCATTGACAGGGGGGGGTTTTTTATTTTATTTTATCAAATGCAAAACACAGCATGGAGTACACAGGAGTTCGTGGACGATCTCTGGGGCCGAGCGGTGTACTCGATTAAACGAAGGTGCTATTGGACGGGAAATATCGATCTGACAGTTCAAACTTTGGGCTACGGGCGACGGCGGGCTCATCGGACGCAACTACTGCAGACTAACAACGCCCCTCTGCGATGATCATTCCGTGACTTTCATTTCATCCCTCGTTGCCCAACGGTTCCACCCACATTGTCCTTTCCGTGCATCCTGGTCGGGTGTGCCACCATGCTTCGCTTTGAACACCCCCAGTCATTCGCCAAAGGGGGGCACAGCTCAACGGCCGAGAAGCGCGTGGCAAGATTTATTATTTATTCTTTCTAGGCTAAACCACTTGGCCCGTACGGTATCCAGTCACAGCGCGTAGGGGCAAGACACACCGCCAACTGCAAGCTGAACCACTCCCTTGGTAAATGAGCTCTTTGTCCCGTTCGTTTCAAGGTGGTCAGTGCCGAGGCCAGTCCACCGCGAAGGCTGTGGACACGAATTCGATCGCTTGGAGTGGGTCACGGACTCCTGATCCCAGGATAAACGCCCGGCACGAGGTCCACCCGGTGGAGACCATGCTCCGTACGGGTATCGTAATGGACAGGTGGACAGGTGAACAGGTAAACTGACTCGTTATGACACTCGACGTGTTTATTTCTTGGTGGAACCCCAGTCTACGCTATTTAGTTCGATTAGCGTCTTGCAGCTTCGGACGATCGGGCCTTCGTCTCGGTCATCGTGACCCCGTCTAGTTTGCAACGGACAGATCTGCAGGCATAAATAGTCGGCTGCAAAAAGTACATCAGATTGTCCACGAACTATTGAGGCCGTTGAAAGTCAATCAAGAAGTTTCTGCACACTTTATAATTCGCGATTCGATGAATGAATAGGGTGTTATCTCCATCTGGGCAGAACAGGTCTTCTGTGACTTGGCCCCCATCCCAGAAAACATTCCCAAACTCCCGAGTCCAGCTAAAGCCTGTCGTGCATTCAGCTGTTTCGATTGCCGCCTGTCCCCTCATTGTCAAAGCCGTGAACTCGCAGGAACCCCCCAAAAATGATAGCATGGGCTTGTTGTACACGCCACTTGGCCACTAACGCCCGATTTCGGCAGCCGGCATCTCTCTTTTTTTCCCCTTGAGCGTGAATAGTATGAAGTGTCAAGTAAAAGAGCATCACCAATCCAGACCAATTACGACTGTGCATATTTTCATGCCGCACTTGAGCTTTGTCTACTAGGACACGGCAAGAATCCCGCGCCACCCAGTTTTTCGACACCGTATGAACATGAGAGTGCCGGTCTTGGCGATCCCGGTGTTCTCCGTGTCTAGTGTATTGACACTCCTAGCCAGAATCAGCTCAGGTACCAATCAAGTAGAATGACTAGCAAGATCAGAGTTCGAAGATGGGGGCTTGGGGGCTTGGAGGCGCATATCCTCATAGCTGGCGATCAGAGCCCGGTCTTTTCAAGACTCACCAATGACTCGTTAACACTAACACACATTGTTCGAGTCATGCGGCGCACTTCAACTTGAACTGATGGGATCGACACTGGAGAATAAATCAGGGACGGGCGAGGGAACAGCTGTAGATCACTGGGCTTACGGAGTGTCACCAATTGGAGTGGACATTGGATAGGAATGGCCGCCATTCGCTCTGTGCAGAAATTATCTAGTGACTAAAAGTTCAGCTGCGGCTTCAGCTGAGACTTAAAGCTCGCTCGTTGGCCGTCAGCTGTGGAGATTAGAAGTCTACGGGTTTCCGGCTGTGCAATCGGACATGTTCGCACGATTTCCGTGATATCCATAGATGATCTGTACTAAAAGGCTGGCCTGGTCGAAAGAGATTCAAGCACAGACATCAATCGATTCACATCTCAATTCGGCAAGACTCAAAAATCAGGCTGTCAGATCCCTCGCTAGTCCCATTATAGCTCGAAAATGCAGACGGCACCGTTGCAAATCATGTCAATCTTTGTGATAGATCGCGCATTGGAGAGAAACCCCGGTTCCTATTGACACGAGATGAACCCCGACGCCTCTCGGGCTTCCAAAGACGGTACGCCCATATATCATACGAGGTTGCACTTGGACTCGCATTTGCAACGCAAACTTACAACCTGTCAAACGCCCGCTCTATATAAGACTCCTACTAGAAATCCCCAATATACCGAATGATCTGATCCATTCGAAAGTAAGCGCTCGGACAGCGCTTGAATGGGATTTAGTCGGACCCAGCGAGCTTCTCAGTGATGGAGGTGATATCCTCATCTTCGTGGACTTCGATGACACGATTCACTTCGGCGGAGTTGCGCATCAGCTCTACTGCGCTGGCGTACATCATCCGTTGCGATGGGTTGCAGTTCACGGGGAGCCAGTAAAGCAAGACGTAAGGGACAGAGAGACGGCCGTCTTTCTATATGTGCAGATCGCTACGTTAGGAGCGTTCACGAAGTTTGTATCGAGGCCCACTTACCGTGGTCAGAGGGTGGCTGAGAAGAATGTATCGGGGGGCGGATTCGGGGAGCTCGTCGGCGAGATCCTCCATCTTGGTGTAGACTTCGCCATCTTCGGGACGGATCTCCTGTGTCTCTTTATCGATGATGTCTGGGTGAGATTATCAGTGTGCATGTCCTCAGCCAAGATGTGACTGCCCGTATCGTGTGCCGCATAGGATTCTGTCGAAAGCGGAGAGTGGTATAGGGGTGCGTACAGACGATAGCCTGGGCTTCCTTGGCCCTAGACGTGGTAAGGCGGAACTTGCGCAGTTTCTCTCTGGTCTCCGGGGAGAAAGTGTATAACCGTGATTCGGACTAGCAGCTGTCAGCTCGCGTTCCTCTGATGGGGGGTGTCGCATGTCCCGTTTGACGTCACTCAAGCGGTATTTAACGACTCACCATGTTGATTATATGTGAATAGGAGAATCCGTTGTTTCAAAAGAATGTCTCTAAAATGAGGCCCTGAACCGACACACTCGTAGCTGGTCAAAAAAGATGAGCACACGAGGAATGTGGGAAGCTCGCAATCGCCAACGAAATGCGGGCGGGGATACCCCCCCCACCACTTGCAGCTCCCCTTCAACTCTCATCCCCCAAACGACCAGCGCAGACGCTCTATACCACTTCATGCTCAACCGACTCAACTTATTAAGCCGCCATTTCCCCCGTCCTTTCAGCTCCCATCCTACCACCCAGACGCTCTCACCCCTCCGCCCAGCTCCGCCCGCAATGACATCAGCCCACCCGAACTTCACCAAACCCATCCACACGGCAGCCTGCCTGATCATCGGAGATGAGGTCCTCGGCGGAAAGGTGCGTACCATACCCAAGAAGAGTCCTACAGCAATTGACCAATCCAGACAATCGACACCAATTCGTCCTTCCTAGCCAAGTTCTGCTTTGGCCTCGGCATCCAGCTGAAGCGCGTGGAAGTCATTCCCGACGATGAAGAGGATATCATGGAAGCCGTGCGCCGCATGAGCGCCCGCTACGACTTCGTCGTCACCAGCGGAGGCATTGGCCCAACGTCTGTACACCCCTTTCAACCCCCATCTACACATTCCTACATCCTCCAGAGCACGATCCTAACCCAACCCAGTCACGACGACATAACCTACCAATCAATCGCGAAAGCCTTCAACCTCAAGCTCCAGCTCCACGAACCAGCCTTTGCCCGCATGAAGAAACTCTCAAAACCCCACCCCATGCAACCCAACTTCAACTGGGACACCCCCTCCCCCGGCCTAACCGCCAAGCTCCGCATGGTCGAGCTCCCCTATGACCCAACCATCCCGGCCGCAGACCAAGCCATCTTCGTCGCAGAAGACATGTGGGTTCCCATCGCCGTCGTAAACGGAAACGTCCACATCCTCCCCGGCGTCCCGCGTCTCTTCGAACGGCTTCTCGTGAACCTGCAACCTAGCATCAAACCTAGATTGTCTCATTTGGAGGGTAAGGCGACTGAGCGGGTGATGATTAGCACGCCGTTGCCGGAGAGTGCGGTTGCGCCTTATTTGACAGAGCTGGCGGCGAAGGTTGAGCCGAGGGGTGTTAAGGTTGGGAGTTATCCGAGATGGGGGAAGAAGAGGAATACGGTTACGTTGGTTGGGGCAGACAAGGAGTACCTCGAGTCGCTTGTTAAAGAGGTTGAGGAGAATGTACAGGGGAAGAGGGTCTCAAAGGAGGATGAGCTGGATCCGAAGGAGGAGGGGGAGACTGTTTATAGTCAGTAGATGATTTGTATCATATCCGGGGTTGATAGAAGTTGTGATACCAATAAAGCCTTCGACTGGCTCTAGGGAGGTCAGTTAGATCATTGACTACTACTTGTTTTTGGAGTATCCAACGTATTGAAAGGTTCGTAATCTGGCCAGCAAAGGCTGGAATCAATCGATGGCCAGATACCTCCAGCGCTGTCTCAGGGTTGGCCGACATCGGGACCGAGTCTACACCGAGATAGTGGACGTAATTGCAAGCTATAAATGACAATGGCTTCCCGCGCTACCCTCGAGAAAAGCGGAGTACTTATGCTGCATGACGAGTCACCATCACATCACCACTTGGGCACCGGGGCATGACAGCTCTGCAGAACGTGCACTCCAGGGCTAGCTAGGAGCAATCAACCATGCACACCCACCTGCGAGGGATCAATTGGGCAGAAGACTGGACTAGATCAGGGACAGATGCATCCCGAACCTGTTCACCTTTACCGGTACCTTTACCTTCACCTTCACCTTACCTGGAACATACGAGCTAGGTCCACAGCACACGCCATGATAGGAAGCAAAGAACCCGATGAGGAACAAATATTGACAGCCGAGTCGTCTCGCCTGAGACAGACACCTGATGATAGACAAAACAAGTAACCAGGACAAATCTTTCGCGAACCAATAATAAAAATAAAAATAGACGCAGAGGAACAAAAGGGGAATCAAAATGTTTCATGAGACGAGGGTTGGGCGTCAGGCAGTCGTCGTTTTGCGTTGCAGTAGCAGAGCAAGCCTCCATGGGAGGGCTGGCAAACCCACGAATTCGCAAAACACAAAGCCTCTTTCAGTTCTTTTCCTCTTGTTGTATCCTTTCCCTTTCCTCCCAGCCTGGGGGCGATTATAACCGTATTTGAGCACTCTCACTTTTCCATATATCCCACCGAGGTATTAGCCGTTCGTATGAACTCGTTCTCATTCTCGCTCTCTTAGCGCTCCGACAGCCGTCTCGGACTTTGTATGTTGAGACCGGGGGGCGCTTTACATAATGACGCACTTGCTGCAACAGCCGGCGCTCTCGCCGGGCTCAGCCACGTCCATCTTGCCCTCTGGTGCGCGGGCTCCATAGGCACCGGAGCCGGCGGGGTAGGATGACATCTCCTTGTTGTAGCGGCGGATCTCGCGGACGAGGTCGTAGAAGGCGTCCTCAACGTGGATGCGGGACTTGGCGGAGGTTTCGATGAACTTGCAGCCGAACTGACGAGCCAAGGCTTGACCCTCTGCAGAAAAGTGTTAGAAAGGTATAATTTTAGATGAAACATCATGTGGAGATATGGGGATATGGGGATATGGGGAAACTGGAGAAAGGGAGGTGGGAAATGGAAACCAAGGTGGGTATGTACCTTGCTCGGAGACTACGCGCTCCTTTTCCAAATCGCACTTGTTGGCGACAACGATGATGGGGAAATAATCCTTGTCCTTGACGCGCAGGATCTGCTGTTGGAAGGTCATGATTTCTTCGAAGGATTGGCGCGACGTAATGGAGTAGATGAGCAGGAAGCCCTCGCCGGTCCGCATGTACTGTTCCCGCATCGCCGAGTACTCCTCCTGGCCTGCTGTATCCAGGACGTCCAAAAGAGCGACCTCATCGTCGATGACACACTGCTTGCGGTAGGAATCTGCGAAAGAAAACAGGTCGTGAGCAATTCGATTCGATTCGGTTCGGTCGGACCTCCTGATGCCCGAGGGCGGGTATATTCGGCTCACCTTCAATCGTTGGATCGTATTCATCCACGAAGTGGCTCTGGATCAGCTGGATCGTCAAGCACGACTTTCCGACACCACCACCACCGACGACCACCAGCTTATACTCTCGTAGGAACTGCGATGAAAAGAGCCATGGTCAGCAATTGGGTACATTTTTGAGATTGAGATTGGTGCGATTGGGAATGGAGGCGCGACGGCGAGGTCGATGCGAAGCTCGACTGCGAGCCAGGGAGATCTGTGGAGATCGATAGGAGGTGTTTTTTTAGGATGGAGCTCACCTTTGAAGCCATGGTGAATCTAGGAAATCTTTCCCGAACAGAGAGGGAGAAAGAAAAGAAGGTCGAGACACAATCAGACGAGTGGGCAAAAAGGGTCCAAAAGGGAAATGCAAAACACGGGACGAGAAGGGAAGTGATTAGGGGGGGGAGTTAGTAAAGAAGAGAGGTTCGGAGTGTCGACGGGAAGAAAATGGAGAACCACTGTTGTGAGCTTCTTTGCCTTGTGGAGCCCCTACACCCCAGGCTTATTCTGGCACCTATACGATTAACTAATAATACGGACGGAAATGATCATGGATGATTACGGAGATTAAGACTAACCGGTTAAAACCGAAAAGAAAATGAGTTAAAGCAGGGGAAAGGGGGGGGGAAAAGAGGAAATTCAGGAGATCGAAGAGTGGGGGGGGCGATGATTGGGCGAGAAAAAGGGGAGATTCTGGAGTTTGATGGTATGTACTACTCTGTTACTCGCTGTTGGTCTCTGGATTCTTCTACTCACACCCTATGTATCTAGGATTGTAGTAACTAACTACCTAGAAAGGATTGTATTGATCGGTTTTGATTCCTCAAACAGAGCCTCCTAACGTGGTCGCCAGTGCAGGATAAACGTGTCGCTCTCAGATTGTGCTAAAATAATATCGAGCTTTGGTACGCTACTATCGAAATCCTCCATTGATTGGCCATCCCGCCAGCCCCTTAGGAAGGATGTGTTGACCCTGTTCGGAACTTCCATAGGACAGATAGAACATCTTCCGGCACATAGTCCCCAGTTCTCGGACCCAAACATCAAAAGTAAAAAATTGAAAAACTCCGTTTCCCTGATCAAACTGCAGAGCCCACATCGAGTCACTTCCAGACCCAAGTGGATCGTGGTGGGGATGGGTCCAGGGCGCTTTAGGGTATCGGGTTAGTTCGCACCAACTTAGCGTGATGCTGATGGGTGATGGACAACTTGTAAGGGCCGTAGCTTGTCGGGCACCAACAAGTCGTGTATCAATCTTGGCTTTCTTTTTACAACTGGATGGCTTGCAGGAGATGACCGCCTTGCATGTCGATTGCATCATCCCGACCGCCCCCGGTCTCTCTGTATCAACTTCGCGGCTTCATCATCTTTCCGGAATCCGTGTTCATGGAGACCTCCGTCAATGTCCACGTCCGTAGCCAGATCCCTGTCCATACACGCGTTGTCCGGTCCTCGCCTAACGAGCTACCCCGTGGTTGACATCTGTAGATCCTGGTATAGAACCCTGGAGCAACAGGAAGATTTAGGTCCTGTAGAATTCGGGAGTGCCCCGCGCATCCACCCACAGTCAGGATCCTCGCGTTCAGTGTCACATTGGAGTCTCCATCAATCCCACTCTCCAGGCAACGATCGCCTAGGTCTCATCCAGACCCCTCCTTTTCTGGCCCGGCTGTGGGATTCGGACATCGCATGTGCTCCAACAGTTTCAAGGATTCCAAGGTTCCTGACGCGGGCGCGATGCCCCTCTCATTCTAGGCGAGGGGACTGTGCGACCGGCAATCCGTGGCACCCGTGGACGTCAGAATTCAATTCGTTCTTCTGCCTTCGGGAAGCTTCGAGTTGCAGAGTTTTTGCTGGAGACGCCCAACTCAGCGGTTGAAATTTATATTGTAGATTGGAGGGTGTAGCTGCAGTCTGCGTCCCGGTCAAGAATTTGCAGATGCGGTCTTGCAGATGCGGTCTTGATATGATCGGTCAAACTCCCCGATTCGTGTAGTGGACGCACGGTCGGTGATGGATCACGGGCTGGCTGCAGGTGTCGGAATCCGGCAGGTGGGCGGTTCAGGCGATGGGCCCAACTGCTGCATAGGGCTGCTCGTCAGTATAGATCAGTATAGAGATGCACGGATACTCTGGCACCCTGGGCAATTTGGAAGTCAAGGAGTCACGGTCGATTCTATCCTGGATTGAGGATGAGTGGAACATCACGACCTGAAACAGGCGGCGTCTGCATTTAAGCATCCTGCTTTGCAGCATCATCTCACTATCTCGGATACTGTCGAGAACACATCCAAACTTTCAGCATCTATCTGATACACAATCTTGCCGGGGCTTAAACCAAAGAGACATCACATAGTTAACCAGGAACGAATCGCGGCAGCCGAGTAACTTCCAATGGACCCTTTGCTTCCACCGGACAAACGAGACAAGTATCTTGTCAAATAGAATGGCCTAGCTGTACGGCCTGCCATGCACCCATGTCTCCAGTCCTGGGGATACCACCGAGTCAATTTCTCTTCAATTGCCGATGTGTTCCTGCACGATCATCTACTTCATCTCTGTATTGTCGACAATCTGAGAAAGCCAAGATGTTACAAGGATTAATTCACATGACTGATCTCTAATGCAGCTTACGCGACACAAGTGCCGGTAGGTGTGGCCTGATCTTCTAAGACTCTGTGTTTGACTCTCAAATTGTGGAACCATGTACGACGGACTCTATCTATGTACCTCCCATGCTTCAAATTATCACATACATTAATCTATGACTTGCGGTGCATAGTGCCGGCGCCAGCCTATTCAATGGTAAGTAAGAGAAATTCACTAGCAATTCGAGAGAACGCATAGTTACATACCTGGTGGTTGGGGAAGATCAGCGTGTCCGCAATGACGACATTCTCCCGTCGTCCGGCAGCGAAGACAACAACCTCGGCAATATCCTCACCAGTCAAAGGCTCAACGCCCCTAAGAAATGGTAAGATTGGGTTCAGAGTAGAAGATGGAGTTGATCAATTCCACTTACTTATACACGGCATCAGCCTTGGACTTGTCACCGTAGAATCGGACAACAGAGAACTCCTACCCACATGTTAGCTTGTGTCTTGTAGTGAATAAAGGTAAATATTCGTACAGTCTCAACCTGACCGGGGTCAATCTCGATAATACGAATGCGGGTAGCAATGAGCTCCTTGCGCATCGACTCAGTGAAGGAGCGGACAGCCGCCTTAGTAGCGCAGTAAATACCACCACCGGGGTAAGGCTCACGGCCGGCAATGCTGCCAATGTTGATAATATCACCGCGGCCACCTTCGGGGCGCTTCTTGAAGATAGCGAGAACGGCCTGGGTCATGTGGATGAGGCCGTTAACGTTGGTGTTGAACATGACATTCATATCTTCGGTGGCGATATCACCAGCATGGGCAACACCCTTGACGAGACCCCTTTAATTCATTGTTAGTGCCCCGCTATGTCTTTGTCCAGTATCGGTCTTCTTTGATGATTGATGACTCACGCATTGTTGACAAGGACGTCAATCTCCTTGAACTCCTCCGGCAGAGAAGGAACAAAGTTCTTGATCTCCTCCGGGCTGCTAACATCCAGCTTGACCGGCAGCACTTTGACACCATCGCCAACTTCGGCCTTAATCTCGGCAGCGAGCTGGTTCAATGCGTCGATACGGCGCGCGGTCACAATAAGTTTCAGGTTCTTAGGCGAGGTACGCGCAAACTCCAGAGCAGTGGCCTTTCCAATACCGGAAGAAGCACCGGTAACAACAACAGTCTTGCCCTCGAGGCGCTTTGCCATTGCAGAGGCCATGGTGCGTCGGATAAGGGTGGGTTGGACGGCTAGAGAGAAAGGGTTGGGCTTTGCAGAGAGCGAAGCGGCGGGTGGGGGTGCGGAAAGTCGGTGGAGGAGCTGGATTGATCTACCACAGGCTCTGATATGGTTCATTAAGAGTGCTCGTATCTCTCCGGCGAATTGCAAAGAAAATAAAAGAACGGCCTTATGGCGTGCGGGGATCGCGTTGGCGTCATATCGGGTTATGTAATCGGCTAATCATTGCGGCGCGGTGTCGGTCTTCGTGCCGAGTTCATTTTCACTGTTTAGAAATTCCGGCGATACACCGGCGAGGTCTGTAAAGGATCCATTGCTCGGCCGAGAATCGCTCAGATCCCATTTGAAGTAAAAGTATTGTCTGGTGGCAAGAGACGGGAAGAACAACACATGACACACTTTGGTTCAACATTGAAAGCAGTTTAATCTCTCTTGTGCAGTTTACTTGACAATAATCATTCTTTTTTTTCCTTTCGTGTGAAAAGTAAAGGCGTCATTTGCAATACCTCTCTTTTGTTGTGCAGCAGCTCATTGTTAGGACTCGCTTTCATCAGACAAATAGTTCCCAGGGCTTCTCTATTATATTATGTTTTAACAAGAGAAGACATGTCTATCTTCAGGGCTTAAAAGGCAAGGTAATTCCCCTGGCATTGTTCTCGAACTTTCCCCTAGACACACCTGACGTAAGTTGTCTCTTCTTCGATTTTCGAAGTATTTCACCGGGAGATAACGGTATATGCTTAGCACATTGAGATACAAAAGAGATATCACTTCAATAGCAAGTATCCCTGAATTTCTTTTTAAAAAGCCTCCATATTATATCTATTGACATGCAAGCCCAAAATTTGTAGTATGAAAGATTTAATTCAATATCGGCGGCGCGAAAGCTTTGACTGGGCTGAAGATGCTGAGAATGAAATCAACGACGAAACTGACAGCTTTTGCTGGCCAACCCTACATTCAGCCCGCATAGATGAGCACCAGGAAAGTCACTCCTATTCACAATCCCATTCTGAGCCCTCCACAGCTATGACCTCCCGGAGCAATAGTGACGGATCCTCCGTCCTGGATAGGTCTCACTCGAACCAAAAGCCCCTGGAAGACCATGAACTAGACACAACGTGCAGGACTGTCGATGATGTCTTCCACTTCCGAACACACTACTGCCGTTCTAATCCAGACTTTCGCCATTTCAACTGGTCTGGTGAGCCAGCCTCTACTCGCAGCGCAACTTTGCCAGCCGAGTTCCTCGCTATCATTCTTTCCAACCCTAAAGCACTTGACCCCAATAAAGGCCTCCGTATCCCATCAGTCCTTCGCCGCGCATCCAAATTCATTGACTCCGTTGTTGTGAATCTAGCTAATACTGACGAGGGCCTCTTGAGTCTCCGCGGCCCACAGCTTCAACATGCAGCTACAGGATACGTCAGATGCCCCTCCACTCACGGATGGTGGCTCGTTGAAAGTCGAGAAGACCATGACCTTGACTTAGATACCAGTAACAGTGCTCACTACCTTATGTCTAACCTGGCAATTGCAAACGGATTTACTCGTGGGCGTATCCGGACTGCATCAGGATGGGCCAAGACTCGTCAAGACATCTTCACAGTTCGCTCCAAGCCCCGCCCCCCGCGAAGACGCCACCGTACTTATTGTCCATCTCCACTGAGTCAGGTATGGCTTGTATCAGATGCAAAGCCAGATATAATTCGGAAGCCCCTTCCCGAGCTCCCTCAGTATCAGGTAACGCCTGCTTCAGAGGAACGAGTCAGGCTCCCCACTCCTCCAAGCCAGATCCCATCTACCGATGCCCAGCATTTGGATCTAAGTAGAGATCCAAATCTTCACTGCTCTTTTTTATACCCAGCTGCACGTCCCAGATGGACAATCCGAAAAGTTCTAAGCAAGGTTCGAAGAAAGATGCGGAAGATGTTTAGTTCCGTTGTTCACGGTCTCCCTGATCCTGATCTAAACATTTAGATTCCAACTCGTCTGCTCAAGGCATTGTTTTCTTCCGCCACCACTCGCTGATTCGACACACTCACGCAATTTTCTTCGTTCCGGTTCCCCCATTGTATTTACCCATTGCAAATATAGATTCGATCGGTAGACAGCAAGGCATTGGCCGTTTGAAGGTACGATTTTATTGAATTTGCAATATTTGAATGTCAGAAAATATAATCTGAAGTAAGTAATCATGCATATCGGAGCCAAGCTGACCTCAATCGCCACTCATCCTACCCCGCCTGTGGGCGTGGTGTAAATTCCGCCGCCCCGCAATGAAGAACCCCGATCGATGCGGCTGCAACACCGTTGTTTTTTCACCATGGAATCCTTGTATAGGTAAGTATAGGTAAATCAAACAAGCAAATAACCAATTGTATCTAGTATTTCTGCCTAAACACTAATTCTTGTGGGTGATGATCCGAACCTCATATGAAAGCGATATTCCGGGGGAGGATTGATGTGGGGTCAGGTGCCAGCCCGGGGAGGAGATTCGTTTAAAGAGGGACGTTGAATCATTACAATGTCCCCATTCAACTCTTTGTACCCAATTTAGTTCTATCAGCTTGACCAGAAAAATGACACATCTCCTTCTTGAGCCTTCTCTTCTCGACAGCCTTGCTGGGAAAGTGGCCGTGTTGACTGGCGGTGCAACTGGTATCGGGCGCTCAACCATCCAGCAACTATGCAGTGAGTTCAAGCTAGTCAACATGACCAGACCATACCCTAATTATGATCAGAGCACGGTGCGAAGGTAGCTTTCGGAGACGTCCTCGAGGGACCGTCGCGAGAATTGGAATCCGAACTCAGTCCAAATGTCCACTTCGTCAAATGCGACGCCTCAAGCTACTCGGATCAGCTTGCCCTATTCAAATCTGCCCATGAGAAGTTTGGCAAAGTGGATATTGTAGTTGCGAATGCCGGAATCTCGATTCGAAAGGACATATTTGACCCCTCCGAGGATATCACGCAGGAACCGTCTATGAAGGAAATCGATATCAACACCAAAGGTGCTATCTTCAGTGCGCGCATCGGTATGTATTACTTGCGACAAGCTGGGGGTGGAGACCTGGTACTTGTGAGCAGCATTGCCGGGTTTAAGGAATGTGGGGGTCTGGCCACCTACACGGCCAGCAAGCACGGCGTTATTGGGCTTATGCGGGGCCTTCATTTGACCGCTACCCCGGAGAATATCAGGGTGAATGTGATTTGTCCCTGGATGACGAGTAAGTTTTCACTGTCTATTGTCTGACTAAAGCTAATGATTGATGTATAGGAACGCGGCTGGTTCTCGGGATCGAAAAGGGTTGGTATGAGCGGGCCTTACCCGTTAACGAGCCCGACGATGTCGGTAGAGCTATTCTAGTTTGTGCTACTGCGAACCGGGGCGCGAATGGATTGACTCATAAGGGAGCTCGTCTTCCGTTCGCTGGAAAGATTGTATATGTATCGGGTGGGGAGAGTTACGAAATCGAAGATGGCATCCAGAAGCTAGAACCGAGTTGGCTGGGCAAGGAAAATAGCCAAGTCCTTGAAAAGGGGCAGGAGTATCTTGCATCGGATAGCACAAGCTGGGATGAGTCAAAGCTATCTTGATATGGTTTCCGGGACAAAGCATCGTTCATACTATATTATTCATGAATCCATTCTCAAGAGACCACATGAACAGAAACAGCCTCACTATAAATGATCTTCATCCACATGGATCCACTGTCAATAGATGAGATAGGCGACACCTCCATGTGAAACTCACTTTCTGACGTAGTAGAACATGTTTGTTGAAATCAAAGGCTCACTGGTACCTTTCCCAGGCATAAATAAATGTTCGCGGAGAATTTTCTTCAATAAGCTGAGCATGGAGATTCTGCATAGCCGCAAGTTTGTAGCTGGCGGGACGTCCCGTCAAGGCCACCTAGCGAAGTTTAGGTGAACTTGTACATACGCCGCCTGCTAAGGTGTCTAGAAATTGCCCGCTAAACTCCGAAGGAATGTCATCGGGACCTGAGACGGTTTCAAATCCGGCTACCCCTGGGCGTGGCTTTTACAGGGGCAATTCCCTTTTGATTGACATAAACACTGGAAATAGTGATATATCTCAATGGAACAATGTACAAAAAAGCCTGGGGCATAGGTCTTTATTCAGTCTACAGGCTCCGGGCGCATCTTGTCAGCGTGGAAACAGCGAGGCAGTGCCAGGCAGTGCCAGGCAAGTTTATGCGACCGAGCGCGACGGGGGACTTTCTAGATACGGAATGGGACTGCGAGTCGATCTCATGCAAATTATGCTTTTCCAACTAATTCTCCTCTCCTATAGGTAAATGCCTTTGAAGAAGAGAACCATTTTCTGGACCGGGATTAGTGTGCCTGCTGATCGCCGGTGTGGGGAAGCCGGGGCTTAGTCTCCAGCAGGACAATTGTCAGCGCCAGGGAATAGGTCGGGAGTAGCAGCATGTTCTGGGAATGCATGCGAATATGCCTTGTCCCCTGAGATGGAGCCCATAAAAGGCCCCTGAAGCCCCTTGAATCGAATATTGTTTTGAGCATTCCAATCATTCCATCTTTCCAATTTGTGCCATTTGGCAAACTACCAACCACAATGGGCTCTATCACTTTATTCACATTTGTGTCCGCGGCTTTCATTAGTGGATTTGCCGCTGCACAGCCAACCCGTGCAATCAATTCGGATTTTGCCGACCCCTGTGTCATCCAGGTCGGCGATGGCTATTACGCCTTTGCTACTGCCGGCAACGGAGTGAATGTCCAAGTTGCATCATCCTCTGATTTCTCAACGTGGGATCTTCTATCCGGTACAGATGCCATGCCTGGTCCATTTCCCTCCTGGGTGGCTAGCTCTCCGGCAATCTGGGCCCCCGATGTGAATCAAAGAGTGAGTGATACAAAAACTGCTTCACAATCCAAAGACTAATCAGCTTCAGGATGACGGAACTTTTGTCATGTATTTCTCTGCTGCTACAAGCCAAGATAGTAGCAAGCATTGTGTCGGGGCTGCTACCTCCTCAAGCATTACCGGTCCTTATACCCCGGAGAATGATCCATTGGCCTGCCCTCTCGACCAGGGAGGCGCAATTGATGCCGATGGGTACAAGGATGGAGACACTTATTACGTGGTCTACAAAATTGACGGAAACAGCCTCGATGGTGATGGCACTACTCATGCTACACCCATTATGCTTCAGGGTCTTAACTCTGATGCCGTGACGCCAAACGGTGATGCCACACAGCTCCTTGACCGCGACAGCAATGACGGTCCCTTGATTGAGGCCCCTAGCCTTGCAAATGTTGGAGGAACTTACTACCTCAGCTTCTCTTCCAACATGTACAACACGCTCAACTACGATGTGAGTTATGCGACCGCGTCCGCAATCGCGGGACCCTATACCAAGGCTCAGGCCCCCGGCGCTCCTCTTCTCGTCTCTGGGGACGCAAGTGACGCTGGTAATCTGGGTGGCCCTGGTGGCGCTGATTTCAATGCCGATGGTTCGAAGATTGTGTTCCATGCCTTCGAGAATGGCCAGAACCTGGACAACGGACGTGCAATGTATGTCGCCGATATTAGCGCTTCGAATAACGTGCTTAGCGTGGGTTGAATGTATAATTGCAAGCTATATCGCTGCATTATCTAGCTTACTTAGTAGAATACATTCCTCTTCTCAAATACTGTAAATTCATGCAAGAATTAGGTTTGTTGGTGCCTTGAATATCAGGCATATAAAGGAAACATCTGCCGATCGCATATGAACTCCAAGTTTCTACCAAACAAAAGAACCAAGAGACTATTTCCACAATGGATTCAACACGGGACGCACTGGAGTTCCCAGACTCAGACAGGGGGTTTTTAGAACCTCAACTCCCGCCACATGATGGCTCGACCCCACGTCCAGATATGCCATTCACGACACTCACATTCGCAACATCTCTTGATTCATCACTCGCTCTATCACCAGGCGCACGTACAGTCCTCTCAGGACCCCAATCCAAAGCCATGACGCACTACCTGCGCTCCCGCCATGATGGCATTCTCATCGGGGTTGGAACCGCCGTGGCGGACGACCCTGGCCTCAACTGCCGCATCGCGGGGGTGGGCGGGTATGGCGGTGAGGGTCTAGAGGGTCAGCCGCGGCCGATTGTAATAGATCCTTCTGCTCGATGGGATTTCTCAGATGATAGCAAGCTATTTCAGCTTTGCACTCAGGGGCGTGGTCGGGCGCCTTGGATCGTGACTACGCTCCAGGAGCCGCCGGCCGAGAAGAAGGCTTTGCTGGAAAAATATGGAGGAATGTTCATTACATTGGACAAGATTGATTGGAGTGATTTGCTTGTTACGCTCCAATCGAATGGTCTTCGGAGCGTTATGATTGAAGGGGGTGCACAGGTTATCAACTCACTGCTTGAGCCATCGAATATGTCTCTGATCGATCGAGTCATTATCACGATTGCTCCTACTTGGCTGGGCCAAGGAGGAGTGGTTGTTTCTCCAGCCCGACGCTTCGATGTTGAAGGCAAAGCGATCTCCGCGGCGAGGTTGACAGATGTCAAATGGTACCCCTTTGGAGAAGATGTGGTCCTCTGTGGTCAAATGCGAGTATAAAATATATCAGCTACCATAGCGACCACTTAACAGCATCATGTCGGCCAAGGTTTATGGTAGATGAAGCAAATTCAGGAGTAAAAATTTGAACCCATAGGAGTAAACTTTTGTGAATAATATCTGGGCATGATACCCGTGGACAGCCAGGCCTAGGTGTCAAATGGGTTTTTACCAATCCGTCTTAATAGGCGATCGTAGTTACTTCCAGGGCTGTCTAGGCCATTTTCGGGGGCAATTCAACGAATCATATTAGAATGGGTTGATTGAAGGAATGTCTAGAGGAATCTTCAAAGAATGCCCAGTGCGTGTTCGGGTCAGTTCGTTCAAAAATACCCTTCCCCTCCGGCCATATGTATAAATTAGAAACCAGCACAATATATAGCCGTACATGACCCAAACCAAACGCTCATCCGATTTTCGAATGCTCTTTTTCGTAGTATCTAACAGAATTATTGAAACAAGAGAAATACCCTTGTTTTTCAAAAATAAGGCCCCCAATAATCTGCACCCCCATCTCGACGAAATAAAAAAGCTTGGGGCGCTCAGGTAAGAACAAAATTTCCATCCTGTATGTGTAGTGCCTATGTAGTCAAAGCCAGCTGGTTCTTATATCAACCACCCAAGTGGCCGAGCAGTAAACTCAGTCATCTCATCTTCCTTGGTCTAGTGGTCATGATTTCCGCTTGTCATTAACACCGATAAGCGCGGGAGACCGGGGTTCGATTCCCCGAGGGAGAGTTCCTTTTTTGTATTTTTACAATTTCAATCTGTACACCTATGACGGATGTCAATTGTCATATTTTTTGCATGCCAAATAACATTCAAGCAGTGTGTATCTCTTTAATCCTCATGAAACTTTTTCTTAAGCCTGCTGCTCTGCCTAGGAGTGTGGAGATTGTATGTTAGGGTTACCTGCTGAAATAGGAATGTGGGTCTTGATGGCGAGAAAAGCTTTCTGGATCCTATTACACAATCCGCCAACGATCTTCAGCAAGGCCGGCTGGCCCAATGGCAAGGCGCTTGACTACGAATCAAGAGATTGCAGGTTCGACCCCTGCGTCGGTCAATTTTTTGGTCTTTTTAGAGAGTATCATGGACAGCTTTTTGCTCTTTTTACCTACTACATCCGAGCCGTCATGTTCAATAGAGATTGGAAACAATGGGATATGAATATTTTTGAGATACTTTCCACATGATCAGTAGGGAAGTGGTATGAATCTTGTTACATTCTTAGCAGTGGGCTAAGTACATGGTCACTCTACGTTTAGAGGCAAAGAGGCGCTCCTTTCGCTGCCCGCTGTCCTTCGCTCTACTTATTTTTCCACTGGCAATTACCATATTTTAGGTAATTGCAGTTCCCTGAGGGTGGCCCATTCCGACCCGAGCTAGCCTCCACCGACACTGCTCTGCCTACTGTTCGTGTCTAGGTTTGCGTTTTCTCATCATTGTCCTGACAGAACCTGATCTGGTTTCCAAACGGGTCGATGACGCCCATTTCCTGCGATCCCGCCGCCGGACCCTCTTCAATTCCTGGCCTCATGTATCGATAATTTTTGGCACTTAGCTCGCGATGATACTCGGCGATTCCCCTCATCATTATTCGGACCTGCACACCCGGGCTGCCATCCCCGTGATGCTCACTTAGGTGAAGGATCAGATTTGCCCTAGAAATCTGCCGATATAGCGGCGCGTTGTCATCGAACCGATGATCCCAGTCAACCTTGAAGCCGAGATATTCGAGATAGAACTCGTCCGCCTTGGTAATGTCAAAAATGCGGAGTATCGGGACGACTGACTGGAAATCGATGGCCATGAAGTCTGGTTACGAGTTAATCTTGGGTGAAGCCGTGACTTGTTGATCATGTAGCGTATCCTTACTATAGTCGAGAACTTACTATAGTCGAGAAACCGAGTAAGAAGGTCTAAGAGATGGTGAGATGGATACGAAGGATTTGGATGACAATGCGGAGGAGGGCAGGTTTATTGGAATGAATGCCAGAGTTTGGTGAGAAGTGAGCGGGAGCGGGGTCGAGAACAGAGGCTGGAGATGAGCCTCCAGGCAGATCTTCCTCGATTTCACGCGGGCAGCTCAATAATCTATCCGCGCTTAGGTCTTGGCAGTGAGGGCCAGGAAAGAGTTACGCAGGGTGTATTGGTCGAGCCGATTTCGAGAATGACTGTATCAATTTGCAGGTTTATCCTTTACTGCTCACTGACTTGCACGTCTTCACGTCCAGAGGCAAATTTCCTCGCATCTTTTTCCTCTGCGGTCGCGGCCAAAGTCTGACAAATGGCACGAGAGAAGTCCTCTACTTGATAGTTCGACATTCCAATCCCATCTTTTCGACCGACTGTGATCATCTTCTCTCACATCGCAGTGACACCACCATGGAAAGTGATTCAAAGTAGATGAAACTGTTCCCGCTTTTGTCTCAATCGAAGTGGAAAGGAAACAGGATGTCTACATTAAACTACATCAATCCGCTTAAAAGCGAGAACATGGCAATTGGACTGACCATGGACAACGAGAATGGGGTCACCAACCCGTACAGGAGCCGAAGGCTAGGAGAATTCACCTGACGAGACGGTTGTCATAAGAGTAAGGGAGCAGGGGGAGCTGTATGCGAGCAGGGTCTTGTTTTTGCTTTACTAGTAACCGGTCACTCCATTATTCTGGCATGACGAGGACGTTATTGATTTGTTTCTAGCAGGCATTCGTGCATACAGACCGGATTACAAGGTGACATAAACGCTCATCATCAAGTGGCTTTCAGCCCATTATGCAGAAGAAATAAGGCATTTCATAAAATATACCCGACAGGATGCAGAGAAAAGAAAAGCAAATCAGGGGGAGTATGGCGAATCATCACTTCATCAGAAGACTGACAGCCCAGGGAACACTCAGTCCACGCAAATCTCCATAGTGCTGTCCAACACCCAAGAACACAATAGGAATGCCCGTGGCGTGGACCATGCTAACCAGTGTCCCAACCATGTCGCCCACGGTATCACACTTGCTAATAATAAAGCCGTCCAAGTTCCGACCAGTTCCAAACGCCTGATTAAAATTACGTGCCTGCATGACACTGTCTGTTCCAACCAACGCCTCACCAACCATGAAGATCTTGTCGGGGTTAGCGAACTTGGCGAATTTGTCAAGGGAAGACATGAGACGCTGGTCATTGTGACGACGACCGGCAGTGTCGATCAAGACAACGTCAAACTTGTTGGCAGCGGCGTATCCAACTGCATCCTTGGCAACGTTGGCAGCGTCTTTGCCGTAGCCTTTTTCGTAGAGCTCGATATCGCCAGCACCATCACGGATACTGAGCTCCTTCAGGTTGCGAGCATGGACACGAAGTTGCTCCACGGCGCCAGAACGGAAGGTATCACAAGCCGCAATGAGGACCTTGTACTTGTTCTGCAGAAGGAAGAAGCAGATCTTGCTCAAGTTGGTAGACTTGCCGACACCATTGACACCAACGATGGACATAACATAGGGACGAGGAGCATGCTGCTTGGTGGTCGGGGCAGTCACGGCGTTAATCTCGCGCAGTAGATCCAAGGACGAGGTGGGAGTCAGAATCTTTCGTAGAGATGCCTCCATGGCAATGTGCAGAGCAGCGTCAACACTCTGGAAGTTGGCGGTCTTCTTACCAACCAACTCGCGCTCAACACCCTCGCAAAGACGGACAGCAGCCTCGCGGGCGACGTTCTTCTTCAAGAGATGCTCCTCCATCGCCTTGAGGGGCTTCTGAAGGTCGGCCTCGGTCAAAGTCTTACCGCCGACAATGTTGCGGAAGAAGCCACCAACGGCGTTGAAACCAGAGCCAACAATACCCGAAGAAGCATTGCCCTTGCTCTTCTCAGCATCGGCATTATCCAGGATATCGTGTACCTCGTCACCCAGCTCTTTCAGAACAAACTGACCCTTGCCAGTTCGACGTCCCCAATCATCCTGGGAAATGGCTTCAACAGCAGGAGCAGCGGATTCGGTTTCATCCGCAGGAGCAGAGTAGTCCAATATCTCACCGTCATCTTCATCTGCATATCCGTCTGCATCCCACTTGCGGCCTTTCTTCGCGGAGCCCTTGGTAGCTTTGCCTTTACGGGGAGTTTCATCGCCAGAGGAGGCATTGGCACTCGCATTTTGGAATTTCTTCGCGCGGCGAGAGAGTCGACCACCGGGGCCAGCCTTTCCAGTGAGGATATGACCGGCAGGGGTAGAAGACCTAGAAGTATCAGGAGTTGCTGGTGGCGTGCCCTCGTCAGAGGTCGCCCCGGCCAGCGCAGCTTGAGGCTGCGCTCTCATGAGGCCAGGGACTGGGGGAGGCGGCGGGCCGCCATTGTCCGACGAGACAAGCGGGTCTTTCTTTTCGGCCTTTACAGGATATGTCTCTGCGACACTGCCGGTATTGTCCTCCAGCTCGCGCACCTGCTGTTCGAAGTACGGGTCGAATTTGTACGCAGTAATTCTCGTGCGGTTTCCCATGAGCTGGTCCTTGTAGAGATCGATAAAGATCGTGGAGATGTTCTCCAGAAGTTTGTCGATCCAGCCGAGGTGAAGTAGTGATTGGTAGACAGCCTGTAGAGGTCATGTTTAGGTTTGCGACACAGTAACGGGGTTGTCTGGAGATGCGACGGGCGGCGAACGTACCACAAAGATCAAGTTGAACTCCTTCACCCTCTTCCACTTAAGGGTATATTTCTCCTTCTTGAAGATTGGCGAGCCACCAGCTGAGCCGCCCGGGGGCACGACCTTCTCCTCGATAAAAACGTCGTTGATCAGGCTGTTAATGACATGAGACCCCACTGGTGCGTAGGACTTGGACCACAGCACCACACCGGAGGTGGTAAGGATTTCGAAAGCTTCCAGCATGTTAAGATAGACGCTGGGATGTTATAGAAGACGTAAAAAGGGTATCTTGCGAGCGAAAAGGGGGACAGAAAGAAGATGGAAAGTCGTGGTGGCGGCTCGGCCAAAAAGCGATGTTCGAGCTCGGAGGCAGAGCGGATCTTCAGCCACGTATAAACACTTCCACCTACACATCTCTCATCCCCCAACTACACCTCCTCCCACCCTCCAACTATTCAGTGGTCCCTCTTCCGATTTTCTCTGTCATTTCAGGAACACCATGTATCGGGGCTCCTTCGCACCACCGCCCGCGCAGTCGCCGCCTCTTCACCACCCCGTCCCGCAACATGTGTCGACTGTCCCCATGATGCGCTCTCCCCCCTCCTTCTCAACAGACACCGAATGCCGGATATGGCGGCGGAGGAAACCCATACCAGCCATCCCCCACTCAGGGAGGTGCTGCTGGCGCTGCTGGCGCTGCTGGCGCTGCTGGCGCTGCTGGCGCTGCTGGTGCTGCTGGCAACTATGGCCCCGGTTTCCCCGGGTTCATAAGCGATCCTACGGCACAGATGGGTTTCCAGGTTGGAAAGAGCGCGATGGCAGCTGGACAGGAATATATGGAACAAAACGTATGAAACGTCGCATACCGTGCTTTTTTAAGACGTCTCTAATCATAAGTTGCAGTTCAATCGCTATGTGTCCATACCCGCCCTGAAGCACTACTTTAACGTCTCGAACTTTTACGTCCTGAACAAAGTCGGAATCGTGCTCTTCCCATGGCGACACAAACCTTGGTCCCGCCAACAAGCCAGAATGGCGACCAATGCTACCGGACCGGACGGCCAGATCGTGCAGCAGCAATACTCTTCCATGTTCCTCCCTCCTCGTGACGATCTCAACTCGCCCGATATGTATATCCCCGTCATGGCCTTGGTCACATACATTCTCCTATCAGTACTGCTGGCTGGATTCCGTGGAGACTTCCACCCGGAGCTCCTAGGCTCGGTCACCACCACATCCATCGCGGTGATCATCTTTGAGATCCTGTGCTTGAAGATGGCCATGTACATCCTCAGCATCAACAATGACTCGCAGCTGTTGGACCTCGTGGCTTACTCCGGATATAAGTTTGTGGGCATCATTGCTACCTTGGTTACATCTGAAATCCTCACCCCAGGGCGGGGAACTGGAGGCTGGGTTGGCTGGTCGGTCTTTATCTACACTTACCTGGCCAACGCGTTCTTCCTGGTGAGTTATCAATTCTTTTCTTGGGTTGATACTTTCATTAACCTCTTTGACTTAGCTCCGCTCCCTAAAGTACGTCTTGCTTCCCGACTCGGCCGACTCATCCATGCGCGTAGGTGCCATGCACACTGTGGCTCGCGGCCAGCGCAACCGCCGCACTCAGTTCCTCTTTGTCTACTCGTACATCATTCAATTTGTGTTCATGTGGGTGCTCAGTCGTGAGGGTCCCTCCGCATTTTCTGCGAACGCAAGTTCATGATGGAGTTGTAAAACGGAGCAATGAACTGTATGGTATAGACCGAGTTGGTGGAAGGAACGGCATGCGCGGATTGGAGGAGCGACCCATCGCATTGCTTGAGGTCTTGGACGCAAGGGCCAGGCCTTAACAGTCACGATATAGCACGACTTATTGTAATCAAAATATCACATTTTCAATCGCAATTGTTCCAGACTTCTTAGTCAGGATTGCAAGGCTGCTGATACCTAGACTGAATATGGCTTGAACTGGACAGGGATATTGTTGGCCGGCAGCAGTCTATGAGAATTTCTAGATGGCCCATGGCAGATCTGGCAATAATAAATAAGATCGGCTTGTCATGGAAATACGATCAACCTTAATCCCGCAGCCGAACCAAGCTTCATTGCCAACCACAAGTCACCGCGAGATAGACTTTTGTTTAGGGGACCTTGACATGACCTATCTACGTCGGCGTGGAAAAGATTTACAGAAGAACGAAGGTTCATAAGAAGATTTTGCATTGTTATAGCTAAGTGTGGAGACAGGCAAGCCTGTGAGATAGACTGATAAAAATTCTGTTCAATGTTAGAAAATGATTCCAACAAAAGCATCAAAAAACAATGTGTAATGTGTGATGGTTCTCAGAGATCTTGGTAGAAGAGAAATTTCAGCTGCCCGAAGGCATCAATTACTATCTAGGCGTGATAAAATTTTGTAATCATCGGACCGGGGGGAGGAAGTAGTGGGACAAGGTGAAGAGAAAAAAAAAAAAAAAAAAAAAGCACTAGAAACATACCATTCAAGACGAGAGACCGGACAAGCAAAACTTGGTCCGGCCCAAGGTATCTCAAGCTGTGACAAGGCCTAGAAATCTTCGAGCAATCAGCAAAGTGGTCCAGCTGGTGCAATCATAGCAAGTAGTGGGTAGCGTCTCAATTTCAGAATATGTAAGAAAATTGAATATCATCCGACAGAGCTGTATCGAGACCCCGGCGAGGGCCTCACAGACACTGGGTCAATCGCAAATTACGGCATCATGTGAGAGGGAAAGAGCGGAATTGGGAGTGGCACATACCATGAGGCAGCTCGTAGTAGAGTAGGACTCAAGGCTGGAAGGTTAGTGAAGAGCAACATTAAGCTCATGGCAAGACTGTGGCAAAAACAGTGATGGTAACAAAGCAAAGAACAAGAAACAAAAAAAGTGAAGAAAAGCAGGTGATCGGAAGAAAGAGAACCCGAGACCGGGATCGGCTGACATAAGCCAACCCTAGACCCGCAGATGAGTGGCCCGCTAAGCGAGAACTGTGTGGGCACATCCCGAAATTCGACAGCGCAGACTTGGACAATCCGACTCTTTCGACAACAACCCTCCCGACTTATCTCCAACCCCCGGTTGTCGACCGTGAGTGCATTCGCTCCTGAACCGCTGCATCTGAACAAGCGCTGAGATCTATTGTCTACAGAATTTCGCCATGGCCGATATCGATGTCAAGCTCGCTTCGTGGAAGCTGGTCGAGGTTGGCCGCCTCGTCCTGATCCGCCGCGGCCCCTTCGCTGGCAAGCTCGCCGCCATTGTTGAGATTGTCGACCACCGCCGTGTACGTTAAACCCGCACTCCTCGATTTTCCCGGAAGACAAAGGAACTCCGCACTCGGAAATCGAGAAATTTGGAGAATATGTGTATTGACTCGCGGTTGCTTGCAGGTCCTGGTCGACGGTCCCTCTGGTGAGGAGCAGAAGACCGTGCCCCGTCACGTTCTTCCCCTCGCCCACGCCACCCTCACTCCCTTCACCATCCCCGCTCTTCCCCGTGCTGCCGGTACCGGCCCCGTCAAGAAGCTCTGGGCCAAGAACGAGATTGATGGCAAGTGGGCCAAGTCCAGCTTCGCCCAGAAGACTGAGAAGGCCGACCGCCGCAAGAACCTGAGCGACTTCGAGCGCTTCAAGGTCCTGCGTCTGCGCAAGCAGGTACGTGATTGATGGAAATCGAGGGTACCGAGTGCGCAGTGTGCGCGACTCGCTCCGATTGCAACCCCCCAAATTACAATCAAGACAACAATCTAACAATAATCTAGGCCCGCTACGAGGTCCAGAAGTCTTTCGCCAAGGTCCGCGCTACCGCTGCTAAGTCATAAATGATTACGAGGGTTCGGTGCATAGGATGACGGAGGTGTCCTGGGACGGGTTTCCAAAGCTGGCATTTCCCCCAGCAAAAGTGCTGTATGCATTATTGATATACTACAGCAAAAATGATTCAAAATCCTTGATATCCCGGCAGGGACTTGTATCATTGTTTCTCTTATGCGTCTTAGGCCCAGTCTGTCTATTTTATAGAACCGGGAAATTCCGTTTCCTTTGACTAAGGAAAAGCGAATTAAGTAGACAATGATCAAAGCCTTGAATTTCCAACTATTCTATCTTAAAAACAAAAGTAAAATATAAATTATAGATGAGAATATCATCCTGATGGCAGAACTTCAAATGTTAGATGGCCTTAGGTATAGGGCAATGTGGGAGTCCGGGGTGGGCGCAACCGCTCGCTAACGATTTTCGGGATTGGCCAGCGCACAGCTGTTGAACCTTTGACTTCACGACCATCAAAATCCCCCTGCTACCACCACAGCTCGATATCTGAATTCCAGGTGCGTTCGATTGCTCGAATATCCATCTTCTGCCATTTTTACCCTCCAGAACCGCTGTTTCCCGATGTTTGTGCGATTCGTGGGGGGTAAGGTGGTTCTTCCACTATACGCCCGCCCTCCCACCTCCCACCCACCAAGCTTTCCAACCTGCGCAACCTCACCACCAGACCACTGATCCTTTATTTTTGAGTCCTTTAGATTCGCCCACATATTCACAATGGCCGACCCCCGTGTTGAAGAGCTTCCCGATGATGAGGTCCCCCAGAACGTTGAGGAGGTCAGCGACTCCGAGTCCGAGGCCGGTGATGCCAGCATTCCCGCCGGCGCCGCCGTCACCATCCACTCTCGCAACGAGAAGAAGGCTCGCAAGGCCATTGCCAAGCTCGGCCTGAAGCACGTCCCCGGCATCACCCGTGTCACCCTCCGCCGCCCCAAGAACGTACGTCAAGCTCCGACCGTGGAATGAGATCATGGACCAGCGCATTGCAATTGTTGTAATGTTTGGAAATTTCCGTCTCAATTCCATGCTTCGCCTCGTCAAAATCCCGTTCAAAGCTGATCTCGATGTATAGATCCTCTTCGTCGTCAACCAGCCCGATGTCTACAAGTCCCCCAACAGCAACACCTGGATGTACGTGCCGCCTCACCCGACCCGATCTCAACTTCCGTCAACTTACTGACTGATTCTTTTAGCATCTTCGGTGAGGCCAAGATCGAGGACCTGAACGCCCAGGCCCAGGCTTCCGCCGCCCAGCAGCTCGCTGCTGCTGAGGCTGCCGGTGACCACGCTGGCCACGACCACGCCGGTCACGACCACTCTGACCTTGGCGAGGCTGTTGAGCCCAAGAAGGATGAGGAGGAGGACGATGGTGAGGAGGTTGACGAGAGTGGCCTTGAGGCCAAGGACATTGACCTGGTCGTTGCCCAGGCCAACGTTTCCCGCAAGAAGGCCGTCAAGGCCCTGCGGGAGAACGATAACGATATCGTCAACTCCATCATGGCTCTCAGCATATAATAAGCTAGCCGAGTTACGGTTCTCTGAGCGACTTGGGTTTTGCAAATGATGGCGGTCCGTCATGGCGCCCACGAGTGTATACAATTCAAATCAAAAAGAATTGCCCAACTCAATATCTCCGTAAATTTAAAATAACGCTTCCAAAAATAAATCAAATCAAGGAATACCTATTTAGATACCTGCGAAACATACAATCATGCCAATGTTATAGTGAGCCGGTGCTCGGATGCCGGATGGTCACGTGTTTCCCGCATCCAAACCTTTCCGAGTCAAACTCGCCTGTCCGGCACCTCCCTGCACATCGACCTCCCCCCTCTTCTCTCCACCTCCACAAACCATCTTCCCTCCCGACACAATGGCAGCTGTAGGTGTTCCCGTACCGACCGTCCCGCGCAACAAAAGCCACCGGAGGCAATGACCAGACCCGCTAACGCAGCCCCCCTACAGCGCAGCGCCGCTCTCAAGATCGACTGGGCCAAGGTCTCGACCTCGCTCGGCCTTCGCGGCCAAACCGCCGCTTCTCTTCAGTCCTTCAAGAAGCGCAATGATGACGCCCGCCGCAAGGTCCAGGTCCTGTCCGAGCAGCCCCAGACCGTCGACTTCTCCCACTACCGCGGTGTCCTGAAGAACCAGGCCATCGTTGACGAGATCGAGAACCACTTCAAGACCTTCAAGCCCGCTTCCTACGACGTTTCCCGCCAGGTCAAGGCCATTGACGCCTTCGAGGCCCAGGCTGTTCAGAACGCCGAGGCCACCAAGGGCAAGGTCGAGGCTGAGCTCGCCAACTTGCAGAAGACCCTGGAGAACATCGAGACTGCCCGTCCCTTCGAGGACCTCACTGTCGTACGTATACTATGCTGGGCGAAAGATATTGGACCAGATACTGATTCCATCTTGCGTATAGGACGAGGTTGCCGCTGCCCAGCCCGAGATCGACGAGAAGACCGCCTCTCTCGTTTCCAAGGGCAAGTGGATGCCCCCGGGCTACAAGGTATGCATAAATCTGTTTTCCGATATCTACCGCGTGCTAATGCAGTTAACAGGAGCGTTTCGGCGATCTTTCCGCCGTCTAAACTTTGGGCCCGGTTCAAATTCCTTTTGTTATCCCCCGACTCATCACACTGCAAGATGTATTTGTTCGATGTCAAGCATATGGCGCTTTCGCCAGGGTAGTCTCCGACGCCTTCCTTCATGGTGTGGTGGGGCGGTTGGGATGTGTATAGAAACAATTCAATTTGGTTTCTGCGTTCGCATTAATCATATTCCAAAAGTAGTCAATCAGTGCACTCGCCTATTGTGGTACTTAATGATTGAAAGACTTAACGTCCCGTGAATATGTTCAGCCGGATATGTACGTAGATTGCGGAGCTCCAGGGCTTGGATGTGGCTTGTCGCGAGCTCCGGGAATGACAAGTAAATAATCGGGCACTACAGCCGGACCAAGGGAATATAGCGAATGGTCCTTCTAGGCCAGCATGACTTGGCTGTCCGGGTGCACTTGAAGGGTTGACTCCTTGGAAGGAGGATAGGTAAGAGGGTTCGAGTATTGTGAAGGGCTAAAAAAGACCGGACCAAATTGCATTATCGGGTTATACCTCACGAGGGCGGGATATATATTGAGTGCGGCAACCCGCATGCCCAAGTGGATAGGTCTATAGGACTTGTTGGGAATCAAATATATTAATCATCATCTCAAGCCTCAGAAAAAAGCAATGCAATTCTCGAATCTCACCTACCGACTTTTACATTCACCGCTCAATTGCAGAGGAGTGGACTTCCTGGGCTTCATGCAATGACCGGGGTCCCCATGTCAGCAAACTCGGTCACCGAAGGAGAGATTATTGAGCTTGAAGGCTATGAGATTTGAGAATCCGAGAAAAGATGGAAACATTGCTTCTAGCTGATATAATAATTATGGGGCTCCAACCGCCAGAACCGTTGCGGCTCAGGTTTAGCATTTCTACAGAAGGTTCGTGCCATTTGCCGCTTGACCCACCTGGGCATGTACTTTGCCCCTGGTCGTCGATCTAGCTTATTTAGAGGCTATAATATAATAATCTTATTTCTGTAAATACCGATAGGTCAAATCTACACAAGCCCAATAGCTATTTTGATCTGCACTCAATGTCTTTTCCCCCTTCCTATCTCTTTCTTCTCGTCTACCAATCCCCAAATATGAAACCACGTATGCACTTTGACGAGTGAGAAAGTCGACGATAGCTGGGTAGACGAACTCCTGACCGATCAAAGCAAGCTACGTGCAGTTGGCGAGTGGATCATGAAGCACCGACAAGGTGTTGCCGGTGAATTATGTGATCCAAAGCCGGGTCCTACAACATCATATTCCGCATGAAATTTGAGGACGGGGGCTCTGCAATCATTCGATTTCCCAAGCCTGGAGCGGTCATGTTCCCCGAGGAGAAAGTTCGCAACGAGGTTGCGGCGATGCGATTCATCCAAGACCATACCTCGATTCCGGTGCCATCTATCTTCCATTGGGGTACCAAGGAGGAAAGTCCTATTGGATTATTTTTTATTATATTGGAATATATTGAGCATGAAATGGACTTGAGCGATGCGCTGAACATACATCGGCGTGGTTCCGGAGAGCGCTAGCGCCTAGATCTAAATATCTCTATCAGCAAGTTGGAATTTCTGTATGGGCAGTTCGCGGATATCCTTCTCTAGCTTAATAAGGCGTCGCTTCCATGTATTGGATCCCTGGAACAGGCTGATGAATCGATATATGAAATATCAAACGCCGGCCTTGGACCATGGATATGAATTTATTAGTGCTTCTGGGGACAGTACCTCGTTCGGAGCTGCCGAGTAGTACCTTTGAATTTTCCTCCTCCTACTTTGACACCCTCGCTGAGCTACATGTCGAACATCTTGAAAGTCAGCGCAATGATGCGGTAGACTCAGAAGACGATTGCCGGCGCAAGTACATTGCCCGACACTTATTTCGCAGACTTGCCAAAGATTGACGGCTCGCATCTTCCTCGAATCATAACGATGGACCTTTCAAGATTTGGTGCGATGATCTTCGACCATGTAACTTACTTCTAAAGGCGGATTTGCAAGTCGTGAGAGTGATAGACTGGGAGTACACTTACGCTGCACCGGCCGAATTCTCATCTGCACCACCATGGTGGTTGCTACTCGAAATGCCTGAGTATTGGCCTGATGGAACGGAAGCTTGGGCTGGAGTCTACGAGGATCGTCTTCAAACATTTTTGAAGGTCCTTGGTGAACAGGGAAGATGCCCTTTTGAAATCCGACCGGCTGAAAGAAGACCAAACGCTTTCTAGACGGATGTTGGAAAGTTGGCGGAGCGGAGATTTTTGGGTCAACTATGCGGCGAGGAAGAATTTGCTTTTGATGCTATCTATTGGCAAAAGCTTGATCCTCGCTTCTTTGGTCCCACTGGATCGCCAGATGAGGCTTGGAGTGAAAGACTGAAGCTACTGGATGAGAAAGATTTGGAGTCTATGGAGGCTCTGGTGCAGATAAAAATGAAACTTATGGAGGAAAGGGAATTGTGCTGGGATCCTTACGAGTAGTAGCTTCAAGATCTTTACTTTCCAATAGTATGCGAATAAGCCATCAAACATACTCTCATCTCTCCCTATGCTTTCATCGCTCGTGTGACCGCATCCAAGCGGATCCGAAATCGGCGGAACCTCTGTGGCCATTTGCAGCCTGGGCCTAGGCAAGGAATAAAACGAATAAAAACCCAGATAATCATGGATATGAGATCGATTGATCACAGAGAAAATCTCACCGTCCGGTTACATTCAAAATGGTCGCATTCACCGCTCAATTTTCTATTGTATCGGGATCCATACAACGACCGGGGTCTCCCGGTCAGCGACATGTACCTGAGGGCTCCAGAGCTCGAGATCAATAAGCCACCACGAAAATTGGGCAAAGACGTGACCTGTAGATCTTCAGATGACTCAGGCGCAGGTGATGTAGCCACATTCCTCGTCCCTAATGCGACCAGGGCGTGTCACGATCACGCCAAGACATGTCAATCTGCTTCGAGTTACCCACCTCCCCCTCCCATGCAGCTCCCAGTTTCAGAGCTCAGCTGCAACTCAACAAGACCATTGATTTGTTTTTATTTCGGGGATCCCAATGCCATTGAAATGAACGAGCTCCGCCCAACAAAACCCGTCCGCCCTGCTGGCTTCGCATCTCCCACATAACAACCTGTGTCAGCGGTGGTAAACACGAGTAACCTCACACTCAAGGCACCCAAATACCACGTACAATTTTGTCGCAAATGGGAGACTCCCACCCACTGGCCGGCCATCCATGCTCGCGCCTAGAGTGCCTCCCCGTCGAAATCCTCCAGTTGATCTTCCTATACAGCCTGGAGATCAACCTTCCCCGCGCCTCACCATACCTCAGCCGCGCCCTCTCCAATCCACTCCTATACACATGGTTGATCCGCCTAGCATTCAGCAGCACCAACCCGGGCTCCCGAGAAGGGTTCTTCACGCCAGACTTCCTGCCTCCACCTCTAGACTTCTGGTCCCTACCCTGGCAACAGCGCCAACACCTTCAAACCACCATCCTAGCCTGCAAATGGTGTACATTACCACTCCTCCGCCGGTGTCAACGCGAATACGTGAATCACGCCATAAAACGCAAATGCTCCGAATTAGTCTTCACCCCAGAAGACCAAGCCCGTCTCAACAATCTAGACAAATACTTCTCCGATCTCAATCAATGTGACCAAGCCATCGACGGCCGCCGTGGAAAAGGCGACCTCGTCATACCCGCCACCCTCCCAAACTCCAAACCCCGCAAACTCGCAATATGGTTTCATTTCGGCGCCATCCAGATCCGCGAACAAAATGACATCTACTTCGAAGCAGACCTCTTCCGTCTCCCGAGCTCCGTGGTCATCGGTCCAGGCCGGATCCCCGATAAAGTATTTCGCGCACCGTGGTCGGAATCCCAATTCGAGTTTCTGCAACTGCTGGCTGGAGATTTCTATCTGGATGACGAGTTCTCTACGGATCGCTCAGCGAGGATTACGACGCGATTGATTCGACGACGGAGTATTGGGCCGTTTAAGAGGCTGTTGGGGATGTATTTCCGTGCTGCGAATTGTAGGGTTCCGGTTCGTTGGCCGTTACAGGATAAGCACTATACACAGGTTAGGAGGTATGGGAGTGGGGCTGGGGATGAGTTTGTGAGCTTTATTCTTGATAAACGGTGGGATGAGATTCCTGTGAGTGAGAAGGTGGAGTTGGTACAGTATATTGAGGCTGAGAATGGATGTAAGGGGTTGAGTGCTGAGTACTGACATGGGGCTGGCAAACCTGGACTACACTGTATAAGGGCTGCATGCTGAGCACGGAAAGGGCCGGTGGACTTGGGGACTACTTTGTACGAAGATACAACCGAGCATACTAGAGCATAGCGTGATTATGAATTTAAGAAATTTCGGATTCCATTGCGCCTGGGTATGTAGCATGTATGGGGATGACAACCATGTCATGGTGCATCCCCGCAGAAGTAAGAAATACAAATAGTGAAACCCATTCGCGAAGCAAAATAATCACAAGTCATGATTCATAAGCCAGCGTGTGTCCATCGTAATTTCGCGGCTGGCGTTAGACGGCAGACCTAGTGCCTCTGCGTTTACGGTTCCCGCAGTAGCCGCATGTCAAACAGGAGATGAGCACGTCGATGACGGTGACGATACCGCTGATGATGGCGTGGAGAACGGAGCCGATGGCGTTCACGATGCCCATGAGACACGAGCCGATGGCGTGGAAGACGCTTTGGATCTATTTGTTGTTAGGATGGTTCAGTAGAGGGAGGTGAGGGGGGGGGGACGTACGCAAGAGACGACGGCACCCATGTTGATAGAGTAGTGTTTGTTTTTTTAAGGTTTAGGCTTTGGAGAAACTGAGCCGTAGCTTGAAGAGGCTGATGTGTGGGTAGAGGTGTCACTGAAAGGGCGCATGTTGAAAGGAAGTGAAGGGTCGTGGGAAGGTATTTATGGAAGGCAAGAACAGCCACACCGTTCCTGCTCGGAGTGAATCAAGGATGACCAGCTGGGGATCGTCGATGATAACGTAGCTGCGTCTCAAAGCGGATGGAATTATAGACGATCCTAATTATATAACGGCCGGATCGGCTGGTCTCTGCTGAAATAGGTGGAATGTACCAAGTAGGGCTGAGACAGCACTGACGTATGGATGTGCAGATAAAGGAAGAAAGTGGCGGCCTGCAAGGTTGTTTAACAGGTTTGCGATGAAGAATGAAGAAAAGAAAAGGTTCAGTTACGATGTCCGGTGCTGCATGTGGCTTGACCCCTCCGTCATTTCGACTGTGGCCCGGGTTGGATTCCTTGATTTCCTTGTTTTTCACCAGGTCCAACGCCCATGTGCTCCCACCGGGAGTCTATTAGTGGTTCATAGCTTCTAAAGGGGTAAGGTAGCTCTCCCTGGTGCCTTAATATGCTCTATATTAATATCCACCTCTGCTGCGAACGCTAGGATGACAGCTGGGTCCAGCTTGGTACCTGGCTGGACCCTCGAATATTTTATGTCGATGACATCACCCTGCACCCCTCCCAAAAGAGACAGTCACCTGACTCGTTGTGGGGTAACGGTCGCTTGTCATGTGACCAGAAACAACCCTGCATCGGAGCCTCATCCACCAATCAGAGCCGCGACCAGATATGGAAAAGCGTAGCCAAGCTAACTTCACCTGACATCTAAGCATTTCAGAGATGTGAGCATTTGGATGGAGCTGAGTGATCAACTCCGAAGGAAAGGTGGGGTGAATCCTTTGTGATCCATCACAATGGCGCGTCAGGGCAATCACATTCCTGTGACGCGCACAGGAAGCCTACCGCCTAGAATCTCCAAATCTGCACGATCTACGTCCAGACCCAAACGGCCCCCCGGACGCCCCTTCAAGCTGCCCCGGAGTACAAGTGCAAGCACATCATCATCCCGATCTGGTCGCTCGGGCCGTCCCTCTGCCTCCCCGAGCGTCGCCCCAACTCCACCGCGCAGGACGCTGTCAATGCTAGAGGCCCTACCCAGGGAGCTCATTGAGCAGATCTTCCTCTATTCATTGAACCTCAACCTCCCACGTGCTTCACCCGCCCTCGCTGCCGCGCTCTCTAGAGAACACATCTACAAGCTTCTCATCATCCTCGCCTGTTGGGATGACCCACCGGACGCCAGTTCCTCATACAAAGGCATTGGCCCCATCCTGGCGCCGCTTGATTACATACCATTAGGAATCCCTCAACGCGCCAAGCTGCAAGAGGATGTCTTCCGCTGTCGATTCTGTACACTGGACCGCGTCCGAGACCAGATTCCCACCATGATGCTTTTAACCATCCGCCGCCAGTGGATCAACAACGATATCGTCATGGAGCCAGATCAACAGGAAGCCCTGGAACAGTTCATGGAGCGCAAAGACAACAAAGTCGCCACCTTCCAAGGAAAGGGACCGCCAGTCCAGATAGTACCCCAGATTAGGGCCAATCCCGAGTTGCTGCGCCGAGCCCAGCAGCCCGGTCTGCACGAGTACGAGCTATGCGTGAATCCGATGACCCTCATCGAATACCGCTCAAAAACATTAGGTACAACTGTGACTTGGCCCGCTCTCAATCTAAAAATCTTCCCACCCAATCTCCTCCGCGGGGGACCGAAGGGCTTCAGCGCCGCCGACGTCGAATTCCTCGAAATGCTACGTATCACCTCGGGCAACACCCTTCCGCCCTTTAACGAGCTGGGACCCTGTACATTTACGACTGTCGACCGGAGGGCACTACACACAGGCGTGAACAAGGCAATAGTAACGCAGAATTTCGTGGCACTCGAAACACTGCTCAAGATCGATGAACTCTTCTGCCGCTTCCATGGCCATAGAACTGAAGAATCGGTTTTTTACACCATCCCGTCCGAGCACTACCTCACCGTGATCCGTTTACGCTGTGATCCGATCCAGAACGTCCGATTATTTCAAACTCTCCTTCGTGCCTCGGCGGAGTCGATGCCGATCAAATCAACGGAACTTACTCAGTGGATGTTCAATCTCGTCTCCATGGCAGAACAGGATCCCGCGCAATATGGCCAAATTAGCAAGTTTGTGCATTGGTTAATGGATTTCTATATTGAAATTGAGAACCATATTGAATGGGCGAGGCAACATCCTAGTGGCGCGCTGTTTTATCAGGGCCTGTTGGATCCAAATGAGGAGAAGGGAAGAAAATACATTGATGCAGTATATGGCCCTGGTGCGAAACCGCCTAAGAGATATATTGATGAGACTTCGTTCGACGCGAAGCATTGGTGGTTGAAGCAGGCTGGGTCGGAAGTGCCTCCTCACTTTGTGAGAAGTCCTCCGCAGACTGGGCCTTGAGCTTAAGCTTAGCTTAGAGGATGTTTATGATACCCACGTTTTATTAGAGCATTAGAACGGACTGCTATGTCCAAGCTAGAAATGAATTAAATACCATGTAAATATTTTACAAGTTGCAAAGATCGATCTTTAAGAAAAAAGACTCAAATCACATGTTCCCCAACAACCGGAAAAGACCAGCAATCCATCCTCCAATCGTAATCTGATACCCCGTCTCAACCACTCCCTTGCACATCTCCCAAGCCTTGACACCATCCTTCTCACCTCCCTTGTGAATGGGATAATCCACTCGGGGCGGAATCGCAGTCCCAACCAACGTCGGGAACCGATCCACACAAACAGCCTTCAAATTACACAATCCCCTTAGTCCCTCATCGCCCGCAAACCGCCCATAGCCAGATCCCTTCACACCGCCGAAAGGTAGCTGCACAGCGTAGTACGCACCGAAATCATTGACGGAGACCATACCCGCTTCGATACCAGATACGCACGCTTGCACGTCGGAGGCATTGTGGCCGAAGACACTGGCGCCGAGGGCGTAGATGGTTGAGTTTGCAATTGAGATTGCGTCGGGGACGGAGTCAGCGCGGAGGACGAGGAAGACCGGAGCGAAGAGTTCTTCTTGGGCGATTCGCATGTTGCGAGTAACGTCGACGAGGAGGGTTGGAGCGAAGTAGTGGCCGTGAGAGTGGACGGGGTGTTGGATGCGTTTACCACCAGCGAGGAGACGAGCGCCTTGCTTGACTGCCTCGGCGATGAGGGATTCCAATTTATCGAAAGAGGCTGGGGAGATCATGGCGCCCATGTCTGGGGTAGTAGCGTCCAGCAGGATGGAGCCGAGACGGAGAGATTTGATGCGCGGTTCGACGAGTGAGATTAGTTTGTCGTAGGAGTCTGGGAGGGCGATGATGCGTTCTACCCCGATGCAGTTTTGGCCGGCGGATTGGAAGACGCCGCGCATTAGGATTGAGGCGATGGTGGGTAGGTTGCGGACGGTGCGGGAGTCATCTAGGATCACGGAGGGGTCTTTGCCGCCTAGTTCGACGCAGACGGGGATCAGGGCTTTGGCGGCGGATGCGCAGACATGGTGGGCGACTGGGCGGGAGCCGATGAATGTGATATGGGCGATGTCGGGGTGGGAGGTCAGGGTGTCTGCGACAGATGGGAGGCAGACGACTGTTTGGACTAGGTCGCGTGAGTAGCCGCAGCTGGAGAGGGCGCCACGGACGATGTCTAGGAAGAACGATGTGCACCAGGCTGTTTGTTCAGAGGGCTTGACGACGACTGCGTTTCCGGTGAAGAGGGCGCTAATGACTGGGCCGATGAAGTTGTGGAATGGGTAGTTCCAAGACACGCAGGCGGCGACTACGCCGAGAGGCTCGTAGGTGACCATGTTCTTCTTGTACATCATAAGGAAGTTGGTAGGGCGGCGCGAGGGCAGCAGGGCCTTCTCGCCATGGTCGATTGTCCACTTGAGCTTCTCGGCCGTCACTAGGATTTCGCCGAAGGAGGCGTCCACTTTGGTCTTTCCAGAGTCGAGGCAGCAGGCAGTCACGATGTCGTCTTGGTGATCGAGGACGTACTTAAGCAGAGTGCGAATGATCTGTCTGCGCTCGGCGAACGTAGTCTTCGCAAACTCGCGCTGCGCGTCCTTGGCTGCGCGCACAGCGGTGTTGACATCCTCGACCGTGGCAGGTTTGATTCCGTTGCCCAAGACACGTCCATCAGCCGGGCAGTAGCTCATGATCAGCTTGTCGTTCCATTTCTATGAAGAATCCAGCCATTAGCAAACATTCAATCTCGACGACAGAAGCAGTCTGCCAAACAGCCCGAACGCGACTCACCCCGCGAGCTTGATCCTCCAGGATGCGCTTTTCCTGCCCTTGAATATCATCCCATTTCTTTCCATCTCCACTCTTGCGCACTTCCTGCGGCAAGGGAACATTGAATGTGACGGCAGCCTCCCTCCGGCTTAGAATGTAGAGGTACCCCACGTAGACGGCGAGTAGGGAGGCGAGCGCGACTCCAGCCAATTGAGCGTGTTCGGAGGAGACGGAGGAGCTATAGGGCTCCACGGCAGCGCGAACGCACGGGAGACGTGAGAGTAGACAGTCCATGCTGTGGGCGGAGTTGGCGAAGTTGGCGCAGCCCCTGGAGCTTGGAGGTGATCTTTTTTCCCGATAGGCGATAACACGGACCCCCTTAAGTATGTGGGGATTCTACCTTCCGAGTGGAATGGAATGCTCATGATTCAAGTCTTGACTTGCATTTTATCTAACTATAAATTATGGAATAAATGGAAAATACCGAGGCTGGTGATGCAGGGGTATAAGAACGAGCTCAATTCGCAGTAGCCCTCTTTTTGGGTTGAGTGTTGCGAGTGGCCGGCTTCCTGGCTTGAGTCTCTTTCTTGGCCTGAGCGGTGCGGGAGGGTCTTTCCTTTGGAACTGGCGTAGAGGGAGACGAAGAGCTTGAAAGTTGCCCGAGAGACGAGATGGGGGTAGCGGTTTTGACGATCGAAGACTCTACTGTAGTTGGTGGAACAGGAGTTGACGATTCATCACGAATCCGAGGCAGGTGACTCCTTCATATCCTTAGACTGCGCCGAGGCATTGCGAGCGGGGTTCTTTCTCGACGAGGTCGTTGGGGCGATAGAGACAGAAATCTCGCGTTTCTTGCTCTTTGTAGCGCTTGAAGTTGCTGTGGACCTCTTCCTCTTGTCACCAGCCTTCGAAAGGGCATCAGAACCTTTTATGGAAGCAGGATTGCCTTTGCGGGCCCCGGTTCGCTCTACCAGATGCTCGATCTCACAGCCATGATGCCAGTTGACATTACTTTCACCAGTGCCGGCACGGCATCTGGGGCAAGTCTTTCCATGTGTGATGAGCAGCTTATGGAGGGAATATTTCAGATGATTTGGGATACGAACTTCCAAGTGGCTGAACGCGGTGACCTCGTTAGCATTTGGGGGAAGCCAACCCAGCCACTTGCAGAGGCGGAAGATGTGGGTGTCAACTGCAAAGCACGGCCGCTGGAGACAAAAGAGACATACACATGCCGCTGTCTTTGGTCCAATTCCATGGTACTTGACCAGTGCAGCGATGGCTTCCGGCGTGGAGAGTTTGTGGACGTGGTCCAAAGAAAGGAAATGCTGGTCGGCACAGGCGTGTCGATACTCCTTCTCCTGTTCCGTCTTTTGAGGCAACATATTTGGTTCTTTCACGTCTGTTGACCGTTCCTTGGTATCCAAGTCCTTCATCCGTTCCTGATTCTCTTCGTAGACTTGATCGAGAAGTTTCTTCAAAGTCTTGCTTTTAATTTTGCCCATTCCACCCCTTTCGATGGCTTTGAAAATGTCATCTAAAGAAGCTTGTCGAACAGCGTTCCAGTTCACACTGCCTTTGCCGATGCCTTCTGAAAGAATTCCGAAACGTGTCACGAGTCCCTCAAAAGCCAGACTAGAGTTTCTGCTTGTCGTATTTGCACTGAGAATCGTACGGATGAGGGCGTCAAGAACTGATGGAACTTCACCGCAACCAGTAACAGTAAGTGAAGGCTCCGGGATAGTTTTAGGTACAGTCACTTGACCATGAGCCACAGTCAATAGCCGATTGACTTCCTCACACTGCGCAACAGTTGGTTGCTTAAAAGTGGGGAAGGGTGTCTTGCCAGTCGTCAAGCCATACGAGGTACGCGGCTTCTTAACTGGTGTACTGTCGTCTTCTCCCGCTTCCTCGGGATCCTGCTTAACAGGAGCAGTAGGCGCGTCAGCGTCAACTGATTGAAGATCCGCTGGTGGATTGTTGGAGATGGTGGCATCAACCCCTTGGTTCTCTTTATTAAAACCGTCAGGTGGTCCTCCAGGAACATTGTCTGCTGGAAGGGTGCCTGAAAATTTGCCCAGGTTATGGGGAAGCTCATCAGAAGCCTCAGATTTTATGCTTTTCTGTGCGACCTCATTTGGAGAGTTTCTAACTGCCGCTCTCCGAATGGTTTCCTTTGCCTTGGAAGGCTTTTTGGGTGTGACAGCCTTCTTCGCTTTGGTAGACTTTGCGGTGGATTTGGTACGAGCTTTGGGTGCATGTATTTTCTTAGCAGCGGGCGTAGATCTCCCCCTCTTCAGGGACGAGACCACAGGCTCATGAACCAAGGGAGACAGAGAATCCCGAGCATCAGCCGGAGCCTCGGGCTTAGCAGTTGTCTCAATGCTGTCTCCTGAAGTTGCGCTTGGGAGTTCCGATGATTGTTTTCCCGGAGACATCGCATTGGATGAAAGCAATTCCTTGGAATCAGAATTCGGGAATTTCGCTGTAGGAATGCGAGCCGATCGGCGCCGCTCAAAGTCTGCGGGTGTGGTCACAGGAGTAAAGTCGTCAGACGGGATCGCAGAGCCCTTGGGCCCTGCCGGAGATTCGAGATCCCCCATTGTTTCAACCTTCGATGAGAAGAGTGAGGAGTGAGGTGAGATGAATGATGGAAAATATAAAGAGATGAAGTGAGCCCTGGAGACCTGAATAATGATAGATGACTGGTAGATGTTGGATCAGGAATGGTGGGCGCGAATGACGTCAAGCTTGGGCGACTGCAGAATCGCGATCTCGATTCCCCTGGGAATCTGGACCGCCTGATCGGGGTTGGGCCGGTCGCAGGTCTGGAATGCAGAAGATCGATGTGAGGGCGAGTCTGGGGTGCGTGATGTAAGATCCATCGTGGATGCTGAATGGCCAATCTCGAAGTATAGTGGAGGCACGTGACCCGTTCTTTGATAGCCGATTTTTGCCACAGTTGAGTACAGAAAGGCCTCAAGATACAGAGAGATGGTGACGAGAGATAATAAGAGCGAGAGGATGACGGTCACGACAGGAGGCCAATGACAGAGGCAGGTTGAGGACGGGGGATAGTTGATCACTGCCGAAGTGTTCTTGTGGAGAATGATGAGAACAATGTTGGAAAGTATCAAGAAAGACCCCTAGAATAGTGAATCGTGGCTGAGGGTAATTAATGATTCCTGAAAATACCACTGCCTCTCGCGATTCACTTGAGCAACTTCGTGCGGCATGCTGTACATTGGTCTTACCTCGAAATTGGTTCGAGACGGACCGACGGACCCTTCGAGGAACCTTGAAATGGTCGTTCGACCGGGAGGCGGTGTTAGTTTGCGATAGGGTAAGGTGTTGCAATATAGTTAATGGCTCAAATGAATAATTTTTGGTTCAAATGGTATCAGCTCTCAACCTAAATAGTAGGAGATAAAATAATATAATATCGACATTTCTGTGATATGCGTTTTCACATCTTCAACATAAATCGTTCCACCTTCTATGATTCCACGAAACGAACTCCCAAACTCCATATGCAAATCAACCCAGTGGCTCTAAAAAGGAAAAAAAAGGCATGGTTCATCATTCATGGTGGTCAGCAATGTTGTGGATGCTGATGTCCATGCGGTCATCGACCTTCGGGTGATCCTCCTTCTCGGATGAATACTCAGTATTCTGCACAGTGTGGGCAGCAGGAATGATCTTGCCGTTGGTGTCCATAGTGACGCCGTTGGCGGCGATCTCGAAGTCGGTTATGCTGGCGATGCCGTTGGCAACAGCCTCCTTGGCCTTGTCCAGTGCCTTGATCTTGCGGCCTTCGCCACGGACTTGCTCCAGATGGTCGAAGTAGCCTTTGCTGACGGGGGTGACGTAGCTACCACAGAAGACACCGACCTCGAAGTTGACGGGCTCGGTCTGGCCGTTCTCCCGGGCGATCTCAGCGCAGGATCCCTTGAGGTCGTCCAGGGTCTGGAAGACAACGCTCTCGGCGCCGATGTGCTTGGCAATCGCGGTGGTGTCACGGTTGTGGGCGACCAGCTCTTGGGGAGAAGCAAGGTCGATACCGTAGATGTGGGCGTGGGTGATCTCGGGAGCACAGCTGGCCAAGTACACCTTCTTGGCGCCGGCTTCCCGCGCCATGTTGACAATCTCACGACTAGTGGTGCCACGCACGATAGAGTCATCGACAAGCAGGACGTTGCGGTCCTTGAACTCAGCCTTCATGGCGTTCAGCTTGCGGCGGACACCCTTTTGGCGGGTCTTCTGCTCAGGCATGATGAAGGTACGGAACACGTAGCGGTTCTTGACGAAGCCATGGCAGTAAGGCTTGTTCAAGAACTGAGCAACGTGAGTGGCAGAGGTGGTGGAGGTCTCAGGAATGGGAATAACCACGTCGATGTCCTTGACAACATCGGGGCCAAGGACCTCAAGGATACGGGCACCGAGACGGTCACCCATGCGCTGGCGACTGCGGTACACACTGATGCCATCGATGACGGAATCAGGGCGGGCGAAGTAGACAAATTCGAAGATATCCGGAGCGTAGTCCTTCTTCGGTGCCACCTGCTGGAAGACCGGCTCGCAACCCTTCTGGATGACGACAGCTTCACCGGGCTGGATGTCGCGGTGGTTAGAGAAACCAAGCTGATCCAACGCAACCGACTCGGAGGCCATCATGTAGTCCATTCCAGGACCATCCAGAGAGGGACGGGAGCCAAGGACCAGCGGGCGGATACCGTAGGAATCACGGAAACCCAACACACCGAAGCCTAAAAAAAGTCAGTCATCATTGTCGGATGCAACGGAATAGGTAAAAAACTTACCGGCTAGCAGGGCAGTGCATGCCCAACCACCCTCACAGCGCTTGTACATACGGCTCAAGCTGGCAAAGATATCCTCTTTGTTCACACGGGCCTTCTTTGTCTCGCTCAGCTCATCGGCAAAGATGTTAAGCATGAGCTCACTGTCACTATCAGTGTTGATGTGACGGTGCGCCTCCAGGTCCAGGTATTTCTTCAGCTCCGGCGCGTTGATGAGGTTACCGTTGTGAGCGAAGGTGATACCGTACGGGCTGTTCACATAGAACGGCTGAGCCTCAGCGTTCGCACTGCTACCAGCAGTCGGGTATCTCAAGTGAGCGATACCCATTGAGCCGGGCAGGTTGGTAATCTTAGCACCGTCTTGGAAGACCTTGGCGGCCATACCGTTGGCCTTGAGCTGGTAGATACGGCCCCCGGACGCACAGGTCGCGATACCGGCTGCATCCTGACCACGATCTATGTCACACAGCAGACTTAGCAATTATCCTTGCAGAGCTGTCGGGCACCACTCACGTTGCAGGAGGTACAGGGCTTCGTGAAGGTCCACCGCGGCGGCGGCGGAGGGGTTCGCCAGGATCAGAGCGATGATTCCACACATCTTGATGGCGGGTTAGAGGGTACCTAGACCGAGCAAGACAAGATTAGCACAGTGTCCTTTTGCCACTCAATCGTCAACCGCGGGGTGAAAAATGTCTCAATCAGAAAGGGATGTTTCTCCGCAATGAAGTTAGGAAGTCTAACATCTATAAAAAAACCGAGTTCATCATAAAGACGAGGAAAGGAACGCAAGACACAAGACAAAAGATACAACTCACAGAAACCTGACAGGGAGTTAGGGAGCAAAGCTCATCCAGGAGCCCAAAAACACGGAGGGGAAAGGAAGAAAATCTCCATAGTGGCCTTTCCTTCTGCCGTGGTTCGTCTCCACCGAGATTTTTTTTTTCGCGCCGACTCCGGCTGACTTAGCGATTAGTCAGCGTGCCCTATGCCCCGCGTATTTAATGCTCACAAGCTTGAATAGCTTCACGTTCTCACATTCTCACGATGCTGTGTGAATGTGTGTTTCAGGCATGCATGAATATGGCCCTAGGACTTGGTTTGATCTACTATCTTGTAGCCATAGCCTTTGTATACGCAGGTTTCCGACCAGACAATGACTTGATTACTGAGATTACGACCTCAGGAGGAATATCCCATTTTCAAAAAGTAGAAATACTCTCCCATGTAGACCCCGCGGGTCGCGTAACTTTAAGCCGACGTCTTTAGCCTTCTCGTTTCGCTATCGTTCGTTGTTCCTGATTTACCTCTACACACATACGGAGCCACCACACCCAGAGCATACGTTTTCCTGCACTAACCTTCACTTAATTCCTTGCTACGACCACTTTTACAAACTCCTCATCTTGAGCACACCATGGGTATTGAGACCATCGATCTAGAGGCAGGCCTAAAGACAGACCCGACCCTGGCGAGACACTATCCGTCTCAATCATATGCTCACTTATCTCTTCCTCATAGCTCGATATCCCACTCACATAAAGGTAAACCTGACCTCCAACATACCGAGGTGCATAGCCAGAAGCTCACCTATCACAGAATTGACCTCAGTTCCGTATCTCTCAACCATGCCCAGAAGTCAAAGCTCCTCGATCACTGAAGGTCGCTCGTCCCCCGAGTTTCAAACGGTCCCCCACCATCCAGAAGGCCATTCTTTCTCTAGCTCCTCAACAACCATGCCTCATAGCTTCCCATCACAAAAGCTTCGACGTCTTCGCATGGAAAGCATGGCCGACGAGGATTGCCCCCCTGATGGGATTGAAATCATGCCTCAGGGACATCTGGGACGAGATCCTCGATCTCAATCTTCGCTCGCTACTCGTGATTCGAGCTCTGAAGAGGACTTCGGATGGCCTTCGGGTGAAGAAACACGTGAAAATAATTTTTATCACTTTCGCAAAGGTTCGTCTCGAATCACAATTGATGACCCTTCGAAAATGACCTCCTCGCCTTCTCGATATGACGATTCTTCGTCGACCCCAATTACCCCAATGAGTTCACAAAATGCCCAAGATTCACAAAGCTTCTTTCACGGGTATCAAGGAGGTGAAGGACCCCAATGCTGCCTCAAAAATCCCCAAAGCTTCTCTTCCCAACGGCCAGTTGACTTAACCGACGATGAGCTGGCTTGCATTAAGCCTGAATTTGTCGATTTGACAGAACAGCTGGATAGAGTCGGCGAAACCTTCGACATTGACCCTGCTGATTGCATGACCGATGACCAATTCGAAGGATGGCTTCCCTGTTCCCCAAGGGACCGACCCACCCACGATATACATGAGGCCATTGTCGATGGTATCGTGTACCGACCTTCAATGTCATTGAAGCTCCTTGATGACTCCTACCTTCGAATAGAGACAATTCGCCGCCAAAATGGAGAATACGTCCTCTATGGTCGCCATCTCCTAGATATGACAGATCGCCGAGCGGACGACTATTTGCCCAGGGTCAAAGGAGAACTGGTCTGGATCACGAAGGTAGTTAGGCCAGTATCTGTGAATGAAGTTGCAGTTCATCAGGATATACGATTCACCAATGAACGCACTGACTGGCAGGATCATGAAGATCTGGTTTGCCGACTCAGAGTCACTGTTCGACTTCGCGACGAGCCGCCTGTTCGTCGTCGGGATCCACTAAATGCGGATGAGCGCATCGTCGAATACCTCTCCTTTGAGGAAAGCGATGCCGGTGAAGGGTGGGCGTCGACGGACTTGCGCGACTGTTCCCTTCGGTGCAGCGGATGTGCCATATGACATGCGAATGCAGATAGATGGGCCTGAGGTCATTGATCTGGAGGACACGCCTCCCCTTCGCTTTGATCTCACAGGCTTGCGTGACCGGACATACACATTCGGCGATGCATACTCTGGCGCTGGCGGTGCTTCATACGGAGCCAGACAAGCAGGGTTGGTCAACGCGTGGGCCTCAGATGTCAACATTCATGCAGTTGATACTTACCGCCGCAACTTCGAAGATACGGACATTTATCATGCTGAGTTCTTCCAACTGATGACGATTCCGGAGTCTGAATTGCGAGTCGATATCGCTCATTGTTCCCCACCATGTCAACCATTCTCACCTGCTCACACCGTCAATAACCAGACTAACGATGAGCGGAACTCGGCTTGTGTGTTCACGGGTAGCGATCTGATCAAGCGAGTTCGCCCACGCGTTTTGACCATGGAGGAAACGAACGGTTTACACGAGAGATTCAAGCCGGAATTCAACCGGATCATTCTGAACTTCATCCAAGACGGATACTCTGTTCGCTGGTCGGTACTTGAATGCTCCTATTACGGAGTCCCGCAGTTCCGCAAACGCCTGATGATGATTGCTGCAGGGTAAGTGGACTTGATTTTGCTGCTTTCGTCCCTTCCTCGACTGACTTGTTTATAGCCCTGGTGAGACTCTCCCCGAATTTCCCCAGCCCACCCACTCCCTCCCGGGAGGCGGATTGAAGCCAATTGAGACCATCCATCGTGCGATCAATGACATCCCCTGCGACGCGGCAAATCACGATGTGGAGGAAGGCCTTCGGCGTTGGGCATTGCTCGGATGGCGTCGGCCGTACAATGGACACCAGCCCGCAAGAACCTTAACTTGCAATGGCGGCGAGTCCAACTACCACCCCAGTGGAAAGCGGACCTTCACCTGTCGCGAATTGGCGTCTCTGCAGACTTTCCCAATCGATTTCCAATTTTCCAAGTCGAATGTCCGCAAGCAGATTGGAAATGCCGTACCTCCTAAATTTGCCGATGCCGTGTTTCGGCAGATTCGTCGATCACTGCGTGAAACCGACGAGGAGGAGTTGCAGCAGAGGGAAGCGCGTTGGGTCGGCATGTGATGCGATGGGCCGAGCTCCGAGGGAGCGACGTTCAGAGACTTGACTCTTTTCTTGTGCATCTTTGCATCTTTGCATCCTGGTACTGGCGCTGGCACTGAAACCGGTACCCTGAAACTCTCGTTGAGCTCCGATTATCGCTGTTCTCTCTTTCTCGTGCATGTTTTGCTCCTTCCAGGAGCTCTCTTCCGATCCTCCGATCCTCGGTACCCTTGCGACCGAGCTTCAGCTCGGGCAGCAGTTCCTAGACTTACTTTAGACATTGGCAACGGCCAATGATCATAGAAAAATGAATAGAATCGGATCAGATCCTCCATGTGTACCGTAGTATAGGGTGGCTTTTCACACCGATAACCGACACTAACCGCAACACCTCGGCAAGGATGAAGTCAGCTTGACACCCTTTCCCCAACTAAACCCCAACCACTCCACATTCTTGTCGATCGTCCTTTTCTTTTCTTCTTCTTTTCTCCCTTTCAACTCCTCAGTACTCACCTGGATCCCCTCGATCCTGCTCAATTCCTTCTCTACACAAACATGTCCCTTCCCGCAGTCAGACGGCTGACCCACTCGTCTCCCCGCACTTTAGCCCGCATCTCCAGATTGTCCACTTTCTCCTCCCGCATCCCCTCCATCTCGAGAGTTTCGCGAACCCCCCAATTTTCCACTATGGCTGCTCGTCAATCCGCCGCTCCCCCGGTCTCGGGCGACAAGGCCTATGATCCTGAGATTCAGGACATGGCTAGCTATATCCACGAGTACAAGGTGGACTCCGACCTGGCTGTACGTTGACTTTTTTACTTGATTCGTGAAGACCGCCTAATCTGACCTTTTGATCGATACAGTACGACACTGCCCGCCTGGTCTTACTGGATACTCTTGGCTGCGGTCTGGAGGCCTTGAAGTTCAAGGAGTGCGCCAAGCTGCTCGGTCCTGTTGTCGACGGCACTGTTGTCCCCAACGGTACCCGTGTGCCCGGTACTCCCTACCAACTGGACCCCGTGAACGGTGCTTTCAACATCGGTTCCATGATCCGCTGGCTCGACTTCAACGACTGCTGGCTTGCCGCTGAGTGGGGCCACCCCTCCGACAACCTCGGTGGTATCCTTGCTGTCGCCGACTGGATCTCCCGTACCAACCGTGCTGGTGGAAACCTTGGCAACGGCAAGATCCTGAAGATTCGTGACATTCTCGAGGCCATGATCAAGGCTCACGAGATCCAGGGTGTTCTGGCCCTTGAGAACTCCTACAACAAGGTCGGTCTGGACCACGTCGTTCTGGTCAAGGTCGCTACTACTGCCGTCGTCTCCAAGATGATGGGTCTTTCTGAGAAACAGACTGCCGATGCTATTACTCAGGCTTGGGTCGATGGCCAGAGTCTCCGTACTTACCGTCACACGCCCAACACCATGTCTCGCAAGTCATGGGCCGCCGGTGATGCTTGCCAGCGCGCCGTCAACCTGGTTCTGAAGGTCCAAAAGGGCGAGGGTGGCATGCACTCCGTCCTATCTGCTCCCGTCTGGGGCTTCTATGATGTCCTGTTCAAGGGCAACAAGTTCAAGTTCCAGCGCCCCTACGGCAGCTACGTCATGGAGAACGTTCTCTTCAAGGTTTCCTACCCTGGTGAGTATCCCATTCAATTCAGACCTAGATAAAAAAGAGAAGGAAACTAACCAAGGCTAGCCGAGTTCCACTCCCAGACTGCCATCGAGGCTGCTGAAGTCATTAACAAGAAGCTCGCCGAGATGGGCAAGACCGCCGCGGACATCAAGGAGATCACCAACCGCACCCACGAAGCCTGCATCCGCATCATCGACAAACAGTTCAAAGCCATGGACAACTTCGCTGACCGCGATCACTGCGTCCAATACATGGTCGCCACCATGCTAGCTTTCAACCGCCTCACCGCGACCGACTACGCCGATGGCGGCGAAGCCGCTACCTCTCCCCTTGTCGAGGACCTCCGCAAGCGCATCAAGTGTGTCGAAGACCCCCAGTTCACCACAGACTACCACGACCCCTCCAAGCGCACCATCCCCAACGCCCTGACCGTCACCCTGAACGACGGCACCGTTCTCGACGAGGTCGTCATTGAGGCTCCTCTCGGTCACCGTCTCCGTCGCGAGGAGGCCAAGCCTGAGATCCTCGCTAAGTACAAGCGTCACTTGCAGGCACACTTTGACCAGGCTCGTATCGATGAGTTGCTTCAGGTGGGCTGGGACCGCGAGGCTCTTGAGAACTATGATGTTGATAAGTATGTCGACCTCTATGTTAAGGATAAGATGGTTGCCTCGGCTTAGATGCGTGTATGATGGATATATTGAATTATATTGCAAAATTTTATATAGACGATTTCACTTATCTCAATGCCTTTTATCGTAAGAGTTGATATGAAGTTGATGTAAGTGAGCCTAGTAGACAGTGATGATAGAAAAAAAACCCTCAGGATCTCCGCAAAAGTCACTTAAAAAGCCCCAATTCAACCGATCAATATCCACAGTCCCCTTCCACCTGAGAAATGGCGTTGGGAATATTCTGGTCGCGAAACCTTGGCTGCATAACTTGACTGTTAAGAGCGAAAATGAAAATGGGCAATGGGGTGAGTGGCTTCATTGGAAATACCAAGAGATAAAATGACGGGGCTCGTCGACTCCTAGCAAGACCCTTGTTAGGATCCCATATTCAGCAGGACCTTACATAATATGACGCTTTTTGTCTCAACCGTCTGCCGTAACTATAGCCATAGCGAGGCCATTAAGCACACAAAGAACAATTGCTTGAACAAAGCAATTACTTGATTATTCAAAATCTCGCCCAAGACCGCTCATTCATTGATGGAGCCGTTGTCAAGATCTTAATAACTTTCATCGATCCAATCCCCATAATCGCTCCCCAAGACCGTCTTTTTCGTAACACCCGCCGAGATAGAGCTTTCATACTTCCTTTCCGAAGTACTTGACCCATCACCGGAGTTATTATACTCGTAATACAACGGTGTCGCGCCATCCGCCATAGTAGTCCACCCCTTCGCATTAACCAGACTACCCAAGTCCGAGCTCTGGTAAATAACGCGCGCAAGCACCCGCCACGGGCGACCAAGGTATACCTCTCCGTCGAGGGAAGTTCCAGAGGCAGCTTTGATGCTACTATTGTCGATGGCGTACCATGCTGTGTCTGTGCTCTCTTCGCGTGAGCTTGCGGTTATGGCACCAGCGCCGTTGGAGACGATGTCGCATTCGCCGAACCAAGCTGAGGCATCGCCGAAAATGTAGTCGACGGCTCCTAGATTGGACATGTAAATATAGGATTTGGAGGCTCGAGACATATGCAGGCTTACCCTCAATCATGCAGTTGGAGTAATACTGCGTTCCGGCTTTGGCGTAGAGGGTGTCTTGATAACCAGAGAACTGGCAGCCGTAGAAACCAAGTTGGTCAGCATTTCCGACGAGACTTTTATTGTTAGCTTTGATAGATTCCAAAAAAATTGAACATTGTCACTTACGCCACCGCCTGCGCCCCTTTACCATACCCGTTCACAACGTTGATATTATACATCTTGAACCCATCGGAGACAACATTGACTGTCGCACTCAGATCCAAGGACCCAGCATCGGGCGAGGAAAGAGTGTTCGTGATAGTCACCGTGTTGTCTTTATACGTTCCAGTATCCGAGGTCTCACCGTAAATTGTCAAAGTACCGGTGAAGTCGATAGTGAGTTGCTCCTCGTAGGTGCCACTAGCAACGTAGATGCAAGCCGAGGAAGTAGACGAAGTTAGTGCATTAATTGCATCACCAATAGTCGAATATGTTCCACCCGAACCAACAGTGAGGCATCCTGGGGGGGCACTGGCTCTACTTGTCCGCCGGCGCAGATCCGCCGGAGCGCCAAGCACAGCTGAGACGAGGCATAGGGATGATAGGAAGGATTTGGATAACATTACACGAGGGATGAATTTTATCCGAATAAACCAGATCTTCACTAATGGAAACCAGAAGCTATCGTCAACTATTATATGCACCTTGTACAATGCAAATGACGCCAAGACATGTCTCTCGGCCCTTTCCCGGAATATCTCGTTTCAGCGTATCAACTAGCACCAAAGCCTCGAATCAGGGACGGCCAGGGAGACGCGACATTCTCCACACTTAAAAAAATTTCCATGAATAGCACCATGATCAGAGACAAGTCCGTTGCCAGGGGTTGTCAGCTGTCATTGTTCCGGGGCGATGTACGGGACACTAGGCTAAACTCCGAACGTTGTTTGTGATGATGCACCAAATTAGACCAAGGAGATTATCTTATTGTCTTCTTAACTACCTTTCCTGCAATTGACACGAGCGCCTAGTGAAACAAACTTATAAGCTTCAAAATCCCTCTTGGCCCAGCCATAGATTTTTGTTCCCTTGAAAGTTACCTCACATCTCGCATAAATTCTCCGGGAACTCCGGGACCATATACAACAGTAGCAGTTCTCGGCCAAGAACTTCCTCGAATCATAGGATAGCGTAGTTTTAAGTTTCATGTTGAGAGGCCGCTCAGCCTCCGCGATTATTTGAGAAAGGATCGGCGTATAGATCAAACCAAATATTTCTCGCCATTCAATTTTATAAACCTTTATCATTGATGCCGTAGAATGACCAGGAGCATTTAATTCTCGATTCATTCACAATGTCCAAACTCCTCCATTCCTTAGCCCTCCTCACAACTTTCCCCCTTGTCCTATCTCTATCTCTGCCAGACACAAGTAACACCCTAAACGCCCGCGCCTCAACTTGCACTCCCAAAGCCGGAGGATCATCTTCAACCGATGATATACCAGCCATAACATCAGCAATCGCCTCCTGCGGCAACGGAGGCACGATCGTCATTCCCTCAGGCTCGACATACTACCTCAACAGCGTGCTCGATTTCGCCGGATGCACTGGCTGTGAGTTTCAAATCGAGGGCTTATTGAAATTTTCCTCGGATACAGACTACTGGGAGGGTCGAACGGCAATGATCAACGTCAACAATATCGATGGGATCAAAATTCGCTCTGTATCAGGAGATGGGGTCATTGATGGCAATGGACAGGATGCGTACGTCTTTAGAACTGCTTACTACATGCAGTCATTGAAGCAAGTGAATGCTAATAAATATCAATTATTAGGTACGACCTCTTTGCTTCAGACAGCAGCTATGAGCGCCCGACACTCCTGTACATAACCGGCGGCTCGGACATCGAAATCTCAAATCTGCGACAAAAGAATCCTCCAAATGTCTTCAACTCTGTCAAAGGCGGAAGCAGCACCGTGGCATTCTCGGATCTGACAATGGACGCAACATCCAAAAGCACCAACGCAGCGAAAAACACCGACGGATTCGACATCGGTGAGAGTACAGATGTAACTATCACAAATGTTTCCGTCACCAATGATGACGACTGTGTCGCGTTTAAACCCGGCGCGGACGGGGTTACTGTGACCGATATCACCTGCACTGGCAGCCATGGACTCTCTGTCGGATCCCTCGGGAAAAGTTCAGATGATACGGTGAAGAATGTCTACATCTCCGGTGCAACGATGATCAATTCGACCAAGGCGGTTGGGATCAAGACGTATCCCTCTGGCGGGAGTCATGGGTTATCAACTGTGACGAATGTGACATGGACAAATGTCCACGTCGAAGGATGTGATTACGCGATTCAGATCCAAAGCTGCTATGGAGAGGATGCGGATTACTGTGAGGAATATCCTGGGGATGCGGTGCTGACGGATATTGTTTTTGATGGATTTAGTGGAACGACGAGTGGGAAGTATGATGATGTTACGGGAAATTTGGATTGTGGGAAGGATGGGTCTTGCGGGATTACTATCAGTAGCTATACGGTTGTGGCACCGGATGGGAAGAATGAGGTTCTCTGTGCGAATACTCCGGAAGGTCTTGGAGTTTCTTGTACTTCTGGGGCTTCAGGGTAAGGGCTTGTATAAATGGACCTAGGAGACAATTCAATGGGCCGAAACACTTTATTCTTCTAGTAGCGAAGGAACTAGTATCTCCAAGCGAGGATCGTCGAACAACAAAGTGCATATTGCGTAGACGTTTCACAATCGCTAACTTGCCGCTACGCTCAGCTTCTTTAATATCTGGTTCCACGCTATAATCTTTGACATTTGTTTCGGCACCCCTGCCGAGACTAGCATCAATTAATGCATGATTACCCATTGCAACTGCCTCGAGAAGAGGAGTCCCAGCTTCCAAATCCCTTTGCAGCTCATAAAACGGTGGAGAATTTTCTAACACAACTTCGTTGATAAGCGACGATCTTTGCAGGATAAAACCCGAGACTTCAAGAAAATCTTCTTTAGACCTCCGAGCAGCATAATGCAGTAGTTGTATATAGTCAGCAGATCCTATTTGATCACAATGAAGCTTCACATTGTCGAAGGAAGCCTTCTGCACAGCGACTGAACGAGGATTGATATCAAGGCAACATCGAGCGTTAAATCGGCACCTCGGCCCAGGTTGCCATTTGTAATGATCTTTGCCGTGACATGTCCATCTGGGAGAGCTTAGGTCGAAATTTAATAGCAATGTAAAAGGAGCTGGGGAGACTAGGTCGCAAGGAGCATTTATCAACAGGTGGGAAACATCTTCGGAGCTCCCAAGGTTGCAAGCGGTCCGGGCCATTGAATTGCTATTTCACGAAGGAAACAAGGAGAGACTTGCTCTTTCCCCCCAGTTCGTTATAATGATACTTAAAATACGCCTAACGATTGGTGATAGAATTGTGAACACGACCTTTGAATAAGATTCTATTGACGAGCTTATATAGCACAAGTAGTGAATGAGATTGGAAAATCTGACATGCAGAGCAAACACAAGCGCACTGATAAACATAATACAGAATTGAAGTACGACCTAGGTTCGCCGTCACATGCCCGGGGCCATCATGTTTATGCCCATCGCCAGCCCGAATCCTGGGATTCTTGTCGCCCCAGCACAGAATGAAGGAGACTGTTTTTGCTGCGAGGCGCAAAAGGGTTATTTTGCTGCTTCCTCCTTTCTTTCTGGAGGAGGTGCTCGGCGGCGAGACCATCGATGCCTTCACCCCTGTCTGTGATCTTGAGAGCCCATTTGACGTCATCTTCGTTGAAGCCTAGTTCGTGTACCATTCGGCTCATGGCACGGTCGACAGGGTCTTGGACTTGGGGTCTGAGTGGAGTTGGAGTCAAGGGAGGGTGATTAGAAGAGGCGCGTGGGAATAGAGAAAAGTATGGGTTAGACGTATTCTCCGGTGGGTGGATGTAGCTCGGAGTGGTAGGGGTGGTGCTTGATGTTGATGTAGACGAGCCATCGCGGAAAAGAGGAGGGACGGGAGGGACTGGGGGTACATCTTCCTGTGCTGGCACTGATGGGCGGCTTATACTTCCATCAAGGTCGCGGACACTGATGCTGTATTCGGACATGGGACGTTCGTTGGAGAACGAAGAGGCCAGCTCGTTGTTCGACTGAACGTTTATTAGACGAAGGGCGCGGAGCTCGTTTTTGAATGTGTGATTTCGCTGCTCTCGCGCGCGTTCTGCCTCAGCATTTGCCAAGTCTAGCTCGCGAGAGTTGAGGCCCCGGGGGCTGTCAGGTTGTGTGCTGAGAGCTCGCTCCTGTTCTTCGTAGGCGCGCGAGATTGCCTCTTTGAGGAATGATGATCGACTAACTTTGGTTTCGGTCAATTCCCATTTGGTGAGGCCGAGCGACTTGGCTAGTTCATAAGTCTCGGCTGTAGCTTTGGCAGGACATTGTGAGCTGAGAGTCAAGACAGCCGAGAGACCCAATGTAAGGATGTAGGATGTCCATTCCTCTGTCAATATGCATTAGCATCTTCCCCAACGGCGCCTGACCATCACTCACCGATTGTACTGTCTTCTTGTACAGTATCATCTTCTGTAGGATAAATAACATCCAAAATGCCGACAGCTCTCGCATCGGTGACCTTTCCGTGCATATCCTGCAACAACACGCCCAAACAAGTCCAGATTTCGGTCATATAATACATCTGTTTTTGCGATAAGCCACCGCAATTTCCACGAGCAAAGCCCTCGGGTGGTTCAAACAGAAGGTTGTTCATCTCGAAAGGCTCTGTCATAGATGAAATCGCGCCCGTATAATTTCTGGCCTTTGCACCACCCTTCAACCAATCCACTTGGCCCTCCAGGTCATTTTCACGATCCTTTCCGCTACCAAAGATACGACAGAAGGTCCAGATACGCCAAAATGCGTCGTCAACTTCTTCAAGGCGAATTGGGTCGGCGCCGGACAGGCCGTGTATTGTGTCGCGGCGGAGAAATGAAGAACATCGAACGAGAATCATAGACTTCAGTCGGGCCAGAGTATAAATGTCGGACGCATAACGATCCAAGTATGTAGTAGGTGTGTATTCCGGAGCGCGCGAATCAGAATGCCGAAGAGGTGCCCACTCATTTTCCCATGGCGGACTCATCTCACGCAGTTCCCATGCCGGCGGCGACATTTTGAATAGAGCGCTTTTGATCATATACAGCTCGCGGTCCTTGAAAATAGAATAGAAACGCCGGTTGACAAGCACGAAGTTGAAAAGGTCGTCGAGAGACTCAATTCTTTCCATTATTGCTAAGATGAGACTTTTCGGCATGTCCACCGGAAAGTCAACGTTGATCGGCACATGCTTATTTTCCCTTGCGGGCTTGGGCCGCGCTGACGGGGAGGGCGGAGTTGCGTCAAGTTCGTAGATTTGTTCGGGCGTAATATGTACGCTGCTGGCTTGGGCTGTCGAGACAAAGGCTCGAGGGTTCCACATCCTGCTGCCGATGAGAATTTTCTCCTCGTCGGGGGGCGACGCACGTAGCAGAGGGTGCAGTGCAGCATCACCTGCTGTGTTAGCCAAGCCTAAGCCTGCGGGGCGGGTGGGGCCCTGTTCCTGATCGCGAGTCTGGCTGTCGATAACGCTACTTGTCTCCAAGTCCTGGGTCTGAAGGCGCGGAAGCTGTAAGAGGAGTTCACCTCGCTTGCGTTCAGCCAAGCTTGTGCTGGAGGCTCGGTGAGGCGAATGGCACTCACGATTGTAAGCTACGTTCGACGAGTTTTCCGACCTCGAGCTGTAAGCCCCGAGGCGATAATCTTCTTCCGGGTTCTGCAGGTGGGTGTTGGAAGTTTTGCGACTGAACGACGGTATCGACAATGTGAAGGATTTTTTGAGCTTTGGTTTTCCGATTTTCTCGACGCTGGGTTGCGACGTGGGTTGGCGCCGTCCTTTGAGCTCTTCGCTCGCTTTGGGGACCTTTATGCTCTTCTTTGTTGAAGAATCTTTCGATTTCGTCGCCTTGGAAATCTTTTCTTTGGGCGTAGTCTCAATAATGGACTGCAAATTGCTCGGCCGCTGCTCTTTTCTTGTGCTTTCACTTTTAGGCGATTTGTTAGACCAGCTGTTCTTACCCTTGGCTGGCCGCAGAACCTCCAGTGGTCCATCTGGATGCGACTGTGAATGAGGCGCTATAGGTGGGGGCCGAGGAGCTGGGCGTGTGGCTACCAGGTCACCATTGTGTCGGCTAACTTGGAGGGGTCCATCCAGAATGAGTAAGGTTCGTTGCTGACTCGCTGACCCCTCGGTCAAATCGGCCAGGGCACATTCCAGCTCCTTTGTAGCTTGCGACATCGTCGGTCCGCGACGCATTTGTTGATTCTGCGATTGCCCGTGCCATTCTTGACCGGCTCCAAGGCGCGACCGGTGCTCGCGGTGGCTTCCACACTCATGACAGAATTCTTTATATCGCTGCCGCCGTATCGTGACCAAATGATTTCGGCTCGATTGGTGTGTGGTTGAAGACTGCGAACACGATTGCGGCGAGATATTCCACGACGGACTGGGGCGGCGGATCGCTAGTGGACTGGGCTCTTGAATCGGCTCCAGCGGCAAAGGTTTATTCTTCAGTTCTTCCATCGAAATTTCCGGAGCCAGGCGACCCATTCGCGGGGGATGGATATTGTTTGCGCTTCTTGCCTCCAATCGGGCGACAGGTAACGCAATGGATAGGGCTTGCGAGTATATTGATGATGTATCGTCAAAGACACCTGCTGAAACAGGGTTGCACATGGAATATGCATCTGCTGACTTATACGCGATTCTCTCGCCGAGACAGTCAGTGTTGATACTGGTGAGGGATGTGCGGTGACTGTAGCTAGAGGAAGCACAGTCAAAAAGGTTGTCTTGTCCAGAATAAAGGCTCTTGCCGCTTTCCGGACTACTTCGATCAACAATTTCTGCCTCTTGGCCGTCTTTACTCTTCTGTGGGCCTTTATAGAGAGTTTCGAGTCGGTCTTCACGTTCATTCTCGAAGATTGAGGCATAGTCCAGCGATCTCATGTTTTGATCCACCAGATCAGGGGTTGTCGGGGACACGATATGCAAGTTAGATGATAGCTCGGGGAAGAAACGGGCCAGTACAGAGGTAGAGCGAGCAGGGGGTCGACCATCCGAGATTGGAGAGATGTTGGGATCGGAGTCGAACTCGTGATTGCCAAGTTGATAGAATGTGCGTAACGAGGCATGTTCTGAAGTCGATCCGCTCTCTGACTTCCTCTCCAATTTCCGACAAGTCAGTAGCTCTCTATGCTCTTCAGCCAGGGTTTCAGATGGCTTGACAGTATCCGGAAATTCTGTGCCCTGGATACTCTCGGGACTGACTGAGTGAGAACCCGGTATCTTGATTTCCATCCTCATCTTCACCGGGACCGTCTCTGATCCTTTATCCTCTTGTGCGGACGTAGCTAATTTCATTGCTTGCATTCCAGCGTTCCTTTTATTGTTTCCCTTCACAAAGCTGTCTTCCAAGTGGAGAGGAGGGGGTCGCTTTCGTTGTTTCTTATTGGAACTGGCTGAGCCGTGACGAGCCCGATGGATTAGAAAGCCAAAAGCCGATACCATGGTAAAATCCTGGTTAATTGCAGAGCATTCGAAGACTTAGTGATAGCAAATTGCCCAGGTATGGCTTCTCTATTGCCTTGTTAGTTTTCTTTGTCTTTCAAGATCACCGTGCTATACCCCGCCCGGCAACGTGTTCTTTCACAGCTTACATGTAAGAAGAGACCCAACTCGATCTGGTAAGTTCAAGTATAGTTGGAGTTGCTTTGAATTGTATTAATATATGAATATGAACAAAGACAGATGATTCAGGCGCTAAGAAAAGCGAGTCAAGTATAGGCGAGGATCAAAGACAGCCTGGATGTTAAAGAAGCTCAGCGAACCTCCGTTTCAGGGCCGAGAAACGCGGCCCATATCTCATAGATCGTCGATTTCACCCAGGCCCCCGAAATAAGCAGTTGGTCTCTGCGGTGGGTCCCCGTAACAATGTGGTTGCGCTAAATAGTGATCGCCGGGGCCAAAACGGTTTATCCCCCAATTCCCGATCGAGAAGGAGCTGCAATCTTGACAATGGGAATCCTTTCTTTCTGAATAACTTTCTCAATATATTGAAATTCTCTATCTCAGCCCCGTGCTTGGAAAGGCGGAGGTAGCTAGTCTTATTCTCGTGTTTGCAGATCTTTATTGCTGTTCGAGGAAGAGATCGATCGTCAACACGAACGACACAAAAGCCGAGGAAGATGAGAGAATTATGGCCGAAGGCTGACTGCAGTGCCACGAGGTTCCATGCATATCTAGGCTATGCTCTTTGTGTCTTTGTGCTACGCCCGAAGCACCAAAGTGGAATACCCTGCTATCCCATTAGCGCTGATGTGTGTTTTCTCAGGTACGACAGATGATCCTTTCCATATTCACTATCTAGCGGATGTGAGTCCAATTAATCAAACCAGTTATGCAGTTTCATAGATATTGGCATCTTACACACCATGAGCAATATCCATTCGTGGCCCCTGCATAAATGGTCCCTTGAGATGAGATCGTTCGCCACTGAACGCACAGCATTGTCTTCTGATTTCAGTGGGGGAGATGAAACTGGGCAAATGACTTTAAATGGAAATGGCACACGAGTGGGTCTGTCACACTCTTATCGCCAAATAGAAACCCTCTAGGTCGGCGTATGACCTACCCAAGCGTACATTCCCCCTATCCTGAGTCAGACGAATGCCACTATGCATGAATCCAACGCAGCCGCTCGCTGCGCTTATTGATCATGTTAAGTATTGCGTCTGTAACCCGAAAACCGTTCATTGATTCCTTGCCTACACACGAAATCAAAGAATGGCCGATCGCCCGACCGCCCCCAAGGCGTACGTACCTACATAAGCGGCCGAGTGCACATTTTGCCACTTATACCTACACAATGACATGGTGTGGAACATTGCATACCTAAGCAGGATCAATCTGGCCCCAATAGTGTATATTCTTCTGTACTTGGTCAGGCCGGGCCATGTGAGTGGCCATTCCATGGGTGATTGCCGATCACCCATCAATCGCCGCAGGGGGTTCTATATGACTTCTCAAGTAGACAAACGATTGATTTCCATATAATTCACTCGAGTTGAGGACAACCCAAGCGGTTCAACGGTTTATGGGTCGTCAAAAGGAGTCCACAGGTTCTTCCATGCACGGGCGCTGTAAGCACTGTCTTCTATGCTGACCACATTCGAATTTCATCAGCCCGCTGACCCACAAGCTATGGGCGAAATTGGGGGCCGCAAGGGATCATGTTGTTTTTTCTTCCACTTGAAAGCTCTCAAAACGCCACATTGCGATCGTCCCATTTGGGGCCAAAAGGCATGTAGCGAGCTCTCGGCTCTTCTGGTGTTGGCAGGGGCCGTGGCTATCACCAACGACATCTCAATCCCAGACTACTTAGTATGTGTAGGGTCTGAGACCTGAACTCCTCTATACGCCTTTGTTTGGTTTCTTCCCATGTATATCAAAAATGTACACCGATTCGCAATAACAAACTTGTGCAGCGATTTAGTGTCATTAATTAATCAAAAGCTGTGATTTTGAAGACCTCGCGCACCCCGTTCGCATAAAATCAATACATATACATTCTATGGGATGATAACACGTTCAAGTGTACATAGAAGTATCAGCTCTTTTCAATAAATGATAGGCTATTCAAGAATTACCATTCTCATCAAAGAGGCTTTCTTTTGATGACCCCGAGCTATTGAACCGAGTGAACTTCGGCTATGGTGAGGAAGGTGTCTCAAGAGGCAAGCATGCTCCTGGCCGTTTGCTTGCCGCCGAGCCACCAGGTGGTGTGACTACACGCTTGACGGACCAGGCAGATAGACAAGCCCGCGCTACAAGGCTCATTTTTTTGCTTCCGACGTGCTCACAAAAAGCCTTTTCAATGTTGTTAAAGTGATGTATGAGCATCGGATTTATGACAGTTGGCATACCCAGCCGTCGTCAAATATCTGTATTATCACCGCCAGGTCACCCACATGCAGTTGCAATTGAGTTTTATTCAGAGACTTGAAATCCAGTTCCACACGATGGACATTATTCCTGAACAAGCCTACTCCCGCTACGCCCGCTACGCTAAGACCAGCTGGGAGCGGCCTGAAGATCGTCGTAGCTGATCTTTTTTAAAGCTGGACACACTGGAAGCCCGACTGGATGTGCAGGACCCAACACCCGTAGGAGATGGTGATATGATACTCAAGGCTTTGCCAGAAAGATTTCCCTGGAGTACAATATCTTCTGAGAAGAATTTGCGAGGTGGCCTGGTGTCAGCTGGCGGAGTTTGAATCTTAGGATGCACCCGGTTGAGAGATCGAGATGACATTCTATCGTTGGAATTCTCGAGTGATGGGTCCCTGAAAATACTATGCGTAGTGACTGACCATTCTTCGCTATAGCAAGACCTGGGTGAGTGAACGATAGTGTCCGCCTTTTTATGCCATTTCAAAAGATGCAAGATGATGGCAATCACGGTCGTAACTCTGGTCTCAAAAATCAAGGCCCTGTGCTTTCTGGTGGTATCTACCATCCTCTACTTTGTGCGATCTGTCGTAGATGCTAGAATACCGGATGAGCGTGATCCAATGGTTTCGGCTATAACGCTTTTAGATGAGGGGGAAATGGTATCGTGAGTACAGCTCAAAGCTTCTTTGATAGCCATTTCAAGCTCTGGGGAATTTTTAGAGTTGGAAATTAAGAGTTCAGACTCTAAAATATTCAATTTTGAGTGGAGAAGTTGTTTTCTCTCTTTCATTCTTATGCGCAGCCAAAAGAGAATGGTAATTGCCATCGATAGAATGACGAGCGGAACAGTCAATAATGGATATATGGGTGACATTTTTGACTTATGGAGCTGCTTGGTTGATATCATATCGATAGGTAAAAGACTGATGGAGCCACTTGATGGCTTCTTACAGCAATAGAAGGAGATGCTGGTTCTGTGGTGAAAGCCGAAAATAAGTTCACAACACCGATTTTTGGGAGTGGCTGCTCTGCGGTAACTTACGGGAGAAGTTGGAGCTGGGTCTCAGGTTGTATTGAAAGTTGGACTGACAATTGAATTCAGAATTGAGTTGGCTGTTGGGCTTGCATGGTGGTCCATGTTGGAGGCTGCGGGACAGTCATCGCAGCTGTGGCTCTTGGTGTTGGGACACAATCAAATGGGATGACTTTTTGTCGGTCTGAAACGATTTGAGCTGCAGATCCATCAAGCCCGGGGTGGTAAAGGCCGGCATCTTGGACTTTGGGCGGAGTCTCTGTCATCCTGTCCCTGTCTTGTTCAACTGGGCAAAGCCTCGTTACAATCAAGATTGATATCGCTTGAGCACGCGCTCCAAATGTGAAAGGGAAATGAAAGCTTAGAGGTCAAATGATGCCTCTTGAAACCCGACGGACTAGAGTTTGAGTACTTCACTTGCTTAGACTGTCAGGGAAGTATGGCACTGGCCATCAGCTTTCTATACCTATGCTCTACCCACGGACAAACTTAGTTATGAAAAGTTTGAACACGGGAAATAGTAATATTATTCAAAGAAAACAAAATTAAAACAAGTAACTGACTGATTAATAAGTATTCCATGCATGGGCTTACAGTCTCAAATGTTTCCTTGCTTGTTGCCTTTTGGAGCGCCTGGTAAATTTAGCGAGTGAACTTGATCCTGAAACCAACTGATGTCTTCATCGCCAAGCTTCTTAACTACATGTACTGTAGTCCATATCAACCACCAGACTCAGCGATACGAGTCTACTACTCAGAAGTGTCCGTCGCCGATGGGGATTTTTGACGTTTCACCTCGGTGAGATATCAGCGACTCTTGCAATAATTTATGCATTCCCTCCCAGTCACAAGAAAAAGCTCCCTCGAGTGATCAGTTTACTCTAGGCAAAAACGGAGTTTCTACCTACATTGCTCTGTCATACAAGTTTCATAGAATTCATTCAACTCAGTCAACCTGTACTATGAAGGGTGACTACTACGTAAAAGACCGTATCCGGTTAAATATTCCAACCAATCATTTCCTGGTTTCTTGAAATGTGACTTCATGAGGTGGCTTATCGCCAAGCGCTACCGATCATCTCCTTGCTGGGTTTGCTCCGCATTAAAAAAGATAGCATTACTGTTAAAACATGATGTAGAAAAAGCATATTATTCCAATTTTGCAATTTTGCAATTTTGCAGTTTTACAATTTTGCAGTTTTACAATTTTGCAATTTACGATGGCCTAATATATGAATGTTGAGGCGCTTAGGAATGACTTCGGTACGCGCAATCAAGATTGTACTCTCAGTATATGAAATGAAGTTCAAAAACAAAATGATTTAAGTAAGCTCCATTATCTAACTCGAACTACCTGGGAGAGTTAGTCTTGGACCCAACCAGGGTGGCGTGGTATACCAGGAGCCTACCTTGATCATCCGGTTGTCTGTGTTAGCAAAGCTCTGGGACATGTGCCTTGGGAAGAAAATTACCGACCAATAATCGATAGGCTATCTTTCGTGTATATCGATCTGGCTTCTAAGATTCGATTGCAACCAAAAGATGAACCCGGTGCCGTTTACCCTTTCTCCACTCCCAACGGACCACAATACATACCCTGGTAACCACTTGCATATGTACAGATCCCAATCCGGTTAGAAAATTATGAGCAATACAGTATATGTTACGGTGGGATAGTCAGCATCAGATCTGTAAGGCCCGAATTGAAACATTGGGACTCCTATTATATGATTAGGGTCTCCAGGGCTGAATCATAAATTTGTATTCGAAGACATCCCCACCTCCACAGGTGTGGATATATATTTGAGTGTTTAGAGACTGTGGGATTTGTTGGCCTCCCCGAGGTCCAGAAGTCAAGCGTTTCTCCCCGCTCCAGGGCTTATCAGTCATGCCGAGTACATTCATCGGCCAGCAAGTCTGGCTAAGCCTCCCATGTGTGCCTAGAACAAGATGTAGAAAAGGCCTGAGATTGTTTATTCAAGAGCCTGAATACATGGAAGACCCGCCGCGACATTCGAAACAAATGTCTTCCGATTTTCATCTTATCATGACCAGCACTGGAGAAGGGCTAGATAGAATCAATGTACATCCATACATTGCTTTAATTACTCTATATTAAACCTTTTGATTTTATATAGCCCGACCAGCCTACCTGATGATGTATAGGTTGGAAACAACCTCATTGAATTGATCCTAAAACCAGTTTCGGCCTTCAAGTTGGTTTACATGAATAGATCTTCATTAGTTCGGCGCCAAAGGGAGCTGAAAGACATAGGTGCGAGGGCTGACATTGTTCCAGCAGCCTCTACAAATCTCTCTTATCAATAAGTTTGTGAGCTCATCAGTGCATTCGCTCACAGCCGGTGCCAGGTATTGGATTGTTGCGCACAGACGAAACTGCCCTGGGCGATCTCCAGTCAGCAAGATTCGGTCTGAAGACCCCTAGCTGTCGGGAACTTTAGCCCTCCATGTTAGATCCCTGCAACAGGGATGATTCCAGCTGGGCTGTCAGAGAGACCCACATTGGAACTTCCTAGCGTTTCCACTAAAGTACGGATCTTGTTATATCTTGAGTTCGTATTGACTTGTCCCGTAATAAACACTACCAGTCATGGAGGGTTCGTCTTACACCTGGATAGATGAAATTCTGGGGCTGAGCGGGCGTGAGTCATTCCACATAGACCCGGCCTGGGACTTTTCCGATGGCGGACACTTCTCTGTTACGCCTCAAAATGATACTGCCACACTTGCCGATGACCTCGACACTGAGCTGCCTCACCCGAAAGTTCCCATTCCCCGAGATTCGAAGCCAAGAAATTGGACCAGAGGTCGAGTCAGCCGAGCATGCGAAAACTGCCATGAGCAAAAAGCGAAGTGCAGCGGACAACGGCCCACATGCGATCGATGTCAACAAGCAAATGTGCAGTGCTCCTACGGGGATCGGAAGCGAGAGAGAATGTTGAAGTACGTGCAACAAGTACATACATTTTTGGATTTCGTTTAATCCTGTATAGGCAAGTAGCGGATCTAACCTCACGCGCTGAGGCGTACGAGAAAGTCCTTCGCGCAATTCACCCACGACTCGACACCCCGTCAGCACAACTTGTTGAACGGACGTTGAACGAAGTGAGAACATTTCTATGACCAAAAAGCCTGAATGGGTGCTGACTGAATCAAGCTCTCTAGCAACGCCCAGAAAACACAAATTTCACCGCGGCTTACATACGGGGCAATCTTTCCAATCGGGGCTATGGATCACACGAACGAAGATCTGAATAATGATTCAAGGCTTCAGTCCATGGGGCTTACAGGACAACTGTCAGAAATGGCCAGTTTCCATCGACTAGGATGCCGGCTAGTCCAAGATCCTTCGCGTGCTCCTGTTGCCCATGACGAATTGCCATCAATCACATCAATGAACTACTTTCTCGACGACGCTGACCTTCCAGTTCTTGACAAAGTCGATCTGATGCATTGGCCTCCGCGGTTGATAGCTGATCGTCTAGTTCATCGATTTTTCAATGCCATACATCCACTGTTTCCCGTCATTGGAAGAATGGGCTTTCTGGAGCAATACACACGATTCTATTCTATCTGGAATGCCCGCCCGAGAAGGAGATGGCGCACTGTCTTGAATTTGATTTTCGCTGTTGCTCAAATAGATGAAAGCCTGGAGCAAAATCAGTCCTTAACCGACTCTGATGGGCATTTGGTATACTTTTTAAGGGCATGGCAGCTGAATGGGGCCAGTTCACAATCGCTAGAGCATCCAGACCTCCAGCAGGTACAGATTGAAGGATTGCTGGCATTTTACATGTTTTCGACCGGTCATCTCAATCGGTAAGTCTCTCCCAACCTGATCATTGATATCAGAATACCTGACTCATGATATAATTTGATAATAGGTCATGGCGACTCATCGGTATTGCAATCCGCTCGGCCCTCGCAATGGGCATCCATCTTCGGAGCGATACAAGAAATGTCACGCCATTGTCAAAAGAGACTAGATACAGGTTATGGTGGGCCTTGGTTATGTTGGAGACGGTACTGTGCGTGATGACGGGACGTCCACCTAGTACAAGTGCCAATTTCTGCACAACTCCTCTTCCAGTGCCATTTGGCGAGGAAGACTTTGGGGACCAGCGCGTTGCCCAGTTCTTCAAAGACCGGAAAGCTAGAAGCATTGCGGAGATGTTACATTTGTCCAACGACTTGACGCCCTCACAGGACGATGACGCACGGCCACCACAATTGGAGTCACAAAAGAAGGAAGAAATGAAGCTGCGCAGGAAAAGCAATTCTTTAAATGCCGACCATCCACTATACCTGCTACACGCGGTTAATCTGACGCTCATCATGCGGGAAACGATTGCCACGCTGTACGCTCCGACCTCTGTACAACGATCATGGCGCGGTATCGAAATCGCGCTTACATTGCTCAACAATAATGCCGACAAATGGCACTCACATCTCCCATCTGAGTTGCAATTTAACGATATCCGTACAGATGGACCTTTCACGCGTCAACGCACCCATCTGGCCTTTCACTTTTTCTCCCTCAAGCTCGTGATCTGTCAACCTTGTCTTGGCCCTCTGAAGATGCCGTCTGAAGCGAGCTCTCTTGGCAATTTGTGCGAAAGTATGGCCGCTATATGCGTTAGAATGGGCATTCTCATGATTGACGTTCTTCCTGATTCACCAGAGCTGAAGTACATGGAAAGCCTTCCACCATGGTCATATGTACTTCATTATCTGATGCAGTCAGTTTCTGTGCTTCTTATGCGGCTACTTGCAAGAAATAGAGTAGAGGATGAAGAGACTGCTGGTATAGTTAAAAGTCTGGAGAAGGCCATCCGGTGGCTCAAATTTACGTCGGCTAGACATCCTCCTTCCAAGCGAGCTTGGTCTATCTGCGTGGATCTCCTCGACAGTCATGGCCCAAAAATAGATTTAGACAAAGACAAAGACGAATCTTCGTGAACAAAAATTAGCAAATATATGGCTACTCAACTGCAATGGAAACCGGTGTAGTACAAATTTAATGAGCAGTAATAGTTCCGTGTCGCGTACCCACACCGCTCCGGGTGTGAACCACCAACGCCTTGTATGAGCGACTAATAGGACGTGAAAAAGCGCCTTGAAGGTATATTGTTGTGGGTAAGTTCACTCGGGATTTGAATAACGCATAAAAGTTTGGAATCCTGCATTGGTCGGACGAAACAGCCGCGGGCATATGACATGTCTAATAGGTCGATAATAACAGGAAGTGACAGCCGGGTGCTCAGACCAAGTGACAATCGTATATCCCTTACTTTATGCCTTGTAACATTGGCCGGGTGAATCAACCGTCAAGTGAGGCACCACGTAGCGGGCCACTTGCATTTGGAATGTCAGCTGTCAGTCGTCGAGAATGGGTCTTGGTCAATCTAAACGTTATATTGATAGCTTCCAAAGCGGCCTCCTTCCAGCTTTCTGAATTCATGCTTTGGTTGAAGTATCAATGTTTCTAGACGTTTCCCTAAAGCCCCGATGCAGGCGAACTGCTTGCAGCTTCCTAGTTTTAGAGAAGTAAAGCTGAACAGTAGTTTGCGAGAGCACTTCATTTGATGCTCCGAAACGGATATGTATTGTATTTTTAACAAGACTTGAGCCTGCAATCAGATATTCACCAAGGCAAGCACTTAGAGCGCGCTCGTAATGCTTCTTGCTAAGTTTTTTACACCAGTTAAAAACAGCCTTCACTCATGAGCAAAACTGTTAAAGAGCAAAGGAAGCGACAGGCGAAATAAGCAAATAGCCTACAATATTCTATATTATGTCTCAAACAAATTATCGCATACCTTGAAATCAATCAAGTAGCATTTTTGGCATTACGGAAACTCGGCAATAGCCCCATGAACCAATTAGAATTATACGCAGTGCCGCTCAGCGTCTTTGTCGTGAACATAGTCTTGTCACATCCGTAATCTTTGGCTCTTTACAGAAGCTCCGCGTAGTCAGATTCATGGTATGCCTTGCCGCGTTAAATGCCACGAAACTGATCCGCGGTGAAAGCCACCGCAACCTATCGATCTTCATTTGGTATGAACCGAGGAACGGGAAACCAGTAGTGGAATTGAGCCTACATTGAAAAATTGCATGTTTGATGCTTGTGTTACAGTCCATTCGGAAATTGGTGTCACCACCTACACTCTTCGATTATTTCTCGAACCCTAATTACAAAAATGCCCCAGTATGTATTGGGAATTTTCCGGAGTATCCCTGTCGGTAATGGTTTATCATTTTTCACAGATAACACGTGATGGGGGTATTAGCTCGTAAATTTAATACAAATGGCATCTATACCCTCTCGAAAATCACAATGATACGGTGCAGGAGGTTTGAACAATCAATCAGAAGTGGCCCAGCATGGCGCAAAACCAAGCTTCTTCAGAGAAATGAATAGGTTTATTTATGATATAATGTGGAGTTGAGAACTATCTGCATCGCAGATGGCACAGGCTGTCGGCTGCAACAGGTCCATCCAGAAAATCTCTTCATATATACGGACGTGAGGTAGCGTGTGAGTACCGCCCACTCAAGGTTCCTGTCGTCGGCCAAAGATGCTGATGGGATTGGCTAGAATTTCTGGGGTAAGGGTTAGGTTTCTGTCAGTTCGGGCCGACAGTCTTGTCGATGATGGAGCCAACAGCGAGGCAAGTCGAATTCCGATTTCAATGAATCTCTCAAGACCCGTACTCTAATACAATGCTGGAAATGCGACGCCAAAAATTTCAACATGGACATGGCCCTATAATGAACTTTTACTCCCTAAAATAAGTTGTATAACAATGAGATAAAGAACATTATTACCTAACGTCCGCCGCTAGAATATCCAGTTATCAAATAGCGAATAAGAGGTCACATGATGGCAGGGTAGGCGGACACGGTGAAACTTGAGCGACACGTACCCCGCACGTTCCTCTTAGATTCCAGTCAAACCATCTGCTGCTATGACCATGGATTCCAAGATATCATTTGGTGGACCGAATTCTGGGTCGCAGATAGGGATTAACTACGGTTCGATCTCGAACGAGTTTTGTCTTCCTTTGAGTGAGTCACGAGCGATTATATTTAAACTAGATCGTACTGACTGTGACATGGATCTCGACGAGAAGTTGCCCACGGTGTATGGGGCTGAGTTCAACTCATTTATGGATCAGCATGAAGATGAATGTCTCCCAGGCACGCGAACCGATATTCTCCATCAAATTAGAGAGTGGGCTTTATCCCCGCAGGAGAGATGCATCTTTTGGCTAAGCGGAATGGCCGGGACAGGGAAATCGACCATTTCCCGAACAGTGGCAAAATTCTTCCACCAGGCTAAATCTTTAGGGGCAAGTTTTTTTTTCAAAAGGGGTGAAGGGGACCGAGGAAATGCTATAAAGCTTTTTCCTTCAATCGCAAGGCAGTTAGCGATGAGGGTTCCCCAATTAATGCCCAAAATCCAGAAGGCGGTCCACGATGACCCAGGCATTGCAGCGAGGACGATGAAAGAACAGTTCGATAAATTACTCCTTCATCCACTTCTGAGTTTACAACAATCCGATCACCCGATACAGACTCTGCTGATAGTTATTGACGCATTGGATGAATGTGAAAGGGATAATGATCTGCGACTTATACTGCAAATTCTGCCACAGCTGTCGCAGTCATATAATCTGCGTCTACGAGTATTTTTGACTAGCAGACCTGAACTGTCGATCCGTTTAGAATTCTTAAAGCTTGCAAACGATGACCACAAAGATTTTATTCTCCATGAAATTCCTAGGGAGGTTATTACGCATGATATATCATTGTTCTTGAATCACCGACTTTCCGAGATCAGGACAGAGCGGCTTCTGCCTAAAGATTGGCCCGGGGTCATAAATCTTCAAAATCTTGTGTCATTATCCGTTCCGTTATTCATTTTCGCGGCTACTATTTGCCGTATCTTTGAGGATCCTAACTGGGACCCTAAGGATAGTCTTACTGACATTCTTGCACAGCGAAATGATCAATCCAAACTGGATGGAATGTATCTTCCTATACTCCACCGGCTTGTTAAAAGGCAAAGCGAGAAACAGAGGGAGCAACTTCTTCGGGAATTTCACCAGATAGTTGGTGCAATTGTGATCATAGAGAGCCCACTCTCAGTCGTATCACTCTCAAAACTTCTAGGCATTCCCGAGAGCCTTATTCATCTGAGACTGAACCCGCTTAGATCAATTCTAAGTGTGCCAGATGATAGAGTTTTGCCGGTACGACCCTTTCACCTGTCATTTCGAGACTTTCTTCTCGACCCGGAAACAAACAAGAAAACTCTTTTTGGAGTTAATAAGAAAGAAATGCACTATGATATGACCATACGGTGCCTTTTTATGTGTCAAAAACTGCGGAAAAACATATGTGGACTAGCAAGTCACGGTACCCAACGTGCTGAGATTAATCGCCAGACTATCTATCAATATATCCCTCCAGAATTGCAGTACGCCTGCCGGTATTGGGCACATCATGCCGTGCAATGCATGGGTCTGAAAGATACGATGCATGATGCTTATATATTTCTTCGAAAGTGCTTTCTGCACTGGGTGGAAGCAATGAGCCTACTAGGTCTTACATCTGAAGTGGTGGGGATTCTGGATCTCCTTCAGATGGCTTCTGTAAGTTCCGGGGAGAAGTTATGTATGGCTCACACTAATATATGAAGGGCGACCACGGATCTGCGCTGTCTGATTTCCTATACGACGCTAAGCGCTTTATGCTTAAAAATCGCCAGATAGCTGATGATATGCCTCTCCAGCTCTATTGCTCAGGGCTGGTATTTGCGCCCAGAGCGACAATAATTCGCAGAGAGTTCAAAACACAGCTTCCTTCTTGGATATGCCAGCTACCACAAGTTGATGAAAGGTGGAGCGCAGAGTTGCAGGTCCTCGAGGGTCATTTGGGTCTCGTTATATCTGTAGCATTCTCGCCTGATGGTCGCCGACTAGCGTCAGGCTCTTCCGATAATACCGTACGGCTCTGGGAGGCTGCAACGGGCACGCTGCAGCTCACTCTACAGGGTCATGGGGATCGGGTTTATTCAGTGGCATTTTCCCCAGACGGGCAGCTTCTAGCATCTGGCTCTCGAGACTTCACTATACGAGTTTGGGATACCTCCACGGGCGCGTTACAGCATAACCTCGAAGGCCACAAAGACAGGGTTAGGTCTGTAGTCTTCTCTTTCGACGGGAGGCTATTAGCATCTGGTTCCCAAGACTCCACTATACGGCTTTGGCATGCTGATTCCGGCGCACTTCAGCAAATAATTTATGGCTATGGAGATCCGGTTAGGTCAGTGGCATTCTCTCCTGATAGCCTGTATCTGGCATCAGGCTCCCAAAACAAAAAAGTAAGACTTTGGGATGTCAAGACAGGTGCATTGCAAGACACTCTTGAAGGCCATACGGGTATAGTTGAGTCAGTAGCGTTTCATCCAGATGGCCGATTAATGGTGTCCGGCTCCAGGGATAGCACTATACGGCTCTGGGATGCCACTACAGGTGCGCTACTGCAGATATTTAAGGGGCATTTGGGCAGAGTAACGTCAGTGACATTTTCACCTAACGGGCAGCTGCTAGCATCTAGCTCCTGGGATGACACAACACGACTCTGGAATATCGCTACGGGCGCGTTGCAACAAACATTTGAGGGCCATTCGGGCATAGTTGAGTCGGTAACGTTTCATCCAGACGGCCGATTACTGGCGTCCGGCTCCCGAGATAGAATTATACGATTTTGGGATACCGCCACGAGCCCATGTCAGCAAATTCTTGGGGGCCATTCAAGCCAGGTCACGACGGTAGTTTTCTCTACTGATGGCCGATTGCTAGCTTCCAGCTCCTGGGATCACACAGTGAGGCTCTGGGATGTGGCTACAGGGACACTTAAGCTGATTCTCGAGGGGCACTTACACCCGGTTGAGGCGATAGCGTTCTCTCCCGACGGACAACAGCTAGCTTCTGGCTCCTGGGGTGGCACCATAAGACTCTGGAATACCGTTACAGGTGCATTGCAGCAGACCCTAGAGGGTCATTCGAATTGGGTGACGACGGTCATGTTCTCTCCTGACAGCCGACGGTTAGCTTCTGGCTCCTGGGATATGACAGTGCGGCTCTGGGATACCTTCACGGGCGCGTTACATCAGACTCTTAAGGGCCATTTGAACTCAGTGGATTCCGTGGCGTTCTCTCGCGACGGCCGGCTTCTAGCATCCGGGTCCCGAGATTCAACTATACGGATTTGGCATGTCGCCACGGGCCTGACGAAGCAAATTTTTGAGGGCCATACGAACTGGGTTACAACAGTGATATTCTCTCCTGACGGGCAGTGGCTGGCTTCTGGCCCTGGACCTCGGAGCACAAACGCGCGGGGAACAACCTTGTGGCTTCACGATCCCGCTAGAGGCGCACTAGTGTCCGGGTCCTGGGATAGAACCGTGCGGCTTTGGAATGTGACCACTGGTGCGCTGCAGCAGACGTTCTGCATTGAAGGAAGAGTTACTGCCCTAGAATTCTCCAGCGACTGTTCATACCTAGTTACTAATCTTGGGCGTCTCAATTTTCAGTCTGCCTATGACAACCATGTCCAGGATAAAGTCCCAGAGATGAATATTTGCGTACAAGATGATGAGTGGATAATACTTCAAGGCAAGAGAGTTTTGTGGCTTCCTCCTGCGTACCGGCCTGTCTGCTCAGCGGTGACAGGTAGTACCATTGCTCTCGGGCACGCATCAGGAGGGGTTTCATTCCTGTCTTTTCAGATGCAATGATCATCCGCATGAACTGACTATATCTTTTACATTTTCTTTTTGTTCAAATTAATTAGGAGAAGTGAACGGGTAATGCGAGTAATGTACTGGGAACGGATTCTCCAGAGCATAGTGTATGCGGTGTGGTTCCAAGCCCTCAAGTATGCACTAGGTTGCCACTGGAACAGCGGCGTGATACAAGAAAGATGACAGGTAACTAGCCAAACCATGAATTTGCACTGCCACCGGATTTGTTTGAACTGTTTGCATGTCCGTAGAAAAGCTCTTGCAACCATGCATCACCCATACGCTGAATAGACGTCAGGTATATAACTTTTCTGTAACGAGTCGTATTCATCAATTACGGGAATATTGATGGATCGGTTCATTTTATAATCCAGACTAGTGTGTCTTGACGTTGTGGTTCAAGATTATGAAGAAGGAAGGAGGAAAAGAGAGAGATGTAGATTCTGGAGATGGAAGCTATGGAACTAGATCTATCATGGAGGCTGAGGCAAGGGATGCGGTGAATAGGGGCAGAATCCCATTCACTGCGAACAAAGATAAAATAAAAGAGTGTAGGTGGTGATACCAATTTCCGGAAGTACTCAATGGGGAATTGCATGTTCCAAACCTATGATTCACACTGGGACGATGGGGAAGCCTTACCTTGGTGGGGTTTCCATATATTGCACTCACGCCTCAGGCATCCACAATTTCCTGATATTGTGAGCTGGATCATCTCCAGTGGGAGGCTAACACAGTATGAATCCTAGCTTATCCAGAAACATAGCTTACGCACTTTTATTTGTATTTATCTAGCAGAGTAGCAAAGTCTCAGCATCTCACAAAGAGATAGTACAGTGTGTTGAAACAGCAATGGATAAAACTCAATCTATGTTCAATGTGAAGAGTGGGGAAAAAAACACCAAACCAAGGGATGCTCAGCTAAGAATGCATTGCCAATTAGACAAAGGCATTGAAAAATAATAATATCAAATGCAGAGGCTTAAAAGAAGCAGAAAATCGTCGTCACATCATGTCGCAGATTTCGAATAAATTTAAGCACCGTTGGGCTCATCTTCGTCTGATTTATAATTACCATCGTCGCTGTCTTCGCCCCAGCCCTCTGCCTCGAGTGAACGGCCCCGGATGCCGAAGCTCAGGATGAACCCGATGAAAGAGACAGCACCGAAGACTCCGAATGCAAGGGCTTCTCCCTTGGGCTGAATCTTCGCTGTTAGGGAGAAAAGACCACCAGATAGGAATGGGCCAACCGAGCGGCCAGCGGCGCTGAGGGTTTGTGCCAGCCCGTTCACAGCGCCAAGGACTGCGTGATTCGGGGCTGAATTGGTGATCAATAGCAAAGCACTGGTCAGGCCACCGACGGAGGCGATGGTCTTGACCAGGAGAACGAAGCACAGCTCGACGGCCATGAGAGCAGACTTGCTAGTCAGGTCCTTGCTGTCCTCGCTCTTGTATCCAATGAAAGGCATAAGAAGGAAAGAGATAACAAAACCGAATAGTCCTGCACGGTAAGACCATCGGTTGCCCATCTTGTCGCGCAGACGGTTAAAAATGCAAATTTGGAAAATGATTGTGACAATGCCAGCGAATCCTTGAGACAGACCGATCTCAGAGGGTGTAAGATGGCGTCCCATGGGCGCCTTGGCTTGGGCAAAGATTGGGAACAGCGAGTTGAAGGAAACGTTGCAGAAAGCAAAGATCAAGTAGGTAATGAGTAGTAGCATGGTGTCCCTTGTGTAGATTTCGTCCCATGTAAGCTCCTCGGCATGTTGATGTGATTGGCTTGACACCTCCGAAGCGGAGTCCAGATCACTGTCATGTTCTTGACTGTCGCCAGTGTTGCGGCGAACGGGGCCATTTGGAACCCGAAGATAGGTTGGGTGACTGGAAAGACCTGTGAACTGCCATATCCATGAGAAGAGACTGCGGAACTTCTTGCCAAACTTGGGAATGGTGTCCGCATCTTCCAGACTTTCTTCCATGAGTAGTGCAGTCAAGACGAAGTCAATCAGGAGAATGAATGCGGACAGGAGGTTAGGCGCCAGGTATGGGTATGTGCTCTTCTTGCCCGTGAAGGGGTTGCGCTCGAAGACCAGAAGACCACCCAGGAGTGGGCCCGTAATGCCTCCAATGCCGTAGAGGACAGGAAGCCAAGTAAAGGCCTGAGACTGATTGCTCCGATCTGTAATTTCGCCCAGACAGGTCGACACAAGACCCTGGTTACCATTGACCACACCCATCAACGCTTGTACGGCAATGGCTTGCCAGAGAGTTTTGCAGAACCCAAAGGCGACGAAGCAGAGTGCGGTCAACAGGGTTCCGAGAAGAATAACCGGCTTGCGGCCAATGCGGTCGGAAAGCCACCCCCAGAAATAATTTGTGACGAATTGTGCCAGAGCAAATGCCGAGGCAATGCTTCCCACGTAGACGCCCACTTGGCTCGGCTCCACCTCGGGGAAAGTAGATGCCATATCCGGCAGATACGGACTGATCGAGTTGAGCGCCGTCTGCTCGGCTAAGGCAATCATTGCCAGCACTGCCATCTGCTTCATCGGCAATGGGGACTGTGTGTGGTGCTCGGTGAGGTCATTGTGGTGATCATGCGATGCCTCGCCAGAAGACTCCGACTGGCCGGAATTGGGACGACCACGCGACTTGGGTGGAGGGGTATCGAAGGTCTGGTAGTGCTGGGTTGACGAGCGACGACCGATCGGAGTACGGTCTGTGACTGTCATTTTTGCAGCGCGAAGGGATCGAGGAAATGGTGTGACACCTTCAGATCCCACCATGCAATTGGGGGAGGTTGGAGCAGACCGAGCGCACCCGCGATGCTGGGGTCGTGTGCGAGCTTCCAGCAACCAGAAACTGCACGAATCCGCGACGAGGTTTGCACAACGAAATGATTGAAGAATAGATAAAGCGAGCGCAAGATAGGAATGGGATCAGGTTGCAGAAACAAGAAACTGAACCAAGGACGAAGCTGGAAACTGCGCGGGTTCGATGATGTAAGCGGCATGGGGATGCTGAGTCATCGCGGTCTGGGCGTAGCGATCGTCTTCAATTGATCAATTAATAGGTCCGATTATTTGTCTCGCATCTCGATCGTCTCTTGCATGTGGATCCGTCTACATATCTCCACGGCGGAAGCCTTTATGAGATATTACCGTCTAGCTTTGAGTACCGCGGTGATTAGCGCAATGGTGCGCTAATACTGATATAAGCGGGGTTTCACCCTCTTCACCACGGCTTTCTCCGCCCTACTAAATCTAAGGACTGACCAATACCTAAGTATAAACACCTTATTAATGCCTTCTATCTCAGCTAGTAGATTGTACAACATTCATTTTTGTCAAGTGCAGTATAGCGCTAGCTACCGAGGTACGCGCGCGCACGTACCCCACCGCCGCGGATGCGAGGTGGATTTGTGTCCGCAACAATGCCAGAGCTTCCCTTCATTCGCTATCAAATTAACAAATACCACTGTATAATGTGCATTTAGTGGGCAGTTGCCTCGGCGCATCTATGAAGCTATAATCAGCGCCATCGAGGAGGTAAGGCTCTGCTAGTTACTTGTTCAACATTGTTTCGTCGTTCATCAATTTTTAACGGGTTGTTTAGCTCCCATGGTACGCGAATAGCATGTACACTGTTCATACTCACAATGAACTATTCGAGATACATAGTTGTACTATGGCGCTAACTACCGTAGAATCTGAGTTATTTTCTTTGGACCTTGAGAATTTCCGATCTGGTATGTATGTGGACTTGTAAAACTCCCTACTCAGGGTGTCTATCTTTACCCCAACCACCATAACGTGCCAAACATGTACCTTGAGTATTTTACAGGATGGCTCGGTACCAGATATGGAATCACCCCTTACACCATAAATTCCAAATTTTAGCATTTCAATGAAAACTTTGGAAACTGGTCAGGTCACTGCGCTCGACAGCCAATGCGACTGACGTAGCCACTTCTCCGACACGGTTCAAGAATATAGGTGACTGGCTTAAAATGGTCGGCGTTGACTTAAACCGCTAGCCCGCAAAAGAGGTGTACAACTTCGTAACTTTCAATTACTCTACAGTAGCATACCATCGAAGCATTTGACAAGTACTTAGATGACCCAAAGAGACAAAATCACCATATGAATTCGAAAAATGGCTTCCCTAGGCCAGGTAACTAGTACCCAGGTCGTATTAAAGATGTGGAGATGTAAGATCGCGAAAAGTGGATCCGGGCCCGGCGATCGCAAACCTCTCAAACTTCCCCTCTGCGACATCCTCGTGTGCCAGCTCCTCACGCATCGAGCCTTTAAGATGAACAGCCCGCTTGGAATACAGACACCTGAGCACAGCTCAAACCCACGCTATCTCTTCAGGCAACCGCGCGCGCTGCAGTGGTTTCACAACGGGCGGCTGGTCAAGCGTCATGACTGCGAAAGAGCCGCGGGTCAGATTGCTCCTTCCCTCGTAGAGTCGGGCTACAAACTGACTTTTCACCGTCCCAGGCCGATTCGAACTCTTTCTGGATCTGCTATACGTCGCGATCCTTTCGAACTTTGCCGATACACTCGTGGAGGACATTTCGGGCGCAAAGCTCGTCAAATACATTGTAAGACGCACAACCAGAGCGCGAGCTTGACAATGGTTTCGGAGAAAACACGTTCTAACTGCGCCTATTTCTATAGCTCATCCTCGCACCGTCATGGCACGTCTGGAGCGATCTTCGCGAGATAATGAACTCCTTCTACAACGATGACTTGTTACAGCGAGTCCTCATCCTTTGGGTAATGGCCATACTGGTTATCTACGGAAACAACGCGCCACTGGTGGACGAAGAGATAGGTGCTATGCGCGCGACCGTTGGCGCGTACATGGTCGCACGGATAAGCTGCAACCTCGCGCATCTGCTGTACTCCTTCTCGAGCTACCACCACCGACGCCAGCAGCGCTTATGGGTCGTTCTATCAACCCTATTCATCTGCTTGTACATTCCCCTCTATTTCGAATCGGTTTCTACACGGGCTAAGATTGCTGTTGCTGCTATTGCCATCTGCGTTGAGGAGGCGACCTGGATATTCTGCTATTGCCCCGCTGCCAAGAAACTGCTTCATGCTACATACACCACTGCTGTCGACATCAACCATGAAATTGATCGGTACGCGGCGTTCTATATCATCGTGCTGGGCGAGTTTCTTTACCTCATTGTTGTTGGATCGCATGCTGCTATTGGTTTGAACGAGCGCACGATCCGTGCCATCTGGACGCTAGTCATCGCGTTCTGTCTGAACTGGATATACGTGCACGCCGACGGCTCCGTCACGCATGAACACCCACTGCGACATAGTATATATACTGCCTTTTTGTTCGCGCTGATTCATCTTCCGCTCGTGGCTAGTCTCCTGGCTGGTGGACACGTCGCAGCTGCCTCTGTGGCTGAAAAGGACTTTGAGGATGCCGAGCGGTGGCTTCTCTGTGGAGGCCTTGGCACGGGCATGATTTGTCTATACGGATTTGCGCTCCTCCATGGCACCAAGGATGATCGTGGAACTTTGATCATGGACAAGCATCTTCGTTTGATCATGCGGCCCATTACAGGGATTATCACGATTTTGATCCCTTTGGCCCATCACCTGAATGCCACCGAAGTGCTCTCTATTATCATGGCACTTTTTGTGTTCTGCTTGTTGTGGGAGACCTATGGTTCTCTCATGAAGAACGCATGTTTCTTTGAACACTGGACTGAGACAGAGTACCCGGAGCGAGTGATCAACAAAGGGGACTCTGAAAAGGAGGAAAATTTGACCCCTCAATTGGAGTAAAAGTCTCTGGGCGACACTATATCATGTCTAGCTGCAGTCATTCTCGAAATTGCCTTGACCAATACACACTGAGAACTCTTTCCGAGCCCCACTGCCAAGCCACTAGCGCAGATCATCTATTGAAGGGGCCGCTTTAACTGGAGGGACATCTCAAAATGCAGCTTGTGTGGTACAGTAAGGTGCTGTGTAATATTACATGATACGTACGAAAAGTCCGTGGAATTTCATAAATCCCATAGTGGACCGTCTGCAAATCGGACCTACAGTAGCAAGTGCCACCCAATAATGTCTTGTTACCGGGAGATCTGCCTCGTAACACCAGCTTCATTTCAGGCGCACGATAGTTAGACACAACTCCTTTACTGATCACTCGATCACGTCATTCAGCAATTCTGAATCTTCCTCAACCTCTGACTATCAACTTCAATGTCGATAAAGAATAGGAAATACAAAATAAACATCTTTCAAATAATCTCCGCATGATCAGTAATCAAATCGCTCTTTGCTGTGTACCAAAAGCGATAACCTATAGGGAGGATACTGCAAGGCACTACTTGACATCTGCAATGCTCAAGGCGTTTAACCTCTCTGTCGGTCGCTAGTCCTACTGTGATCTGGACTAAGGGCTTTCTCATAGTCTGCTAGTGCTCGCTGGGACATCTCCTCTACCTCCTTCATTTTTTCCCTAATCAAAGTAGAGATTCCCAAGGCTATCAAGTGTGGTGAGAGTGGGCTTATGATCAGGACCAAAGGCCTCCTCATAGCCTGTCAGTGCTCGCTGGTATATCTCTTCTGCCTCCTCCAGCTTCCCCTGATCTTTGTAGAAGAGACCAAGGTTGTTAACTGTGATGAGTGTGGACGTATGATGAGGACCGAGGGCTTTCTCGTAGCCTATCAGTGCTCGCTGGTACATTTTTTCTGCCTCCTCCAGCTTCCCCTGATTGGAGTAGAGATTCCCAAGGTTGTTAACTGTATCAAGTGTGGACGTATGATGAGAACCGAGGGCTTTCTCGTAGCCTACCAGTGCTCGCTGGTACATCTCTTCTGCCTCCTTCAGGTTCCCCTGATTAGAGTAGAGATTACCAAGGTTGTTAACTGTGATGAGTGTGGATGTATGATGAGGACCGAGGGCTTTCTCGTAGCCTGCCAGTGCTCGTTGGTATATCTCTTCTGCCTCCTTTAGTTTCCACTGATCAGAGTAGAGATCGCCAAGGTTGTGAACTGTATTTAGAATAGACGTATGATCTGGGCCGAGGACCTTCTCCTTGCCTATCAGTGCTCGCTGGTAAATTTCCTCTGCCTCCTTCAGTCTCCCCTGATCTTTAAAGAGGTTTCCTAAACCATGGAATGCCCCCCATACCGCAAAATTATCGCCTGACCAATCTAGCTGACGTACATAATTCGCGTGTGGAATAAGCCGTTGCTGAAGCTCGGAATAATCTCTTATACTTGAACTAGGGACTGTGTACCCAACAGATATAAGAGCAAGCTCATTGAGCTGAATTGAATGCACACTTCTGTTTGTGCTGGCTAGGTGAATGCACCAGTCTTGTACTACTGGGTGCATAGCATAACCTCCCTCTCGTTCCATGATCTCAAGTAAAGAGAACCCAATAAGAGCTTTGACACCGATTTTGAACGCCAGTCCGCTTGATATAGACGTTTCGAGCCACTCTGGGACATTTGAGCTATGACAGCTGCTCTGAATTACTTCAAACCAGATGTCCCGATTATCGAAACGAGCAAGAAATAGTAGCAGTTTCGCTGCATTCGCGTCTCGCTTCTGAATCTCACGATATGAGATCATCCACGTTTGTAGCATGTTCCCTTGCTGGTACTGGCGTTCAGGGTTGGATTGCAGCTGTAGGTCGGACCAAGATGCTTGGTAAAACTGTAAGTACTCAGTGATACTGGTTCCAGTTTCACGCATAAATGCCCCGGCGACGACGATTGCCAATGGAAGTCCATCTAGACGGTTCGCAAGAGCAACGGTATCTATACATGTTAGTATGATAAATATGATTTGTGTTTTCAGTTAATACCTGGGTTACCCTCAAGCTCCTTGACTGCACTATTCACTGATAGACGGCTACTTAGTAGTAGTAGCTGAATTGCATCCTTTAAGTCAAGTCTCTGAATTGGAAATGACATTCCTAGCTCTGTCAAGCCTTGTAGCCGAGAGGTAATGAGAATAGAGCCGTGGTCGGCTCTAGGAAAGAATTCAGCAATATCAAATGCATCACTAATGGGGCCATTGAAAGGAGAGTATTGGTCGATGTTGTCAAAAATGATCAGCCACCGGGAGTTTCCCTCTATTGCTAGCCACTTTAATACATCTTTAGCTCGTTGCTCTACCTCCTCGTCATTAACAGCCTTGGTGTTCTGTGACTGTCCTGGTAATCGGGGCAAGGTAGAGCTTAAAGATTGCAATAGCGTGCCTCGATTCTTACCACTCAGCCAGAAGATAGCAGTGAAATCATGTCTGTGGTCTCGTGCGAAACGAATCGCTAGTTGCGTCTTTCCCATTCCCCCAAGCCCATGAAGAACTGCAACCTTTCGTGACGGGAGGCCCGTAGGCCGTAAATATTGCCAGAATTGATCTAGCTCGCCTTGCCGACCCAAGAAATTTTCAATCACTGGCACACCCGCTAGGTCTAGTGGGATGTTAAAGCGGTGAACTATTTATATAAACGACAGATTAGCAATCAATTCGAAGTACTTAAAGAGTACTGAAGACATTCTCTCACCAAAGTCTGCTAGTGTGTCCCTTGTGGTTGGACTACTGTTAATCTGATCGATTGAAACCATTAAAAGAAGCTCTTTCGCATAGGCTGCTGCCACAGCGGCCGCATATCCTTGCCATTCCTTATTCTTATGTGAATCGGCGTAGTCACAGATACCGCGAATGACCAGACATGGAAAGTCATTCATTAGTCCCGCGGCTTCCATCTCGACACAACATATGCCTAAGTCCCGAGCTAGCTGATCTCGCCGCCTGCCATCCTTTATAACCTGGTTTGCAGATCCGATAAGTCCGTAGTGAATAACAGGTTGTTGATGCTCTCGCGGGGGTCGTGGAAACAGTTTAGTGCGGTCGCAATAAATACACGTGTCGCATGCGATATGATCATAATGTGCTTGGAATAGACAATCCTCTTGCGTTGGTCGTGTGAATTTGGTAGCTTTGTCGGGCGCCATTTTAGCGTGCATGTTGGAGATAAATTCGACGGTCCGGCTATCTTCAGTGAAGTGATAGGCTTGGAGCGTTGCGAGAGCGGTTAACAGAACCTTAGGAGGTCGATTGAGTATTCCGGTTCGCTTGAATTGGCCGGCGCTTAATGCTTTACCTAGATCATACTGGATGACCCCACCAGAAGTGTCCGTCGGCTGGCTCACTACAATATCACCGAGCCGAATATCTGTATTGCTGCTTGGTATTCCGCCGCCAATGCCAACCATAAATCCAATACGGATGGAGTGAAAACTGGATAGCAATTGCACCCCAACCGTTGCAGCTGATGTGTTGCCATATGCGCCACCCGGTAAAGTAGCAACAACGACGTTGTGTTCCCCGATGCTTCCTAGGATATACGTATTTTGATCCATCGGCAGGCGAGGCAACGAGGGGTGTATTTCGTCCAACATGAGCTTTGCGGCTGCCGTCTCCACAGGCAAGGCGCATATCCAACTGACCGTGTAATCATCATGCGATAGAGGGGCTCTGGCTTCCATAATAGGCTATGTAACAATGAGGTTGTTGGCATGAAAAGGCTGAGTTACCAAGTTGTGGGGTTGTCTGATAGGAACGAAGATGTCATAGAGGACAGGTTATGGAAAAGAACCCCGAGTTCAAAGGATTAGGGCGGGGTCGAGAGGGGCTTAAATACAAACCTCCAAGCAGATCTTCCACAAACAGGGTTAGAGGTGGTTTGTTGAGACCCGCCTTTGTTCCATGGTATTCTACGGAAACCTAACAAGATCCAGGGCAGCGTATCAGAGCATGTACCATTTTCCAAGCAGAAGATTCTCCAGGTACTGCTTCTTTCAGCACAAAGCTGCTGTTCTCGCTCTTGAAGCATGCACTGAGTAGCAGAGGAAGCACCTCGTTGATCGGCTTTCCTACAATTGACAGTGGGGCCTTGGGTGTTCTCTGTATAATTGAATGAGATACTAAGCCGAGGCGTCTTACCAGTAAGAAAAAGGCCTCCCTAATCAAAGAACTATCTCTTAATTGAAGACCAACCGATATCGGTCCGATCAAATCTCTGAGTGAGGTCTTTCTGCCATATGGCTGAAACGATAACAGACGTATTATCTGATTCGAGTTTCCGTCATGGATACTTTCGAGAAAGTAGCTCTTTTAGCTTTAGCTATAATAAAAGCCTCTAGTAGAATATAGGGGCTAGGTAAGAACTTATTCTGCATCTTTGGTAACTATCCTATTTTTAAGGGTAACATTCTACTTAATTAAGTAGTAGATATAGGTCGGTGGATCCTTATCGTATTTCCGACCTTCCTCCTAATCGCCGAATTAAAGTCGCGGGAGGCTATTATATTACAAAGCATTTTCTTACGGATAGGCGTGATTAATAGGGGATTTAGGGTCGATATATATATAGCTTAACGAGGACGAGGAGGCGGGTGTCGTCGGAGATTGCTAGGTATTAGTGTATCTTACAAAGACCTAACTTAGGTTTCCACGGGATTCTATTAACCTCTCGTAATAGTCTTATAAATTACGGAGTAAGTTACCGTACTATACTAGATGCTTTTTACGACATCCGTCAGTTTGATATGGCTCGTCTAATGGTCGATTAACGCTAAGACCTTGGCGGTGGGGCCAGAAAAGAATGTCCAAGAGTGTATTTGTCAAGCCGACTCTGAGAACGACTGTACTTCCGTGATTATAATATTAATGTTTGCTTGGACGCATAGCTTTGTTTATGCTTCAAGAGGGCTTTGCGAGATTATGTACTGACTTCTGATGCGCAGAACATCTTTATGTGACTAAAATGGTTGACGGTTGATCGAACAGGATTGATTTCAATGGATATATACAGCTTGTTTTATGCACAAACCTAAGTGGGTTGGAATGTTCCGTGTATGAGCTGGAGACAAGTATCAGTGCATATAGTTGGTCAAGCTAAATACATGACATGGAAGCAATTCAAATCTAAGCAAAAATTACAAAGCAACCTTGGAAATTAACGGTGGTATATGTCTATATAAATCTTTCTTGGGAGGTCCAATTTTCAATAATGAAGTGTTGACATCTCTAAATAAAACACTAAACAACCAGAAAAATGCATCCTTTCTCAAAGGAATCTTTAGTTCCACTTCAAACAATTGACTGTTCAACCTTCATGTCGCCAGTTGCTTGGGTCTCCGAGCGACTCATAGTAGTATGCCGACTGAAATCCTTCAAGCGGCGATGCTCATCTCTCGGCGCATCACCCGCCTTCTTCGTCTTCCTTTCCTGACGCCTGAAATAGCAGCGCTTACACCACTTCCAAGCCTCAATGCCAACAAAGAACAGCACTGTCTCAACAAAGACAATACCCCACTCCCATGAAATGCTCGAATGCTTAAATACCTGGTGGTTGATAACAGGAATATAAAGAATCGGGAACGCAAGTACGAATCCAGCCATGATGCCCCAAAACAGGAACTGATTGCGCCAGATATCATGCATCCACTGCGTGAAATAGCGCTTAGAGTCAGGTTGCATGCGGAAGAAGCTTTTGCGAAGGTCCATCATTTCCCAGGCGAGGAAGAGCGCGAACCAGGTCATGCAGGTGAATGTTGTAGCGCGGGCACGGAAGACAGTGTCACAGTCGTAAGGTTTCGAGGCGTCATTGTATTGGGTGTTGCAGCTTTGTGCGAGGTTTCCGTCGCCCCAGCCGAATAATACTAGAGTGAAGGCAGATAGGCAGAGTGCAGCCATCCAGAAGCCGTAGACAAGCATGTCGATGATGATTTCCCAGGTGAATATTCCTTGTTTCTATGATGTTGTTAATATTTGGCAGGGTGAGTAGGAGAGTGTGTATACATACGCTTTGCGGAGGTCGGTCCATAACATCTGGGGAGGCCCTTTCCATTCCCAGACCCATATCAGGAAGACCGGAAGTGACCATGATGATCCAGATGATCTCAACCGGCGCAATAGGAAACACGGATTGATTGGTATCGTCCTTGAACACAAGACCAATGAGCAGAGTCAATGCAAGGGCCACGTTCTCAGCCAAAAGATGCAGGACAAATTTCTGAATATTGTCGAAGATTCTCCTCCCTTCTTCGATACCATTGATAATAGAAGCAAAGTTGTCATCGGTTAAAACCAATTCCGAAGCATCCTTGGCAACATCAGAGCCATTTTGACCCATGGCAATGCCGACATCAGCACGTTTCAGAGACGGTGAGTCATTCACTCCATCGCCAGTCATAGCCACATATTTACCCCTTCGGTGCAGAGCATCAATCATGCGAACTTTGGTGTTAGGCGCACATCGGGCGATGACGAGAGGCAGAGTAGGCAGATTATCAATTTCATCTTCGGAGAGCTTGTCGAATTCGCTAGCGGTCATAACCATCGCATCGGCGACTTCCTTGGCAAGGGTGTTCATGTTGTCGGGGATGATTCCCACCTGGACTGCAATTGCACGAGCAGTGCCGGGGTGATCACCGGTCACCATGTGCACGGAAATACCGGCCTTATAGCATTGAGCAATCGCACCGGCGGTTTCGGGGCGAGGTGGGTCGTAAAGTCCGATAAGACCATAGAAAACAAGGTTTTTCTCGATCTCCTCGCGAGGAAGAGGCTCGTCGCTTTCCTTGTTCGAGGTATGCTCCCGACCGGCGAGGGCAAGCACACGCAGTCCCTCCTTTGCTAGCGCTTCCATGTTCTGCAGAATCTCATCACGAATTTCATCATTCAGAGGAACTGGCTCGGAACCTTCCTGCCAGGTGATAGTCGTGCAGGCCTCAAGGACACGCTCAACGGCGCCCTTGCTAAAAATCATTTGAGATTCTGAGTCTGCGTCAGATTTGGCGAAAATAACAGACATCTTTTTCACGCTGGAGTCAAATGGATACTCGGCTTTCTGTTGCCAGACTGGGTTATCACCCTTTGTCCAGCGATCAAGTCCCCAGTCAAATCGCGATGCGAACACCTGGATGGCAACGTCGGTTGGCTCGCCGCGAGCCTGCCATTCATCATTGGCCGATTTATGAACGTGAGCAAGATTGGCCATCGCGGCAACATTAAGGAAAGACTTGAGCAGCTCATTATCCAGCAAATCGTCGGGCGAAGCGGGATCGGACTTTAAATCCACGCCAAGGTTGACGGGCCTTTCAGATATAAGGCTCAGGTCTCCCTCGGTTGGATTCAACGGATCATTTGAGGGTCCAACCGAATAGGTTCCGACCGAAGGAATCCAAGCGCGCTTAGCGAGCATACGACCCTGGGTAAGAGTACCAGTCTTATCAGAGCAGATATTAGTGACTGCACCGAGGGCTTCGAGGGAGTCAAGTTTGCGGACAATGACATTTCGCTGCACCATCTGCTTAGTTCCGACGGCCATAGTTATCGTCAGAACAACGACAAGACAAGCTGGAATCATGGCCAGTCCAGTAGCAACAGCATAGATAATCACTTCGGCATCACCACGGAAATCGTTGGCTGCGGCAACAACGATTGCAAAAATGACAGCGATACCAAAGAGAAGCAGGGCCAATTTGGATAGCTTGCGCTGCAGAGGAGTTCCGACATTGGTACCCAGGAAGCGACCGATCGCATCGGTGGTGGTCAAAGTCCAAGCCTGAATGTACCAGCGCTTCTTGGTTTCGCCCTCTGGGCCTCGCTTCACCTGACGGCGCTTAGAATCACCACCGCGAAGAGCCGCGGCGATGGCACCAATCTCGGTTCCCATGCCAGTGCCCACGACAACTCCTCTCGCACGTCCACGGGTGACGGTAGATGAGCTATAGGCGATATTCAACCGGTCTCCGGGCCCGGTATCAGTGTCGAATGTGGCATCGGCCTCTTTAGTGACTGGGAGTGATTCGCCTGTCAGAAGAGCCTCATCGGTGTCGAAGTTGAAAGCTTCCACCAATCTTATATCTGCAGGCACAGTGTCTCCAACTTTGAGCTCAACCATGTCACCCGGAACAATCTCGTTGGCAGGCACGGTAACGGTTTTACCATCGCGGGTAACAACACCTGTCGGGGAGCTCAGAGACCGCAATGAGTCCATGGTTTTTTCGGCAGCAAAGTCCTGGTAAACTCCAACAACAATATTGAGAGCAATGACGGCTGCAACGAAGCCACCTTCAATCCAGGACGCTATGCCAAAACTGACTGCCATGGCAATGATAAGGACCTATGAAATAAGTGTTAGCAGCGTCTTTCTCTTGTCTGAAACATGTTGGGTACTTACAAGCATCATGGCATTGGCAATTTGTCGAATGACAATCTTTGCAAAGGAGACTCCGTCGTCCCCCTGCAAGATGTTCTCGCCATACTTCTCAATGCGCAACCTCGCTTCTCCGGAGGTGAGACCATCGTCTGAGTTGGTGCCCAATTCGCGAATGGCATCGTCAAAGGTAAGGCTATGCGCAGGCTGTGAGAGGTATGAGGTAACGTCAATGGAAGACTTGGAGCCTTTGTGTTGGGCTTTCTCGAGGTCCTGGGCCATCGCGAGTCTGAGACAGTAGCGTAGTGTCGCAAGCAGTGTGTAGGTAGTCGTATAAGGCTGAGCAATAGTGAATATACTTGTATGAGACCTTAGGGAGGGGTCATGTAGAAAGTATCCTCAAGAGAGTGAGAGTCCATACACTGGAGTAAAGAAAGTATATCCAGTGACTAGGCTTAATCGGATCTATTGAGCTCCGATTCTCGGTTTGGAACCTTAAGTACAAGTTCTAATGTTCTATTCCTTTTCCTTTCCCAACGGGGCATTCGTCTCCTATAAATAACCCTTTGGCTGAAGCCGATGGCGAATTCCGCCTTGACGGAACACGGGTTCACTGGTTATCTGTTCCGAATCTCGGATATCATGGATGAATGGGGACTAGGGTCTCCCCCGCTCTCCAATCACCACTGCGTACCAAATTTCGGTATCGAGCGGATGGGCTTGGCAAAGCCCCAGTCTCTGTTGCCAAGGCGTGGATGACGCACACGACTGGTCTCGGCGTTGGCTCGGCTACGAGCCGCCACCGAATGTTGATTGGTTGAAACGGCGCGGAATGCCAAGAGCGGAATCTTGGCGGGTCTAGGCACCCTCCGCTCGACCTCTCCAACGCTCAGCAGCGATGTGTCTTTCTTGGCTAGCCTTGGTTTCACCTTGGCATCCGTGTCTTTACGAGGCCTATGGGTTTTTAGAGCGATTAAATCTCCCCCTTTCTCCCGTTCCTATCACCCCTTTCTAGTCTCCAAGACTGACTTTACGGTGGCAACCGTGGATACCCGTGGACTGTTTCCCCACAAACGATGATTACTTTGATCTGATTTCATAAAAGAAGGTATTTGGCCTGGGATAATCCGACTGATCCGATAGATCTTACACCTTCGCCTTACCCGACGCATGAACTGTAATCAACTGTTATTGGACGATATACTACCTTATCCCCTCCTCACACTCCGACTTCTCCTTCCCTACGTGGACCCAGATCTGGGTCCCATGATCCTCCACCTATGAATGATGATCCTTTGCCCCAGGGCGAGGTGATCGGGATCGTGATTGGGGCTATCGTGTTGTTTTCCATTATCAGCATCGTTCCGATGTGAGTTCTCGGGCACGGACGCATCTTGGCTCAATCCCGCATCATGCAGTCGAAGCGTCTGGAAGCATAGCTTGCTAATTCTCCTATCTTACAGAGTTCTCATGTGGTGCCATCGTCGAAGTGCACCGCGTCGTACTACCTCGGGGGCTTTGAATGTGACTGAATCCATGCAGGAGCCCTCCGTGGAAAGGTGGCTAGCAGAGCAACATATTGAAAGCGATCCTGAGCAATACGCCCAAGACACTTGGTAGGTTTCCCTTCCTCCCCTCAAACCCCTACCCCAACACTTTTCTTGGCCCATGGGGCTCGATGGTGTGATGCGGGGAATGCCCAGGCTGGGCCATGGATCTTCTTACCATATGCGGAGACCCACTGTTTTGCCCTGTGCCGACGTCTCCCCAATTACCGATAGTCTCATCCCCAAGACTTCGTTCCTGGGCCGATTTCACAGTTTTGGCCTGCATTCTATTATTATTGCGAAGTTTTTGACCTCATCGACCCATTGCTAACCAGTTCCAGCCCCATCTGCCTATCATCCCTGTTATCAAACCCATATCTCACCAACCCTGAACCCACCCATCTGGCTGGACAACGGGGTCGTTCTCCCGCTCATTCGAATGGATCGTGCTCATGCGGGGCTACAGACTCCCGGCGCGACAGTGGAATTCTTGTTTTGAATCGGTGTCATCATGCATTTCACTTGGCTTGTCTCACTTCGTGGTTCGAATATAGGCGGTATCGTTGTCCTATCTGCCAAGAGTCTTACTCGCCTGCCAAAGCGGCCCAGAGATAAATGCGTTGAGTCATGTGACTCTGATATTTAATGTGAACTATGAACAATGACCAACTCCACTTGACTCTGAATATATCAATGCAGCATTTTGGAATAATGTGGAGCTGTATCAAGAAGATGTTATAGATCGGTCTACGTACGCGGCCATGAAATTTCTACCTGGGCTCATTCAAAGACCTGTGACAGAGACAGAGGATCAGACAAGTTTTCAAAGGCGAGTCGATGGAGCGGGAGGACGCAGGACAGAACGAAAGCGATAGCCACCATAAGTATAGCTATTAGCATAGGAACTTACCAAAAGGTGCTTGGCAGAAACAAACGAAGAACGGTTTGGGAGGGGGGGGGGGGAGTGTAGGCAAACCTGAGAGCCGCCGACAGCCTGAAAGAGATGTCTCAAATGACCCAAAGAGAAATCACTACGTTCAGTGCATCTTTTCACTTCTTCTAACTATAGTGAGCGTTGAAAAATAAGTAGGGTGAGCTACTATTGGAAAGAACAGGAGAAAACGTGCTGGTTTGGAAAGACGGGGGAGACTTGGCATTTCTATTTGCTACAGACAAAAGTCTCTGGCGTGCACGGCCAACTCGCGATGGTAATCAAGTAAGCGTCGTTGAAGCAGAATCCAGATGCCTACGCTTACATTAGCCCAGCTCCTGTTTGAGCTATTTTATCATCAATTGGACTTCATCTCCAACGGCACGTGTCACCTATAAAAACACCACGCATATAATCCGTGAGGAAAGCTTCAGAAGTCGCAGAATCCACAACATCTGGATGCGGCTAGTCTTGCGCGCCCACGCGCCATTTTTAACAAAGCCTACACCGAGAACCATGATTTCCCGACCAAGTTCGGCATTGCCAGGGTTAATCTCCGAGATGTCCCGATTCGGTTAGCGTTGCGCGATAGAGCTGGTGCGGGTCCTGTACATAGCTCAGAATTGTACGTTCTCTGAAGTTACACGTGAGACTGGTATAAGCAAACCGAATGACCCGTTACGGAGTATCCAGTCATTATCGCCTTTAAGTCCGAGGGTCTCCGAGGTCCTGGGCTATGGAAAGATATAAAAAGGCCTGGAATGCTCAGGATTCAATCTACTATACTCACACAATTGAATATCTTGAATTTCGAGATTACTCAGGCAAAGAATTTTCCTTTCCAATATGTCGACTCAAACCGCTCTTGTACTCACGGAGATCGGAAAGCCCTTGACTAAGATGCAGCTGCCCATCCCTGATGCATCTCAGCTTAAGGATTATGAAATCTTGGTCAAAATTACTACCGCAGGGCGTGAGTATCTCTCAAATCAAACACAGCTCTTGATCCTGACTATGAATAGTGGCACCGCTGGATCAGAAATTCCGTGACTACGGCCATCTGAATATCGGCTCCCGCCTTCCGGCCGTCATATCTGCGGATATCGTCGGAACAGTCATCGAAAGAGGTCCCGACAGCAATATCCCAGTTGGCGCACACGTGTTTTCTCAGGGTCTCTTCAGTCTTCCCAAAGGCGGCGGTCTCCAGGAATACACTATTCTAAACGGCGAATATGCGGGCATCGTTCCAGGCGGAATTCAAGATACCGAAGCAGCGCTGTATCCAATCAACATCGTCACCGCAGCTCTAAGTTTATTCTCATCTACTGGCTTTGGTCTACCTCTGCCTGAGACACATGATGCTGAAGGATTTGACTATACTTTGCAAAATGTGGTTATCATCGGCGCAGGTAGCAACATCGGCAAATTATCCGTGCAGTTGGCCAAGCTTGCAGGCTTTGGAACTATCATCGCTGTTGCTTCGCTCTCTAACGCTGGGCTTCTGAAATCTTTCGGTGCGACGCATGTTATCGCACGTCAAGACTCGAACATCAAAGAACAAGTACAAGCTATCGTGGGCGATGATCTGCTCTACGTATACGACACTTTCAACTACGGCGATCTGAGTCTCGGGGCTTCCCTACTATCTACTTCCAAGAAGGGCGTCTTCGCCCATAACGGCACTGGTCAGATTTCGGAGGCTGTGCTCAAGACCAAAAGAGCAGGGCTTGAGGATAAGCGGATGCTTGGCTTTTCACATCTCATTCCTGAGTTTGGCAAGCTTCTCTGGGAGAAACTGCCTAGTTGGTTGGAAACAGGACAGATCAGGGCATTGGCGTACAAAGTTATTGATGGTCTGGAGGAAACAGAGGTGAATGAGGCGCTGGATGAGTACGCCGCTGGAAGAAGTGGTGAGAGGTTCCATGTTCAGATTTTTTAAATTTCTATTGGTACCAATGTGAGGAGGCCGAGATATATTTACAAATGCAGAGTATACAAGTCCCAAGGCATACCAAAAGATAGCATCCTCTACCTTCAAAATGTGGGTCCTACGGGATCTCCTTGGGGAAACGGAGTAGGAGTCTTCTTGAAACATGCCCAGGTCTGTATAGAGACTTGGAGAACAAGGCAATTGAATGAAGTCAGGGCGAGGCTGAACGCACCTAAACAGCTCGGCCTCCATTTTAGGCAACAGATCAACACATGACCCACATGACCCACTGTTTGTGACTCAGTAATCACATGACCGTCATCGCACAGACCCCTTGGGCGCCGTATAAATACCCCCTTCCTTTCCAATCCTTCCTTCTCTTTTTCTTTCTTCTTTAGCTCTCTTTGCCAATTGGCTTAGATCAAGTGTAGTATCTGTTCTTTTCAGTTTAATCTCTGAAAGATGTCCAATGGACATCACTTTGATTATTCTCATTTTTGGATTTCGTGACTTGGCCTCTGCGCATGCGCATGCCTCGTCGCATAGTGTCATCGAGCTTACACTACTCTCGATCGATGCGAACCTGCTCTTTCATCAACCACGTCGGCTTGCCCGATTGCTTGGAGAAGAAGCTGTGTCGCGATGTACTGCCAAGGTGGCTTAGCTGTCCAGTAGTGACTACTCTGTTGTCGCTCGTAGTGTCACGACCAAAGGCTTGACCTTGTGGCGGTGTAGACCTTGCCCTTGGGCGTGAAGATGCCTTTAGAACTTGTGAGGACAGGCCATTTTCAATAGTACCTATCCCTTGCTACCTTACGCAGGCAATTCAGCTGGTGAAAATGACCAATGAGTGGCATTCTACGCTCATGTAAAAAAGCAAAGTTTTCAACAGAGTAGCAGTTCAACTTTCACACCCATCATACAGGATGGAACGAAAGCAGTTTCACCACCTGCACATGGAAATACCTTCTCGAACCCTCTTTTGAAACGCATTATACCTATCATGATTACTCGGCCTCTGAACCCCATTCTTGGCAGTATTTCAGTACATTCGTAGATAACAGCTTATGCATTGGCACAGAAGAATTCTTATTTTATAAATTGGCTGCATGAACTTCATGTTACTCTACAGGTCAGCTATCTAGATGATGCCTCTCCGTACTAATTCATTCTTCTTCACAAGCCCGCTGGATAGCTATGTTGTAGTATTTCTGTCTAGTCTTCGCACTATACGAATTTCAGTTTGCACCAGTGTATAAAATCTGAGAAAATCCCTTCAAAAGAAAAGCGAATGTGACTGTCGATCGAAATATTGAGATCATCAGAAGTCGCCCTGGTAATCAGCCAGGACAGCCTCGGTAATCTTCAGGGCCATGCCGTAGAAAACATTCATTACATGAGCAGAGACCTGAGTGGGAGGGATGGAGCCGTCAATCACGCGGAGACCCTGAGTGCCATACACCTTGGCAGTGGCATCCACAACCCCACCAAGCTCCCTAGTCATCATGGAGCATGTTCCAATGGCATGGTAGTTTGGGCGGAAGTTATCCTGGATATAGGTAACCCACTGATCGAGGCTGGCATCTTGGTCCAGGTTGTACCCAGGAACAGTCTCTCCATCGAAATACTCTTGCATTGCACCAGCCGAGGAAAGATCCCGTGCAAGCTTGGTAGCAGCGGCTTGTCCCAGGAGATCTAGTTCGTTCAAGAAGAATTGGGGATCATTGGCGTGCTGCAAGAGGTAGGGGTCGGCACTCAGAATGTGCGTGGACCCGCGGGTGAAAGGAATCAAGTCCCAGATATCGAAGTTGATGTTTCCCTCGGTATCCATGAATAGCTCGGCAAAGGCGACATCCTCGTTAAGAAGCCAGTCACGGTAATTCTCGTATTGAACCACAAGTGCAGTCGCATTTTGGAACCCGCCACGGGCAACGGTCTCCTCGGCCCATTGTTCAAGCTTGGTATTGAGCAATTCAATAGCTTGTGTAGCGTGGTCGCCGAATGTTTCTGTAAAGTTGGCAAAGTAGACAGCCTGGCCTTGTCCCGAAACCTTGGCCCTAGAATGAACAGTAGTGGTGGTTTGGTCTTGCATGTTGACACCGACTGGTAGCTCAAGGCGCTGCTCAATACCGGCACGGTCGAGAACTGACTTTATACCAATGCCGGAATATTCAAGGATAAGAGGGGAGATTGCAGAACCGGCAGCCAATAGAACTTCCTGCCTGGCGTAAACATCAAAATTCACAGCCTTGTCTGTTCCAAAGTTCACGCCGATTGCCTTGAGACTAGAATTATCAAATAGTACTGTCCCAACCATTTGACCAGTCAAGACGTGTAGGTTTTGACGCTTGTAATTAGGAAGAAGCCATTCACGAGCAGCGTCGGCGCGAGTCTGATCGTCTAGGAGGTTGTTATAAATCATTGAAACTCCACGGGGGTGGCCGCAAAGGAAGTCTTCTTGGGTTGGTACGCCAAGTGCAGAAGTGGTGTTCATAAGAGCGCGTACGACTGGGTTATAACTTTTGCCATTATCACGGGGACCGGAATGGATAGTTCCATTGAACCCGTGACAAGATGCATTGAAAGCATGGCCAGCAGCAATCTGAGCAGCAGTTGGAGGACGAGCACGCTCAGCCTCGTTCATATATTCGACCAAGTTGTCCCAATTCCAGCCCTTCATACCAAACACCTTCTCCCACGAGTCGACCTGGACTTTATCTGGTCTTGTCCAAGAGTTTCCATTGATTAAAGTCGAACCTCCAAGACCTTTGCCGGACCGAATGATCATGCTTTGGTTGTTGATTGCCATGTTGACGGTGGCATATTGTTGGTCAACGGAGGTGTCAAAAATCTGGCCATAGTTGTTCGGATCCTCGATGATGGGGCCGTCATTGGACGCGTAGAATCCCTTCTCGATAACCAGAACAGAGATTTTGGGATTTTCTGTGAGCTTGGCGGCAACAGTGAGGCCGGTCAAGCCCCCGCCGGCGACGATATAGTCATATTCCTGTTCGGAAACATCTTTGGGATCGGAGATCAGATGAGCCTGCACATCTACCTGCTCAGCCGGGGTATAGGGCTGGGCCGTAGCGGTAGCAAGGAAGATGAAGAGTTCCCAAATGGCGGATTTCATATTGATGACAAGGTCTGGACGGAGCAGTATCAAAGAATGAGCAACAATGATTTTGAGATTTAATGACAACCGATAGACATTATGATGATATAAATATGAGAGAGGTCGCGTTCAGTCTATCTGATCTGAAATTAGGACGTCCCAGGCTAGACCGAGCTGCTGATCAATGTTGTGCTACGCCACGGGGTACGCTTATGGTAAGGATAGGTTACTGCATGTTGAGATGAACTCAAATAGATGTGAGATTGTTGCCTTCTTTCCTGGTGTTCGGTGAATTCGTCTGCTCACCGACACCGCCGTGTAGCTGCAGATCATCGCCAATGGATGCCATTTAGCCTTCGGATTGTTAAACTTCATCTTGGCGCCGAGCCCTCTATCTTACTGAGCCACCCTCGGGGCACACCGAGGATCCGTGTTTGACGAAATGGAACATGTCGGACATCCGTCGAGGACAAGCGGATCGTACTTTTGGTACCGCATCCTCGATGCCATGGGATTTTTGTAAAGATCACTGAGGCCATCCTTGGAGATCATCAATATGCTATTGAGCCTCAATACTCATTTTGTGTGTGAATTATATCTTCAATCTCACACTTGAATTTTTCTTTCTGTTCCATGTTCCTGCTTTTTATAGAGATTGTATTTCTGCAAAGAATCCCCACTAGACAGATCCTGCAGGTATTCAGATACTCTTCCCGGCAAACTTTAGTAGCCACGCTACAGTGCTAGCACGGGATAGTGCTAAAGACCGCTATGGAATTTGAGTTCGTGTTTCTAGAGTGGGATCGAACGTGTCTGCACATGTGGTAGAGAATCCACCTAATAGGTAACTAGAAGTACTTCGAACTCCATCTCCCAACTCCCATTTATTTCAAAAGTTTGATTTCGCTCCGTATATGTGATGGGTAAAAACGCATGGAAGATTCAAGCCTATCTTGACCAAATTTGGATACAGTAGAATTAAATCATAATGATTGGGGGGTTTATTGTATTTCCATGCATTGCAAGAAGTGGTATCTAGCCAAGTGTGTTCAACCGGTCTTGAAGCGCTGGTTTTCCTGGAATTAGCGGATCGGGGCTTTGCAGCGTCTCCATAACTGGTCTTGGCGGGATATTCACCAATGACGCCGGTCATAGGAGCACGAGTCTTTGGTTGTTTGAGTGCCCGAAAGGTTCCCAGGGTCTGGGTCGCTCGGGTGACAAACCGACGCCAAGAGCGACCCCAATTCCGGTCTTCGGGATGCTGAAGTGAATCTGATACTGCTGTCGGTTGACGTGACGATTCGTTCGCGCCAAGCCCGGAAGCCCGGTCTCTCGAGGCCACGAGCGGTGAGAGAAAGTGGCAAGAAACGTGCATGAACTGCTTGGTGAGCAAGAACAAGCAGATGGCTAGGCCTGAAATAGAAAATGCCTAGATCGCAATCGCGGGAATGATACGAGTTACTGGAATTTATTTTCCCACCTTCGGTGAACGAATGAATTGTCTGGGCAGAATCTTTCTTGAGCTCTCTTGAACAGCGCGAATCCTTAAGGATTGATACATCCTGCACTTTCGTTCAACCCCGACAAATCATTACAGCATGAAGACGATTCTCTTTGCCTTTGCGGCGATCCTGTTCGGGAATTTCTCTTCTGCTTCAAAGCTCTACGCGGCGTCCTACGGAGGTTCGGTTTATTCCCTGGCCCTCACCAACTCCAATGGATCTCATGAACTATCCATACTGTCTGAGTCCACTGAGTGTGGAGACAGTCCTTCATGGCTTATGTTGGATAGAGACAATAGTGTTCTTTATTGCCTGAATGAAGCTATTGGATCTTCCAATGGCAGTATAACCTCCTTCAAGACCCATCAAGATGGCTCACTACCAGTCATAGAGCGCCTGGTTACGCCTGGGGGCCTGGTCATGTCAGCAATGTACGCTGCACCCGCAGTCCGCGACCATGAATTCTTTGCAGTTGCTCACTAGTATGCTTATGACGGCCCTTCTGACAGTTCCTTAGCAGATCATGCTAATCTCGAGCTTCTATTTTAGCGAGACGTCGACTGTGACAACCTACTCTGTAGATCGCGTTCGCGGTCACTTTCAACATCTGCAAACCTTCACCTACGCCATGTGTAGCCCTGGGCCTAATGCTGCCCGCCAGGACGCTCCTCACCCCCACGGAGTCATCATTGACCCCTCTGGAAGGTTTGTTCTTATTCCGGATCTTGGAGCCGACCTTGTCCGCATCTTTCATATTCACCCGGAGACTGGTCACCTCGAGCCAATGGAGCCCTTTGTCGCAACCCCAGGCTCGGGTCCACGACACGGCATTTTTTGGACCCCCAAGGCATCAGAAAACACTACTCCGGAGGTATACTTCTATATTGTGCACGAGCTGAGCAATAGCCTGAGTGGCTGGCGGGTATCGTACACGGACGATGGGATGTCTTTCTCCAAGGTGTTTGAGGGAAGCACGTTCGGCAACGGCACTGCTCCTGCAGGCTCAAAGGCCGCAGAGATAACAATATCGGTTAGTATTGTGGCCTCCCTACATCTAAACTTCCAAACCATAATTCTGACTGGCAATATGGGACAACACAGCCTGAAAACAATCATCTCGTAATCAGTAATCGCCTTGACAATACTTTTGGCCCAAACAACGATTCAATCGCCATCTTCTCTTGTGCGGATAAAAGTGGAAGATTCTTCAATGGCGTTAACTTTGTCGATCTCTTCCCAGCCTATGGCTCCTCTGCTCGAGGTTTTGACAATAGCGGCTCTCCGGAAATGTTTGCTCTGGCTTTGGAAAAAAGCCAGAAGGTGGGCGTGACCCAGTGGAATAAGAGGCTCGGAGCACCTGGTAAGCTACTTGCCGAGATGAAATTGAACGGAGATGTTCCGGCGGTAGTCTGGGATCTTGGACCAAATTCGCTATCTGGTGGAATGGGAGGCAGCGATATCAATGTCGATGTTTGTCGATCTTGAAGGCTGGAATCACCAGTGAAATAGAACACGCAATAGATACGACCTCTTCATAAGAGTAGTGTGTGAGAGGTGAATAGGTACCCAGAAGGTCGAGAGAAAGGGAGTGATTTTGAAGATAAGGTCAAAGTTTCGTCGATATATTCGATGTGTGATAACGGAAATACTATAGGGATCAAATAGGATGATCCATCAGGATAGTGCTCCTCGCTTCAATTCTTATATCAAAATCTATAAACTTGATCATGTACATATCCGTATAATTACTTCATCGTACCTAGGCATCGATACTTCGACATTGTATATACCGGATGTAGCAAGGTCATTCGCTGACCCTTGGACTCGAGCAACTATACCCGCTGCTGCGGACCCGAACTCCGCGCAGCGATCGTTTGACTGGCAATGTAAATACACCCCGAACAGAGTAATGTTATTTCCTCAGTGCAGTAGCTGATGCGTTCGAAGACTGGTATGTGACGAAGGCACGGGTACTTTGGCATTCAAATATACCCTTTCGATTTCGTCGAAGGCGTCGTGTAAGAAATGGTTTCTCAAGTCAATCACGCTTGTTCTCCGGCGGATAATTCGACCCGAAGTGCATATCTGGGTTATTTGTGCTTCTTTGGTATCTCAAGCAGGGGTTGAGGTTTATTGCAGCCTTCTCAACTCGGTGTTTACGTTTCAGAGGGATTATCTCTGAAGACTTGGCCTGATAGAGTTCGAAACATAAACGATTCTTGAACTCTCGTTTGCCACGCTACGAGATTTTCTTTTGTTGCGTTTCTCGACGAATTTGGGATTAAAGACGGCAATGAAGAAGCCTGCGAAAGTCGGTACCCTGATTGTGAAAAGTGGACCGAGAAATGCATTTGATGCGTGTATCGTCTACGATAAGGCATGTCAAAATTTGGAGACCGATTTAAAAATGTCTGACCCGCTATATCACCATAAAAAGAGTGACTTATGCTCGAGAATTTATGCCGTAGAGTACAGAGTATGCATCGCGGCGGGCCACTCGGGACATCTGAATAATGATGGAGCTTGCTAGCCTGCACGTTGAGCCTCACTCGACTGTTTTGGTCGGCATGGGGTGTTCCTGCCTGCACATCAGTCGATGGCGCATTCCCTGACTCCTTGCTGGCTTTTTTCTAGCTGAAAGAAATTTGGAGTTTCAGTGGCAATGACACACTCCTAGTTGAATCAAAGGTTCGATCAGCCAGCTCGACCAGCACTCTGTTGCCCAATTTGGTGTCCAATAAAGGTGTCTGGCGGTGCTGACTCCTTGTCAGCCGCTGATCTGTGTTATTTCCTCATGTCGTAGCTATAAACACATCAACGAGCGGATTTCTATCTTATCATCGATATCTAATGCCTATACCTTTGGGTGCTCTACTTCGTATTGGCGCATGCGTCATGGAAATTTCCGCGATGAAACATGGTCCTTGGTTGCAAGTCTTTTTATTTATTATTGCTGCACTAGTGGAGACGTTTGTCATTTTCGTTTTGCTTTGTTCATGGCCCTGTCTTGGATCTCTTGGGGAATCATCTTGTTCTGATTGCATGGAACTTTACGGGGACAGATATAGCTTTACGGTAATATACGGTTATCATTCAGTCGTTGGTGATTGTTGCTCCTATCACCGTACAGATCACCAAGTGCGATGAAATAGTAACAAGGCCGTGCAACAAGCTGGTATTTTGGGTGGAGAAGCTCCTTACACAATAAGGTATTTCACAAAGGAGTAAGAGAGGCATGTTGGGTCACTAAAAATGGCGGCGCTTAGTGAGGGACAACAAGGTGCAAAGTGGTTCTCGCGGCCCATTGATATAAGCCAGCAGCGCCGCGCTGGATGATGGTCGCGTCACAGTACGCTGTATTTACAAAAGCGCTACACCTGAAAGACCCGACGGGTAATGTTTGGCTTCTGTCCAGCCAATTCCACACGACGTTTCTCAGTATTCTTGGCATCTTGCTCTGCAATGATTTCCTCCCCAGTTTCGGGGTGGTCCATCTGGGATTCTGTATGTGGGAAGAATCGATTAAATACCCAATAGAAGACACCGGCGGCAATAAATGAGTAGATGTACCCGATGGCGAAACTGTACAGAAATGAATCAGCGTGGGTTCAATCTGCGCAGTGTTTCTCCAGCCCCTTCCCAAAGCACATCGTGCGGAGTTGTGGAAAGTGACCTACAGATGTTGGCCGCCAATAGAGACACTGGTGGTGTCTCCCCCAGAGTCAACGATGTTGTTGACAAAACCAGGCAGGGGTGGAGCGCAGCCAATGAAGAAAGCAGCAACGGCGCGCCAGTTGCTTGCAAATTTTGGAGAGTATCGGTATATGCCGTGAAAGTTGTACATATCAGGCACAGAAACATTACCGCGTCTGACAATGAAGTAGTCGCACATGAGAATGGATGTCATGGGTCCCAAGAAGATGGTGTAGCCTCCGAGGAAAGCAATAAATGTCGCGGCTGATGCGAGAATCTTCCACGGGACAAAGGCCCAGCTACCAATAAAGGCAGCAAGCAGTTGGCCTCGGCGAATGTCGATATATTTGGGGGCGAACGCCATGAGGTCGTTAGCAGCACTGATAGAGTTTGCGGAAATGTTGATACCGAGAGTGACGATGAGCAGGCCGATAGCGCCAAATGCAGCAGAAGCACGTCCAGCGCTGGAACCGGACTCCATCCACAAGCTGATGATTTCAATGGGATTCCAAATAACTTTACCATATGCTGTCTGAGCAGCAGCGGCAGTGAAGATGCCTAACAGGCCAACAATTGCTAGACGACCAATTTGTTAGATAACTAGAGATAATGGATGTCGGCACGTCCGGTAGTGTACATACTGAAGATGCACGGGATGACGACAGCCTGGACGTTCTGTGCGCTGGGCTTATTGGCGTATCTCGAGAAGTCGGCAATGTTTAAACCCAAGGTGGAGTAGTTACCCAAAACTCCATTGAGATCTATAAGAAAAGTACAGGTCAGCCAAGGGGTTAAAGGTACTACGATGGCAACGAGCATTTACTGACTTCCGAAAAAAGCCCAGACGAGGACTGAGCCGCTCACGGTGGGACTTTCAGTGATGACCGTACTCTTGCTGATGGTACCACCAGCCTTGTGCAGCGTGTCTCCGAAAACAGCCAAGAAGATAATCGGTGCGATGACTGACTTGAAGGCAAAAAAGTATTGGACCTTGGCAGCATTAGTAAAAGTCTACCAGGCGAGTGAACCGGGCAAGGTTCCCCGGAAGCAATTGAAGAAGGGGGGGGGGGAAGATGGAAGGCGCTATTGGCTGCATAGATAGTACCTTCGTGTATGGTATGCAAAGGAAGGGCAGCTGGAGGAGAAAATAGAGCAAAAATGCAACCATTCCCGACGTAGTGATGCCCTGATCTTCAGGAATATGATTGGGAATGTTGGTGAAACTTGGCCAGATGGCTGTGAGCAAGACAGCCATGCATTGACCACCTGTGGTTGTTTGGACACCAAGCCAAACAATGGCGAGGACGCAACGGGATAGGACGACAAAGTAGCTGAAGTAGTAACCGAATGGCATTCGCGCGAGGACGGGGAACGGGGTATGAAGAATGGCACCGATCCTGCCATTGGACGTGATCACGAGACCCATGATGGTGTTGCCAAGCACACAAGCACCAATGGCCATTCTCCAGTCGAGGCCGACTGCAATCATGGAAGAAGCTACTTCCCAGTTGGAGACGGCCCAGGCATCGGCCATCCAGTAGGCGACGTATGCGCCCCAATTCCAGGTGCGTTTCGACGGGGGAATTGGGTCGAAGTCAGCATTAGAGGCTCCCGGCGTGGCAGCGAAGCTGCTCTCCTCCTGACGAACTTCCCACCTGAAGCCAGGCAGGCGTCGTTTGAAGTTGCCCACGCGACCGGTCTCGAAAGTCTCATTGTCGGAGCAGCGTTGGGCGGAGCTCTTCTCGAGTATTTCCTTGTTATCTTCGGATACCATGACAGGTGTCAATGTGGATACATGCAAAAGGGATGCGTTGATCGAAAATGGAATCTATATATCGGTAGGTGCAATATTCACATATATATGACAGGATTAAAGGAGCAAGAAGAGAGCAAGAACAGATGGGAAACCGTGACCTATTGGAGCTTGGCTCCTCGTGCGTTACGGGCACCTTGCTCGAATGAAGGGCCGCTGAGAGAGTACTCGGAGGCTGCCGTGGATTTGTGGCGTCCGTATCTACAATGCTGCGTGGGGTACTTAGATAGCAAGATAAGGAATCCTGACCACAGATGATGATGTGGGCTCAGATGCCTGCAAGCCCGCTTATCCGACCAGCTGATGCCTTTGTTCTCAGCACGGAGCCACCAGCCATACGCAGGGCGCTTTGATTGGCCAACCCTCACATCCTTATCACACAGATCATGTTTATCTATGTTCGTTCGTGTTCGCTATCAACCGGTATTTTTTACAGAGTTCCGAGTGCGCATGTTTTAGAGCTGAAAACACGTTCCAGGCCGTGACAGCCGACCGTACCAAACGTCGGCTAAAGTTGTCACAGTAGTAAACACTGCTCTATAACCACTCGTCGGTTCCGATAGGCATCTTACTGAGTTCCTTTGGGCTTCTGTCGAATGTGAATTGATCGATTCTCGGTCTCATTGGGGTGCTCCGAACCCACAAGCATTGTCGATGCTGTCGAGATTGGTGGTGCTGAAGGCACTGTCTACGCCGATAATGAGAAGCTTAGGGCGAAGCCATGCTCAATTCTTCAATCAGGCACGAGCTCCTGGATGGGGTGCAAGAGGTTAGATCGCAGCTCACGAATCAAAGGCTCGGATTATCAGCCACTACACTGGAGGAATGATCAATAAGCTGTCTTCGGTCCCACCCCCTTATAAAGAGCCGTGGGCATGGAACCACGAGGCCCTCCTTTGACCATACAGGCTCATAGTCAAGAGGGCATCGGTGTCCTGGAACCTGATCCCAGGTGCCATTGCACCTATCCGATACTCTAGGCTCTGTCTCAATAACACCGGCAGGCCAGGCCGCTCGGGGCTAAGTGTCAGCCACCCTGAGCGCCCGTCAAGCAACCTACGCATATGCGCCGGCGGGCTCATACATAGAGATACGTAGATGACGGTAATGTTATGTAAATTGAATTTGGCGAATGGAGGGTATGTCCGCCAATAGGCCTTGGGAGAAAGAAGCCACAGCGTAGTGATCTAGGCATTCCGGTGTGTCCGTTCAGCTCTAGATACAGTACCTTCATTCCTTTCGCCCCTTCTGGTGTCATAGATTGGCTCGCTCCTTTTACCTTCCTTTAGAGTGACCCTCCTCGACAGTCTCGTTAATGAGCTGTGTCTTAACATCGCATCGCAGCATTAGAGCGAGCCCTGCAACGTGTCGGTGAGTAATACATTGGAGCAAGATGCTGCGCAATTTCCCAGAATCAAGCACTGGACTGGCAATCATAGTTAACCAGATGTAAAGTCTGAATGTCAGGCACTACGAATGATATATGTAGAAACTCGGAACCAAAGAAAGAAGATGCACAGCTGGGTAAGTTGAATGATCAGGGTTTGAAGACTTGAAGTGAACAATTAAATTGCTTCTGCCGTCAATGGCATACTTCGGTATATGCTATGATGGTGGAGATATCTTATTGAGTACAATTGCAATCATCTCATTGACTTACATGCGTATGGACCTGGCCGTGGCCTGATATTACCTGGCCACGAACCGCGATTCTCCTTGTGCTGCAAAAACAATGAGAATTCTGCCCACCAATATTATTGGCCGCATGGCCCAATGTCATGATTCACACAGACAGACACTTGCAAATCTATTTATGACGAAGCAGAAAATGGAGGGATCAAGAAGTAAAAGATGAAAAACAATTAGCACGACCAGGTTTCGATCCTGGGATCTATCTGAGAGTTAGTTATCTTGTTTGGGTGAAAAAGTTCATGGCATATCTTACCTCCGGGTTATGAGCCCGGCGCGATTCCTCTTCGCTATCGTGCTGTTGGGTGCCGCTGAATCTCACTTGCAGAGTTTTGATCGGTGTCACTTTGACATGCGAGTTATAGTGTGAATCGCACCAAACGTGTAAGAAGGGGTCCCGTTCCACTTCAGGGCTGGATACCTTCATTTCGAATTGTCTGGCAGTCCAAACATATCGCATGCGACAGATGAGGATTATTTAGAATAACAAAAAGAAAAGTGAAAAAAAATCCTGGACTATCAACTGGGCCGGCGGTTAGCTGACCTTGACATAAGAGCCAGAGGAATTTTCACCATGACAGCTTTGTTACTCCTTGGCTTTAATGTTCCTGGACTCGAGAAACAACAAAGAAGCAAGGTAAGTGAAGGACGGATAAAATAATGCGTCATGTATTGTAAAGCTGATATTGTAAAGCTGATATTGCTAAAGTTGTATTTGATAAATTTTACAATGAAGTAGAAGAAAGAAAATGTAAAGGACTACCGGCGAGTCACTTTTCCGTTAGTTACTACCAACTCCACATCACTGTTGGAGTCACCGTGCTCCGACCTATCTCCATAGTTCACGGTGTAGCTGACAGACTTGTTAATCTTGCTGTCCTGACGTGCATATCCGTCTGTGTTAAAATACTCCGGCCCAGAGGCATATGTTCGTCGAGAGGAGCCACCCATGATTTCGGGGAACCAGCGGCCAAGAAGAGCCCTGGATGCAGGCAAGCAAGCACACATGACGGAGATCTGGCATTCGATGACAGACCAATAGATGAGCGGGTAGAGACCTTTGGTTTGGTTGTAGCCCCAGCGATTGTTCCAGAAGACGACGACTCGGATAATGGCAATGATGGTAAGGCTTGAAGTTTCGGTCAGTATTTGGTAGACTTAGAAAATGAGAAGGAACGCAGCGAGTGAATGCTTACACTGAACCAACGATAAACATCAACGCCACGGTGAGTTTCTTCCGCAGAGGCATCTGCAGCTTGCTCACTTCATAGACAGGCATCATGATCAGCACCTGCAGGGCTCGTTAGTTGAATATAATGGTAGAGTCCTCGCAGATTGTACATACAGAGTCGACGAAGATGTTAACAAGGCAGTTCACGAGGATTGAGTCGATGAAGTTAATGCACTTCCCACTTTCCTCTCCCGTCCAGCCGTCCCATGTCAAATGGATAGGAAGACAACGGAATGAATCGACACATGCCCAAGTGATTCCAATGGCGGTATTAATGGCGATCAGGGCGTATGAAAGATAGCGGAAGTTGGGTGCCTGGAAAATGCGCAATAAGAACAAAATAACGCTGATCTTCGCCAGAGATATTTGTATCTTATACATCACGGCGAGACCTTGAAACAACTGCTTCCGTCAATATGAGGACATAGGTTCACGTGATAAGAGGTCGCACCTTGTAAATGAGAGTTATGTCATTTTGCGGTGTGATATCCCAGATATTGGCGCCAAAGCCAAAACGAATCACTGTCTTGTTAGCTTCATATGGAAGGGAATATTTTGAGGAATACTCACTCTGCATGCCGATGAAATAGATTGCGGTACCGAGGACCTGACGCCTGTTAATGCCTCGGCACGGAAACTAAAGCAGGTGCGCTTACATATGCAATGATAATAGTATAATCGTCCAATCCCCATCCACCTGCAAGCCCACTGCTCTTGGCAAAGATTCTGGCGGCGAAGAAAACTGTGGCAAGAATGAAAGGGATCAACGTCGAGGGGTTGACCACCGGAGGCCTCTGGAGCGGAGTGATGTCACATTCTTTTTGATAGAGCCGTTTTGTAGCTGAAACAATTAGCCCAAACTGGGGTAGTTTCGATCAAACGGACTTGAAACTCACTAAAAAATTCTTTCACTGTGCAGTTGCTCTCGACTGCGTCAAGGTAAGTAGTGACGCGTGAGTCGCTAGCACAGAAGCAAGTCGTATTCGTGCTGAGTGAGCAAGTTGAAAATAAATTCTCATCGCAGGTTATCTAGCGATAGTCAGTAGTGTCCTGAGCTTCTTCTTTAAAAATCCTGAACGTACAGCACAGGATGGGAAAGCGGTTAAGTCTGTAGCGTGCAACCCCACCACCAGCATGCCTAGGACACTGAGCAAGCACAGGTGAAGTCTCATGATGGCGATCGATCAGTTCGAAACGGCTATCAGGGATCTTTGAAATGGAGAGCATCTCGCGTGGGGAACGGTTGGTTTTCATTCTGAGTCAGGATAGATGATCCAGATGGCTACAGTGGAGTCTGGTGTCGCGGAAAAAGGCCCAAAACACGTGGAATCCAGGGTTAAGGTTATCTATTTCACACGATGGCGTTTCTCTGAAAAACTAGAACCAGTGCATTGGAGCCTACTTTCTGGGTCAGCTGAGACCTGCCCCAATCTCCCGAGGTAAGAGCTGCCGGTCTGATCTGCTGGATCGGGAAAATGATCCGTATTCAGTCTAGATCGGTCCAGCGGGGCGCTGGTTTGTATCCAATCCGATGATTATTTGCTATTTACTTCCTCTGTGTCTCGCGTCATCTGCCTCGGATGTTCTGCGTAAAAAGGGTTCTCCATCCCGGTCAAGTGGAACGATCGAAGGCGTTGATTATTGAACCCTAAGTTTTCCTTGTTTAGATTCACTTCATGAGCACCTGAACTCCAAGGCATCGAATTTATTCTTTCAGGTCTGGAGATCGCTTCAGCTCCCACCTGCCTTTTTGGGGCTACCCCGATCGCATGGCCTATTACTTGAATACAAGGTCTCCCCCTTTTATTTGAAGCTAGCATTGATAGTGCTAATGACACCCCACTTTGAGTATGAGGCTCTTGGGGTGCTATGCTGTGGCGTTTATTCGAAAAAGGAGCAATGGCCATGCAGATCGATCAACTGTTTCAAAGAATATCGTAAGATCTTCCAGGTATAGATAAGAATTGAAACAGCAGTTGACCCATAATCAATCTGATTATCTCTTTTCTACTAAGGACTTGTCAAATCTTGATTGTGGCTGAGATCGGATCTCTAGCCGGCTATAAAGTTCCGGAAAACTCTGTTGAGAGTACCTAGGTCGCCAAGACCGCCATGAACCTTTAGAATCCTGGAACCATGACCTGACTTGTGGATTCAATATACATTGTTCAGAACCTCTTACCCATAAATGGAGACAAGCGAAGAGCAAGTAACTTCCGGGCGCATCCCGAGATCCGCTATACCTGTTTGGATAGTATAAGTCATGGACATCTCTAAGCTGTGATTTTGCGTTCAGTCATCCGTATGATATACTCTATTACCATCAAGCTCCACTTTGAAAGGCTCACTGTTTGTAAAAAAACACCTCAAAGCAAAAAGTACGATCCCTATAGATCCGTTGTCACCGGAATAATTCACCACGTAAAGTCTGATCGATTAAAGGATACTTTTTGACCTTTAGTATTCTCAGTTTTCTGCATATACGGAGTTCTATATAATTTTATATCTCAATCAATATAGTACATACGACCATAGGGTGTGGAGAACAGGGCTTCCCGTCCGCTCAGCCGTACTTAAGCCACACGCCGGCAGGTTAGTAGTTGGGTGGGTGACCACCAGCGAATCCCTGCTGTTGTATGTTTTATTGTTTTTTTTGTGCATCTTTGCTACCATTTGCATACGAAGGTTTGAGACAAAGTAGACATTGGCGTATTAGCCACCAAAGGCGCCTGGATCAGATAGATCGTAGAAAAAACATAAATATGATCGATCGTAGACGCAATTCCGTCGCCGATAATGAGGACCTAGCTCTAAGCCTCACTTTATTGAATTATGAGGACTAGATGCCCTCTCCGACGTAAAAGGTTAGAGGCGAGCTCTGTTTGCGTTGCATTGTAATAAAGTCAATTCCCTGAAAAAAGGGTGCCATCTACGACGAGTCGAATGATCGATATCCTTAAGACACCTGACCGCAATATCGTTAAATTGAATATTTCGCCTAGCGTTTTAGTGTTGTTATTTACATGAAAAAGAGAATCACAATCATTGGGCAATAGAGGACCCTTCTACCTTCTAAAATTGGGTTGGTTCCATCCACTCAGGCGTCCTTGGCGCCCGTGCGCTTAGAACGAAGAAGGCAAGTCAAAACGAACTGAACACGCTTTATTGACAAACTCTATCAAATAAATCTTGCTAGAAAAAGATAAAGTTTCTCTCGAAATAAGCAATGTCTTAGATTGAGCTGTGTGAGGCGATCTTGAAAAGCTTGCTTTTTGGCGTCCAGCCAATGCCGAGTAGATACTCAAATTTCGTAAGCTGTATTTGGCGTGTGAAAGACAACGGCATTGAAAAAAGCACCGTGCATGTGTCCGTTAAGTGCGCTATACATCTACATGTGCCTAGGTGTCTCATCAATGAACAGACTGGTGAAAGGAGATTGATTAGAGCAGAAACTTCCTACTCTTGCGAATCGCCATTCGACATTCTTCAACTTCTGAAGCAGTTGATTTGGTCTTCGGTCATAACCGAGAAGACGTTCTGGATCGTTTGGAGGTGTCAACAAAGTCCGTGTCTGATTGGTCCGTTGATGCTCGGCTCACCGGATGCTGTAAGTGTATGAACTCGATTTTTGGAAAAAGTTACGTATTTAGGTCGAATTTTTGACTTTCACTCCGAGGTTTTCCCAGACCTAATATAATACCCTCCATTATCTTGGCAAAGAATGCCATTGAAATCTAGGTCTCCTGCGGGGTCGAGACCGCTTCCACGACCCCAACATTCGAAAGCTAAAGTTTCCGGTATCTCTCAACAAATGACGGTAATTGTCCGCCATGTCAAATAGGCAATGTAATTCGTGTCCTTCCAATTATACGAAAATGGTCTGGTTATTCAGAAAGATATCACCTATTCATTCGTAGCAATGGCGCGATCTAGAGCTGGGTCAATAATTCAGGATTGACTTGTGCATCAGACAAGGCCGAGCATGAATCCCGAATCACAAGGGTAAAGCTAGGAAACTGCTCGTCACCTAATGTTGTTATGGAGGAAAGCCATATAGTAGCATTATGTTCTTCTCTTTGATTATCCTGCCCTCCTTTTTATCTTTTCAACTTTCTTTCTGGATACTTTTGAACATCTCTCAGCCAAATTGATTTCGGAAAACGTCGTCTATAGCAGATTTTTGTGGCAGATCGCTTAGTCTCCATGAAACCGTTAAACTTGAAAAAAATTGAAATTTTCATTTCACTCGCCAAATGAAAGGCCCTTACCTCAGCTGGAAACGGAGCACCAGCAGTCTGCTCAAAACTGGAGGTGTTCAGATCGTTTCGAGTATGAAATGTGTACATCATGAAAGCGGCGGGACGCACCGAAATTGGTAAACTTCCCGTACAGTGGGACCTGCTAATGTTTCTGCAATGTTAGGCTGGGACAGTACTCCACAGGTGCAATGATGGGAGTCGAAAAGGAATGTATCTTCCACTTGGGCTCGTCAAAAATTGATAATCCTCGGATATTTATGCCGACCCTATATCTTTCCGAGTGTATGTCACAGCACGGCTACGCATTCATTAATTTCGGCCCGGACCATATACCGGAAGTTGGACAGATTCCGAAGGTTTCTAGGTATTCTAGAGCAAGGCGAGGCATCCCATCTTGAACCATGCATTATTATCAGGATCGACGTGTACAATGTTTCTATGTTTAAGTTGACGGGAAAAGAGGCGTATAGCTCATCGGGTCATCAGGTCAGTGGTTGACCTGACGACCTGATGAGCTACATACCCCGGGAAAAGCTATCAACATTGCCCGCCTGGAACTGCGAGAACCTGGAGCGTAGCTACTCTACAGATGGTATTTCCGAGCTAAAGGTTCGGGCCGTATTGCAGAGGCCGTATTGCTCGTGATAACTTTCCAATCTACTAATTGATAATAGCTTGCTCTTAGAAATGTTATGGGAAAGGTTTTCAAGACCAAATAACTATTGACCTTTGACTTCACAGGTCTCATGCCTAAGGCCACTTCTCATTTCAAGCTCTAGCATAATTACCAGGGCGTTGTTTAGAACGCTTGTGATATTCAGTATTACCCTGGCCTCCGAGATCATCCCAGAGAGCTCGAAGAGCCACGACCTTTAAGAGCCACGACCTTTTAGCGTTCTTGATCAAGCTCTTTACCCGCGATGAGAGATCAACATCTGTGCTAGGCTCAAACGTAGCAATTATTACCAGGCTTATGACGTGACAAATAACCAAGAGGAAACTTACAATGATTCTTTGCATCAAGACGGTACGCCGGAGATGATCTTGGCTGCATAATATCATAAGAAACATCATTTGGAGCGGCATCATCATAGAGGCGATAGAGGTTGTGAATATGGTACATAATTCATTCATCTACCAGCAGTGAGATATAACAAGACACAAAGGATTGATACCCCTCGGCGGTCGTCTTCAAGCTATAATGCCACATCCTAGTCGAACAGTAAGAGCGAAAAGTAGCTACGCCTAAGCAAATGATGACTTGCAGCATCCGCTGGCCTGAAAATAGCCTATTATTATGGATTAGGTGATCCTAGAAGGCTCTGCTTTGGTGAATAGGTCGTAGTCACGGGCCATTGTCATTTGTTTCGTCCATCCACTCACCGAGCCTTTCCTTCAATTCCTACGTCAAGTTTGCCTTCTCCAGATAGACGAGAAGGGGTGCCTGATAAGATAATAATGGTTCTAGCTAGATTTACGGTCTATTGGCTGTCGACAACCATTTGCGCATATTTGTCCATTGATTGCTCTGCTATTAAGAAAGGTGTCAAAGTGGAGTGAGTATCTGAGGCTAGGCGGTTTTGCTTCGACTGAAAATAGATACCAAAGAGTGGCTTATGGCCTGTAGTGAGACAAAGTTCCCGATTTTTCTTTTCGAAGGTAGTTAGCCGGCTGTGAAGAAAATAAATAGGGCGGAGCGAGATTGGCGTTGGGCGCATGTAGAAGATGCGGGGCTGATGCGGCCGACTGACTTATCCCGTAGGAACACGGTCTAATTTTTGATAATGCGTCCTTTAGATATCATACTTCATAAGACGAGCGGAATAAAAATGAAGAAGTCAATTCAGAGGTTAGGATGTGAACTTAGAAATCGCTTCAGAGGAAGGAAACTGAAGACTGCCTGGAAAATAGCAAAGCAAACGTAAGTGAAAGATGGGATGTAGTCTTAAGCCACCGCGAATGCGTAGATAGCCCAACAAGATGGGAGTGCATAACAATTATTGTTCAAACAACCGAAAGACTGACTCGAAATTCTCAAGATCCTGCTCTGCCTTCGCGCGCTATGACCGCATTGCTTAAAATAGAAGGTTTTGCTTGGGGACTAGCTCCAGCCCTCTCCCTGAAGTCCCAAGACTGGTGCCTGGGGGAAAAGCTTAGGTTCTTTTCAATGATCTGTCCCCACAGTACAAGACCCTGCGGCTCCGTGGTAAGGGTTATCTGTTCTTTGGACTTTACATTACCCCGGAAGAAGATCCTGTCATATAAGAGCTTGCCATTTTCTTGTGGATTCCGACTTATCGATCAATTCTTGTCCCCTGCCAACATCGTCATTTTTGGAAACAATGTCTAGCACCCTTGGTGAGCAGACGATCCCTGAGTAGAGCTACCCCACTTCAACGCCCAGTCCATACATACCTACAAGCTAACTCTCGATTCCAGAGCCAAGCTAGGTCATTCTTCGACCCCATCGGAGCCCAGATGCGCTGAATATTATGAGATAGCCCAACCAGAGGGCCGTGCGATCGCCAATGACAGTTTCTGTCTACCATTTGTCTCCTTACAGCCGAAGCTATCCTTTCAGATCAATCAATGTACCTTCTGGAACAAGAACTCTGTCTTTCCAATTTTCAACATATGGCGTCCTGGATATTTTGGTATCTCTCTTCCAGAGCTAGGATCTGACCCCGTCAAGTTCAAAAGGAAGAACGACTTCATTGTGACTGGACGCGAAGATGACATGGAGGCTTGCAAGACAAGCAACACAGATGCCATTCCCTTTAGCACAGAAGGCTTAGTGGCCGGTATCAACGTCCACCCACCCCCCTGGTATGGATGTAGGGTGTGCAACTGCCACCGAGGATACGTGTTCTTGCCGAACGGCGAGCGCTGGAATTGGACTGAAATTGACCGCGAATACTATCAATTCAAGCCCGAAGATGACAGCCGAAATCAGAATGTCCCATGGAGGGCATTGATATGGCAGTTCGGAAGCAGCTTGGAGGCTTCTAATGGAGTCCCAGCAGACTTGCCATTTGCTCTAAATCGAGATACTCGAATCTGTCGTGTCAGAGAATTTGGCTCAGTATCCAACCCACTTATGGCTGGAGGACCTGTTGCCGTGATGAATCGGGACGGATTTGTCTTCTTGAATGGGGTGGGGCCGAAGATGGCCGAACTTCAGACTGAGGATAACCGAGCTTTAATTCTTATGTCCGGCCTTGCAATTGTGCAGTATGAAGGCTGGCTAGCAGAAAGATAAAGCCTCATTGGATAGAGTGCCCGAATGGGAGGAAAATTTCATGATGACAGTTTCCGATTCTCCATGAAGTCTGCATTCATTTGATGAGCAATGAAGATTAGACTGACACCGATTCAAATAAATGCTCTCGGGTCGGAAGTAAGCCGCACCATCAAGGATGTGCCCTAGCCGACCTTCACATGTCCTTTTGTTTCAAAGATATCATGTGATCGTATGTTGGGGGTTATGAAAAAAGCACAAGAAATAACTATTTTCAGAAGCAAACTTTGACTTGAAGGGATTTAAGACAACTAGCGGGATATCAACTCCAGCTCCCTTGCCCAAATGGCTGCATCCGATCCCGTATTAGCTTCAAAATCTGCACAACAATCCTCGCCTCCTTCTCCTATTCGTCTAAATTGCATAGCGACTAGATTACAGCTATCCAGTTAGAGGTATTCTACCAATCCAGCCTACTTGAAGTAGGCCCATTCGAGCCGGGACCCGAGCAATCGATCTCTTTGCATACTATTTTCCATTTAGTTTACGTCATGTCAGAAAACTTGAAGGAAAACTTACACTGCTCAGCTTGCTGGAAAAGAGTACTTCCCTTTGGCTTGTGCATAGCAGGAAGGATCTGTCCACCAATAGCTCTCTCCATCCTTGAATGTTCCTTTATCATCCGTAGAATCTGCCGAGTAGACGGGGAGTTTTCGACCGGTCGATCATTGATTGACCGATATTCAGCTTCAATGGCCTGAAGAAGGTTCCTTATTACGTCCTCAACGACATTGACCAAGTCACTTTCCTTATCGTTGACCTTGGACGAAGAGCTGAAGAGGTCATAGCGGACTTGGGTGGTTGTCTCAGATGATGGTAGGAAGGTCAATGAAAGCCAAAGATCCGAGTTCTCAAATGAGTAGAAGAATGAACTTGGAAAGAAGGAGGAGTCTGCTTGGCCGTTTTTTGGGGTAATCATTCGGATGAATTTTGCTGCTAGAGAAGGTGGCATTGCCTCGGAGACGCGCTGCTCTAGCTGTTCGAGAACGGCATTGAATTGTCGCCCGTTTGCTGCTCATGAGTTAGGACCATTCTCAAAAAGCTTTCAGCTGTCAACCAACCTCCAAGCTTCCAGTTAAATTCTCCGGGCAGTGTCTGCCCAATAATAAATCTAGAAATCAATCCGGCTCCAGCAGTGCGACCGAATTCCTCTAACGCCAGATGAGCAGAATCATCAAAAGCCGCCGGCTCTTCAGCATCCAGATTCACAAACACATAACCACTTCCAGTAGTGAGCGTGTGAATCTCAAAAAGGCTGTTTTCAGACTTATCAAATCCAGGAACGTCATCAAACTGCGGGGCTTTCACCAATCGTCCCGTGGTATCGTAGCTCCATCCATGATAACGGCAACCCAGAACTGTAGAATTACCGGTCTCCTTCCTAGTAATGGTATACGCACGGTGTCGGCATACATTATGAAACTAATAGCGAATGTCAGCTGGGTTCTTGGACGGCCGTGAGATGGATTAGTTTTACCGCGCGGATCTTGCTGTCTTTACCGCGAATCAAAAATACCGGGAATCCAGAGATGTCGAAGGATTGATAGGCGCCTGCCTTTGAGAACTGGCTGATGTGGGCAAGGTACAGCCAAGACTGGACTTCTGTTAGACTGCAAATGACATAGATTGGCCATTATAAAAAGAAAACAAAAATTTCTTACTTTGCTGAAGAGACCTCGTCGCTCAAGTTCGAATACTTCTCGTTTGGACCACCATCCCTCCGGAACCTCTGGCTCTTTAGAAACCGAGAAATCTGAAGCCCCTTCGTCCGTGGTAGACAGATAGCTGATCTTATCGGTCTGCTTCCGCGGCCAGGCTTGGACAGCCAGGAACGCGAAAGTCACCACAGCCACGAAGACTGAAGCCGGCGACGAAAAGAAATAAGCATTGACCAAGTCCATCACGAGATGACGATTGAATTGACAGTGAGATTCAGATGATTTTGCGCTTTATCGCAGGATACTTCGACAGTTATACCACGCACACAGAGGCCCGAGTTAGGCCAGAGGACCCCACATTATACACTTCAGCGAGCATATCGCATGCACCCAACAGTGCGCGCCCCCTCTTTGCACGTTACTTCCCGATTAAGTTAGAATTTCCAGGTCTCGGGCTACTATGTGCCACCTTCCTCCAGCCACGTCTTGGATATCGGGCCGTGGGGACTGGCCGCTGAGCTTATCATGCTGCGTCCTTGTTTCTAAGTCCGTACTGATGGTACATATTACTCCACACTGACGATTGACGGTAAATTTCATCCAATTTCTGATCCTAGATCCGAGTCGCAATGCGATCCGACAAATGATCCGAGTTATGGAGGTAGCAAAGGTACAATGTGACTATGACTAAACTCGTACTACGCTTCCATCGGCACCATCGCTGGCGCAGCTCGTTCTTCCAATCCTTTCTCGGCGTTCTCTTTGGCTGCACGGTCCAGTTTGTGTTGTTCGCAGACCATGTCGAATACTCGTTGCTGGTAATCTGGGAAAGGTTAATTTTCTATTGGAAAGAGTCGGAAGTATGAGCTTACAAGAGACACCATTTTCCTTCTCGGGGTTCAGGATCCCCTCATGGTAAACACCCTGTGTGAGATTGAACTGGGCTTTCTCACAGAGCTCGAAGTCCTCATGCGCGACCTGTGCCGTCAGAAATGAATTTGTAGTCAGATCCATGATTGGAACTGAGAGATCTTGTGCCAAAAAAACATACCTGCCGCACAAATTTGTAGTACTCGTCAAACTTCTTGCCAGACTCCAAATGATAGTAGTCAAACTCCATGCGAGTCACGTTGGGATCAGAAGTAGGACAGACTCGGAAAGAAGACTATGGTCCTATTATTAAGGGGCAATGAATTGGGTCGTGAGTCTCTTACCATTCCGCCTCCATACACGTTGATCGTGGAATTAGGGAAGGTATACAGGAATAGTCCGTCATCCGGCTTCTTGGGATCGGCGATGTGTTGACTGAAATTGTGGGAGTTCTTCACGGTATAGAAAGTGGGTGGATAATATATGGAGAATGATGGATGAGTGTATTGACAGTGCAAACACTCCTGATACCCATCAACCCTAAAATTAAAGTCAGATGGGCTTGATAGAAGGAATCTCCCCAAGGTTCATACATAGTCTTCCAGTTGAAGCGGCCTTCATATTTGATGCTGTGCCTGAAAGGCAGTTTGGTGAAGTCGACCTTTGCGAGTAGCTCCTCAATTTCAGGGAAAAACTCGTGGAAGCTAGGAGCTTCATCGGAAATGGTCGAAAACAGCAGACCGGTAGGAGTGAGGTGGCTACGCAGTTCCTTGCCCTGTAATTCATGCACATTAGGAGCAAGCTATAGCAGAATTGTTGTCATCACGTACTGTTTTCGAGTGGAACACCTTCAGCTCCTCGGCTGTTGGGTTCAAAGCATCACCAGAAGTACGAACAACATATATGGGTTGCTGCGCGTGTTCATACTCGTAATGCTCGCCCACAGTCTGGAACTTGGTCACTGGACCAAGCAGATACCAAGACTGTATAATCATTCCAATGTTAGTCCTTCCGGCCATTCTTCATCATGAATCCTGCATACTTTATTGAAAACTGCCTTTCGCTCCATCTGATAAAGCGATTCATTGGTATACCATGAAGCTGGTAGAGTGCGGCTGAGTTCAGTCATGATTGTTGTAGTGTGTAATCCGAGTGTAGTAAATTGGGGGTTGAAACTCGTTATCACAGAGTAATGATGGTAGAAATTTATAGGCACAGTCCTATCTGGTTATCTCATAAGGAATGGTTGATTGCATTGTCTATTGGCACAAGGCTGAACCTTGTCATCCTGAGGAGTGCGGTTTATCGTTTCCTGAAGTAGTTATCGTATCCCGCGGGGCACGATGTGCACCCGCTGGTTCTGGACGTCAACCCCAATGATCCAGACTCGAGGCCTCTTCTACACGGGGCAGTTGAATCATCGGAACGTTCTTGCGACTGGGCCTGATAGATCATAGTGTGTTTTATCCAGGATCCAGGAAGGTCGTGCCTTGCGGATCTTAATGCCAGAAATGACATCAGCACGAAGAAGACAAATCCGAGGGACATCACGATGTCATCTATTTGGAGATCATTTCACACATTCCTTGATTCAGCGTATTCTCTATAGCTGTTGCTGCAAGTGTCTATCTATGGTTGCAAACGACCAAGGCTATGGACATGACGGCGAGAAGGAGCAGCTGACCACTGCAGATGATCCCTGAGAGGAACACCCAAATAAAAATGGCGTATTCCATGCAGAAAACTTCACCCCCCTCGTGCTAATGCGTAAAGTGTGCTCAAATTGTGAAGCTATTCATTCACAAGGGGGTTTGCTGTTGCCTGGAGCTGCGGACCCGGGACGTGGCGAATGTCATAAGATGCGATAAAAGAAGAAGCAAGGGACAGTCTCATGCTGACAGAGACAACTCCATCAAGAGAAGCTGAAGTGAAGCAGAGCCAACCCAAGGACGAGAAAGGGAAATAGAAAGAAGTCAACGAAGGACGAACCGAACAGAGCAGAGCAACGCGGAGCAAGAGGGGATCCTTATCTTATCGGGGATCATTACGTCTTCACCTTCAACGCCTTTCTTCACCCTCACATCACATCACATCATGGCGGGCCCAGTTCAGTACACGCCTCCTCCCTCACCTCCCTCGCCGACGGCGTCATTCTATGATATGAGTGATGACGACGAGGGTGAGTACAACACCATCGCCCACGCCAGCTCCGGCAAAGGTGTGAAGCTGCTCTACTCCAAAAGCAAGGTATGCGCGCCACCCGAGCTTCAGTGACTGACCAGCTGACATGCTATCCAGGTCTACGTTCACCCATCACCATCTGCCAAAGACAACATTCCTGGCTTCATCGCCCTCATCCAGCAAAAGCCTGCCCCGCCGAACTCCACCACAGCCACTTCTACAAACCGCAATGATTCAACCTCATACCTTCTCGCCTGGGTCCCGGAGTCATCTCTAGGGGATGCATATAGCACATACGTCCAAGTCGATCTTGCCGATGGTGATTCTCCGCCCCGTCAGAGATACCTCGTCCCCCCGCTTCCGACGACAACTACCCATAGAGATCCGATCGGGCTATACTCCTTCGCTGTTCCAGTATCCGAGATATACTCTCTCCTAGTGCGACCGCCGAGTCTGGGATGGTGGTTTGGTAGCGTTGTCATCAATACACGCTCGGGCGACAGCTTCCCCGCATTGTTCTTCCACGACAGCGAGTGCGAGTCGACAATACTTCAAAAAAAGAAGCGAGTCAAGGATACATTCGACCCCTTTGATAGCGAGGGCGGTCTGTTCTGGGGAGGCGACGAAGTCCTTCGGTGGCTGCGGAGATACGTGGAAGTGGAGCGCTCATCCGTCGACCGGAATGTCTACTTGATCAACCCGTCTACGGAAGATCAGCTATCATTTGGACGGGTGGCCGTGCCCGCTGACGGTTCAGTGTCCAAAGCGCAGCCCGAAGTTCTTTCCGCCGGGGCTAGTGGGGGTCCACAGCGAGATGCGACCATGGATCCCTTCATGAAGACCCTCAAAGAGACACGTTGGAAGGTGCTAGAGTCGTTGAGCAAAATTACAACCTTTACACGGCGAACAGCCAACGACATTGCATCCAACCCGGGCATTCCGCAGCAGGTGCGACGGTTGATTCAGAATCCCGAGATCCAGACATTACAGGATGAATTCGACAGTGCCAGGCTCTACCTTGCTAGGTGGGCGATGAGCATTGCCGAGCAGAGCGAGAGAGAGCGACAACAGCGCATCTGGACTGCCCAGGATGTGTTGGAGTCCGAGAATAGCTCTGTTGGTGACTTCGAGATCCTAGAGCTCGAGACTGGAAACCTCGCCCTGCAAGAGCGACGCAAGATTCTTACTCTTCCAGAGTGGGAAGGCTTCTTTGACCCTACCTCCGGGAGACTGCATGTCACAGTCGAAGAAGTGAAAGAGCGCATCTTCCATGGCGGCCTTGACCCGAACGATGGTGCCCGAAAAGAAGCCTGGCTCTATCTTCTCGGCGTATTTCCATGGGACAGCAGCCACGAGGAACGCCAAGCAATAATGAACTCCAAACGCGACGAGTACATCCGATTGAAGGCCGGATGGTGGGAGCGCATGGTTGAGGGTAACTCGACCTCAGAAGAATCCGACCATTGGAAAGAACAGCGCAATCGCATAGGTCAGGAATACTATATCTACTTGGACGCCCTTCTAGCCGCTAACAACCCCCCAGAGAAGGATGTCCACCGGACCGATCGTACCATTCCCCTCTTTGCTGGAGAGGATACCCCTCATCCCGACCCCGACTCACCATTCGCCGATGTGGGCACCAACGTGCATCTAGAGCAGATGAAAGACATGCTTCTTACTTACAATGAATACAATCCGGATCTCGGTTATGTGCAGGGAATGAGCGATCTTCTAGCTCCGCTTTATGCTGTCATGCAGGATGACGCTGTCGCCTTTTGGGCATTCGTGGGCTTTATGGACCGCATGGTGAGTAGACACTTTCCCCGGTAGAATTCGGCTTTTAACAAAAAACACAGGAACGAAACTTCCTCAGGGACCAGTCTGGAATGCGTTCTCAATTGCTGGCGCTCGACCAACTTGTGCAGCTGATGGATCCCCAGCTGTACCTCCATCTGCAGTCTGCTGACAGCACAAACTTCTTTTTCTTCTTCCGCATGCTGTTGGTTTGGTACAAGCGAGAGTTCGACTGGAGTAATACTCTACGTCTGTGGGAGACCCTCTGGACAGACTATTTCTCTAGCAGCTTCCATCTCTTCATTGCCCTTGCCATTCTTGAGAAGCATCGTGATGTGATTATGGACCATCTCAAGCACTTCGATGAAGTGCTGAAGTACAGTATGTCAACCAAACTCACCTCCAAATTTTCCTCGTACTAACTCATTCTAGTCAACGAGCTCTCTAACACCATGGAACTCGTGCCCCTTCTGACTCGTGCTGAGTCACTCTTCCACCGCTTTGAGCGCTCTGTCCAAGCCATCGACAAAAAGGACAATTTCCCCGCCGCTCCAACAGCCCACCAGCGCCGACCAGGAACCAGCACTCCGGATCCCACCGCCGCAGGCAAAGGGAAATCTCCACAGCGTCCAACCGTGGGGTCCAGCAGCAGTGTTGCCCCTTCAACTCTACAGCAGGCAATAGACAAGGACAAACCAAAGGTCATATCCCCCGAGCTACGCGAGTTGCTCCGTAAGGATATCCCATGGAAAGGACAGCAGGCATCTTAGTTTGTTGTCATCCGCCCCGGAGTTTTATTGCTAGGTGAAGAGTATGTTAGCTATGATACCATGGCACTCGTTGATTCATGACATTATGATTACTACTGTATATGATCCAATCGTTTATTTTGTTTTTTTTTCGGACTCGGCCAGGGTTGAATTGGTTCAGATTAGGCTAAGATTAGGCTAGGATATCGTCTTGCATTGCAAATTCATCTTCTGAAGCATCTCGTGTGGCATTTCTCAATTAGGCCAGGTATTATGAGGCTTTGGGGGCCGTTCTGCTTGGCGTCACCCTTAGTATCATCAGGTTCTACAACGGCGATAAAAGTCTTCATCATCGCATCTTGTTCGCTGTACCGTGCGGAGAGGATACTGAATCGATCATGTCTTTTATGCTGTTGTTTATACGCTCGACCATATCTTGCGAGCTAGGCTTCTGAATGGCACTGCTTTCTCTAATTGTTCCGGGTGTTGTTGGGGGCCATAGTGAATGTGCAAGATTCAGAGAAAAACGCGAAGGCTACAGTGATTTTAGAGGTAGTTTCATATTCGGGCTTGTAGCAGGGCGAAATGAAAGATTAGTTTAAAGCACCTGGACAGCGCTGTGCACGCAAGGCTTTATCGGAAAGGCCGAGAGCATATTGGTTCAGAATAGAGAACAGGTAGTCAGCACGTCAGGCTGCGGTGTGCTCTGTGAGGGTTTTGAGGAAGATGAAACCGTGAAATGGAGCTGTCAGTTAGGTTGGCTAGTCGCCTTTCTACTTCGTATTCTCCTCCATCGCTTGGTACTGCATGACAGAGCAGACGAAAGTGCAAGCATTGGAGATACAGATTGTAAGGGTAGAATCTTATTCTGGTGGGGAATCGCATCCAAAGCAAGAATGAATTCATAAAGACAGGCGATAATCAGGACCCACCGCCCAACCTGGAACAATGAACTTCCCCAGACTCCGGAACTCCCGTCCTCTTTGACCACAAGAATCCGGGCAGACGAGCTCAAATGCTCTCTTTTCTCGCTAAAAGAACCCCGCGGACGACGACTGCCCACCTGAACCCAATAACATTCGACTCGGGCCTCTCATCAATTGAATTCAAACCCCCGACAGACCGCTACCTAGTAATAAACCGCTGGCCACCAGCCTCAACCCCCCGAAATCAAAACATCGCTCTCAAACCACCTTTACACTGGCACCGATACCAATCCGAGACATTCCACGTCCTAGAAGGTTCAGCGGAATTTACCTGGGATGGAGCGAAGAATACTAAATATGTTGGCGAGTCCATAACGATCCCTCCACGCGCGATTCACACATTCTGTAATGCGAGTTCGACGGAGGGGTTAGTTGTTGAGTTTACGCTGGAGCCGAGGGGGTTAGGAGATGAGGCCTTTTTTCGTGAGTCATTCATCTTCTTTTAGCCCGGTCTTATGCATATTTACGTTCGCAATGGGATTATAGGGAATGTGCAGTCCTATCGCGATGATTGTCGGAAGGCCGGTGTGGGCAGGAGTTTTCCGCAAGTTCTTCTGTTCAACTATTTCGGTGGAGTAGTACTTGCTTTACCAGGACCAATAGTCATCGCTAGACCATTGGGCGTTCTATTGAATTTCTTTGGCGGTTTGATTCTGGGAAAGTATATCTTGGGGTACAAAGAGTCATACCCTGAGTATTACAAGCCACGATCTACATGATAGAAAGCAATGTCCGAAAGTAAATTAGTCTCGAGGGAGGTATCGAGCAAGGTCAGGGAGTATGTATACAATGCGAATATCAAAGAATATCGGGATATCAGTGCGCAAAAACCAAAATAAACAGTAGAAAGTAACACAAATCCAATCTCAGGTTCGCCGCGCTGATGCAAATGTAGAGAAAAAAAGTAGCAGAAAATTTGAGACAATGAAGCAAATATGATCAAAATGCATGGAGTCGGATGTTGAACAAATGTACAGCCGGGCTCGGGCTTTGAAGAATCGAAAACAGTCTATGTGGGAACCGGGAAGGTGGGAGGTCTCTCGTTTATCGGCGACCGTTGAGTCCTTTTAGGACGATGCGTCGGCTTGTACCGGCTGAGCCGATGTCACCGAAGCTGCGAATTTTGGGGAGAGAATGCGATTGCTCATGCGCTTGCTCATGCGCATCTTGCCCTTCAGATACGCCGTGTTCTAGTGCCATATTCAATGGAACAGGCGGGGGGTTGACGGAGCTGGAGCGCCGGGTTTGCTGGAGAACATCTTCAACCCAGGCTTCACCCTCGGGGCTCATTGAGATCTGCCGTGAGCGAGGCTTGGGGCCTGCTAGACCTAGAGGCGTGGCCTGGGAGTCGGAGTGGCCAGAGGTGGTGTTTGCGGGGGAGTGTACGTGGATATCTCCAATCGAGTAGCTAGATGACATAGAGAGGCGACGGTTGCCCGCGGATGCGGTAGGCGGAGAGGTGAAAGAATTCAATGTTCCAGTTGTCACCGCGCGAGGAGCCATTGTTGATATTTCGGATGCGTTGGAACTTCGTCGGGCTTTGCGGACGGTGAGTGACGAGGGCGGGCGGGCGCTAAGAGCAGAAGGGGGTCGAGAGGGGGTAGCTCGACCGGGTGTGATATGGGTTGGCGCCCCGGGTTGGAGCCTATTGCCGGGTGAATAACCTGGTGATGTACGAGGTCCGAAGCCTTGAACCTCCACCCGAGGTGTCTCAGAAACCTTACGGCGGCCATGGTGGATGACATACTCGCGAAGGTATTCTCCAAGATCAGCCCAGCCACCACCGACACGGACCATGACTCGCTGGCCTTCTTCACCCACAGTGCGAACGAAAAGCCTCGTAGGTGCTGACTGACCTCCGTGGTGGAGATGGTACAGCTTGACGCAGCTATCCTCGGTCTTATGGGCGTACGAAGAGCGCCTCCTAGAAGCGGGCATGAGGGTAAGACCAGGAGCAGGGGTCATACTGCGAGATGGTGGTCCATGTGGAGACTCGGACAGACAGCGCTCTCGCATTTTTCGGTCCATGGAAGACGACGAGGAAGAAGTTTCCGCCTCGTTGTTGGGATCCACAAGGTGGATGCGACCAGGAATGGTGTTCAGGATGGAGTTGATCTTCTCATCAAGACGATCCCTCGGTTTTCCAGACAGCCTATTTGGCGATGAGGCACGAGAGCCAATATCCGTCATCTCTGAATCATCTTCCTCGACATATGACAGCTCGTGCTTTCTCACACCGAGGCTCTCCAGGCTGGGATGAGCGGTCAGACGCTTGCGTAGTCGAGCAGACTTTGGCTGCTCTTGGTGTTGCACGGCTCTTTGGGCGGTGTTCTGGCCGAAAGGTTTAAGATCCGGGGTTATAGTTCTTGAATTCTGAGCAACAGCCTTCAAATCAGACGAAGATCTACCCCGACTGAGAGCTGGACGGCGACTGGAGGAACGAAGAGGCACTTGGGTAGTTGGTGTAGAAGGCCCGTTGAGAGGGAATTTGGTAGAAACTGGCCCCTTAGTATTCGACCCAAGCTGGACCATGTCTGGGGCTCCTCCATTTTCCAGCTCGAAAGCTATTTCTTCGTTGATGAAGCGCTCCAAAGGAAGACTGACCGAGCGATTTGGCTGGAAGGCAGAGTGAGAAGAGTCGTTTCGATTCTCCAGATGAAGGAGACGTTCCTTTCGCAGCAGATAAGCACCATGTGACTTGAGAGGTTGGGATGTTGGGAAATCAGGGCGAGAAGGGGTCAACTGGTCGCCCGATGACCCAGTTTGAGGCTCAGGAGCATCGGTGCTGGAAAGCAAGGAGGAGTTGTCGGAAAGCAGAGAGCCCACAGACCCAGTAGATGGTCGACGAGGGCGCGGTATTTGGGAATTCTTGTCGAGATTGAGTTTTCCTGGCCGAGGTTTCCCAAGCTTGATAGGGCTTTGAAGCGGCTTCCGAGCAGAACTTGGTTGCTGTGGGATATTCTTCTTCGGCGGCTGAGACTTGACATTGGTGGGCTCTGTATTGGAGGAGGTAGGCTTTGGGGCTTCTGACTGAACAGTCTGGTGCTGCGCAAAAAGCCCAGGGCCAGAAACAGAGCTCCGCCCATGGTTCCTGGAAGCTTCAACCGGCAGTGTCCTTGGCTCCGACGCAACCATCTCCTTTGGAACACTGAATGACACTCGAGGTTCAGACTTGCTGATGAGCCTGGCCATCGAGTCAGTTGGGATAGTTGAGGTAACCTTTGCCTGTAATGGATCGGGAGAATAGAGTGCATCGAGGGCCTTCATATCTCTCTCATGCTCTTCGGAGTGGCTATCCGAGGCACCATCATAACTGGCAGTTTGGTCTTTTATTTTGGGGCTAGATTTTGTGGATTGAACAGGGTCGACGTTCACCTCGACCGTACGGGAGGAAGTAGGCCTTTGCATGAAGGGGTCTTCATCAACATCATGCTCTTTCAAGGCCTGGGGTTTAGACACCTCTCGAGTTGGGGAAGATGAGACTAGTGGCTCCAAGAGCCCGGGAGGGATGTTCTCCTTATCCTCGATGTTTGGTGTTTCTGGTAATGGTACCCGAGATGGCGATACCTGTGGAGTTTCAATTGAAGGGGCCATAGATGCTTCCGCGAAGAAGCTGGCTTGTGTTGGTGTTTCCAGGTCCTCGGCAACGATGACATTGGACCGACTTGCGGGTTTTTGTTCAGCGTCATCCACGCCTGATTTTTCACAGGCCTTAGGAATGTTGAGAGATATTTGCAGTTTAGATAGAGTAGGTAGAGCTGGGTCCTCTGTGGAACTCGGTGTAGAGACCTTGATGTCTGGTTGAGGCTGCTCGACATCTGAGACCGCGGGTGCCCCAACTTCAGGCTTAGGCTCCTTTTGAATAGTCTCCGCATGGGCAGGTTGTTGAATACTTGAAGATTCTGTTATGTTCTTAGCTTGAGCTGAGTCCAGTTCCGGCTCTTGCGAGGTCTGCTCCAGCTGAGCCTTACTCGCATCGGCAGCCGCAGCTTTGGCTTCTTCTTTTGCACGTAACCAATCCGCACGAAGCTGATATTTCTCAGCCTCAACTACCCACTCCGCAAAGTCCGACTCAACCTTCTCCAAATCGTCGATCCAACTCTCAGGCAAAGAATCCTGGCGGCCTTCCAACGCGTCCAAGGCACGGTCCATGCGCCTGCCCACAGCAACAACCGCAGACTCGAGTTTAGCATGTTCCTCGCGTAGATAGGACTTGGAAAAAAGATCATTGCTGGGCTGTGAGGAATTTGAAGCGCGCAATGCGTGAAAAGAGGAGTCTAGAGCAGATCGAATGAGTCTTAGTTCTCGTAGAAGGCCCGGGACCTGGCGCAGAACAAGAAGACGGACGTCCCAGGTGGTTAGGAGAGCGCTCAATCGTGACAAGAACGGAAGGGCGCGGAGAATCGTAGCAGTGACGACGGCTGTGAAGTCGCTAAGCTGTACATAGCTGAGCGGCGGTGGCACAGAAATAGTGCTGGTCGAGGAGGAAGGGCGAGATCGGGATGGAATGTGAGCGTTGAGAACGTGTTCCTTTAATTCCTCCACATTTAAATTGTCCATTCCATCGCGTATCTCCTCAATCCTCTTCTCATACTCTTCGACCACGCCTGCTGGCAGACTCCCATAGTACTCGAACTCACCGCTACCAAGGGGCAACAGTAAGCTCGGGACGGAGACCGTACCTGCGACATACGGTTGGGTCGGCGGAAGGAACCCCTTTCCATCTTTCGCTTCGTTGTGTTTCGGCCATATCCACGACTGGACCTCCTTATACCAAACGTTCAAATCCTGGGCAGCTATAGCAGCACGGATGCCCAGTGCCCGTTCGGCGGGTGAGACCTGTGAGATACTTCGTGATAGGCTATCAAAGGAGAAAGATTGGCTCGAGGGGACAGCTTCGGTGGAGGTAAGGGCTTGTAAGGTTGACTCGGGAGACAGGTTGCTGAGGAGAGGGTCGATTTTGGAGTATGCTGAGCCCGGGTTTCGTTCCGGGGAGGTCGAGCGGGAATTATCGCGGGAGTGCGCAGGGGAGAGGCGAATTGAGGGACGAAGAGGGCTTTTTCGAATGGTAGCCATTCCGAATGACAGGCGCGGCCCGAGTCAAGCTTCACAGAGAGACACAGGGAGCTTCGGTTAGTTCGGAGTGGCATATGAATGACGGAGGTCGGAATGGGGCTGCAGGCGGACGGTGGCACTGTCGAACCTGCATGCTGAGATGCCTTCCAACCGAAAAAAAAATCAAAATCCAGGAGCCAGCGCTGTGAATAAGGGATCGGGTTCCCCTAATTGAAGCTAAACGCGTGAAAACACGAGGTTGGCGGCAAGTGAGACAGATCGGGATGTGAGGATAGGGAGGTTGGGCGAGATATCTGATGACGAGGAAGTCGAAGAAAACAAAGACGGGAAAATAAAAAATACTCCAAGCTCCTGGCTCCGTGGAGTTCAACCGGGGAATAAAAATAAATGCTGATCGAGGTTCATTGCAGGTGGAGTCAAAAGGGGGCACGGTTGATGTGGACCTTTTGCTTCCGCCGATCCGCGACGCTATTTGTTTTTTGAGGTCTGGGGAGCTGTCGATTTATTCCTTTTTTCCCTTTATTTCCTTTTTTTAATAGTTTTTTGAATATATACAAATACAGGGATAGCTAGTTTGGACTTCATGGCTGAGAGCGGTCCTTTTGTAACGCGGGCCTATTCACTACATCCGAAACACGCACGGTGTACACGTAGGCATTGGCTCGACCGTGTGGACTTGACAGCGTCAGTGCATAGAATGGCAGTTTCTTCAGCTCGACAGCACGTCCCGCGCTCGATAGAAGCTATCGCAAAATAGCGAACCAGTTCCAGGGTTGTCATAGTACCGTCATGATGGCGTTCTTGGGGCAAATCTATACAAATCTATACTTTTCGATGCATCTGCAAAAAGTCCCACATCGCAAGATCCACCAAAACCTGTCAATGGGCCCCTAATAGTCAGCATTTTCCAAAGCATCATGTCGAGTTTCCGCTACCGCCCTGAGATCCTGGAAGGGGTCGCAGATCACATCGATTGCGACTTGAAGGAATATGAGGACTGGTTTACTCTCGAACCATCCCAGCTGAAGGAGATCACCGATCATTTTATTAAAGAGCTCGAAAGGGGGCTTACGGTAGAGGGTGGTAATATAGTAAGCCGGAGTCCAAGAATCCCCCAGGAAGAAGTTAGTAACGCAAAATGGCTAAGCCGATGAACATCACCTGGGTTATGAGCTATCCCACCGGTCACGAACAGGGAAGAATCCTGACAATAGATATGGGCGGCACTAATCTCCGTGTCTGCGATATTCACTTATCATCAACAAAGAGAGACTCCGATCAGATTCAGAAGAAATACGAACTGCCGAAGCCGATCAAAGCAGGCACGGCCGACGAACTGTGGGACTGGGTTGCGGATCGTGTGCAGGACTTCCTCAATGATCACGACAGTGGTGGCCAAAAAGACAGACAGTTACCGTTGGCCTTCACATTCTCTTTTCCAGTGGACCAGAAGTCCATTTCATCGGGTGTCCTGCAGCACTGGACTAAGAGCTTTAATGTGTCCGGGGCAGAGGGCGAGGACATAGTGGCACAATTGGAAGCTGCGATTAATAGGAAGGTGTGTGCTCTCTAACATAGAGAGTACTTCAACGACTCATTCATCCAGAAAGTTCCAGTGAAGATCGTCGCCCTGATCAATGATACGACCGGCACACTCATTGCCTCGAACTACGGCGATCCGCACGTCAAAGTCGGCTGCGTCTTCAGCACCGGATGCAACGCGGCATACATGGAAGAATGTCGACTGATCCCCAAGCTGAAGCATCTGAACCTCCCAGAAGACGCGCAGGTAATCATCAACACTGAATACGGCGCGTTCGACAACGATTCCGTAATATTACCCCTGACCCCATGGGACCACCAAATCGACCGCGAGTCCTTGCGCCCCGGAACCCAGCGCTTTGAGAAAATGGTCGCAGGTCTTTATGTGGGAGAAATGCTGCGCCTTATCATGGTCACCCTGCACGAGGAAAACAAGCTCTTCAAAGGCCAAGACATCACGCGTCTGCGATCCGAGAACGCACTTGACGCGACATTCCTATCTATCGCCGAGCTGGATATTTCAGAGGATCTGGAAGACATGCGATATGAGTTCGAGAGCAGTCTGAGCCTAAGCCCCGTGCTGATCGAGCTTAAAGTTTGCCGGTACCTTATCGGTCTGATCGCGACCCGCGCGGCGCGTCTGTACGCGTGCGGAATCGCGGCAATTTGCAAGAAGAAGGGTATTAAAAAGTGTCATGTCGGTGTGGATGGCTCTGTCTTCAACAAGTATAGTGGATTTAAGCAACGAGCTGCGCAGGGACTGCGTGACATCTTCGACTGGCCATCTCACGAGCTGGACTTGATCGTGTTGAATCCATCAGAGGATGGGTCGAGTTTAGGTGCTGCTCTAGCAGCATCTCTGGTTCTTAATAGAGAAACGAAAGAGCACCCGAGCCAAGTGATGGAAGATTAAATGTTAGAGCGCGAAAGTATAGAAAAGTGTAGTTGAGGCTCGGACGTGTCGGCGATAGACTAGAGCGATAAGGAATTAATAACCGGATTCTCCACCATCAACACTCATCTCTTCTCCAACATCCCACCCGTAGTCAAAATGCGCTTCCGCACTCATTTAAAGAATACGAGAACCTTCTCCAGTGAGTCAAGCATCCGCATATACTCAACAGAGCCTAACAAATCCAGAATTGACTGCATCCCTCTCGTCCCTGGGCAAGGTATGCTGGATGCGCCTGGAGTACGATGTGGTCCGCTTCACCATAATCCCAGACCAAGGCACGCAAGTATGGGCTCAAATCCCAGTTGTAAGTGTCAAACACCCGATATTCCCTTCTAAATCAAAAAAGGGAGAAAAATAAAAGAATGTCTGACTGACACATGACAAAGAGTACAATCTTCGACGAAGAATCATACCAAATAGAATCCAACTCCGACGCAATCAACATCGAAATCAACGTTGCCGTCTTGAACCGCGCCTTGCGCTCCACATTTGGCGCCTCATCATCACAACTCCGTCTAACCAAGAAAGACAAAATGCCTCTTCTGGCACTCACCGTTCTCACCACGGAATGGACAGAAGGCAACATGGCCCTTGCCACAGATGAGGAGCAGTCCGGCCAAAGCGATGTCGTAGGCGACCGACGTGCGCGTGAGCGTGAGACCTGGATCACGCAAGAAATCCCTATCAAAATTTTACACGAATCAGCCGTGGAAGGTCTACATGAACCGCACTGTCCAGATCCGGACGTGCATATTATTCTGCCTGGGTTGGCGCAGTTGAAGAGTATCTCTGATCGGTTTACGAAGCTTGCTTCTACGGAGAAGGGTCGGCAAGCTGGAGTTGTGGCTAATGATGCGCCGAGTGCGTCGGCTGGGGCGGGGGCTACGGCGTTATCGACGAACTCGGCGCCGAAGCTGGAGTTGTCGGCGAATATGCATGGGAAGCTGAGGCTGGCGATTGCGACAGATGAGTTGCGGATTGCAAGTGTCTGGTCGGGTCTTGTGAATCCGCCGCTGGATCCGGCCCATATCACTCAGGAGCAGTATTCGCAGTTGCCGAGTGAAAGGATGCGGGGAGTCGGGGATAATGATGAGTCCGGGTGGGCCAAGGTACGGATTGATGGGAAGGATTGGAGTCGGGTTTTGAGTGTGGGGAGGCTTAGTCCCAAGGTTGTTGCTTGTGAGTTGGATTCGGGAATACCCGTTCGAGGGCGTGCTGCTTTACTGACCAGGTATCGATTTCAGGTTTCATTAACGAGATGGCTCTTGTTCTCTACGTCTATCTCCCGGGTAGCTGGAATGGCGAAGAATCATGCCTCACCGTAAGTTGATTTGGACCCACGATGGCCAGATCTATTGACGCTAATCATTTGTAGTACTACATTAATTCCTTCACAACTTGATACCCCTTGCAGCTATATCTTGCAATATTCTACGGCTTACATCCGGACCAAGGAGAAAATAATACAAATAGGCCCGATCAATTATTCATCCATTCCTTGACTTCTTCACCAAAAATTGGTCGGATTCTTTTTTAGACGATTCTTCAATAGCCCAGATGGACAAGTCATATCCCGACATAGACCCATTTGATACCTCCTGAGGCTGTACGGTTGGAAATATGATCAATCAAGTAATTGAGAGCAGACCCGAGGTCATGATTATCAGAAATCATTATTAAGACAGGCGCACGACCAGAGCCGATGCGGAAAGAAACCATCAGATACAGCGTGCAACGCAAAATTCAAACAGCCACAGTGTATACCTGCAAGGCAAGTGGGGGATGATATACATGATGCAAGGAGAATCGTCTCCCTCGCTTCGCAGACGAAACGAGTCGCAACAAAGAACAGCAAGAAGCTAGCTATGTGCAAGGCTTCACGATGATGAGCTCAGTGCGAGAACGCCGGGAATGGGGTGTCTTGCGAAAGGCCAGACACATGCAAGATGCTGGGGAGGGGATCTATTATAAGCGGGTGGGGTTTTCATGGGGTGAGAAACAAGCAAACTAAAACACGAGGCATATCAGACATAATGAAACAAAAGAAATTCGTCTCAACTAGTCAAAGTGACGTCGTTGGGACTACAGTACTGGTCCGTAAAACAGCAATGCCGTTCACTTTGCCATAACATCAACGTAACGGCCCTTCTTCTTGCCGCGGACAGTGTTACCCTTCCGTGCCATGGGAGCACCGAGAAGGTCGTCAATAGACTGAGCGTGAGTCAAAGAAGATGTAGGTCGGGGCGGACCAGGGGCGGACGATCCACCAGGCGGCACTGAAACTGTCGCGCCAGTGGAGACAGATCGGGGCAAACTGCCCAGGGTTGGTGGCGGAACACCAAGATTGGAAAACGCAGGGCTTGATGATAGAGATGGGGGCATGTCGCTAGAGGAAGATTGAGGGCGGCTACCCGAAGCGGACATTGGGGGTCCGGGAGGAGGAGGCGGAGGCATGCTACCAGAGCTGGCGCGACTGGGAGGAGCAGAGCCTCGAGGAGGAGGAGGCGTGGCACGAGCAGGTTCGGCGCTGCCAGGGTCCTTCTTGTTGACCCATTTTTTCAGTTCCTTATCGTAATAGAATGAATTCTCCTCGCCAAGCTTGGCTCTGATAGGACCACCACCAGTGTGCTCTGTTTCCTTCTTAGGGCCTCCGAACCAACCACCGAACCAACCCTTCTTCTGCTGCTGGGCGTCTTTCTTGGCTATAGTGCGGGTTAGCATAGGAATCTTCCACTATTAGGAATTCAAGTGACCTACCATCTTCCTCAGCAGCCTTTCGGAACGCCTCATCGGCCCTACGGTCATTCTCTGTCTTTTTGAGGGCAGCGGACCGTGTAGCCAGATCGTCCTCGTCATCGTCCATAAATGACTTCTTCCTGGGCGGCGCCTCCTCTTCCGTATATTGCCCTGGCTCTTCCGTGGGCGGGAAATGCGGAGTATACGATGGTGGATCATAAGCATTGCCAGTGGCCGGAGGCATGTAGGGATTCTCAGACTGCGCCATGTACGGGCTGTCCGATTGGGGCATACCGGGCGGTCCCTGATAATAGGGTGACTGGACGGCCTGCGAAGCATCCTGTCCGGAAGGTTGATAGAAGAGGCCGTTCACAGGAGGCTGCATTGACGGGGCTGCTTCAGCCGGCGACTGGGCGTGGAGAGACGCATCCTCTTTGACAGGGGCGAGAGGCATGTAAGACGTCTGAGGCGGAGTAGGTTGGTACCCAGTGTTACCAGGCGAGCCATAGATGGGGCCACCCTGGAACGAATGGGAGTCAACCGGGGGCGATGGGTAATCCGCCGAGCTTCGACGCTGCCCGACCGGCATCCCACCGTATGAAGCAGATCTCTGGGAATCAAGTGATGATCGGCCTCGGAATTGTTCAGGCGACGCGTTGGGAGCGTATTGGGTCGAAGGCATGTAACGGGAAGAACCACCGGGAGGAACCGACTGTGCCCCATGTCCGGGATAAGAGCCATACAGATCAGACACGGAAGGAGAGCGGCTAACAGTTGGGGTTCCTGCCACATTGGCGAAAGGACCAAATTCTGCAGTCTCACCCGCTTTTGGTGCGCCGGCGGATGCAGGGTCGGCGTCATCACCGGCGACAAAGTTGTTGAATCGAGCCCACATAGATCCAGATACCTTCTCCATGCTCGGCTTGGAAATCCACGAAGAACCGCCATCAGTGGTGGTTTGACGGAGACGCGCAGAAAGTTCATCCGCTTCAATGAACAAATGCTGGTGGTGATAAGGGGAAGGCCGAGTGGTTGCTTTGAGAGATACCCCCACGGCATCGCAGTAGTTCTGCGCCTCAGAAATGCGACCTCGGTCAGCCAGCTGCCTGGCGTGCAGAAGCTTGAAGGCCAACAGGTAAGGCAGATTGGCCATGGGAGAGTTGCCCAAAACAGAAGCGGCATATTCATAAACCTCGGTTAGGAGGAAAGCATCTTCACTGAGCAGACCTGAATGGAACTGTTGGTTGTCAACGCCAAGGAGCACGATGTTTGCCTGGGGATCATCAGCACCACCAAAGACAGCAGCCCCAGAGAAGATGAAGCAAATATGCGCAGCCTCGGTGCGCCCATATGATGCCAAAAGGCGGCCAAGAGCCAGCAATGCTCGATGATCCTCAGAGCTACGGTTGCTCAACACCAAGCCGAGCGTATCTCTCCAACTGTTCAGACCGTCAAGCGCATTCTTAGTCGTTCCCTGACCATCTGCCTTGCTAATCAATTGATAACCGGCCCTCGCAGACGGAGGAACGAGTTCATCGATGCTCTCCTCGATATTGCCAGCGAAAATCTCGTAAAGCGCTGCCAGTGACTCGGTGTTGCCCCCAGAGGACCTAACTTCACGTCTGATGAACTCCTGGACGACCTGCTTCCAAATAGATTTGTCCATTGTGGATGCAACAATCATCGCATGTCCCCAAAGACGACGGTCGACCGCGGCCCAGACCGCCTCTTCTCTATTTCCTTGCAACAAACTGTTCCGTAACTTTTCAACCGATTCAGAGTCAACGGCATCAGGATGAGAAGGAGCGTTAAGGTGAACACCAGATGTGGGGTAACCACTCGCATAAGAACCATCAGGTACAACTTCCGGAAGTTGCGGGAATATAGCCTGGCGGAGAGACTTTTCAATAGTAGGTGAACCTTCCAAGGTGCCATCGTTCTCGACCAGAATCTTCATGACCTTCCAAAGCAGGATCCTTTCTTCGTGGCGCCTTTGGCATTCGGGATGGGAGAGATCAAAGTCGGGGGTCGGCTCATTTTCCAATGCGATGATCTTGCTTGACAGCCAGGACACTAGATCCTTCTTCTTAGACTTGGTCTTGAGAGGCCCAGGGTGTTGAACGATGGTTTCCGCTGCGGGTAGCCATTGGTTGAGCGGGGCGGTTTTGATCTCGCCAGGACTGGGCATCAGCATAGGGGCTGTCTGACCGGCAGAATAACGAGGGATGTGCTTGGGGAAGCATGACAGCACAGCTCCACCAAAGCCAAACTTGAAGATCGGAGCACCTTTCCACCGCTCAAGGACATCATGTTCCTGGCCGTCAGTAGGGGTGATGAAACCGAGACCGCGCTGAGAAAGTGCCCGAGCACGACTTTGCACAGAAGGCTGGGACGGCGCATATGGGTTCGAGGTTTTGGTGGGCGAGCTCGAGCCATGTACCGAAGCCGGACGTGGAAGGGTGGAAATCGGAGGGACAGATGCTCGTGGGCTTATCATGTGCTGGCCTGGAGACTGGGTCTGGGATCGAAGAGGGGGCATCTGCGGGTCGGTAGCTTGAGGGGGGCCTGGAGCAGGTATCTGAGGGGCCGGTGAAGTATGAGCCGTGGTCGGTGTTACGCGCTTCGCAAACTCGTTGATGTAGTCCTGAGGGGCATACCGATTCCCGGCAGGTGGAGGAGTCTGTCGCTGAGCAGCAGGTGGGCCGACTGGTTGCCCCATAGCATCATGAAGTCCAGTTGAAATTTGAGGGGCATAGGGCGATCCCTGATCGATGCTCACTCGTTGAGCTCGGGGCGGGGAGAGATCAACTGATGGTTGCAGCGAAGGTGGTTGATGTTGCCGAGTATCTTCAGGTTGATAAGAGACTTTTTCGTGGTACGCAAGAGGGCTCGATGTCCGAGGCTGGAACGGCAAGTTTTGGCCAGGGACAGACAAAGGCTGGGAGGTATAGCGATTACGGGCAGAGGAGGCTGCCGGCGGTGGCGCAGGCGAATAACGCGATGACTGAGGCGGCTTTCCGGGACCTTGCGCACCCGGCGGCTGCGGAGAATATCTAGATGCAGCGGGGGGTCCGGCAGGTGCACTCGTCGCCAATATAGATCCATAAGGTTCCAGACGCTCAGACGGTTCCAGACGCTCAGACGGTTCCAGACGCTCAGGCGGCTGCAGGGCAGACTGTACCGGAACTCCATTGCTTGCTAGAGGCGGAGCTGCCACAGCAGTAGGAGAAACAGGCCCAGGGATAGGAGCCGACCCAGGCCCCGAAGCAAGAGCAGGAGCAGGAACAACTGCATATGGAACTTGGGGCAGAGGCATATGTGAAGGAGTGGGTCCTGTCGAGCTGGGATTAGGGGTATATCGCCCGGAGCTGGCAGGTCTCGACCTGGGTGCTGGCAAAGGAAGTTCTTCGAAGAAGTTCTTAGGGGCGGGCGGCGGAGCTGCTGTAGTCGCGACTGTAGCTTTCACGGGCTGTGCCGGAGGAGGCATAGCTGATGAAGGGGGCGGTGGCATCATAGCTACCGGTGGGGGAGCCGGCTTAGAGGTAGCCAAAGGTCGCCGGGGTCGAGATAAATCATCTGGCAAATCGTAAGGGGATTTATATCCTTGCTTTGAGGCCTCAGCAAAGCTCTCTCCCCGGGAAGCCACAAGGTTCTGCGGCTGCTGAGAGAAATAAGGCGGAATGACTCCATTTGCCGGTGGAGCAACTCCTGGCATAGAGACCCCGGCCATTAAATCCGCGGTAGATGGTTGATGCGGTGCGTATACACCAGGTGTTGCCCTTGCCGGAACATAGCTCTGTGGGGTCTGGAATGGGCTGTTCAGGCCACCCAAAGGAGCATTAGAAGCAGGCTGGATAGGATTCTGGGCATTAAGCTGCGCTGGGACAGAATCATCTTCAAGCAGCATGTCATCATCATCAAGCGCAGCCTCCCATTGTGCCGCAAGATCGTCCTCCCCAGCGTCACTAAGTTCTGCCTCCCATCGAGCTGCCAATTCCTCTTCTGTAGGCTCTGAGGCTTCTTGTTGGGCCTGGGAGGGCTGAGAATCTTCTGGTTCTTCAATCGCGTGTGGTGTCTCAGAGCCAGAAGCCGCAGATTTCAAAACTTCCTCAAGCTGAGCAGCTGCGGAGATATCGCTTGTCGGAGAGTCAATACCGAATCCCATTGATTCCACCACTTGTGTCGTACTTTTGCGAGTAAGGTGACGGATTGGAAGTTCCTTGCTCGCGTGGGGGTTTTGTATGGAAGTGAAGAAATCGGCTCCATCATCCTCATCGCCGAAGGGGTTTTCAACAGATTTCCTCTGAGGAATGGCCAGCGGGGGAGAAGTTGGGCATGTATCATCCAACAACGGGACGCCTTCCTCATACCGAGACTCAGACTCTGGTGGCGCAAAGATAGGCTTGGTTTGAGTTTTCAATTGGTTGAAAAAGTCATCTCCATCGGAGTCAACATCGGCTGCTGGTTCATTGCTCCACAAATTATCAACGTCGGCCTTTGCCTCCACAGGCGAAATATTGAGAACCGATTGCTCTGTGTCATCTTCTTGGACGGCATTCTGACTTTGAGACTCCTGGGTATCAACCGAGGCGCTCAACTCTGCCTGTGCAGCTTGGAGCGGGTCGACCCGGTCGGAAAAATTCTGGGTTACAGGGGCCCCCCAAGTCGATCTCCTGTGTTTCAGTGGGTGCCACATGCTCTTCTGGGGCGGCTTGCATGGGTTCCACAAAAGGCTCTGGGGAAGTCGATTGTTCAGGAACATTCATCTTCGAGGATTCTTCCAATGAGCTTTCTTGGAGATTGTCATGGTCTGCGATTTCAGGTTGGGGGGTCAGCTTCTCAACAGTCTCAGGCTGTGTCGGGCTCGGCTCGATAGCCCAGGGATCTTGAGCTGCCGCTTCCCGTACAGCCTCTTCAATGACAGGATCTGTCAGATCATCCTGAAGCGTCAAATCCATTGAGGGAGCCTTTAGCTCAGTCACTTCGGGCTGTGTCGGGGTTGAGTCGATGGCCCAAGAATCTTGCGCCGCTGTGGGCTGCAAAGGCTCTTCGATTGTGGATTCTATGCCAGATTCCTGGCCAGCCGCCTCGAATACAGTGGTCGGTTCCCCGTTGACTTTAGGCAGCGTTGAAGTTGTCTCGAACTCTAAAGGAGTATGCGTGTCGATCGGCTGAACGGCCTCTTCGATGGCAGGTTCTTTGGAATATTCCTTATGCTCAGGATCAATGGGCAACGCCTCTGGCTCGGCCTCTGATGCTTGTTCGATATGCGCAGAAGCAAACCCGACACCTGGCTGCTCGTGAGATGAAGTGTCTTCGGCAGACATGGTAGTGGCTGGGGTGGTTTCCGCCACTGGCAGCTCCTCTACTTGAGGTAAAACAGGTTGCTGTGCGATCCGCTCCTCGATATCATCCGTCTCGTCGCCTTGCATGGGGATATCCTCTTGTTGCGCGTCGAGTTGAACTTGGGCTGGCAGCTCTTCTGATGAAGCTGGGCCAGAAAGCTCATGCGCAGTCTCGATGTATTGTACGGCTGCTTCAACAGGGGTTGCCGAAGACTGAGCTGGTTCCGGTTGTGCTGACTCGGTACCATTGATCAGCTCCTGAGCTGGAGTCTTCGGCTTGTTCATCAACGTAGGCACATATACGGAAGCTGATCCCGTCGTTTGTTTCAGCTTCTGAGAATCAAGTATAGCGGCATCCAAGGAGGTCGGCGCGTTTTCGGTTAGGGCGTTCGTGCTCGTTGTCGCGTCCTGAGGAGAAGTGGCATCCGCATTCTGAGGCATTTCCCACGCGGAGAAGTCCTCCTCGCTGAGAGGTGACTTCATGTCCGTTGTAGGGGTTTCTTTGGTATCGTCGGCGGCCGCCAGGAGACCCGACAAGCCGCCTTTCGTAGAAGTCGCCGTGTCAGTGGTCGTAGAATCATCTGGCTGAGACGATACGTTCCACGCGTCTATCTCATCAGCTGTAGGTTCTTGGGCCATGGCGAGCGTGTGGCCCTCGAGTATCGAGTCGACTCGGAGGTTCGGAAGTCAACCTGACACGTCTCCAGTGACCGGGAACAACAATCCCAACAAATAAAACTCGCGATCGGGACAAAATCAGTAATCCATTAAATAGAGTAATGAGGAAGGCGAAATAACACGAATTAGAGAAAAAAATTAATCATGAATAGCATCCAGTCACCGGAGGCAAAAAGAAGCGGTTTACCCTGAATCGCGACTGGGTTGACTTGACCCGATTCGTGATGACATCAAGGACAAACATTCTTCCGTTCCAAGCATAATTAGTCATCTGTGCATATTGAGGTAAGCAACGTAATTTGTGCCCCGGGGGTACGTCAGGTGATTACGCATCACGGGCGGTAGGCAGTCACGACTCGTCCTGATAACAGTTATACCTTTAAACTTGCGCTTCAAGATACCAGCTGCAAGGTCAAGCTCTGCTACAGCTGCAGCTACAGCTACGCGATCACACTCTATCCCGCAATCTCCACATTCACATTCCTGATGTTTGCTCGGATCTTCAATTCCACTTGATGTTATCTGACATGATCCTTTATTTGCTGATACGGCTGGAAAGCACCGTGTTGCCTCGCAGCTCATGATCAAGCAATTGTGGAAAGCTGATAACATCATTCATCATGCCTAACTCACCGGAATACGCACATCCTCCTCACCAGGCTGAAGATCCAGACCTCTCCGACTCCGACTCCGACTTAGACCTCGAGGAGCTTGATCCTAGTACCGACCTGTCGCAACCCACTCGAGTCTCCCGAGACTATACAGGCCGCTCGCGGAACTATGGGCCAGGTATCGCACTCCGGAATTTACGCGTTGGGGTGGGAAGCCGGTGGAAACGAAGTGCCTCCGGGCGTACAGAACGAGAAGAAGACACGGATGCGTTACTCCAGGATGGAGGCGAAGATGGGTTGCGGCGGTCACAAGCCAGCTCTCACAACTTGACTGACGACGACGCACCCCTTCTTGATCGTCGCGGGTCGACACGCTTATTCAACGACGATGAGCCATCCAACAATGGTGGCCGGTTCCGCTTACCCAGGCTCCAAGGCCCGAGCTTTATACAGAGTATCACCAATCGCCTGCGCTCAAAACCCGATGATCCTTCGAACCATCCTCCCCGAGAGGTACTTGTCGGACAACACCAGGCGACCAAATATCCAGCCAACGTGGTTTCGAACGCGAAATACACCCCCTGGAGCTTCCTCCCCCGCACCCTGTACAACGAGTTCTCATTCTTCTTCAACATTTATTTCCTCCTCGTTGCCCTTTCACAAATTATTCCCATTCTACGCATTGGATATATGTCTTCATACATTGCGCCGCTGGCTTTCGTTGTTTCCATTTCCTTGGGCAAAGAGGCCCTCGACGATATTGTGCGCCGACGGCGGGATGCTGAAGCTAACGCTGAGGAATTTACTGTGGTGTCTCTAGAGAGATCCAACTTGGTGGAGATGAACAAGAAGTCCCGTGATTTGAAAGTAGGAGATGTACTTAAGGTTCGGAAGAATCAGCGTTTACCCGCCGATGTGGTGATACTCAAGAGTATTTCCAATGATTCGGGCTCAAGCCGACAGAACTCATTCGAAGAGGAGGCTCCCGGGCAGGTGACCGATCTCCTCGAGACAGGCCAGGGATCGGCGGGCTCTGCCGCGGATTCCGCATCGAGTCCCGAGCCAGCAAATGCTGCAGTATCATCTGCTAGTGATACCTTCATTCGAACCGATCAACTGGATGGTGAAACTGACTGGAAACTTCGACTTCCCTCTGCGTTATCACAAGCCCTTTCTCTCGCCGACTTTACCCGTCTTAAGGTCACTGCAAGCCCTCCAGACAAGCGGGTCAATGAGTTTATGGGCACTATCGAGCTAGCTCCCCCCACGGGTTTCTACGATGCCCCTGTTGATAAGAACACTCCACCGGCACGAAAGCTTGCAACCCAGAGAAATGACAGTGAATCCAATTCAGCGCCACTGACCATCGATAACACTGCATGGGCCAATACTGTTCTTGCGTCCAACACTATCACCTATGCCGCTATTATCTACACTGGCTCACAAACTCGGGCCGCCCTTTCAACATCTCCCTCTCGATCTAAAGTGGGCTTGTTGGAATATGAAATCAACAATCTTACCAAAATTCTGTGCCTTCTGTGCATTCTGATGTCGGTTGTGCTTGTGGCTTTGGAAGGATTTGAACCGACGAACAATAAGAAGTGGTACGTCGCAATGATGATCTATCTCATTCTATTCTCCACGATCATTCCGATGAGTCTTCGAGTCAATCTCGACATGGCCAAGACTGTCTATGGCCGATTCATCCAGAGAGACAAAGACATCCCGGGAACTGTGGTTCGGACGAGTACCATTCCGGAGGATCTGGGAAGAATTGAATATCTTCTTTCCGACAAAACAGGGACGTTGACTCAGAATGAGATGGAACTCAAGAAGATCCATGTTGGCACAGTTTCATATGCGAACGAAGCAATGGATGAAGTCGCATCGTTCATTCGCCAAGGCTTTGCTGGCAACGCCTTGACGACGCCATCGACTGTATTTGGAACCCAAGCAGGCCAAGGCGCCGCCCCGCGAACCAGGAGAGAGATTGGTTCTCGTGTCCGAGACATTATCCTGGCCCTTGGTCTGTGCCACAATGTTACGCCGACCACCGAGGAGGAGGACGGACAGAAGGTCACAGCCTACCAAGCGTCCTCTCCCGATGAGATTGCTATCGTTCGATACACCGAAGAAGTTGGGTTGAAGCTGTCGTATCGCGATCGTCAGAATGTTGTGCTCGAATCCACACACTCCAAACAGGTTGTTGTTCGTGTTCGTATTCTCGATATTTTTCCCTTTACCTCCGACAGCAAGCGAATGGGTATTATTGTCCAGTTCCAGCAGAGTGAGAATGCCCTTGACATTGACGGCAAGCAGGAGCCTGAGATCTGGTTCTATCAAAAGGGTGCAGACACTGTCATGTCATCTATTGTCGCGGCAAATGATTGGCTTGATGAAGAGACTGCAAACATGGCGCGCGAAGGCTTGCGTACTCTAGTGGTTGGTCGCAAGCGACTTTCTCTGTCACAGTACCAGGAATTTTCCTCCTTGTATAAGCAGGCCTCCATGTCATTCCAGGGACGCGATGATGGCATGGCCAAGGTTTTGAGCGAATATCTTGAACGAGACCTGGAACTTCTCGGAGTGACTGGTGTCGAGGATCGTTTGCAACGTGATGTTAAATCTTCTCTGGAGCTGATGCGCAACGCGGGGATCAAGATCTGGATGCTGACGGGCGACAAAGTCGAAACAGCACGATGTGTTGCCATTTCTGCCAAGCTGGTCGCCCGAGGGCAGTATATTCACACCGTTCAAAAATGCACAGACAAACAGACTGCGCAGGAAGCGTTGGACTTCTTGCGAAATAAGACCGACTGCTGCCTGCTGATAGATGGCGAATCATTGAACTTGATGCTTGGTCAGTTCCGGACTGCCTTCATCTCCGTTGCGGTGCTCCTCCCGGCTGTCATCGCGTGCCGATGCTCTCCAACCCAGAAGGCGGAGATTGCCGAATTGATCCGTCAGTACACGAAGAAGCGTGTCTGTTGCATTGGCGATGGTGGTAACGACGTATCCATGATCCAGGCCGCCGATGTCGGCATTGGTATTGTGGGCAAAGAAGGCAAGCAAGCCTCACTGGCCGCCGACTTCAGTATCACCCAGTTTCACCATCTTACCAAGCTTCTGGTTTGGCACGGCCGCAACTCCTACAAGCGGTCCGCCAAACTGGCACAGTTCATCATGCATCGCGGTCTCATCATCAGTATCTGTCAGACCATGTACAGCATCGCTAGCCACTTCGAACCCAAAGGCCTCTTCATCAATTGGCTCATGGTCGGATATGCCACAGTCTATACCAACGCCCCGGTCTTCTCTCTTGTGTTTGATAAAGATGTGGATGAGCGCCTTGCCAATATGTATCCGGAATTGTACAAGGAACTCAAAACAGGCAAGAGTCTGAGCTACCGCTCATTCTTCACCTGGGTGCTCATCTCTGTCTATCAAGGAGCCGTCATTCAAGGCCTGTCACAGATCCTCTTGAACTCGATCACTGGCTACCGTCTGATCAGCGTGTCCTTCACGGCCCTCGTTTTGAACGAGCTGGGTATGGTCGCAATCGCAATCACCACTTGGCACCCGATAATGATTTTCTGCCTCATCGGCACTCTTCTCCTCTACGCCGGCAGCGTCCCTTTCCTCGGCGATTACTTCAACCTCCGCTACGTCATCACCGTCGACTGGCTCTGGCGTGTCGCCGCCGTGCTGGCCGTTTCTCTTCTCCCGGTCTGGGCTGGCAAGATGATCAAGCAGTCGTGGAAACCTCCGAGCTACCGCAAGGTGCGCGGTTGATCTGCGTTGGGATCTCTTGTTATCTTTGGCAATGATCTTTTACTTCGGTTTTCTTCTTTTTTCGCCTTCCCTAGTCACAGCCAGCTGGCTGGTGTACTCTTGTATATAAACCCTAGCATCTTGTCATTGCAGAGCGCATAAGGTGTTGGAACCTTGGAAGCATCATCTTTTTCTTGTTCTGGCCACGTTCTCCAATTTCATTAAAAAGCTTCTTCCGCCATTTCATTTTGCAATTCAAATAGAATAGTAGATAAATGAACTTCATCGATAACTGGAACATTCGCGCAAGTTGCATCTACGTACACGTACCCCACCAAGACAAATTCACGCTAATGTCTAATTAGAGAATACGGGAATCTGCCTCATGAATTTACTTTCCTCAGACTGCGTGAATTTGGATACGTAGGCGGACTCTCCAAAGTGTGATCTTCAAGAAACGGCGGAGTGGCTCCATGACCATTTGCATCATGAAGAAATGCAATATCTTTGTTGATTCTTTCGCGTGTTCCAGAATGAGGCTCGTAAGCAATTCGACTGCTACTGAGATGGACAACGATGACTGGAAGTTTGTTCTGTCCGGCTAGATGTCCCAGTGCGGCATCATAATCCTGATTGGAGATATCGAATGCAAAAAGTATGCGGACTCGGTATTTCTGTATCGCTAACAGCCTCGAATCTGGTGTAATGTTTTCTTGCGCATCGTACAGTTTATGATCATTCAAAACTTCAATAGCGATTAGAATAAGGCTTTCTACCTTGTCGCAGGCCTGTGCCCAAAACGGACTGTAGTTTGAGACAATGACAAGCACACGGAGGGGGGTTTCTTGCGCCATTGTGAACTGCTCCAGCGTATCTTAGCTGCCTTCCAAGGTTTCTAGCGAAGATAGCAAGTCCAAAGGCCACTTACCTTTTTTTTTTATAATGAGTTTGTAGCACAGTAAGAATTTAGGTTAAAAGGAATGAGGTCAAAACTCCCACGAGAAAAAGAGGCGTCCGACGAATATATATTGAAATGGGGATGGCTCGATGGCTGTCTGGCAACGCACTCTAAATGATTATAATTAGCGGGGAAAGGTGGATCCGATATCTGGACGAGAACCTTGGGACTTCTTGCAGCCGACCCCCACCGGGGCACCACGCGTCCTCAAATCCCTTGACGATTGTACAAAACGCGTTACCCACAGCTCAATCATGCGCATCCCAACTTTAAGTACTTCATTAACTGGGCGCGACATTGTGCCCGAGCACGAACAGGATATTTTCTTTACTAGCCTCGGCTTGGCCGTCCTCGATGAGATTCGGGTCCCCGGCCAGGAACCGCTGAGAAACATACTAGGTGGCTCAGGGACATATGGTGAGTGAAAGCTCCGCTTTATCTCTAAGGCTTCAAATGGTTCTTTCTGGCATTAATATGCACTAAACTCCATTTTAGCAACGCTCGGTGCGCGATTGTTTCTTCCCGGGTCACTCAGTCCCAACTTGGGTTGGATGATCCGCGTTGGAAATGACTTTCCGATACCTGTCGAAGAAGCTCTGTGGAGCTGGAATCCAACTTTGGTTATTCAAAAAGAGCCGGGTAGCGCCTCCACGAGGGGCTTACTTGAGTATCGAGATACTACCTTTGGACGTAAGGATCCCTTGACGCTTATCCCCTTCTCCATCATTATACCTTCCTTGTCAATTTGCGGTTACCTTCCAAATGTTAATCGGGTTTCTAGCAAAGGACTTCAAGTACACAACCCCGGTCCTCGGAGTCCAAGATAGCAGTTTAGAGGGAACAGCACTTCTGAGGTCAAAGGCATACCACTATTTAGCCTCGCCCCAGGACATCAAAACACGGATAGCAAATCTCTACGCTATGAGACAGAAGGAGGCTATATCTGATCGTCCTTTGATAATATGGGAACCGTCTCCTCTGTTTTGCAACCCGAACGATCTCCAGGAATGCCTAGAGGCTGCATCAATCGTTGATGTGTTCTCTCCAAATCACATAGAGCTGGCCAGATTATTCTCAGTGTCGCTTTCTGCTGAATCAGTCCGAAGAAACATGGAAGATCTTGCAGCGCGGGTCCTAGAGCGAGGAGTTGGACCAGACAGCCAAGGCGTTGTGATCATTCGGGCTGGTGAGCATGGGTGCTATGTCAGTGCACGTGGTCTTTCTCCCAAATGGCTCCCTCCGTATTATGGACCTGGCTCAGGGGAACTGAATGTCTCGAAGGTAGTTGATCCGACTGGGGCGGGAAATACCTTCCTGGGGGCGTACGCTATAGGGTATGTCAAGACGGGCAACGTCATTGATGCAGCTTGCTACGGCTCAGTTGGGGCATCGTTCGCCATAGAGCAAGTGGGTATACCGGAGATCAAAGGTGAACATGGCAGAGAGGTGTGGAACGGGATTAGCGTTTACTCAAGATTGCATGAATACATGTCTAGGATCATTTAGAAAAAGATCCGCTAGGTCCGCTCATGAGGCTCACCCTGAATTAATCGTATTCGGTGCTTTCTCACTACCTGGTGAGTCGATAGCTTTCAAGTATTACTGCTCAACTCTCTATGACTATTGAACAAATCATGTAAATGCTGACATCGCTGATGAGCAAGATGTAGATGCAAAGTGTGGGTCCACAGTGGATCATCAATGAAAGGACCCACCGAGAGGCAATGTAATCTAGGATCTTATTTCCAATCGCTAAGATCAAATATCAATAGAAAAATCAACCGACAATAGTAGTCCAGGTGTTTCCAATTTTTTAAAATCAATGCAGTCGCTCTCGCCCTCTGAAGAACATTCGCGGTGGGTTTAAAAGGTTAGCCTCTGCACAGATTGCTCCAGAGGAATGAACTTGGGTCCGACTGCTCTTCCCTTTGGACTATAGGAAATATTCTTTCCAGTTCTGTAATGTGCCATCAAATGATCTCAATCTGTTTCATTTTCTCTAAATTCAGGTAGCCTATCTCTACCATGAACCGCTCTTTGACATAATCATATAGGCGAAGATCGTCTTGCACAGATCCCTGTTCGTCGGCTGGCGGGACAGCCGTGGCTATCTCGACCGGGTAGAAAGTAGCTGAATGGCTTGTTTCCTTATGTAGTTCAGGGACAGGAAGTCTTTTTACCTCTTCCTGTTACCAACAGAATTCTTCCGGGCAAAATCACTCCAAAGGAAGCATTCTTCAAATATCAACGTCAACCAAACGAAACACGAAAACCGAGGATCCTCCGGCAACTGACTACGGCCCCGAGAGATCCAAGTGACCTGGTCACAAAATGGGCGTGAAAGAAAAACATGCTACACAGAAGCGGTTAGTTTCACTACACGAGGCTTTGGGCGTTGAAAATACTCAAATTGAAGAAGATAGGGTCAGTGCACGCCGCAGAGCCTCCATATGAGAGACCCCGAACGCGGCCGCCAATGACGCAGAAGGGGCCAAAACACCCTGCAAAGTAACGCAGCACAGACCGCGGAGGGCCTGATTGCCTCGTTAACTGGCACGCTAATGCGAAGTGGACGTGTCTGGTTCCATTTTACGCTGATCGTTGCGGGGAGCCAGCATGGCGCAGCCACAATCGAGCCCAATACCCTAAATCGTATTCATATCCCGAACCAAACTTCTTCCCTTGACGTATTCTTTTTCTTTACTTCTCGGATTGCATTGAGAACGCCAGCCATGACCTCCGTCTCAAATTTCGGGGCTCTAACAACCACCTTCTCCGCTCCGACCGATTGCTCAGTTGAGAAATGGGTCCAGCATAACTCGAACGCGACCAGTCTTCGCTGGGGCGTGGAGTGTACGAGTAATACTATTGCTTATGCGTCGTCTTGCTATCCTCCGGGATGGTCAGGCGCTAATAACAATACCGCTCTCGCATATAAAGGGTTCTCGCCTGGCCTTGCATGTCCATATGGATGGAGACCAGTCACAAGTGCCAGCAGTATTCATCGGGACCAAGGGTGGAATCCTCTCAATTCCTATATTACGAGTATTGCAGATGACGAGATCGCTACCCTCTGTTGTCCGTCGTGAGTACATATTCAAGCCAGAGTCTAGCCCTAGTTTATAATTCCTTCCGCAGTGGCTACGTTTTAAAGGAAGTCCTCTGCTACAGTCAAACTATCAACATTACCGAATCCCTGCCACTCATCACAACGTCAAATGGTAAATGCCATACGCAAACTGTCGGTCCTTTTACCGGAAAAATCGGCGGCACGAGTGCTTCTAAGGGCGCAGCGATATTCCAAGCATACCCCGTAATCCTCGTCAATACCGATTCCTCTACGGGTTTATCAACAGGCGCGAAAATAGGAATCGGAATAGGCATTCCGGCTGGCGTGCTCGTTCTTGCTGCTATAGTATTTATCTGGTGGCATCGTCGGCGCAGAGCTCGAGCGAGGGCTTCCGAAGTGGTGCCGCCTGCCGTTGGTGAGCCGTATACGGGAAAGCCAGAGCTTGATACAGGTCAAGAGGTTGGCCCTAGTGCCCCTGCTGAGTTGCCGACGGTGCAGACTTATGCACAGGCTGAGTTGCCTGCGAGGAAGAGCGCCGACACGCCTCAGGCGGAGTTGCCCGGGGATTTTGGACAGCTTTATTCTGCTCAGGAGGATATCAAAGAGGATTCTCGGGAAAGGACATCAAGATAGCCAGGATATAGTAGGGTTTGAAACCAAATTACCCCAAAGACAATCACGTTTTGTTTCTCAGCCCGTACCCAAACCCACGCTACCTGTGCAAGGTTACTTCAATAACAACACCGGGTTAACCGCATCCTAGGAAAGAACATGTTGAACTGTGGTGTCTAGTATGTCTTTGTAAATTGATCTTTTCCCATGTAGGCTTGATTTACACCCACGCCCTTTCTTGTTTTTCTCTGTAGAATTTTCCTACGTCTGCATAGCTATTAAGACGTGCTTAGTAAATGGCCGTATACTATGTGGTTGTGGTTGGAAGAAAAGATATCCACTTGGAAAGGATCACCTAATAGGATTTCTTAGCATAGCTCCGGACTTAGTAGACGGTGTTTGTATTGCACCCGAGAGCAAGAATTGAGCCGCAACTTTGAGCAGTATACTAAATTTGTCTTCCTCACGATGTATGCTCGTACTTACACAGTTAAAATGACAGAGTATAATTTAGATCGATTACCACTCGTACACACCGTCTTTGTGGATCAGTTGTCCTACTTCAGAATCGCGGTTTCCTTGCAGAATAGACAGGACAACCTCTGCAGCACCCTCTGGGTCTTCAGCTTTGCCCCATCCGCTCTTTGCCTCCTCGCTGGTCCCACGAAGGTTCGATCGAAACAGACCCGGGCTCAGCACGAATACTTTAATGCCTTGAGGACCATAATCCCGCGCCTCCAGTACAGCAAGCATATTTAGGGCAGCTTTGCTGACCTGGTATGCATCACCGTTCCGAATGTGGTTGAAGTGGCTTGGAGGCTGCTGTATAGCGTTTCGTGGTAACGATCTCGCGCCAGTGCCCACAAAAATTGAGTATGGGTTCGCAGACTTGAGCAGCAAGTGCCTGAAAGCTGCAGAGACCATGGCTGGTCCAAGCACATTAGTCTCTAGACAACATTGGAAGCGAGTCTTGACATCATCAACATCCAAACAACCGACGGCGGCATTGTTAACAAGCACATCTAAATACCCAAAATGTTCCTGAACGTATCCGGTAGCTTCGTTGATTGATTCCTCGTTCGTGACATCCAGTTGCAAAATAGATACTGATCCTTTTGGACCACCAGCTTCGATTTCGTCCAACGCAGCTTGGGCTTTATCACGAGACCGACTGGCTAAGATGACATGAAAATTCTCTGACACGCGTACTAGAACTTTTGCTATTGCAAGACCCAACCCGGAGTTGGCACCTGTGGAAACTCGTCAGCGCCGGGCTCTTCAGATTGCAGTACTTATTGTGCACAATACCTGTAATAAGGACATTTGTGGGAGCCATAGCTTCAGTTGAATTCGCAGATATTGGCGATCACTCTCGATTTAGAGAAGAATGGCTTACTTGGAGCTCAGAGCCTTTATCATCCAGAGATGGCCGGAGTTAGCCGGGTTTAGTGCTCGGGGATTAGATGACACCACATCGAGATATATCTAGAGTTTTGAGGATAAATTCGCTTTAAACAGAGGTCACTATGTGAATTGGGCAGGGAAGTCGGTTTGCGCTTGAACATTGGCTTTTACTACAACCATTGGGAGGATATGACGGGAGAACGTCGACGGAATCCCGCCTCCGAGGGTATTATTCCTCTTGCCTTTTCCTTTCTCCTGCCTTCGTTGATCACGTTGAGCTCTAGCTCACCGTCCAAGTTACCTCTCTTGTACACATGGATACCCACGCTGAACCCGCGAATACAATCAAGTCCAAACGGCTATTCTACGTGTAGAAAATTGTAGTTGCAATTTTATACATTAGATTGGGGGTATAATTGCAGCGAATCACATAATCACATCACCACATAACATGCTCATAAGGCATCATAAGGAAAAAAAATATAGCCATCATTCCCTAACAATTTTAACGTCCATCTAATGAGAATAAGGCTCTGGCGAAAACACCTTCTTGATACGGAAGTGCGACAGATCCCGAATCACCTCGGCGGTCTGTTTCATATTCTTCTTCACAATGACAGAAGTAGGCTGCGAGAACAACTCATCGATATCCTCAAGAGACATGTTCTTAGTCTCGGGCATGAAGATAATCTGGTAGACCCATCCCAAAACGGCAATACCACCGTAGAAACCGAGCGTCAGACCAGTATTCGTCATGGTATCCCTCATGCGAGTGAAGTTATAGGTCACGATGAAGGAGCACAGGAACAAGTTTGCATCGGCTGTGGTCATACCGTAGTGACGGAGATAAGTAGGGAAAACCTCGGAGGGAATGACCCATGTCAGGCAAGCGTAGGAGCCAAAGAAGCCCATGTACAGGATGATACCGGTGAGGTAGAGGCCTTGTGCGGCGGCGGGGTACTTCTTGTAGTCGATAGTGTATCCAGCGCCGACGAGAACGAGGCCGATAAAGAAGCCAGGAAGCATGGTGTTAGCCCAGTATCTGCGACCGAAGCGCTCCATGTACAGGACGGCGGGGATACAGCCGAGGAGAAGAGAGCCACCGCCGACGAGGGACATGAAGACAGAAGTGCGCGTGTCGAAGCCGATGGCGCCCATCAGAGTGGACATGTAGTACATGATAGCGTTGACACCGGTGAACTGGCCGAGGAAGATCATGATATTCGCGTAGACGATGGCGCGGCGGGCGCGGGGCTGGGTGAAGAAGTCCATCCAGGCGTACTTCTTGGTGCGGGCTTGTTCTTCCGATTCGGCGGTGACGGCCTGGCGCATGCCGAGGAATTCGTCTTTGGACTCGAAGTCACCGAAGCCGCGGATTTTCTTCCAGACGGAGTAGGCGGCGACTTCATGACCCTTGTGCATGAGGTAACGGGGGGATTCAGGGAGGAAGAACATTCCTACGAGGAGGATGGTGGAGAAGACGAGGGATGAGCCAAGGATGTAGCGCCAGTTTCCAGCAACGTCGAGGAACATGGCAGCGACGGCGTAGCCAAGGACCTCGCCGAGGGCGATGTTGAGTTGGTAAAGTGAAACGAGGTTACCTCGAAGTCTGCGGGGAACTGTGTTGGGTGTTAGTTTGATGTCTGATGCTCGATAGTATGTATAGGAGGGAAACTTACCACACTCGGCGACGTAGACAGGCACGGTACCACCCTCCAGACCGACACCCATACCGAGGATGAAACGACCAGCGAAGATCATACCGAAGTTGATAGCACCAGCCTCCAGGCCAGCACCGATGGTGTACAAGATACAAGAAACAATGATGGACATGCGACGACCGAGATACTCGTTCGACGGAGAAAGGATAAAAGCACCAGCAACAGCACCAAGAGGCATACCGGAATCCACCAGACTGGCCTGTCCGCTGTTGAGATGTAGATCATCGGGAAGATAGAGGTTGGCACCGGAAATCAGCGACTGGTCGAGACCAGAAAGCATACCACCCATAGAGGCAAAAGCGACAAGAACCCATGTGAAATGGCTGGGATTCTTGAATGTGACTTCAATCTCGGTGCGAGGCTTCTTCAGCGACGGCAGTTGCTCTTCAAGTTGTGCAATCTCGGCGTTCATAGCAGCCTCTGTCCGGTTGGACAGCTTCTGATCGGCAACCTCATCGAACTCCTCCGCGATCCCCTCCTTGTGGTAGGTGCTCTGGGGAGCCTCGACATCCTTGACGCTCTTTTCATCAGCCATGATGGATGAACCCCTTCTAGGGTAAGGATGGATAGATGAGACTAGAAAATGATATAACTATGGGTCTCAAGACCGGATCCCAGTGTGGGGGGAACTTCGTGGAAGGGGAGAAAGAAGAAGTCGAAAATGTCTGGGGAATGTAGGACAGAAAGGAGGGGAAAGGGACTATTTGAGGCCGATCCCAGACCACCGCGATGACGCCCGGGAATACGCTTTACCTCTGACGCAAAGAAAAAGAAAACCGAAGGCAGTGGGGAAACGCCGAAAACGAAAAGGTCTAACTGTCTAAGGTTAGGGATAGACACCCGCCCCATGTTTCTCCCAAGTTTGATCTGGAGAGGTACATCGCCCAGAAGGTTGTGGAGAAGGTCGGAGAAGGACCCATCCCGCCAGTCGGGCCAACCACGGCGAAACAGGACGCCCCAGGAAACCCCAGAATGAGGAGAAGCGGTCTCACCGGTGGCCAAAAGTCTACTAGCTACCAGAAGAAGTATGTGAATATGTAGGCAGGGATCCCAGAATGTGGAGGAGGCCGGGGAATTTGAGGGGGATGGGGCATTAATCGGGCGTCTGAGCGAATCGCAGTCCGCAAAGCTTAACCCGCGAGTTTCCAAGGTTTGCACATTTTGCGCCCGAGTATCCCTCTGGAAGGCTTACACCCGTCGTTGGCTTGAACCCCCTGAACCACCGAAGTGTCCTTCTAGAAGGACAATCGGCTTCGCGGGCTGCTCTGGCCGAATCCTGCGAGACTCGGCGTGTCGGCCTAAGTGGAGTAGACATACATATCTCAACTGCGGCAGAGTACAATGCCGAGTCCACAAGCCGAAAAATAAGTCGGGATCATGAGGTCTGCGGCTTCGGCGAGAGTCCGTAGTCAGGAGGGGTACGGGCCAGGCATATTACGCGACAGAGAACCGGGGGGGGATTGGGGTTCCCCGTGGAGTGAGGAACGTTGTCGGAGAGTCTTCGGCGAAATGTCAGTGGGTCGGGATTGTGCTTCCAGGCGTCATGACTTTCTGTCCGAGCGTATTCAGAATCACGATGAATCCGTCTTAGAGAGGAAGATGGAAACGTATAATCAGAAAGTTGTGCGAAAAGACGTTGCCCGGACGAGGCCTTGAAGCACCGTGAAATTAAGCTATCCGGGCCTAGGAACAATGCCTCGGGCGGGATCGCGGAACCCTAGTTTTCACAGTCTCGTGCCGAGAGATCAGCTCCCGATTTTTCGCTTGCAATGGATGACACGGACGCGGGACCTTTGGGCCCCGGACCTGCAAGCCGAGGGCGCCATTCGCCGGATGAAGTCTGGGCGCTTGGCCAAGTCAGGGTCGAAACTTCCACAGTCTCCCGAAATTTCTGTTCGAGACCACTATACGGAATCTGGGACATCCCACGGCGGTGGCTCAACCGTGGGGGTACGAGTCGCTGAGCGCCATTGGTGATGATGGGGAGGTTGGTCCACTTCTCTGGCGGGTTCTGGCGTGTTCGGGCAGGTTAGTGCCGGGTCGAAGTATACAAACAAGGAAAGAGAGAACCCAGATCTGGGCTCGCCCACCGGGCATTCATCACATGACACTATACGTAGGCTTTGGTGGCTTTGTCTCAAATCATTGTTATTGTCATGGTCATGAGTTTTTTGGATATGTACGCTTCCAAGGCAATATGAGGATAAGGATGCACAAAAAAAAAAAAAAAAACTCCCGACGCCATGCTGACGACAATTGCGAAATGCAATGTGTTCCTCCTTCTATTCCTTCTTTCTCTTTCTCACCACTGTCTCCCCGACGATCCCACTGGCTTCCTCACACTCGGATCGACATGAGGGCTCGGAGACCGGCCCCCCTGAAGCCGTGCCCGCAGTCGCTCTTGTGCCGACCCCGCCCGGTCTTGCGACACGCGCGAGGACCCGGTTGACTGGTTCGATCCAAGTCGCTGACTAGGTAGTGGCCGTGCTCCTTGCGGATGCATACCCCCCGGTGGGCCAGGAGAGTGCGAATGAGCATGCTGGAGCGGCGGTGAAGGCGTAGACACCGGGCCGGGCGGCGCGCTGTTCATGGGGAGAAGTGGGGGAGCGTTGCCAACACGGCCACGGCGGAGACTGGCTGTCTGTGCGCCTGCTGGTTGGGATGCTCCTGAGTCCCCCCAGAGATCACCTAGACCTCCGCCCCGGCTGTAGGATACGGTGGCGGGGCCTTGACCTTGGGGAAGCTGTGAGGTTGCCACGACACGGTTTGATGCGGCTTGGGGGGCCTTCGGGTCCGGAGGCAACCAGGAAGGGAATGGGCGTCCCTTTTCTGTGTAGTATGCTCGGAGGGCATTGGAGATGTGCGAGCCGTCTTCATTTTCCGGATCGTCTCCTTCGTCGCCCAGGGTAATAGCGCGGCGAAGGCTGGTGAGCCGCGAGCCCAGGGCACTGGAGAGCGAGGAGGAGGATCCAGTGAATGATGAGAAGTAGGAGCTCATCTTGAGTCACTGGGTGCGTTTGATGGGTATGAATGTCTAACGCGCAAGCTGTAAAGGACAGCTTCGATGTGGTGTGGGGTGGGGTTATGCGGAGCTGCTTTCCTGCAGGAACCCAACGCAGGTATTTGTAAATCGTAGATCGGCGATGATCGAGCTTGGGCTTGGCGGTGAGTTTGCAATTAGAGGTGATTAAAGAAGCTTCCAACAAAAGAGCCGGCTCTTTGTGGATGTTGAAAGAGTGGCGGTGGTGACGGTGACGGAGTGAAACAGGAGGCGGAGACCGCAACCACGTGACCCTATACTTGGTTTCAGAAGAATTAGGCAATTGAGCTGCGACAAGCGCAATTAAACATTCCAAAAAAAAAAATCCGAACTACGAAGTCATAAACAAATTAAAAAGGCCAAAAATATTGAATGGTATCCTAGACCCGTATTGACAGATACATGCGGCAGTCGATGCAACAGCAGGGTATGATGCCCGATTACACAGAAAATATAGAACCGACCCAACGCCATGCCCACGTGCAAGATCAGATAAACTTTTCGCAGACTCCACGAGTCTATGCCATGACAAAGTCCCGACCAGTGTCCTCCTGCTCGTATTCGATCTCGGTGTGAGGACCCTTGCCTTTCGTGGGACCCTTCTTGCGAGGCTTGACGGGCGGCGCAGCAAGCTTCCGCTTGGTACCAGGTTTGGGCTTCTCACTCTCGCTAGGCTCATCATCCGAGTCACTGTCGCTCTCATCGTCGCTCTCCTCGTCGTAGTCGCTGGAGTCGGCAGACTCGCCACCAAGCCAGTCCTCAATGTCCTCGAGATCCTCCTCATCATCAAGATCAGACACATATTCAACCTCACCAACACCCTCTTCCTCCTCATCGAGGATCTCTTCCCCGTCATCCAGATCCTCATCGCGCTCACCATCACCAGCACGCTCCAGACCACGCATGACCTTCTTCCAGATCCCCTCCTCAACATTAAGCGGCCGATCGCCATAAGCACCACTGCGCAGACGCTCAATGAGCTCACGCTCAATAGCGCGCTCAACCTTGGCCGCAGACTCGGCCTTCCGCTCACGAGTTGCCTCGCGACGACGAATCTTAGGCGCCAGCTTAGGAACAATGGTCTCGCCCAGCCGATCCTCCTCTTTGGAAATGTTCTTCATGCGAATATTCACCTGTGTCAGCCGCGTCATGCGCTGCTTGCACTTGTGAATCAAGAATTTCGGCCAATAGATCAACTTATCGTCCAGCATCTCAAGTGCCTTAGCGTAGTTCGACGGCAAGCGTATCCGCTCCCACCACTTGCTCGGCATGTGGGCTCGTTCGATGGTCTTCATGTACAGGTACATTGCGCCTGTCTCTGGGTCTGAGCGTACAGTCGCATACCGAGAGTTGGCGAGCGGGCAGGACTGCCGGTTGCAGAGGCCGCTGACGTTGTATTCATTGCGACAGAAATTTTGACCCTTGGTAGTTCTGGAAAAGGAAAATTTTTCGTCAGCGTCTGGGGTTCTCAAAGTTGCAGATTCCGGCGCGGGCTTCGAAGTTTTCGATATGCAGACTAGAGACAACGGGGGCGCTGAAAGATAGAATTATGGGACTCACTTGAGTTTGTAGGAGCAGAATTGCTGGTTAATAACCTGCCAGACAATTTCGTCCGACATTATGGGCAAGTTTGGGAGGTGATGTTCGGTGCTGGAGAACCGTTGCCCAGGTGTTGATTGATGAAAAAAAAAGTGATGGTCACGTGAATTGCTTATCGATAGGCGCGCCGTAAGTGGCCCGTGACCCCATCGATCTATACGCTCCACCTTTAGTTACGATGCTGCCTTTTGATGTATTGAATGGAAAGGGTATTATTCATTTCGTTTCTCTTGTTGACCTAGACTAGCTTGTCATCATGTCCAGCCCTCCATCTGCATCGGGGCCCCTTCCCACTCCGTCCCATTCATCATGTGACTGTGTCCCAGGTCGGAGTCCTCACCAATCTCTTCGGCCCATCCCCATCCCATGGACTCTAATTCTCGGACGAAGAAGTCTCGCTCTTCTTCCATTATAGACGGGCCATCGGGTCCGCCCATCACATCTTTGTATTGGCGTAGATGCCACCAATGCGTCAATCCGCGAAGGGCTTGCTCCAGGGGAAGGGCCTCTTCCACTTCAGCATCGACGTCTGAGCCCGCGAGCCAATCGTCGCGCAGCTCCGGTCGGCAATATAAGTAAATAGCGGTTATCACGCGCATATTACTCTGGCGCCACTTCCGCCCGCAGTAGGGCACCTGCGACTTGAATAGTTTCAGGGTGTAGAACCGGAGGTGAGGATCGGGAATCTTCAGACCCTTGCGGAGAATCGTACTCGACTTGTATTGGACGAGAAGAAGGCAGCGGTGCGCTTTATCACGGGTGATCTTCTGCATGATGTGGAGGTAGTTGATGGCGGAGAAGAAATTTCGGAATGAAAAGACTGTAATTGGCTCCTTGGGTAGAGGTGCGGTGGGATAGCCAAGTTCGTCAACTTCGGGACGTGTTGGACCGTCAGTCACGGACTCTTCAGGTGAAAATCGCACGGAGGTGTTGCCTCGGGTTAGATTGGGGCGTTGTCGGGAGATTGGAGGTGGGACAGCCTCGTCTTCACTCTCGGTGTCCCCATCGGCTGGGTCCTCAAATTGAGAGTGATGATCTGAATTCTCGGCGCAGAAGTAGAAGAACCTGTCTGAGATTAGAGACTTTACCTTGGTAAAAGAAAGAATGTAAGAATACTCACGATAAATCTTCACGGTCGTTCTTCTGCGCCACCGCCTGGTCGACATCTTGATGAGCAAACATCTTGAGGATGAGGGGGAGATAGTTCGAGTCAAGCAAGAGCTGTGTCATATACTCGAATTTCAAAATATCTTCGGCAGGTTAGCAAGACGCGCTTAATATGACTAGATATGGGTCAAGACTGACGGGAACGTTTGAACCACTTCAACATCAGCAATAAAGTTCCAGAGACAGCCTTCCCGGTGATCTCACGCAACCGGATGTTATCAAGTTCATCAATAGATGTATCGGGAAAGAAGTCGGCTGAGCCGTTCACACCGTGGCCATTACTATATGGGCATAAGAAATAGGGCTCGTTTTGAGAAAAATCCAGGGGGAACCGTACCTCATGCTTTGAGAACCGGAAGCATTCGCTTGATTGACCACAGCACTGACATTGGTCAGGATGATCTTCAAAAAGACGATCGTGATGGATTGAAGGTGGGACAGAGTGTGGGCCTACATATAAAATAATCAGTTATGCTGCATCCAGTGAGCCGGGAAGTACCCACGTAGAAGCCTTCAACTGCATCCAGTCTTCTCTGGACATCTGGGTCATTTGTTTCCTTCTGCGCTGGCTTAGGTGGGGGTGAGGGTGTGGTATTGGACAAGTCCAGCTGGTCCATCTCGAGGGACACGTCATCGGGTACCATTGAGCCAGGTACGCGATAGGGATGTTCAAAGTTCCAGCCTCGGTCGTATTTCATGAAATTCTCGCGCTCGCCCCAGAGTTGTTGCATCGCACGAGTCATCTTGACATGGGTTGAGAAGAGCTTGCCGGCCTCGATGATTGATGCAGGCACATCACTGCCCTCCCAACGCTTTCCGACCAGCACATCCTGGCGTTCAGTAGTACCCTTTCCGCCAATCCGGTTGCTAGAATCGTCTAGAGGAGGATACATGAGAGGGAAGTTTTGGTTGGTCTGGTAATTTTGCTTCTTGCCAGCTTTACCTCCAGGTCCGATGGGAGAAGGAGGAGGCGATGGAGCTGGAGTCGCAATGTGAACAGCCTGCTGGAGGATAGAGCCATTTGGACCAGTGATAGGGGGTCCAACTCCAGAGAAGAGGCCACTAGATGAATTTGACCTCGCAGGGTGTTGCGGAAGAGGAGGCAGAATCGAGTTATTCTCTAGTTCAAGTGGAACAATAGGGACAGGAGGGTTGTAGGCGGGATATTTTGAGGTAATCTCCTGTCGGAATAGGTGATAGTCTAGAGGAGAGGCAGTCAAGAATGGCGTGCGACGGGTGGCAGAATCTTCCTGAGGGGGGAGGGTTGGCTCGAGAGCTTCCTTGGCCCTCTTCAGGTCCGCACTGCCGCCAAACACGAGGAGGAGTGATTTCCAGAGCAAAAGAATGATTCTGGTAAGTGGAATATTGGCAGACTCGTCCCATCTTAATCGCGCAATTATTTCGACGATAGTGACTAACAGGCACGGATCCGCCTCAGCCAGCGCATCACGAATCAAATTGCACTGAGGATCTTGAGCCTCTTGTCTTCGACCAACCTCGATGGAAAAGTAGAGCACAGTAAGGACCAAATTGGCTTCACGCTCCGGGGCTGCGATGTCACCCGAGTTTACTTTTTCGATGTCACTTCCATCTGAGTCGAGGCCAAGCGAAGAGCGGGTTTTGTCAAATAACTGGGACAGCTTCTTGACCATAAGAGGTATTCCGGAGCATTGCTGGAGCAGAAAGACGTTTTGTTCAATCCACGCGATCTGCAGCGACTTAGACCGAGGGGTTTCTGTTCTCGTTCCAGGGTCTGAATCCGTAGAATGACCCTCTGTGGCACGTCCTGCCGTAAGACCCCACACACCTGTAATAGTATAGCAGATATTCTCCAATGCCTCCAGGCGCATAGAGGCTTCAGCATGCTGTACCTTGTCCAGAGACTCGGTGATAAAAGTCCGACGCAGTTCATCTGATGAGTCTATCCAGGAAATATCATCGGGGATAAAGCCGTTTTGTTCAGCAAATGCGGCCCATTGGCGATCAAAAGTCGCCTTCATTCCCATCAACATCACACGATCGAATTCATTATATTGGAACCACTCTTCAATCTCCTCTGAAAATGGCTGCGCATCCGCATACTCAAAAGCATATGCCGGCTGCTCGACCTTCGGCATCTCTTGTACCAATCTTCTGAGCTGCGCCAAGCTTAGCGAGTCGGGGGGTCGGTCCGCATTCTGCTGGACGGGAGCAGGTGGAGGGGGTTGTAACGGTGGAGGAGGTGCTGATATGTCTCGGCGAAGTTCGGGTCGTTTGGTCGCATTTCCAGGCTGGCTGTCAACGGCCGATTCCTGTATGGGTGCTGCGGAGGAGGCCTGCTCTTGGCGTAGGCCCTCCGCAACCTCCTCCATTAATTGCTCGTCAGGAACGGGCGAGATATCGGTTCCGGTCTGGTCAACTTCGTCGGCCTTGACAATGTGCTGATCCGGAATGGCGGCATCAGCAGCTGCAGATGTAGTTTCCATCCCGTTGGCCTTTCGCAAGGTCTTCGTTCGTACAAAAAACACGGGAGTGTTGAGCGGAAGAGGGGTTGTCGCCGATGGTTCAATATGGTGACATCAGGGGGCGGCGAGGTGAGATAATTGAGGTTGGCGGAGATCATAAACTGATGTTGGCCTCTGGCAAACGAATCAAGTCCCAGCCAGCAACATCGCCGAGTTTTGTCGAGTTAACGCAGCGGTACGGAGTTGCGGTGATATCGTGATATCGGTCACGTGATTATATGCCGCTCACTACGAGAGATTGAATGACAAGTCACGTCTTGGAGAAACCGGAAATGGCGTCGAAAGTGTCAAAAACGCCTTTATATGATTATCTGCTCTACATTCTGTACACCTGGTAGCTATTTGGAGATCTTTCAATCCGACTTACGTGCCTCATCAAGGCGCTGCTTCAGTTTCTGTGCTTCCCATCGTTGCCAGCCGGCCTCGGCCAGATCTTCACGGACAACCAAATCACGGACGCGCAGCAAACGCGACACCCTGAGACCCGCAGCCCAATCGATCCAGCCCGAGTTTCGTAGCAGGCTGGTGAATATGAACCAACCGCAGGCGAACACGAAACCGGCCCCACAGCCTGCCAGCACCTGTTTGGGAGTGTGGTAATTCAAGTAAATTCGACTGGCAGCGACACCGACAGCAGCAGCCCACAGGCCCCCTGTGACGGCCACGCGAAGCAGGAAGCCGCAGTAGGGATAGGGCCCAGCGTAGGCCGGAGTGTGTCGAAAGGCCAGGAAAAGGGTAAGGTAAACAGAGAAGAAGGTCATGAACTGGGCATGCGAGGATGGCATGCCGTAGCCTTTGCCAAACATTTCTGCAGATAGAACTCGGTTAGAAACCATGTACTCGTTGGGATATGCTTGACGTGGTCAAAACTCACCTCTCGGTCGCTCTTCCTTGATGATGCGCTTGAGCACAAAATTCAACGCCTCACAGGCCAGCTGTCCTCCAAACATCAAGACGACCTCCATCTCCCTCGAGGCCCACACTAGGGTCACATAAGAGACGCATAGTGCTTGTGGCAGCAGGGCCAGCCACGCCGACACCAGTGACAGGGGATCCTCGGGATTCTGGGCAGCATGTTAGTTTGGGTTGAATCTTTGGGGGTCAAGAATGAAACAAGAAAAAGACTCACATAGTGAACGTGTGTGAGAGACAACGAGGCTAATGGAGTGTCGCCCATGATATTTGAAGCTCTTTGAAGCTGTTGAAGCTGGTTGAAGCTGGGACGGTACTCAGCTGTCAACTCCGATGAGAGAAGGGAGGCGGAACGATAAGAGATAGGAGAAAGTTGTGGAGGGGGAAAGCGAAACTCGATGACACAAAAAATTCATCAGGCACCAAAAGTGTCTCCCACTTTCTTTTCTACCTTTTCCCCTTTTTCCTCCTTCTCTACTCTTTATGCTCTTATGACCCTTTGATCACTACAGTTTCCCTTTGCCCCAAACCATGACGCAGTCCCTGTCTTCATATACTCCCCTCTTGTTACATCATTTGATAGACCCCTCTCCAACGCAGATTCGGTTCACCTGGCCACGAATAGTCCACGCACCAGTATCGTGATCCCTGGCTTCCAGGAAACCAGGGCATCGCACTGAACTCCTGCATACATTCGTGCCCGACTCGATATATTTACCCCCTATAACCTGTGCGCGACCCTTCTGCGATGGCCGTGGCCGCATGCTAAGACGTGCGGAGACCGATATATCGCGAACAGGGAAGCAGGCAACCGTGCCTGCCATCGCAAACGCTATACCTCGAGATGGCCGACCTTGAGCCCGAAGACGACCGCTCCGTCGAACTGTCTTCCATCGCCGCCATTTATCCGGAGATCAGACTCGAGCCCGACACTCCATTTAAAGCCGCGCTAGACCTCCCTGTTGCTCTTCCGTCGCCTACTCATATCAACTTCCAACAAACTCTCGATGTTGGGCTACCTGCTGCAGTTGCGTTGACACCTCCCACCTCTGTGGATGGATCCAAGGCCGATCTCGGCCCACCTGCCGCCAGAGATGTTCATGTAGTATCGCATCTGCCCCCTCTCAGTCTAGTGATCGAATTACCAGGTGGATATCCATCCGAGAAGCCCCCAGTTGTTAATCTGAGCATCACTCCGCCGTGGCTGCCAGCTCCTGTTCTCGTAAAACTCTCAGATGATTGTCGACGACTGTGGGAGGAATGCGGGAAGGATATGGTTGTGTACACATACATCGACCATCTTCAACAACTCGCCGAATCTGCATTCGGGATTCAGGACACTTCGGACGGAGAGCTATGTCTGTCACGAGATCTGAAAGTCGCCTTGCTGGACTTCAATAGCAAGGCAGAGCGGGAGAAGTTCGAACACGAGACTTTTGAGTGCGGTGTGTGCCTGGAGCCGAAGAAAGGCGTCAACTGCTACCGTCTACTACGATGTTCCCATGTCTTTTGTATTCCCTGTCTGCAAGACTTCTACAACACTTGCATTGCTGAGGGCGACGTCATGAGCGTCAAGTGTCTTGCCCCGGACTGCGAAAATGATCAGAGCCCAAAGCGTGCCCCTGGTGCTGATACTGATACACCGCGCCGCAAGAAACGTGATCGAACCCTGGGACCCAGCGAGCTTCTGCAAATTCCCTTGGAGCCGGAGACAGTACAGAGATATGTCTTTCTCAAACGCAAGAAGAAGATCGAGTCCGATAAGACCACAGTTTACTGTCCACGAGAATGGTGCCAAGGTGCAGCCCGATCAAAACGACACCCGAAACCTACGGACCCAATGGGAATGACCGATGACGCTGATACCTCTGACGATGAAGAGGTCATTGCATTTGATCCTCTTGGTGAGGAGGGCCAACTACCACCTATGGCTGAACGGGTAGCCATCTGCGAAGACTGCAACTACGCTTTCTGCTGCGTCTGCAAGAAGGGCTGGCACGGCGAGCTTGTTTACTGCTCCCCCCGGCGCCAAGCCGAGCAGACAGCAGAAGAGAAAGCAACCGAGGCATATCTGCAGCAATATACGTCCCCTTGCCCGACTTGCAATGTCCGCTGCCAGAAGCGTATGGGCTGCAACCACATGCGCTGCACCAAATGTGAAACCCACTTTTGCTACCTCTGCTCTTCGTGGCTTTCTGCAGATAACCCATACCAACACTTCAATAACGGCAGCAGCAAGTGCTACAACCGCCTCTGGGATATGGAAGGCGGTGACGGTATCGAGCCTGAAGGTGCAGAAGCCTTGCACAGGATCCCGGAAGCTTTACTGGTTTTCGACGACGAGGAAATTCCAGACGCAGAAAGCGACGGTGACAGCGACGACAATATTGACGGCAATATTGAGTGGGATCTCCAATTCAGCGAAGATGAAGAAGACCACCCATTCAACCACCCTCCTCCACCCGCACCAGTTCCACCCCGTGTCCCCGACGCAGCACGAGGCGGCGGCGCAAACAACCCCGGCCGGGACGCTGCCGCTCGCGCAGCAGCAGCAGAACGCCAGGCCCAAGCACGCGCCATGGCGGAAGTCCGCAACCGAGAGGCACCAGATGCCGCGCGAGACCGACATGCCGCATTACAGCGGTTCTTGTATATGGCCCAGAATGACATGGAAGATGAATGGGACAGCGACGAGTTGGATGATGACTTTTAGACCTGGTTTGCATGAAAAGCCCGTTGATCTCATACTCTCTGACGTTTACGAAAAATGATTCCCCACGAGGTTGACGTTTGCTTCATATGGAAGCCTCTTATTTTATTTTTTTTGTGGCTTTTTGACACCTGTTTTTAGTTCTGGTTTTGTTTTTGCATTTATTGAGCGATTTCTGTTTTCCATCATACTTAGACTTATGCAACACTGCCTTTGATTCGTGAAAATTTTCTTTCTCATCCTGTATCGTACCTAGGGGATGTTGATAAAGACATATTTGGAAATACACCTCAAAAAGACTTCTAGTTAATTTGAAAGTCCAATCCAATCTTCGGGGAGTGATGCCCATGTAATCTTTGTCCGGTGAAGCCACTAAACACTGCCCCTTTGAGGAATAGTGGTAAGCAGACAATAGTCAGACGACTACAATTGAATGATTATATCCTTCTTCCGCTCCTTCTTCCTCCAGTTCTGATGTCCTTTGCCCATCCCCCGCCCCACTATCTGAGGTGCAGGAAAAGGAGAAGGTGGAGACGTTGATTGACTAGGCCTTGATAGCTCTGACAGGTTTAAGTGAGCTCATCCTTGTAGACTTGTGGTGGCTTAATTCTTAATTTGTTATGATGACAGGAATGAGTAAATGCTTAGTTCAAGTCTCGACCCTAATTTTCAATCAAATACAAAGATTCGGAAAATGCAAACGCAAATGCCATATTGATACAAAACACCGCCTGTGAAAACGTCGCAAAATCCCAAGACTCCAGGTTTGCACGCCAGCGTGCCTGCATGTATCTGACTTGCCAGGCCGAAGATATTTACTCCTCGGCAGGAGCTTTAATCTCCCAGTCATGCCAGAACTCGTAGCTCATGACCGTGTGGTCATAAAACATTAAGAGCAAACGGTAATGGCGAGATGGGTGCGAGCCGTGCCAATTCTCGTGGGGGCGGTAGGCGCGGAATGCCTCGGCATGGATTTCAGGGAGCGTATTATGTTCTCTCAGTGTTGCGTCTGAGATACTAGGGAGGTTTTGTGTGTGTGTTTCGGGCTTTTCAAACTCATTCCCCTCTGCATAGCTTGTGAATTGTGAGGTTGTGTCGAAATATGCACGTGGGGTGGATGCAGAGTGAGTGGTTTCATTATGAGCGGGGCTAGAAGACCTCGATGGAGAGGCAGAGGACGAGTCCTCGTTATCGTCTGGGTTGAGAATGCGGTAGTGGAATTTGAGCCAGTCATTGGGGTCAACACCCTGGGGGATACAAGGGACATCCTGCGGAATCTCGGAACCCGCCATGGGGCTGACGGCGATGCCGAGAAGAGGGCTCTCGGGGCGTTCGTCGTTCAGCTCTTGAGTATAAAATGGGACGATCCAGTCAAGTCGGAACGCGAAGCCGATTTCCCTTTGCCAGGTGAGTGTGATGATGGCTAAGCGACCTTTCTGAGAAGCAGCCACCACAATTCCGAGCTCAGGGATGTACTTGACCATGTTGAACCGATCACAATGGCGACTGATGTCCCAGCTCTGAAATTTCTGGAGTAGAGGTGATTTGCATATTAGATGATATTCGGAGTGCATCGGGTAAGGAGCAAGGGCGATAGTGGTCTCGGAGAAATGGATGACAGGGTAAAAACCGGAAGAGGGAGCTGATTCCTTGGATGTTAGTCTGGATACTACGGTAATAAAACTGGAATCTTTCCAAATGAAACCCAGGATATAGCTTACGGTGGACAGGCGTTACGTGAAAGTTGTCGAAACTGTCCGTCAGATCTTCCCTGGATGGCTTGTAAACCAACCGTGGCTCAACACGGGAATGTGGGTTGTCTTCTTCGAAAAGGCTGGCCAGAAGGGGCTTCGTTCGTGGCCTCGATTGGATCCTTGGAGGTGCAGATGACCAAAATTCTGCAGACTCTGAACGTGTTGATAAATCAGGCGAGAGGCGGCCTCCAGAGTCATTCTCTTGGTCGTGCTCGGAGGCTGGTCGAAAATCGTGTCCCAAGCCTGCCGGTGAGGAAAAGCGGTCCTCATCTATGCAGCATTCAGAAGAGAAGATATCATCTGGGAGACAGTGATTGTTGATAGGTTTGGTTTGGTTTCGGTTTTCCGTCTCATCAATAAGCTGGGACGCATCCTTGACTTCTCGAATGGCCTTTGAAACATCTAGTATTGTCCGTAACCCATCAAGTTCAAATCTTGGTTTAGTTCCACATGCTTCTTCTCTTGTTTGGTAATGCTTGAATGTGCGTGGGTCAAGAGGTAGCACTGTCCAGCCTCTTTGTGGTGGGTTATTCGAGGTGTGACCAGGGAAGTACACTCGACAGGGCCACAGGTCATCCCACACACGCCATATAATAACCCTGTTGCTGATGTCTGTGCTGACCATCCAGATTCCATTGGCATCAAGATCAAAATTAGCAAATGAGACACACGGGATGTTGTCAAAATGACCTCGATAGGTCAACCGTAGATTGCGGGACCGGTGATTATAGGGCATGAGCTTCTGAAGCTCTCGCAATTGCTTTCGATTGTTGATAGAGACCCAAGTCTGATCTGACGTCAGGCTGCAACCTTGCATGTCATCTCCATCCGGAGTCTGATTCACGAGTGCGAATGCATACACTGTGATCTGGCCGGTGTTTGAGCTGACAGCAATCAAGCGAGCAAACTTATGAGTTGCTAGACCCCACGCGCTCATGCCTACTTCCTCTGTGAAGAAAGGGCTCACCTGAGCACCATCAAAGGGTCGTTTGATGCCTTCTTCCTTGCAACGGGCCAGGCATGAATAGATCGCCTCCACGCGGTAGCCACATACATTGCCGGAGTCTGTCACCAAAAGGAGGACCTCGTCACGTCCTAAGTCGTCCACAAGTATTGCGTTGATCGTGTGTGGGTTGTTACGGTCAATATAGCCTTCCGCGCGTGGCATCTTCATCACGGGGTCGATGATCATTTCCGGTCGAGAGCCCAGCATTTGGAATGGCCCAGATGGCACCCAGACGTGGATGCTGCTTCCAGATGCCACAAAAAGAAGATTGCGCCTCTGGGAAAGGGCAGTCTGAAGACTGGTCAGCTAAAAAGTACATTCAATTGAGGCCTCAAGACTTCGCACCAGATTGCACCTCCATGTTGCAACGTCAGGGGGTCTGATGTCTTCAGAACTGTAGAATTAATCAGTATCGCCCGACTTGTACTTTTGATTCACGCGTCGTATACTTAGGGAACTGTCAAGATTAGCTCCTAATGCTCACGTGAGATATGGTAATACACGAACTCACTCTTTCTTTGGGCGTTTCAACATTCAAAACTTGAATTTGGGGCCGAGACGAGATATAGTCATCAGCCGAAGCACTGAGGCTCCAGACATCAGCCCCATCACTTTCGGACGCCATCCTCAAGCTAGGGTAGCTTGTCACTGGTGGGAGTAGAGTGTGAGTTCGGGTTATGGGTGGTAGGGAGAGTAGGAGCAAAGGGAGGGTGTAGTTATTATTCTCATTTCCGGGGAGCGCGGGGTAGCAGAGAATAGAAATGCAAAAGCAACTGAGCAGGACATCATCAGACCGAGACAAGAGACATAATCTGTGACAGCGGGGGGCGTGGAGCCATGATGAAATGCCCCTCACCGCCTTTGGCGCCGCTATCTCCCCGGCTTTTATCTTTTAACGTTTATACCAGATCAACATCATGGATCTTGTTGCGGGTGTACGCAAAGAGGGCAGCCGGTGGGTCTTCTTTTTTGCTATTCCGTTCGATATACCTTAACTGACGTTCTCTCTCAGCGGCGGCCGGACCGAGTTCAAATGGTCCGATGTCAAGGACTCGTCGCATCGCGAGAACTATTTGGGCCATTCGCTGATGGCCCCAGTCGGACGATGGCAGCAGGGTAAAGATCTTTCGTGGTATGCCAAGGGCGATGAAGGAGATGAAGAAGCGCAAGCTCGCAAACAACGCGAAGAGCTCCAGCGAGTCAAGGATGCCGAAGAAGAAGCCATGGCAATCGCCTTAGGCCTTCCTCTCCCTGCGAAGGCCGAGACGAATGCCAATTTGATTCCCTTAGGAAGCAAGAATGCCGAGGAAGCCGATGGCGATGTGGCCAGTGCCAGGGATCCGGAGAAGGATGGGCGCTCAAGCCGACGACACAGACGTGATCGTAGTCGCAGTCCACGCCGAGAAAGGGAACATAGGAATCAACGAATCCATGACGGGGAAAGGGACCGCCATCACCGAAGACACCGCCATGGCTCACGAGACCGAGATGAACCACGAAGACCACCTATCTCGCATGAGCTTGATGAAGGGCGTAGGGGACGCGATGAGCTGGATCAAAGCAATGAGCGGAGGCACGGCGATGCGCGGAAGCACGATGGCGAGCGCAGGCGCCATGAGCGGGGCCGTAACGATGAGCGCAGGCACGGCGAGGGTAGTCGCCGTGAAGACCGCCCTCGGAACTCTTCACATGAGCGCCGGCGAGACTCCGAACGTCGCAGATACCGAGTGGACGATGAGACCAGACGACCTGAATCACGACAGCGTGAACCTCGGCGAGATGCTGAGCGTCGTGCGAATCGAGATAACAACTATCGTCGGCACTAACTTACCACTTCGCCTTTTGCAAACGTCGGCGAGGCTCTGAACCTGACGACAACCCCTGGCTTTGATTTACGACGTCCCTACGAATCTACACACAAACAATTCGTGAATAATCTGCACACAAATTCACACAAATACCACATTTCGAATCAATTGAAAGGTTTAATTTACATTCCAACCAACTGGACCTATAGCTCGTCATGACCGGTGCTAGCACCCTCAGCAAGATCGGGCATCGACATCATGTTCACCACCATACTGGTCCAGCCGGTAAAGTGCTGCGTGCGCTGTCCGTTGCCGGTATCAGGGTTGTACTGCTCCCAAGCGAAGCCAGTCTTCTTCCATTCCCTGTAGACATTCTCGACCAAGTTCTTACGAAGCTTGGAGTACATTTCACGAGCTTGCTCCTGGTGAGAACCGGGAACGACGGCAATGTCCTAGAGAAAAAAGTTAGCTTGAGAAATGAAAGAAACCTGGAAAAGTCTTACATAAAGATTCTTCAGCACCAAGTAGTTGATATTCATCCAAACGGGGCTACGCCAGTAGTTCTCATCGGTACCGTAGAATTCATCCTTCTTGCTCAAGCTACGGATACCGTAGTCAGACCACAGCTCCTCAGGGTCATTGATCAAATCCAGAACGGGCTTGAGATGGGGGCTATCGGGTCCAAGCATGCCGGTCAGGAAGGGGAAGAGGGAGATGTAGCCCTTGTGGCAAACATGCACGCTTTCCTCGAACGCATCAATGGTAGCGTCGCAGAAAGTTTGCTCTTTCTCGCTCCAGTGGAGATCATCGATGTTGCGAGTAATGGCAGTCTCATAGTATGCGAACTCCTCCATGTCCTCTTCCTCACCTAGGTACTGCGCAATACGACGCATGGTGCGGCTCATCATACCCATCCAGCTAATGAGATCGACATGCAGTTCACCGGGGTGCGGAGGCTGGGCTCGAGGGTAGTCGTCAATACCGGAAGTCAGAATGTGCTGGACAGAGCGACCACGCCAGCGGTAGCCTTCCTTGGTAGAAAATGCTTCGCGGTCGTAGGACTTGATATCTCCACGCTGGGTGTTGCGGTACCAGAAGTAGTGTCTTTTCATGAGCGGGTAGAATGAACGGAGATAGGCGTCGGAGAGTTCAGGATTACGCAGGGTAGCAGAGCGAAGACTCTCGGCCACATCTTGGCTGTCGAGGGATTCGAATTGAGTACTCTTGTTGCTCTTAGCCTTGTCCATGAAGGCTTCCAATGCCATGAACAAGGTAGGCGGGTTGGCGTAGTGCGGGTACTGGACGGTGAACTCGGGAGGGACCTTGCTGCGAGCTTCCATTCCGAGGATTTGCTCACGAGCGATCCAGCCATCTTCGTCCATCAAGTGGAACCAGCTCTTAATAATTTCGAGACTGGGGCAGTCAGTATACAGGAGCACTATGAAGGAGGTTGTAGGGAACATACGCAAGATCAGAGTCATACTCCATGACGGGCATCAGGTGGAACCCCTCATCCCAGAGGAAACCTCGGGGGAAGAATGGGCGCGAAGGAACACAGGTGAAAAGATCTTTAGGAGACCCAATAACGGGCTTCGCCGCAGCGCGAGCCTCGGCCGTTTCTTCCCAGAACCCTTCGTTATCCTCTTCATATGCAGGATGGGCGGACCGGTCAATAACATCGTCACCATGGAAGTAACCAATGCCACCAATGAGGTTAGATAGCATGGCCTTCGAGAACTTCAGGTACTTGGCGGAATCAAACGGAGCCTGGGGCGCTAGAACCTGGTTGAAACGCTCAGAGAAAGAGAGTGTCGAGGCCTCCAGCTGCTTGGTCAGTTTCTCCGACGTCACCAGCTCGGGTGCCGAGCCAGAGGAAAACAGGACATCGAATTCAAAAGCACCTGTAAAGACTTTCTGAACAAGGTGAACATTGCCACCGCCGGGAGCATGCTTAAGTGTGAACAGCTGTGCAGGGGGCGGCGGGTTCTCAGTACCGACTTCCTTAATGATTTCCTCAACCTCAGTCTTCATCTGGGAGAACAAAATGCCCTTTGCCTGCCAAAGCTGCTCCTGTGGCATCATGCCACTAGACACGATACCGTGACCCAGTGGCTTGTCATCATGACTGTGGTGATCGTGCGTGTAGTACTCGTTGCTGTCCGGGCCGTCGGTGACATCAATGGAGAAATCCCCGAGCTCAGATGTGTAGCCTGTGAATCTGACATCTCCTTCGAGGGGCGAGTCTTCGGACACGGTGTTAGGGTCAACACCCAACTGGCCCAATCCCTCGAGAGTTGTATAGAAGACCATCGAGATCGGCTGGTCAGGGGTACCATCTTCACGAGGGGTACCCTTCACACGGAATCCCCAGCTTCCACCATGCTGGCCGCCAGGCACCTTGACGAAATCAATCGTAAGGTCAAGTGTGTTTCCGGCATCGTGGATAGTCTGCCTTCCACCCTTTCGAACATCGTATTCGTCCCAGCCATACCCGGCCATACCTTCATTCTGTTCGCAGGTGTGCCTAAAGTCTTATCCCGGTATCAGCAACCATCTTACTCCAAGGAACCAAATGAAACTAGAGCATACTCTGCTGCGCGGTCGCATAATCATCGACCTTGCCCCACATCAAGCCAGCAGCCAAGCTGTTGGCGATACGAGGACGAACACCGAAGTAGAGATTGGGCTTGTAGGGACCCCATAGCAGCGACTCGTTGTTGGCGCGCGCGGCCTCTTTGATCAAGATGGATACATCGTTGGGATCTTGGCTTGCAATGACCCCAATCGCATAGAGCAGCGATGTGATAAGAACGGAGATCCTGAGCTGATGCATCATGCTGGCATCACTCAATTGTGGTCATTGGAAAGGTGTTCAATTTCAGGGCGGAGCTTGCTGTTCACTCCGCAATTACGTGGCCCGAGCTCCTGGCTTAAGATTCCGCCGAGTGGCGTTAACTAGGAAAGACAAACTATACAAATTGCAACCTTGTTTGTTAATTTTCAACTACCATGTTGTCATGTATATTTGGTCTAATTTTACAGCTGGTTACGGGGATCGAGGGATCCTATCTTCGCACTCTTTGCCTGGCCATCAAATACGAACTCGCTCATGACCTTTCCGGTTCCCGGACCGTTTTGAATGCCCCAGCAGGTGTGGCCAGAAGCGAGATAGAGCCCTTTATCGTGAGTCAGACCGATGAGGGGTCCTCCGGGTCCAGTGCAGTTGGGAAGGTAGCAGGCCTGACGGGCGGTAATTTGGCCATCACGCAGTTCATCCGAGACACTGCCCACCTGATCAATGATATCCTGGATGCGCTCAGGATCCACCTCAACTTCAGCAGATGTCTTGGGCAGCGGGACTTCTTTGTCTCCTTCACCACATGCATATATAGTGTCATCTGGCCGAGCATAGATCTCCGGCGCGGCCACAGTTGGCCGTGACTTCTTCGCCGGGTCGAAATTGGCCGGAATCTCGATGTTCGTGAACAGAGCATAAGCGCTGACTGGCCTAGTTGGTTTGATGACGACGCTGTGTGCACGCATTCCTGAAATGGGAGCCTCAGGAAGGACAGCCTGCGTCCAAGGACCAGCGGCAACGATCACATCGGTAGTCGGAATCGTGCGCGATTCTCCAGATTCTTTGTCGGTGTATGTAACGGACTCAACCCGGCCATTAGGACGAGAAATACCTGTGACATGACCGAGAATGATCTCGGCGCCCTTTTCTTGAGCCAGCTGGGCCATCGACGAAGTGAAAAGATAAGGGTGGACTTGGGCGGTTTCTCCGGGCCCGCTCATGCTCTCGTAGGCTCGCATAAGGTCAGGCTGAATCCAATCCAGATCCTGTGGGATCTTAGCAGACTTCAGCTTCGAAGTCGCAGCTGTGCTGCGCTTCTGCAGCGATTCTCCACCCTCTTTCTTCTCGGTCTTTTCAGTCATGGCACGACCTTTGACAACGACCTGACCACAATTCGTCTCTCTGTATCCCCAACGGTTCTTCCCATCGTGTTCTTTGGCAAGTTCCGCATGTAGTGCAAAGCTCAAATCCACGATATTGCTCGGATAAGCCCATTGCGCAAGAAGTCCGCCCGCCTTGCCTGATGCCCCGCCTGCAATTTCAGAGGCTTCGAGAAGTGTGATCTTATGGCGAGATGGGTCAAAAGAGGGGTGTCTGGTAAGATAGTATGCGGAGCAACATCCAATGATGCCACCACCTAAAGTCTTAGTTAGTAGGTTGCTAGAGTGGGCGCGGGGTATGGAAGTCGCAGCGGTCTGCGCGTACCAATAACAACAATCTCGCGACGATCTCCTGCGACCGACATCTTTCTACTCGGCGCGATTTTGGGAGCGAGTGATCTCAATAAAGCCACGCTGAGGGGTGTTGACAAGAGCAGCTGAGAGAACCGGTGTTAGTCCAAAGCAGGCTACGTCACAGCCGTTGGCGTATGTCCAGTCATGCGCTACGCTTGAAATTTACCGCAACATTCCTATAGCTTACTGATCGTGACTTTAGATGAAATATAATGTATCTAAATTGCTCGGGCTTCCAAGGAACAGGTGGCAATAAAATAACAAAGCCTTGGTCATAATTTTGGATCTTCAAAAAACCGGGGATACCATGCTCCACGAATGCAAGTTGTGCTGGGAATAAAAGCAGATAAAAAAGAAGAGATTTCTCCTGATGAACAGAAATGGGAAAGCTGGGTAAGCCAAGGAAAGCTGGGAAACTTAAGAATCAAGCCCGCGACGGACTGAGTGGTCTGTTGAAACCACCTGTACGGTTCATGTACTGGCGGTACTCGCTCTTCTTCTCCTTCCGCACGCCGTAGATCTCGTTTCCGGGTACCTTGCTGTTCTTGGTGGTTCGGAATCGACTGAATCCCATGCTCCTCCGCATCATCGCGTCCATTTCGTCTTCGTCCGCATCTTCTTTGAAGTCCACTTCCATCTCTTGGCTTGAATAGCCAGGACCCGATGAGCCATTGGTATCTCGTCCGTCATCTCGAGCTCGAGTGTCTCTGCGTTCAGAACGGCGCTCGCCTTTGTATCCTCCTCGCGGAGGTGGTGATCGAGATCGGGCAGTCTTGGTACCGTTTCGCGGGGGGATCGCGAACGTGAGCGATCGCGGAATTTGTCGCCTTTAGCTGGGTACCCTGTAGATGCAACACTGGTCAGACATGCTCTTCAACTGCGAATTGCCTTTGGGTCTATCTTACCTCGCCTTTCATTGCCACGGTCTCTGCTTGTGCTCCTTTTCCGGTCTCTGGGCCCGCGGCCATCTCGGGCTCTCCCGTTATCACGACGATCTCGAGACCAGCTCCTTTCGCGTTTTGTGTCTTTTCGGTCACGAGAGCGCGAGCGATATCGTCGATCGTCGCGGGGGGTGTCGCGTCTGTCGTCTCTGGGGGTTGGGCGTCTGCGGTCGAGGTCTGACTCTGGCTCTGCAGAGCGAGGGTTTGAGTCATTCGTATCCCACATTGCGCTGCTATCAACACGCCGAGCACGCTTGGCTGGAGGCTCCGCCATTGTGATTGCCCAAGACGAAAGCTCGTTTCGCGCGGGTGGTAAGATGTGCTGAGGCGAGGAAATAGGGGTAGTCCGTTCACTTATTTCTTGAATGAATGATCTCAGTCGGACTAAAGAAGATTTCAAAGGCGCATTATCAATAGAAATTGAGGTGAGGAGTATTAAGTTGTCGCAACTGGGAACCGGCCAGCGCTGCTGGAAGAGAAGTTTATTCCGGCGGTCGGGGAAACCCATTTGCGCAGTTTTATATCGCCCCATGCCGCGCTTTGGGCTGCTGCTTGTCTATCCTACCAATCTGGGTAAATTGAATTGAACAATTTGGAGATTTTTTATCTTCTTCCTTATGATGGGTTTTTCATACTTGGCTAAGCTCGAATTGTTGGGGAAAAATCCGCGACTCATCCATTTGGGTATCCACATTTACAGCCAAAATATATCGCAATCTGATCGACGCAGTGGAAGCAAATATTTCAAAATTTTTAGAATCAAGACATCTGGACGGACGATATTAAAAGACGAAAACCAAGTCTAAAGCAGATAAGGGTACCAATATTCTAAAAAACATTGGAAGAGATGTAAGCTGGAGATAGATGGCGAGGAAAATCCCAATAGAACAAGAAAGCAAAAGGAACATGAGATAAATCGACAGAAAGATAAAAAGCAAGCTTTCCCAGAACGCCTCGGCCAGCGATGCTTCTAATGGGTTTTCGAATCGATGGAGTGGAAGAGATTCCAGCGGCAAAAGGATAGATTACTGGTCTGACGATAGTCCCGAATCCACTGTTCGACCTTTTCTTCTGACATCCTGAATAGGCTATCCGCAATACCTCCAATCATAGGCCCTAAAATGGCGCATGTTATCTCAAGAGGTATCGCTAGACAGTGGCGGTCTCCATTACGGCCGGGTGAAGCCATAATAGTACCTAGGCAGCTTTTAACGAGGCCCAGGGCCTTCTGGAGTAGACCAATATCGCACAGGTCGGCGTCATTACACAGGAGCCAGATGTTGCAGTAATAAATGGGCATTTGAAATGTTCTAATGTTGTTCGTTAAATTTATTCAGGGATTGTAAATTTATTCAGGGATTGTAAATTTATTCAGGGATTGTAAATTTATTCAGGGATTGTAAATGTATTCAGGGATTGTAAATGCCACAAGGGTCTTTGTCTGATTTTGTGTATGGGACAAAGTAGACGGCGTTCATATCATTTGTACTATTTTAACCCGGAACGAGAAGACAAAGCTACTAGAGGAGTACCCACTATTTTTTCGCGCTTTCATGAGTTGCCTGAACACCCCGCTCTATAGATAAAAAAATCCTCTCATAAAATCGCTAATGAAGATCTTTCAACCATCACTTCATGCGGGTTTCAGGTACCACTTTATTGTACATCTCAATGGCGGCAGTCCATGAGCATTAGACAAGACACTCATAGCTAAACTTCCCATTCGACCTCGCTCTCCAGGACATCTACCGTTTCGAAAGAGTGAATACAAACATAGACAGCCTTTCAAATCTAATCATAGCAAGCGGGACCCTTGTCAATTGCCGCTATGCGAAGATAGATAGAACCTCGACCCACCATGTTTGTCCAGTATATACAGAACGATGCCCTCCCAGATTCAAGCAATAGGGGAACCAGAAATCAGTTTAAGAGTTCAATCTGAACCGGGCCGATCTCGAGCTGAAGACTGTGAACCCAAGATCTAGAGCGCCACAACTGCGTTCTTATGTTCAGGAGAAGGCATGGACCTTGTGTCTGAGCCGAAATTTAGATGAGAGAATATGTCATTTCCAGTTCAATCAACTGGGAAACAGGTTCCTACCTCGTTTGTTACTCGATTCGGGGTTTGTAGGCTTCGGCATGCTTCAATGGGAAATCAGAAAGAGTAGCTCACGGTTGATACCGGTTTTTTTTCGCCGCCCGTATCAAATAGCTAAATTTAGGGTAGTGGTATCAAGGTATTATTTCCATTTTGCCAGAGCAAAGGAAGAGACGTGCGGATACATGGAACTGAGGCCACAATTTGATTAAAGGAATCTGGTAAAACGAATCTTTATTGACAAAGCAAGATGCTGAGCGGGGGATCTTACCTGCCCCGGAATTATGAATCAAAGGGTTGGTCAAAGGGTTGGTGCTACATATAGATGCGTCCGCGTGCTTTCCATGGTTCTTTACTCTATTTTTTTCGACTAAGGGAAAACTACTTGATGGAAACCACATAGAGGGAGTTATTAAGCACTGCATTGGTCATTCGATACATGGAGTCGGCTTTTTGATTCAAGTGTTCAGTTCTTCGTAGATTTGAGCTCTCACACGAAATTTCCGCTCACTAGCTACAGTGTGAAGGTTGCAATTTCTTCAGAATTTTGAATGTTTTACCGCTTCATTAACCTTCTCTTAAGCTAAATCAATTCTTGTTCAAACTTATCCAAGATAGTAGACTCACCAATAAAGCCCAGGACGTACCTCAATGACTGGGTTATAGCAATTTCCTATATCAACTATCAATGAAGATGAGTAGCCGATGGAAAACTCGCGGAGCAATGCAGCCTCACGGGCCGAGCCGTCGAGCCTCAACTGTAAATCTGACCGCGAAATTTTTGCAGCCGTGGCCTTCGACCCCACCTCAGCTATCTTGCTGCCACACGCACCCCAGATCCTAGCGCCATGGCTCCCCTGAATTTATCCCACCGGCGAACGCATAACCTACTCTTGATTTCCAAATTGTTGAGTCTGCGGGACACGGCGTCCCCACTCACGCTCCTGCAGGACTCGCTGGAGCAGCCCGCCACACCCCTCATCAAAGAATACATCCGACGCGCGAAGGTAAGTTCATGTAACTGTTAAGATTGAAGGGTCGTGACCGTCGGGTTGTACGGCACTTCGATGTTGGAATGATAATGCTGACTGCCCGCGTAGCTCTCCAAAGTCCATGTCACTCTGATTGCATTTGAAACCCTGAAGGCACCCGATGGAGTCGATGCTTTCGTGTCTGCCCGCCACAAGAGCCCGGAAAATATTGTTAAAGAAGTAGCTGCAGCCTACCAGCCCTCTACATCAGCCGCCCCGTCAAAACGTGAGTCTCATTGCCTTCCATTGCATCAGTGCTGCAGCTCATGAATCCTATAGGACGCCTCATCATCATCGATGCCATCAATCCTTTACTAAGCTCAAGAAGACTCGATGCTGGATTCCATTTGCCGACCTTCCTCGGCTCTTTCATCGCCCCGGCTAGCCCGACAGCCAAGGCCGATACATCGCTAGTGGTAACATATCACCAAGATGTCCCGGGCCTTCCTCAGCAGAATCCCTACTCGCCATCGCCATTAACTATGCTCACCTATCTTGCGACTAGCATTATTACTCTCCACTCCTTCTCTCACATTCTGGCGCAAAAGGCTGCTCGCGACCGAAGTCTCGTTGCACCCGTCTTCGGCCTCAAGGAAGAACAAGAGGGTGTTCTTCTTGGTCGGCTCGATAAATTGCGCGGCACTAATGCAGCCGAGGGTATTGTTCTTGAACTGGAGCACAGACGCAAGAGCGGACGCGGCGTTTTGGAGTGGTACCTTCTCCCGCCTGCCTCGCGGTATTCGCCACAACAGGTGAAAGTGATCGTCACTCTACTCGATGATAATGTTCTTTATAACCCACCCATGGAGCTGGACACGAATGCTGGTGATGAAGAACCCAAGTCGACATTCGAGCTGGGTCTCACGGAGAGACAGAGACGCGAGAGGGAGGGTGTCGTTTTGCCATACTTCGATGCGCAGCAGGGCAATGGTCCTGGCGAAGGTGGCCGAATCCTCTACGACATGGGCGAGGAAGACGATTTCGACGAAGAGGAAGATGAGATTTAGGCATGTCTACAAACATACCAAGGAAATAATGTAAACGTTTTGAATGAATGTTATTACTTTATGTTGTTTTTTATAAAGTTATTTCGGCTCATTCTTCCACAGGTTCCTTTTGGGGATGGGTTTAAGGCTCTTTTTATGCCATGACCGTCTATCAATGCCCGTTTGCTCTCTACTTGGCCCGAATGTACGGCGGAAAGTATCTTGTCTGCAGTTTGCACATGTTTCTGCATTCTAGATTGGTGGATTGTATCCTGCAACCACCAGGAGTTATTAATATGCATACATTCATACAAGGGGTCTTTATGCCCAGTCATCGGGTGCAGACGGATCAGAAGAAGCGCCACCAAAGAAGGAGGAGCACGAATAAACCAACGCCAGCGAAAGGCCCGTACTGCGACAATATTAGTATTTCCATCTCAAGAGCATGGGTCATAAAAATCTCACCTGTTTCACCAACAATTCCCAGTTGATGCGCACTGCTGCCCGACGATATTTCTTGCTGTCCTCGCGCAGGCGACCGGAAAGTTCACCCATGCGCTCCAGACTGTCTCCACGGTACAGGAGGTCCTCGATATTCTTGGTCATGACCTTGGTGACATCACGCAGCTCGTCGTTCAACTTGTCCAAGTTGCCCGAGGCACGGCTATCCTGGTACAGCTTCTTTGTGCGCTGGATGAAGGTATCGAACTCGACGAAGGCATAAGGGCGAAGAGTGGGAGAGAGGTATTGTGAGGCGGAGTAGGTGGTCGTGAATTCAGAAGCCAGATCATCAAGATAAGTGAATGCGAGTTTGCGGGGATAGGAGCGGTCGCAGATGCAGAGAAAGCAGATATCATCTTTGATAGTGTAGCTATTGTTGAGTTAGTAGTGTCACATATTGCCTTATTTCTTTCTCACTCACTGGAGATTGTATTGACCGGATTCAATGCTTGCCTGCGGCGCAGCGTTGCGATTCAGTCGGCGGAAGATCATCTTCGCCTGACCCTTGATCTCAGCCAGCTCAGACTCAGCCTGAATCTCCTTGTCAGCTTCTACTCTTTCGGTCTGTGTCACTTCCTTCTCTCACCTGTTCATCGTCGACTGAAGCGGCCAACATAAGGCCTGTTTGCTCCTGAGTTAGCATCGACGTCATTTTCTCTCTTCCAGAAAACTTTCTTACCATCAAGCCTTGCAATCTGTGTAGATTTGACCATTCTGACGACTTTTGAAGGGTTTGAAAGCTTGGAATTGCTCTTGTTTTGTCCTGAAGACCGCGCGCAATCGGCCAGAATGGCCCGCAAGAAAGCGGTCACATATGGCAAAAAAGGGTCGCTGCGGGTGAGTTACGCGCGCTGTTGATTGATGCTTTGTTTCTCCTCAATAATGCTTTAGACGACCTCCTACTCGTCCTGCAAATGTAGCAGAGAAGCTTCAACCTACGGGCCCTGAAATGTCGCCGCCCCCATCTGAAAAAAAGGCTTCTCCGGCCAAACGGACACCAAGGAAACCTGCAGCTCGTGGCAAGTGGAGTGAGGAGAAGCTGTTGACGAGCGACAAGTCTGTTCTCATTTATGAAGACCTCGTGGTATACTTTGGTACCCCAAATTTCCAGTACAATGGACTACAGCTAACGAAGCGGATTTCACTTTTTAGAAGCTCTTATCGAAACCCGAAGCATGGAACTTGCTCGATGAAGATGAGAAGCGCGAGATCCTAGCTCTTCTCCCCGCAGATATCCACCCGGATGCGGACCTGTCACTGACAGATTCAGAATATCGAATCCCACCACTCCCACAGCAATTCATTCGATACTCGACTAATTGGCGGGAGGGTCTCCGTGTCTTCCAACTCGATCTGGAAAACGGTCGCTACGATCCCCAATGGCTGCGCCAGGCCGAAAATGCCAGGCGCGAGCGCGAGAATGGCGATTTCGACAAATTTAAAGAAAGGGAGTTTGAGGAATTTTGGGGACAGAAACAAAGGATGGACATGACGGCCGCCGCTGGCGAACATGGTCGCATACGGCTGCGTGAGCTCGTTGCGGCCGGCGTCATTCAGCTTGGTGATGTGTGGCGATTCAACTTTGTCTTCGGCAGGGGGGAAAATCGACTGGTTATCGATAAGGAAGCTCGGGTATGGATCGTCTAGGTTCATGACATACGATATTACAGATTGCTGACTAGTGCAGGTCCACGAGATCAACGGTACTCTGTTGTCATTCGTGGTTGCTACTGGCCCGCGTACTATCCTTACCAGTGTCCATGGTGAAATACTAGACGGCGCAGCACAAGAGACTACGGAACCAAACCAGAGCACGGAGGCAAAGCAAGAAGATGTCAAAACTGACCTTCCAGAAAACGCCAGCCCCCTTGAAAGTGCCGAGCCTACTTTCCAGACAAGTAATTTGGACTTGAATGAAAAGACAGCCCAAGTTACCGTAACGCCCTCCGAGCAGAACAGTGGAAATGGCTCAAAAGTCCCAAATCATATTGTGAACGAGAAGCCTTCAATTACAATCACAACAACTGAGGAGATTGAGATGAAAGAGAGCGGCGAGAACAGCCCACGAAAGTCGAGTATTTCTCCCCACGACTCTCCCAGGGATAGAAAAAGTAGCCTGCAGGTCTTGATTGTGAGCCCAAGAAAAAACGCAAATTCAGCAGGGGGGAAGGCCAAACGAACAGTGCCTTCTCCTGCGCCAGAGCCTCCTGCGAAGCGCAAGCGATGCCGACCCCGCGAGCATCCAATACAACCGAAGCCTGAGCCTGAAAAAGAAGCTGAAGCTGAACTTCAAACCGAAAGTTCAAGCCAGCCAGGGCCTGCAACACAGCTAACGGAATCTGAACGGGCTAAACCTGACCTCATTATATCTTCGCCAAAGAAAATACTTACACCCACAAAGCTCACTAATTTCTCCACGCCCACACCTCCCAAGGAAGCTCAGAGACCGGTAGACTTCCCAAATACCAAGAAAGCAACCATTCAAGACAAGCCTACCGAAACCCCTGGATTCGAAGCACCAGAGGACCTATCACCCCCTACATCCGAACAGGAGCCTCAATCAGCTTCCAAGCCCAAACCTATGGTTCCAGTCACACCTTACGGACCGAACGAGGTCGTTGTCTCTGGCATCAGGACCCCTGCAAATCTAGTCACATACCTCCTCCAAATCGATGGCCGACCCAAAGAAGGCGCACGCACGGCAAATGCATGGAAGGAGATCCGCTGCTATCGAAAGAACCAAGATATGGGTAGTCTTTTCGAGGTACGACAGACCTGGTACTTCAAGCAAAAGAGAAATGGAAATGTCCAGGAGCAAGAACAGGAGCAAGAGCAGGATTCGGACTCGGACTCGGATTGGAAAGACTAGAATCTTTCGCCTCAGCTTCGCCTCAGCTTCGCCTCAGATAGTACTCTGATAACGTACCATTCATTTCGGACTCTCCAACAGCTAGGATCTATTCTTACCGGGAAGCATTTATACCAATGCCGGGGTTTAAGACAGCCAAAGGGATAATCTAGTCCGGTCACTCATGATGATTGAGACGAGGCGGACAATCCAGATATGAGAAGTAATCCAGCTCTACACAAATTGAAGCTTTTAAGCTTTCACATGATCGTCTATGCAGATGTGATACTTCGTGACTTTGGATCTAGATCTCAGAACAGTCTATCATTCGTTCCCATGGGCGGCATAGGATCCGAGTCCGCGGCCACATCAACAGCGAAACTAGCCTGAATAAAGTCCTCTAGTTCCTCACTAACAGTCTTCAATTTTTCCTTCACGCTTGCAACGCCCTCTTGTCCAACGATATGCCGAGAGGGGGGGTTTTCATGCCCTCCAATCGAAGTAATCGCGTATACTGTTTCTGAGACCAGGACCTCAAGATGTGCGGAACTTAGAGGCGGGTGCATGGAGACTATCTCCGGGACTGAGAAGGGGCCGTTTTCAATTGAGCTGACGCGGGAATTCTCATTTTGGTCCTTCGGGTGGTTTGCGGTGCTCACTCCTTCTGACGCGGCGTCCGGGAGTCGCGGTACAAGGTGGTTTAGTATACCGCGGAAGAGAGGTGCGTGATTGTTTGCGGGTGAGTAGGCGGGGAATATGGGAGGGACGCTAGTGACAAGGTTTGTGAGGATTCCGATTTCGATGCTGCATTGGATGATGGTGAGTTTTATGTTGAAGGGAGCGATTTCGTAGGCCAGACTCTGGTTAAAAGCGTTAGCGGTTATAGCTGAGATAGGTTGTTTGAGGGTAGCTCACGTCGCAGAAGCCTTCGAGGGCCCAGCCGGCTGCGCAGTACATTCCCAGTCCGGGCGTGCCGATGTGCGCCGCTATAACATATTAGATATTGCATTGAAGGTGATGGGCCAGGCTTACTGATTCCAGATATTATCATTATATGACCGGTGCTTTCTCTGCGCATGTGAGGTAGGGCGGCTTTAATGATATTGAGAGGTCCGAAGTAGTTGACCTCGAATTGGTCGCGGACGAGGTTCAGGGTCTGTTGCGAAGCAGATAGCTCTTCGACGGTCCCGACCAGAGCTGAGGAAGATGTCAACAACGTGACCAATTATAACGAAGTTCTTGGGCTGGCTTACTTTGACTGGTACAGCATAGGAGGATATCAACTCGGCCAAATACCGCAACTGCCTCAGCAACCACTGCCTGACATTCGCCCATCATCCTGTATTGCGGAGATCAATTAGCTTCTGCGCCTAAAATCGCCTCCAAATATTTCAACTGAACGGTTTTGTATATCCAAATAGGCGTGAAAATGAACGCGCGCACCTGATATCCAAGGGAACGGTCTTCGTCCTTTGCTTCCATCCCTCGTCACGGTGCTCCTCGATCTCAGCGAGGAAAGCATCGAACCCAGTCCGGCGGCGCTCATCGCGTTCCAAAATCGAATGCGCTAGCCCAAGCAGCGCACAGTCACCGTGCGCTAGGACCTGCCGAGCGACCGAGATGCCAATAGGCGAATCCCCGGCGGTGATGAGCCATACTCTCGGTTCAGTATGGGACGGGAAGTGCGAGCGGAAATCGGGGGAAGGGTGGTTGTCCATGAAGTCGGAATCAGCGCCAGAGAGTGAACGCGATACCCATCGCGCGCTAAAAAGGAGTTGGCGACAGTTCGGAAACGCGCTGAAGAATAGATCGATTGCGATTGCGATTGCGGAGTTGGAGGGGAACTTGCCAAGGCGGTCCCCCCAAAGCAACGTTAGTCCAAGCGGCCTGGACCAAGAGCTAACACCTTTGGCCGCTGTGGCCTCTTTTCTCTTCTTTCCCTTGTCGCCACCCTTATTTTTATCATGCCGGAACAAAGGCAGCGCAGACAAGATGTCGAGCCTAGCGTTAGTATCTTAGAATTAGTGGAAGGGACTATTTGTTGTGCTGGGCTAATGATCTCTAGTCTGGCTCTGGCTTCAAGGGCGCCCTCCAGGGACTCGGAGTCTTCCTGCTCATGCAGTTTGTGATGAATCAATGGTTCAACAAGAAGGAAGCTAGTACTCCCAGTCCTGCAGTGGGTGGCATGCCCTCCTTCGCAGATCGTCCCCACCCCAGCGAAGTGGCTGATTACAGCGCCCTCCCCGAACTCATCGCTCCTATCTGGCCGTCTGATACCTCCATCGATATCAGTATTTATGTGACTCCCTCGATTGTTGTTCCCTCGTTCAAGTCGCCGGAAAATGTTCTTGTGCTGCAGGAGAAGAATTTTACCATCGGCAATTACAGCGACACCCGTGAAATCGACACCATCATCAAGGTCCCGAAGCAGGTTCAGAACAATGGAACTCTCTTCGCGCACTTCTTCCTCGCTCGAACTGGACACCCGCTCGACCCGGTCGCAAAGGACTATGATACCGCTGATGCCGTGCACTTCTTGCGCCCTCTGAACCAGTATCTTCCCCACAAGAAGGCTAAGAAGCTCAAGAACCTCTTGACTGCCTCCGAGGAAGACTTAGAGGAGGAAGAGGACAACACCCCGGACGTGTGGACTGCTTCTCACTACCACCCTAACTTCACTCTCTCCATGATCCCCGACTCCGGCTCTCAGCGGTTCAGCCAGATGCACCCAGCCGTTCGCCAGTACGTTCAGCTGGAACGCACCGGTGCTCGTGATATCTCCGGCAAGAACGGATGGTACTATCCCATTGCCTTCTTGAATACTTTCTGGCAGCTCAAGAGCCACATGATCGTGCTCAACTCCACTGTTGAGACCGTGCCCCTTCGCATCACCCTCAACAACATGGCAAACTGGAAGTTCAGCATCATTACCAGCGTTGACGAGGGCTCCAAGACAAGCTCTCGCCAGGCTGCGTATGGCGGCTCCGCCCCTGGTGGTGGTGATGGCAATGAGTGGGAAATGGTCAAGGAGATTCTGTTGGACACTAACATTTACCTCCTTGGCACCACTGGTATTGTCACCATTCTGCACATGATCTTCGAGACCCTGGCATTCAAGAGCGATATTGTAAGTGTCTAGTTTTACGGCTGCATTCATATTGACTAGTATGCTAACCCCACCTCTAGTCCCACTGGCGCAAGAAGAAGGATATCGTTGGTACTTCGGTCCGCACAATTCTGGCAAACGTTTTCATGCAGCTTGTCATCTTCCTCTACCTCATGGATAACAGTGACAACACCTCATGGATGATTCTTGCTAGCCAGGGTTTCGGTATCCTTTTGGAATTCTGGAAGATTACCAAGGCTGTTGATGTTCGCCTGCGTCCTCCGCCCGCAGGCTCCTGGTTCTGGTTCCTGCCTTATGTCATTGTGTTCGAGGATAAGCACAAGCTCTCTGAGACCGAGCAGCAGACCAAGGAGTACGATGAGATTGCGTTCCGCTACTTGTACATCGTTGCCGTGCCTCTGCTCCTCGCCTACGCCGGATACAGCTTGATGTACAACACTCACAAGTCGTGGTACTCGTACATTATCCAGACTCTTGTCGGCAGTGTTTACGCCTACGGATTCCTCATGATGGTTCCCAGCTTGTATATCAACTATCGCCTGAAGGTCAGTCATGTCGCATTCAATTTCAGAAGCAGTACGCTAACAAAATAACAGTCCGTCGCCCACATGCCCGGCAAGGCCATGGGATACAAGTTCCTGAACACCTTCATCGACGACCTCTTCGCTTTCACGGTCAAGATGCCCTGGCTCCACCGGTTGGCCACTCTCCGCGACGACGTCATCTTCTTCATCTGGCTATACCAGAGCTATAAGTACAAGGTTGACTACAAACGTGTCAATGAGTTCGGCCAGGGAGGTGACAGTGATGAGGAGAAGGAGGAAGAAGAGGAGACACCTGCCATTGAAAGCGAGAAGAATCAGGAGGCTACTGCTAAGACTTCTAGCAAGGACAACTCCGGCAAGGCCTCGACTCGCAAGAGGAAGTAGTGTTAGCTTTCTAGACACTACGACATTGATTTGCCCGTGGATGCTTGTGCTTGCACAATTGAGTTTGCTTTGAGCATTCTTTGGATTAGATATAGCGCGACTTACCAACACTCGTACCGTTTCATCGCATTGGTGTTGGAAGACGCTATTTAATTGAATTTAAGGATTCCTGAAAAAATTTTTATCCTTTGAAGCCCGTAATATTTATATCATCAAGAGTAGTACTACTGAGACGGAGAGGTTGTTTCATACTTCCGTTGTTGCGACCCGTTGTTGTTGACTGCCGCGTTGGGCTTAAGCTGATCTTCCGCGGTTCGCGCCAACGTTCTGCCCTCTTTGTTCCCCCGCGATTGTATCTCAGCCTCAGGTCAATAACTCCCCCACCGGGACTTTGTCCAATTGCTCTGAAGCATTTCTCGCTCTTGTGCCCGGTATATCGGCTCCGAGAGGTGGTTGACGTTTGCCACCTGCGCGTCAACGCCCGAGATAAGCACTTCGCCCCCCACCTCTAGTAGACAGCTGCGCCGCAAGAGTCCATATTCAGATGGATACCAACAAGAGTATGTCTTGATTGTTCTTCCTAAAATTGACCCCTTGCTAGGAATTTGCTAATGATGTTACAGAACAAAGTCGGCCAAGCGGCTTGCTTGATGCTCTCGAGCATCTGGAGGCAGGTATGCAAATGCCCAATTTCTAAATATACAAAAAAAAACGCGCTGATCAAACCACAGTCGCCAATGTGCCGCCCAAGCAAAGATATACCGATGCAGGCGAGTTAGCAAACACCATTGCATCGGACGCGTATGAGAGCGGCATTCCGCACATCGCTCTGGGCCGCCTGCTGAAAGTTTTGACCACGAAAAACAACCTTGACCAGGGGACCGTGACAGCACTCGTCAAGAACCTCTATCCACAGGAGCGAGTCGCTTCCAAACATATCACCCAGGTTGTCTGCTGTCTGGGACCTAGCAAATCCAAGCCCAGCCCAGCAACGCAAGCTCTACTCGTGCGCTGGCTGATCCTCGCATACGACCTCCTCGATGACAAAACTCACCTTGGAAAGTTGTACGCAGTGCTCTTTAATCACCTTGATATGATCAGTCTGCGCAAATCGCTGTGCCATCTGCTAACGTTGATCACGAGGCGCAAACATGTCAAACCCTTTCGGATCCAGGCTCTTATGGAACTGATACGGAATTCCGGCGGTGATGAGAAAGAACTTCTCAGCCTGCTTCGGATCTTCAAGAATTACTATCCCGAAATCATTCTGGGGGATCTCGGTGGTTCGAGGAGAAACGCTCTATTCTTTAAACATCCCGATCCTGAATGGTCGAATCATGCAAAACTGCTGCAGGACCAGAAGATGGACTCGACACAGCAGTCTAGCTACCAAGTCACTCATCGGGGTACGGTGAAGAGGGTTAAGATTGAGGTGGTCATCCCTGTCTTGCAAACTTCACACGTATCGAGCAAGCACACGTCTCTGGAGGAGATTCGGGACGTCTCCCACTTCGTGGAGAAGATCGAGAAGATCGAACTTCCGAACCAGATCATCTCGACACTTGGTGATGCTATGGCCCAGAAATATCTTCATTTGACCCAATCTGAAGCTGCGAGTCACCGCCTGGACGAGTGGCTGCGCTGCTTTTTGGAGGACAAACTGGAGCAAATTGGGGAAGGCGACGAGGACGAGCCGGAGGTATTGTCATATGTTCTGAGTTTTGTTGAAGGCTATGCGGCTTATACCAAGGTAAGCCTTCTCCTAATCAAACTTTTTGGTTCAGTTTCTAATCGATCACAGCAACTTCTCCCCTCGGTTCGGTCATTCTTGCGCTCTTATATCGCCACATGGAATGGCCAAGATAACCGCAAGCAAATACTTCGATTGCTGCGGTACCTCCCTATTGAGTCTCTCGAATCCCTCCGTGAGGAAACCTTCTCCCCATTGGAGTCAGCTATGATGAATAGTTCCTCCAGTTCCCAAACAGCCCTCCTTGACCTGCTCGACTTTTACTCCTCATTGATTAGCGAATGGGGTACCAAATTGCGAAACCAACCATCCGTTTCGGAAGAATCGACTTCTTTGAGCGAGGTCATTAAACACGCGGAACTCCTCGCATCTTCCATCCAGGAGTTCGCAGCTATCACCGAGGACGACCAAGACAACAGGCCAATGGTTCTCTCTTTCCTCGAATTCTACAGATCTCTTGCAAACCTCTTCTCTCACGCATCCCGAAACGCTAGAATCCGATTGACAGTGCCTCTCGCCCCGACTGTCTACACAATAGCCTTCACCCCAAGCATCGCCATCATATCCATCCTTAATTCCATCCTGGCGGGCTACAAATCCTCCTTCGAGGCATCTCTCACATCAGAAGTCATAACACCATCCAACCCACCAGAACCGCTCTACAAAACTGCAGTAGTCAGCCAATTCAACGGCTATGTGATGGACATGTGCAACCTCATATGGCGGAACCGCGCCCTGAATGCCGACGACCCGAATGCACTTGGTTGTCTCATCCCGCAAGCAAGCGTTGCAGCCTTCACAGAATACATTCGCAATGTGAACGAGGCCAACAAACACTATGATCGAGAAAGCGCTTTTAATTCCAATTTGCCCTCGACATTCTCCCTCAGCCATCATGCGGCATTCTGCAATTTGTCTGCAGCGTGTTTTGCGGATCTAGAGGAGAACCAGAGGATTCCGAAGCATGCGCCGAAGTTGAGGAAGCCTGTTACTCAGAAAGCTCTGCAGGCACTTGAGAAAGATGGTGGTGCCACGATTACGTGGCAGGAGTATCGTGTTCATATGCTAGAATGGTTAGAGGCGATTGGGAGCAGGGGAACGAGTAACTTGATGAGGAGTACCATGAAGGCTTTGCGGAAGGAGTGAGGGGAGGGACTCGTAGACATCTAAAATTATAGGATGAGAGGTAGAGGAGAATATCGATCATCAATTGTCTACCTTACATTCGCTCTATAGATAGTTATTGAAAACGACGCTGAAATGCAGCAGTGTTGTAGTCTGTACAAATATCGTACACGAGCCTGCTCTGTATAAGGTGACGTAGGCTTGGTCCCAAATCGTGTGAATACCTGATGGCCTCTAGAACTTCTGGATCGAGTTCATATAGATATCCTGAACAGTGTGATCCTCCCGTAATGTACTCACTAGATCTTCAAGACCCTTGAGCTGCTCCTCATCCTGCACATCGACCAAGGTATCTGGGTTCGGATCCCAGAAGATCTCCAGCTCTTCCAATGTAAGACCCGACAGTTTAGAGAACGCCTCGCCAACACTTTTAGTCTCAGACGGGTCAGTGAACACGACCAGGCGCTTCTTCTCGTCCATGATGATGTCTATGGCACCGGCCTCGATGGCCTGATCCAAGTAGTCATCCGCATTTACTCCCTCCTTGTTTTCCATAGCGACTCGACCTTTCTTCTCAAATAGGAAAGTCGTGGGTGTTACTGTGCCGCCGCCATTCTTGATCATGTATCGGATGTCTTGCAGCACACGCGCCTTCTGATCAGTCTGACACTCCACCACCGCGGCCACTGATCCGGGGAACATCGCTTCAATTGTCACATTTTCTAAGGCTTGTCCTGTGACACTGAGTCCTTGGCCTCGGAGAATGGCGGCTTCGATCACGGTTTTAGGGATGGAGGCTCGTTTCGCATTAGACAGCGCGAGAGTCAGGCGTGGGTTGTACTTCGGATCGGCGCCCCATACTAGAAAGACGAATGTTAGTAGTCTCCTTGCATTAGTGCTGGGCCGGTAAGTACATTGTGTAGCGCTGCTGATTTCCTTGCTCACCATTGCGCGCTCTTTGCTCTTTCCCTTGTCCTTCTTGGCTTTGTCATGCTTGATTGTCGACCATTTGTTGTGACCAGAGAATAAGACGGATGCCGTACTGAAACAGCGACAAGAATTGCAGACAAACCCCCCCACGGGGCTGCCGTAACAGCCTGCTTAATTGAAGTGCCATATTTCGTTCAAGTGCAAAAGTTGCGCTCCGCAATGTATACATTCCACACGGGCCGACAGTTTCTCCGTCTCCGCGGACGGACACGATAAGGAGAGATGATGCTGTCAACACCTCATTACCTATACACTCCTTCCACACTGATGGGGATACTTGTTGTCCTCGCATCCTTTATTCAATGTCTTCCTCCGAACCTGCCCCAGTATCATCGACCCCCGAAAATGCGACTCCAGAGCTGGATGTCCCCAAGCTCCATGCACTCCCCTCCGAACAACAGGACCTCTACCTGCTCACCTTCACTTCCGATCTAGTGCAATTTATTTCCAGTCTCGATGCACAGCAGGTCTCGGCGCAACAAAAAGCTCTTAAGAAGGAATTGTTCAAGATCCTGACCCTTACCTCCCCCACCATCACGCGAGTCCTCCGCAATAACCTGGGACGATGTTTCGGCGCTATTCTGACGAAAGGGGATCGCGGGATTCTCTTCGAGACGATTACCGATCTTCTTGGAATAGTAAACGCGAGTAAGAGCGAGGCGGATATCAAGACCAAGTTCGCAGCGGCGCATTGTCTAGGCGAAGTGTTTGCGACAGCTGGCGACAGTGCGTTCATGCAGTCCAACATTGCAGTGTCTAGCACAATTAAGCTTCTCAAGTCGGCCAGCAGCCATACGGGCTTCCGCGGAGTTATATATGCCATTTTACGGAAGATCATCGTGGGCATTGGCGTACCGATTGACGAAGCTACTGCTCGGGATATTTGGAAACAAGCGCGCAATGCGGCGACTAGCGACAAGTCTACTTTCGTGCAGGTTCACTCTTGTCGCTGTATCGAGCAGCTGGTAAACATGACGCCTTTCTTCGATAATGCAAATGACTTTGAAAACCTCAAGACTGTCATGTGGAAGGTCATTGACAGCCCCATTGCGCCGGTTAGGCATGCAGCAGCAGCTTGTCTTGGCCGGGCTTTGGTCAAGCTGCACGCGTCAGATACGCCCATTATGGCGGCCCCGAAGCCCAAGTCCAAAAAGAACAAGAGGATGTCTAAGAAGCCATCTGCTCGCCCCGGAGAAGAGGATGAGGATGAGATGTCGGAGTCTTCTGCTGCGAACGCCCCGGGAGCTGCTAGGAAGACTGAATCTCGATTGTTTTTTTCCCTTCCGGACCTTCTGCGTCAATTGTCCTCGCAATACCTCAAGAGCACAACTTCCAACCGCTCGCGAGCCGGAATCTGCGTGTGTTACAAATATGTTCTGCGCAACTTGGGGGATAAAGTTGTCGACGAACGCTATGGGCAGATTGCGACTAATCTGCTCGTGGAACTGATGAACCACCCAACTGTTACATACAACCGGTTCCGCCTTTTGATGACTCGGAAGTTTGTAAAATCTATCCTTGAGGATACTATTGGCCGTGAATTGCTACACGAAAACAGCCAGCTAAACGCCGCCCGATGGATCATCAACGAAATCCTCAAGGACTACCCGCAAGTCATTCAGGAGCGCCGCGAGCCAACCAAGTATACTTTGACATGCGCAGTCAGCGCTCTGTCCTCTTTGATTTCGTCGCTTGGATCTGCTTTCGGTGTCCACGCAGACAGCTGCAGAGACGCTTTGCTTCAGGTGCTCCCTCACCCGAGCTATACTGTTCAAGTCCACGCCGCGCACTGTCTGCGCAGCTTCGTACTTGCCTGTCCTCACCAGCTTCTGTCTGGTGTGACAATCTGCATGAACAGCCTGAACCGTGAAATCGGCCAGCTTGCTACGCCGCGCCATTCATCTCGCCGATGTGTCGGCTACGCCAATGGCCTGTCCGCGATGCTCAGTACGTCTCGTCTGCAACCGCTTTACGGTGCCGTCGACGTGTTCGCTCGCATCTTCACGCAAGCAACCGACCTTCTGAAGACTAGCAGCACTTCCGAGCTACGTGTTGCTAGTACACAAATTCAAGTCGCATGGATCCTGATTGGCGGATTGATGCCTCTCGGGCCTAGTTTCGTCAAGATCCATCTTTCTCAATTGATGTTGCTATGGAAGAATGCTTTGCCAAAACATCTGAGCAAGGAGAACTCTGCGGCGCCTGGTACTCTCGAAACAAGCTTCCTTACTCATGTTAGAGAGTGTGCTCTCGGCGCTTTGTTGGTGTTTATGGAATTCAACAGCAAGCTCATCACAGCAGATGGGGCCAAGAGAATCGCAGCCATGCTACAGAACACCGTTGAATTCCTGGACGATCTGCCGCGACCCAAGTCAATTGAGGACATCTCTCAACGTCTTCATCCTTCCTTGCAACTCCATGATTTCACCACTATGGTCCGCCGACGGGTCTTACAGTGCTTTTCGAAGCTCGTGCATGTTCACCACCCCAGTCATGGAGACATCATCTCCCAATCCAGCCTTCTAAGTCTTGCTGTCTCTTCTTTTGCCGACCCTGATGCGCAGTACCGCCCACTGGAGAGCTCGATTGCTGGTTCAGCTGGACAATTTGACGGCCTATGGGAGCTTTGCGATAACTACGGATTTGGCGTCACTGGACTTGCCAGGGAATATATCCGCGCTGCACATTCTGGTTCGCACGGGAATGACAGTCCTGCTTGGTCTGCACTTGAACATGCAGACAAGGATGTTGATGATGCTGTGAGTAGCACAATTCAAATATACGTGGCTTGAAGCTAACTATTCTAGTTGACATTCCCTGTTTGTGAGGCCAGTGAGCACGATGCAGTTTTGCTGTACAGCCTGCGAGCTGATCATCACCTCGCTGTTGATCCACCTAACACCGGAGTTGTGAACTCTGCAATCGAGCTTTTTGCTGTTGCCATTGCTCTTCACTCGTCCAAAATCCAGGAGAGCAGTGTGGAACAGGTCGCCTCATTCCTTGCTTCCCCGAGCCTCCAAAGGAACCCCGGAAGAAAAGCAGCCTTGGCTGTAAACATTTCTGTGGCACTTTTGCATGCTCTTAAGGTTGCGGTCAAGGAGACCGACTTTGTGGCCGGAAAACTGAGCACGTCCACAGACAAGATTTTGCAGGAGCTTGTTCAGGTAAGACATGCCTAGAGATGATATCATTTTGAGACAATTCTGATCTGTGGTATAGAAATTCGTGATTGACACTGACCCTATCGTCCGCACTATTGGCGTAGAGTCATTAGGACGCCTTTGTGACAGCGCTGGAAACGCCTGTACCAACACGCAGGTCAACTGGCTGGTCGATACCATTGTTGAAAACCGAGAGCCAAATGCTCGCGCTGGCTGTGCCGCTGCTTTGGGCTGTATCCACTCGCAAATTGGTGGTATGGCAGCTGGTCTGCACCTAAAAACAATCGTCGGTGTGCTCATGTCTCTCTGCAATGATCCCCATCCTGTCGTTCATTTTTGGGCTCTTGGTGGACTGGAGAGAGTGGCCAACTCTGCCGGTTTGACGTTCTCTCCATTTGCCTCCAGTTCACTTGGAATGCTGGCACAGCTCTACAACGCCGACACACACAATGTGGAGGCGGCAGCATTGGCTACCTCGAACATCGAAATGACCTTTTTGACACCCGTTGTCATCAGTCGTTGCGTGGATTCGCTCATCAACGTCCTTGGACCGGATTTGCAGGATGTTGCTAAAACACGCAACCTTATTCTGACCCTTCTCCGCCAGTTCCAGTTGGAGGAGAACCCTGCGCTAGTGACAGAAAGCTCCAAGTGCTTGGATCATTTCTCCCTTTACGCCTCGAACTTTGTGGACTTCTCGGGATACGTGAAACGACTTCAGACGGAGCTTCGCGCGAGCAACTCTTTGATGCGGGACGTCGCTGTCCGCGGTCTCAGCAATCTGATGAAGAGAGATGCCGCATCAGTGGTGCGCACGGCCAGTGAGACACTTGAAGACGATATCTGGCTTGCGTTCGATGATGCCCCGGACAACAAGCCGCTCAAGAAAATGATTCAAGAGTGGCTACAGCAAACTGCGCTCACGGAGACTGAGCTCTGGATCCAGCGTTGTCAGAAGATTATGACCAAGACTCGCAATAAGGTGGAGCTTCCACCTTCTACGGCAGTTCAAGCTACTGCGGCGGATATCCCAGATGACGAAGTTGCTGGATTCGCATCCGCTGCGGCTGGAGAAGGTCAAGGCGATTCTACCGGCGATGGCGTAGCTGGTCAGGAATTGCTAAAATGGCAGACACGCAACTTTGCCATGAGGTGCCTTTCCGAACTTCTGGCAACAGTCCAGGAAGCTATCTTGCCGGACACAAGCATTCCAGCAGAGCTTGCTCTTCAGTCTAAGGTTGGAGACATTGTCAGAATGGCTTTCTCCGCCTCAACTGCAAATGTCATTGAGCTGCGCATTTGGGGTCTTAAGATCATTGATCAAGTCTTGACTATGTTTGGCAAAACCCCGGATCCCGATTTCGCGGAAGCTTCTCTGCTGGAGCAGTACCAGGCTCAAATCGGATCTGCTCTCACTCCTGCCTTCGCAGCTGACTCCTCAGCAGAGCTGGCTTCTGAAGCAATCAACGTGTCCGCGACCTTCATTGCCACGGGCATTGTGACGAATGTGGATCGCATGGGCAGAATCCTCAAATTGCTAGTTCTTGGACTTGAAAACTTCGCGAAGAACTCTGCCACCACCGAGATTGGCGATCTAAAGGGCTTGAATTCCAATGCTCGAGTAATGGTCAAACTTGCGCTTTTCTCGGCGTGGGCTAGACTGCAGATTGCTAGCATTGAACACGAATATCTTAACCGGGTGGTTCAGCCGTATCTTGCCAAGCTGACACCGCTCTGGCTTTCCTCTTTGCAAGAGTATGCCCGGCTGCGCTTTGAGCCGGACATCTCGGGTGCTCTAGGTACGAGCACACAGAGCAATGACCTAGACGAAGTTTATGCTGCTTTGAACCGCGAGACGCTCTTGAAGTTTTACCAAGATACCTGGCTCAGCCTTGTCGATGCAATTGCCGGCCTGGTTGAGAAGGATATTGACTTTGTCTTCGACGCTTTGGATGGCAAGCTCCAACCAGTTGAAGAATCTGATGACGCTGAAAAGGAGACAGAGAAAGAAGAGTCCAGCAAAGAGGTTGCAAAGAGCGAAACGGCAGGGAAGGGCGACGACATCAATTATCGCGAGGAACCCGTCGCCTTCTTTTTCGTCTTGTTCGGACTTGCTTTTGAATCCCTGGTTGATCAAGCTACTACAACCTCCCAGCGGCTGGAGATTCTGCAGGCCCTTAAGCGAATTCTGAGACCCATCATCTCTGGTAACGCCATTTACCAGGATGCCATCTTCTCGGAGACCATGGATACTTTCGATCGGCTTGTTCTGACTGAGAGCACTCCCATCCAGACTGTCATTGTCGAGATCGCCCAAAATTTGTCACTGGACCATCCAGCTGCTAAGAGCGACCAGGAGCGAGGTGATCATCTGTCGGATGACATTGAGCAACTCTTCGAATTGACCCGAAGCATCATTCTTGTCCTTGCTGGGATGCTTCCTAATCTGCGTGAATCGACCCCTCTGGCGCGATTTAACGTCTCATCTGATGATTCTTTGACACTTATTCGGCTGGCTCTCCGCTCTCTGGTTGATGTTGCATCGGTGTTCCCATCCATTATTCGAAATGATCTCCATGCCTGTATCCTGCACATTTTCACCACGATTCTTGCGACTGGAATCTGCCAGACCGAAGTTGTACCCCAGGCTCTGCCGATCTTCCGACAGTTCGTCTACGGCATCACTCATACCCCTGAAGCTTCAGAGGATATCGACGTGGTTGCTTTCCAGCTGCGTGGCTGTCTCACCCGGTTCTTGAATATCCTGACCATTGCTCAACGACGAGAGGCAGATTCCTCTATGGCATGTGCCAAGAACACCCTCCTGGCCATAACCTTCCTCTTGACAGCAGGTGGACATGTCCTCCCTCCTCAGGATCCGGTCATCAACCGCGTTCTCGATGAGCTCCTTGATTGTCTTCACGACGTTGGCCTTGCCACAGTCGCTGCAAGCTGCCTCCGCTCGATCCTACTCAAGCCTAGTCCTCGCTACATGACCGACGACGTGGTTTCTCGGTACCTCATTCCTCGACTCATCGCCTTCCTTGTCGGATGCCCGATCGACGGCGGCGACATCCCCAGCGACCCCGAGAACTCGCGCACCGTTATCGCCCGGACCCTCGTGTCGTGTGTTAGCAATGCTACCTTCTCTCCTGCCGAGATGCCCACTGCCGCTTCACTCGTCATGTCTGCCCTGCTGGCACGCGCCAAGAGGGAAGGACAGGCCGTTCACCAAGAATCAGCCGGTAATCTCCTTGAACTTGCCAAGGCTGATCAATTCATCTTCCGAACCTTGGTTGCGAACATGAACGCGGACCAAAAATCGCTTCTGGAAGAGGTCCTCCGCAGCGCGGGTGTCGGTGCGGGGGCCGCTAAGGTAGGCGAAACAGCCGATAACACACCACAAGCTGCGCCTAGTATTGCCCTGCGCATGGACTTCTAGACGTGGCGCTTGTTTCGTTTCGATTTGGCTATAGAAAACGACAGTGCCATTAACTGGGCAGATGAATGTGATACGACGTGATGCATAGTGAGACAGTGAATGTATAGACCGCCTTACGGCCGACCATGGTAATCTTTTTTCTTTATCTCCCATAATCATCGATCCATGGATGGAAACGTAAAATCTATCTTGTAAACAAAGCGCCTTCTACAGACATCTGCTTCTGTTCCGTTTTAGGAAGCTCGGGGCGCGCTTATCTTATCCAAATCAGGTGACGCCATCTACCCTTTCACTAGAAACCTAACTCGAATTCCACGTTTCAGCATCCTAGTCTATGATTCAATTTCAATAACATTGTTCGCGGGGAGGATACGCTTCTGGGGTTCTTGTTTGGTCCACGATGCCGCCGGATCGAGGCCGCGCCTCTCGAGCTTGCGCCTCATGCAGAAAGCAAAAGACTCGCTGCTATGAGCCTGGGATACCCGGTAAAGCCTGTCTGCGATGTGAAAGGCTTCATCAGGGATGCTCGCTGGTTCAAATTGAGAGTGTGGCCCCTGAGGAGGACCCAGCGCCGCCAATTTCGGGTGCAGATGCTCGGTATGGTTGGGCTCATGTGCTACCCCTCCAAATGAGCATCTTGAAATACTGACATCTTGAATAGCTTGGAGCGTCTTGAACGAACTGTGGCAGCACTGCTTGACAGACTGGGGGAGACCCCGAGCAGTGTTGAACATGACTCGAGCAGACCTGCAAGCGCACTGACGACCCCGGATCCCGGCGAGCAAACTTTACACGAGACGGAATCTCCCGCGGCTCCAATCATGGTCATCCGCAATTTAGCCACCGACTCTGGGTTTAGGCCTTCTCCAGATATGAGATCTCTGGGCAGGGCCCTGGATGATCTCATTGCGCCTGAGCTGGCATTGACCCTTATCACCATGTATGTCCATGGTTATTTTTGCATCTAACAGGTCGATTAACCGTTAATTTAGATTTCTTGAGTATTATGGCCGTTGGATTACACTCGACCCGGAAAGCGACCCTGCTGTTCTCTTACCCCGCGTAAGGAGATCACCGTTATTATTCTGCGCATGCTGCCTGATCGCAGTGCGGCATACTTCCGAGGGGCTAGCAGCAAGTCTTGCACCGAAACTATACGAATGTGCTCAATCCCTGGTCTCAAGCGCACTCATAGTAGCGCCACAGTCTATCGAATTCTTCCAAGCGACCCTGATCCTATGTATGTGGTCAACGACCGTAGGACAGGTGCCCTTGGGTATTGACAGCTGGCTTCTGAGTGGCTTTGCTTTGCAGCATTGTCAATCGAGTCCCTTATTCACTGCAATTTCATCACAATCTCAGCAACCTATGAGAATGAATGAGACAACACTGGATCGTTGCTGCTTGTGGAACCACTTGTGTTTAGCACATCTGCACTATTGTGTTGGGACTAGTCGCAGGTCTATGTTGCAGGCCTGGCAGATCGAGCGCTGTCGAGTTATTCTTGCTTCGGACCATGCGATTAATTTCGAGGTACGCATGGTGGCGGAGATTTATCTATATTGGACTGTTTATGAACATCTGATTGAGGAGTCTGTTGATCTGCTCAAGTCAGTGGCGGCTTTGCAAACGTGGAGGAAAACATGGGAGTTTGTTCTCGGTAAACATCCCCATTCCATAAATTTTTTATTTTTTTTTTGCTTTTGGCTAACACTTAGTTTACAGAGCAACCGAGATCCCAATTTCTATTGATGGGATTCCATTTCTCCAACTTGCTCCTGTATGAGCATGCCTTAAAGACAAAGACTGCTCGAGCCCGCGAGTCTGTTGTTTTAGAAATGATTCGCCATTCTACAGCCATTGTCCATGTCGCCATGGACACAGTGGATGAGCGCACCCGCCACTTGAGTGACCATATTTATCACATGATTACTTTCGCAGCGATCATTATCTGTCGCTTGCTCAATAACTACGAGGAACAGTTAAATGTGAACTTCAACGTCGATGAGCTTGATGGCTTAATCCAAGACCTTGTCCAGTGGCTTCATTCCATTGGCCTGCCATGCCATGCCGCACATACACTGGGAAATATCATCGCCAAGGTCCATCAAAAGCTACGTCCACGTGTGGAGAAGACCCCATTGATTGCGCCTATCGATGACGTGCCCGAGGAGAGTTTTACTAATTACTACTTCCCTGAATTTCTGGGACTGGGAGCCTCGGCTGATGGAAACTGGGACTTGCTCTCGGATATGAGCTTCTTCCCGCAAAGCCCTGCCAATTCATGATCTAAATCATAGCAAGCCTTGAATATCTATACCGGCTTCAACCGGAATACACCACAGACCTTTCGAGACTGTCGCTTTGCATTTTCAGCGGCCTCCAACTCGCTTTTCGATCCAACGGAAGGCCGGAAACACAATGCCAGAAAAGGCAAATGTCAACTCATGGCCAATGTTTCCACCGCTCTTTCCGATGAGCGACGCAATTGGCCCAGCGTACCATGTCACCTTCATCCCAAGAGCGGCCCCAAGAAATCCGAACGCGAAAGCTCCGATTGCTGCCCATCCAAATGGCAGCCCAGCCGGGCTGTTCCAGGCATCCCAATCATATGTTTTCCATCCACGGCGGAAGATGAAGTGCTCTTCCATCACGACTGTTATGTGAATGACCGTCCAGTATCCAATGACGCTCAACAGCGTCGACAGTGTGCTATCGAAATACATAGCTGCGAAACAGCCGACAATGATAGACACCACGAAACCGAATGTGACGAGAATGATTCGGGGAATACGCATCGCCCATGGGCCGAGGTTCTGCGCATGGAGTGCAAAGGAATAATTGTTTGGAATATTGTTCTGTGCCCATGGTGAGCATATATTACGAATGCAAATTGCGATGGGACAGTTGGGGCTTACCGGAATCGCACTCAACGCTGCAAGGACCATGAGGAACTTACCGAATCCACCTGCAGGCTCAAGCGACATTTTCAATAAACCCCCAATGGAGGAAGACGTGTAAGCATCCTTCCACTCAGGGTTCGTCACCACACCGCTGTACATCGCAGCTCCAAGTGTCTGGACCAGAACAGTGGGAACAAAGATCCCAATATAAGTGGCACTGAAGATCTTCCACCGTGGAGTATCGGCCGGCATGCGCACATTATAGTCGGCCGCGCAATTCACCCAAGACACAGAGAAAGAAAAGATGCTTGCCATGTATGTGAGGACCGCAGCTGCCTTGTTCGCACCATCAAGGTGCTTGCTAGGTTCACTAGTAAACGAAGACGCGCCTGTGCCAGCAGCCACGCACCACACAATCAAAGGCGGTATCCAGACATAGGTATCCAAACGATGGATCCAGCTGATCCCCAGAGCACAAATTATCCATACCGAAGTGCAAATCACGATGACTCCCGCCCAGGTTGGGAACTTCCCATTAGACAAAGCGTTGAGCACTGATGCCCCTGAGATGGAGTTGATTGCGTTCCAACCTGTGGTTGCGACCATTGAGAAGACGACGACGAGCATGTTGCCCCAGTATCCGAACGAGTATCGTCTATAAATATGAGATTGTTAGCTTAGGTTGTGATGATAACGAAATTGGGAAGATTTGAAACGATCACGCACGAAAAGGTCGTCATTCGTAGACCTGACAGTCCCACTGTGGCTGTCCACGCTGGAAGTAGATCACTCAATAGATTGACGATCAGGATGACGATAAACGAATCCCAAAACCCGAGACCTAGAGAGCCGCCCAAGGACCCGATGTTGAGCGTGGCAACGGCCATGTTTGCACTGAACCTGTTTCCAGCCCGTTAGCTCCGGTGCATAGATGGGCTAAAATTCCATCATAAATGGATCTCAATAGATGGTCATGGTTAAAATCTCCTCGGGCATTATCGAGGAGAGATTCAACTAGCGAGATCTTTCGAAAATGAGATCAAAGATGCCTTTTTAGACTTAAAAAAAAACTCCCCGAAGATATAACCAGAAGGGCTCGGGGCAGAATGTGTTGGGGCCCATTTGCCATATTTCCTTGGTCTCGTTGAGTAACATGGGTATAGAAAAGACTCAATCATACCAGAAAGTAGCAGCGTTCCAAAACTTGGTCGTATTCTGCTGTCGCTGGTCGTCGGTAACACGTTCAATACCACCTTCCTCAATGTCGAATTTCCCATGGAACCATGGTTGATTCTTCTGAGAGGCCTCTGGATCTTCAGCCTTATCACAGTGTTCGTGGCTCATATTGAAGACCGAATGAAATGTATGATCGCTGGAATTGTAGTAAAAACATCCACATCGATTCTATCCCACCGGCGAGAATCAACCCCTTTCTATAGTTGTCCATCTCCTGATTACTCTCATAGCAAAGCTGTCTTCTTATTGCCCATCACAGCTTACCGATAAGCATATTTGGGGCTTATCTGACGCCATCACGACCATCTCCTTGGCCCACTTATCTCGCCGCGGCATGCCGCGGCATGCCGCGGCATGCCGGTCCATTGAGCCCTAAGTCAATCTATGGACACCACGCTTTCCCTCTCTTCTACAACATATAATGCTGCTTCTCTGCAACTTGTAAGTAAATATTCAGATCCAATTTCTTTCTTTCTCTTCCCTGAACCATCGAAATGGAACAGCAAACCTTCCGCCGCCGCGGCCTAGGCCTCCAAGGCGTCGACGAACAACAAGTCTCACCAGGCTACGTCCTTTACTCCCCATTGACATCGAACACTGCGCACCTCGTCTCAACAACCGGCGAAGAAGTACACCGCTGGACCCTTCCGCACCGCGCCGGACGTCATGCCCGCATCCTCCCCGATGGCTCCCTAGCCTACAATGGCGTGCACCCCGATGCTCCCAGATTGTTTCCCATGTGGGCGAAATACCGTGGTGGGATGATGATGCAGCTCGATTTAAACGGCAAGCTCCTTCGCCAATACTCCGATCCCTATGCGCACCATGACCAGAACCACCTCGACGACGGAAGTATCCTCTACGCTACCCTCGAGCCTCTCACCCCCGACGAGGCATCGCGCGTGCAGGGTGGAATCCCCGGCAGCGAGGCACCGGGCGGCATTATCTACGCCGACTGCATTAAGCTCGTCCGGCCCTGGGCAACATCCAATATCTCGTCATCGGCCGATTTCGAGGGCGAGGGAAAGGGTGGCGCAAAGCTACTCTGGTCGTGGCGGGCCATTGATCATCTTGATTCCGAAGCATTTGCTGCGCACTCGCATTATCCGCGTGAGCACTGGCCGCTTATCAATAGCGTTGCATTTGATGGCGATGGGAACATCATCGCTTCGTCGCGCAATGCTTCGTCGGTCTTCACCATTAGTCGGAAGACCGGCGAGGTGCTTTGGCATCTCGCTGCTCCTACGGTCTCTCAGCAGCACTGTGCGCACCAGATCACGCCATCAGGCGACATCCTCATCCTGGACAATGGAGTCTTCAGACCTGAGATTTCAGTGCCTTTCTCACGAGCTATCATCGTTTCAAAGGAAAAGGAGGTGAAGTGGGAATATAAGGATACATCGACTGGAGGGTTGGGCTTCTTTACGCCCTTCATGGGATCAGCTCAAAGGCTCGGGAATGGGAATGTTTTGATTTGTGAGGCTGCCACGGGACGAATTTTCGAGGTTACTGAGGGTGGAACTCTTGTGTGGGAGTTTGTTGTGCCGCAATTGCAGGACTATAAGATGGTTATGGCGGCCGACGAGCTGGAGGAGATGGAGAGGATTGGATTCTCCAACCAGAGTAATGCGGTTTTCAGGGCTTATAAGTATACTCCGGAGGAGATTCCGTGGCTGAAGCGGTGAATTTGATTCTATATGTTTGTGCATTGTAGTTTCTATGTTTTGACATGGACTGGCGCGTCTAGTGTAGTTTGTATGTGGGGTATAAGGGTCTATTGGTAATGGTACAACCCTTCTCGATTTTGAGATAGGGCTCATGGACGCAAGTAAAAATGTCAAGAAATAGGAGTTATAAACAGGCTTAGAAAGGACAGAATGGGGTTGCAAAAGAGTGATCAGCCGAGGGATTCACCGAGGTGGGCTGCAGGTGAGATCTCCGTCTGGCTTCCGATGTCGTGGACGACGTGAGTCTCCTTGGTGACTTGTTTGTCGACAGGCTTCTCGACCGTCTCGACCTTGGGAGGGTCAGGGACCTTGCGGGTGGAGGAGTATTTGAGGAAGAGTATTATCATGACTGAAAATTTGGTCAGTTAGGGAACTTTGGGCCAAGCGAAAAAGGAAATACTCACGAGCACAAGTGGCGAGGGTCAAAGCAGCCCGTCTGGTCAAGATCCACCGCAGGCTCTCAATCTCGCTCTTGCCGTCACTGTTGAGTGACACTGTGATCTTGTAGTTCAATTCCTGAACTGAAGTGTCGATTGTTCGCTGTTGCTCTCGCGTGGACATCTTATGGTCGTTGAACATGCCCTTGATTTCATCCTTCATTCCAGCAAGCTCTTGGTTGAGACGTTGAGACAAGATGTCTGTTTCATGCTCCAACTGCGTCCGTGAAGCACGCTGCCTCTGCACCTCAGAGTTACGTGCACTTTGCAATGACTGCTGGAGCTCTGAGCAAGCAGCCTGGAACAGGTATGACTCGTTTTCGACATCCGACTTGGAAGTCAGGCTTCGCTTGGCGTAGTCGAGGTTACCCTGCAGAATAGTTCGTACAGCTTTCATAATCGTAATGGACTGCTCGTTGGTGTATCCACCCTTTGAAAGATCGAGAACCAGCGAGTAAGTGTCGAAATGGTGCACATACGGGGCAGGAGACAGATGTGGCGCTTTGCTTTCCGACTCAAAGGGCCCCGTTGGGGCGAGGTAATTCGAAGGAGATGGCATGTGAAAAACTTCTTCAAAGGCGCTCTGGTTCATGTATGGAGGTATTTGTGACATCTCCTCTCCGACGTCCTTTGCCGATGACATGGAAGATGCAGCGGAGGCCTCTGCACGATCAGTCTCCTCCTCTGGCAATTCCGGCTCCAATGTGGCATGACTAGTCTTCGTAGATTCAGCGGCGGCTTGTTCTGAAAGGGAGGCAGCAGCATCATCCGCGACAGTGTCTTCTTGAACATCTGGCTGTGGCTGTGGCTCTTGCGCCTGCGCTTGCGACTCCGCCTGCTCTGGCGGTGAAGCCGAAGCCCCCTCTTCGGGTTGGTCTGTCACATCAGGGATAACAGGTACATCCTCCCCAACCTGCTCTACTGGTGCTTCTCCGGGTCGTGTCGGAGGAGGGATACTTGGTTCAACGGCCGGTCCATAGCGGCGATGGTAGGACTGCTGGTTGCGGCGGCAGCTAGTATGGAATCTCTGGCGCGGGGCGAGGGGTCGAAAAGAGCGGTATGTGGTTGGCTGGCATGAACGAACGGCACGTATCCAGTTTGGATATAAGAAAGGAAGCCTAGGAGTGGCCATGGTGGGATTTGAAGAAGTTACAATCATTTCCCGTCGGGGAACTCTGAGTGACGTTGTCCCCCGCGGAAACTGCCTTATGTAATCGCGCTGCCTCATCTTGATCACGTGCGTTTTAATTGGTCGACGTATACTCACCATGCACACGCCTTAATCACTTATTCTCCGATCCTTCTTACCTTTCTTCCGATGAATTTCTAGAAAGATCTTTACGGGGTGCTCTTTGAGCTTAAATTCGAGTTATTGACCACCAATTCAATGATAGCCCTAATTGATACGCCCCAGTGCTAGTCCTTCTACAAGCTTCTGTCCTTTGCTGAACTAGAATATACAAATTGAAACCAAAATGTTGGACTCTTTCTATCTCGCTGCCATGCTGTGCATCAAATGTCACGCATCATACTGAAACAACAAGATTTAAGTTAAATGGCCCCTAAGTGGCGTCACGCGCACTGGGTTCAGCTGTGCTGAAACATATTCAGGTGGGTAGCAGCAATTCCGACACGATCGGTATATAAATTTTGATGTTTCTGATTTAGGACGGTATTAAGAGTATATGCACAAAGAGGCCACTAATACATCGTAGAGAGGTATTTCTCGGCCCAGACATGACAGACCATGATCGTTTGCCACGGCTAAGCCCTTTGAAGGAAGCCATACAAAGTGCATGTCAATGTTGGGTGTTCACGCACGAGCAAACAGAAATGCTCTTTCACAAAGAAAAAAAGATCAAGTTAAACATTGTGTGATACATGGGAGGTTGAGCTTGGTAATCTTGATCTCAATTCTGGTTGTTGTGGCAGCCGCGAAGCCATCCTCTGCTCTTACTTCCTCTCGCAACTCCATGACAACCCACTTCTCATACCACCCATTCATTTCCACTTCCCATTGCAAACATCATTTCTTGTCGCACAGCTCCTCATTCTGTGTCATTGACACGTCTGGGGAAGTTCGTTTCGATTCCCTCCCAGACCTGATGCCCGCTTTACCAGCGATGGTCTCTTCCATAATGGAGGCACCACGACCTCCTCTGTGCACATTGCTGCTGCAGGCCTCTGAGCCGAGTCTGCATGATTACAATCATCTACTATCAAGCATTGACAAGTACTATGCTCGTCTACAGGTTGGAATGCAAGATGAAGCCCTCCGAGATCAAATCTTGTTCAACCCCGGGCGAACAACCTTACGTCTCCAGAAAGCCTTCAGCATCCTGAGAGTCCAGAAATTGTCAGCTCCAGTTGCAGAGGAGATATTCAAAAGCGTCGTTGAAACCCTCGTCAACTCGCCAGACCACCTTCTTACCTCAGAGCAAGCCTTCCAGCTGGTCGGATCCTACCTCCCGGTCGTTATTCGCTACCCTGGAGCCTACTTGCGACTTGTCGCAGACCTTTTTCTAGCATACGAAGGAATGTTTGAGTACTTGATTGCAGAAGAGAAGCGTTGCTCCGCCTTGAAATCATTGTTGCTTTCGAACAAGACATACCTGAACTTTCAAATCCTCACCGAAGTAACGGAAAGACTCATTGTTATGTGTAACAACTGCTCCGGACATGGTGTCAGCGACGTTTCCGAAAGCTGGTACAGCGCTAGGACTTTGATGTCTTCCTTGAAGAGCTTGATTCAGTCTCACCGTGAAGAAAACCAGAAAACCTGCCAAAAAGAAAATCTGCCTCCCGTTGAGAAAATGCGGGCTCTCAACCCCGATGACAAGAAAACCAATCAAACACTAATGGTGAAAAGCCAGAAGAGCTCATTCAAGATACCTCAATCTGTCTTTGACGACCTGGAATCACTTAGTGGGCCCAGGATAAGCTCTGCTGGCCAGCTTTTTCATGCCCTGGGGTTTATTCAGAATGAAAAGTTACCCGAGCTCCTACACAAAGTGCTGGATAGTTTTCCATGCAGACTCTGCCTAGAGAGATTGGCGGGAATTACGACCACGTTCGTGGGCCTTCCAAACCACCTCGATTGTTTGACCTCAAGTACAAGCTACTCAATCGACATATTCGGGAAAAAAGTCGGCATGTGGAAAGTTTTACTGTCCGACGCGGCGACCAAGAATGCGAAGAAGCTGGCCCGCGCAGGTGGCTTTCCTCGCATTGAACAGAAGCTCAGGGAGCTGGCAAGCGGTGCATGGAAAGGGAAAGACATTTCCCGGCGTATTGGCTCCAAGAAGCAAAAGCAGGATATGGTTATTCCAATCCTGCAAGCTCGGGTCTCCCGCACCGTGTCAATTCTCTGGCAGCTTGATGTGGGATTTGAACCTCAATCCCCGAGCATTCAGCAGCAGATAGTCAAAGTTTGGCAAATAACAAGCTCGGACGACGAGGTTGACGCTGCCATCGATCAAATTATCGAGCTGCAGAGCTATGCCCCCCCAGAGGCCATCCGTCTATGTCAGACGCGCCCTAGACAGCAACCCAATGGCATATTTTTCCCAAACAAGATGGGCTTTGCTCAGGAAGCCTACGCCAGGGTGAGGCCAGTAGGCGCAGCCAGGAATGATCCTGCTTTGATCGAAATGTCAAGTAAGTAAACCATCGATTCTCGTGGCACTGCGGAAATCAAGTTATGAGATTAATCCCATCTAGACAAGTTCTTCAACGTGACTGAGCCTTTCCTCAAGTCGATTGTCAGCAACACAGGCCTTGAAGAATTTCCATTTGACCTATCGCCTGAGGAGGCAGAGATTATCGGGCATTTTAAAACCTCTAGCCTGATTCTTGGAAGAAGCGGTACGGGGAAAACCACGTGCCTTCTTTTCAAGATACTCGCCAAATACAGAGCGAGACAGACTATGCCCGATGGGAAAACCATTCGCCAGGTAAGTGTCCAGCGCATTGAATATTTGTCCTGTAATGCTAAGAAATTAGCTTCTCCTGACCCGTTCGCCATTTTTGGCCGCAAAGCTTCAGACTTACGTCAGAAGCCTGATCGATACGCAGTCTGAACAAGGTGTATACGGGACATCCTCCCGTACTGAGAAGGCGGAGTCTATCTTCGCTTTGAAGGACGAAGACTTCCCGTTCGTCTGCACGTATGACGACTTTTTGGATCTCCTTGAGAGTACTTTCAGGTTTGTTCCTCCGATTAAACTCCGTTATATAGGGCTATATGACTGTTATTTTTTACTGACATTTGACATTCTCTAGGCGAGCAAATCGCCAAGACTTTCTTGAAAGCACTGTATCTAGGGCAAAGAGTACAAGTGCAGAGCTGCAAGCACTCGACAAGCCTAAGGTGATAGACTTCAATATTTTCAAAACGGAGTATTGGAGCTGCCTATCCGGGATTGTGCCATCTGGATGTTCCCCGGAGCTTCTGTTTGCGGAGATAATGGGAATCATCAAGGGTTCGGCAATAACCGCGAGTACTTTGATGCCCCTCAAACGTGTCGAATATCTCTCCAAGATCTCCAAGGTCTCCCCAGCGTTTGCCTCGGAGGTGGAACGCGAAGTTGTCTACCGGGCATTTGAACGATACGAACGACAGAAGAAACAGCGATACCAAATTGATGAGCTGGATCGAGTCATAGATTTGTTGAAGTTGCTGAAAGGGAATTCATCGTTGGAATCTCTGATTCGTCAATGTTTTGAAGAAATCTATGTCGATGGTATCCATATGAGCTCCCCCTCTCCTCCCATTCCGAAATTTTACTACGGCTAATACTGTGCTCAGAAATCCAAGACTTGCGTTGTCTTGACATCGTTTTACTTTTGAGCTGCCTGTGTGATGCTCGTGGGATTCATCTGGGTAAGTCTTTGCACGGGATGGCTTTGAAACAACCTTAACATTCTTAAGCTGGGGACACGGCACAGTGTATTTCGAAGGACTCTGCTTTCCGATTTCCCGAAATCAAAGCGCTGTTCTATGACTACTATGAGTTGATCTCCAAAGAACTGAATCAACCTTCCATTGCCAAGCCTGTTCAATTCATGCTGGCCAAGAACTACCGCTCTCATCAAGGTATTCTAAGCTTTGCATCTTGGGTAATGGCAATGCTGTGGAATGGCTTCCCAGAGACCATCGACAAGCTGGATCCTGAAATTGGTCAGACCGGAGGTCCCAAGCCAGTCATTTTTGCCGGATTTGACTCTTCAATTCTGTCGGCCAAGATGATTGGTTTAGTCAAACTGAACGACCAGATAGCCAACTTCGGTGCTGAACAAGTGATTCTTGTTCGGGATGATGCATCCAAATTCGAATTGCAGGCACAGATCGGTGAAATCTCCCTTGTTCTTACCATCCTCGAGAGCAAAGGCATGGAATTTGATGATGTCCTTGTCTATGACTTCTTTGGTAGCAGTGGTCTTGGGAGTAGCTATCGATGCTTGCATTTGCTTGCTCACGGGCAACGTGCAAAGTTTGACTCTCAAAAACATGCGGCAAGCATTTACCCGGAGCGAACAACATGGAGCTTCACTAACTTTTGAATAGGCCCTGTGCTCTGAACTGAAGGTACATGAATATCTATATCCGATTTCTTATCTATGGACCAAACTGACGAGATATTATAGCATCTTTACGTTGCAGTAACAAGAGCGCGCAAGCATTTGTGGTTCATGGAGGCCATTGAGAGCAGCATCAATCCAATTCTTCAAGCACTTTCGGTTGATGGACAGGTTAACCTTGCTGAGCTGGTGAGGACGCAAGATCTAGATGTTGCCGCAAAGGTCCAAGTCCTCCGCGCAGGTGGCTCGGTGGACCCAGAGAGATGGCTGAAGCGGGCAGCACATCTGCTGCACCAAAAGAACTTTGCTGATGCTTTGTTCTGTTACAAAAAAGCAAATGATCCTCGCGGTATTTCACACTCCCAAGCCTGGCTCCATGAGCAAGAGGGCCGATCTCTCCGAGCACTCAGTGATCTTGAAGGCTCCACGTCCAGTTATGAGAAAGCAATTGCGTGTTTTCTGGAACTCGATTTGTTCTCCGATGCTGCAGACTGCTACCAGGCACTCGAAAGATACGACAAAGCTGCAGGTACTGGCCTCATGCATTATATTTGCGGTTGATCGAAAACTAACCCGACTCACAGAAATCTGGAAGAGCCAAGGCCAGCTCCCCAAAGCTGCAGCATTTTACGAGAGAGGCGGCCACTTGCTTCAAGCTTCTGATTGTTTCCACTCAAACGGAGATTATGAGCAGGCGATAGAGGTCTTGCGCCGAGGCGACGAATTCGATGAACTTATCCAATACATCAAGCGACACGGACATAGGCTTATTTCTCATACTTTGACACGCTATTCTCGACTCTGCAACATCCTGCTCAGGCAAGGTCGCGTCTCGACTGAACTGAGAGCGACAACTATCAATCTTCTAGGATCCGATATTGAAAAACTATCATTTTTCAAGGAGTTTGAGATGTTTGACCAGATGCGATCGCTCTACAAAGAGCGTCACAGGTGGTTTGAATACTACGAACTCTCGGTCGCTGTTGGAGATCTGCCTGCGGCGATGGACACTCTTCTAACCCAGAAGCTGTTGCCTGTGATTGACAAGAAAATGGCCGAGTCAATTCTGCACTACTCCATGGCTGAGACTCTTCTTCACCACCGCGACTTGGTTGGAAGCCGACCCGAGCTGGATAAGGACCTGTTACAGTCATCTCGATCGACGCCCTTAGAAAAAACTGCTCTTCAGTGGCTGAACGTCTTCAACTCAATCGATGAGTATGGGGAAAAGAGCACGCAGGCTTCATTTAAGTCGCTGGTGGCAAGTCCGATTCTGATAGACTTCTTCTGTCTCTTTTCTGTTGTCTACCAGTCTGAGATCAAGCTTCTCGAAAGAAACAACCTCATGGACCTGCCCATGGACATTCTCAATCATGCCAGTCGACTCATTCAAGTCACGGCATCTGGAGAGGCCAAGGATTCGGAAGTTCTAATGCTCATCTGCGGTCTATGGAGCTCACCAAAGACTCCTACACAGATGACTGTACTTCCTTGGTCCCCTCTGAAAACCGACAGGGTGCAATTGCCAGAGAATATGTCCCCAGAAGCTCTACTCAGCCAAGCGAGATTGTGGATTCGGGAGAGGTTCTTCAGTACCGTGGACACTTTCCAAAGTGTTGCTTTCAATCTCTTCAGAGATCTTTTTCCTCGGCGCTGCAAACATTTCCTTTACAAGGGTAAGTCGATGGGCTGAATCCATCGTCTGGATTCTCTCGCATTTCCTCTTCTGCTCATTCAAGTTATTGATGAATTATCAGAAGGATTTGTAGCTAACTCATTTTAGGGACTTGCCTCAAGGCCCGCGCGGGAGAATGCCATTTCTACCATGCAAAGCCAAGCTACAACGACTGCTGTTTGAAGTTAACTTGCCTTCTGAACGTGAGTGAGGTCTTGAGTAGACTCCGCATCTTGTATTATCATCGACTCATGCCAGAATATTTCCGCGTACAATACCTTGGCATGCGGAGACGCTGGTTGCACCTACTGCTCGATGAGTTGATCTTCGTCACTCCTTTCGAGCATTCCGCCGGAGCTATTTCAAAGGTACGCATTATGCTGCATAACCCGATGTTTTTTGCCACCAAATCCAGCATTGAGAGTCTTCTCTTCTATCGCATGCAGGAAGAGTGGCATGAGATCTACACCTTCAGTGGAATCTTTGAGCAGCTCCAGGTGGCCCATTTTCTTGGTCAGTAATTCTCATCTGTTGTTCATAACCGGGAATCGCCGAATTCTAACCCTAATATAGGCCCGTGGGTTGCTCTCAGCTACACCCGCGCATTGGCGAAGAAAAAGAGCTACAGTCTGGGCTGTCGCCGAAACGAAGCGATATCATTGAAAAACACATTCAGCGCTGTGCAGGCAGTAGACCAGATTCGATGGGCTATTTACGAGGGAAACATCACAGACTTCGTAAATTATCCTCTCACTTGCATATACATCTATTAGACTCTAACTTTGCAGTACTCTCGAGTCAGAGAATTTCTCATCTGCGTGGAGCGCGCTGAAGTTTCTAATCTCAGAAACTTCCACAGCGTAATGGCAGTTTTCGAACTTGTGGCGACTTACATTGTGTGTCAATCTCATAACTAGCATCAGATTGATTGACTGACGTTTTACAGCTGTGTATTGTGAATTACAACAACGCCATCATGGTGCCATCGTCATGGGCCATACAACATCTCCCAGGTATTTTCAAAGCTGCACTGAATTGGAACCATTTTTTCCAAGATTCGGATCGCAATATGCAACTTGGACTCCTCAAGGCACTCATCGGATCATTCTGCAAGATCACCGATAGTCTGGAGCATTCCATATCCCAGCATGATTTTGCGTTCGAAGCGCTGGGCCGCAAATCCTCCCCCGTGGTCTACAGGAAGCGCATTTTCGACTACCTCACAACAATCATTCTGAATCTGCAAGCTTACACGCCTCTGCCCCGAGGATTTACAGAGATGTGGGAAAAATCACGACAGGTGTGTAACGATATAAAAAGAGACTCCTTCCGGGCCCTTCTTCGCGAGTAGGAGTCTGTTTCTACGTCACTCGTGACTCTTTTCCCGGCGTCATCAATCCTGATACTCAGTGATTTCTAACTCTGCTGCCTAATAGGTCATCCTCAAATCTGCACCGCCTTCATTCGTTTGTCCGACTGCCATTTCGAAACTTCGTGACGAAGTCATACGGCAGTATGCTGGCTACAATGACAAAGACAAACTGCAAGTGATCTGTCTCGACGACAATAGCAAATGCCCAGCATTTTTGCGCGAGTTTGTTACAACAGCAAACCCGCAGGTGAAGCTCAGCACACTTCTTGAAAGCTCATCGGCCGAGGATAAGCGTGCCCAGACAACTCTCGGGAAAGACGCCGCCGACGCCGATGAATACACCCGTCATGAGCTGGAATTAATCATCAGTCTCCAAGGCCGCTGGCGACGCGTCATAAAGATCCTCGCAGACGCTCGCTACCTGAAAAGATCCCACGAAGGGCAAACTTTCCTCCAGCTCTTTGCCCTTTGCCAGCAAAGATTCAATATTCTTCCTGGCTCAGCCCGCGTATCAGCGAAGGAAAAGATCCGCATTCGCAAGTTAATCTTCACTGATGGTGTCAACATCATAGTTGAAGTTGACAGCCTGTACTTCAGTCTCCGTCAACTGAAGGAGTACTGGAAATCTTGTCTCGAGAATCCTCGCATCACCGCAGAAGAGATCGAAGGATTGGATACCTTGCACGGACAAATCGGTCCCATCGAGGTCAAGCTCGATCAAATCGCCCTGATCTGGTCGCTGAAGGGTCTGAGTACCAGTATCATCATGGTCACTGCGAAGTCCCATGGTGAGAAGGCTCGCGAGGCCCAACGGACCATCTGGACTGTCAAACAAGAAATTGAGGTTTTGCGGAGCCAACTAGAGGTGGTTTCCAAGCACTAGGCCTGTGGGGAGTTATAGTTATCAGGAAAGTTGAAAAGGAAGAGAAAAAAAGAGGGAAGGAAAGCCCGGCCGCGGTGTGCATATGTCTGCTGGTACGAGTGTATGATTTACGGCGACCACAAGAATCACGTCCTGTATGATCAGTGTTTTTAGTAATTTAAGATTCAATGTATATCCCGGAACACGTAGATTGGTGACCTCGGAGAGTGTATCCAGATTTGTAGGTGAATAGGGTTTACTCAAAATAATGAGTACATTCCCAAGGCCAGGGTTCTTAGCGGAAATGAGCATGGAGACATTCATTCACTTGATCTCATTTGACTTTATGTTTCCAAATTTTCAGACTCCCATGCTCTATTCCACAATATCTCACTTATTTTTGAGATTTTGGCTGTTCGTTAAGTTCACCAACGGGTAGAGGGGCTAGAATACACTTGGTCATCAGCACAGCTGTTAGATGGCGGGAGTGATTCTAAAACGGTAGATAGCTAGGCTTGTAAGTGACTCTTAAGGATCGCTAAGAAGACGATTATGTTATGCATAGAGATACAAATGCTAGAGACTGGTACAAGATCTGTGTAAGGGCTGGTCATTCAACTTTTTCCACCAGAAAAGGCATCTCTCCCTCTAGATTTGGGCTGTTCAATCCCGTTGTCGAAACCGGCAAATAACCTGCCGACGCCAAAACCGCATTGGAATAGCAGCGGAGGCCATACCGTTTAAGCGTGTGTCTGTACCAAAAAAAGGTCCAAACTACTGCACTTGAAAAGAGTCCGGCAATGAAAATCCCAACGAGTCGTTCAGTATCTCTAGGAGCTGCAGCCTTGATCGAGTAGGCCACCAAGAAGGTTTCGGGATCATCAGGCTTGGGCAGAGTTTCGCCAGTCCAGTACTTTGGACGAGGGGTACGCAAGCTAGAAGATGCACCTAGTACCTCCATGCTGGAATCCAGTGCTTCGACAGAAACCCAGTCCATGAAACCTCGAGCAATGAATGAAGTCTCGAATCCTTCCTTTTGAACAATGCCGATTTCTGTCCGGTTGCTGGTCGAATTTGCTTGAGCAAAGAATCGCCAATATTCGATATCAGTGGCTCCGTTCCAGCTGACGTGGAAGACAGTGGAGAGTTCGGACCCATTGACACCATAGGATTCTGACAACAGCGTCGGTGGATATGAAGGACGGCCAACCCAAGGGAATTTGTATGATCGATAGGTATCATGTCTGTCAGAACTGAATTTTGCCTCCATAAGTAACCGGCCATCGGCCGAGAACTCGGAAATATAGCTATCCCAAGACCAACCGACGAAGACATTGGTGTTGGGAAGCGTCTGCATATTCCCACGGCGTTCTGTGCTTCCTCCGTCTGGGCGCATGTACCGACGAAGGATGGTCGCTTTCATAGCCACAATGTCCAATTCAACATACAGGGCGGACGAAACTGGTTCTTGCACGTTGGCGTCAATAGCCCCGTTCTGTAGGAACGAAATAACGTAATGTGTTTCATTCACAGCGATGAACCTTGCGTCATGTTGACCGAAAAAGTCAAAGTCCTTGGCAAAATTATTCTTCTTGCCGCCAAGACGCCATATGATATGACCATCTTGGCCAGAGATAAGATAGATCGTGCTTGTATGTCGTGCCGAGAGCAAATAGTCACCGTATTGGTTTTTATCGATAGCATTGGCGTGCATGAAGTCCGGGTGGAGATATGTTAGATTCGTGACGAAGCTTTCATCCAAGCCTACTCTGCCCGGACTTTGCCAGTCCACTGTTCGTGCCTCGGCTGTTGTGTTCCCTCCGGCCAGGAGGTCGATCTCGATGAAGCCATTGACATCGATTCGCGCGCCCTTTTCTGGCTGGCCAAAATCAATCAGAGGTTGTACATCACGACTTACTCGGATCATAAGGGCTTTCGACCCGTTATCAATCACGTTAAAATCATGGGTGTCAATTTCCCCAGACGGGATAGAGATAGTGCGCTCGTGGTTGTAGTTGCTGTCAAATATTATAACGGAGCCATTGGTTTCCGGGGCAAAGTGCTCGTGAAACAGCATCCAAGCTAGAGCTTGCTGTGGCTCGGAACCAGGACTACCTGGAGTCGCTAGATCAATCACTCGAAAATCAAAAGAAGGTCTGTTGTCGCTCTCTGCCGAGCCAGCCCACACTAGGACCTGAATACTATAGTCAGTATGTGAAACGATAGAAGAAGCACGGGAATAAACACGAACACCATCCTGATCAAAGATGTGAGGTCCCATTTGGTACGGGACCCACTGGTCTGTTTCTGCATCGCCGTCATGTGTCCAGTAAGGCGCCGTGAACAAATAACCGGGAGCTATGGCAGAACGATCGTAGTGGGTGATGTTCCATTTTACTATGCGATGATCTGGTAACTAGGGTAGAAAGATAGCATAAGCTTGCAAACTGACCCCCCTAAGTTCAGAGACTCACGGTGCGATATTGGATGTAATCATCATCCTCAAATTGAAATGGATGTTTTTTTGCTGTAGCGCCAGAAATGAAAAGGAAAGAGGCAAGGAAAAAGGAAAACATTCCGTTGTGACCTGTGAGACGCTGAGCGAACGATCGGCCTCAAGGAGATGTCATTAGGACCAAGAGAGCGGAGAATACGAAAAGAAAGGAGAATACGAAAAGAGAGGAAAATACGAAGTAAATGAAGAAGAAGGTCAATAGATGAACGATCTTAAGGGAGGCTGTCGCCCATTAGAAAATAACATTTTGCCTCTTTGAGTGGCCCCTGAGCCCACAAGAGGCACGCGATCAATCCAATCTTGACCGGAGTGACCCGGTACCATAGAGAAAAAAAAAAAGATAAGGGTCTAGGCGAACGCTACCCCCTTAGGCTAGTGCTGGTCTGTTTTGGGAGCAATCATATGGCCGGTGAGGAACGTGGCTCGGCCAATTTGGTCCAATTCTCTTCGTGTATGGGATTGTAGGTTCTAGATCCGACCGGGAACCACGTGTGTGGAGCGCGCTCCACGCGTTTCTGTCTTGGGCGAGGATAGGCGAGGCGAGTGAACTCTTATATGGCTAGTGGATCGGCTATTGGACAGGCCCGGATTCCGGCCAAAAGAGCCGCTTGGAGCGGACCAATTAGGAAGAACATTTTGTAGATGAAGCTTACCGAAGATGCCCAATGTCTAAAGATCATAACTACATAGCACATCGGGATTTTTTGCAGACTTCAAATGGATCTCTCATTCCAAAGTCGGGTAGATCGGACTACACTCCCTCTTATGTACTGACAGTGCCTGCAAAGCAGGATTAGTGCGCCCTCTGGGGCTAGCGCTTACTATTTCGCACCTAAGCTTTGAGAAGGCATGAACCCCATCTCGTTGTGACAGATGTAGAACATATGTCCCCTCTGCTGAATACAGTAATGGGGGTACTCAGTTCGAGAACTCTGGCAATATGCAATCCAAATATTGGATAGACAAATACAAACAGCAGATATCCGGGATTCACACATTTTCCGACCAAGAATGGATCCCTTCTTAAAGACAAGGTCGAGTCATGTACTGTTCGTGGATTTTTGGTGTTTACGTCTACATCTATATCGAGTCGTCAGGTTTGTTTTGTAGCCCTGTGGCTTGAAAGGCCTAGGCCAGGTAGTTGAATTTGCTCACAGATGATAATTTGAAGTTAGATACTCATGCCCGTAACTTCTGCGACCTCACTACCTAGACCTTCACGTCATCTTCCTTGGACTCAGAGAGAAGAGAGGATGAAGAGAAAGGCAGGTGCGCGCCCATGAAATACTGGAGTTCCCAGGGTGGCTGTTCAAGGTTTCTGTCCGATGCCTCTTTAGGCACGTAGTCACAACTGCATCTACATCTAAAGCCTATGACTGAGTCACATTGAAGGTCAAAAGAAATACAACAGGTTTTTCCAAGGTTGGAATGAAAGTCAAGTTTGGTTTCGCTCTATGCTATGCACATAACGCTACACTAATCTATGCGCAACCTTATCGCTCAGCCAACAATCCAAAAAGCATCTCTGTACGCTTCCAATATTCCTGTGCGAGTTTCCGCATTGCCTTCACTGCCTCCGCGCCTGGGCCCGCGCTCTTCTGCACGCGTTCTGCGACGCCAGCCAGCTGGGTCGCGTCGCCTAGCATGTTGGCTAGATACATTGCATCGAAGAAGAGTTGGACTTTCCAGTCGTGGAGAACTTCAGTGTGGGATGGCGAGTTGGGAAGTTCTGTGGTCTCCGTCTCGGTCTCTGGAGAATTTTCCGCGTTCTCCTCTTCGTCGCCGTTTTGTGCATCCTTGTCACCTTGGGTCTTGGGCTCTTTGATCTCAGGTTTCCAGGCTTCGAGTTCCTCGAGGGTGGAGCCAAGTGCAGTCTCCAGATGCTTCTGTAGCGATTCCTTTAATACTTTCACGGTTGATGGGTCCCAGAGATCTGAACCATTTTCATCCATGGTGGCTGTCAGACGGCGCAGGTATTTGAATGTACCTGGTGACGGCTGCACAGGGACAGGCGGTGCACCTTCCCAGAGCGATCTGCCAGGAACGACCTTGGCCTTGCCGGTCTCGGGGTGACACTTCGATGACGGGACGAGCGATAGCGAGCCATTTTGAGCAACAATATCGGCGGCGAGTAGCTTCTGCAGCTCGGGTACGACGTTGCTGGAGAACGTAAAGTCTTTGGCAAGGAAGTCTGTTGGAACGTCCCTCCGCACAAGGCGGATAACTCTGAGAAGGAATACAGCCTTTTCGCTTGCGTGGGAGGGTCCAAGTCCCTTGAAGACATCGCCAACTGATAGTTTGAGACTATCAAGAGCCTCTTGCACAGCCGAGTGGAGGGCATCTGATAGAACCTTGGGGTCTTCTTCGTTGAGTTGTGGGTTAACGTCGATGTCTTCGTCGTCGACTTCGCTGCCAACGAGGATGTCAGTCCATTTTAGGCGACGTAGGGAGTCAATAGACTCGTCAACCTCCTGAATGGATGCAAGCCATGATTTATATTTCCGAAGAACTGTAGACACATGTTCATCACGACCAAGGAGTCGGTCCGCGACAGTCTGTTTGAAAGACACAGCACCGTTCGAGAAATCTGCATTGATAATATCCGGGTCCCAGAGGGAGCCAAAGGTCTCATGCTCTGTAGTTTCCCAGGCAGAGATAGTAGATGATATTTGACCTGCGACTTCGTCGATTGATTGCACTTGTCCTGCCAGTACTCGTTTGAGGTGGTCATTGAAGGTTTTACGCAGGCGCTCGAGGACGTCGACAGAGCCATGTGTGATGGTTGAACCCCAAGATGACAGCCATAGCTCCACGGTATCAGCGCGGAGAGATAAAAGTTCGGTGAAGTTGTTACTGTGGGCAAGGCTCTTCTGGCAGCTCTCGGCAAACTTATCAAAGGCTTGCAGAGACCACTCTTTGATTGATTCCACACCCTCAAGGCGGCTCAGTTCACTCAGCTTAATCCACGGCGTAAAGTTCTTGACATCGGGAGCAGCCCAACGACCGAGAACCTCAATATCCAGGCCGTCCAAGCTGCGAATCTCCGGGTCAGAGAGAATAGGTCTTGTCTTTAGCTTGGAGAGAATATCGGAGAATTGGCGTGACCGCAGCACTTTGGAAGTCTGCAGTGTGCGAACGAATAGTCGAAGACTCTTAGGAATGTTTTCGCGCGACACGGCCAGCTGGTTGACAATAACATCCAGGCGGACCTGGTGGAAATGGTGAATGGCATCGTCCGAAGAAGAACTGGTAGCGAGACAGTATGCCGCCAGAGACTCAATGATGTTATCCTCTGGGACGTTTATAGAGGTGAGGCGCTTGTCAATCCGTTTCAACAAGGCTCGGCGGAGAGATGCCAATTGATTGCGGAGGTCATCGAGGAAGGGCAAGGTGCTCTCGTGTTTTGAAAGAGTGGTGTGCAATAGCCGGGAAACAACCATAATCTTTGCTACGAGTAGCAGCGATGCCCGTTTGCGTAGCAGTCTTGCGATAGAGGTAGTGCAACGGTGGAGAAGCGCAAGTTGCGCGCCAAATGCGTGCTTCTCGCCGTCTATCCCAATGTTAGCAATGACCATAACCAACGCTCTGGGGGTCCATACCCTTCTCAGCAGCATCACTCTTCACCAACCGCGCATGTTGGTGCTTCTTCTCAACAAGTCGCGGGTTGCATCGTCGTCCAACATCCGTTAAGATAGACTCCACGTCCTGTATCTCCTGATTCATAGAAACAATGGTCTCGGCAGTTCCAACGAGTTCTCGATATCGGGTCCTAAAGGCATAAACAACGTCAGCAACTCTCCAACGTTATGCGGCGCGGAGTATTTACCCCACGAGAGCTCGGAGCTTCTCCTTATTGCTCGCGATATCCCGGCGCAATTCCTGCTCCACGCGGCGGACCGTGGGAATCGGGTACTGGAATGCATCGTGCCATGATGTCAGGCTCTGGGGATCCGGGGCCTCAGGGGCCATGCTGAATGGGCGATACTGGGGAGAAGCTCGAGGCCGCGTTGAGACCAAATCAGCATCGGTGCCTGAGGCGGTACGCTGATTCAGCTATCGTTATCGGCAGGTGACTCAAAAGAAAATCGTCCCCCGCGATCCCCTCCATTATTCAGCTCCTACTTTCTTGTTGAAGAACTCTTCAAGATGCCGATGATGGACTCAGAAACTTCTCCGGTGGAATCATCTTCCAATGATCTGCCGGACCGGCTCCCTTTCCCGCCCGTCACATATTCTCACATCTTGCACTGCTCATACCATGACTGGCATCCTCGGTATGTCATACATATTTGAGAATATATTTCCCCAAAACGTTCTAATATTTGCTACCAGCTATCGCACACTTGCCCCAAAATCCCGCGTCATCCCCGTCCCATCTTCGTTTGTCAACTATCTCCGCGCCGACGGCATAGTTCTCCCACCCGAAGTGGTACGTCCAAGTGACGACGACGATTACGATACTTTCTCCGACGATGGCGAAGAAGAAGAGGATCCCTCGAAGGATTGGCCAGAGATTCACACTCGGGTCAAAGAAACAATCACCGAATTCGGCAAAGTAACTCCAAAACTCAACTGGAGCGCCCCGAAAGACGCAACATTCATGTCTGCCACAAACGACACAAAGTGCCAAACACCTAACGACATCTACCTCCTCCTCAAAAGCAGCGATTTCATTACCCATGACCTAGACCACCCCTTCGACGATTGCGTTCCTGACTCCGCGGAAGGTACAAACGGCCACTCTGAAGTCGAGAGCGTTCTCCCCGAAGTTCCCTACCACCTAGTCCTCCGCAAATACGCCAACTTCAACCCCTCGCTTGAGTTTAGATGTTTCGTCCGCAACCGCAAGCTTCTGTGTATGTGTCAGCGCGACCAGAACCATTTCGATTTCCTATTCGAGATGCGCGATATGCTGCGTTCGCGCATCCAGTCGTTCTTCGACGAGAAGTTGCGGGATTCATTCCCGGATCCTAACTTTACATTTGATGTTTACATTCCCCAGCCGCATCAGCGGGTTTGGTTGGTTGATATCAACCCGTGGGCGCAGCGGACGGATCCGTTGCTGTTTAGCTGGCTCGAGATACTCCGTATGAAGGGTCCTATTGGGTTTGAGGAAGAGGGTGATGATTTGAATGAAGGGTTTGTGCGGATTTCATTGCGGGATGGAAGCATTATGACTTCTGGTTCTGCAGCTGATGGCAACAGCGATGAAGACTCGGGATCTTCGGAAGATGAGGCTGAGGACGCTTTAGAAGAGGGTGATGATGACATGGCCCCATTTTTGCCTGAGTTCCGTCTCATTAAGAAGAATGATCCCGAGGCATATTCTTTTAGTACCCCGCAGTACTCGGCCCATAAGGTTCCCAGGGAACTGGTTGATGCTTCGCTGGCTGGACCTGCTGGAATGAGTGAATTTATGGGCAAGTGGCAGGATATCCTGGCGCAGCAGGAGCGCGAGGATCAGCAAGCTAGCAGCGACTCTGAGTAGAGCTCATTGACATTGTGGCGCTACCTTGCTTGGTGTTACGAGATCATGTATAAAAAATATAAAAGTACATTTCCGGGGAATCGACTATTTCAATCTACATGTACCCGAAAAGCCTTGGACTTCAAAGTTCCATGGTATTGTCCTCGTTATAGTAATATTCGGAATCAGTTTACCTCCACACTCTTTGACTCTAATTTCCGAACCCTAACTTAAAACACTCTAACATTATGACAATAAATCATTCATATTTACCAGGTAATGCAGTACAATCTGACAAGGATTACTTGAAGGTGGCTAAATTTAGACTTGCGTGTTTTATGCTAGGGGTCGGGTACGAAAGCCTAAGAGTGGAGAGGTAAACATGATTTCGAATATTACTGTAGGACGTAGATGCAGATTCAAAGGGATAATTGAGAGTCTAAAGCCCCTAAGTAGACATCTGCCTTGCCATCAAAGTCGGGAGGCTCACAGCCATCAACTCACAGCTTATGCTTCTTCTCACCAGAAGCCAGCTTCCGGAACTCCTCCTGCGGAATCCCCAAAAGGAAGCGCTCAAGGCCGGCAAATGCCTCGATCCCATTCTGACGGTCCAGAATCTCCCTCTCGGGTCTCCGAACAAGCTCCTTAATACCGAGCAAACTCGTCTGGTTAAGATGCGTTCCAAGACGCTCGTCAACCTCAAGCAAAACATTCTTCAAGAAACCGGCCGAATCATTCTTATCCCCCGAAGCCGCAGTAATAACCTTATTGACGAACCCGGTTGATACGAGCTCGTCACAGGTAATCCGCTTGCTCATGATAAGCGCCTCATTGGCCTTGGCAATTCCAAGACGCTCGACGAATGCGCGACTGGCACCGCCTTCGGCAACGAGGCCGAGAGACGAGAATGGAGTCAGCAGGAATGCGTGGGGCGCGGCATAGATGAAGTCTGCGTGCGCGATTAGGGCTGCAGAAAGGCCTACAGCTGGGCCATTTAGGGCGACGACTAGGATCTTGCTGTGGTTATAGAAGGTGCGGGTTACGTCGACATTGTTGGAGACAAAGCTGCGGACTAGATCGCGGCGGACGCTGGAGTTGAGGTCTCCACTAGGACGAGAACTGGTCACATCTGCGCCGCTGTTGATAATGTTAGTATTGTGGAATTGGGGATCCGGAAGATGGACTGTTATATTTGTGAACGTACGCAGAGAAGAATCGACCTGTTCCGGTGAGAACGGTGATGAAGATATCATCACGGCGCTCAATCTCGCGCAGCCGCTGGCTGAGGAGGTAGTAAAGATCCTGATTAAGGGCATTCAACTTATCGGGTCGGTTGAGAGTAACGATCGCAACACGATCTTGGAAAGTGAGGGTGACAAGTTCTTCGTTCGACATTTTGATATTGGGAATGGGAAATTTTGGGGTCAATTGACAGGATGATCAGTCTAGGACCTCAGGCCGGCCAAGCCGAACATATACTCACCTCAGGCCGCCTGTTTTTGCGGGGAGCCGAGGCCCGCGGTAGATCAGGTGACCTATATCGTTTGCACTGTTTGTCCGAATGAATAATCAACCCCGTGACTGGATATTAGACAATTCGATCATTCCAGTTGCATGACCAGTTATTCTGTACACAGACAGATCTCGATCTCAAGAGTGCAGCCCAATTGAGTACTGAATCCCGTTATTATCTGCTGGGATATACAAACCTACCATCATGTCCAACATCCTCCGCAGACTCCAGGGCGGAAACCTGGAAGTCTTCAAGGTACGCCAAACAAAGTTGCCTCCCCAACCCAAGCCTTTCCAGATGGCTGTTTCCATGGAAATATGGGTTGCAATGGCCGTATATCAGTCCGTTGGATCCGCCGCTAACCGAAATAACAGTTCGGCATGTACATCCTCTTCCCCATCGGCTGGATGTACTACTTCGGCACGAATCTTGACGACCGCTTTAAAGTGAAGGGCTTCTGGCCCACCGAAGAACAATCGCACAAGATCCCTCTCGACAAGGAGGAAATCGATCAGGAGTTGGCGCGCATGCGTATGGCTGACACTATGCGACGGGAGCGCCAGGCCGCGTCTCAGGCTCAAATCCAGGCTCAGCAGGCCCAGGCTGCGAGCACTGAGCAATGAAGGTCGTCTGCAATGTATGATTTCTTGAGGAGCGAGACAAAAGCATGAGGATGGAGGATTGCTACGAGGGCCTGGCGCGGAGAACGAGTCATGCTTCCAAGGCTGGCTCGATTTTCTCCAGCCTGCCTCCTTGAGCATGATCTCTCCATTGATATAGGTTTACACGTTGGAGGGTCAATTGTACAACACTCTGCTCTGGGCATATTTGGAGTTTTGGATGGGATTCTTATGAACTGGATATTATTATTTCTTGTCTATCATTACCGGACCTGTGCATTATACATTCCCCGTTGATTAAAATTATATGCAAATAGGGCAAACACCATCTCTACCAATCGCAGTCATGGACACAGCAGAGTATCAATTCACGATACAATCTGCGAACAGAAACACCGAACGAATCGAACCCTGCAAGCCACGGATGGGGACAGGGAACGCCGCGCCACAAAAAGGATCGAACAAGGGGTAGCACTTGGCACTTTGTATACTCCCCAAGATGAGCTGCCCAACACTCGTTCTCAAAACAAATTGAAAAACGCCCTGATACGCCAGCATGTACATGGAAGGGGCCGAGTACACCGAACGTGAGAAATTAGAAAACGTCTCGGCCCCGCGCCCCAATTCTTCCCCACACCTCAACTTCCTAATGAGCTTTCATATGGCGTGCTTAGAGCTCGGCGAGTCGTTGCGTCGTTGTCACGGCTGTGTTCTTGGCTGTCTCGTAAACTACTCCCAGGGATCGTGTGGCACTTTCGCCGAACACGGAGCTCATGGAGGATAGGCGGGAGGAGATGAAGGGGCGCTCGCCGACGGCGTAGTAGTACATGTGTGCGTAGATGGAGCGGAGGTGGTCGGGGAGGTAAATGTAGATTCCAGCCGCGATCATGGTGATGAGGGTGAGGAGCAGAGAGTCTAGGAAATAAGCGTTAGTCGCATGGTCCGGAGACATCGAGAATTGGGAGTGTAATGGTTCAGAAGAAACATACTGAAGATGAATTTTTCCGTCGGGGTGAGCATGTAGATGGCGAAGGTCACCTCATACTGATAGATCTTCAACCGCACCCAGCGGACAAGGCTGGTCAGAATCCAGAGGAAGAGTGCCATTGCTGTGGGTTCGTGTAGTCGCGTGGGTGGGTAGGATGAATTGCTCGAGACTCTTATGGTCGGCGTTCGGTCGTTTAGAATCCCGAGGTGAGATTGGCTTCTTTGTCCGCAGACGCAAGTTGTCAGGACGGCTTGGCAACGCTGGTGCCTGGTTGAATACGCCCGCTGAGTAGGGGACGCCGGTGATGTGGAGGAGATATGAAGACAAAGTGCGATGTTGCCAAGTCCTTACACAATCATACTGATTGGGGATGGATTTGAGGTGGGCCGGAGGTCGAGGCGTGCGTGGACAGTGGCTGCCGGAGCTCGGTGTAACTTCAAGGGGGCGAAGACGGAAGGGCCCTTGGGGCGTAGGGATAAGAATAAATGAGAATTGAAACAAGCAATGACCGTAATGGGGTGAAGGATAATGTTCAAGGAGCGAAATTAAGATCCGGAGAAATCAGAAAGGAAAAGGGACGTGACGGGCGCCCCCTGTCGCCACAGACTGCACAATTTCGGCGGCCCGTTTCAGGCTCTTCATTATTCATCACCGACTATGAAATTATGAAATGGATTGTGATCATCGGTCCCATCTACCCAGGAGCGAACCAATCTGTATACAAGCAGAACGGAATTGATTATTTGGTCTTCTTCTGTCCTAAACTCTGTTAAGTCAACTGGTGCTTTATAGATCTTTCTCCGTGAGAGCTGAGAGCAAAAAGCGGCGTGAGATGAGCACCGGAACGGAAACGACACACCAGGAAATAGCAAAGGAAATCGGAAATACGCTACTTAGGTAGCATATTCCATAGTCATTCCCTTAATTGCAAGAATCCCTTTTCTTATGTAATGACAATTATTTATGAAAGTCCCTCTCGACAGAAGACCTCGGACGCAAAGCACCGTTATCTTATCGAAGCCATTCACAAAGCGTCGCATCTCCAACTCCGCCGCAAAAGCGCAATGCTACGCCTGCGGCCCTGGTTAGGGCTCGTCAAGCCCACAATACCGCTATCGACATTAATAGCATCACGCGCATTTACTCAAACCCCCCTCCTCCCAGAAAAGCCGCTCCCCGCGCGCCTCAAGCTCAACGATGCCGACCTGACAGTATCCTACCTCAAGGGCACCGGCCCCGGCGGGCAGAAGATTGTGAGTTCACTCCATGGCTTCAATAGACACAAGTTCCTGGCACTGCTAACACAGAAAGAACAAAACCAATTCCGCCGTCCAGATCAGCCATAAACCCTCTGGCATTGTCATCAAGTGTCAGGCCACGCGCTCGCGCTCGCAGAACGAAAAGATAGCGCGCTCGCTATTAGCAGACCGGGTCGAGGCGCGTGAGAAGGGGGATAAGAGTCGCGTTGCGCTGAAGGCGGCGGCGGCGAAGAAGAAGAAGGCTAGTAAGGTTAAGAAGGCGAAGAGGAAGTATCGGGCTCTGGAGAACGGGGAGGAAGGTGTGGCTGAGGATCTCGAGGATGGATATGAAGATGGAGTTGAGGATGAATTGGAAGGCGAAGGTGGCAAGGAAGAAGTGAAGAAGGTTGGTGAGGTGTCTCAGGGCTCGTCTGGGGCTTAACTACTCGGCAACATCTTGAAGATGCTTCGCACCATCTGTACAGTACATGATGCATTGGTTTGGCGTTTGGATCCATTGAGATTCGTGTTGTTTACCCCGTAGCACAGAGCTGGTCTTCAATATCAATACAGACCAGCCAATTATTCGGAGGTTGTTTCTGGGCACATTTCTTCCAATATAGACATGGCATCAAGCGCGATGTTGTGCACAATTTCGGAGAATTCAATACTAAACAATGAACCTACTTGCCGAGCCCTTTTATTGGAAATATCCATTAGGCAGCTGCCAATATCTAACTAGATAGTTGAGGCCAAACACCCTCAAGACTGGATCTAAGAGATTCATTCATTGCATGCATACATGCCGCCCCTCGCGCAGATTTTGCCTCGAAGAAGAGACGACTGCGTAGTGAAATTGTTTTTCAACCATTTTTACTTTTCATCGAATTGACCAGCTAGGTCCCTTCAAGACCGAACTCAGGAGATATAGCTGCCGAGCAAAGTCCTGTCATTGTCGTCCAGACGCGTTTGCGCAAACTGCGAAATGCGGCCGTTGTAGCGCTTGTCCGCTTCTTTGAGATAAGCACCCACCCAGGACTTATAATCATTGCCAGTTTCAGGCCACGGGTCCTTGACCACGGGACGGATGGTGTTCAGAGGAGTGAAGCCAACGCCAAATGACATCTCCTCAACGTCCACATCGACGTCGTCCTTGAGGGCGACCGCCGGGGGAAGCTCGAGGAGCCTAAGCAGTCTGTTGCAGGTAATGCCCCAACCTTTAGCGTACTTGTTTGCGAAGGCATCAGAGTTGGCCAGGGTCTTGGTGAAGGAGATCACGGCTGTCTTGCGGTCCAGGGGACGTGCGAGCTTCTGGGTATCCTCGATGATGACTCCGAGATAGACTTGAGTGAAAAGTCTGCGAAGATGTTAGCATGTTGGGGCATGTCGACTCATTGATGCAACTCACTTCTCTTGGATCTTCTCTGTCGCCTGCATGACGAAGTCGGGGTTGTATCCCTTATCGTCGTGGGCAGTCACGCAGTGGTAGAAGCGGACAAAGCGGAGCGATAGGTTCTCGGTCTTAGAGCCCTGCAGACGCTGCATGATAATTTGCATGATCATGACGAAGTACGGCTCCAACGCGGCGCTAATCGAGACTGTTAGTAGATGATTATGATATTCGGGGACTGAAGACTTACGGAGGGAAGTTCGACACAACCGTCTCCAAAAGATCAAAGGCATAGCCCTCGTTAGCCTTGGTCGAGACCAACTTTTGGAAAATACCCAGAATGGGCTCAAGCTGATTGTGCTCGAGGATGTACTGGGAACCTCTAGAAATGATGGAGGACAGCAGACGAACAAGGGCAGGGGTGTTTCCACGCGACTCCCACATGACGGGCATCAGAATGGGTGCAATAAGTTCCTGGTAGTATCCAGGAAGAGTTGCGGAGGAGTTGGCCTCCAGAAGAGCCGCAAACAGTTGGAAAACATAGGGCATGAATTCTGGGAAAATATCAGCTGAAGTCAAAATATAGTGGTGGTGTATGACCGACCTTGCACATCACCTTGCAAAATGGCGGCGAAGGGTGTGTACAGAGCTTGCTCAAGCTTGTCGGGGTTGGCAGGAGCGGCATAACTACGACATATTAGCATCGGTTGAAATTTGTGCCAAAAAAAAGACTATAAAAGACTCACCGGATGAAAGCGCCCATGGCTTCGAAGTGGAAGTAGTAGAATCGCGGGTTGCTAGGATTGCTGGAAATGACCTGAGTGATAGTAATCAGACGCTCCAGAACAGTATCCGCGAATGGAACCACACCCTCCTTAATAACAACCAGAACACGCATCACGCATCGCATAAGGAACTCGTTCTCTTGCACCTTCTGAGGGGCAGGGTCGCTCTGGATCAGCTTGAAGATGTGTTCCAGCAAATCCTTAGCCAGAGGAGTGATCTGAGTCGGGGCAATGACGGGTTGTCCTTGGGCATCAGTAAGGACGAGAACCCGCTCAAGAGCAATTGCAGCATATGTGTAGACAACATAGTTGGAGGAAGCCAGGTGGTTCACCAGAATGGGGAGAACACCTTGCCATTGGTCTTTTGTGATGATGCTACGGAAGTTGTAGAGATACTTGATAGCATCAACCTTGAGGATGGGGTGGATGCCAGCATCGGTGACCAGATCCGAAGCAAGGTTTTGCGAAAAGAAATCGGTGATGCTGACCAGGTTGTTGGTAGCAGTGACACCGTGTGTCGAAGTGGCAACGCCCTTGGCCGCAATCGCAGAGAAGAGATAAGTGGCCGTATCCTTAGCCTTCCAGTTTGAGGCCGGGTCCTTAGCAAATTCAGCCAAGTAGTGCTCGGTGTACTTGAGAGTAACCTTGGTCACGGATTCCTCGAATTTCTCCGCCAGTCGTCGGAGGAAGTCGGTAGCAGCCCGCCGCCTGGTCTCGCTATCGGATCCTTCCAGGTCTCGTCGGATGAATTCAATCGGCTCATCCTCGAACAGTTCCTCGTCCGACTCGCGCAGGCTGACGTTGGGTAGAATGACCTTCTCAATAAGTTGACCCAAAGTTTCATCGGCCTGGAAAGAAGCGGCATGCTCGGGCATGCTGGCGACCGAGGTCAAGAAGTGCAGAGCTCGGCTCACCAGAAGGTCGTACTTGGTCTCCTGGCCAATGGTGGTCAAGAAGCTCCACGAGCTCTGGATAAACTGCCCAACAAGGCCACCGAATGCATCCAGGTATTTCTGCACGTACAGAGTCAGAACTTCGAAAATTCCAGCACGCACATATTCGAGCAAGCCAGCCTCGGTATCGTCATCGGTGTAGAGAAGTTGGTTGTCATAAGTGAGGTACTTGAGCAACATCTGAGCAATGCCGGAGATGTTGTCTTCAAACATGGGAGGGAGATCGTGGCAGGATAGATCGTAGAATAGTTTGATCATCAGGTTCAATTGAGTGAAGCCCTTTGTCAAATTCTCCTTGTTGCCCTTGTTTTCCTCAAGATAGGCGTCCAGGCTCTAGAAAATGAGACAGAAAATTAGAATGCATACTCAACGTGCAGTCTTCGCCAAAAGGGAGAGAGCCGATCTTACCTCCAAGAGACCGAGGAACGGAGTGCCAAACTTGCCCAACACATGGTTGATCTCCACATACAGATCGTTGGATTGGAAGAGCGGGCGCCACCGCTTGAAAATGGAGTGTGCAACCTGCAGCACGCCAATGTTGGTGGTAGGGTCATTCGACAGCTTAGAGACGAGATCCTGGAAGGGAGACAGAAACGTTAGCAGAGGCGACCGAGCACGCTTAAGTGTACTTTCTACTTACATCCACAAGGGTATCCCAGCGCTCCCAGAAATCACTGTCGGCGATCACACTGACGGCATCACCAAGTTGAGACTGGATACCGGGGGGCATAGAAATCATCAAGCTGATCAACTCGCGCTTGATGGTTGTAACCTCCTCCAGCGGGAGCTTGTAGTTTCCATCCTCGTTCGTCCAGTTGCGCTTAATGAAGTTCTTAAAGCAAAGGGCGCTAGCGAGGCGGATGTGGTTCGGGGAGGATGGGGACGCCGTGATGTGAAGGAGTTGTAGCGAGAAGCCAGGCTTTTGTTCTTCCTGGCGTAGGGCATTTTCGGCTGCAGACAGAGGAGAATAGGTCAGTGATTATCAAAAGTACCATTGAGAGGACATTGCCCGCTCACCTTCCTTGTTCCGTCTCGGATCCAAGCTTGCCTCCAACAGAGCTCCAAGAGCCTCCGCCATTTTCACCGGACGTGGGGTATCAACAGAGGGAGGGGCCGGTCTGAAGAAGAGCAATGCGCAATGGTAGATGCGGAGAGAGTTTTTTCTGCGACGTCAGAGCCCTTTAAGAACAACGGGTGAACGAAGTCGGTGACAGAATGCGCGGGTAAAAGCAGAGCTCAAAGATCATAATAAATAATGAGGGCCGACGATATACGGGCAGCCCACCGCAACAACACGCTAATCCCTATATGGTTGGTGCGTCACATGTGCGCTATTCTGCTTCTGGCGGCTTAAGAGCCTCAGGCCAAGATGTATATTTCTTTGATCGCCTGGGACATTGCAAACGGCCCTGAACACTCTGTTTCTGGTGAGTTGCTCTGGAATTCAAATCTTCTTTAGGCATAATTTGAGACATTTATTGATTCTTTCAATCTATGGGTTTGTGTAAAAGTCTGTCTGAGGATGCGTAGACAGGTAATTTGTTCACTACTTGTCTACTCAAGCTTTCGAGTGCTGATTTCGAATTTTGCACGAGGATACATATTTATTTGCAATTCTTGATTAAAATGTAGTGATGCAGTGATGGATTGAATGCTCTATATAAATTATATGTTTGTTTTTTTAATCCATGCCTAATGATGAACTCCGCCAGATCCTGTACATATGCTTAGATGATAATGTTGTCAACGCCATTGGCCAACTTGTCCGCCTCATTCGCCTGAGACGCCTTCATAACCTCATCGAAGACACCAGCGGCAGCAGAAACAAATCCAAGGAAAGGCTTGCTAGGTGCCAGAACACGGGAGAGATACTCAGGGTGGAACTGAACACCGACGAACCAGGGGTGGTCCTCCAGCTCAACAATTTCCATGCGCTCTCCCTTGTCGTCCTTGCCAATGAAGTGCAGACCGGCCTTCTGCAGCTGGTCAATGTATTCGGGGTTCACTTCATAACGGTGACGGTGACGTTCGTCAACGGATGTGCGGTTAAGACCGTAAAGAGCACGGAGTTTAGACCACTCCGAGTTCTCCTGGAAGATGGTTGGGCGCGAGCCAAGTCTCATTGTGCCTCCGAGGTTGACCTTGTCAATCTCAGGCATGAAGACGATCATGGGGTGAGAGGTACGTTCATCCAATTCGACGGAGTTGGCTCCCTCGAGACCGCAGACGTGACGAGCATACTCGATCACGGCAATCTGCATACCCAGGCAAATACCCAGGTAGGGCACCTTCTTGGTACGGGCCCATTGAGCAGCGAGCATCATACCCTCGGTACCTCTGGTACCAAAGCCGCCAGGAACAAGGATTCCGTTGGCGGTGGTAAGGGCGTGCCACGCGGCATGATATTCTTGGGGGTTTTCTGCCCTCGCGCTGTGCTCGAGGTGCGAGGCATCAACCCAGATGATGTTGAGCTTCTTGCGAGAAGCCATGGCAGCATGCTCAAGTGACTTGATCACAGAAAGATAAGAGTCATGGAGACTGACATACTTTCCGACCAAGGCAATCTCGACGGTGTCGAAAACGTGCTCTTGGGAAGTGGTCAGAGTCTTCCACTGTTTCCAAGTGGACTGGCCCTTGATCACCAGAGACTGAGGAAGTTCAACATTCTGGATCTTGAGAAGATCACTGAGCACGTGCAAGAATCCTTGCTTCTCAAGGAGCAGCGGGACATGGTAAGTGGAGCTGACGTTGTGCACGCCAATGACCTGCTCGGGTTCCACCTGGCAGAACATAGCGATCTTATCGGTGGTAGCTCGATCCAGAGGCCGTTCACAGCGACAGGCAATCAGATCAGGGCTCATACCAGCTGAGCGAGCGTCACGAATAGCCTGTTGCGTGGGCTTGGTCTTGAGCTCATCCCCAATTACGGGGACAAGGCTGACATGAATTTGGACAAAGTTATCCTTGCCAGCTCGGCGACGGAGCTGACGCAGACCCTCGACGAAAGGAGCGCTCTCAATGTCACCCAGAGTACCGCCAAGTTCGATGACACAGACGTCGGGCTGCTCGTTGGATTCGTCAACGGGGGTCCGAGCGACGCGCTCAATCCAGTCCTGGATTGCGTCGGTCAAGTGTGGCACGATTTGGACGGTACGGCCGAGGTAATCACCACGTCTCTCTTTGGTGATGCAGTGCGAATAGATCTTGCCGGTGGTGATATTGTTATCTCTTCCGAGAGTAACTCCAAGATAACTACAAGACCGATCATCAGCTTTCTGCAAGGGTTTTAATTTTAATTTTTTTGGAGGGTGACTCACCGCTCGTAGTTTCCGAGGTCAAGATCTGCCTCTCCGCCGTCGTTCAGCACGAAAACCTCTCCATGCTCAGTCGGTGCCATGGTTCCGGCATCAACATTGAGATAGGGGTCAATCTTAATGGAAGTCACACGAGCTCCGAGGGTCTTGAGCAACAAACCGGCACTCGAGGCAATTACGCCCTTACCGATGCCAGAGATGACACCTCCAGAGACGACGACGTACTTCATGATGACGGTGTCGAAAAGAGTGAAAGTTCAAAAGAATCCAAATATTTGAAGAGAATGAATAACGAGGAAAAGGCCCTTTGTCGAGTATATCAAATGTAGGGTGTCCTTCCTGGCTTCTGCCAGGAGGGGAGGAAGAGAAAAACACTGCAGAATTGAAGCTGCACTTACTTTTCACGGCTCACCGCCCCCCACTTTGACTTTTTTCTGCTTCATTTTCTGCTGCTCCACCAGGGCGGTGACTACACAATGACGGCCCTATCCCGTGACTTGGGCTGGAATAACCTCATTCCCCGTGATTTCAAGTGACTCCTCTACACCCCTTCCGCCTGTTGTTTCGTCGCTCATCCTCACATCTATCGAACCACTCAGAGCACTACGAGCTGTTCATTGTTGAACTTGTAGCTCTTGCGCATCCGTTCGGTCCATTTGCCTGCGCGGGTCCCGCTTTGACACCCGGCGCCAGATTGTACTTTTGCTGCAGCGCCTCCGAGAGTACCGACTTTGCCCCTGACTGCACAGGATATTCATCAAAATCTCCTGATGCTCTGAAAAGCTTGTTTTCGATCCTTGATTAACGGTGAGGCTGCATTGCCCAGCCCTGGGGGTTATGACACATCATACTGACTAGATGCCCTGGAATATACAGATAGACCAAGTCTTCATTCGGACCCCACCCTGCCATTTTCAGGCGGATGTCTTCCGATGATGCTCCTTCAGCACCCCAACACAAACTCTCTTCTACCAGCTTCGTCGATGTCTTCAAGACTCTAGGAGTCGGCCGTCCGAAATCGCATTCTCCGGTTTCTCTGCAAGAGAGCAATAACGACCAAACAACAGATAGTCGAGGAAACAGCCGGCTTGTGCTCGGATTCGAATCAATGCATCGTGGCAGCGTTGTGTCAAGCTCGTCGGATACCCCTAGTGGCCCGGATTTCGATGCTTCTCTCCGGATCTTGTCCAACAAGCAAAATTTGGCCCAGGCGGTAGAAGAAGCAGAGGCGCTGTCAAGAACTATTCCCTGGTTTAGTGCAGAACAGTCAATGGTACTATGGGAGGCAGCGGAGTATCTTTTACATCATGAACATTCCGGGGAGGCCCAGAGGAGCGGGGGCAGGTTACTGGAAGCGATCGCAGCCCGTCAGGATCTATCACCATCTTCGAGGCGTGTCATTTTTGAGGCCATCGCCTGCCCCACCGACCCTGAGCTGGTTGCTTCGCGGGTACAGTCGTTGGTCGCCTTATCGGATCACGGCAGAAAGTTGGACTTCACCAGTACCTCTATTCTCCACATCATTGCTTCGTGGGTTATGCCTCTCTATGACACTCTGGCCGCTGCACGCAACAAAGCGAAGAGGGTGAAAGCTGCCAAGCCCAACGAGCTTAGCCACTATGAAGCGGTTTTGGAAGAGCTCTTCCAATTTGCGGAGGACTTGATCACTCTCCAACGCAAGCCACCAACCCAGGAGGAAATTTCACTGCTCCTTACAGAAACCATCACTGTTTGCAAGAAGACAAGTGTGGCGAGTGATATCAAGAACTCACTGGCAGTGTTTGAGGCTATCATTGACTATGCAAATGTGCCAGATGCCAGCTTCATTCCTCTCCTGGAAGTGCTTTGCAGTATTCATGCCTCTGTTAAATCCCTCTCTGGACCTACTTCTCGGACAGTTCGCAGTTTGGCAAAGTCTCGACGACAGGAAGAAATGGTAAACACCTTGCATACATTCATGAGGGAATCATGCGCCAAAGACCAGTCACGGAATTTAAATGTTCTTCGAGGCACGATTTACGTCTTCTCTGATCTCGTTCGTGACTACGGTCAGAATGGAATGCCCCAAATTAGTTTTGGTGAATTGGTTGATTCGCTTTTGGCTATTGCTCAGAAAGACGAGGGCAAGGTTGACGCTGATGTATTGGACCTCTGTCTAAGCATATTGGAGGGCAACTTCGTCCGAGTTGCGTTGGCGTGTGATTGGTCGAGCTTTGTCGAGCTTCTGCTCCTATGTTCTCGGCGGGTCTTTGACGAACCCGAGGACTCCGTCTCATCTCCGACTAGTCCACCGCAGCACCCTGTTAAGAACACACCTGATGATACCAGATCGCACATTGTTGCCAACACAACACGGATAGCATCCGCCATTGAAGCACTGTGGGAACAGCTCACCAACGAACAAAAACAACAATCTACTCAGTTCTTGATGAGAGGATACGCGCACATCGAGCCATCTCAGGCTGAGCTGATCATCAACCATATGCGACACGACAAGATCTGCTATCCATCCGAAGATTCGTCTTGGGTGCAGCACTGCCAGGAATTGATTGAGCGTTTCATTCAGCCTCGAAAACAGAGCTCCGATATTCGTATCATGGCTTTGGATACGCTGAAAGAGGCTCTTTCTGGCAATGATCAGCTCCTTTTTGCGGAAGAGCATGGCTTGTTGGATCGGCTCCTTCAGGACTTCTCCGCAGAACACGACCTTCTATTTTTGGAATCGTTGGTCTCGTTTATCACGGAACCGGCAACTCAAGTCAACGATTCCGTATTCAAACGCTTGGTGGACACCATTAGCTCTCCTATGGCGAATGACTTGCACACCGGCGAACATCGCGAGATTTCTCCCAACTACAACTCCTCTCGTCGCACATCAACCACCAGCCTCTTGGAACTGACTTTGTCCAATGTGTGTGCTGTGAGCCTCGTGAAGATGATGCTTCGTGCTTTGAATCATTCTGGTACCAAGTCTGTCATCATTTTCGAAGCTCTTTTGCAGATCGCTCAATCCTCGGATCGTCCAACCGACTCCCGCCTGACTGTCTTGAAGCTACTTTTCCGGCTTCGTTGTGACTCAGCAGGATCTGTGACGGTAGTGTCAACATCAGAAGGTGATTTCTTGATGAATGTTTTGGGCCGGAATGTCGATGTCGCCGGTATGGTGCATACATCTGTCGACAGTCCTACGAAGGACGTGCCGCATGATGCTTTGCCGCCTCTAGCTAACGCGAAGATCCCTTCGAAGGAGCCATCATCCAGCCTTTCGTCTAAGTCCGCCCCTCGAGGCTCCATTTCTGCCCGTTCTTCAAAGTTGACAGCTCCGGTATGGACACATTCCTTGCCACAGGTTCTTCCGGAGCAGCCTCCCGGAGAGTCCAGCCGTCTTGTCTTTGCCTATACAATGGACGGCGCATTGGACCCGCCCGAGTCCATGCCGGCTCAGGTTGGCGTTTTGAAGGTGAACATGTGGCTTGAAATTGTGATCGCGTTACTTCAACGAGAGACCGACTGGGATGTCTACAGCTATCTCCTTACGCATCTTGGGCCCCAGCTTGCCAACAAGGACTTCTTCAATAACTCGATTCCTCAGGTCAAGCTGCTGCGTAGCATCTTGTGCGATCAGGTCAAGAATGAGACATTCCATGAGCCCCCGGTAACGACTGGCTTGAAAAAGAGCGATGTGGCCGCTTGCATCTTCGATGCGTTGTGTATGCTGGTCAGCTATCACGAGCATTTTGCTAAAAGTGAGGAGGATGACCTTGTCCGGGCCTTCATGTCTGGTATCATCGGTTCCTGGGGTGCGACTTCTCGTGGATGCATTCAGGCACTCTCGCTATGCTGTCACGAGATCCCCATGTCGGTCACCAAGTCACTTATGAGCATTCTCGACAGGATGGCTAAAGTAATTACCATGTCGAACATTGCCGTTCATATCTTGGAGTTCTTGGCTCTGCTTGCACGACTTCCGGAGGTCTATGTCAACTTGCGAGAAGAGGAAATTCGCACCGTGTTTGGAATCTGCATTCGATTCCTGCAGACAACCCGAGAACAGCGTTACAGAAGCTCTGACTCACATTCGGTTCGGCCTGCTCAGAACCCATCAGCAAGATCTAGTGTTGGTTCACGGGAACATGCCGAAGCCACCGAGCCCCCTACACAAGATGTCATGTCAAGCTACGTCATGACCTTGACATATAATGTTATGGTCTTCTGGTTCCTGTCTCTGAAGCTGCAGGATCGCGCAAGACACGTCAACTGGATTACTAGCCGTCTCATCTTCCGTGATGACAATGAAAAGGAGGTGGTCGAGGAACAAAGCCAGGTTTTCATCGACCTGATGCAACGTGTTGCATTCTCAGATCTTGGCGAGACTATTCCATTCGAAACATTTCCTCCCACTCCAGAGGATGGACCTGTGTTAAAGAAATCCTGGGCTGTGGGCATGAGTCTCGTCACCGTTGAAACCGCCGGTGCATCTGGACTGACGCAGATCACGAAGCGCCAGGCATCTGGCACAACATACTCAGTGTATCAGCAGCGGACAGCCCCTGTACTTCCACATCAGGTGCCTGCAACTGTAGATGCTCACCTGCACTCTGATTCTACGCGCACAGCAATTCTACCGAGCCACATCATGCTGCAGATGACCGCGACTGCCTTCCCAACCCCGACTGTGATGCAGCCCATTCCAATCCCCGAGGATGACATTACTCGACGAGCAATCAGCAGCTTTGATCGTATCGATATTGTCGACGGTCACAAGATCGGTGTTGTCTATGTTGATAATGGTCAGAACAAAGAAGCCGAAATTCTGGCCAACACTGGAGGCTCTGCAGACTATGAGCACTTCCTCTCGGGGCTCGGATTCAAGGTGTCGCTTCGGAACGCCCAATTCAATACCCAGGGTCTATACGCCGACACTGATGGAGAGGCCACCTATGCGTGGCGTGATCGAGTGACCGAGATTGTGTATCATGTCGCGACCATGATGCCTACTGACTTCGACCGCGATCCTACCTGCATCAACAAGAAGCGGAATATCGGCAACAACTTTGTTACCATCGTGTTCAACCGTTCCAACCTCCCCTTCAACTTCGACACGATCCCGTCCCAGTTCAACTCCATCAACATCCTCATCACACCCTCGAGTAATGTCGCGTATGATGAGTCTGGCTCTGTCAAGGGAGAGACCGATCCAGATCAGCTTTACTACAGTGTGCAAGTGATGAGCAAACCGGGCTTCCCTGACGTCTCACCTGCTGCAACCCCCAAAGTCATCTCAGGCAGAAACTTGGCGCCGTTTGTGCGAATTCTCGCCCTCAACGCGTCTGTGTTCTCTCTCGTCTACAACACTGAGGGCGGCGAGCATGCATCTTCCTGGCGCACCCGTCTCCGCGAGATCAAAAAGGTTCGCGAACGAGCATTGGCCGCCCAAGCCCAAGGCTCCGAGGCTTCAGAGGGAGCCTACCCAGGCCTGCGCCGCAACACGAAAGCCAGTATCTTCTCCGAAGAAACACCTATCCGCACTCCTCCAGCCAAGACCGACTCTATCTCGGAATGGACCGCAGCCTCGGATACAAACATTCTCCAGAATCTCGATTTCTCCCGCTGGAGCCGTTAGTGTTCCTTCTACCCACCTACTTTACTTCCCTTCCCAGATGGGGCACTCCTTTACCCTCCACTCACCTTTCTTCTCTGAACCTTTGATTCTCAACTCACCAAATATACACCCCCAAAAAGAAACGACAGACCTTGCCACGAGCAATGAACGACCCCCGGCACGAATTCATGTACATCACCTTGCTTTTTTGTAATGCAGCACTGCGGCATTTGTGAATACCCCATCCCCAAAAGTTCTGTGTTTTATGTCTTGCTCTCTGCTCTTTTTCGGCAAAACGGAGACTGGGCGCTTGTTTCTATTTTCTGGTCTTCAGATCGAATAGCTTCCGCAATTACGATCGATAGTGTTCGTGTAAGGATCATTGATCCCTTTCCGTATCTGTTTCTGTTCCTATCTCGGGAATCATCCTAGACTTTTGAGCATTGACTCCGTGTCGCTTCTCTTGCCTTCACCTGAATATTAACCCGGCATCAGTTCTAAATGTAGACTCCCCGTTCGCCCCCAGGCCCTTCGCCCCGGGGGCCACCAAAAACTAGTATTACGCAAGCCATAGATCTATCTCCATCAACTCCACTAGACATATCAGATCAACCAACCACACAGCACAGGCCTCTGTTATTCTCACGACAAAGTTTATAGAAATACCCCTACCCTCGGAACCTTTCCAATCTTCAATCCCTCATCACAGACAAACACCTCGATATGGAGCACCTCACTCTCCCATCAGGGCGTGTCCTAGCATGGAAAACCTACGAGGCCTCAGAACACACCCCAGCCCGAAAAGCAATCTTCTACTTTCACGGCTTCCCAGGCTGCGCCCTCGAAGCCAGCTACCTACGCAGCTATCTCCAAAAACACAATGCACGCTGCATAGCAATCGACAGACCAGGCATGGGCAACTCAACATACTATGAACGGACAATAACAGACTGGCCATCCGACGTTCTCGCCGTCGCAGACCACCTCAATCTTCCCCAATTCTACATCCTCGGCATTTCAGGCGGTGCACCCTACGCCCTAGCATGCGCAAACTCCATCCCTCGCGCCGACGGCACTACTGGCCGATTACGCGGCGTGGCAGTAGTCAGCGGGATCTATCCGACAACGCTTAGCATGGCCGGGATGCTGCCTGAGCTGCGCACGCTCCTCTTCTTTGGCGCTTGGTTGCCACGGTTCGCCACGGGGGCTCTTTTGGATTTCCTAATAGGGCGGGCGGCGAGGAATGTTGATCCTAAGGTTTTGGAAGATCGTATGGATCAAGTCATGGCCAGCAGGCCGGAGACGGAGAGGGGTGTTTGGACGGATGGAAATGTGCGTGCTGCTGCGCTGGAGTCTACAAGGGGTGCATTTAGACAGGGTGGGGCTGGGGCTGGGGCTGGGGTTGCGATGGAGTTGATGTTGCTTGGGGACTGGGGCTTTAGGCTTGAGGATATTGATGGTAGGGATGTGAAGCTTTGGCATGGGAGGTTGGATCACAATACGCCTGTTGGGATGGCGGAGGAGGCGGCCGTACTTATTGGGTGCAGGACGAGCTTTGGGGAGGTTGATGGGCATATGAGTATGTCTTTCAATCATGTTGATGAAGTTTTGAAGGATCTCCTTGAATGAAGTAAGGAGTTTGTTATATCTGGGTGGTCAATCGTGTTGGTTTGACAGATTTGTCGCATACGCATAGCTTGTTAGTCTACATCCAGTGAAGGTCAGGGTTAATTCAATTCAATTTCTAAATCGGAGCACGCTATGCTATCTACCTGACATTCCAATATCCACTATTCAAACCCAACCTATAACCTATAACCTATAACCTATAACCTACCAAGCCAAAACCTCCCTCTGACTCCCACAAGCAAGTCCAGCACAAATACCCTCATCACTAGCGCTAACATCCTCACCACCCCCAACAACATTCTGCCTCGCTGGCGCAATCTCCCTCGCCTCTTCAAGTTCCCTCTTGTAATGCTCTGTAACAACTTCCCGACACGTCTCCTGGAAAAACAACGGCGCCTTTTCATACTTCGGATGAAGTTGACCGTTTACAAAGACACCGCGCTCGAGGTTTCGTTGCGCATTCGTACAGAGGACTTTATCTTCGCGCATGACGCGCTCGTACATATCGCTTATCAGACGGAAGTCTGCTTCGGTGGAGTTGCGATTTCGGTAGATTTCGTAGGACATGGTTGAGGACTTGGGGCCTTTGGGTACGAATTTCTGGACCATGATGAAGTGTGGTCTTTTGGTAGTATGTTAGGGTTTGAATATGTTGTGAATCGGGGACGGGATTGGGACTTACGAGACGACCATGGCTGTTGCCGGGAAGTAGTAGGTACTTGCCGTGTAGAGACCTTTGGCTAGTTGTTCGGGTGTAGAGACGCAGTGGTGTTGGATGTGGCCGTCTTTGAGATCGCTGTCAAAGGATTCGAGATTCAGGAATTCAGGGATATCGGCGTGTGTCGTTGGGCAGTGGTAGCATTCGTTGAAGTTATCCGCCAGGATCTTCCAGTTGTAATGACCGTCCAACTCATAGGTATGGCTGAGATCGTAGTTGTCAAAGTCGTATGCCTTGTACCGGTCCTGCTTATCGACGTTGGCGAAGTGTTCTTCCCACGACACCTCGGGCGTTTTCTTCGCATCCATATTAACCCAGATGAACCCGTTGATGTCAACCTTGACATGGATCCGGAAGAGGCCGTTCTGCTCTTTGTCGAAGCCGTCCAGGTCTTGATACCCGGGTGCTTTGGCCATTTTGCCGTTCAGTCCGTAGGACCAGCCGTGATACCGACATGCTAGGATCTTGGCGTTTCCTGATCCTTCTTGTTCGATGACGGGGTATGCGCGATGACGGCAGACATTGTGGAAGGCATTGATTCCACCTTGTCGGTCACGGGTAATGATGAAGTCGAAGCCGGCGATCTCAAACCGCAGCCAGTCGCCTGTATTCTTGACTCGCGAGCTGTGGGTGATAAGCAGCCATCTTTTGGAGAAGATTGCTCGACGCTCCAGCTCGTACATCTCCGGCGAGGTGTACCAGGAAGCCGGCAATGCACGAACAGGTTTATCTTTGGCAACTGGAGTAGATTCTTTCGAGCTGCCGAAGCGGAAGTAATGCATCATCGAGGTCGCCATGATCGGTTCAGTCACAATAGCATTCAATAATAAGGAGGATTTGTAGAGAATCTCAGAAGATATCAGCGAGTTATAACAATCCTCTTATACCCATTGATCCCATGTTTGATATCGCCAAAACGGGTCATGTTCCACAGTTGCACGGGGCCCCGGCTTCCCGATTCGGTATCAGAACCCAACACTAGTCGCACCCGTTAACCCAGACCAGTCACGGAACACACCAGCTAAGCTTTATGATACTTAGAACTGCTATTACCTGGTCTATCGTCATGTTACACACCGTAAGTCTCGGCTGACCCGAGGTATCCTCGGGTTGGAACCCGTATAGCTCCCCACGCCCCCAGGATAGTATTGCCACTTTATACTTCTTTTGATCTGTTTGGGTATCGAGCTAGTGACAGCCAATTAAAATTGGCGGATATCGTCAGATGATGTTTATTGACCCGTTACACCCCCAGCTCCAGACCACATCCTGGGGTCTTGATGGATGTCTCGGTTACGGAACCCGACGGAGGGTGGTGCAAGGTGATGTGGATTCGTATAACTGGAATGGTAGGTGCTCAAGATAAGAAAGATATGAAGCTGCTTGGGCATTGGTTTCTGATTCTTCAAATTTCTTTATGTTGGTTGTTATCATGCTTTCGGGTGCCTTGGTGGCCTAGATATACAACTCGGTTCATGATATCATAACATTCTCAGACTTCGAATGGGTCCTCCGCTTGCTGCGATTATCGCACACCCCACCGTATAGAATTTTGGCAATCATCTTTCCTCGAGCTTGGCCGTGTCGTGAGGATACGGCACTATGCCAGCGGACTGGGCTGTTATCACACGTGCAACGACCCGGATACATCATCCAGTGAAACGGCACCGATAAACGCAGCACCACCTACTCACCCCTCCTAGCTCAAGCTACGACTAGTCTGAAAGGGGAACTCCTATTTGATGATTTTGATTTCTTCATTGATTATAAGATAAAGCTAACAAGGCAGACAAAATAGAAAAGGGATGTGGTACACAAGACAGCACCGGCTGGTCTTTCCAAAATAGGAGTAGATGTGTAAGTCCAAAGAATGACAAGATCAACAGCCAGTCTCTCCCTCAAGTACTAGATCAAACCCACCAAGGCAATTCAACACGTCACAACTGATCTACCATCCAAAAATCTCCCCAACACTAACTGTACTCCACCTGACACCGGCAACAGCAAAGATCATCATGACGACATCAACAACACCCAGCACTATCGCCCCCATCATGAATCTCGGACTGAAGATCCGATACAACATAAGATGGCGCCTCAGGTGACCTGCCCACATCGTCGTAGCGAGATTAATAGTCGCTAGATACAGAATATGCGTAGCAACAGCCTGCATGACATCCGAAAGCAACTTCGTCGCCGGATTAGCCGATTTAGAGCCTTGTGTCTTGCCGTCGTGGGTTTGCAAGGGCCGTTTCCAGAGGACTGTAAGTGGGACGGCGAGAGCGACTAGGATTTGTGCGCCAAATGTGTTGAGGATGACGAGGAGGGGGGACCAGGGGTATTTGATGGTTGAGAGGGGGATGAAGGCTGTTTCCCATTGGATGCTACTTAAAACGGCCTGGTGGCCTGTTTTGAAGAAGTAGAATGAGCCTAGGAGGCCGAGGACAACAGGGCCGATAGGAGAGTTGGAGAGGGTTAGGGCGTTTGTGTCGAGGATTTCGAGAAGGGAGAGGATTTGCCAGAGGAGGAGGGCGATTGCGCCCTGGCCCATGGGTTTCTGCATAAGGATGATAGCGAGTGCAAAATTGAGGACTAGGAAGAAGAAGCGTGTGCCGTGGAGGTTGCCAAAGCCGAGAATTGTGACTGTTTTGCGTGGTGTTGGTTCGGGTTGGCCGAAAATTAGGGGCGCGGGGGGCGCGGATGGATCCTCTTGGGGTTTGGTGACTTGGGGTGCGCTGACGCTGATACTGACACAGGGTTTCGAGTAGAAGTAGGCCGCTGTGCCGGCGCCGAACGCGAGGGCGAGGACTAATTGAGCGAGGAAGGTGCGCACGGATTTGAGGGTTTCTTTGCGAATGGGCAGCCATTCGCCGTCGTCGGCACCTTCAAGCATCCAGAAGATGGAGGTGATGAGGAGACCTAGGCGGAAGGCGAAGCCGATCCAGAGGGTTGCGGCGCCTTCGTAGGATTTCGAGCCGACGTAGAAGGAGCGCACGACGCTGGGAAGGAAGAGAGTGACTAGGAAGGGAATCGCAAGTTGCCAGGGGGCAGAGATTGAGGAGGTGGACGAGGCGTAGTATGTGGAGCGGCAGAAGGGCATTTGCTCCTCGCGGCAGAGACGGGAGAATGATGCCACACGGCCAAGGATGACGAAGAGGACTGAATGGTACACGCCCAAGACCCGGTCTGTGGTTAGCTTCTGGCGCATTGAAGAAACACCGGCGCAGACACCGAAAGTGGTAAGGAAGAAGAGCAGGATATTGTCCTCCCAGATGGTGTAGGAGTTGGATGCGAAGCCGACGGACTGAGAGACCGTGAAGAAGAAGGCGAGCCATCCCCATATGCCGATAGGAACAGGAATGGTCAAATTGGCCGACTTCGTCACCATGGCGAAGAAGCCACCAACCATGCTTCCAGCCGCGGCAAGGAGCACGGCGAAGTCGATGACCGTCATCCCAGTGATTCCAGTCAAAGCCAAGGCGGCGCCTGCTACGGCACCAAAACCAGCACCAACAGCAGCTCGAGAGAGGAGGTCAGGCGTAAGCTCCGTGCGATCCGAGTTCATACCACGGGCATACAACACCAGCAACACAATACCGGAAATCAAGAGCGCCACACCCTCAATCATACTAGGCACATCGAAACGCGCCCAAAGACCACGGCAAACATCTAGAGTGTGACGCTGATACTTGCGATAAAGATCATAACTAGCTCTCGCGGCATTCGACTTCGACGAGAAACCCTTCGAAGTAGCTTTGAATGCCTGTTCCGCAGCATCCCAGAGCTTAAACGACTCCTCGTCATCACCAGCACCCCGCACCTTCGCATACTGATGCTGGTATCTCTTGATCTGCGCCGAGGTGAGATGGTTCACAGCCACCAAATTAGCCCAATCGTTTCCTTTAGCTCCGACAAATGCTTCCTCGATAGGAGAACCCAGGTTATTGAACGGAATGGGCATTCCAAGGAGGAGTGACAGTGTCGGGACAAGGTCGATTTGGGGAACGGGGCGTTCGCGCGCGTGCTTAGGCGGGAGCACTGTGTCCTTGCTAGTTCGGCCGAAGATGCCACGCTTGGAGTACATCCACAGGGCGGCTTCGACTTCGTCGTCTGATTCGCCGCCGTGGTCGCCCTTGGTGTCCATTCCGTGGTCGCCCATTACGACGAGCAGGGTATCGTCGTCAAGAGCGGCAATGATGTCGCGGATTACTTGGTCCATTTGCTGCAGCTTGGCGGCCATGGCAGCGTGGTTGGGACCATATCGGTGTCCGGCGTGGTCTACACCAAGGTAGTGGCCGAATATCACATCCCACTTGGAGCGGTTCTCGGGCTTAAGGAGAGGAAACAGGTGCTCGTTGACGCCGTTATCAACGGTGTGCAAATCCCACACGTTGAAAGAGTCGAATGGGTGGGTCATGTTCTCGTGGAAGTAGCCTGGGAACAGAGCCTGCCAGGTATCATCACCAAGCTGGACAAGTGTCTTCCCAGCATGGTGAAGCTGCGCAACTAGGTTATCCTCGTCGATAGCAGTACCGGCGAAGTTGGATCCCGCATCGATGAAAGTGGGCAGAGTTCCAGTAGTCAATCCCTTCAGACGCTGCAGAGTGGTTGTCGGCGGGTCGGCGATGAAGGGGAGCAGGAAGGCATTGGCGGGGTTCTTGACGGCGGTCTCGTAGAAGACTGGGATATTATCGTGGAAGAGGGTTGCTTCTTCGCTCTCTGCCCATGGGACAAACGGCACAGTAAAGTCGTAGCGAAGAGCGTCAATGATAATGACAACGGCCTGGTCGAAGGATTTCTCATGCCAGCAACCTTTGCCTTTTGATTGCGAAACAATTGTGTCGTCGAAAGGCAGGACATTGCAGGAAGATTTGTCCTCCAAGACCATGCGCGTGAGAAGGAAACCCTTGGTGAAGAAGTAAATGCCAGCAGCGTGTAGGAACCTGCACGATTGAGATCAAAGTCAGTTCACGCCCTCCTGTCTGGGATCAATTCCCCAGCCGCAAGCTATAAAAACCTCTCCCATGCCCATAAACTCACAGTATCCAAGTTAACACCCCCAACACACCAAGATGTTTAGTCTTAAACTGCCCCTCGAGCTCCAAAGCCTTCGCATCCTGAAATCCGGGCGCCTTAGTCTTCCCAGCCTGCTCCGAGCTCCGAGCCCGCGAGCCAGCGGGGGGCAGAATGCCACCAGACCCAATAGACGCCATTTCCAATAGTTGTGCTATATACAGAGCAGTATCGCGTCTGGCGTTCGATAGTTGCGGTGGCCACGAAGGGACAGGTGGTACGTGCGGAGCGGGTCACGAACAAACGTCGAAAGTCTTGCAAGGGCAGGGAAGCCGATTTCAGGCGCGGATTGAGCCAGTTGACCCGCCTATAGGGTGCGTATTAAAAAGGAGAGAATGAGAAAGCGCGGGAAATCTGGTGCGGTTGAAGTGGGTGCCCCTGTCTGTGCTCCTCTGACGGCTTCCCTTCGGTGGACGGTGTTTAGAGGTGGTACATGGCTTCGGAGGAGGCCGAATATTAAGAAAGGAGTGAAAGAGAGTGTTGAAAATAATGAGAGAGCGCTGGCTAAATTTCAATGTCGCGGAACTCGGCGGGTTGGAGAGAGCTCGGGAAGCTCGTCTGATTGGTTCCTGGCAGGGGGGCTCGGGTGCTGCACACAACTTCTTCACTTTTACAATGAGGATTAACGTGGGCATAGGGATCTGTCCAGCTCTACTAAACACTGACCAAGATATCTGCTGTGAGAGTAGGTCTCAAGATAGTCTTCAAACCCCCACCACTTCCAGATATTTCAAGAGGACAAATAGTTATGATCATTTACATCTTGCTGGACACCTTATAAAACAAAAAATTTACACATTGATGCATGAATATGAAAGTAGGAAACATTCGAGAGAGTCAAATGATAGGAGGACTCAATAAATACATTATCCAGCTGCCGGGTGTACCAAACATAGAAAGGCACATAAGAAGGTGAAAAAGGATAGGGCAGCGTTGAAAGTAAAACGTAAAAAGACGCTGCCCATCAAGAGGGTTGAAGAATAGGAAGAAAGGGGGTGAAGAGAAAAAGTGTCCCACGTCTTTCAGGCCCTAGGAACGTGGCAGGGCCGAAAGCAACAAGAGACCGCGAAAGAGAAAACGCCATAAGTAACAGTCAAATAGTAATCGGCAGGCCCTCGCTATACACAATCCAGCCTCGGCAGATCTCCAGAGCCAAGGTGAGCCCTGGAGTTCCTTGTACAGGCGTAGCCGGACAACGAAATGGCACAAACAACATATGTGCAAGCCGCGCAGGCAGGGTCGAGAAGTAAGAGGTATGTGAAGAAAAATGTGAGATGTTCGCCAAGGTGCTCGTCATGCTTTTGGGTCGTTGAAGAGAAGGAGAAGTGCGTAGGGTCGGGGCGGACACATGTCAACAGCAGGACAATTGGTCGCGACGTCTCCCGGGTTCGCATTAGGAGTAGTGATTGACTTCTCCCTTCTCCTTCAAGCCACCCATACGCTCGATGTCGAGAGAGTGGAAGCGACCGGTGTCGGTGGTTTGGTACGGTGGGAGGTCTTCATGGCAAGGCTCGAGGCCAACACTACCGGCCTCGCTGATGCGGACAACCACCATACGACCAGATCTGCGCTTGCCAGATGCGTCCTCCTCCTCGGGGAAGGTGATACGAATTTCCGGGACGGGACTGGAGGGCGGGCTGTCGGAGTTCTCCATCAGGGAGCGCTTTTCATCGTAGACAAAAATGGAGTCGGTCTTTCCGGCGTGAATAGTTAATCGGCGTCCGGAGGTGGGCACTTGGCCGTTGTGAACGGGGAGCAGGGAGTCCTTCTGGGCCTGACGCTTGCGCTTGAGGAGGAGCAGACCGCCGACGAGACCGAGAGCAAGTAGGATGAGAACCAATAGGGTAATCAACAGGTCGACCATGGGAGTGGAAAGGCCATCTTGGGATTTGGTGTCATTGCGAGCAACGAACTTGGAGACGTAGTTGATCATTTTGCCGAACGCGAAGGATTGTGGTCGATGTCGGAGTTGTCGGGTTTGCTAGGTGAAGTCTCAGGGGAGACAGCGATCGACGAAGTTAAATTCCAAAGAGTGTCACGGATATCATCCGGGGAAGTCGAGTAAACACGGTCGAAACGTGGAATGAGAGGTCGAATTCAAGGTCGCGGACGTCGAGTTCGAGAGTTGGGTCGAATGAAGGATCAAAGTCGAGAAAGAATGGATCGCAGCGCAGCTGAAAGAGTGAAGCCGACACCTGCTGGGAAAGAGGAGAAAGAATGGAAGCGTGGAGGTTTGAGGGAGGAGGGTTAGAGAATGAAGGGAAAACAGGGGAAGAAGGGGAAAAAGAGGGTAGCGTTCGACCACGGGGCCCGGGACAGTCCAGAACGACCGTTCGTTGCCCTCCCTTTTTATTTTTGGCCCCTCTAGTCCCTTCAGGGGTTAGCTTAACTGTCTGTTTACCAACGGGCGGTGTTTATGCCTGCCTTGCCTTTTCTTGGCTCCAGACATAACCAATCAGCAAGGTGTGGTTCCTGGCATCGGACCCCGCCCCGATTACGGTGTCTACGCGCCCTGACTCGTCCGTGGCGTCCTCGCTACTCCACCGTTCTATGCCCGGTTTATTGCTGGCCCCCTGATCCCCCGATTGGGAAACCCGTGGCATGCGCGTCTTCTCTGAAGACCATCACGGTATGCTCACATCACATAACACAGAGGAACATAACATGCCCCGTTCCCCCACTTATGGCCCCGGTTTGCCACGGAGTCGCCATAGTATCAAGTCAAATCAGTCAAATAAGGGTCTGTGGGTCACACAATATCTGCGACACGGATGATGCAATTGGAGGTGGTGTCAACAGAGTCTAATTTAACCTGTGCAGACCCTCGTGATGGGATTAAGATTGGATGTTTCTCATGCATCAACTTGCAGGAAGTATATCAACCCTTTAGGGAAGTAAATAAACATCGTGCCCGGATACCTCGGGCGGCCCCAGTTTACTCTTAGACGCATTTTCTGCTCAGCATCCAGCGCAACTAACCATACATTTCATGAGCGGACAATCAAACTCTCCTATAGCGTAGTCTATGGGGAGCTGAAGGGTCCAGGCTCGGTTGTGCTGGAAGACTTTATCGCCGGTAGCACAACACTGCTGCCTCCGGCCATCTCCCTCATCTCGGATCGTTATTACAAGGAACCTAGGAATCAGACCTGGCTTGCCCAGGTATTCAGATAAAATATAAGGTTGATTAGCAGGATCGTGAACAAAATACGTGTCTACAAGGTAAAATTGTGCTGGCTGTGCCAGCGATGTATACTTATATATCGTGATCTTGGTCCGGGCGTTGTCCCACACTTTGTGCGATACCAAAGCACATGAGTACATTTATTAATAGCATTTGTTCTCAAGAAATTCATATCGAAAGCAAGTGCCTGACCATACTCATCTAAATTTAGTGTAATAGATACGAGGGAGCTGGGAATCGTTTCAGTACCCGCAGCGGAGAGCGTATCCCGATGAGAGCCGAGTTTCTTATTTGGATGTTCTCAACTCAAAAGCAATACTATCTGGCAACAGATGCATCTGAATGAATACTGAGTGAGCCTTTGAGTATTTATTACTTCTACTGGGAGCAGCCATGCCCACGGACTTAGGTGGTAGGGCCTAACACCAGAGCGGGGAGCTGGGAGCGGGGAGCTGGCAGAGACTTCCAAGTTCAATACATCCTCACCAAGGAATGAGCAGTGCCTTTCCATAGCAGTATTTTCACAGTAGGAATACCATCTGGATACCTGGACAGCTGGACAGCTGAGCATCCCAGAATTGTCTGACACGAGGGGGGCACTGCATGAAGTACCTCTGGGCTACACCGACACATGCATAGAGCACACCATAGCCGAACCTCCATGCTAGTTTTGATCGAGACCTCCGACAGATCAGTCTCATCCACCTGGACACTCCACGAGTCTACCACACGACAGCCACGATGAAACAAGGCAACACAGCGTCACCAATTACAGCTCACATTCGTGACATGCTCCAACCATCTTAACCGTCAGACCGGCCCCGCCGGGACCCTCCAGTCGAGATCGCAAACACAACAAAGCACGTCCCCGCCTAGTAAAAACGAAAACACCGAGGAGAACCCCGTCCCAAAGATCCCAAAGAACAGTGCCTCCATCTCTTATAAATCATTGTCACAACACAAAGGTGATACATCACATCAGTGGAGCAGAATAACTCCGAGCGTGAAGACACCGGCCTTCAATTCCAGGAAATCGGGACCCCGATCAGGTCAGAGGTCGAACTCACTAGACAACTAGTTTGCAGCCACACTTCAAACAGGCGGCCTGGTGGAGCCAGGCGGGCCCCAAGACTGGCGGCAATCGGATGCAAGGCGAAGTCCCTCAGATCCGGGGAAAGAAAGATCGAAGATTTTTCCTGCGAGTGATGGCCTGACACCGAGCTGTACGACCCCTGTTCAAGGATGCGGAGGCGCGGATCCTTGCTCGCATCACCCTGTATGAGTCTCCGCTGCGATGTCTCGGCCTCTTTCCAATCTCGCCGGGGCGAACCTTGGAGAGGAGGTCCCGCGAGTGGTCAGTGGGCGGACCGCAGTGGTTGAGTTTATTTTGTTTTGTTTTATTGTATTGTATTATTCATTATTCGCTGGTTTACCCTAGGAAGTGGAAGAGATTACGGTGCCAGTCGCGGTCTTCACTCCGAGGGATCCCAATCCTAGGACCCAAGGATCAGTGTGACGAGAAGCAAAGCAAGGGGCTGGTTGAGTCGAACATCTACCAGATGGGCCCCAAGCGCAGTATTGCCAACCGAGCACGCTATTGTGAGACTCGCAGCGGTCTTTAGGATGGAACTATTTTCCATTATCATCTGGCTCAAGGGGGATAGAGTAGAAGAAGCCTGGAACCTGGAGAGTCGATCGCCTGTCTGTACCCTCTCGACCGGAGAACAAGAGGCCTGGAATGGTGAATGGTGAATGGTGAATGGTGAATGGTGAATGGTGAATGGTGAATGGTGAATGGTGAATCCACAGTCGGAAAGGTGGCGGGCCCAGGGCTCCAGCTCCAATGTTGGTCAAGAATGCCCCGTTCCGTGAATGGATTCCGTGTTCTGGTTTCTGGTGTGGTGTGGTGTTCTAGCTCTGGCTATGGCTCTCTGTTTACGGGAACAAGCCTGATTTGTATGTACCTTGCTCCGAGTCAGAACTAGGGTCTGGTGTGGGTCTTGGGGCTTCGATGGCGCCGCTGGGGGCCACTTGTTAATTTTTTAATTTGTCTAGTTAGAGCAGTCACTTTTTGCTTTTAATTTTTTTTTGTTTCCTTTCGGACTGGGAACTGCAGTGGCCCTTTGCCAAGGTTTTCTTGTTGATCTGTCAGGCACGGGTAGGGCAAGCCTGATCCTGAGCCTGATCCTGAGCCTAAGCCTGAGTTGCCGGTATGCTCTGACCCTGGGGATAGATGACCGTGGCTCCTGGCATGTTCCCTAGTTTCCTATCGATCCACTTGATAGGAAGTTTTGACCGAAGCGCACGGATAGATGATTTCAGACTGTCGAGTCCAACGTCTTGAAGAAGAAGGGCTGTCCAAGGAAATCGGGACGGTTGGCTTTGATGCAGACCGTGGATGATGTAGCGGTGAACGTGTTGGTGCACCGCCGATGCTTGTTCGGGTGGTAGTATATGAGGGAGTTGATGAATTGGGAGTCCTTCTATTGCTGTCGTCTTAGAACACTAGAGTTATTAAGTTTAATAAATCGAGAGGAGCTACCTAAATACGGAGCCTAAAAAGAAGACAGATCGATTGTCCGTGACAGTACCGTACATTGGGTATGCGCAAGCCAAATATCAGTCTGGGCTCGGCGGTACATCCCCATCCAGGCAAACCACCATATATTCACAGGTACCCACTGGGATCGACCCTGCTCGAAGCGTCATCGTGGTTTGCCAAATACAGAAACCTGTAACAAGCGGCTGATCTCCTCAACTCTGGCAATCGTTTTTCTTCGCACCTTATCTATCATTTTCTGGACTTCACCTTTCTTTTTCGCCATTTGTTTTTTCTTATTACCTTTTTATTTTCTCCGTTTCGTGTGACAATCCTCCCCCTCCTTCTAATCCTTCTTTTTCCTTCTTCACCTCCACTCTTCAACCCTACGCCACCCAAGAAAAAAAATTATTCCAGGACTTGGTTGTCATGCTGGCGCCTGTGTGACAGCTGGACTACATTAATGCCGTGCTTTGTCTCTCTTCCACATTCCCCTACGACCCACTGAAACTGCGCAACAAATCCGCATTCCAACTATTTTTCCCGCGATATTATCCCCTCCGTCCTTCAACCACCTCCCCCCCCTTGCGCGCAATCCCAGGGTCCCAAACGCTCTTCCATTCTCGGGGATCGCCTCTCCACGCACATGAGGACGATCGGCAAGCTGGGAGATTCCTGGAGCATGCACGGAGCACAGTAACGTCGACCTTTTACTGCGCTCCCGGCTACACACTGCAACTGCATCGACAAACGAAGGGAGATTTTCAGGCCTTTCAATTCTTTGTCGCCTTGCATCGCCTTCCTGGACTTTTATTCCGCATTTCTCAGTCTTGAACCTCCCCCTCCTCCATCCCTCCTCCCCCTTCGTTCTCCCTCATATTCTGTACATGTCCTGGGTTCGTGGCTTCTGAAGAGAAAAGGAATCATTCAACTTCTGTGGGCTCTGTGATCCCTTGTCCCCTCCTTTGGTGAGTTCGCTCTTCTCTCCTCCCGGCCCTGTATACCTTCGCTGGGGGGTGGTACTACCTTGGGCACACGACTCTGATCAGACCGCTAACAAGGGCCTATTCGACCAGTCTTATATTCCTTCGTGTACGCCGTTCCTGGTGCCTGGTGCCCGCTGCAAATACTGGCCGCAAACACGCTCGGTCTTGTGTGGTTAAAGTGTCGACAATTCTCGACCTTCCTGCAAATAATCGCCCGCCGTTCGAGTACATAATCTGAATATCCTCGCCCCCGATCGCTGTCCTGGAATGGCTTCCACCATGGCCGCCAATGCAAACAACGTACACAACGTGAGTGGGCGTGATGATCTGCTCGCAGGTCCGGTATTAACACAATCCCAGGTACGATCCAACCGAGCCAATATGGGTTCATCTGGCATGAACGGTGATCGCTCTCGCGGTTCGAACAACGGTGTTGGGAAGGGATTCGGAAAATCGAGCTGGAACAGTAACATCTGGGGTGACTCCAACCTGGGAGGTGGTTTCGATGGTACGTGCTTGCAAGGGTTGATGGTGGATTCGAACTTACAAGGTCCAGAACAACACATTAGTGAAACTGCATTTGAAGGAAAGTCGGGTTCGGGGTCGCTGCTTTCCTCCTCGGAATCCGATGGCTGGGCTGGACGTCCCAACCTTCCCTGGAGTACTGTCAACACATCCGCCCTGCCCATGGGCCAGAACCGCAACATGACAGCCTCTCCAATTCAGACCCGTGCCAATGATCGGAGCGCTCCGGCATTGAACGATGCGGCTGACTCCTCCTACTTCGCTTTGCCTCGCACTACTGGAATCGGTACCTCCGCTGGCACAGCCAGTCACCGTCCTTACTTCAATGGATCTGAGGGGGTTTCTCCGTCCGGAGATGGCATGTCCTTCGGTGGTTTCCCTGCCCTCCGCAACGGTGATGGTCGACGACAGGTGAGCTCCACCGGTCTGGGCACTAGCCCTGTGGGAAAGAACTTCCCCGTCAAGTCTGGGTTCAACGGATCTCTCGATGGTTCGCGACCGGAAGACATGGCTGCGATGGGCATCTCATCCCTGGCGTCTGGCATTCCTGAGGGCATGTCCCCTCCCCAGACTCGCAACACCCTCTCTCACATGTCCCACAACTCGGCTTCCTATTCTCAACGACCCGTTCACTCCGCCCACCCCTCCTACTACTCTGACAACCACAGCATCGACAGCCGTTATGGCAACAATTCGATGGATCTCAGCGCGGGCCTCAACAAGATGCAACTAGACAACGGATTCTCTGGTCAGGCTGCTCAGCGCCCGCCTTATGTTCCTCATACATCGTTCGATAGCTCTCTCCCCGCGCGGCAAGTTCCAGAACAACGACGACGCCAGCTACCAGGCCCTTTCTGGCTATGGAGCTGAAAGTGCGCAAGATATGCAGCTGGCATACCAGCCTCGTTCGCGTGGCGGTGATACTGGTTCTATCTCTCCGTCTGAGTACGCTCGCATGGAAAGCCCGCTCTATGCCGGAGTTGATGCCCAGTACCGCAACTCTACTGGTCGCATGTCTGACAACCAGGCTGCGGCTTTCGAGCGCAGGCTGCGAAACTTCCAAGAACAAGAATTTGTCCAGCCCCAGCGCATGCAGATGCCCCAATCCTACGACTACCAGGGCTACCAGCAAGCCCGTATGAGCGCGCTCCAAGGCTTCTACCCTATGGCACTTTCGGGCGGACTAGGCGCAGCTGCTCTCGTCAGTCGACCTCACCGCGAGCATGACCCCACGCAGGTTGTCCGCAGCCCTCTCCTGGAAGAATTCCGAGCCAACAGCAAGGGCAACAAGCGCTACGAGCTCAAGGACATCTACAACCATGTCGTAGAGTTCTCTGGCGATCAGCATGGATCGCGCTTTATTCAGCAAAAGCTGGAGACTGCCAACAGCGATGAGAAGGAGCAGGTCTTCCGAGAGATCCAGCCCAACTGCTTGCAGCTTATGACGGACGTCTTCGGAAACTACGTCGTCCAAAAGCTCTTTGAGCACGGCAACCAGACTCAGAAGAAGATCCTTGCAAACCAGATGCGCGGACACGTTCTCGCTCTTTCTACTCAGATGTATGGATGTCGTGTGGTTCAAAAAGCCCTCGAGCACATCCTCACGGATCAGCAGGCCGTCATGGTCAAGGAATTGGAGAATCATGTTCTCAAGTGTGTTCGTGACCAGAATGGAAATCACGTCATCCAGAAGGCCATCGAGCGTGTGCCCTCAGAATATGTCCAATTCATCATCAACGCTTTCCGAGGCCAAGTCAACCGTCTCGCTGCTCACCCCTATGGCTGCCGTGTCATTCAACGCATGCTAGAGCACTGCGAGGAAGTTGACCGCGAATCCATCCTGGGCGAACTCCATGCTTGCACCGCCAATCTCATCCCCGATCAGTTCGGCAATTACGTGATTCAACACGTCATTGAGAATGGTGATGAGAAGGACCGTGACCGCATGATCGTGATCGTCAACTCGCAGCTCCTTGCTTACTCGAAGCACAAATTTGCCAGCAACGTTGTTGAGAAGAGCATTGAGTTTGGCGATGAGGGCCAGCGCAATCACATCATTTCTACTCTCACTTCCTCCAACGATCGAGGCGAGAGCCCTCTGCTCGGCCTCATGCGTGACCAGTATGGAAACTATGTCATCCGTAAGTGTCTTCTCAGCCTTCCGGTGTCAAATCATACTAATACCTGTGCAGAGAAGGTCCTTGGTCAACTGAAGGGCGCCGAGCGTGAGGCCCTCATCGAGCAGATCAAGCCTCTCTTGAGCCAGTTGAAGAAGTTCAGCTATGGGAAGCAGATTGTGGCAATCGAGAAGCTTATCTTCGATCCCAACTCTCCCGCCACTGGTCCTCTGCAGCACGTAACCTCCACCACCCCCCGAACTCCCACAAGTCTTCTCCTCAGCCCTCGAAGCGCACCATGGAGCCACCTCGGGCCTTTGTCGGCGCGGCACCGCCTACTCCTCCCCCGACAGACAACCAGGGCACTGTCGACGGATCCCTGGAGTCCAAGGATCTTGCCAAGAGCACTGTGACCTCGGTTTCCAGTCCCGAGACCGCCAACACCGTCCCGGTCGACGTCACCAGTGCTCACTAATTCGATGCACACTACTTACTTGTTTGCCCACATAATCTGTTCTAATGCTGATTTCCACCGGACAATTCCGCTTTATCTAATACGGGCGTATACATACAGGGGACCACGGGGGCTCCGGTGGGATATATGAACTTATCACGTCGTCTCTCTCCCATTTTTTCATCCATGGCTCGGCGCAAGAAATAAGGGGGTGAACTTGAAATTTTTCTTTACTTTTCCTGCTCATGTGTTTGATCTCGGACCTGTTCTTTTTCTTTTCTGATTGTTCATTTTATTCTTACGATGGTGTGTTCCTATCTATGTCACCCCCCTACACCCCTCACCATTGTCAATCCTGTTGCTACCGGTCCGAGGAATATTATCAACTTGTGGATTCGGCGTCTTGTGTGCTTTTTTTTTTCTTCTATTTTTTGTCCTTATTTTACTGGTGCTGGTGCTGGAGCTGCTAGGGAGGGTTATCGATATCGGGATACTCGCTCACGATCTGAGGCATACGACATGGGAGATTCGGATATGGAAATACGGGAGAGAATATTTTATCTTGCATCGCACGGCCTGTTGGTTGTTTTTCTTATTTTGTTCCTTTTTTATGTCCATTTTTAAAAGAAAAGATGCGCATATCGATCGATGCTGTGATTTTCTTATCTTGCTCAGAGCTATTCAATTTGCAATGCAACGTGTTGCTTGTGTCTGGTCTAAATTGTGTTGATGCCTTGTCTATGGCTGTATTCCCGACTCCATACTATGACAGCCAATAATCGATACTCCTATTATCAACCCTGACCGTGGCGTAGGCTAGCACTTGACTAGGTAGCTCACTGGAGCTATGCTCTTTCACAATAATATCACGTGACTGATAAGACTGATGAAAGGCGAACCCGACTTCTTCACTCCAACCTCCAAGAACACCTGCTAGCCACTCCCAGCACTGCAAAGGGACTCGAGCTTCCAAAGCTCACACACTCTAGCACCGACTCTACCTACCAAGCTCTCCATTTCCCAGACAGAGAAAGAACACGAAACCTCGATCCCCTCACAGCCACATCATGTCTTCAAACGTAGGCCTCACCACTCCGCGCGGCAGCGGCACATCAGGCTACGTTCAACGAAACAGCGCATTCATAAAACCCCGAGCCGCAGGCTACGGCGCGCCCTACCCACCACCGTCCTCCGGCGGCTTTAAACAGCGCCTCCCGGACAAACAAATTCTCGAACACGACCGTCTGCGCGCGATCGAAGTCCAAGTAATGGAAGAGCGGGAGCGACTGGAAGAAGAGAACGAGCGTATCGAAGAGGAGGTGTCGAAGAAAAAGAAGAAGAATGATAAGGAGGAGGGGGAGGAGGATGAGGAGAGGGTTTTGACGGAGGAGGAGATTGATGAGCGGTGTGAGCTTTTACGGCAGAGGTTGTTGAAGGAGGGGGAGAGTAGGGGTGGGAATGGGCAGGTTAAGGGGAAGGCGTTGAAGAGGTATCAGGTCCATGAGCTTGCGGAGGCCAAGATTGAGGAGAGTGAGAGGTTGAGGAAGGCTTTGGGTATCAAGGAAGATAAGGATACGGGGGAGATCAGTAGTAAGAAGTGGGAGAGGAGACGGGATTGAGTGTTTTTTTCTTTCTGTTTTTCCTTTTTAACTCTTGGTTCTATGCTCTTGAGCTGAGTTGGGTTTCTTCACAAAGGCGGATAGGGTGTTGGATGGCGTTTTCGGATGGGATTATCCTTTGGCTTTGGAGTTCTAATTTCTACATTCGAAAAGGAATAAAGAGAGATTCATTAAACCATAGAACAATGGTAATGTATGTTCTCTTTTCTTGGTCTATGACTATTCCATGCCAAAAAAAAAAGGACTGAATTCGAACTTGAAATGGAGGATATCATAATCTGATCTATACTTAAACAACTCATGCAACGAACTTCTCAATAAGCCACCCTTCTCTAGGATCCTTCGTCTGCACAACCTTCTTCGCAGGCAAAGGCCACCCAGTTCCACCAGCATCTCCCACAAGACTAGGAATAACCCAACAAGACCTCCGCTGCGGAATCCCTTCCAGCACCTCCGTCTTGCCAATCGGCTTTCCATACTCGATAAGCGGTGTGTCATGCGCAATAGCAGCAAGTTGCAATCCGCTAGGTGTGACAAGCGGGAACATTCTGATCTTGGGCGTCTGGCCCTCGACTACAGTTGCAGATTGTTGGAGGTGCGAATAGATGATATACTGCGGCATCTCCTTCGGCGAGAGCTTGGAGAGAATGGAGGTCGGGTGCACGTAGACTGCGCGCTCTGAGAGTTCTTGGTTGTTACCCTCGCGCGAGCGGAAGAGCGTCAAGTAGGGGACGTCGATTGCGCGACGGGGAGCCCGTTCTTGTTCCGGTGGAATAGGGGCCAGGTCCGCACGGATAGCGACGTGGTCGATGAAGCCTGCTGTGACGATTTGCTTGAGAGCTTTGACTTGTTTGGGAGTTGGTTCAGGCAGTTTGGCTTCGTAGGGAGCTAGGAGACCTGGGTTGTTGGAGCGGACGATGTCGGTGAGTTGGCGGCGGAGCTGGGATGCTTCTTTGAAGGCCTTGGCGCGCAGGAACATTTGCTCGCTGAAGGCATCGCCGTCTGGAGCGTAGGCGTAGGCGCAGATTGCGGAGAGGTATTTGAGGGCGTCGGAATTGTCATCGTGCTTGCTTAAAAGGCGGTGCACGCGAGCGTAGTCTTTGGCGCGTTGCTCGCGCTCTGTGTCCTCTAGTCTGTCTGCGTTGGTGTAGACTGGTCGTTCGTCGTCGCTGGAGTCTGAGTCGTCGTTCTTCTTTTCCGAAGCCTTGGGACGTGGCGGGTTGAATTCGAGCTGGTTGACGAAGAGATCACCCACGGCTAGGGCTGCGACAAGGGCAATGACGTAGGGCATGCAGCCGTGCTGGTGGCCAATGTAGAGCATCTTGCCGAAACGGGGCGAGAGAGGGTATGTGGAAAGACGGCGACCGATCTGGGTGACTTGGCCTTCGCCGGAGAGGGCACCCAGGTTCTTCAGGAGCTTCTCAGCTTTGGCAAGACCGTGACGACTGGGAGGTGTTGGGAAGGGGAAGTTGATGACATTGTGCAGGCCCATGCTCTTCATCTGGAGGACGACTCCCTCAATGGGAGTGCGCAGAATCTCTGGATCGGTGTACTCGGCGAAATCACCTTCGTAGACCGCAGAAGAGTATAGACGATAGCAGTGACCAGGGCCCGTACGACCGGCACGACCAGCTCGCTGGCTCGCACTGGCCTTGCTGATCCAGCCAATCTGGAAGCTTTGCACACCTGTGAACAGATCGAATTGCTTCTCTTTCGCTCGTCCGCAGTCAAAGACGTACTTGATACCGGGAATGGTGAGCGAGGTTTCGGCAACGTTGGTAGCCAAAATGATCAACCGTGAGTTTTCAGGCGGCGGCTCGAAGACCTTCATCTGCTCTTTTGTGGGCAGTTGCGAGTATAAAGGCAAGACATGGACACGAGTGGAGGCATCCACGGCATCTTCGCCGAGGTCGAAACCATCATCTTCATCATCTTGTTCGTCCAAGCCAGTAATCTCAAAGTCGTCGTCATAGTCGTCGGCATTATCGTTCACCTCCGTACCTCCGAGCTCCATATCCTCCACTTCCAGGGGCGCATCGTTGGCGGAAATTTCCACCTTTGCGCTGGCAGTGTCTCCCCGTTCAGTGGGCTTGAAAGCCCCCTTCAATTTCTTAGCAAGTTGACGGATCTCGTTCTGTCCAGTCAAGAACACAAGCATTCCACCGGGAGGCAGCTTGCGGTGGCCACGAGAAACTTTGCGGAAAGCCTCTTCAACGTAATCGCGCTGTGTCTTGCGGGCGAAGTGGACTGTGACAGGATACTGACGACCCTCTGCTTGCACCAGCGGTGGCGGTCCCTGGCGGAACAAGCTTGCATTCTCAGTAAAGTCTGAGATACGGAGAGTAGCTGACATGATGACAACCTTCAAGGGTTGGACAGTAGGGTCTTCTTTGCTCATCGACTTGCGCAAGCCCACAATACGGCTGACCATTCCAATGAGGATGTCGGTGTTCACACTGCGTTCGTGGGCTTCATCGATAATGATGATCGAGTACTTCAGGAGAGAAAAGTCGTCCGCAATCTCACGTAGAAGAATACCATCTGTCATGAACTTGATGGCAGTCTTCTTGGACGCGGTCGATTCGAACCGAATTTGGTACGACACCTTATCCGAGAACTGACCCAGTTCCTGAGAGACACGGTTGGCCATACTGACCGCTGCGACTCGGCGAGGCTGAGTGACACCGATCAGACCAGGGTTCGGGCTGTCCGGGTTACCAAACCCAGCTTCGAACAAGAACTGTGGGAGCTGGGTTGTCTTTCCGCTACCAGTTGCACCCCAGATGACGACAGTATCGTTGTTGTAGATTGCTTCCATAATCTTCTGCTCCTCGCCGACGACAGGGAGACCCATTCGGGCAGTTTGAATATCTTCTGAACGGTCGACATTCACGCTGAAAGCCTTGCGGAAGGGGTTTCCTGTAGTGACTTCGAGCTCGCGAGGGAGAGGTTCCTCTTCATAGACTTCATTCTTGGGTTCTTTGCGGGGAGGCGCAAAGGCATCTGGCTGATGTTCCATGGACATCGGCCCATTTGTCGAATTGAAGTCCACAGCTTCATTAATCTGCTGTCTAGCCCAGGACTTGAATGCAGACTCTCTGGGCTTGATCTTAGTGGGACCTTCTTCCTCGTCGGATTCTTCTTCGTCGTCTTCATCGTCCTCATCGGAAGAACCATCAGAGGAAGTGCCTTCGGAATCATCATCATCATCTTCTTCATCTTCAGAACCGTCCTTGGCCTCGTCCTCTGACCTATCCGAATCCATTTCCTCGTCTTTATCTCTCGATTCCTCTTCGCCGGAGTCAAAGCCTTCCCAAGCAACCTCCTTCACTGGCGCCGGCGCCGGAGCCGGCTTATTACCACGCTTCCGCTTTTTGATTATGGGGAATCCGTCCGGACCGAGTTCGAGCGGGCGCTTCAGACCACTTCCAACAGCAGCCTGGGGCTTCGGTTCAGGGATAGGGTCTGTAGCAGGATCGGAGGCCTTGAGGTCGGCATCAGAATCGTCACTGTCGTCTTCGAGGTCCCTTTTTGAGGTTGTCTTCGCCTGTGTTCGGTCGACGATCGGGACAGGAATGCCTTCGTTCTCCCTCCTGCGTTTACCCAAATCTCTTGAACTGTGTAAATACGAGGTGTCGACTTTGGCTTCGGCGAGCTTCTTCAGCAGCTCGACATTTTCTTCTTTCCGCAATTTGTTCTCCTGCAAAGTCTGTTAGATACCGGTCTTGGGCCAAAGCGAAATTTCTCACGCACAATGTATTTATCGAGACGCTTCTGCTTCTTTCCGGATACATTGGAATGCTGATCTCGAAGCTCCGCACGCAGCTTCTGTCTCTTGGCTTCTTTCTCATCTTTGGAGACGGGCGCTAGCTCCGCGACATTGGTGTCAACGGAAGCAGCATTCTCTTGCTGCCGGTGCTTTTGCTTTCGCTGACGGGGGACAAACTTCTTCATCTCGACCGATCCCAGCTCAGGACAAGATACACAAATCAAGTAAACTGTACTTGTGCTGTCGCAGTTCGTTCACGCGGGAAAAAAAATCGAGGAAACTACAAGGGCGGTGAGATACTGCCCGCATCAGCAGTGGGGAACAGCCGACCGCCTTTTGGGGAGGCATCAACAACCGCCCGCGTCAAACCGAACTCCAAACACCATCAGACATCATGGACACTCTCGATACTATTCTGAATGGCACGCTGGACCTTCCGTACCCAAATGCTACAAAACAGGTGGCTGGAATAGTCAATGGAGTCAAAACGGACGTCATGGTCATGAAATTCTCCGACAAGATCATGGTGACCATCTCGCAAGAAGGACGACTTGCTCACTGGGTTTGTCAAGACTGTTGGCTTCATTTGTACAACCACTAACGGTGTGATAGTTGCATGTACCAATGGTGAACCAGAATCCAGGCACCGAGGGCACGCACACTTTCTCCGAAGGCGGAGAAGACAGTCTTCTACCCCTCAGCGGCCTGACAGCGACCTCTCTTTTGGGTGGTTACGCTTCTGGCCAAGATACAGTTGGTCAGCTACTTGCTAGACAAATTGCCAACTCCATTGCTATCAAATCGCCGAATGAGAAAAGGCTGCTTGTTGTTGGTCTGGGACTTCGACCCATTGGTGCTGACCGAGATACTTTCTTTGCTATCAATGATCTTGCCTTGCAATGCATATGATTTGGACATCAGAAAGTGTGTCTTGACCGAGATACTTGATCAGACACTTCACGCTCCGTTCGTCGGGGTTGTACGAGACGGCCAATGATGAATTATGAAGAGACGCCAGCTTTTCACTGCAAGCGCAAGGGCGCGACCTCGAAATCGTGCCGATTTATCAGCATAATAGCGAGGCAGTCGACAGTATTGTCATGATTCAAATGGCTCTTTCCAATACAGAGACACTACTGTACCCATGGCTTTGAAGTCGGAACGTGCACAGAGTAGACCAACTACGTGCTATTTCCCGCAGGGAACTGAGACCTGCCATGTCAAGCCAATAACCGGATCGAACACTATTGGATCTTGTATGGCATTGAACAGGCGGATTGTGCTGAAGAAATCTGCTTATGTCTAGTGATACCTTTTTATTTCAAACGAATCAATGCCTTTGATGACTTATGATTATGTATATCCTCAATGCCGGTGGTTTTATTTTCAAGATAGTAAAGGCCTCAAACCCTCGAGTCACACCTCGACTTTAATCATATCACGCACTGAACAGATCCTTGTTCGCAGTCACCCATTCCTGGAACCCGGTAGAAGGTGCTCCGGTGTAAAGCTGCACATTTTGAACCCCCTCCTCATAATGAGCACGCGGAACATTGGCATCCTCATCAGTTCCGAATCTCCGAATCATATACTCCGCCAGCGGCTTAGGTAGACCATGGCTGAGGTGTTGCTCCATGGCCTCTTCCGCATTGATAGTAGTGATCTTAACAGTCTTGCCCAAAACCTTAGCAATAGTGTGAATGGCTTCTGACATCGAGATGACCTGAGGGCCATAGACATAGACCTTTCGCTGTCCATTCTTCGGTCCCTGTGCAAGAATAGTTCCACTGACCCGACCCATATCAATAGGCGTGACACAATCAAGCTCAAAGTTCGGTGTGTAAAGCTTCACCTCTCCAGCCGCGATATCGCTCTTGTTACGCAACATATTTGTGGCGAAACCTCCAGGGCGCACGGCGACGTAGTTCTCCGGACCGAAGACGTCATCGAGGTTGAGTTCCACCTGCGCGTGGATGTAAGGGATGAGATCACCGGAGTCGACGTCCTTGGGCTCACCCGAGATGGTGTAACTGCTCAGAAAGACGACAAACTCGATGCCAGCGGATTTCAGAGCTTCAAGAGTGGACTTCATGTGATCTGGAGAGCCAAAGGCGGCGTAGATGAAGGCGCGCTTGGCTCCGGATTTCTTGACGGCTGCAGCGACGGAATCGGCGTCCGTCATGTCGGCTTGGACTTTTGTGAAACCACCGTCTTGCTCTTGCTGCACACTCAGACCCGGGATGGCCTTCTTCGGGTCGCGCATGGCTAGGACAACCTTAGCTCCATGCTCTTGGGCAGTACGGGCTGCGACGGAACCGATGTTGCCGGTCGGCCCAAATACAATAACGGTCGACATGATGTTAAATGTGGAATTGATTCGTAAAGCCTCTGATCGTAAAAAAAGATGAAAGTTTCTTGAATGAGGGGTTGCTTTTATAAGTGGGTGAAGAAGTAATATCTTGTACGTCCCGCCTCGGGCTTTAGCTAACTCCGTGCCCGACCCAAAACGCAGTCCCCATACCTCCGCTAGAAACGGGGGAGTTAAGTATCTTCTAAGGCCCGAGGCAGCCGCTAGCCCTTACATCATACGTAATAAGAGGAATTAGCCGATTCATTAAATAGGCACGTAGGATCGCATTGCCTGGATCCTCAAGAAGCAGAAGGTTTGACACATTTCTATTCAGTGATATATACAAAATCGCCTCTGACTATCTTGACATGATGATGTGTTAAGGAGATTAGAGTTTCACTTTCTAATCTCTTTCTGTTTATCTTTGATGCCACGGTGGAACGGTATCCACCACATATCGTGAAGTCCATTTTTTCCCTTTAAAGTGTACCTGAGTCTTCAAATGAGGCGATACAACAATGTGCCAAAGCCAAGGCCATCAAATCCGCCTGAAGTAAAACCATAGTTGCTACCACCTCCCTCGACGCCGTCGGTCGAGTTACCATTTACCCAGTCACGGTAGGCATCGGTCCACGACGAGTTGAGACCCCTCAGTTGACCATAGTGAGCCGACAGCAACTCGGCGCCAGGGCGGACATCACCGCGCGAGCTGTTGGAGATGACTGTCTGGGTGCCCATGTAACTGTCGTAAGCAATATAGGGAACGTGATAGCCGACGTTGTACTTTGAAGTATACCCCGTACTGACGACTTGAAGTAGTATATTTTTGGACGGTGTGTGAGAGTCCGGCACTTACGCATTCAGGATTTCATTGCTGTAAGCGGTAAACATGTCATCGCCTTGGTTATAAACTTGTTGTGCGATAACACCCACAAGCATCATATCAAGCGTGGAGTGGCCCTGATCCCGGCCAGATTCTTGGCTTTGTGTGAGGGCCTTTCCACTTTCAGGCTCGGTGTAGTTGGCAACAGCAAAAACCGGCAGAGCGCGATTTGAAGGCCCAGTGCGGAAGTAGTTGACAGCATTGTCATTCATAGTCTGATTGTCGGTGAAGATACCAATAGCAATGAGCGAGGCGAGATTACACTGATCCCAGTTAGCCCAATAGTGGTAAAAATCCTGTCCATTGTGGTCCTCCAAAAAGAAGTTGTTCATGTAGGCGAACACATTGGTCAACATGGTTCCAGTAGCCGTCTTATTAGTGCTGTCCCAGCCAGCATAGTCGGTCATGAGCTCGGCGGCATTGGCCATCTGGTACCCATAGAGTCCAGAAGCGAGGAACTTGTCGCTGGTGCCGTCGATGGTCGTCAAGGTCACGGCCCAGGAATTGAGGATGTTGACCGCGGCCTCGGCGTAGGTCGTGTCATTGGAAATTCTCCAGCGAATGGCGAGTTGGTATGCAGCTGCAGTATCTCTGTAGAGATCTGGGTAATTCTCGCTGTTGACCCCGTTATAGCCTCGGTACACGGTCTGCCGAGGAGTTGGTAGGTAAGAAGACTGCGCGTAAGGGCTTTCAGTCAGCAAGGTCCAAACAATATTCCATGGCTCGTCGCCATTGGTGACATGGGTATTGATGCGCTCGAAATCTTGAATGGTATGAAGTGCTCCGGGGTGAACAAAGGCAGCGGTAGAGACTGAGAAGGTGAGGAAGAAGGCGAGGAAATAAGCGAGCGTAGGCATGGCTTGCATACAAAAGGAGTGACTTGAAGTATAGTTGTGAGCACTTAAAGGGGCATCCTATAGAGCTTTATAGCTTGGACGGGACCCCACACGAGAGTTAAAAACCGTACTTCACTTCGACGGTGAGCTAGGAGCAGCGAGGTAACTGCCAAAATGCACAAATGATCAGCACCCATCAGTGAGTGGGGATAGTATTGTTTCACGTTGATGGGGGAAGGAAGGGGAGTTCACGATTGCCGGGCTGTGGCCTCCAAAAAGCAAGTATTCGAAGATTAAGTTGTCGAGTTAACATACTAGGTACCTAGGTCATTCTTGGAAAAATAGAAGTTCAGTAGATTCTTTTTCGCATCTTGTATTGCCGATTGTCGTTTGAAGAACTCCCTTGAACTAATATCGACACCATATCCCGGCTGCTGTCCGGTCGGGATATTGCCTCGTCGGGGTTAGCGTTGGGGCGCGGGAATCACCTACGCACGTTACCTCAATGTTCCGATGACAAAAGACCCTGAATGAACGAATGACAGGTGGGTTGATATATGCTTAAACTGTACTTTGAGAGAGGGTCCAAGATGAAACATGAAAAAAAGACCGTCACTCTACTGGATGTAACCTGTATTGTTGGTCCGTATGATGACATCAGAAATTGCATTTCATTTGAACGTAAATACCGCTGGCTTCACAACCTCTAGGCTGAATCAACAGTTGTACTCAAATATATTGAATGGGCTCAGCTCAGCAAACAGTGGCTTCGAAAGCGCTGTCTTTAATATCATGGCCTGTGCGGCATCAAACTGGCAATGCCCCAGTAAAACGGTCAAGCTGCTGTTAAATAAGTTCTAGAGCGCCCGGGTTTCCTGCCAGAAACATGCGCCAACTCTCATTTACCCGTTTATCCTATAGTTTGCAAAATCTTTCGCCAGGAGCATCTTATTTCCCAGAACATGACTAAGCCTATCTGGGATTGTGGTGGATACCAAAGTATTGGATCAACCAATCGTATGTATTTTGTCATCATCTCGCATGAGAGTATTGGAACGCTTGGAACGCCGGCTTCTTCAATATTCGAAGCTGTCGGGGATATGGAAACATTGAAGGGTATAAGAAGAGGTCTACTCGTCACTTGAATTTTCTAAATTCCAGATTCTAAAACTCAAAAACTTTTGCCTTTGCCTATCTCTCTACTCAACACTTCGAGCAAAATGAGATATGTGCAACTCGGAAGTAGCGGTCTACGCATCGCCCCAATTGGTGTAGGGTGCATGAGTTTTGGAAGCCCCGAGGGCCGTTACAAGTGGTCAATCCCGGCAGACGAAGCACTGCCGGTACTGAATCATTGCTACGAATCCGGCCTCAACTTCTTCGACACCGCAAACGCCTATTCCAGTGGCCTGTCTGAAGAGATTATTGGCAAAGCAATCAAGAAATACGGATGGCGCCGGGGAAACATTGTCATCGCAACCAAACTATGGGCACCTGTTGGCCGCGGTTCCGAACAGCCAATGGCTATGACAGACCATGAAAAAGACAATGCCGGCTATGTGAACCAATACGGGCTGAGCCGGAAGCATATCTTCGAGAGTGTCGAGGCCAGCCTACAAAGACTCGACCTACCCTACGTCGATTTGCTGCAGATCCATCGTTTCGACCCCCGAACCCCCGTGAAGGAAACAATGGAGGCGCTTCATGATATTGTCAAGTCCGGCAAAGTGCGCTACATCGGTGCTTCATCCATGTGGGCTCATCAGTTCCTTGAGTACCAATACACGGCTCGCATCCACGGCTGGACGGAGTTTATCTCGATGCAGAATCTTCATAACGCTATCTACCGTGAGGAAGAGAGGGAGATGTACCCTGCATGTGTCAAATTTGGAACTGGTGGGATTCCTTGGAGCCCCGTTGCAATGGGCTTCTTGGCTCGACCCTGGCGTGACTTTTCGAAAACTACACGTGGAGAGGTCCAGGGTCCTGGTTTCCATGGATGGCCAACTACAGAGACGGATAGAAAAATCAACGAGCAAATCCAGAAGATTGCGGAGCAGCGTGGTGTGTCAATGGCAATTGTGGCAATTGCTTGGTCTCTTTCCAAGCCATTTATTACGGCGCCGATTCTAGGAATGAGCAAGAAGGAGAGAGTTGATGAGGCAGTTGAGGCTATCTCCTTCGAGCTCAGTCCCACTGAGTTGAAGAGCATTGATGACCTATATGAGCCCAAGAAGGTGCTTAGCCATCAATAAAGCTTTCGTACATCGCTTTAAGACCTCAATACAAATTTTCCAACGGCAACTTAAGATGCAGACTATTTCAGTGATCTCAACATCCAATGAATACCATGTCGAGCGCAGTAGTATGATGAAAATTCTTGTCATAGAAAACTATGTACCAAGTCAATATTGCAAGAATTGAATCTATAGAACCAAGACCCACTATCTAGAAAATCTACCACAATAGATTAGCGTCATGCAAGCGGATGACATAGTGGGTCAAATTAACCATTGGAACACTTGGAAATGACGCAAGCTTGGTTCCCAAGGTTAGACCCGAACTTAATACTCAGGACTGGCACCACGACGTGAGCCTGCCTTTCCTCTCACCTTTTTTATCCCCAGTGTGTGCCAGCCAAACCCACGATCCACTAGGCACCTACCCCTTCCTGTCATCAAATTGCATACAGCCTGGAAGCGAATTTGGTACCTCAGCTGACCACAAACATGGATCCATCAGCAGAGGGCCTATCTGAAAGGCGAATCGCTTTGAGATTGTCCTCGCAGCAGCGCAGTGCATGGCCAGACGAGGATTGGTCGGGTATTACCGATCAGAAAACACGCCGGCGGCTACAAAATCGCCTGAATCAACGGGCTCGACGTAAGTCCGCTGTTCGCCAGCTACCAACTAGCGAGTAACATTTTAACCGTTTATACAAATAGGTCTACATAATAAAAACCAGCTAACCCATTCTGGAGAAAGAAACACAAAAGAGTGCCATGGTTCTCCTTTTAATGCACAACATGACCCGGCCGCACTTGTTATTGCTCCTCAAAATAATGATCTAACACTGGCAACGCCTGCTACCATTGACGTCACCTCTCTCTCGGAGATCGAGGACGTGCACATACTGGAATCCAATTCCCCAGCGACAAAAGCACGTATGGCCCGATTAGAAAGAATGGCCCTTCAATACTACACTACGGGTTCCCCGCGAAACGATCTATTACTCAACCTAGTCCAACTCAATTTCACTAGAGCCCTGATCGAAAATATAAGAATTTTGGGCCTCAAATCCGATCAGCTTCACGACGATGCAATCTCACAATTCAACACCGCTGGCCCATGGCAAGATGTCACTCTTTATAACCTTCCAATAAGTCTCCAGCCTACTGTGATCCAGCGCTCTATCCCGCATCACCCGTGGTTGGACTTGCTACCTGTTCCCCAAATGAGGGACAATTTGATCCTTGCTGGAGAAATCGAGGAAGAGACACAGCTCTGTCTGGATATGAAGGGTAGTGGGAGCATGCGATCGGGGAGAGGAGGTATTATTGTTTGGAGCGATCCTTGGGATCCGGCGGGGTGGGAGGTCACGGAGGCTTTCGCTCGTTCTTGGGGCTGGGTCCTCATGAATTGTTATGATTTGGCCCATTCTACGAATCGGTGGCGGGCAAAGCGGAATGAAAAACCGCTGTTTCGAATGAGTTGAGGTCTAAGTTGATTGGTATAGAACTTCCGAATGGGAGAGTACTAAGTAGGCGTCATCGTGTTCAAGGATGAATACTTGCGGCGTGCAAGATTTAGAGGCAGACCACCGCTGAAGTGTTGGCACCATGATGCAGTATCTTGCACCCAGCGATTTTTACCCTGGTTTTAAGACCAATACCATTCCGAAGGAACGTTTTCTGTCCGCCGCTGGGGCCAAGATATCATCAAACATCCTATCGCGTGAGCGAAAGCACAGTAACGACCAAACTGACGCTGGGACTTCTCAAACCGATCAGCAGATCGAACAAGAGAATCAAAGCTTTGAAACTAAAGCAAAACGCTCATATATTTGTTCTGATTCAAATATTTTATGGTTTTCTTATAGTGGGCTTTGATTATTAGATTTGCGATTGCATTGGATCAATAGATCACGCATAACAATGAAGCATTTTCTGCCACTATCACTGCGCAACCTCTACCCGCTTCATAGAAAAGACACCTCTGCGAAGAGGGATCAAAACTCAATCCCCCAACCCTCTGCGCCCTAAGTTTCATTTCATGTGAGGAAATTTCCGACGCATTTGCTAGATTAGGCACGTATAGTTCGAAGTCACGTGAACTGATGTCAACTTGATAGGGGTGGATCATCAACTTCACATCGTATATTTATCGACAACAGCGTAAATATCAATCCGGAGAATCATTCCGATCTGTTAAACTGTGTCCAATCCACAGGTCAGCTGGTTATGCGCCCCGCTTTCCCGATTAAGTCGCGTCGCGCAACGTGAGATGAGGGTGCACTTTCCCATGATCATTTCTGACCTCCTCATCGTAACGATCACCCCAACTCGTCCCCAAACCTTTCGTAACTGCTCAAATTCTATTTCCAATCGGACCCCTCACTATGGATTTGCCCGACGACGACGACGCCATGCTGAGGGCGGGTATCGCAGCATCACTGCGTGACGCCCAAGCCAACGCGAACCGAGATCGCGGCCAACAGGATCGAAATACAGACGCAGCGTCTCATGCTGCAGAGACCCAGCTTGTTGACCTGACACAGGATTCTGACGAGGAACCCGACCTTCAGGAAGTCTTTCCCAAATCAAAGTCTGTCGTAGGTTCTGATACCGATGACGAGGCTGATGCGGCTCAAACCAAGGTCCCTTACGAGGCTGCCAGAGAGTCCATCCCCAGTCGTGCCATTAATGTCGACGCCGAGGACGAGGATTCCTCAGATGAAGAGCTCAAACTTGCAATCGCCTTATCCCTGGGAGCAGCCGACCCTGGACGCGCGACTGATACTCCGGTTCCTACCGATTCTCAGAAGTCCATCGAAAAGCCAGGTGAAACCCCAAAGCAGTCTTTTGGCATTCTCGGCATGGACCGGAAACATATGGAGGAAGAGCGTCTCGCCCGTCAACTTAAACGCAAGGCTGAAGACTCCGTCCCTGCATCTGATTATGAAAGTCGTGGATTTCCGACAAAGGCGCGTAAGATCAACTCGGTTGCTGGACCTGAGAGTGGTGACTCGTCGCCCTTCGCGGACTCCGCTTCGTCGGCTCTTCCAACGCCTGATATCTGCGATCGACCAGATTCCAACCACCCTGACTGCAAAGTCAAGCCACTCGCGCGATCCATCCCGCAGTTCCCCCTCGGGGCTATAAAGAGAACTTCGATTGGTCACAAAGCTCGTTCCGGTGACGAATTCACCATTGAAGAGGTGCTACAGCGCGGGGACCTTGAGCTAGCGGTCCTCAGCTCGTTCCTGTGGGATATGGAATGGCTCTTCACGAAGATGGATACTTTCAATACGCGATTTATCCTCATGATGCATGCGAAAGAAGAAAGCACAGTAAGAACCATGAGAACCCTCTATGGGAATGTGTATTAGCCTGAGGATTCTGACAACCTATGGAATATCAGAGAATTCAGTATCAGGAAGAGACTGCCTCAATGTCGAACCTGCGCCTGTGCTTCCCTCCCATGGATGGTCAAATTAACTGCATGCACTCGAAGCTCATGTTGCTTTTCCACCCCACTTACATGCGAATCGCGATCCCGACTGCCAACCTAACGTCAACTGATTGGGGTGAGAACAACCTGATGGAGAACGTGAGTAAAGAGTGTGGGCGCTTGAACGTACCCCGGACACTCGAACGTATTCTGTTGTAATGTTTCACTTGTTGACATGATAATAGACCGTTTTCGCGATTGATCTACCGAAGAAAGGCACCGAATCCGGCTCCGACGAAGACATGAAACCCCCATTCTACAAGGAACTAGTTTATTTTTTGAAGGCAAGCACACTGCATGATAACATTATCAAAAAGCTGGAAAACTTCGACTTCAGCAAGACTGCTCGCTATGCATTCGTTCACACCATGTAAGTGTCCCTTAGTCTCAAGACATACTCACTGGTCTCACAATCCACAGTGGCGGAACCCACAGCAGTGAGCAGGCATGGCGACGCACTGGCTACCCTGGCCTTGGTCGTGCTGTGACAGACCTCGGTCTCCAGACTACTGAGCCTGTGGATATGGATTATGTGGTACGTACATATATCAAGGAACATGTAACTGGCCCTTCTAATATAGACAGACATCCTCTATCGGCTCATTGAACGACAACTTTGTACGTGCCATGCACTATGCCTGCAAGGGTAAGTTTTTACTTTTGAACCTCGCACACCAAACCTAACTCAATTGATAGGCGACGACGGTCTCAGCGAGTACATACTTCGGACCCAGAAGAACCCCTTCATGGCCCAGACGGATGACGACACCCGACGACCCATGCTTGAGGCCCACGCTCGTGACGAGTGGAAGGAGCATGTTCGCGTCTACTTCCCGTCCGACTTGACGGTGCGAAATGCTCATGCTCATCCCCAGAATACCGCAGGGACAATCTGCTTCCAAAGGAAGTGGTGGTTCGGCTCCTCTTTCCCTCGGGGTATCCTCCGGGACTGCGAGGGCGCCAGGGATAAGAGAATATTGATGCATAATAAAGTATGTTCAAGTATCTTGAGAATTTTTATTCAAGCTCTTTTGACGTATTACTAACCCCCTAAAGCTCATCTTCGTTTGGCCTCAAAAAGACATTATCCGAGATAACACCAAGTGCACCGCCTGGGTCTACGTCGGGAGTGCCAATTTCTCCGAGAGTGCATGGTAAGCCAGCACCTACTCATAACCTTCCAAGCGTAACTAACCCATGAAAGGGGACGTCTCGTCAAGGACCGAACTACCAAAGAAGCCCGCCTGAATTGCCGCAACTGGGAATGCGGCGTCATCGTGCCCATCACTAACCCCTATGAAGGCATTCCCCAGCCCAAAATTTCATCCGAACTGTCCGTCCAGGAACAGTTCGCCGCAATCGACCAGGACGGGCAGGAGAAGAAGTTTCCCATTTCCGAAATCAACGCCTTTGTCCCTGTTCCTATGAAGGTTCCTGCCAAGGCTTACAAGGAGAAGTCGGTGACAGTTGACAATCCCTTCGGCAGGCTCATGGGTTCATCTAACACATCCGTTGCTGGCCCCAGTAGCAAACCCACAAACAACAAACCGCTTGAGCCGTGGTTCTTCATGGGTTAGTAGCACATGAAACAGATACAACATTGCAGGCTTGATGATCTCTCCAATGAGTTTTGCAGCGTGGTCTAGGTGCTAGATACGTGGGTTTTCTATGTTTTCTACGCTTTGCATATCACCATGGAATGGACGATACTTGATTCTCAACTCATAGTAACTAAGAATAACGAAAAATAGAAAACACGTGTACGATCATGAATATTTTGAGATCTAGGTAATGTTTCGCTATAAACTTTTAGAGGTGCTCTGATCCGCAGATCTAGAGTATCTATTTCAATGTTCTGGGCGCCTTCTAATGAGGAAATCAAAGACCAAGCGCATTGCGCGCCACACAAATGCTCCATGTAAATGCACATTAAATAGACCATGTCACCGAGATGACCGGAAAGATGGCCAGACAGAAGAAGTGGAAAAGAAATAGGAAAGAGAAAGAGAGAGAGAAAGGAAAGAGGGTAAGAATGAGACAAATCACTCAGACGCCTCCTTCTTCTGGAACGGCTTCTTGATAGCTTCAATGAGAAGACCACCAAGACCAAACACATATCCAAGACCGAAGCTCCAGCCACGGACACGAACAGTGTAAATGAAGAAGTAGACAAGAGCCCAGTTGATAATGACGAAAGCCAAGAAAATACCGAAGCAGCGCCACTTATCACCGGCGTGCACATTGAGGTTGGCCATGTACTCCGAGCCAGTGGAATAGGGACAGTACTCGCAGTTTTTCGTCGCGTTGGGATCATTCAAGTATCCGACACCGGCGAGGTTCTTCACGTAGTTCCCAGCGTACTGCTCACAAGTCTGACCAGGAGGCGGGTTGAAGCGTGTGAATTCCTCAGAAGCACACTCAATCTGCACTGCCGGAAGAATGGAGGAGAGAACACCGCGCAGCCACCAGGTCACAGGGTTGACGTAGTACATCCAGTATTTCCAGAAGACGGGGTAATCGGCGTAAGGGCGGACGATACCGTTGAACAGGTTGACCATGACGAAGAAGAAGGGGAGGACGTTCGAGATGACGGTGAAAGAAGGAGCGAAGGCGCAGATCCATTGACCCCAAGAGGCTTGGAAGAGGAAGAAAAGTATCGACATCAGGAAGACGTAGCCTGCTGATGAGGAGTCGGTGGGCAGGCCAACGGGGTAGTACCAGAAAAGCCAGTAGACGAGACCGGTGATGATAGCGGCGGGAATTTCGCAGACGACATTTGCTGTGCAGAAGGCGACCCAGCCGTAGATGCGGGATGGATATTCGCGGGCTTCCCAGAGGGCGCGGTTGATGTAGAACTTGGGCACGACGGAGTTAAGGACGATCGGGGGAATCAGGATGATCACGAAGCATGAGAACATGCGGTCTTGCATGCTGGCGACTGTGTTCGGAAGCATCCAGAAGGTGAAACCGTTGAAGATACCGATGATCACACTGACGAAGAGCTTGCCGTAGTAGTAAGAGGAATCACGCCAGTACTGGGTGAACAGACGCTTGGTGAGAAGCTCAATTTGGACACCTGTGGGCGCGGCGAACTCGTATGTCGTGCTGCCGCTGTCCTCGATGGGAAGCTTGCTACGCTCCGTCCTGATGCGTTCGATCTCTTCGAGCATTTCGCGATTCTGTTCAGAAGAACGCCATTCCTCGTTCCAGTCGACCTTCTTGCCGTCGCGCTCAGTGGACTTGGCGGCAGTTTCTAGGATGAACTCGGCGACGTTCTTGTTAGGGGGACAAGCGAAGCCGCGGTCGGCGAAGTACTTGACCACGGAAGCACCCCCCTTTGCCGACGGGGCCGAAATAAAAGGTGTTACCGCCGGGGTTGAGGGCCAGGATCATGTCGAACTGCTGAATCAGCATGGATGACGGCTGGTGGATGGTGCAGACGATAGCCTGCCCGGCCTGGGACAGCTTCTTCAGGAATCGAACAATGGAGAAAGCGGCTTGACTGTCGAGACCACTGGTGGGCTCGTCAAGGAAGAGAAGAAGGGAAGGCTTGGCGGCCAATTCGACACCAATAGTGACGCGCTTCTTCTGCTCGACATTGAGAGAGCCGACGATGGCGTCCTGAATCTCTTCGAGTTCCAAAAGGTCGATAATTCGGTTGACGTAGTCGATCTTCTCCTGGCGGGGAACATGGCGGTCTTGACGAAGGATAGCCGAGAATTCCAAAGCCTCGCGAATGGTAGAGGTGTTATCGTGCAGATCCATTTGCTCACAGAAACCAGTACCGCGTTGGAAGTCAGCTCCAAGAGGGTGACCGTCAACAAGCATGTCACCCTTAACGACACCCATCTTCTGGCGCTGAGCCAGAGTGTTGAGCAGAGTAGTCTTACCAGCACCAGAGGCACCCATAAGAGCAATCATAACACCGGGCTTAGCGTAGCCATTGACACTGTTGAGCAGCTTGCGAGTTCCATTGCCATAGGGGACAGTGTACTCGACGTCAGACCAGGTGAAACAGCGCTCGCTCGAAGACAGTCGGTTGAAAGCAGCATCCTCCCCAGAAGAAGGAGATTGGCCGCGAGCGTTAGCAGCATCAGCGTTCAGGTCGGCAACCTTCTCCTCATCATTCTCCTTGCCAGTCTGAGCAGCAATCTTCTTGGCACGCTTGGACTTCTTGAAGACCAAGGCGCCGCCGCCGCCGCCAACAAATGAGAGGAACTCGGCAGCCCACACAGTGACCAGAATGTACAAGACAGTGAAAGCAATGACGACACCAAAGTTGCGCCAGAGGTGGTGACGAGTGAACTGGAAGTTTGTCGACAGATACTGAACGCCAGTGACTTCAGTCGCGCCCACAGAGGAACCAGTCAAGGCACAGCCCTGGTAGTTAGGATCAACCCCGGGGCCCTGGGGAACAAGCTGCGAGGGAGCACACTGCATAACACGGCCGGCGAATTCATTAGTCAAGACAGCCTCATAACTGTATGAGAGCGGGTTGACATAGAACAACCATCCAAACCAGATAGAGTCGCCGATCAAAGTCTGCTTAGGGATAACATAGCCGACGAAGAGAATCAGCAGGTTCAGAGCGATACCAGCAAATCGCACCGCGTCATCGATAGTCGGCGACAAAGCGGCAAACATGCGGTACATCGAGGTGATACAGAACGTCGTCGTATACACGAACAGGAAGTAGATGAAGAACTTAGAAGCAGTCACATCCAACCCAGTCATGAAGTAGACGATAATCGTAAAGGGAACAACCATGCAGAAGATAGCCGGGAAATCAACGACCACACGAGCGATCGAAACAGCGGAGGGACGATAGAAAGCATAATCCTTGTGACGGGCAACGATGCCTCTGCCGGAGACAGCGGGCATCAGCTCGGTCAATTGCAACCAGCCAAGGAACAGAATAGAGAAGAACAGAGCACCACCACGCGAGAATGCACCGCTGGTATCCAGAGCCTCTCCGTAGAACAGAGAAGCGACAATGAGACCGTTGGAGATGATAATGAAGTACTTAGTGTAGAGAGAGGTCTTGTCACCCCACAGCAGCCAGAACTCGCGCTGAACGCAAGCCAAAACCTGGCGCGCCAGGGAAACGGTGTAAGGAGACTTCTTGGAGACATTCTTACTCTTAGAGTCCGCGACGGTCTTTTGGAAACGGCGGGTATCCTCCAACTCAGTTTCCTGGAGACGATTCTCGTAGCTGCTGACATCATTGGAGATATACTTGTAGGTCTCGCTTTCTCTGAAGACGCGCTCAAGCTCCTCGGCGGTCTTGGGGGTCGAAGCCTCGCGACCGGACTGGAATTCACGAGCATTGGGGTCACAGAGCGAAGTCAGGAAATCGGCGGTGGTCGACTGCTCGGAGCAGTGGAATCCGAGATTGATGAAGTACTGGCGAGCTTTATTGGCGGGGCCCTGGTAAAGCATACGGCCTTCGTCGATGACCATAACCTTATCCATGAGTTCGTAGATACTCTCACCAGCCTGGTATAGGGTGACCAGAGTGGTGCGCTTGCTGACATCAGTCATAATACGCAGCGACTTGGCGTAGTCGAGAGCAGTGCTTGCATCTAGACCACGAGTAGAGTTGTCCCAGCAGACAACGGAAGACTTGGTGGCCAGAGTCTCGGCGATACTGACACGCTTCCGCTCACCACCAGAAACACCACGAACGTACTCGTTACCCACCATAGTGTTCTTGGTGTGGCTGATACCGAACATCTTCAGCAGCGCATCAATAATGATAGGGATGCTGTCGCGGTCGTGCTTGCGAGTTTTGTTGATCAGCGAGAACTTGAGCGTCTGCCAGACCGTGAGCGTCGGGAAATGTTGGTCATCCTCAGGGTTGTAGTTGACTTCGCCACGGAAGTGCTTGTTCTGATCCTTCGCAGAGAGACCACCATAGCTAATATCGCCATGGACAGCCGCAAAAGCACCACGGTCATTGGCGATTGCCTTGAGGAAAGTAGTACATCCGGCACCGGGACGACCGAGCACCAGCATCATCTCACCCTCACGGACAGCACCGCTGAAATCGTTGATGAGATTGCGAATCGGAGGCTTCTTGCCCACCCGCGCCTGGGGCACGAATCGACAAATGATGTTATATAGATCTGGGCCGAAAGTGCCAACCACAGCATGCGGCAAAGTACGCACAAACGAAGCGCCAGTCTCAATACCCTGAACAGTGAGATTCTTGAAGACGACACCAACCTTCTTTGCGGGCTCGCCAGCGGTCGTACGGCGCTCAAGGTGGCCGCCGACAAGGAACTCGCCTAGGTCGAAGCCAGTGTCCTCGGTATCAGTTGACTCTTCATCCAGGGCCTTCTCTTCATCCTTGCGACTGGCGCGGGACTTCAAACGCTTAGCGGTGGTCGATCGGGTGCGGTGCAAGCTCAGACGGGTCAATTCCCGGCGCATCTCCTCCAAATCGTCCATAGCACGGTGGCGGGAGACGGGCTCACCCGCCTCCTTCTCGCCCCAGCGGCCCTCAACGCTATCATGAGAGCTATCGTTAGAGGAGCCGGTGAAGGTCGGGTCTAGGGCCTCGGTCTGGCCATTGATCTCTTCCGTCGCGACGTCATTATGATTATCGGCAGACCCTTCGGTATGTGTGATTCCGTTGGCTTCTTGGCCAGAACCGTTTGACTGAATATTGGAGTTCTCGGTGCGGGATTCGTTGTGACTAGTAGTTGTGGTATAGGTCGAGAATTCTGGACGGGAAGTCATGTTCTCGGCCTGCGCTTCCAATGCGCGATGGTCGGCGTCCATCTCGGACAGGAAGGTCTACTCAGCAAAATGCAGAGAAGTTAATGTATTAGGAGGGTAAGTACAGGAGGACAAAAGGAAAAAAAAAGAGCGTTCAACGATTCTCCGATAAAGAGGGGCGGTGTTTAACCATTTAAACCATTAGCCATGTCCAGGTCCATGCAAACGCTTAAGTCCGAGACCCATAGCTGGATTTGTAAGGCTTGTCATGTTCCAATTATCGGGGAGCGTATTCGTCAAAAGAAGGACAGCTTTGGTGGGTCCCATGAGTCAGGTTGATTCATTGCGGGTCATACCGCTTCAGAGATTTCGTGCACGGAGATATCCACCGGGGTTTAGCCGATCCACAGTCAGCGGAATATTGGATTCCTATCGACCGTCAGCAATCTTGGCCCTCCCCGAAAGCGCCATGCTTATTCATAATTCGACCGAATGCGCTCTGATTGGACATTGGCGATGGATGTGGAACCCAAAAATGGGCAAGGAATCTATATTCCGCATGCAGAAACGAGGTCCTTGAATTAGACTCCATCTATGTCCGGGCCCCACCCAGGGCCTGCCTGATTCATGTTCCCAGCGCCCTCGGCGAGTTTCCCGTACTGTTGTCCCCGTCAGCAGCCTGTGCCTAATCCCTCTCGGCACTTGAAACACATCCGATTGCTAATTATTGCTCATGGTGACCCACCGTCCTAGCATGTTCTATTTCCATGAGCTCAACCTCGGTATTATGCTTGGAAATGATTCGTGCTTGCTTAGAAATATGATCCCAAGTCACCCTGAGACAACCGGACCAAATTAGCTCATTTTAACTACTATTGACTTTTACAGTAGTATAGGCTAGGCGATAAGTCTATCATAGAACGTAAGATCTCTATTAGGCTCGGGGAGCCACCCACCGCCCTTATCCATTTAAGTTAGCCCAAATCTAGAAAACAAACGAAAGTACAGGCCCGCTCCGTGCAAAATGCCGAACCGTTCGTGACGCTTCGAACCCGATGGGTCCCATCCACCCTCGCAGTCCGGGATGACCCCGGTCGATCGGGTCTCGAAGCGCACGTCTTTGGGCCTTTTATCAATCTTCCGTATCACATGGCTCCCTTGCAGGTTGCAGGTTGCAGCGGACATCTAGCCGAAGCAGCTCTGAATTGCCTACGTATGTACTTGCACAAGCAGGCAATATCGCCCAAGGTGCAACGAGGTTAATATGCTATACAGAGAACTCGATACCCAAAGGCCCCAGATTGCAGTCCGAGCGCTGTTCTAGGGCTTCGCTTCGCTGCCGTCTACGATCCGCTTCTGCAAATCTAATCTGGAGTGGGTCTTCACTGCGACTTTGAGACGTTGCTCCGGTCGGGCTAGACGTGTATGCTCTCTGCATGAGGTATTTACGTGAGTCAGTCGCCGCGGAATAAATACGTATATACCAAAGTCAAATGGTACAAAGAATACAAGAATTCAATGCCCAAGGTGTTTGGTCTATGAGAATCCAGAACATCCAGATGCCGAGCCGAGCTAAGCTTTACGCCTTCGTTTACATACTGGTCGCGGGAAACGCCCCTCCCTAGCTCTCGGTGGCTTCTAGCTCACCCACATGAGATCGACTCGGGATAGACCTTCCCCATACTGAATTGTTACGAGAAAGTTTTTAAGAAGAGCTTGTTCCATGCTGAAAGTCTAATTCTAAAATCCCTGCATCACTTCTCTCTAAATAACGTTCCAAAGGAAGAACTTGCAATCTTGGTGACGTAAAACTACCGCCTCGGGAAGTGATACCTACCAGAAAACACGTTACTCGCGCTGTTTGAGGAACTGGATCATGAGTACGATCTACTTCTTGGAGGCGCGTGCTCTAGGCGATCCGAGGATCCTCAGCTCCTCTTGGAAGCAGGGCTTAGATCAGTCAACTCTCAAAAGACTGTCGGCATTAAAAGACTCGGGCCTTTGCGAGGAAGACTCAGGTGAAGTGTATACGGATGAAGAGTAAGAGGATGAGTGGGACAAGTGAACCGACCTTGGATGAAAGAGCCTGGATGGTTTGGTCATGATGATGCTATAGATAGCGCACCCTTTTTACGGAGAAACCCACCAAGGGCAACAATTTAAGCATTTTGACGCGGGTTTACGGGTCTAGTTTCGGACTTATCACGGTGCCGACCGGTAGGACCATAAGTTGCTGGTTTCTGGTTTTCCGGATTTATCAGTACCATCAATTTTGTTAATAGTTCTTCGAACAGTGTATTAGGTGTATTCCTTACGGTTTGGTGCTCCCTGTACAGCCTGAGACCTCAAATTACCCATTCTCTTTTCCGTCTAACGCTTTGTTTCTTATAAACACACCCATACTTATTGTTCTATATCTAAATCACTTATCTATCTCTACATCAAGCGTCTAGATGGTCATAGCCCTCTTTCCATGATCATGTTTGGTGAGGCTGGCTCCGAGTTCTTGATGCACATTCCAAGATTTCTTGTCATACCTGAAGAAGTACTCGCGTTTATACATCCATAGACATACTCATCGCCAAGGCTCTGGGACATGTTCTCCTCCTTTTTAATTATGGCTATGACACGAGTTTCTTAATCATCCGCCCGCTCTCGCTTTCCTTTTCTCTCCACTTAGGACATTTCGAAAATGCACATGGACCTTCTCCATACTTGCCTGTGACATCACGTTCAATATTTTTGTTTTCACAGCGTAAGTCCTCAGTGGTTCATTATATAGTTCATTATATACTCGATGATGAGAGCTCAAATTTCGGAAATTCCCGGAGAGCCAAAAGGGCTGTCATGCTTCCCTTTTCAAACATATTGTGTGTCGTCTGTCTCTCATGTGCTGCTTCTAGCTATGAAGGCACTTCATTCAAGTGCGAGTGGATGGTGTAGTTGGCGTTGCCAGACTACGCGAAAGCTTGCACTGAAGCGTCTACTTGAAGACACCATGGTAATGCTGATGGCTAAGCCGGAATTTCACATTTTATCCCGTTATATTTCGTGTGAAAAAGATGAATGTATATAGAAGCTGGTTCTTTAACAACAAGAAATGGAAAATCGACTATGCATCTAATAGTTTGTACTCTAAAGTAGGTTATTTGAAAATTGAATACTTACTTCAATTATTACCCCGATGGCCCTGCGATTCGCAGTTCAAGTACCGCTCTAGGGCTTTCTCTTCGCCGCGGCCTGTGCGATTCGCTTTTGGACTTCCTCGTGGGAGAGGATCTTCACTGCGTTGTTGGAGAAGACGTAGCTCAGGCCGGACCAGATGGTTGTGCCCGCCACAAGGTACCTGGACGAGTCAGCCATTGCAGGACAAAGGTAAACGCAAGAAAAACGCATCGGAAAAGAAGAAGAAAAAAAGGAAAACAAAACAAAAAAACATACAACAGCAGGGATTCGCTGGTGGTCACCCACCCAACTACTAACCTGCCGGCGTGTGGCTTAAGTACGGCTGAGCGGACGGGAAGCCCTGTTCTCCACACCCTATGGTCGTATGTACTGGAAACACCATTGAAATGACTCAAGGTGGCCCCAGTTGACATAGTACATGCCATGCAAAAAGCATAGAAAAAAACAATCGCAGAATAGAAATAGGGTATCACTTACTGGAATGCAGTCATGGCCTCACTCAGATGCCAGGCACTAATGACCGCCTCGGGAACAACGGGGAGGGCAATCGCACTGCCAACTAACACCAGCTGGAGAGCCGTGTTGATCTTGGAGATCTCAGTGGGCTTGACTTCAGCTGAGGGCAGAGAGAAGTCCCAGTACCGAGCCATAGTTTTAGGCGGCGGAAGCGAGATCCAGCGGTAATAGATAGCCGAGATGGCCAGACCGACGTCTCGACCGAGGATGATAACGGCGAGCCACACTAAACTCGCGTCAGACATTTGGGTAAAAAGCATGGATCCCGTCTAGGCATCAATTGGGCACTTACCGGGAAGAGATCCGTTAACTGCCAGGCAAGCCACTCCAATTGTCATCAGCAGCTTATCGGCCATTGGGTCGATGATGGTGCCCACTACCGTCTGCAGATGGTACTTTCGGGCGATCCAGCCATCGACCAAGTCGGTGATGCCCGCATATGCGAACAGGGATAGTGCGGCTGCATGGTAGTTGTTCACGAGCAGATACCCCACCACGGGCGCGGCGACCAGTCGAGAGAATGTGAGGATGTTAGGGACTGTGTAGATGTTCTCATGGCTTGATTGAAGGGGAATTTTGGAAAGAATGCGTTTTGTGGCCGAGCGCAGCCTGTTGCCTTTAGTTTCGGTTCTCTCATGGGACGCATCCACTACTCACGTTTTGGAGCCCGACTCTTTGGGATCTTTTGGATCTTCCGGTGTTTTTGATGTTGACCATCTCTTAATGAGCAGGGACGTCCTGTAGGATGGATCCTGACATCCCCGGATTCGTAATTGACTGGAGCAAGAAGGTCAGACCGGGACGATTAGATAAACACTCGACAACGTACCTGGTAGGTAACCGGGCCAGACCTGACGATTGAGTCAGACTGGAGATGCATCGAGGGCGAGACGTGTCACGGGTGCACAGGGCTCCGCGCTGTTGGAGCGGGAGCCGTGCATTGCCCCGGAGGACTTGAGATCCCTGGGTTGCCCGAAATGGCAACAGTCGAATTGCAAGCATGGTGGCACAGAAGGAAAATAGAGTACAGGTATCGGTCAGTTGTAATATGACACAGAGTTGGTGTGAAAACGAGTGGCTCGGGTCAAATCAATGACGGCACATCAACACATGCCCGGTTGGAAGCCTTGAAGCCCAACTCAGCAGACAACACAGCCACCACAAATGATGTGTGAGGCTTCCGTTTAGACTTGGCAGTTGCGGAGAAAGCAAGTCATACAATCAGTCGGTTCTGATACCTCGAAACAAGACCGCAATCAACAACAATATCTTATATAATACAGAGGGCGCTGCGACCGGCCATTAGCAGGATTCCTTGGTAGATCAGGATAAGTGCAGTCAAACCTTCCGACCAAGACCAAAGCCGGAGACCGCGAGTAATGGTAAAGCCGAGCCCGAGATGGTCTCGTGAGAAGTTGAGGCGCGGATGATTTCATGGCCGCGGATTAATCGTTAATCCATTCCGCCCCCGGACGTGCCACATCGCCGATCAACATTATCCAACTTCTCTATCAACATCTCTGTCTATGAAAAATAAAAATAAAAAATGACTTCTCTATTCTGAAACCAAGACTGGCTCAACTAACTACAAATACAGCTTGGCATCTTAAAATGAGTCACTTTGGTTGTCCACCAACCCCCATTCACCTGACAGCCGCATACACATGACGATCCGCCTGATAGCTGGCATCATCAGCTTGGCTGGCTATAGTCATGGATTTCTCGCCGATTTGTTAACTCCTTAGCTTATATCTAGTTACACGGAAATGCGGCTGCAAATCTAAGGACCGCGACTATTACAGAATATCCAGATGGAGAGCAAACGACGACGGAGTATAGCAGGGGACAAGCGGTGTTGTTCAAAAGTTGCCTGTTCACTATGGGTGTACCACCTCCAGCCAACAATGGCGCTAACCCATCCTCACCTCATTCGAGCCCGTCCGCCAAAGCGCCCAACAGCGACGACACACACAAGCATAAGAAATCCCACGATCCAAATATGGACAATCCTCGATTGCTTGTCAATCGGGCATGTATTTACGAGCGGCAGCTACCCGGGGATACATATATTACAGCGCATGTATCCCGTCTCCAGCATGGCTTCTGGGACAGCCCAGCAGTATCCGACACATACGCGGAGCATGTTGATTTCCTAGCTTTGAGCTTTGTCTTCCACTCGGCGCATACGCTGTCGCATCGCTTCAAGTCTGCCACTGTCCGCGTTTCCGTTGAGTCCAGCTCTGAGAATTCAAAGCCCACATCGATCAATGGATGTCCCTCTGGGAACCCGTGCTTTCTGATGCACGCACCGCATCTCATCTACGGTGCCGTCTCTCCGGAGACAATGGAGTGGTCCTTTAGCTTGGCCGGCTCACTGGGTGTCTCTGAAACCCCGGTCAGCGCCAGTATTATCCCGTCCGGCAGCCTGAACGGACAGTATCGTCGGTATGAGATGATGCGCATTCAAGGCTCGTCTCGTACCATGAAGAGCCCCAAGGGCCCTGACTTTGATGTGGAGGCCGGTGAAGTAGTGTGGTCTCTTGAGGAAAATAGCCTGCAGCGGTCTGGTCTCCCCCGCGAGTTCACCTTCGTCATGCTCATTCAGAAGCCTGCCGCCAACAGTAAGATCAAGCTGTCCCTCGAGATTGATCCCGTCATCCAAGCCTTCTGGGGTAGTTTCCCCGGATGGATGATCCGGCTGTCTCCATACCAACCCTTGGAGCGCCGTAGTGTCGACTTTCGTCGTGAGGTTGGTCAGCACTTTCAACCAGCAGACCCGCAGCGCGGTTTCAACTTTGCAGTCTTGGAGAGCGCATTTGACCACTATATTGCAATGCCTGGTCGAAAATACACGCGCCGAGTAAGTTCACCGGAGCGACCTGGGCGGAGGAAAAGATAAAAGAGAAGAAAAGAGAACTAACACACTCACAGTTAGAACTTCCGGCAGAAACCCAACTCCCGCATTTCAGCAGCGGCCAGCAGGGATACCCTGGTCAATATGGCAATTTGGGTTCTTCGCAACAGCAAGGGACCAGTTTAACGAACACCCTGCTGCAGAACCAACTGCGTCAGCTCAGCACCAACAGCGGAAATCAAGAGCCAGCTGCCTCTGCGCCCGTTTCCGCATCGGCAAACACTGCTTTGGTGGGTACCATGGCGGTACCCATTTCGATTCCGAGCGCACAGAGCACCACAAACACGTACAACGTGCGTCTGGGGCTTGACCCAACCTTGATCCAGCAACTTGCCACCCTTCACGCGAGCCCATCAACTCACCAGAATCGAGTGTATGGCACGGAAGCGCCATATCAAATGACCAGCGCGTGTAAAGCTAGGGCTGAGAATTACAGCTCAAGACATGCACATGCCAACAGCTCGTCGACGGATGTGGGTTGGTGGCTCTATGACGACGGTGCCGAGGGGAATCCTGAATGGTCATCACCCTTACTCAACGCGGACATCGGCCTCAAGAGCTACGAGAATGTACGGGAGGGTATGCTACGCACCGTGCACCCGATGAGTCGTGGTGACAGGTCTGGCTTGATAGAGGATCGGCACCGTGTCATGAACCTCAGGAACCAGCCTCTGACATCCGGTCTGCTTTCGTCCCTCTCGGAGGATGAAGATTGAAGACTGAGCTTGTAAAAAAAGCCGGGATGGCATGTGACTGAAATGATGGTCAGCATGGGCGGGTATTTGGTGCGTATGTGTTTATTCTTGACGCGAGGCTGTTCTTATGTTAATGGTGTTGCTTATCTCCACTTGTTTTCCTATGTTTCTTGACTTTCTCGTCTTTTTCGTACCTTTTAGATACCCCTTCGACAGCTGCTTCATTTTGAGGGTGTCTCTTTGAGTTGGTTTGATCGATCCTCGTTGGCGGCTTTTTGGATGCATAGCGATACCTTGTAACTTAAGCATGGAGTTGATTTTACAGTTTTATACTGACATTAGGGTACATACGCACTTTAATACTGGACATTACAGGCTCGGGAGAGCTTTGAATTCTACTTTTAAATACTAAAGTACGCTAGAGGAGTTTGCCTCCATTTGACACTTGTGGTATCCACAGCAACTAGTTGGTAACTAACCATGCATGTATACAGCCTGATCGAACAGACAATCCATATGGGCCTAGACACTTCATTCTTCAATTGTTTATCGAACTCTTCGCGGAGCTCTTAAACCCCTCTTTATGTTCCTTTTTCCAGACTATCCTGTTGAGAGATTTCGGACAACTTGGAAGGGGGCAAGTTACGCCCGCTATATAGAACCATTCGTGCGATAGCGAGCTGCAAAAACAGTATCCATCCTTGCTATATACGCCACCATAAGCGATGACGACGACCGTGTGCCGTGGTGGGGCCAGCCAAGTCTCAAACATTCCCGCGAACCAAGATCCGATATCATAACATATATCCAACATCGAACCCAAGATGCCAGCCCTCGGCGCCCTAGGCGCAAACTTCAACGAGAATTTGAACTGGCTCAACCAATCTGAACTCAAACGCATAAACACAAAATGGGTCCGCGGCTTCATCGACATGCACCAAATAAACATCCAGCAAGCTCGCGAAAACGCAAACATCAAATGCCTATTCAACGCCATTGACGCGGGCTACAATACCATCCTAAGCTTCAAATGGAACTACACCAACCTAGACTTCCCTAAACCCGGAAGTCCACAACACAAAACTGAACTTGAGACTCTATCCCGCCTCCTGGACATCGTCATGAACCACGTTGATATCATCGTCATCGGAAACGAACCGTTTATCGAGGCAAAGGCAGATCAAACCGATTCTAGAATAAACATGTTCTACGAGAGCCTCGCGGAGGTAGTAATCTCCTACCGCAAATCCTCACCAGGTCCCAAAAATACAAGACTCTACATGGGCGCTCTCAATAGACTTGACCTGCCCGCAAAACGCACGCCGGCAACCGAGCGCTTCCTGCAATATTTAGCCTCGAAGCCTGAGCTTGACGGTGTGGATCTCCATCTTCATATCCAGGGACTAGCAGGCCACAAATCGATGCTCGATTATGCACTTTCGAGACTCCGCCCTGATCAGAAGTTCCTGGCAACTGAGTTTTCACTCGTCTGGCATTTTAGACAGCATATGGCAGATACGGTGTCTAGGGAGTTCTGTACTAAGTATGGATTCCCGATGGAGGCAAAAGTGTGTGAGGTTCTAAGTGCGGGGATTCATAGTCCAATGCCGTTAGAACAGTGGGTGGACTTTTTGAGAGGCGAGAAGTGGTATGCAGGGGTTCAGGGCTTCATTGTACAGGCTATGGAGATGTATAGGGCTACGGGGAGGTTACAAGTTGCTACGTATGGGCTTTCGCCGATGCGGTATCGGAAGAAGGGCTTTGAGGTTGGGGATACGCCTTGGTTGCTGAATGGGGTTTTTGCACCGCCTACAGTTTGGTCTGGGGAGGATGGAGAGAGGTGTGAGAATTGGCCTTGGGCGGAAGAGTTTCGAGCTGTACAGGGCTGATGAGGGATATCATCGTGCGAAGTATCTTGCTACTCTTCGTATTCATTAAATGAAGTGAGAAATATATTAAAGTACATGGTAGACGTGTTCGACCGTTATAGAAATGAAGATATGTATAGAGAATTAACAGGTTCAAAGGAATCCAAGAACCAACATGGCCATACCCGCCCACATGCTGGAGACGAAAGTCTTGGATCCAGCGTTAGAAAGAACCGTGGTAGGCGTAGGAGTGGTAGGCATGGGAACAGTGGTTGTGGAAGTTGAAGTGGTAGGCTTGCAGGAAGTGGTCATCGTGGAGATGTGGGTAGTGTGAGGGCTGGTGGTAGTAGCAGGGGCAGTGGTGCCAGGAATCAGGCACACGCTGGTGGTGGAGCTAACAGTGACCGTGCTGAAAGCGACCTGCGGGACAGTCACGGTGTGAGAGGACCATGTGATGGTGGTGCAAGGAGTAGTCTCGGGAGCCAGCGTGACAGTACCCTTGGTGGGAGTGGGAGTGGGTGTGGGAGTGGACATGGGCACAGAGACCGCGGGTGAAGTGGTTGGGGGCAAGTCAACGATAGCAGGGTTCTTGGGAACATAAGAGGCGCAAATTCCAGCGAAGTAAGCGAGGGAAGACTCCTCCTCCTCCTCAGAAGAGCTCCAGGAGTGGATGCAGGACTTGACCTTGTCTGCGAACTCGGAGGATGGGCAGAAGCAGGCAGTGTCGCTGTTGGAGTCACACTTGGGAATGGAGAGCCATGTGTTCAGGCACTTAGGGACCACCTCGGGACAGGGAGCAGGCACGACGGATGCAGTGGGCTTGGCAGTGGTTGAAATGACCGGGCTTGTAGTAATAGTTACAGTCTCAGTGGGAGACGGGCACACAGTAGTCGACAAGCTCCAGGTAGAGGTCTTCACCTGGGTAGAGTGACTAGGGCAATCGGTCACAGAGGCAGGGCACTGAGTCACTGTGAAGACGTGGGTCGTATAAACAGTGGAAGTAATCATTGGTGTCTCAGTAGTCATTGGTTCCTCGGTGGTCATTATAGTCTTGGTAGTCATTGGCGTCTCAGTAGTCGCCGGGGTCATGCTGCTGGACCAGTGAGTGTGCGTAGTGGGCACAGTCATAGACGTACTAGGCTCCATGGTGTGAGATGGAGTAGCCGTAGGGGGAGGCTTGGGTCCAGAAGAACAGTCAAAGTCCATGGAATGGATGTTCAGATCACACTCGCCGAACTTGCTGTCTTCGGGGAGAGCAAACTGAACGGAGACCGCGCCACCACACTGCTCGTTGGTGACATCAACGCCCTCGGGAGAACTGAAAGCCACCTGGCGACAGTGGGAACCATCTGCCAGCTCGTAGTTGACAAGGATAGTGGTGTCCCGGGATGTCGAAAGGTGGAAAGTACGGACGGAGAACGGAGCGTCCACGGAGTCCACACTGATGGCATATCCATCATCTCGTGAAAGCTTTCCTTGAATGCATTTGCCCTATTCATGATTAGATTCGATCAGGCCATGGGATTTGATGAATAGACTTACTCCGGATCCACCACAGTTATCCTGGGCCGAAACTCCCACAAAGTTGAAGCCTTCAAAAGTCCAGTTATCACCGTTGGCAAGGTCAGACCAGTCGAATCCAGACTCTTGAGACTCGGAGCACTGGTTGTCGGTGTTTTCGGGACTGGGATAGCAGAAATCGGTACCCCACCACTGAACGATCTGTTAATGTGACGACTCAGATCGAGAAAAAGCAATTGAATACGTACCAGACCCTGTGGATGGGCGAGCGCAACCGCGCTGAAAAGCAAAGGGAGAGTGACGGCCTTCATCGTGGATGATATGTCGCCTTGGAAAAGACAATTGCGATAATCAATGATAGACAGCAATTAATGCTTTAAGATTAAAAATGTATAAGTTTTGAAGATAGTATCAAAGAAAGACGAGAAGGCGAGGGCGAGTTGGCGATGTTGTCGACTGGATGATGGATGGCGTATACCTGGCCATGACCCGGGCAGTCGGAGGGTTTTAAGCTTCAGGAACTGAAGCACAGAAGCACCGGCAAATTTGGAAAAGCTTGGATATACTCATGTTTACTATCAACAAACCATGCGGAATGCGCCCAATCAAGCCCCTGATGGTTGTCTAGAGCAAGATAGCGGGCGTAGACCAATTGCGAGAGCACCGGCAGTGTTTCCCTCGTGGGTGAATTGAGATAGATCTAGCTGGATTCGAAATCGAGAGCGAGGGGATCAGGAATGCGCCACCGTCAAGGTGAACACAGCAACCCGCCGAATCAAGTCACTCAATGGTAGCTAGAAGGATTTCAAACAACGTGGACTGTAATTAAAAGAACCCTTGGCACTAGACGATTAATATTGATTCTGATTAACAACACTTCATTCATGTGGCCTCTATCTGGAGGGCTCACAGCTCTTTAGCTTCACGGTCAATGAGGCTTAGCCAGCTCGGTCTTCTTCAATACTGCTGTTCTTCTGTCTAAATCGAAAGCAATACGCAGAGCCACTTACGCAAGTTGCTCGCTCGAAAGCTCCAGAAAACCCGTTTTACTACATTCCGGACCCCAACCCTGGGACCCTTGCCAAACCTCATTCCAGAAAAATGGAAAGTAGTTTTAAGCAAACCAATCATAATCCTCGATTCGAGCACCGCAGAGAACCACACATTCCGACCCCTTGGTCGATCATATATTGTGCTTCGGTACCTGGATACGATGTGACATCCATTGATGTGATGGGGTCATAACTGCGAAATTGGATCAAGAGCCAATTACCTCAATAGAGATGTTCTCAAAAGAACTGATTTGATTTTGTATATGTAGGGTCTTTCCTTATAGAAAACCTCACTACCTTCTAGCCAAAACGTCGACATCGATTTGCAAAGAATGACGCGCTGTATATTTACGCTCAACCGAAGTGATTTAGAATAGGTACCGTACCTAGTAAGCCGATTGGAGAACACTCTTGAACTAGTCTGTAATCCGTTCCCGAAAGTAATAAACGATCGCATGTCTATCAATTCATTGTTCGAAACACAGTGAGTACCTTAGAAGAGACAGCATATAAATAGATGAATAAATATCCTAGAAGGACACTGATATATATGTCCACAAGGGTGTATATGAACTGGGTTCAATCCTGGTCCGTTGACCAAGAACCCACTTTGTCCCCCAGTACATGAAACGAAAGCCCTCGGACGCCCGGGAGATTGTAATACGTTGTGAGCTTCCCTAGGTAAGTTAAATATCAATTTGGAATGAGTCACAAGGTGGAAATGAACTTTGGTCTTTTAAGCGAAATGAATCGATATCATATTCTCAACATTCCAGGGCTCATCGGGACAGACGAGCATATGAGCCCCCGACACCCCGACACCCCAAGGTCAAATTGTTTATGATCAGATGCAAACCATAGAGCTAAGTAGGTATGAGTCGGAGGAACATTTGAACCCCGACCTCTGCATTCATCTTGACGTGTTCGTACACCAGGACTGATTTAAGAACCCTTCTTCAACATTGAATGCCAGGTGATATATCCATAGAACCCGTGGACTCTGTGGATCCAACACTACCAACCACCATATACCAATCACAACATACAACACAAGCACCGAGTTAAGAGCCAGCCGCCCAGTCCAGATGAAAACAATCGGATACAATAAATGGCTTGATATTTCTTCCATAAGAGGTATCTTAACTCCAATTAGCTCAGACTATATCATAAGATTATCCGAGCCTTTGAAAGCCACGATCCGACATCCATCGCCCCTTCATGTACCAGACAAATAGATAGCACAAACCAATCACCCCTAACCTTGACCAAACCATACCCCGGGAAACCACACAGATTAAAGAAAGGGTAAACAAAAAGTACAAAGCCTACCGCAACCGTATCCTAATAGAGATCGATACCAAAGAGAAGCCAAACCCCATACGAGAAGCAATCGGACAAGTTCAAGTTGCAGTTCACCTGACCTCGAGCAAAAACCGCACAGCTAAAGTGAAAGCTCATAAAAAAAAGTTGAATTGGGAATAGAGAACTGGCAAAAGAAAAAAACAAACAAAGAAACGTTTTGGGTAATTGAGGGATTTGCTGCATCACATCGTCAGGGAAATTCACAAAAAACGCCACCCAGCGAGAAAAGCAGAGAGCCGACACGAAGACAGTGGTAATGATGTTCGAAGCCGTGGAACACAAAGACGCATACACACAGACACACAAAGGGTAGAGAAACAGACACCGTATGGACAGAAGACATGAGTACATCGGGAGGGGGGGGTCACACAAAAATTCAATTTCGAGTTCGCGTTCGACTTTGATTCCAGGGCTCGGAGTGGCGGATGCACACGCTGCAGGTTGAGCCGAGTTTAGCGTAGCGTGTGTGGATTTCGGGGCGAATGCGAATGCGAATGACAATCTAGACCCAGATTCCAACTCGGACTTGGACTCCCCATTTCCATTTCCCTCCCATAGGAATGAAAAAAAAAAAAAAAAAAAAAAAGAGACAAAACAAAAAAAGACAAAGCTCAAGAAGGGTGGTCTATATCGCCGAGCAAAAGAGACAAAGAGACAAACAACGAAAAAGACAATAGCCGCCCCGACTCCCCGCTTCGAACCAGTCGAGAGTAAATATTCCAAAACAATCCATATCCGTAAACCGGGAGAGAACATTTCAGCTGATAAAACCAGAAAACCATCCCATAGAATAAACGCAGACGCAAACACGCAAACACGAGTCATAACTCACGAACGAATGAATTAAAAATCAGAATCAGAATCAAAGGGCCGACACAACACCTAACGAAAACAGGGACGTGGGAATTGACATGGACATGGGCGTGAGCTGGACATAATTAAATCTGCGGCTGTGCGGGGGCAGTGGTCGTCCATGAAGATAGAGGCTGCGCGGCTGCGTAGTGGGGGTGGTTCACCGGCGCCGCAGGGTTGACGTAGTACTGGGATCGATCGCCGTAGTAGGATGGGTGGATGGGGTTTGATTCCCGACGGGGTACCGAGGGGTCCAAGGGGCCGATGCCGCGGTCGAGAGAGGTGTTGTCCATTTGGCCGGACAGGCTGAAGCTGCCGCGAGAGTACGTGGCTGGTGTGGACGGATCCATTGGGGAGGTGGCGTCTGTGGCGACGCTGCGGGAGGAAATGGAGCTGTTTCGGTAGGCGGACGGGCTGTGGTCCGAGGTTGAGCGGTTGCGGTCGCTGAGACTGCTGGGGATGGCGGTGTTGATTGCGCCGGGGATGGAGGAGGAGAGCGCGCTGTGGCTGAGGGAGTCCATGCTGCCTCCGTAAGGTCCTGCGCGGAAGGCGTGGTAGTCATCTTGTTTCACCATCGGTGCAGCTGGCGAAGGCAGGTATGGATTCGGTGCTGGCTGGCCGGGCATCGAGTTGCCCAAGGAGTATCCTGTTATCGGGCCCGGCTGTGGAGGATGTGTGGCGGCGTAGGGACTGGCGTGCATGTAGAAGTCGGGGGATGGGTTGGGCATGCCATATCCTGGCGGAGCCATCATCTGCGGGCGGTAGCCGTAGAGGGCGGCGTGCGAGGGGTCGTGAGCGCTTTCCATGGCGCTGGTCTCTAGATCATCGATGGGTGCGCGGAAGCTCTGTTTCTGGGTGAGGTCGACGCGCGGGCGAATGTAGCGTAGAGATTCGACCATGGAGGGTGGGTTGAGCGCGCCGCGCATGACGTCCTCGACGCTGTAGTAAGAGACCAAATGGTGGGTTATGCCCATGACGGTGACACTCATGGTCTTCTTTACCAAACCCGAGTCCTTGAAACCGTACGAGTCGACCAGCGACCCCACCAACGCGCGCTCGACCTCGGACTGGTGTGGTCGTTCACCGAACGGAGGGGAAGGCTGAGGAGGGGAGTAGCCCTGGCCGCCGTTGCTGTCATGTCGAGCGGGATATGGCTCGCCCGGTCGAGTTGGGGGCGCGGGTCGTCGATTGGCCTTTTTCATCGCGCGCTTCTTCTCTCCGGGAGGGAAGGGTTTGTCCAGTTCCCGGTAGACGAGGAAGTTGCCCAGGATGCGACTCGGACTCCAGGTGACGCCGTCGGTCCACCGCTTGATGCCGGAGGAGTTCTCTTCGTAGATGAAGACGCTACCGCTGCGCACCAGATGGCTGCGTTCCCGATCATGGGGTCGTCTCGGGACATGATGCAATACACCGGTCAAGCATGCCTCGAACAGAATCAACGCATCCTGTGTGGTGGCCACATAGCCGGTGAAAGTGGGTTCCAACACGGCAGCAGTGCCGTTCACCATGATGGGGTTGTGGGAAAGAGTCAAGGTACCCCGGATGTGATTCACAAAGGAAAAAAAATAAGCTAAGGAGATCGACCAGGGTATGGAGAAAGGCGAGATGCGATGGTTTTGACTCGACCCCTCCTCGGTGTTGGAGGATTCCAGGGATCGAAGGGAAAGCACGGACCGTCGAGTCAGCGAGTCAACAGGTTGCAGCGATCTCTGGAGAGATGGGATCTACTCGGGCGGTTCCACGGATCCCTGGCGCGGCAAGAAGCTTTGGAGGAGGGAGGGGGGAGGGATCCACAAAGTGTAGTGTAGTGTAGTGTGGTGTAGTTTAGTGTCGACGTAGACCTAGACGCAGACCTAGACGTAGACCTAAGACTAGTATACCTAATGAGAAAGGGGAGGGAGGGGGAGGAGGTACTGGTACGGTCAGAGGCACCGGGAGGCTAATCGTAAATGTTAATGTTAATGTTAATAGTCTCGGAGGGTTCACTGCGGGGCGAACCTGTGGAAATAAACGGGAGTTATAATTTCTAGTCTAGGGTAGTCTCT